TAACCCTAACCCTAACCCTAACCCTAACCCTAACCCTAACCCTAACCCTAACCCTAACCCTAACCCTAACCCTAACCCTAACCCTAACCCTAACCCTAACCCTAAGCATTGCAAAGCTGGATCCCCGTCGCCATTGCTGTGTACTGCGAGATGCATACATCCCGACAGATCTCATGCAAAATAAGGTACGAGAGCCTGATTCTCGGTTGGAAGCACGACAGAAGACCCCGCACTGCCGCGCGACTGAAAGCTATGTTCGCCCAGAAGCTTGGCACGCGCTCAATAGAGCGTTTGCGTGAAACCCGCACAGCATGGCTTGGCGGATGACCGCATCAGTCGTCGACCATGCATCGGAGTGCGACGCTTCATCCAACACTGACGTCGAGCCGAGATCTGGACGTCGCGGTCGCAGAACGTGGCCAAAGCATGGCCGTCTCGAGGCATGAAAGGAGCGCAATCTCAGAGACGGCGTCTGCCATGTGATTGCGGGGTGCAAGGCAGGGCGTTCGACCGGCTGTGTACCGAGCTTGGCATCCTCGACCATGCAACTCTTCCTCTCCGCAGGACTGAGACCCCGCAAGCAACTATTGCAGCAAACGTCGCTGCTTCTGCATCGAACAGGTCACTCTGCATATAAGACAAGGTGCGCCGACCAGTCTCCACCATCCCCCCAAAAACAGCCTCGACTCGCTTCTCCTCGAACACTCGCCGCATTACTCCCAAGATGAAGATCAACTTCCTGCTTCTCGCTGCCATCATTGCCGTCGCTGTAAAGGCGCAAGATGAGATTGAATCGGACGACTTCCCAGCCGCTTGCGCCGCGCAATGCACGCCGCTGGTTGCAACGACCAACAGGTGCGATGACACCACCAACGACGACGGCGCCTATGTCGCATGTGTTTGCAGCTCGATGGACGCGTCGACTCTGCTCCCAGCTTGCGCCAGCTGCATTCGATCCAATGGCGAGGACGACGACGACAACGAAGCTTTCGAGCTCGCCCAGAGGTGCGGCTTTGCGGTGTCCAGCAATTCGACCAGCAGCATGAGCGGCATGTCTTCCACAAGCTCGATGTCGAGCACTTCAACAATGAGCATGTCGGCCACGTCTACGAGTGCGCTCAGCTCGGCGCTCAGCTCGGTCTCCGTCGCCGCGTCTACCGCCGTCGCCCCTGCACCGACTTCTGGAGGAAGCGCAAACTCAGGCCACCGTCTTGCTGCATCGATGGCTGCAGTGCCTCTGGTCTTGGTCCCCATCGTTGCAATGGTTTGATTGATAGGGTCGCGGCGGTCGCGCATCACTCACCCGGTAATGGGTCAATTGTGTGACTGCGCTGACGGTAAAGAACCTCGTTAGTCGAACGAAACAAGATGGCTCTACTGTTTTTCACAGCTTGCCTGTGATGAACTCTGCAGCCGTTTGATCATGACAATGCCCGACCGTGTTGTGTACGCCGGATCTGTCTTGGCGTCTTCCGGCACCCTATCGAAGCTGTCCCGACTCGCGTGGATCGCCTCTAACAGCGTCGTCTTGGCATCGAGCACCTCGAATCCCATGTATTTGTACATCTCAATGACCGCTGTGTTGTCGGGCTTGATGAGGATGCGCAGCTGACCGGTGCCGATGTAGTCGAAGCACTTGTCGCAGAGCAGGCGGGCGAGACCGCGACCACGTATCCTATCGTCGACGTAGAGCGCGGTCATGTGCCAGTATGCGCCGTTCGGGTCGTCATCGAGCGAAGGAGACTGGGCGCTCTGCGTGCCGGGCAGGATTTGGAACGAAGCATCGTACTCTGATCGTGTCATGGGGCCAATGAGCGTCACCTGTCCCACCCAGTCGCCCGTGGCGTCGCTAATGCAGACAAAGATGGTCTTTTGCGGCTCGCGGAGGCGTGCTAGTCGCTGCGATGTGTTGAGCTGCGACTCGATCGCAACCGTAGTCGAAAAGGCGTGGGGGGAGCGTTCGAGCGCCGTGATGCGCAGGTCGGTGTACTTTTGTGCATAGTCAGATTGCTGAGATGCGCTCAGGCTCGGATCTGAAATCCTGAGCACGCTGAACATGATGGTTGCAGGCAGAGCTGGTGTTCGCTGCGAAGGAGCAACACTTTTCGTAGGGAAGGCAGACGCGAGGTCCAGGTGTGCACCCTGCGCATCTTTTGGTAAATTAGCCGACGCAACCCGAACGCAGACGACCCTCATGGCTTTTCACTGCTCCGTGACGAAGGCTCGATCAGTTGCTAGCAAAGGATTGTGGGTATGAAGGAATGTCTATGCGCACAAGCTTGGAGTCGTGGGTATTGTACAAAGAGCGTCTAGGCAATGAAAAATGAGTGAAGATATCAGAAGCCAGCGCGACTGCCACCGCCGCCTCCGAGGGTGAGACGTGATGGCAAGCCGAGGCCGAGACCGGTCTGTGTCCGCGTATCGGCAGAAGGTGCAGGAGACGGAGGAGCGTTGCGCGGCGAGACGGAGAGATCCTGTGACGATGCGGCGCGAGCTGCTGCCTTGTTGAGAGCAGCCATCGACGGCGTCTGACGCAAGGTCGGGCCGCCGGTACTGGCTGCTGCGCTGCTGGGCTGAATGGGTGCACTGGAACCGACCACTCCTCCGCTGAGGAAAGATAGGACCTTTTCGGATCGGCTGAAGAAGGAGCTGGATGGGCCAACAGCTCCGGGAGTAAGGCTGCCGGACTTGTCTGAGGCCATGGACGGCGATGCATGGCCGTCAGCGCTACGCCTGTCCTGATCCGCGTCCAGAGTGGAGGAGACAGCGGATGCACTTGGGGCTGAATGCAGCGACAATGTCGCTGGTGTAATGACGCGCGAAATGGGAGCAGGCCGGATCCTGTTCAAGGCGGGCGGGATCGATCCGGCTCCGATGCCATCTGCCAAGTCGACAAAGGTGCTGCGAATCGAGCTGTCGCTGAGGCCACGAGGTCGCAAAGCGCGGTCGAGCAGGTTGCCACTGCCATTCATCTCGTCGTCGGATCCCTCATCGCCACTGTCGTCGAAGACCTGTTGACGGATAGCCCGGCCACGGTGGATGCTGATCTCATCGTCGTCGACAATGCGAGACAGCGGTCGTTGCCAGGCTGGAGTCGTCCTGGAGGCGTCGCCCTTGGGTCTGAGCAGACTTGTCTGCGCTAGCCCACCACCCAGCTTGGCAGATGGGCCTCGAGCAGCATCCAGACCGGCAGGTGAAGGAGCCAGGCTTCCGGCGAACAGGCCAGACAGGTTGCGCGACTGCATGCGTGTGAGCGAGACCTGCGATCGCCCAGGCTGAGGTCGAGGTCCGGCTCGAAGGCCACCGTTGATCAGACCTCGAGGCGATGCATTCGGCTCTGCTGCAGAAGCATGCGCACCTTTCACCTCGACGGCGAGGGTAGACGAGACGACCGCAGGGGAAGCTCTGGGTGCGAGGCGGCTCGCATAGTTGCCCGAGACGGACCTGCCTGGCGTTGGTCGGCTTCCTTTGCCTCCCGTTGTCCCTGTGTTGTCTGGCACCGCGAGCGACGCTCCAGAGGTGCTGCTGCTGCCCGGCGAGGTCGCGGTTGGCACGATGCTCGGTCCGCCGAGCAGGATCTTGCCCAGCCAATTGACCGCAGACGGGATGGGAATCAATCCTTTGTCCTCTGCCGTGTTTGCCCCAAGATGCTCGTGAAGAAGTTTGGCTGCCTGCCCCGGATTGAGGTGAATGTCGTTGATGCACAGTCGTAGCTTGGCGAGCTCGCACAGAATGTCACGGAATGCCTTGAGCAGCGCGAAGAACTCCTTGCGGGCGACGAGGCTCTCTTGAGCGAACTCCTTGGAATGAGCAGAGTTGTCGTCGCGAGCATTGTTGCGAGCTTCTGCTTCGATGAGCTTGCGGAAATGGTCGCGCAAGCCGTCGACGTCGCGAAGGATGGAGTTGACCGTGGTTTTGGCCAAGTGGCCTGCATCGCCTGCCAGATTCTGTCTCTGCAGACGACGCGAGAGCGTGTCGACGTCTGCCGTGGAGAGACGAGTGAAGAGACGATTGACGTAGTCGAGAAGGGTGCTCAATTGAGCGGTGCGGCTCTCGCGACGAGCAGGATCGAACTGCAGGAAGTCGCTTGTCTGCTTTTCCGTATCTCGACTGGTCTCACTGGAGCGCGAGCTTGGGGCGAAAGAAGAGGATTCCGGTGGTTGGCTTGTTGTGCTGCTATCCACAGTGCCTGTCAGCGACTCAGCACGAGTGGTTACAACGTTGTGGATCGCCGAAGATGTCGCTGGCGACGACGACGTGGCAGGGATCGTGAAGGAGCTCGTCGGCTGAATAGAAGCGCGTCGAGCATCTGCGCTGCTGCTGTCTACGCTTTGCTGGACCTCCTGCGAGAGTGTCGGCAGCATCTCAGCCGCTGTGTGGGTCTGCGAATCAGATGCGCCTGGGCCTTGTGGGAACTCGAAGCCCGCAAGGTCTGGGGCAGGGGACGCGACCATGGTGATTGCGTTATTGACCGAGCTGCGCAGCGTGTCTAGCTCTTCGTTGCATGTGTCGACCAAAGACCTGAGCTTGCCGTTGTCGTTACGCAGAGCTTCGTTGTCACGGACAAGGGCCTCGATGGCCTGCATCTGATCCGCGTCGTCACTGGCAGTGGAGGTGTCGGACGCCATGGATAGACCGCGCTGGTGTCGTAGACCACGAGTGAGTCGGTCTCTTGCCGACTGAAGTGCGTCGTCATCGAACACGGGGCGGTTGGCGGTCGTTGCGTCCGCACTTGTTTGCTTGCGCGCACTGTGAAGAGCATCTTTGAGCTGGGCAGATTTGAGTTCGAGCTTCTTCGACCTCGCTTCGGCTGCTGCTGATCGTTTACGCTCGGCGGCAAGCTCTTGCTTCAGATCGTCGAGCTCACGTTGGAGCGAATTGGCTTTCTCGTCGGCTCCGCTGAGTCGGGTTTGGCTTGCCTTGAGTTTGTTGAGCTGAGTGCGGGATTCGTCGAGCTCGTGCAAAAGGGCGCGATTGCTACTGTCGCCTGCCTCTAAGTTCAAGTTGGATTGTGCCAGCTCGCGCTCGAGAGCAGAGGTCTCTTTGTAGCTCTTGGTGAGTCTAGTCATGAGACCGTCGCGTTGTTGCATGTATTCTTCTGCTTGCTTCTGTAGCTTTGCCTGCATGGCGTCGTGGCGTTTGAGCAGCGCTTGGCCAATCTCTGCGCTGAGACGGAGATCAGCTTCCAGATCGCGCCACTCCTGGCGAGCGCGGAGAGCACGTGGACAGTCCTCCTTGCTGCAGCAGCACGTGCATCGGACGGTTTCTCCTGCTTCGCTGCGTTGGTCGAGACTGTGATGGCTGTTGCTGGCTGGAATGGTGTCGACGCTTTGGGCGAGGGAGCCTGCGAGGGAGTCGGGATAGAGAGTGTGGCGGTTCATGCGGAACTCGCTGATGATATTGGTGAAGTCTTCTATTGTTTTAGACTGTCGCACGCTGTTTTCGATCTGATCCATACCGGCAGCGTCCACGGCGGAGAGCATGGAGGTCGACATACTGTCGTCAGCTGTGAGGATGGATGCTGCATCTGAGTCGGATCTCACGCGTGATTGGTTGGGCGAGCTTGTCGCCATTGTCGCAGACGCCGCCCGAGTGCGCTGGGACGCTGGGCTGGACATGGATGATTCGTCCTCCTCTGCGATCTCTGCTGAGGGCTGCCGCGATCCAGACGCATGAGAGGCAAAGCTGGCGGTGGAGTTGGCCGAGTGAGTGCGCATGTGCCGGAAAGCCCTTTTTGCGCGACTGAGTCGAAAGTCGTGTGATGAAGCCAAGGACACGCCGAGACCATCTGCTCCCTGCGATGAATGCCGGTCCGAGGAGGAGGACGAATCGGATGACACAGATCGACTCGCCCGTGTAGCAGTCTCTTGACCGCCACTGACGGACCTAACTCCTGGGCTGAAGAGGTCGGATGCGTCGGGGCTATGCGGCGTCGCCGATGTGGGCAGGGTGGGAGAACATAGCGAGAGGCGCTTTAGATGGCGTGGAGCTGAAATGATGGGCAGAAGGCCGTGGGTCACGACGCTATGCCAGCAGACTCACACTCTAAGCCGAGCGTCAGACTGTTGAGGCGATGATGAGGATGTCCGTTCCGATGATGAGGCTATTGCTGGCGAGAAACCTGCCGCATTAGGAGGGCTGAGTGGTGTCGCGGTGTAGTAGATCGGCCCGACGAATGGTGGTGAAGCCGGCCTCCGTGATGGCTGCAGGGACGGTCAGTCGGAGCGATTCCGTATCTTTGTCGTGTTCCCCCTGTGGATGATCAAGTTGAGGTGTGTGAATGTCGTTAGTGTCGACGTCGGTGATGGTGGAAGCTGAGCCAGCTGTGTTCGACACGCAAAAGGCGCGGTGTTGATCTCGGCAAAGCTGTGTTGTGCCTGTTGAATTTTTGGCTCTGTGTGAAGCGAGCAGCTGAACCCTTTCAAAGGCAGCTGAGCCAGACTGCTGGAAATCTCAAATTTTAATTATTTGATTCTTAAAATCAAAACAAGACTTTCTGGGAAGTGAGCATCGCAGCAGACGGCTTTGCCAGCGTTGCAGGGCCAAAGAAGCGTCTGCTCTCCGCTCTCTTTTCTTCCTTCGTGGAAGCCGACTTTGGCAGGTTGTCTTTCATGCAAGACCCACGATTCGAAGCACCTTCTTCAGCTGCTTGCTCTCTTAGCCAGTATCAACTACGCTTTGCAGACAAGCGGCTCATGCTCGTGTTATCAAGGTCTTTGATGCCCTCAGAGTGCATTCCTGCGGCAGCTAAAGTGCAAGCTCGATCCTTCGGTCACTTTGGCTTTTGCATAGCTTTCATTGCGACGCTATGACGACTTGTCTTCGTTCTGCTTTCGGCCTTCAAAGTACTTGCCAATCTTGGCACCAACATATCGGAGCGTCCTCGTGAAGCCAGCCGTGTAGATGCCCTTGATCGACTGCGACCATGCAGGGCCTTTGACTGTTTCGGCAATCTTTTGCAACAGCACCTCGCCAAAGTCGTCTCTCTGCACCGCTGCTATCCAGAAGGCTTTGAGCGTCTCTTCGCGTTCGATGCTCGACGGCTTGCGGGGTACCGTGTCGAGCGTCTTGGACATGGACAGTTTCAAGAAGGCCGGGTCCAAGTGTGGCTGCCTTGTGTAGTGATCTTGTACCTTTTGGCGCAAATTCCTCGGCAACCGAGCAGCGTACGACGCCTTGGTCGAGACCGAGTCATCTTGCTGAATGCGGAAACGATTGCCCCTCACTTCTTCGACCGAGAGCGTACCCAAATTACGCATGAGCCCAGCATAGAGCCGTCGGAACTCTTCGCGCTGGTTTAGCACAATGTTGCGCACCTTGTTTGCGTTCTCGCCTCCGGGCACCGACATGCGGAAGTCGCCCGTGTAGCTCAGAGAGGCGATCCGTGTGTACAACTCCACCTCTGAGAAGTCCTTTGGTAGCAACAGCAGTGCGGTTCGCAGCGCAGAGGCGAGGTTGACCTGCTGCGCCAGCCTCACCCTGGCATCTGACGTGACCAGCGCGACAGGCTTGTGCATGCGACCGCTCACGTACATGGTCTCCCAGTCGAGCAGATCGTTGCACAGGTCATCGACGCTGATGATGCCGTACTTGACCAGCTCGTCTTCCAACTTGATGTAGGGGTTGTACCAAATCTTGGCGCCTCTCTTCTGCACCAGTCCGATTCCGATGCTGCCCAGCAGCCGACTGAGCATCGAGTAGTGCTTGGGATGTTGCGCCATGTTAAGTGAATGCCAGTGATGAGGATGTGTGACCGCCATGATAAAGTCGATCATCTTCTTGCCGTCCTTGGTGGCTGGTCGTTTCGAGTGTTCTGGTCCGGCCTCTGTCTGCGAAAACACGCCCGAGCCGTAGGCGAAAGCGAAGCGTACGGGTGCATCGAAGCAGGACAGTATATCGTGTAGGCGACGATTCACCTCGCCTGAGACGGGCACTAGTTGGTTCGACCCGAACGAGGGTGGGAACGAGGGTGGTGGGAATTGGGTTTGTGAGACTGGGCTGGAAGGGACGAGGCGGCTGGCCGCGTCAGAGGTCGACGACCGTGACGATGTCCATGACCGGTCTGTCGAGGTTGCGACAGCGGCCTGTCGGCGATCTGATCTGAAGTGCCTCCTTTGATGTTCACGGCCGAGCAAGTCGCGCGAGAAGGCAAGCACCAGGGGTGAAGGTCTGCACACAAGCTGGCTGCTACTTGGAAGAGGTGACGGCGATGTGAGAAGGAGGGCGGCCCTTTCGCAGCACCCTTTCGATGTCACCGCCAGCATGACGCTATGATGCGATGCTGTTGGCGTCAAAGTGGGGATGGCGGTCGAAGGTGGAAGGGAAAAGAGCAAGATGTCAGCCTACGGCACGTTCTTCTTCGAGGAAGCACAGACCCTGACACATCAGCACGAAGAAAGTCATTCGCCGGTCGCAGGCGAGGATTTTTCAGTGCCGCTTTCCTCCACATTTCTTCTTGACCTCATTGCGCCGCGGAAACCGTGACGGAAGCTAAAGCTGCATCGCTTGCCATCGCTCAACGTTCCAAAGGCGACTACGTATCACAGTGCTTTTGTCGACATGATAGTGTACAAGCGAGAGTCGCCGTCATTGGGTGCGAGTGGTATACATGAGCCTAGTCGGAGAGTGGAGGAGGGATCGAGTCGGGATCGATAGCCTCCTCTTCGTCCTCCTCGACGTCGGTGAATTGGACAATAGGCTGAGAGATCGAAGCTGAAGGAGCATCACATACAAAGGCGGTAGCAGCGAGGGCGAGATGATATGAGAGTCAGTGACAGCTCGAGACAGCCAGCCGACAAGCATTTTATGGTACCTACATGCTCCCTGGGCGCGGAACCCAACGCAGATGGGGTCCGAGTCCTTGAGCCCTGCCTTGCGCACCGTCAGGTCCGAGGACGCCGAGTCCTGATCGAGCGGCATGAATATCGTCATGCTCTCATCTGCGCCAGTGCTGCTTGCGATGAAGAGACCGAGGTCGTCCTCTGCATCCAAGTCGCTCCACGCTGGATACTCCTTGCCATCGGCCTGTGTGTATTGTGGCAGTGTGGAAAGCTCTGGCTGGTTGGTTGCACGAACAGCCTCGACGAAGTCGGCCTTGAGCGATGCAAGGGTGGTGGAAGGCTGACAGGCGATAAAGAGCGTCGTCTTGTGATACTTGAGACGCAGCACTAACGCGTCCTTGTGCTCGGATAGTGAGACCGGCTGCATCGTGACAAAGGAAAAACATCGCATGTGTTAGAATAGCCTCAGTATTGACATCACCAACGGCCTCGTTTACTTACCATGCTGAATGTCTAGCCGTCAGGGATGTTCAATGCAGGCGGTGGTGGACGTGGAAGACGTGGAGAGCATTGACCACGAACAAGGCTGAGCAGACCCTTGCTTGACCCACCAAGCTTCTTCGCGTTGATTTTCCACTCACAGAAGTAGAGTGAGGATCTGACATGCTTGAATTCTTGCGACATGACCGCGGCTGGCGCGCTTAGATGCATGGACTCGCAACTCAGCTCGAGTCGGGCTAGAGAAGCTGCCGCCCGTAGAGCCCCAAGCGCCCGCAGCACGCGATGCCAATCAGGCTCAATCGTGCATCCACCTGCATGACCATCTCTCACTTTCCTCGAAGAGCAGATGATCCGAATACGACCTGCAGACTCACCCCCTCGGTCATGCTCCTGAGTGATGAGATGATGAGGGTGTATATAACACTCTTTGCGCTCTCTCCGACGTTTGATCCTTTTGTCCTCACCCTCATCTCCAAAAGTACGAGTAGGAAGCGTTTTCGTCCATTCCACCTGTGGTGAGTGCTTCTGATGCGCCTGTTTCCCCTACACCTAAATATTGCCGGCGCCATGGTCATAGAAGTGGTGGTATCCGTCGACGAAGCCAGCCGGCTGGAAAAGTACCTTGCTAAGAGCCCGCTCTGGTGGCCGACTCGAGCGGGGATACGCGATGTCTTTTTGGCCGTCATCTCCTCCACCTGCCGAGGTCATCACCTCGGCTTTTCTGCGGTGGTTTGTGCCGGCAGAGACTCGGTTGGCAGGGTCATGTGCATCCAGCGCCAAAAAAAACGAGTGCACGGGCAGCAATCTCTTCTGATCAGTCACGGCTATCCATCGTCTTTGAGGATCCTCTTGCTGACTTTGCACTCGCATCGCCTTCCCACCTGCCGTCGACCGCCATCATCTCCGCTGCCAGCCGTTCCATAGCATGCTCCGCTCTGCAGCTCGCTCATCTCTTCGTCCTGCCCTTCGCTCTGCTCTTCCATCTTCGAGACTATCTCTCCTGACCCTCGCGCAGACCTCGCAGCGCAAACCCCTCATCTCCCGCTCCATTCACACCTCAACATCCTTCAAAATGCCGCACATGCCTCAAGGAATCGTCAAGGGCGGCAAGGAGGACCTCAAGCTCAGCAATCAGTCGCTCTGGCAGACCAAGGCCCACATCAACGGTGCATGGGTTGATGCCGACAACAAGTCCACCTTGAAGGTCTTCAACAAGGCTACTGGCGCCGAGATCGGCCAGGTGCCCGACATGGGCGCCAAAGAGACCAAGGCTGCCATCGACGCCGCCGACGCAGCTTTCAAGTCCTGGTCCAAGACCACCGCAAAGCACCGTCACGACCTCCTCATGAAGCTCTACTACGCTCACCTGGACAACGCCGACGACCTCGCCAAGATCATCGTCGCCGAGAACGGAAAGGCATTTGCAGAGGCCAAGGGCGAGATCGGCTACTCCAACGGCTTCCTCGAGTGGTTCGCTGAGGAGGCGACCCGCACCTACGGTCATGTCGTACCTTCGCCCCTTCCCGGCGTCCGCAACGTCGTCCAGATGCAGCCCGTCGGTGTCGCTGGTCTCATCACTCCTTGGAACTTCCCCGCTGCCATGATCACACGTAAGGCCGCTCCAGCCCTCGCTGCTGGATGCACCGTCGTCATCAAGGCTCCCGCTGAGACTCCCTTTTCCGCCCTCGCATTTGCCCACCTTGCCGAGAAGGTCGGCTTCCCTAAGGGCACCATCAACGTCGTCACCTGTGCCAAGGGCGACAACGAGATCGCCGTCGGCAAGGAACTCTGCGAGAACCCCTCCGTCCGCAAGATCTCGTTCACCGGCTCCACTCGTGTCGGCAAGATCCTCATGAGCCAGTCCGCCTCGACACTCAAGAAGCTCTCCATGGAGCTCGGCGGCAACGCTCCATTTATCGTCTTTGAGGATGCGGACCTCGACAAGGCCGTCGAGGGAGCCATCGCCTGCAAATTCCGTGGCTCCGGTCAGACATGCATCTGCGCCAACCGAATCTACGTCCACGCCGATGTCAAGGAGGCTTTCCTGAAAAAGTTTGCTGCCAAGGTTGACGCTTTCAAGGTGGGCTATGGCATGGACGAGGGCACCACCCACGGTCCGCTCGTCAGCGAGGCCGGTCTGAGCAAGGTCGAGGAGCACGTCAACGACTCGGTCAAGAAGGGCGCCAAGATCGTCATCGGCGGTAAGCGCGGCGAGGGTCTCTTCTTCGAGCCTACCGTCATCACCGATCTGCCTGACGACGTGCCCACCGACCGCGAGGAGACCTTCGGCCCTCTCGCTGCCGTTTACACTTTCACCAGCGAGGAGGAGGTCGTGCGAAAGGCCAACAACGTCGATGTGGGTCTTGCCGGCTACTTCTTCTCCAAGGACACCGCTCGTTGCTGGCGTGTCGCCGAGGAGCTCCAGGTCGGCATGGTGGGTATCAACACCGGTCTCATTTCGCAGAACTCGGTGCCCTTCGGTGGTGTTCACGAGTCTGGATTCGGTCGCGAGGGCGGTCGCACCGGTATCGACGAGTACATGGTTCAGAAGCTGATGGTGTTCGGCGGTGTCAACTGATCTGCTAAGAGAATATCAATAGTCCTGATTTCGATGCTAGCGAATTTGCGTACGTGAGTGGATAGTAGCTGTGTCAAGGGCGTGCGAGACGTGATCCGTTGATCGATAAGGTGTGGAAGCGTGGCAAACGCTGGCCTCATGCTCGCCAGCTGTCGAGAAGAGCAGCCATAGGACGAAACTCAACCAGTCGACATTCCAGTGCATTCGCGTGCTTCGATCGTGACGAAGCATCTCGACGGTACATATCTAGCACCGTCGAGCCTGACACCGTGTCCTCAGCCTCGGCTTGGGGCAAAGTGACAGCGAGCTTGTACCAGCCGCCCGAGGTAGTCAACGCGATCAAGTGATGTCGTGCAGGGCTGTTGTTGCGATCGATGGAAGTGTCCGAGGTATATCCGGGCTTTTGCGTTGAGCGCGAACGGTCTTTGGCCGCTTTCGAGCCTTTATCGAGTAGCGATGGCTCAAGGACCGAAGGATCGCTGCCTTCCGCAACCCAGCAAAGAAAGACGCTTTCGTCGACGCTTGCTTCACCTTTGCGAATATCGCTGATCCGACTCCGCATCTGGGCCCATGCACCCTCGGTCGACTTCTCAGTGCCGGTTGGCGCGGCAGGTGCGGACCCAGCGCTGTCAAAGCCGCTGTTGTCTGCTGCTGAGGGTGCAGTGTAGTGACGGGAAGAGGCGCCAAAGCTTCTGAGCGGAATGCGAAATTGCGCGCTGCTCCATTCGGACTTGAGGTATTGAGGGTAGACAGATGACGGGATCTGACTCGCCAGACTGCCGAGACCTGACGGCAAATACTGCGCTGCAGCTCGCCCAAGATTGGCTTTCCGAGACGATGTGGAAGTCGACGCGTTGCCCCAGTCGTCAGAGCTGACCTCCGCTGCAGGCGACGGATCGGCGAGGAGAAAGATATGGATAGTGCCCTTGTCACTAGCAGCTGCAACCATGGAAGCGTCTGGTGTAAATGCGATGCTCAAGATGGACGCGGTGTCCGTTCCGCGGCGAAGCTCCCGGATCAGTCTTGCGCCGAAGCCTGTCCTTCCCGGCGTGTCCGGCTTTCTGCCTTGCGCAGCGGCAAGATCTCTCTGCGAGCCCGAGACGTTATTGGCCCAAATTCGGACCAGAGTGCCTTTCGAAGAGGCAGTAGCGAGCCAGCGACCGTCCGGACTGAGCGTGATTGCTGCTATCGAGGACTCGTGGGCAACAATGATGGACGCGGCGCCGACGGATGAGGCAGAATTCGAGAGCACTGGCGCAGCGTTGACCATTGTCAGGCTCTGCAGCTTGATGGTAAGGAGCTGAACATGCCCCTTTTGTCGCCCTGGGACCGCCACAATTGCAGCAGCTTGCTGTGCTGAGCCGGCAGCAGACCCGTCGTAATACGGCGCGACAGAGCCTAACCCCTTCCGATTCTGGAAGGTCTGTACAGATGTTCTCTTGCGGACCGTCCAAGCAGACTTCGGTACGTTGCCACCCAAGTTTTTTGCCATGGGCGGTGGCGAAAGCTCAAAGACGATAGCTTTTGAGGCCAGCACTACGACGAGGACAACGCAGAATCGCGGAGACTTGGTCTTCTCGGAGGACGCGCGACCCTTACCTTTGCGAGCGCTCTCGTCCTGCGCGGGATTTATCGCATGAACCGAGGTGGCGTAGATACCGCGGACCCCTTCGCTGAACTCGAGCTCAATGACTTCCCGGCCATGCAAGATCTTTGGCTTTGCCTTTGCCGTCGCGTTTGTGGCGGTGGTTGCAAGGCTTGAAACCGAATCAACTAATCCGGCGTTGGTTTGACGCGTTGACTGACCCGAGAACAGGCCGGTTGGACTGGATGTTGGGTTGTCCAAGCGGTAAGACGTCGAGCTCTTCATTTGGTCGCTCTGACTCTGTTTCGGCGCGAGCGATGAAGTGGAACGCTTTCTTGAGGATAAGCTTTCTCCATGCGGGCGCGCTTCCTGCTCTTCCGCGAACGGATCGTCGAGATTGGCTGAGCTCGACATGATCGAATGGGCGAGAAATGAAGAGTCTAGATCCGCCGCTGCAGGATCAAACGGATGGTGATCGCTCGAGTCGTAACCCTCCGAGAGATGGGAAGCTTGCAAGCGACCGATCCCCAAGGAGCTCGCACCAACACTATGGTCCATCGTATCGATCCCTCTCACTGAAAGAGAAGCTGCACTTCTCGGGATGGCTTGCTGGTTCTCTCCAGTGACGAGAGAGGACGTGGAGAAGCGGACACCATCCTCGGGGGTCGAAGACCGGCTTGAACCGTGCAGCGCATTGTCGATATTCTCGAACCCTTCTGGACTGGCTCTACCATACGCATCGAATTGCGATCCTGCCGAAAAGATGGTCGAGGCACGCCTCGAGGGAGCACTGTCGAATTCATCATCGTCCGAGTCAGCGCCCCTTGATGATTCCGCGGCTGCCTTCGCTGTATACTCCGCCGCTTCGTCCCACAGAATGACCTTGTTTGGCGCGAAACGAGGCACCCGGCCTCCACCGACTAGAAAGAGGAGGGAGGTATGCTGGACGGGAACGGCGTGCGAGAGGCCGCCTTGCGATGGAGACCAAGTTCGGTTAGCGACTAACTTCAGCGGATCTGTCTGAGAGACCATGAAGCCATTCAGGCCGGCACAGCTGAAGACGGCGGGTTGAGAAAGCCGATTTGTGTCGGCGCTTGTATGGGCGATAGCGGCAGCGGGATCCGGCGAGCAGAAGCTGACATGCTGAAAGAGCGGGACTGCAGCATGCGACTCGATCGTGTGCCTTGGAAGATGCATGGTGGCGAACGCTGCCGGAGGGGCAGCCCTGGTGAGCTATACTTTGGTTTACGGAGAGCTAGTCATTGCGGACTTGGTTGCTTGTCCTCATCCAGTCGTGGAGAGGTTTCCGCTGGCGATCGAGAGTTGAGTAGTCCTCTTCTCGGTAGACCTGCAACCTGGCACCTGGCCGTCTCAGTTCTGATCGTTGACCTGCGATGATTGATGCGACGGACGTTGCTTGAAGCTATCGCGGTCGCTTGAAGCTATCGCGGTCGAAAGGTCGAGTGTGTGGGGAGAGTGAGTGGAGACAAATGACCGAGATTTCAGGGTCCTACTTTGCCTTTGAGCGTGGCTTGGTGGTGAGGCTGAGTTGAGCCGCGAGAAAGCGAGGCCCTTGCACGTCGCAGCGTGTGTGTGACACTCTGGCTCAAGCGAAATTTGATTTGAACTTGTTACATCGCAATCGCGACAGGGACAACTCTTTCGAAAAATTAGTGGCCGACTTCCGTTGCGCTTCGAGGTTCAAGGTTTCATCCATCTTCTTGCTCCTCGACCTGTTGCATTGCACTCTCCTTCTCAAAAGGTCCTCTCCCACGCTATCACTTCATCAAGACCCGCAAAGCCGTCTCGCTGGTTGCTCATCTGTGATCGAGTCCTTCCTGCCAGTCAACCTCCCTCGGGCGTGGAGTCATACAACATCCAGCGAGCAAGCCGAAAGTCGCCCTCGACGCCCATTTGCCTCGTCTTCTCGTCAGATCCCCCGTTCTGCGGGCCAGGTGTGAGCTGTGGCCGCCATGGGCAAGCACTACTGCGACTACTGCGATGTCTTTCTAACGCATGACTCAGTCTCGGTGCGAAAGGCTCACAACAGCGGACGCAATCATCTCCAGAATGTTCGCGAATACTACCAGACGCTCGAACCGGAGCAGATTCAGCAAGTGCTCGACACGCTGGCACACGAATACGACCGACGTGGTATCGAGAAGCCAAGAGATCTTCTTCAACCTGCTGGCTCGTCCTTCATGACCTTTGGAGCTGGACCGTTGAGCGGCGCTTCAGATCGAGGTAAGTAGCAATCCAGTTCTAGCACCTGCTGTCGTGCTCATCATCAGCCGCATTCTGACACCTTACACTTCAATTCTCCATTCGCAGCATTCCGACCACAAGGTCCGCCAAGAACATCGATGGGTGGAGGCGGCGGCAGTGGAGGTCCAGGCGCAGGCCCTGATCGAGGCGGTGGCTATCGCGGTGGATCCAACAGCTACGGTCGATATGATGGCTCGACCAGGGATCAAGGACCGCCTCCGAATTACAACCGTCCACCGCCTCAAGGCGGACCTTACTCTCGACCGCCTCCCAACATGATGGGTAGCGGGCCACCTGCAGGCAGCAACGGCTCATATCCCCCGAGAGGTCCACCACCTGGCTACGGAGGACCACCGCCATCAAGCTATCCATCCGGGCCACCACCCAACATGCGCGGGCCGCCGCCATCTCTTGCTCCCAACGGCTCGTATCCTGCGCAGTCTCGATCGGGCTATGGACCGCGTTGACGTTAGTCCGACGTCAGCAGCGATCCTGCACTGGTCCTCGATCGTCACGCATCTGTATTTTAGCACAGTCAAAGTCTCCTGGACAATCAAAGACAACACAGAAAGCCTCGGTTGCAGCAGTGACAAACGCGTGCGATACAGCGAGGGAAGAGAGAATCCTGCCAAATCGCAGACGTCGCCAGTTAAGTAGCAGGACGGAGGGCGCGCAAACGCTCTGCCAAAGCATCGTCTTCTTTCTCCTTGACCTTACCGTCGGCGACCTTGGGTGCCAAGTCGGCCACCTTGCCCTCCAGCAGACCGCCTTCGCCAAGCTTGTGGTTGATCTCGATGCCGTTTTGGTCTGCGACTTGCTGCATGAGCAGGTCGACCTGGTCTTGCGGCATGCTCTGCGCTGTGGTTGCGCCGATGGTGCCCTCCATGTAGGAGGTCTGCACATCCATATCCTCGAACTGGGTCTCGAACTTGTCCATGACCATAGATATGCGCTCCAGATTCATGCTCTCCATCGCCTTGTCCATTCCTTTTACCACGGATGCCATGCTACCCGACACTTGACGCATGGTGACCGCCGTCTCGACTCGGCTTGCGACCGCATCGATGCGACTCCCTAGCCGCAAAAGATTGAGCGATTCGTTCTTCTTGCGGATGGCATTCGAAGCATAGATACGTGCGCCTTCGGTGTTGCCCTGAGCGAGCGCCTTCTTGAGCTTTGCCTTCTCGGCTGTCTCATCTTTGCTGGCCTTTCGTGCTTGTCGCTGAAGCGACTTTGCCGTGAATTTGAGCTGGAAGAGCGACTTTTCGAGACCTGACATGATGTAGGTGATCGAATGCTGCTATGCGTAGGGCGTAGACCAGAACGAAGCTAGGATGATGTGCGCAGCGAAGAGCCTGGTTCGCAAGTGTACGAGTGGGAGAGTGCTTGGACGTGATCAGATGCGGGGATGGCTTCTCGAGTGAACCGTCTTCGATGCGCTATCGCGAAGGCCGTGAGATATTCTGAGAAGCTGAAAGAGATGTGGCAGTGTTAAAGATGCGATGAAGATGCAGTGATGATGGATGGTGAGGGTTGCGATTGCTGCGCTGATTGCGGATGGTGATTTGGATGAGCGTTGAGCCATCACCCACGCACGGCCAATTTGTGTGGGATTTCTCCACACAGCGCGATGCCTGAGCCCAAAGCACAGCTCCAAAGGGTCGAATGCCCATGTCCACGGATTTGACTGACAGTGCGATTCCAAAAAAGTGGCTCAAGCTCAACACAGATACGTTGGACATGCCCATCCTCGGATCTTCGCCTCCGGTCCCGTAGACACCTTGAACGAATGTGGGAATGATAAAGATAGCTTGTGATCGTAAATACTGATGCTGTAGAGACAAGGCGTCTCATGCTGGCAGCTCCCTTACGCCAACTTGATAGCCGCAGAAGCCGCACTTGCGACCCAACTCGTCCTCGGCCCATGTCTGGATGATAGGCTTGAGCTGCGTTCCGAGATCTGTGCATTGAAATTTGACTTCCTTGACCAGTGTGGGCTTGTCGCCGTGAGCTTCCTGGTTGGGGCAGTACCATCGCATCGCATCTGGGCTGCCTTCTGGCCGTGTGCGCTCCACCACGATGCCGACCGTGTTGGCGAATCGCACTGGTGAGTGTGGTGTGTTGGCTGATTGTGAGGAGAAGCATTCTTTCGTCAGTGATGCTGCCCTCAAGCACTTGCTCGAAGCGCATCTCGTGCACTTACCTGGAAGCATGAACATCTCGCCCTCCTTGATCGGAATGTCCTGGAACTTGCCTTCCTCGTTGATCACCTTGAGGAGCATATCGCCTTTGTACTGATAGAAGAATTCCTCCGTTGGCTGGTAATGGTAGTCGGACCTGGCGTTGGGACCGCCCACGGCCATCACCGTGTAGTCCTGGGAGCGGAAGAGGCAGAAGTTGCCGACCGGCGGCTGCAGCAGGTGCTCATTTTCGGACAGCCACTTTGGAAAGTTGAGGGGCAATGGAAACGGCATCTTGAGACTTGTTGACCTGCGAAGCTGCCTCGACGATGAGGTGGTTGGTGGTTCTGTGAACAGACGCGCACCGTGTCACGCAGAGGTCTGATATGCCAGATGACATGCCCACCATGCGCTTCGAGGTTGGTAAGCCGAGAAGCGTCTTGATTGCCGCTTTCCCGATTTGCTCGATCTTTTTCTTTATCCATGTTAGGTCAGTCGCTTTCTCGGATCTGGCAAAAGCTTAAATTTGCCGAAGCTGCTTGGCCTCCTCCACTGTACCCCGCCGTCATCACTCACCACCAACCGCGTCCCTCTCGCCAGCTCGCTTGTGGGACTTCACCTCTCAAACCGCTACATTCAGCACCATGAGGCGGCTTTAGGTGCGCGTCTCAGCTTATTGGACCGTCTCCTGCTAAACCTGCGCCATTCATCTACTTTTCGTCGACAATCTTAAGCATCCATAGACCCTTGCCACAAGCTCGAGGACGCGCGCCCTCTCCGACTCAGCCATGGGCCGCCTCGCACAAGGCCACTTTGACGACGTCTTTCTCAACAAGGTCAAGCAGGCCTGCATTCACGTCCTGGATCAGCTCAACGACGCCAACGAGATCGAACAGGCTTTCGATCTGTGCCCTTCCATCTCTCGCCGCAATCGTGTCATTCTCTCCTTTCTTCGCGATGCGGACCACGTCGGCTCCAGTGGTGATGCGGCGGCGGCATCTTCGTCCATGTCGTCGTCTCTTACGACTCGACTGCTTCCGGGCTCGGTTCGCAGCTCTCGAGAGCCCTCGCTTGGTACGGATAGTGTAGCAAGCCTTTCCGCTCAGCGACGCAGGCGCGCACAGGAGATGCAACACGTTCGCGATCCCAACGACTCAAACGACGACTCTGACTCGCAAGCTACCGTAGGTCCGTCCTCTTCGCGTCGCGCTCACCTTGATCCGGCGTCGGCTCGTAACCTGTCCCTGTCACAGCCGGACTACACGTTTGAGCAGTTTGTCGAGCACCTCGATCCCACCGACAAGCTCCTTAAACGCAGCCTCGAGATCATCATTAAAGAGACAGCTCGCCAGGCTCTTGCAAGGAAACGCGATCCAAACTATGATCCCACAGCTGCATCCGCCACAACTTCACACGACCCTGCTGCCACCTTGCGGTCCGCCATTGCTTCCTCTCAGGCTGACCGGGCTGCCGGTTCCAGTCGTCTTCGCGACGAAACCGCATTTGCTAATCGCATGTCACGCGTGCTCAACCTTGATCCCACGTCGACCTCTCGCCACCCCAATTCGAGCACCGCCGATCTGGACCATGCCTATCAGCTGCTTCGCTCTCTTCGACCAGCTACTCACTCTTTGACCGATCACGGCAACGCCCCTAGCGGTTCGACCGCCCAAGACCACACCACCGAGGGACGCACCTTGCGCGACTTCCTGGCGAGCACAACCGATCGCTCCTCGGGCCTTACACAGGACCCTGATATCCGCTCGTCTCGCTTTCCTCGGCCTCCCGGCATGGGTCCTAATCCTCCAGCCCGTCAACTCCGTCCCGTTCCAAGCCAGGCGGTCGAGTCATCTGCTATCTCACCTGACAGACTAGTCCCACGCTTGTCGCAACACGTACTCAACACGAGATCGCTCACGAGCGTCGGCATCACGCCTCAGACCATCTCGGCGAGACTGGCAGAGGCAACCCGTCGCAATGCTGCAGCAGCACGAACCATCCATGAAGCCGAGCGTCTCAGATCGAGCCAATTCATTCGCACTTCAATCGAGTCGCTGCGCGCTTCTCTATTCCAGTTGCACATGGATCTGGCCTGCACGCAGCTGCAGCATTCACAGCGTGAAGAAACGCAGTCTCGATGGGCGGCGTCAGCAACAGCCGGCCCAGACATCGGAGCCTCGTACGCACTCGTCATGGACACAATCGAGCTTTTCGATGATACCCTGCGCAGACTATCCTGTCTCGTGTCCAACACTACCCGTGACGTCGCTTCGGACCCGACGACAAGCCATCAAGAGACGAGCGCGCCTCGTAATGCCGACGCTTCGCAGATGCGAACATCGCTTTGGAGGGCACGCAACCTCCTGCTCCTCTCGTCCATGAGGCGTGGCACTGGACAACAGGATACCGCACAAACCAGCACTCCCTCTTCGGCCGCTGTTCGTCACGATGCCGAGCTTCGAGCTCACCGCCACCTTCTCGCCACCATCGAGGAGTCGCACTGGTCCAAGCCCGACGCAGAGCCTCCTTCCTCGGATTCCATTCGTGCCTGGCGACGCAAGCTAGCGGCGTGGTACTATCTCGATCGCGATCCAGCGCGATACCCAGACGCACCTTCTGCGCATGGCGATCGCGAAGAGACGTACGCTCGATGGAATCCGGATCTCGAACTTCCGTATGCGCTCGACGACGAGATCATGGCTCCCATGATATCCGCACGTCCGGATCCGATCGCTGACCCACGTGCAGCCTGGGCGTACGCACGCACGCACGATGCTTCCGTTGGCGATAACCTCAATCAGGACGAGCAAGTACGTGAGGCACTCGCAACGAGCTCAGTGGCTTCAGCTCTGCAGCAGCTGCTCCGTGCGCAGATTGCGAGTCGGGAGGCTGCCGATGCAGCCAGCGACGCACCTGAGCAGGACTCGACACAGGTCCCACCCGGCGCGGCAGACTCAGCCGACAACGCACATGATCAACCTGCCAGTGAAGCCATCGGCGACGCCGATCCGGACGTCTCTCTCACGCGCACAACTTCGCTGAGCCGACGCAACGCCGTGCGAAGTCTCCCGCTCACCAACTCGGACGCATCGAGCATTCGATCGGCGCGATCGTCTCTATCACTGCGACGTGCTCGCAACTCTTTCGGCCAGGCAAGCACTCCGCTGCCAGCACACGCTGCCGCACAGGACGAGGCTGACGCCATCGAGGAAGACATTGTAGAGACGTCTATGGAGATCGGCACCGTGCCGCACTCTCCCGAGCCCGTCACGACTGGTCCATTTGCTCGACCACCAGAAGACGTTGCCTCTGAATCGTCCCTGCTACCTCCACCCGACCGCCCGCGGGCGGCTCGAAGCGGCTCGTTCACGTTCATCACCACGCCTGCTGCCGTTCTCCGTTCGACGCGACGCAGCGAGAGTCGCAGCCGCGCCGACCCGCGCAGTCAGTCCCCCGCAGCTCCGCTCAGTGATGACGCCGACGCGGAAGCCGAAGAGTACATCGACCTCGACCTGGACCTCGGCATGGCGGGGGAGGACGGGTTCGATTTCGATCTGGTCGATTTCCTGCGCTCGGAGTCGAGGCGTCATGCGCGTCGGTCGAGCAATGCCGATGATGATGGAGAGTCGGTGGATGCTTCGCCGCCTTCCGTGCGACGACGACGCGGGGCGGACGAGGGAGACGATCCTCCAGCGGGCGACATCCGCGTGTTCGTCTCTGGATCGGGCGCATCGACACCGGCAGAGGCAAGGCAGGCGACGTTCGAGGCGTACGCGCAACGAGCTAGGGTGTTGGAGCGGCGACGCAGGCTAGAACGTCAAAGACAGGATATGGAGGAGGACGGCGTGGAGGCCGCCGTCGGCGGTGGGAATGCTTCGCAGGAGGCTTCTTCGGAGGGCCGGCGGCGCAGGAGGGGACGAAATGTGGGTGGAAGCACCGAGACGGAGGAGGAGTCGGATCGACGCAACTCGCTTCCCTTTCCTAGGACCTCGGAACGCTGATCGGAAATCTCATTGTATCGTATCACTCAACGAGCCAAGACATCCTCATCCCTGTGCTCTCGTCGTCACCATCAGCATCAAAATGTGGCGAGACCTCTCTCAATAGGCACACACCGGATTTTCACGGCCTGATTTTACACGCGGCATTTTATATCGACAAAAATATGGATTGCGATTCACATCTTAGTAGAACTGGACATACTGCTTGGAATCCTCCTGCTGGAACTCTACGGCATTGAAGTCCTTCTCGTTCCTGTGGAGGTCGACCTTGAAGTACTGGGGGATCTCGCCCTTGTAGACGTAGCCGGTGGTGTTCCTGACGGGGAAGTAGGTGAGTGCTGCGCCGCCTACGCCCTCTTGGAGTCTGAACCACTGGGTCGAGTCGGTCTCGTTACACGTGCCGAAGATGAACCTGTTGGTCTGGGCGGTGGAGTTGGCGGTGAGGGTAGAGGCGGCGAGACACTGCTGCGAGGTCTGGTTCGTCGCGGTCCCGTTAGAGTCGAGGGTGGTGACATTGGTGACGACGCGACCGAAGAACTCGAGTGGGGCGCCCATGCTTCCGCCGCTGTTGCGCGAGTAGCCCTGAGTGAAGCCCGTGTTGTTGCACGTCTGGAAGTCGAATTCGTGTGCGCCCTGCTCGCCGTTGGTGGACGGAAGAGCGGTGAGGATGGGCTCGCCCTCGTCGTCATCCGAGACAGAGAGGTAGGTCGTAGTCGAGTCGTTGTAGGAGCGGACCTGGAGCATCTGTGGCTCGCGCAGGGCGAATTGGCCGCACGTAGAGGCGGTCGCAGCGATGCGGAAGGGCGACGAGGAGACCGGACGCTCCACCATGCGCGAGACGAAGAAGGGCTCGGCAGGAGTGGGGTATGCGAGCACCGAGGAGGCGACGCTCACAAGCGCGCTGAGAGTGAGGACGAACTTCATGATTGTCGTGTGTGAGCTGCTGAGGAGTAGATGGAGCAGTGAAGGAGATTGATATGGGGTTTGGGGGGTGGAACTTTTGATGGACCAGACTATCGTCTTCTTATATGTACCAAGGGACTGAGGGTCCGGGCTTCTCGAAGCGACGCCAGCGCTCCGAACAGCAGCGCAGAAACACTCCGTCCATTCGGGGCAGCTGACATGTCCCCACCGACCTGCACAGCCGAGCTCGAGGGTGACAGCTTTGCGGCGACTCTGCGGAATGCGCATGCTGCGCAGCCGGTACACCGCAGATCCCCAAGTTGCCGTCCAAGCCGCCGCTGCGCCACTATTTCGAAACGTCGGTTAGCGCCAAAGTTACCGAGAAGGGGGGCGACAGCGCAGCGCGCGGCAAAATTTCATGCGCCAAGCAACATCAGCAGGGTTGGGTTTAGCGCAGCTGCACACCCCCTTCGCTTAGAGCATGATCTCCGACCCGCGCTGCGCAGGCGAGACTTCACTCCTCCCGTCGGTGTGAAGGTCTCATCGCAAATTCTGTCATTGTCACGTCGAGCTCGTCTTTGCTTTTCGCTGGAGAGTCGTGGGCGATGTGGAAGAGTCTTGTTGCCCTACTGCAGCGCTCAGTCCCAGGCGGAGAAGAGTGGCGTATAGCGTGTGGGAAATTAGAGTTGGAAGACTGTCGGTTGTCACGCTGGCAAGCTGCTGCACGCCTCACAAGCGTCGAAGCCGCATCCGAGACGGTGCCGATGTCACCGCGCATGCGCACCCGCGCCAGTGGCAGGACTTCCGCGGCACCCCCGACTCGGCCGTACGCCACCTGCATGCAATTCGACCATGCCTCACGGATTAGCATCCACACAGTCTCGTTGCAATTCGGAGCTCTATGTTGCAATGCCGCCTTTCGACGGGTGAGATTGTGATACAGGCAAGCTGAAAGCTAGTCTTGACCATTGACGCCGATAAGCACCTCCCACAGCTCGTCCTCTGCAAACAGAAGCTGTCGGTACTGGCCCGTGCTGGTCTTGCCAGCCCAGCAGAAGTTGGCGACTCCCTTTCCATCGGGGAGCACAAACTTGCCGATGAGCTTGCCGCTGCCATCCGATTGAGGCTTGTAGACGTGGACACCGTTGCCGTGGCCCGCCCAGACGTTTCCCTCGGTATCGACGTGGATACCGTCGGGCACACCAGCCGTGGACTGCGCAAACTCTTTTCGGGACGCAACGTCGACAGCCGGCAGACCATCCTTGGACTCGAGATCGGGAAGCACCTTGTACGAGTAGATGCAAGACGGGCCGTTGTCGTCGACGTAAAAGTCGCCCATGTCGTCGTTGCGGTGGAATCGGAAGCGACCGGTGTCGGTGGTGATCAGCAGTCCCGAACCATCCTTCTCGGAGGAAGGGACAAAAGTGACGCCGTTGGGCTTGACGTAGTTGTCCGCATCCAGCAGCTTGACTTCGTCGTTCTTGGGATTCCACACGTAGACTCCGTTGGGAGCGTACTCGGTCTTGTCCGACTTGAACGACTGCTCAACACCGTAGTCGGGATCGGTGAAGAAGACACACCCGTTGGTGGGGTGCTTGACGGCGTCGTTGAGACTCGAGAATGGTTTGCCTTCGAAGGATGTCAGTGCAGACTTGGTCTTGTGGCCGTCGACGTTGTGGATGATCAAAGTGGAAGCCACCTTGCGCGAATCGAGACCCTGCTCACACCATAGCAAGCTGTCGTCATCCCAGATGGTGGCGCCGTTGGGCATGGCGAGGTGCTCTGGCAAGTCCTCGACGACCTCGAGTTCCGACCACAGCTTCTTCTGCTGAACTGCCGGGAGTTCGAAGAGAATGCCATCTTGGGTCTTTTCATCGACGTTGGCGGGAGGAATCTGGCTCAATGGCACTCCCACGATGATGGCACGTTGCCCGTGCTTGGAGTCAGTGAGTCGGTTGGATGACAAGTAGACCTTGTCATGCTTGGGCAGGTAGATGCCAGCTTCGTGGAAGGTTTGCTGTCCGCTAGCGTCGACAAGCAGCTTTCGCATGCCTGCCGAGCTGCCGATGAGACGGTCAAACTCAGCATCGAGGCTGACGATGCCCACCTCGTTCTTGTTCTGTGTGGCTGACATGATGAGCACCGGATCGATCGTTTCGGGAAGTAAAGCTGGACGGAGATGGTGTTGGTGTTGCAGTGGTGCTGAGCGTGATGAATGAGAAGAATGGCACCGATCTGAATCGGGGAGTTGGACTGGAAGGAAAGTGTGGAGCAGCGAACGGGAGCAAGCGGGCCGGATTAGAGAAGGAAAGCTCGTGTGGAGGAAGGGAAGCACGGACCGTACATCTGGGCCCGACGGATAGAAGCGAAAGGCGTGATTCGACGCGGTGCGCTAAGCCACACTGTTTGCGTAGCGTCGGGCCTGAGATTGCTTCTGGGAGCTGATGATTTGTGGTGCTTGGCTGGCTTTGCTAGTCACGTAAAAGGCGCCGGGGCGAGACCTGCATGCAAACAAATGGCCGACGGTAAGGCCTCGTGGCCAACTGAGCTGGAGCGGATGAGCCTGGAAGGTGCGGAAGGAGCGGATGAGCCTGGAAGGTACGGAAGGAGCGGATCGAGGTGCGGACGAGAAGGGCTGCGGAGAGAGGGCGGACCGCAATCTCACTGCATGAAAACAGGAAAGACGATTCAGGGGGCGTGCAGGTGGCACAAGAGGAGAGCAGCTCGAAAAGCGGGGACCGGACAGACCGGACCGTTCTGGGTGCCAAATTTGTGGGGCCGCCCAGCAGATTGGATGCAGGTGATCAACAGTCGCTCCATTTATTCTCCGACTGCCGTTACCTCGTGAGAGTGCCATCGCGTGGCCAAGATGGCAAGGTGCGACATGGCATACGTCGTTCTGCCGGCCCTCTTACGGACCGCGACGACATGTGTGCCGCGTGCACACGCTGCTTCAGCGCGAGGCTTTAGCGGCTTTTCGAAGAGGGCTCGGGTTGTGCATGATCATTCGTTCATGATACTCGTTTACAACTGATCCTGGCTTGCCATATTGCATTGCTCCGGTCCGCAAGGCGTTCAAAGTGACCTCGACCCTCTCGCGACCCCTTCATTCGCGACAAAGACCGGGACCCGGGTGTCGAGACTAGACCGACCGCAGCTTGCAACGCCAAGAGAGGAGACGGGTAAGGTTCAATGATGTCCCAAAGGCATGGAGACCGGACTGAGCCGTTTGTCTATCAGACGTGTGACAGCAGAGCAGGCTACCACGCTGACTTACGATCTCGAACAACATGCTGATGAGCAAGGAGACGGCAAACGACAATGAAGGGGTTCCCCACCGGTCCGCCTTGCCATACTGGATTTGTGCCGCGTCTCAATTCAATTCCCCGCGTCTGCAATGACTTGGCCGGTAGGAAAAAATAAAATATTATTTTGTCCGGTTGAATGGCTTCGATGCATGGATCTTGGCTGCCAAATCTCAGTCCCAGACTGGGGCACCGCGCTGTGATTAGTTGGCTCGTACAACTCCACCGCCTCGGCTCGACTGCCTCTCTGCCTTTGAGTACCGCTGTCAAACGCAAAAAAAAGGGCAAATCTGGCTCGCATGGCTTGAGTCAACCACACCTTGATTGCTCGTCCTTTGATGCAACACAAATGCATTTTTTTTTTTTCATTTTTCATAAACCGTGCCGGCCATCCATCAACCTACGGCAGCCAATTGGTTCCAGACTCTCGACCCTTGATGGACCTGCCTCATCGCCCCTCGTCTGTTTCATACGACTTGACGCCTCGCTCCGCACTCTGTTAACTTCACCAGTCAGGAATGACTCTGTATCCGGCCCGATGTACCGTACTCGTCGTCTGACTGCTGCGACTGACTCGTGTACCACCAGCTCCAATTCGCCCCGCGTCATGAAACGCCCTCATGCCCGTGCCTGAGTCCGGGGCCCAATTCCTCTGTGGGGTTCCGCCGCTGTTTGCTAATTCACGCAGCGGTCCGCTATCTTTTCATGTTGCTCGCTTCTCGCTTCATGCAGCCGCTCTCCGCATGAAGGGGCCTGTGCTGCCACGTTAAGCCGTCCAAAAGCGCCTTTTGTCCTTTGGCTATAAGATCCCTCGTCCCCGACGACATCCTTCCCCATCTTTCCCCACACCTCATCCCCACATCCCTCCCTCCTGACCACCTTCCTCGCTCGACAAGATGGTTTCCGCTCACCCCTACACACCGCGTCGCATCAGCAATGACTTTTTCGGTATCGACGTCGGCCTTCGAGGCAACGCTCTCCTTGCTGTCATCACTGCCTCGTGCGCCAGTGGTTTCTTGCTCGTTGGTTATGGTAAGTAGCACTTCTTCTCGTCACGCAGCTAACAAGGCGCGTCGGTGGCATTTTCACCTTCGCAAACCACTGGATGCCCAATTAGCATTTTCTGCTACCTAGATTACAGCTTGACTGACATGTCTTTGCACTTCTTCCCATCACAGACAACGGTGTTATGGGTGGTCTCGTGAACGGCGAAGAGTTCAAGAGGACCTTCAACACCAACGACGCCAACACGCTCGGTAACATTGTCTCGCTTTACGAAATCGGCTGCTTCTTTGGTGCCCTTGCCACCTTCGTCGTCGGTGATTATCTCGGCCGTCGCCGCACCATCCTCATCTCCAGCATCTTCATGGTCGCCGGTGCTATCATCCAGGCCGCTTGCAACGACGTTGGCGTCATGATCGCCGGCCGTATCATTTCGGGCCTCGGTATGGGCGCAATCAACTCGACTGTCCCCGTTCTTCAGGCCGAAACGGCGCCAGCAACCTCCCGTGGAAAATTGGCCGCCGTTTCGTTGACGATCCTAAACGTAGGCATCGTTTTAAGCTATTGGATCGACTACGCTTTCGCAGTCACCTTGACCGGCAATGTCATCTGGAGGGTTCCTATTGCTCTTCAGTGCGTTTTCATCGGCGGCCTCGTCCTCGCCACCCTCATCATCCCCGAGACTCCCCGTTGGCTCGCCAAGAAGGGCCGTCACGAGGAGGCAATTGCCGTCCTTGAGCGTCTTCACAACGCCTCGATCGACTCGCCCGAAGTCCAGCAGTCCTACGCCGGTATCCAGCAGGCCCTCGAGCACGAGCGCGCCGCCTCCAACACCGGCTGGTCCTTCCTTGTAAAGGAGGATTCCATTCGCTCCCGCCGCCGATTGCTTCTCGCCTGCTTCATCCAGGCAGCCCAGCAGCTGTCCGGTATTAACGCGCTTATCTACTATTCCGGCACGCTGTTTGCCAAGTCGGTCCGCCTCTCCGATGCTCAGTCCGCTGTCATGGCCGGTGGTCTCAACATGTGCCTCATCCTCGGTTCGACCATCTCTTACTTCCTGATTGACCGCGTCGGCCGCAAGGCGCTGCTCATTCCATGCATTGCTGGTATGTCTGCCGTCATGTGTGTCCAGACCGGCCTTGTCAAGGTCATCCAGGAGGGTACCGGTGGTGCCATCTACGGTCGCGCTGCTGCCGCCATGCTCTTCGTCTTCGAGTTCTTCTTCTCGCTCGGTTTCCAGGCCACCGTCTGGCTTATCCCCTCCGAGGTTCTTCCCTTGCTCATCCGAACCAAGGGTTCCGCGCTCTCGACCGCCTCCAACTGGATCTTCAACTTTGCCATTGTCAAGTTCACGCCTTCGGCGCTCGACAACATCGGCTGGAAGACCTACATCATCTTTGCTGTCCTCAACGCTGCTTGGGTTCCCATCATCTACTTCTTCCTTCCCGAGACTGCCAACCGCACGCTCGAGGAGATGGACGAGATCTTTGCCAAGGACAACTGGCAGATCGACCAGTCGCACGCTGCCGCCGACACCAAGGCCGCCGCTCACCGCAACACCGACATGGAGTACGCCGACGACACCGGCTCCAACAAGGGCTCCTACAAGAACGAGCAGACCGTCACCTCGACCCTTGACCGTTAAAGACAACCCAAGATACCCACTTTTAGAATGTCTTATCCCTTCGTCATCGCTCTCCCTCTTGCTCATGGTCTTCACTAGTTAAGCTTCCGCGCACTTTCTCTCGCTCTGTATTCGTACACATGGTTTTCATCGTTTGACCCCCAATGTCACTGCAATCTTCTCGCCTTCTCTTCGCTTGTGGGCTGCTCTTCCTCGGGTGCTGTTTTGATCGTTGCTCTCTTCCCTTGTCTTTCGCGCCTGAAGCTGCTGGAGGCTATTGCGTTCATCTGTCGCTTGAGTCGGAATGAGTTTCGGATTTGGTGCGAGAGGGTCTTGACTTCGGTGAGGCTTCCAGTCTCAGATGAGGGCTCCGTGGGACGAGCTCTTAGCCCAACCGTTCTCTTCGTAGATGGCGAGAGTGATCTCGTCGAGCGACTTTGCGTCGAGCACTGTCTGCGTTGACGACTTGTCTTCCACCTCACCCGTGGGAGCGCGGCGAATAAGGATGTCGGAGTCGATGGATATGTCGTCGTCAACGTCCACGTCACCGTCGTCGTCGTCGTCGTCGTCGGTGTCTGACATCTCGTCTGCCATCGCAACATCAAAGTCATCCTCCTCATCGTCCGCAGCAAGCATGTCCGGCTCACTTTCGTCGCGCATGTCCTGCTTCAACTGAAACACATAAAGCACCCTCCCCCGAACCCTTCCCACATTTCCATCGCGCGATTCGGCCGCCGCCTCCGCGAGCCTGCGGAACTCTTCGGCGCGTACCAGCGTCACCTGACCATCCACGGTTCCCGCCTTCAACAGCACCTCGAGCACCTCCAGTCGGGTCTCAGCCACATGGAAGGCAGTTGCGAGCTGCATACGATCCCTGTAGATGTAGTGCCACGAAAACCATGCGGCCAGCAACCCCGTGTCGTTCGCGTCGTGCACGCTTGTGATCTTGATCACTAGGTGGTAGGGCATCCTGGTGGCGATCGTCGTTGATGATGGTCGTTGATGGCTCGTCTCGGGTAGCTGTAAGTAGGCGTTCTTCGAGGAAGCAGGCTCCGAGGCGAGCCGACAAGATGGTGTGAAGAACGGAAGATTATTTTGATTTGAAGAGCTCGCAAAAGGCGACGTCTGCTCCCGCACAACGCGTGGTGACAATGCTTTGTTCCGCAGTGTGGAATCCCTTTGTGCGCATTATGACTCCGCAATGGCTGCACAGCCTGGACAAAGCAAGCAAAGAAGGAGTCGCCTCCGAGTCTGAATGTTGTTGTCGACAGCAGGTCCCATCCCTGCCAGAGGTGGAATGCGGCAGCAGCATTCCGACGTGGGAGCCGGCGATCCTTTCGCCATACTGTATCTGTTCTTGCCTAGAGAGCACAACAGCAGCCTCCATGCCACGCGAGCGAGGGAAACAAGCTCGACACAAATGTACAGCGCTCACATTGCACCAAGCACACGGGTTGATCAGCAAAGTAAACCTAAGGGTAGTATCAGATTGATGAGCAGCGCAGCTAAATAGATGCTTGTCAAAATAGCGAGAAGCCAAAGTCGAGCGGCTGCGCTGGAGCGGAGAAGGCAGCAGCTCCAGGGTTGAGCAGCGATGACAGCCACTCGTCGGCGTTGGACAGGAATAGGTCGAGCGAGTCAGCCGACGGTGTGACTGCGTTGCCATTGCCTGCATTGAGCATCCCGACTGTGTCCATACCTGCCCCGCCCTCCTGGTTGAGGCCAAACTCCGCACCTTCACCCACGTACGTGCCTGCTTGCGCTTGACCCCCGGCGCCTGCCCCACCGCGAGCAGACGCAGACGACGGCGCCGAACTCGTCCCCGACCTGCTGCTCGTCGACAGCCTATCTTCACCCGAATGGGGGATCCTCGTCGCGTCATCCACCCGCACACCCGCCCTCGCCATATTCAACAACAAATTCGCAGCGCTCTGCAGCTCGGTGAGCGTCATCGCCAGGCGATCCGCACAGCTTCCCGGGTACCTGACACCCAATACCTGGAATCCCACGCTCTGCGGGTTTAGCGTAGCCACCTTATCCTGAATCCTCTTGAGCAACGATCGCATGACGTACAGCTCCTTAACAGCAAGATGGTCGCCACGCGATTCCTGAATGTTTGATCGCACCGCAGCGACGTACTCCTGGATGTAGCCGAGCTTTTCTTGCACCTCCTCGGCTTGGAGACGCTCGTCGAGATCAAGTGCGAATAGCATATCGGACGCGATGATGGTGTTCATGCTCAGCAGCGAGTAGGCGGATCCATAGAGGTGGCACAGCATCGTCACGGGTATTCTGCGCGACAACAATCGGCGTCCGCGAAGATCGGACAGTGCGAGATCGACACAGATCTGACGCGACCGTTTGAAGTCTTCGGCGGAGATGAGGTCTGACGACTCCATCCAGAACGGCCGGTGGAGGAGCGAGCGGAAGAAGAGGATCTGGTTGGTGCACAGGTGGTGATAGAAGATTGTCGAAAAGTCTTGATGACGCATGGCACCACCAGAGAGCAGTTGCGCGGTGGAGAGGCATGGCGGAAGGGATTCGGTGAAGGCGACGATGTCAGCGTCGATCTCGAGCGCACGCTCGTAGATCCGCGCTGAAGGGGACGAGTTGGAGCTCGCAGCGATTTCTTGAAAGAGGCGCGAGATGCGCTCGATGTGGATGCGGAACGAGTCACGGACGACGAGGTACTGCGCACAAGTGAGCTCGAGACCGACGTTGAGGTAGTCTTCTAGTGTCGGGACAGGAGTGGTAGAGAAGGGGATCTCAGTCATGGGGCGGCCGAAGAGGACACTCCATTCGCGGTCTTGATGGACGATGTGCGACCAGAGAACGCGTCTTTGCAAGGTGTTTGAGCAGTTTTGTCCAAGGTGAGCTCCGTCGAGGTGCAGGCCTAGATCAATAGCGCCTCGCATGCAGGAGGCCACCTGCAGCCAAGTTGACCGAGGCACACGACAGAGATCGAGGTATCGACAGAGATTCAGCGACGCCGAGAGCGAGTCGAGCGTGTGTAGACCCAGGCTCTCTGACAAGGACAGAGCCTTGCGTGCGGCGAAGAAGTAGGTTCGAGACGATCGAGTCGGGTACGGTCGCACAGCTAGATCCAGGGTTGCAAGACCGAAGATGGACAGACAGAACGCCATCAGCGGCAGCATCTGTACGTCATCCGAGACCGAGGATCGATCGATGCAGACATCGATTGCCTTGACGAGCTCGGCGGCGCTAGTCGGGAAGCGCGACCAGTTGAAGTCGTCGAGGTAGATCTGCAAGAGACGCTGTGCTTGGGACTTGCTCGGCAGTGACTGCTGCACAGATCGAAGCTCGTACTTGGGGATGACGAGGCCAAATCCTCGGCCCAGCTGACCAGTCCAGGACAGCAGGTCAACATCGGTGCCTGCACTATCGTGGCGGCGGAACGGGTTCCAACCAAGACCGTTGAGCGCGGGTTTGCCGATGAAAGCGTCGTCTGCATCGACCATGCTGCGTTGATCCGAGTCGAGCCCTTGACTGCGTGAAGACGACGGGGCATTCTGCATGCCGCCGATGACCGATCGTTGCGGACTCGCGTTCGAGGATGTGCCCGTATTGAAGCTCGTCGAGGCCTTGACATTCGGATCATTTGACGGGTCTGCCTGCCGATGATTGTGCTGCAGTGCCGGCCACTGAGCGACGGTTGCAAGTTGAGCGAGCGCGTCGGCGCCGGTGTTGGCCGCGTCTGAGCTGCGTGTTTGCGTGTTACGCGTCGTGCTCGATCGTCGTAGCCGAGCTGGCTCCTGTATAGATGATGTATGGAGGTCTGACGGGCTGAAAGAGGGCGGAAGCATCTGTGTGGGAGATGAAAGAGAGGCACGCCCTGTCGTTGTGCTGCGCTGAAATGCGGGTGTACTTGCAAACGGAACAATCTCGGAGCTGACTTGATATGGCGCATAGCGCCGATGTTGGTACGGAACAGGATCTTGATGGCGTTGCGATGGCTCTTGCTGAGGCTGGTGTTGCATATAGTCGTAATGCCGGTTTCGAGCATCGTGATCGGAATAGGGCGCAGTGCCTGGCTGGCCGTAGGTTTTGGTATGCGGAGCCAGCATGCTAGTAGAAGCATCGGCCGAGCCTGGGCCATGGAAGGACTGATCCTGTTGCAGGAAGTTACCAGATCCAGCGCCGTCCTGCGGATGCGAAGAGCCGATGTTGTGCTCGTCATCGAGCTCGTACGTGTCCATGTCGTCCATATCGTCGAGGCTCTCGTGACGCGCTTTCTTCGAAACGGGCTGATCACCTTCTGCGGCAGCTGCTAGCTTCTGACGCATTCGAATACGCCTAGAAGGGCGATGCAAGTTGGACGGTGGAGAGCAGAGATGGGCGATGCCACGCTGCATGCATTTCTCGCAGGGATAGGTTCGACTGCATCGCTGTTTGCGGCGCTGGCATTGAAGACAGCTGTACTGGTACCGGTTGCGCTTTCCGTTGTCGCTGCTGTCGAAGCTGTTGTCGTGACCGATGCTGGCATGAACGGTGCTACTGCTCGCGCTGCTGGAGCTGCCGTTGCCGTTGGTCCCGCTATGTTGACTTGGGCCTGCTTGCGGGATGGTGACGCCCTCGAGATTGTTCAGAGGCATCGTGGATACTCTGCCGCCTCTTCCTCCGAGGATGAGCTGTGACGATGATGATGTGTTGATGACCGGAGCAGCAAGGTCTTGCGGACCAGGCAAGGGGTCGAGTCAGGATGATGATGGAGCGGGAGAAGAAAGCTTGGAGTTGCACGAATTGGTGCCTAAATCCGAAAAGATGGTCTTGATCCGAAAGGTGCCAGGGTCACGAGAGCGATTGAGCAAAGGGTCTGTCTGTCTGTGTTGTTGGACCCTGTCGATGATCTCGTGTCGATTTCCCCGCGAGTCCCGCCTCGGCCTACGAGTAGCTGATATGGAAGAATGCTGAACAAGCCACGGTTCACGATGGCTGTTTGGTGTGAGTGCTGGACGTGAAGATGGCCTGCATGATGAAGCTTTGCAAGACTTTGCCCTCAGAAGAGCGCTGCGGCAGTGTCAGTGGGACCTTGTTCGGGTCAGGCGCACGAGCAGCTCCAAGAGATGAAAGCTGTTGCGCTGCGATGCGAGCCAAGACAGCATCAGAGTTTCAGGGTGCAGTCGATATCCGGTTGCGAGTATGAGAGAGGAACGCAGTACGTTCGATTGCAACCGAGCGTCTCGTCGAGATGAAGCAGTCTCAGAACGAAGGACGAATCAGCGCTCAGGCTGTGGTCTGTATGCGGTCTCTTCCTCTCCTTGTTTGCTTCGACGTCATGCCATCAGCTACTGTGCAAAGGTGATGATGAGGACAGACAGCCGTCGCTTCGGTGAGGCTCTGCACTACGCTGATTGTCGCTTGTCTTCTCAAGAGCGCGTATTCAAAGACGCCGAGAATAGCCTAATGTGCATTGCTTCAGACGTGGGTCGGTTGCTGGCCCTCATTTCAGAAAGGTTGTTGCGACAGCGCATTCTCGACGTCGCCCTGCGATATGGTTTCATATTGCGAACCATTTCCGAGCCAGAGTGCGTCCATGGGAATGAAGGTCGCGGCCATCTCCGAGAAGTATCCCTTGAGGGTTGCAACGACAAGTGCAAAGTTCGAGAGCCGGTCAACTATGTGCTAGCTGATGAAGAGACGGGACCGAGATCGTCTATGAGCTCTCTGAATCAAAGCACAAGATGAGCTGATTTCTGGCTGGCTAGCAGCACTGCATTTCCTTCGAGTCCATATGTGAGAAGGTTGACTCAGGCTATCGACATGGTGGCCGATTTCTCGATCATATACTCCTTCAAACCAGCACCGATGCCGGCTTCCTTGCCGAAACCTGACTGATCGACGCCACCGAAAGGAATCTCGGCCGCCGTAGTGCTGCCCCCGACATTCAAGCCGACATTGCCCGCCTTGAGCTTCTCGAACACGCGCCAGAGCCGCGCCGAATCCTTGGTGAACACGTACGAGGTGAGTCCCATATCGGTATCGTTGGCGAGCTCGATGGCCTCTTGCTCGGTGTTGAAAGTGGCGACGTTGATGAGCGGGCCGAACGACTCTTCCTGGAAGACGAGCATGTCTTTGGTGCAGTTGGCGATCAAAGTTGGCGCCACAAAGTACCCCGAGCTCGGCAGGCTAGCGCGGGAAGTATGCACGCTGGCACCTTTAGCTTTAGCATCTTGGATATGCTCGCGAGCCTTTTGCTGACTGCGCTCTGTCTGCAACGGCCCCAATGTGCTGGAGCTTTCGGCACCGTGTCCGATGGTGACGCGATCCAGCTGCTCAGCGATGGTCTTGACTACACGATCGTAGACGGACTCGTGCACATATGCCCTCTGCGCTGAGATGCAAGTTTGCCCCGCGTGACGGAGTTTGTTGGCCACCAACGCTGTCGCAGCCGCTTCCACGTCGGCGTCCTCGAAGATCAGGTAAGCACCCAGACCGCCAAGCTCGAGCGTCATCTTCTTGAGGGTCGGAGCGCACTGCTGCATCAGCAGTCGGCCAACCCGAGTACTCCCGGTGAAGCTCAGCTTCTTGATGCGCGGATCGGTGCAAAGGGCCTGGCCGATGGCGGGGGTGTTGCGATACGATGCGAGAACGATGTTGACCGATCCAGCGGGGAAGCCGGCGCGATGCAGAAGGTTGGCGATGGCAATTGTCGAAAGTGGCGTCTCTGGCGACGGTTTGGCAACAATGGTGCAGCCCGCGGCGAGGGCACTGACTGCCTTGCGAATGAAGAGTGCAACCGGAAAGTTCCACGGCGTCAAGATAGCGATGGGTCCGATGGGCTGCAATACAGTCAAGAAGCGCAGTGAAGGATTGGTGGCGCTCTTGACCACCTGACCCTGCACTCGTTCGGTCTCTCCGACGTACCACCAGCTGAAAGTGAGAGCATACTGCACCTCTATCCTTGCCTCTTCCAGCGGCTTGCCCGTCTCGTAGACCAGGATCCACGCCAGATCCTCGAGGTTGTCGCGGACCAGCCGATCAAAGTTGAGCAGCAAGTTGGCTCTTTCCCTTGCTGGAAGGGCCGAGTAGGTGGTAAATGCTTCGCTAGCAGCCTGAATGGCCTCGTCGACGTCTTTAAGATTGGATGCCTTCAGTCGGCAGATTGGCATGCCTGAACCGGGATCTGTCATCATAGTTCGGAAAGCGACGATCGATTGGTAAGATAAGCATCGTCAGCTTCCGTCTCTTCGAACATCTCCGTCATTCAAAGTTGAGACTGTGTGTGCGTGACTTACCCATCACATCGAACGACTCATTGTCCGAAGTGTCGAGACTGCCCGGTATCTTGACGAAGTCCGATGCATCGAGCAGCGATAGATCCTTGAGCTTGGTGTTCATGGCTCTGGTCGGCTTTCCCCGAGGAAAGACTTCGAGTGTCGAGTTGTGAGAGAAGCTGAGATAGGCCTTGGACGTGACAGCTACAGTTTGGGTTGAGCACAGCAAGCAAGGACGTGTTGCAGAGACGGTGAGGTATAGATCGGCAAAATGGGGACGAGGAGGAAGCAGCGTTCCCAGCAGTGCGTCTGCTTAAGTATGCGGTTGGTGATGACAGCCGAGATGTGCCAGGCTGACGCGTTGATATGTGCCAAATGAGCGGAAGGAAGACTTTGCTTGTCTTTCTGCCGGGATCGGCTGCGGCGGAAGAAGGAACGAGTAGGCAATGAGGAGCAGTGGCAAAGATGAGCAAGAAGAGTGCTCAAGCTTCAGCCGGCGTATTGCATCGGTAGTGGACTAAGTCCCGGGCTTGGACCATTTGATAGCAATTTCAGCGGCGACTTGGTCGGCTCGTTCGCCCTGCCCGTGGACGACTGCATGCCGGCATGGGACAACAAAGACGGAATTTGAGCTGTTGATGCATTGCCACCCGCCGTCCGCATTGTTGATACAGCCCAAGCACGCTGCTGCAGCCCCTCAAGACAATCGAGCGGTCGCATGCAGCCATCGTGACTCGCGTGGTCCAAGTTTGTGGGGTTAAAGCTCAAAAGCGGATCAAGAAGGGTCGGCTTTAGGACACGCTTTCCGGTTGGTCCCTGTGACCCGTCCTGATGTGGGGTCCTTTTCAAGGTGCTAAATCCGAAACTTCCCTCCAACACAATCCAACACTTGCATCCAAGCGTCACGAGACACCAGCCTCTTCGTCGGTGGCAGGTAAGCTTGTATCACGCTCGCTTCGTTGCTCACTTCCATCCCAGCCAGTGCAGCTCAAGTGACCAACTCTGCAGGGCGGCAAGATGACCAGCCGCAAGAGCGAAACGGCGCCAAAGGCGTACAAGATCATGGTCCTCCAGGGCGACCACATCGGTCCTGAGATCATGGCAGAGGTCTTACCGCTCTTCGACCTCGTTCAGTCGCGCTTCAACGTCCAAATTGAACGCGTCGAGCGTCTGATTGGAGGGTCTTGCCTTGATCAACACGATTGCCCCATCCAGGACAGCACGCTGCAGGAAGCGTCCACCTGTCATGCTGTTCTACTCGGGAGTGTCGGTGGGCCCAAATGGGACGTGGGCGACTCGAGCAGAAGACCTGAGACAGGCATTTTGCGCATGCGCAAGCATCTCAACCTGTTCGCCAACGTCCGACCGGCCAAGATCATCGCGGAGCGTCAACTCAAGCTCAGCTCTTTGAAGGATGAAGTCGTTCGCGGCGTCAACATCATCACTCTGCGAGAGAATGCGGGAGGCATCTACTTTGGCAAGAAGCAAGAGCCAGACCAGCATGCAATGAAAGGTAAGCCTGTCACTTCAAAAAGCTCATCCAAGGGGTTGACGCCTACTGATGAAGCTCGCTCACGCAGGAACCGTGCTTTTGCTGACCTCTTCTCCTCACATTCAACGCGTAGCCTCTGACCTTTGCGAGTATACGCGGGAGGAGGTGGTTCGACTGACCCGCGTGGCAGCAGCTTTGTCTCTCGCCAACAAGCCAGAACCGCTGCCCATCATCTCGGTCGACAAGGCAAACGTCATGGCCACCTCAAGGCTCTGGCGACAAGTCGTCACCGAGACCGTCCGCGATGAGTATCCACAGCTCGTTGACAAATTGAGTCACCACCTCGTCGATTCGGCCGCCATGGTGCTGGCGCGCGACCCGCGAAAGCTCAACGGCGTCATCCTCACTGAAAACGTAAGTCGATCCCACACCCACTCTGAAACAGACCAGCCTGACAAGGACTGACGTCGATGCGGCACCTTCTGTCCGAACAGCTCTTCGGCGACATTCTCAGCGATCTCACCTCGGTCATCCCGGGCTCTCTAGGTCTGCTCGGATCTGCCGAGATCGATGCTGCGCCAAATGCTTCTGCTGACGGTCGCATGCCTGTAGGCGTCTACCAGCCCGTGTCCGGATCGGCGCCGGACATTGCTGGCAAAGGCCTTGCGAACCCCATCGGCATGTTCGAGTCGTTTGCACTCATGTGCCGATGGTCGCTCGGTCTGCCGCAGTTGGCCGACGCTATCGACGCCGCCATCAAGGAGAGCCTTGAGTCAGGCCAGTGCACGCGCGATGTCGGCGGCAGCCTGTCCACGCAGCAAGCTGGAGCCCTACTGAGACAGTCCATCCAACAGTCCTTGTCGTGAAACCGTTGCCGTCCGCTCCTCCTGTCTTACGCTGCAATTCACTGGTTCCAGATCTACGGTCGATGTGCACCTTCGCGGTTGAGAGAGAGATATCGTATTGGTGATGAGTCGACATGTGCAAAGGTCTGGTCTAGTGGTCGTCTGACTGCAGCGGCATCCATCAACCCCATACTGGGTTCTTCTTTTCGTGAATCTGAGGTTGTCCTTCTGGCGAGCCAGGAATGTTCTTGGCCAGCTTCAGCTTCTCGAAGACGCACTTGTTGAGTGTCGTTTCTGGCTTCCTGCACCTGTAAAACTCCTGGTTGTGTTGTTCGAGGCAGTTGAAGTGGGCTTCCCATTCCTTGCCACAGCTGTCGCTCAGCTTCTTGATGCTGTAGGATGAACGTCATGATTTGCACAGAAGTAAAGGGCGTTCGTTTGATCGTATGGTGAGTTTCGGCGTGTTGGGGCAAGAAAAGTTGGTTGTCAGCCTTGTGCTCCCATACCCGGGCGTCAATCTGCATTCGCAATCCTGCATGGAAGGCCACGCTTCGACAGGCGACAAAGCCTGTTCGTCTTCGCTGCCCTGCATCCCCTCCACCGTGCCTTACTTACAGATCACGCGCGCATCTCGTCACACGACGACCCTCCTGGAGGCAGTGTGCTGGGTCACGGCTCTCGTTCTTGCAAAGCATGAAGTCCTCGTTGACATCCTTGCAGTGCTCTCCGATGAAAAAGCTCGCCGACTTGAGCGGTGCAGACGTCACACCAAGCTCATCGATGTGTGGCTGGCTCGAGGGCATCGGAGCCGGGTCGATGTACGGTTTCCCTGGGAACTTGGCATCTCGGTGTGTCGCCATCTTGGATTACTGATTCGAAAGGTCTCCTACGCAGAGTCTGTTGCCTGTCGAGAGCTGTCGAGCTGGATGTCTGCTGCCCTCGCGCCGAGATGAGTTGAACGGATCGAGGATGGTGATGATGGTCGAGAGGGAGAGCTTCGAGAAGTCAGAATTCAACCTTCCGATCACGGACCAATCACGGCCAAACGATTTCGGATCCGCATTCCCGACAATGTTGGACTCATAGACCTAACGTCCCTGGCATGAAAAATCGCTGAGTCTTCGGGTGTCACTTTATTCGGTTTCTTCGAGAAGACCCTTTGTATCCTCCACCAACCAACTCTCGCTCAGCAAGACAAAGAAGAGGAGGAGAATAAAGGACGAGGCTAGGTCGGCTGCCTCTCGACTTTTCCTGCTTCTCGGCCAACTCCATCGCAGCGGCCCGCCGAACATCGCCTACGATCTCCTTGACAGGTCTCTGAGATCCCAGGGCGCTATCATGGCCTGCTCCAGTAGCGCGGCGACAAGGCTGACTCCGCAATGGCACCGGCTGCTTCGAACACCAGCGTTCAGCTCAGCATCAAGGTTCAACACTGCGAGCCTACCACCTGCCTTCTTGGCGCCTCGTGCTCATACACGGTCCTTTTCGGAGCCGCGTTCACGCCCGGCCACGACATCGTCGGAGAAGAGGCCATCGTCCAACTCTGCACAGAATCTAAGAGGCACGCTCAGACGACTTGGACGACACTCGGACTGGAAGGCAAAGGCGTTGAGAAGGACAGGAGGCAATCCGGAATGGAAGTCAGGAGCCCCTGCAAAGCGGGACGCTGGCGAGGCTGCGAGGCAGATGACGCCGACGACGCCAACGCGAGCAGGGCCCAGTCGCGCCGGAGCATCTTCTGACCGACGAAGACCAGCCGCCGACCGGTCCAGACCGCCTTCCGACAGACAGATCCCGTTGTCCGACAGGCAAAGACCGCCCGGTCATCGCGAGCGAGACCAAGATCGCGGATTCCGTCTTCGGGCAAAACGGTTGCTTGACCATCTGATGAACATCATCCGAGGCATCAACACACAGGCCCTGCCCTCGGACAAGATCCCGGCGCAGGTCGATGCGGATGTCTCCCAGGCTCTTCAGCACTTCGAAAACGAGATGAAGGCTCTTCGAGTGGTGGTTCAATCCAAAGACGTCCTTGTCGATCCAGACAATGCGTGGACATCGGCTTCGCGCATCAGGGCACCCTACAATGCCGCCATACGACTCTGCCTACTCAGCGGAAAGCACGATCGTGCCTTCAAACTGTTCAATCAGATGAAGAAGGACGGCATCTTTCCCAGCGCTGCCACTTATACGGTCGTCATCAACGGTCTCACCCGATCACTTTCTGCGCACGCCAATGCCTCTCCCTCGGACAGCCAGCGAAGCCAGCTCGCTGAGCGCAAAGAGTGCCAGCGCATCCGCGAGACCTACCTAGAACTCGAGAAGCTGTGGAAGCAGAGCTATCCTCAGTACTTTCAGACCAGAGGAGCGCTGAGACCTGCCGAGGCCCAGATTCTGGAAAAGGACGACTTCCACGAGATGACGGACCAAGCTCGTCGCAACCTCGTCTCGCAACAAGCCAGTGTGCGGGAAGTCCGCGACCATCCTACCATTCTCACAAACGCAATCGGCACCTATGCCTCCTTCCTGCGCCTCATCGACGCCAGGGACGAGCTCAACAAGCTCTTCGACATGCTGTTCCCGCCGGCGGTCATCGACGATCTGGCTAAAGGCCTTTCGCCGACGGCTTCGAGAGAGGAAAAGGTTGCGTTATCCTTCGGCAAGCTATCAGAAAAGCTGCCACTCGGCGATCGGACCACCTTTTCTGCTTTCTTGACGGTCATCAGAGATGCACAAGATCCAGACCGCTTTGCTACCGTCGAGCGAATTTGGACTCGCTTCCAAAAGATGATGGATTTGGAACGATACGAGCGGCTGTCGGGCTCGGGCGATGCGCCGGCGAAACGGCAAGCGGACACCCCGTCGCGCGAGCGTCGTTTTGTGCCGGACGACGTGCTTATGACCGACATCTTCAATCGACTGCTGCCTCCCGCGGGCGCCGATGCATCTGCTGGGCTAAAGCTTGGCATGAAAATCCTGTCAAATGGCTACGGCCTCGACCTAGAGACGGCAACCGACGGCATCATACGGAACCCTCAGTTCCCCGCCCTAATCGAGGCGCTTCCAGTCGAGCACTACCATCGCGGGGGCCATGGTCGTCCTCTTGCCGAGCTGCGCAGCTCTACTGTTGCTTCCGCCGTCTTTCGTCTCTTTGCTCACGATGTGGATGGCTACGAGAAGTGTGTTGCGCTGTTCAATTACCTTTGGGCGCGCTCACATAGCGAGAAGCATGCTGCCGGCTCGGACCGGAAGGACGTCGGAGGCATGCTCTCGGACAACACCGGCTTTGGCAGCACGCTGCGTCCATCGAATGCCATGAACGTCCTCTGGCATCTTTCGCAGAAGGGAGATCCCGTCGGTGCACGCGTGCTCCTAGCGGCGATGAGAAGGGCTGCCGGTTCCGCATCGAGCAACTCTGGCGGGATGCAAGACGCGAAGGACCGACGCGATCGTCACTCCAGACCAAACCTTCGCCAGGCCAGCCACGACTCGGCGGCGCTCGATTGGACACCATCGTACGCCTGCTACGACCGTGCGATGCACGCCATTCTCACAGCAGCGCTCAAGAAGCCGGTTGGTCTCACCGCTGTCGTGGTCGAAGCCGCCAAGCGGGATGGCGACGACGGTACTTACGACGCTTGGGCTGAGGCGACGTCACTGTTGGGTCAATGGAGGGACTATGTCGACACGAGCAGCAGCGGCAGTGCCAGTCAGAGGGCGCCTCGTTGGGATGCAGAAGAGGCTGATCAAGCCAAGTCTCGAAACAAGGGCTTCTACGCCAATCGCGACGCTCTACCAGACGGAATGGCGCGTATCCAGTCGGACACGATCGTCTCTTTGTTCCTGCACATTGCTCGCGTCTGTGCCAAGCAAAAGCGCGAAGAGGGTCCCGAGATCGCCAGACAAGCGCTGCGACTGCTGGAGCAGCGCATCGGGCTCAGCCAGCTCGTCAAAGACGCCAACCAGCTGCCAGATGTTGCCAGACGTGGCACGCGGAAAACGGCTGCCAAGTCGCACACGCTGCCTCAGCTCAACGGGGTCCTTAACCTCGCCCTGGACACGTCGCAGCAGTCGTTCGCGCCGAAAGAGGACGTCGAGCTGTGGAAACGCATCAAGAAGCTGATTCCCGCGTCGAATGATGCGGACGAAGCCGAGTGGAGCTCGTCTGTCCGGGAGAAAAGGCCGATGTCCCGCGGCACAAATCGCCTGCTGCTTTCCAGGGACGATCATCTGGAATTAGAGGCGGAGGCGGAGAAGGAGGAGGAGGAGGAGGACGAGCCGCAAGACGAGGAAGTCAAGGCTCGCGAATCGCAGAGGATGCAACGCCTGTCGCGCCACGTGGAACAGGAGCTCGACCGCTGGGTGCGTTCTCGCCCTTCTGCATGACAGGCTTACGGTGCAGGTAGCTCCTTGTCTCTGCAGCGCAACTTGAATGCATGTCATTCTCGCTCTTAGCTACCTCTAGTGGTGTTTGTCTGGCATTATGATTTGCTATTGGGCTAATCATGCACTCACTGAATGTGAATTTTGAGCCTCAATTTAGCTGTCCGTTTTTGAGGACCAAATATGCTGTTCATCCGGCTTCAGCAAGTCGTGGTTCTGTCGCTGAACTGCACACCAACAAGCCCAGTGCCGGGCGAGTGAACACCAATGTGCGCTTAAGAGCTTCCAGACTGTGGCCAGACTGACGCTCCAGGCGCTCGTCTTTCCACTCCGTATGCACAGCTGCACAGGGATCGAATGGTTGCGTAAAAGTACAATTGCAAATACAGCGAAATGAGCATCGAAGAGGCAGACCGACTTGGCGAAGAAGGTACGGGGGTAACGGATGAGGGCGTTAATGCCAGAAAAATGTTGAGCTGCTTGGATGAAGGGGGAGAGCAATCTACTACGTGATCGAGTGCAATCATTTTGTCCGAGTAAGGACTACGCAGATTTCCGGCGGCACGCTCGTGCCCAAGAGCCTGCTGAATTCCGGCGTAGACTCTGACCGCAGTCTCGACGTTTCAGAGCGCTTGAAGGCCGTCTAACGAAGCCGCAGAAGTGCGGCAGCTGCGACGCTATACCCGACGGCCGGGTTCGTGCTTAGGATCGTTGGTGATAGGATATGGATCTTGGCCGTTCTGCTGAGCTAGTACAATTGCTTGTTGCGAGATGGGGATCTGGCCGCCGTTGGCAGAGATGATCTGCGAGAGTGACAGCATACGTGCGTGGGTGGAAGTGCATGGGTCAGCATGGGTCAGCGATGCGCGAAGTAGGCGAGAAAGGATGAAGACATACCAGTCGCTCGTCTCGACGGGACTTCCAGACCGCAGCTGTGAGCCACAGGCCCCAGATCTTGATTGGCCGCGAGAAAGGTAGCAAGCGCAAAGCAAAGGATGAGGGTCAGCGATGTATACGATAGGCACGGAAGCCCACTTGAGGATCTGGGCTGCAACCTACACCGAGACCAACGAGGCCAGTGACGGCACCTCGATGCGCCAAATCGACGAAGCTCATGCGCTTCGACATCCTGAAAGTCTGAGTAGCACTTGCCGCTTCTCGTATGTATGTGGTTCGTTTCGAGCTTACGTTGCTTGCTGGTCTCGTCGAAGGTATGAAGGCGAACGAGTGCGAATGATAGAGCAAGGACCCTTCGAAGAAGGCGTCGAGCTGCTTTGCTCAGACATGTGGAGCGGCGAAAACTCATCGGGTCAGGGTCTATCAGACTGGATCTCGATGCATTTGTCGTGAATGTTAGCCCCACGGCTATGACAATGCAGGAAATTCCCTCAGCCCAAGATGGCCCGTGTGCAGCAGGCTGGAAACTCCATGTGACACGAGCTGAAAGCTGTCGAGTGACGTAGCGCGACTCTCGTTCACGACCTGTCGGACAGCTTCGACAGCACCTCGATAGCCCGTTACTTGGAGCTCACGACGAAGACAGCTCCCGTTGGGCAGAACACGGATAGTGTCGTGCATCGAGCAAGTGGTTGCTGCAGAAGCGCTGAATATGACAGTCTGACATGATGGTGAAGTGTGGACAGCCTCGCCGGGGACGAAGCGGCAATAAGAGTCGACGAAGGATGCTGCAAGGATGACTGGATTGCATTCGGGCAACGTCAAAAAGGAGTCGTTCTCCGACGCAAGTGGTGCTCCCGCCCGTTGGATCCGAGTCGATCCCCGGCTCTGTATCAGAAAGCGGTCCCCATTCACAATTCGCACAAAGACTTGGCCTCGGATAGACGCACATACCAGCTTGGCCCGCCTCCACTTGATACGCTCCTGCCTGTCCGGGTCAATCTTTTCCGCTTCTTGTCCTTCCGACGTCTAAATTCGTTCTCTCCGAGCATCCTCTTCCATCCATCGATCCATTCGCAACCAATCAGGTCGACTCAGGGGACTTGCAGGGCGAACAACAACGAGCGCAGAGACAACAAGACAGCATCGCGCCCAGCATCCAAAGGTACCCTTTCGAAACGCGACAGAACCAAGCAAGATGATCGGAGCCGTCTCTCGTAGCGTCCTGGCCACTGGCTTCCGCAGCCAGCGCGGCGCCAGTGCGACCCTCTCGGTTGCAAAGGCAACCACTCTTGCCTCTCGCCGAACCCTGCTAGCGCCCGTGCAGCTTCGAGCTCTGCACACGTCGTTGCAGTCCCGTGCAGCCAACCCGCAATCGGGCAAGCCTGCCTCGGACTCGTGGTCGCACACGAAGCAGAACATCAAGGAGGAAGCCAAGTCGATCCGATCGAGTGTCGAGTCGGCCATTGCGGGCGGCGGTGCGTCTCAGTCATCGGAAGCGACCGGATCTGGTGCCAACACGAGCGGCGGCGGTGGAGGTGCCTCTGGTGCGGCCGAAATCCTCAAGGACGCCAAGAGCATCACGTCCGAGATGGCACAAGAAGTGCCGCGTCCGGCTCTGCTCTGGGGTAGCGCCGGTATCATCCCGTACGTGAGCACGGCGGCGGCGTCGATCTGGCTCGCGCGGACGGAGCACCAGGTGAGCATGGGGCTGGACAAGTCGATGGACAGCGAGACGGCGAGTGCGCTGCTGCTGCATGCGCAGAACATTCAGGTCGGCTTCGGTGCTGTTCTGCTCTCCTTCTTGGGTGCTATTCATTGGGGATTCGAGTTTAGCAAGTACGGTGGACGCATTGGGAACATGCGCTATGCCATCGGTGTGCTTCCCCTTGCTCTCGGCTGGCCTACTCTGCTGCTGGCCCCCCAGATGGCACTTATCGGCCAGTGGGCGGCCTTCGTAGCGGCCTGGTTCATCGACCTGCGCGCAACCACCGCCGGCTGGGTCCCCAAGTGGTACTCCACCTACCGCTTCTGGCTCACCCTCGCCGTCGGTTCGAGCATCATCGCTACCCTCGCCGGTACCAACTACTACGCGCCCAACAGCCGCAGCACCCTCGGCGGCACCGCAGCCAAGCTCGCCGAAGAGGTCAAGGCGGATGGCCCCACCAAGATGAAGCTGCTCCAGCAGAGCGCGCACGGCAACAAAGGGGGCGTGATCAAGCACACCGAGGTGGGCGGTGATGTTGAGGCCACGAGTGCGGGTGCCAAGGGCGATAGCTATGTGACGATCGGCAACCCGAAGCGCAAGGAGGAGGAGCGCAAGGAGAAGGAGAAGGAGGAGGCGGAGAAGAAGAAGAAGGAGCAGGAGGAGAAGAAGAAGGAGCAGGACGCCAAGGCCGAGAAGAAGGATGTCGATGAGAAGAAGAAGGAGGATGAAGAGAAGGAGGACAAGGAGGACAGCGAAGGCGACGAGGAGAAGGACGAGTAGGCTCGAGCGTTTGCATTAGAGCTCGTTGTTACCAACCTTCACTAGCACTGCTGTCGACTCGTCCTCTGTCCCGCACTTTTGTACATAGCATCTCTGTTCCAATTCGAAACGTACAATCGTTTCCACAACACAAGCTGAACAGGCTGCCAAGGATGGAGAGGCCTGCTCGTGTGACCTTGGACCAGGTGCGGTCGAGCTTGAGGCAGGGCCAAAGTTTATCGGCCGATACAAGTCCATCCTCTGAAACAATGGCTGGATATGCACGAAGCTGCAGAATAGAGCGCACGTGCGCATCCGATTTCGTTCTCCGCTTCGATGGGATTTTCGTCCTTTGCTCGTCAGCTCGACCGTCATCATGGCCTCACTGTGCTCTCATTGTGGTCATCTTCAAGGTCATGGGCTCATGAGGACGATCAAGCTTGATACAGGCTTGTTCATGGCGAGTACTGAATCAAGGTTGGGAGCACATGGTTGGAAAGAGAGAGTGTGAAGCTTGCAAACCAATCGAAACAATGGTTCGAGCCAATTTTAAATTGACGACCACCTTTTTGCGGGTCCCAAAGCTCGGTTTTGGCGGATGCATCGCCTTGATTCAAAACGAATCACGGGCCGGCTTTCTTTCATTTGTGGGACACACACGCACCTCGCACACACCGGTGATCTGTTTGTTACCTCGTCATTGCGGGCTGGCAGCGAGGGACGGACGCCTTGCAAGCTCGTGCACCCAAGGAGGGCTAGACTTGTTCGATTTTCGTCGCCGGTAGAAGCGGAGGAAATCGATTTCTTTTTTCGGGTTTCATGCCCTTTGGCTCGCTCGTTTAGACTGAGATTGGGTGGGTTGCGGTCCATCGGCTAAGGTGGGTGAGCTCGAGCCTCGTCCTTTTGCTCTTTCCTTCCTTTGTCGTCGTCGTCGTCGTTGCTGCCTTCCTTCGTGACCACCTGCATCATCCACCTTCGACCATCCGACACCCGCCCGCACCCAGCATCGCTCGCTTTTGGCACTATCGCCGCTCGCTTATCGTATCAGCCCACCGTCGCGCAGCCGCTCCTTATCGCACCGCTCCGTGAAGCACACACAACCGACTCGGATCCAGCATACTAATACACACAATGTCGACGCAGCCACTCCTCCAACGTACCGCTGGCAAGCGCATCGCGCTTCCAGTGCGTGTCGAGCCCAAGGTCTTCTTTGCCAACGAGCGAACTTGTACGTCTTGATCCACACATCCTTACTCTCATCCAGCCCAAAGTTGAAAACTTTCTTTGGTCTGCCACGATCATCACGAGAGCCTTCAAGACTTGACTGCAGGGCTATCTTTCGGTCTCTGGAGCGGCCCACTGACTCTCTACCTCTTTGCATCCGTGTTTACGCTCCCTCTGCTCGCATCGCAGTCCTGTCATGGCTCAACTTCACCGTCACGCTCTCCGCTCTCGCCGCGGGGTTGCTCAACTTTGGTGACCGCATCGGTCGCATCTCTGCTGCCATGTTCTCGTTTGTTGGTGAGTGCCCGCACCCCGAACTCTCCCCCTCACGCTCCCATTGCCTCTTGCTGACTTCCTTCTTTGGCGTTTCGGTATGTAGCGATGGCGATCATGGTCTACGCCCTGCTCACGTACCACTGGCGAGCGAGCGCGATCCGCAACCGCGGCAGCGGGCCGTACGACGACAGGTTGGGCCCCACCGTCCTCAGCGTCATGCTGTTGATCGCTGTGCTGGTCAACTTTATCCTCCGATTCAACGCCTGATCGTCCCCGGCTTCAGCATCTACATAATGGGCTCGTGCAATCGAACATGTTTTTGATAGTGTTCTCGCTTGTGGTGGATGTTATGGAGGCGATCGATGGAGGATTATGAAGGGATGTATAGGTAGATGGACTGTGTGACGGCAGCTGGCGGCGGGAAGAGCGGCAATGTTGGAGTGCGGTCGAGGGTCATAAGCCGCACTGGCAACGGGCGATCGTGCCGGGAAACGGCCGGGGCTTGCCGCTTCGCCGTGTTCGGCAGCATGCCGGCCAGCACTTTGATAGAGACTCATACGGCATCACGATGTTTGCGGCCGCTAGACGGATGAAACATGGACCGTGGTCAATCCCAAGCCCGGAAGTGCACGAAGCAGACCGTCGAGTGCGATGTGCACTTGACATGGTGCCGCCCGCCCCCTCTTTCGTCAAGCAAACGCGAGAGCCTGTATTTGAGCCATGGGCTTGAATTCGAACTCGTCCGGCAGACTGCTCGTAGCTTTCATGTTCGCACCACACGCTGGGATGTGGTAGATAAGCTTCGTTGACTGAGATCAAAGACATAGAGCAAGAGAGAGATAGACAGCGAGAAGAGATCGAGAAGCGATCGAGAGAGAGAGAGAGAGCGATGTATGAATAGATACAAGTACAAATGCGATGTGTGAGATGGGGGGTGAGCAGGCTAGCCTGAATATGCGAATGCGATGCGGGGGTCTATACAGTGAAACACAACGAAAGAGTGTCGAGCAACTTGGGCTTAGGCCGTGATGCTGGCGGCAGTGGCAGGGGCCGTGGTGTTGGTCGGCGTTCCCGCCTGGTCCATGACCATCTCCATGGCCGTTTCCCCTGCGGCGACGCCCATCCCTGCGACCCCGAGGGCGCCGAGAGTCGCCGCGAACTCCTGCAGATGATTCCTCCTGTACTCGAGAATGTCCTGCACGAGCACACTCGGCCTGATGGGCTTCAACAACCAGTCGTCCATCCCGGCCTGCTTGCCTTCGTCAAAGTCCCTGTCCGCGCTGTGCGTTGTCGCTGCGACGATCCTCGCTCGTTGATGGGTGAGAACCATCTCGATGACCTCGCCTAGCGCGCCGGAGGTCTCGACATCCGGGGGGTTGGCAGACTGCGCCTGCTCGTGCATGCGGATCTGGCGTGTCGCCTCAAAGCCGTCCATGATGGGCATCGAGATGTCCATCAGCACCAGCGCGGGTCGATACTGCGCATATCGGTGCACAGCCTCGAGTCCGTTTTCGGCCTCGACGACGTGGATGTTTTGCTTGCGAAGCGGGATGGTGAGCACCTTGCGGTTGATCGGGTTGTCGTCTACGACAAGGACGGTGAATGGCAGCGAGTCCTCGGGTGAGCTGGCGCCGCACATGATCGAAGTGGCTTGCTGCAGCGCTGCTGCGGAGGTCGACGGCGGTGGAGGCGTGGTAGAGGGTGAAGAGTTGGACGAGTAGTCGTAGCAAGAGGACGAGGAGGACGAGGAGGAAGAGTTATAGTACGGGTCGTACGCCATGCTCGGGCTGGATGATGGGTGCGACATGAGGATCGCTGACATTGATCGTCTCGCTGTACGAGAAGCAGGAGCAAATGTCGGTGGGTTGGGTTGTGCTGGCGAGTGGTTGACGTTGATATGACCGAAGAAGACTCCTGAGTTGTCAATTGTCAACGGTGGGATGTGAGGGAGCTTGGCTGCTGCGTGGGGTTCAAGAGATGAAGAACGAGCAGGAATTCAGGTATGAGTTGGACGAAGTAGATGAAGCTATGAGCTGACGATGATAGCGAGCAAGTGGTGATGTCGGTGGTGGGTCAAGAGGATGAAGGAGGACGAAGAGCGTAGCATACAACCGAGAGATAGCAAGCAGAGTTTATCGCGGCGGCTCACGCTCGGACAGCTCACAGCGGCACAATAAGCAATGACGATGTAGAGAAGCCTCGGACGGCACCACGCAGCAACGAGGCTGACAGAAGCCTCTCGCTTGTGCAAGCCCAAGGGCTCTTTCTCTCGGTACAGGGCTTCCGGCCACGCGCGTGGCTCGGCAAGGCAGAACGAGGGAACTCTGCGCAAAATGCGTCACAAGTTTGTTTTTGAGCAAAGGCCGGTGCAGGCCAAGCACACCAAACCCAAGACTAGCGGAGTTGGTCAGGAACACAAAAAGAGGATGCCGTCGCATGACGACGAGGTGCCGCACTTGACCAGTATCAATTGCACTTCGGTGTCTCGAAATCAAGCTCAGCTAAACACCCTCTTTCGTTCGGCCATGTCGTCCAAGAGAGCGCTAAAACCAATTTGAGAGTCTGACAGAAGCCAGCGGTAGCGAGGGTCGGTCAACCATTCAAGCCTCTGGTGCTGACAGGGATCTGCGTCGCCAGTACCCTCCCAAGCCGGCACGCAACCCGCCTTCTCGGTCGTCTGCACGTTTGCCCGTCTTGGCCATTGCCCGCTGTACGTCTCTGCCTCCCGCTCGGCACTCGGCATCGCTCAGCGTTCATCTGTGTCCGCCTGTTCTCCGCTTCATCTGCCATGACTCAGCCATGTTAACCACCCTGCTGAGCAAAGGCCGTTATACTCCGCGTGCCGTTCTCAGGGCGACGTGTAGATTCCGCCGTGGTGTCTTTTTGACGTTGACGAAGAGGTGCATGGATGAAAGGCGAGGTTCGACAACTCAAAAGAGTGGCACGAGGTGGGTGACAAACAATAGAGCGAGCCCCTATCCTTGTTGCACACATGCCTCGGTGCTCATTGCTCTCGTCCATCGAGAGCGACCGAGATGTGTCCGTCCGCGTCTTCTCGCCACCAGCTTGACGCTTCTAGACGCATTGATGCGATCCCGTCGAATTTGAGGATGGCATGCGGATGGTTCTAAGAAGCGGCTACGGAACCACGAAACACGGCGACGCGGGAGCAAATAGGGGCGCGCGCGTGTGAGACTTTTTCTTCCAGCGACGATCGGAAGGGCTGCAGCGGGCAGGACGTGGGCGACGCCCGATGCAAACCCACCAGCATGCACCTCGAGCAAATCCCGGACGGCTGTGCGGGACGTCAAAACTTGGACCCACCTCCAGAAGCTCGAGCGCGCTTACTGCCGGGCCGAGGTATCGACGCAGAGAGTGTTGCGATGTCGCAGGGCTGACATTAAGGCGATCAGCTGCCGAGTGAGCCATGGGTCCGAGACGAGGAGCGGCATGGTCGGCAACGTCAGCATCTTTCAGGAACTTGACACGTTGCATGATTGACACTTGCTTACCTCGCTTGAGCTTGCAAGGCACAGAGCTTCGCCAAGCGAGCCGAATGTCGCGGAGGCCATCTCATAGCGCAGCCGAGCAAGCTTTCATCCGCCTGCCGAACAGCTTTCCACCTTTGCCTCGCTTGGGTCCTCCCGCGCTAGCAGCGCCGTCTCAAGGCCGCCAACACCATCAATTCGCAGCAAAGTTGCTTCCTACGACCTCTTGTGACGCTTTGCTCGCCTGCTGGCTCACGAATGCGTCCGCCCACGAATCGGGATAGGCTTCGGCGTTCCACGTTGTCGGAGTGTATTTTCTTCAAGGTTTAAAAGATTTTCCTTCCAACGCTCAACGCCGCCCGCTGCACGCGGAGAGTGTTTCTGACGTCGTCGTGCGCTGCCAATGGGTCGCCGTGCGAAACATGTTCCTACGGATTAGGCTTGCGTCTGCCTCTTGCTGATCTGTCTGCTGCTCCTCGGCCCGTATCAGAGCGAAGCCGAGCACGACGGGTTCACTCGTTGCCGCCCGACTTAGCTGAGCGCCGTCTGTCATCGGTCCCGAGAAAAGTTTTTGCCGGCGACACGTGGCATCTGTACAACGTGAGTTTCCCGCGCTGCGAAAGGTGTGGTTGACCGTCGATCGCATAAGTTTTGGTCGCAGGGAACAGTTTGTCCGACGTCCGAGGAAGAATTTTCGGTATCGGTCAGGTGAGGGACTGACTTAGATGGCATAGCGTACATTGCCGTCTGTGCCATGCTCATACTGCAGAAAGAGCTTGCACGCAGCACACTGCGATATGACGGTCCCGTCTCGCTGAGTTGCGAGGCAGTCTCAAAGCCACACCATTCAGACGCAGTTCAAGCCACCAACGCTCGGAGACTTAATCGGGGATTGCCCCCATTGTGTATCATATACTCCGCTCGCACGACGCTATTGTGTGCGTGTTCCGATTCCCGAATCCAGAACGTATCTGACTGTGAGGTCGTCTCTCTCCCGGTCTTTCGACAGGCCGTTCGACTTTTGCCCGAGCTACCACATCCGACCTTCGGATGCCAAGATCAAAAGAATCGATTCTTGGCAGGCTGGCGGATGCGATCGCGTGCATCTCCTGCAGCTTTGTTCGGGACAAGTCGCAGAGGCGTCGCTTAGGCACCAAGTCGAATGCTACAGTTCAACATGACTCGAGCTTTCATTCGGCAGCAACCATAGGCCGAACCGAATGGGCCAATCCATTTGCATTAGCGAGGACACCTTGTGTCACCTCTGCGTTTCTCGGGAACCATCTCCGCTTCGGCAAGACACTTTCTCCAACCGAACGCAGCGATACCATGGTACATGGCACACCTGCTGTTCACGCAGATCCATAGCTTAAAGAGCATCAGGCCACATGTGCAATGCGATTCGGACTCAGCAAGACCGGCTCTTTGCACGGTGTCTTCGCGACAATGGTGTTGCGCAGGAGGAGGAGAGCCTCGATCTGGGACGAGGATCGAGCAAAAGGGTCGCGACGAGCTTTATTTTTTTGTTTGCCATAAAAACAAGGTTTTTTTTAAATTAGGCTCGCGCTCGATGACGTGGTGACTATGGTTGCTGGTGATAAGGGATGGTACTGCCGCGATTGTGTTGTCGACAATGAGGGCGATGGATAGGTCGTGTGGGCCGCATCGAGCTGTGCAGGCGTTACAAAGCTTGGACTCAGGATGAGGACGATCCCATGCAAGCTAGGAGCTTTCGATCGCGATTGTTTCGTTGGCACCATCGGTGATCCGCCCCCGTCCTGCACACGAGACCCATCGTCGACCGAGTAAGTAGCCGGTCCGTTCTGACTGACATTCCTACGGGTCATCCAGCTAACGATGCCTACTCGATTTGCACTTGAGACAGGGTCAAACGACAAACTCCTGACATCTCGGAGCCAATCAAGTTGACAAGGTTGGATGTACTTCGCACAAAGGCAACCGATCATCGTCGTCGCTAGGGGTGTGAGGATCTTTCAACATTCAACGGACCCTTTCATGCTTCTGGTTGCATCAACCGGGACCAGGTTCGTATCGCCGCCGCGGTAGTGACTTGGCGTTGCTAGCCTTTGGCGCGATTGCAGCGCTTCTCTTGACGATTGAGTTGGGAGTTTGAGCTTGACTGGCAAAGGTATGGCTTTGCCGTCAACTCCGTCGAGACGTCTGCGACGTGTCGCCAGACGACAAAATGGACGCTGTTCGATTCAGCAGAGCCCCTTTTCGCCATGCTTTGTTGCACACCTTGGAAGCTGCGACTTCCTACCGTGGGCTACATCAACGTTCGCGGAGAATGCAGCGTGCTCAAATGTATTTGTTCCAGACGTCAAGCCTGGACACCCCGCTGCAGTAACGCTGCGGACACAGTGAGCAGCTGCACGATGGTCTTGACGTCAGCCATGCCAGCTTCCAACCGCTCTATCTCGACTCTCGATGATCAGCTCGACCATCTGCAATCGTTGTTGCGATGTCAGGCGAGTGCGCTCGGTCCTTCTGCTGATTTTCCCGGGCCACACCAGTACATGGCGCCTCGACTGCCGACAGCGTCAGCTTTGATCGTGGACTCGCAACCTGTCGCCATAACGATGCCGCAAGACCTTTCCTGGCTGCTTGACTCTGTTCAGCAGACGGCTGGAATCTCTATGCCTTCGGACAGCTTCGCCGGTCTCGTTCCACCCGTAGATGATCTTATCGGCTCAAGTACGCCTCTAGCGGCATCCGACTGGGCCTTTCTACAACCGCGATCCTTCGAAATAGCGAGCACAGACTCTCTGTATACCGCCGAGGCTGCGACGCTAGCCCGAAGCTTCTCGGCTCAGTCTGGGCTGCAGGCCTTCCCACCGGTGTTCCGGCACTCTAGCGGTGCGCAAAGGCGGGCAGACACGCCCAGAACGACCCTCACTGCCCCAAACTCACTCGGCGAAATGCTCGGCGCGGTTGGGCCTGAAGGATCAGTCCTTCCACAACCTACCATCGAGCCTCCTCTCGAGAGTCAGAGCGTCCAGCATTCTGCATCGTACCAGAAATCGAAACGGAGCCCAAACGAGACAGTCAGCTGCGTAGCACTGCCTCAGGTCTTCACAGATCTCATAGTCGTTGTGGATCTGGCGGACACCGTCCTGTACACTAGCGATGCGGCACGTCTCTGCGCCAGCTTGCTGTCCAATTCGACCACGGACAGTGGTGGCGACGAGAGCGCGGGATGGCATGCACGGATGACCGATGATCGCCGAGTCAAGTTTTCAGATCTTCTCGCGGACAAGCACGCGGTCGACTGTTGGCAGCGCGCTTGCGTTTCTCTTCAGTCCCCGATATCAGCCCTTTCAAGCAGAGAACAAACACCCAATAGGAGCGAGATGATCCTCAAGCGGCGGACTCCAGACGGAACGGAAGCGTTAGTCGAGGTCGTCATTGTCGCGCCGACACAAGATTGCAGCTCGCACCGCCGTGAGTTGATGATCCTAATGCGACCTGTGGCACTACCCTCAGTGGCTGCTGTACTGCACAATCCTTTCGGTGATCCTACAACGCGCGCATCGTCACTGCCAGACGAGCTGTCCAAGCCAGAGTACAATCAGCAAGCCGTCAGTCACCTGCTCGTGTCTCGATCAGGGCTAATACTACGGACTAGCCATTCGCCCTCCTCACTAGGCCCTACACCGTACGAGCATGACGCCGCGATCTTTGGCGACCCGGAATGCTGCCCTATCTTCGGACAGAGCCTGGTAGACGTGCCTCGTCTAGCTCCATTGCTGCCTGTAGTTACTCAGGTGGCTGTGGTTGGTCTCGCCCAGAGTGTCGAGCTCAACGCTGCCGCCGGAAGAGTCACAGCTATAGTTCGGCCTGTACTGAGAAGAACGATCGCAGTCCATCGGCTGCCGGCTGCCAAGGTCTGGATCACGCTCTCCATGCCGAGAATCGTCAAGCATCGGCCGACCGAAGCATGGAGGAAGTCGGATCTTGTTAGTCACTCTCAGGCCAGCCCCCTGCGTGAGGTCAGCAAAGGTCACAGGCATGGCTCGCCCCCAAAACTTCCCGCAGCAACAAGCGCCTGCCGAATGGAACAGACCGCGCCTTTGCAGGACAGCCTCAGTCCACTTATCGCAAGGCTTCGGGAGGAGAATCGCCTGCTGCGTCAGCAGGTCGAAGCGCGTCTACGAAAACGAGGCGCGTTGGATCTAAAGCAGCATATCTCCTCAGCATGAGCTCTACTCTACACTTCATCTGACACCAGTGCCTCGATGAAGCAACGTCTCCTCGTGTAGTCTAAGGTACGACAGAGGGAAGAGGGTGTTGATATTTGCCATGAACAGCTATATGTATACAACGGTGCCCCCCCCGCATAATGGTGCTCCCGGACATAGCTCAGTTGGAAGTAGCGATGGTTTGTAATTGGAAACCCTAATCCGGTATTAACGGAAAAGCACCATAGGTCGCCGGTTCGATTCCGGCTGTCCGGACTCCCTTTTTTGCTTCTTGTTCCCACTAAATAACCAAGCGTCTGACAGAGAAGTCGTGGAGGACAGCCGACACGGAAGAGGTTGTGCATGCTAAGACACTTCAGAGGAAAGGGTGGGAGTTTTGTGTGTGCAGCGCGCTAGATGGGGTTTTCGAGCTGACCGGCAGAGCCGGCTGGCGTGGTAACCGGCTACCGAATTCGAACCCGACGTGCGCGAAATTGATAGCCGCGAGAAGAAGCTCGGATCGTGGCGCGCTGCCTTGGTGCAAGATCGACACTTCGCAACGCATGTTCTGACCCTATTGCTCAGACCACCACAAAGACAAGATAGCCGACGGCAGGTCTTTCTTTGGCCCGACACAACTCAACTGCCCCTCCAGCTCAACTCTTGCAGGCTGTAGGAAGGGATCGCAAACAGCCGGACTTCACTCACGTTGAATAGACACCCCGGCCCGGCCCCGCTTAGATGCACCTTTGGCGGTCGACTCGATTTGCCGGCAGTCTTAAGCTCGATAGATTTGGTCGAACAGCTTCGCAATACAGGTGCTTCTCTCACCTCTTCGACGTCCATAGGGCGCTACCAGGATTGGCTCAACACAGAGCCGTCGGCATCATGTCTGACGACTCCAGTGCCGCCTCGGCGGGCAAGCGCCGAATCGAGACCATCGGTCGACACGTCCAGCGTGTTGCACCCATCACCACCTCGTCCACCTCCCAGTCACCACCTTCGCCCAACCCCAGCACCTTCACAGACGACCGCGAGAAGCTCGGCACCTTCACCCTCGGTCCCAACGTCGCCATTCCCGTGTTTCAGCCCAAGCTACCCGAACGCCTTCCCTCCGACCGCCTCCTGCTCAATCTGGACGATCCCATCGCGCTCGAGCACCTCGAGTTCCTTGCCAAGAAATGGCAGCTTGGTCAAGACGTCTTTCTCCTCTCTGCCCCGGGTCCGTACGCCCGCAGGCTCAGTCTCACGTTCGCATCTCTCATCCAGCTGCCCTACGAGTACGTCTCGTTCCACCGCGATGTGGGTGAAGCCGAGCTGCTGCAGACACGAAGCTTGTCCGCTGGCGGCAATCTTGTCTTTGAAGACGGGCCTGTCATTCGGGCTATGAAGAACGGACACCTGCTCATCCTCGAGGGAGTCGAGAAGGCGGAACGCGGAGTCACGCCGATCATCAACAACATCCTTGAGAACCGAGAGCAGAACCTAGCAGACGGTCGTCATCTTATCCCCGCTGAGAAGCTGGCTGCGTTTCAGCAGGAAGAGGTGCAGCACAAAGAGGGCGGTGCGAGCCGCTTCATCCCTGTGCATCCAAACTTTCGAGTCATTGCCACGGGTGTGCCCGTCCCACCGTACCGCGGCTATCCGCTAGACCCACCTTTCCGATCGCGTTTCCAGGCAAGGTGGGTCGAAGGATCGGTGCAGTCCACCATTCCTCTGCCCGAGAAGCTCTCCGAGGGCGCACAACAGCTCCGCTCGCGCTGGAGCCAGTGGGCTGCCCTGCTGCGGTACCACACCACCCTTGCGCAGGGCAACGACGTCATCCCACCCACCTCCAGACTCCCCAATCTACCAACTACAGCGCTGCCCTTGCTCACGGATATCGTCAGCACCTTTCCTCCAGTCACATCGCTCATCAACCTCGACTTTGACGAGAGCGACCCGATCTTGCCTACTTGGCCCAAAGATATGCCCGTGGACACCGACAAGAACGTCGGAACCAGCTCGTCCACCCTGGCGCTGCTCAGCGCGGCATATCCGCAAGTGTTCGCGCTCGACGCGGAGAAACGACGTACGCTCGACTCGCTACTTGGCCAGCTGCAGATCCATGAGCAGCAGGGCGAGGGAGCGGATCAATCAACGCTCGCCGCGACCGGATTCTTGGGCTACCTCGTCGATAGCGTGGAACGCGTATCGCCCACCAGCGCCCAGATCACATTTGTTCACGTTGCAGGTAGCTCGCCGAGCGTCACGATCGAGGTTCCTTGTGGCGCACTTGAGCTGGCACCCGTGCCGAGGCTTGGGGACACGACGTTTATGGGCCAAGAGCTCATCGTCACTCCCCGAGTACTTTCGATTTACAGCCGGCTGCTGCAGCTCCACGCGCTGGGCAGGGACATCTGCCTCGTCCCCGCCAATAAGGCGGCGAGCCCGGACAAGCCTGGTGCTGCGTCGACAAGTGACCCGCTCGCCGCGGCAGCGCACCAGCCGTCGTCGTCTACGACCACCTGCATCGGACTGATGGCGGCGACACTCGGATACGCATACGAGTCGGTGTGGCTGTGGAAGGATCTGGGCGGAGGCGAGCTGCTCATGCGCCGAGCCACCGCCAAGGACGGAAGCACGACATGGGAGCCTGCGCCTCTTGTGCGTGGTGCTATGCAGGGTAAGCTCGTCCACCTTGCCGGTGTCGATGTGCTCGGGCCCACCTTGGGCAGTCTGAGCCGCCTGTTGCAGGATCGCGAGCTTGAGCTGTGGGACGGTGCGCGTATGACCGAGGGTGATGCTCAGAAGGACACGGCCAAACCCGCGTCCGCCGACCTGCTGGCTGGACCCACCATCTCTGCCGGCGAAATCGTCCCCATCCGTCCCACATTCCGCGTCGTCGCCACAGCCTCCAAACCCACAGGCTGGCTCGATGAGGAAGCCTCCACGCTCTTTGCCATCTGCTCCACGCGCGCCATGGACCCCGACGAGGAGCGTCACATCGTCCTCTCTCGCATCAAGCTATCCGAACCGACCTCGGACCTCAAGCGTCTCTTCGAGTTCGTCAATCGCTATCGTGCGCTGTCTGCGGATCCGAACTTGGGTCTAGCCAAGTCGCGCCGTCTGGGCACGCGCCAGGTCATCCGCATGGCCTCCCGTCTCGCTCGCTGGCAGGACGACTGCGACGTCCACGGTCTCATCTGGCGCAGTCTTCTGGTGGACTTCCTACCGCTGACGGTACGCGAGGTGATCGCCAACCTCCTCACCGAATGTGGGATCTACAAGCCTGGCACGGAAGGGGCGTTCCAGTACGTGCCGCGATTGTGGATCGGCGACCCACAGATCGTCGCCGGCGCCAACGGAGGTACGCTTCAATTCGCCCCCTCCGACGGGTCCGATCGAGAGTACCCAGTCCGCTCCATCCCGCGCTATGATGCCGACACCCTAGATCCTGAAGGCAAGACGCTCATCCCGGACCTCGGCGGTAGCTTCTATAACAATGCTCAGCAGAGCAGTCTCATCTGCTCCTTCGCCGAGGACCTGGTGCTGCTCAACGAACACCTGCTGCTGATGGGCTCCCAGGGTACCGGCAAGAACAAGATCATCGATCGCACGCTCGAGCTGCTCGGCCGGCCGAGGGAGTACATCCAGATGAACCGCGATTCGACCGTCGCCGGATTGCTGCAGCAGATCGCACTCGAGGGCGGACAGATCCGCTACCTCGACTCGCCGCTCGTTCGCGCCGTGAAGCTGGGCAGGATCTTGGTGGTGGACGAGGCGGATAAGTGCTCCACCGCTGTTTCTGCCGTGTTCAAGAGTCTGGCTGAACGAGGAGAGCTCAGTCTGCCCGATGGAAGACGCATTCGACCCGCTCGCAGTGGCGAGAGTGTCGAAGATGCGGGAGGGGATATCTTGGTTCACCCGACCTTCCGCCTGGTCCTCCTGTCCAACCGTCCCGGCTGGCCTTTCTTCGGCAACAACTTTATCGAGGTCATCGGCGAGGGGTTCAGCTGCTACGCCGTCGCCAACCCCGACATTGAGTCCGAAGTTCGCCTCCTAAAAGCAGCGGCACCCAACGTGGACGTCGACCTGCTTCGTCGCCTCGATCTGGCCTTCCACGACCTCCGCGCCGGCTTCGAGTCTGGGCTGATCAACCACCCCTACTCGCTCCGAGAACTCCTCCACCTCGTCGCGCACATGCAAAAGTACCCCGACGAGCCGCTCTCCAGCGTGCTGCTCAACACGCTCGCCTTCGACCTGCATCGACCGGAGAGCATCCGTTGGGTCGTCGAGACGTTGCGCAAACGCAATCTGCCCATTGAACAGCTTTCGCTCGATATTTTGCGAGAGCAGGACCTCGAGCGCATCCGCAACGCCGAAAAGGGCATCAAGGCCGAGTTTCATCCTGGTAAAGAGGACTTTGATCCGAAAAAGGCTGGGAGGGATACCAACCTGGACAAGCCAAAGGAGGGCAAAGTTGATCCCAAAAACGAGGCCCACGTCGGCGGGAACACGTGGAAGGGCGGCACCGGAGGCCGCGACACGATGGGCCTCGGCGGTCGCGGTGGCTACGGACGTCAATACACTGGCCACAAGATCCATCAAATCAGCAAGGAGCTCAAAAATGACGTTCCCGATCACCTCAAGAAGCAAGCCCGCGAAATGGCGCGCGAAGCCCTGGAGAAGGAACTCAAAGAAAACGGCATGCAACCCCACGAAGCGGTCAACCTGCACGAGATGAAGCAAAAAGTCGCCTCGCAGGTGCAGCACCTGTCGAACGTGCTCAACGATCTCAAGGCGAACCGGTACGAGCGGGCGTGGTTGACGCGGCAGCAGGAAGGCGAGTTGGACGAGCGACGCTTGTCTGAAGGCCTAGCTGGTGAGCGGGGGATCTTCAAACGACGGGCGGAGATGCCACCCGACCCGGGTGCGCCGCAGATCAAACCCAAGCGCATCCGCATCGTCCTGGATCTCTCCGCGTCGATGTATCACATGCAGTACGATGGACGACTGGAGCGCGAGTTGGAAGTGGCCCTCATGGTCATGCAGGCCTTTTCGCGGTTGGAGGACGCAACGGAGCGCTTTGCGGTCGACATCGTCGGTCACAGCGGTGATTTGGATATGATTCCCCTCGTACCCCTCGGTAGAATGCCCAAGAGTGACGGCGACATGTACCGCATCCTCCGCGCCATCGTCAGTCACACCCAGTACTGCGATTCGGGGGACAACACGCTCAAGTGCATCGAAAAGTCCATTCGACAAGTCAAGAGCCTCCTCCCCTCCCACCTGCCCCCGCCACCAGAGGGTAACACGATCAACGACACGACCAGCACAGGCCTAAATCAGCCCATCGTCGAACAGGACCCGCACCAAAGCCCGATGGACGACTACTTTGTCATTGTGCTCAGCGACGCCAACCTCAGCAGGTACGGCATCACGCACCAGCGCCTCGCACAGCTCCTCAGACTCGATGCACAGGTCAAGACGTCGCTCATCTTCATCGATAAGGGCAACGAGGCGCTCCATCTGGCCAAACAGCTGCCGACTCAGACGCACGTCGCTAGAGAGACAAAGGACATTCCGCGCATCTTGAGCAACATCCTTACGAGCGTCGTTCAGAATTCGTAGAGACGGTGGAAAAATTTCATTTCGTGGGTGCTTTTGATGACCAGATCAATAGACTTTTGAAAAGGGTAGGAACGATTGCTTCGCCACTGATGCTGAAGCGGTTTGTGCGCACCTTGTGTGCGTTTTCGGGAGTGTTGATGTGAGAATACGTTTTGGACGCCGCGTCATCGTTCGCTCGGCGTATCTGCTGCTCGCCCGTCCATCGACTCTGAGCTCATTCAGACTCGGGCCTTCTCTCGTCGCATCGCCTCGTGAATGATGCGAGCCCTGCCAGCCGCGCTCCGCCAGCTCGGCAGCAATGTCTTCCTCCCTCGCTCGACCCTTTCCCTTGTCCCTCATCGCTAGCGCTCTGGCCTCCTCCTCCAGCCGGGCCATCCTCTGCGTCGCCGCCGTAACCGCTCTCGCTACTCCATATCGCAGACCTAGCTCCAGCACCAGCCGGCACGTGGGTACATCCGGCAGGTGCATCGTCGGAATCGGATGCAGGAAGGAGAGCAGCAGATTCGTAGCTCGCCAATCCTCGTCAATCCAGACGCAAGGCAACGGCTTGTATCCAAGCTTCTGGCGATTCTCCTCGACGCCCCTCTTGAGGACCTGAGTGATTGCTGGGTCAGGACGCTCGATCACCACCTTGAGCCTGTCGGAGAACAGACACGGGTTCCAGGCAGCACAGGGAAAGGCGACTCGGTCTTTGGACATCATCACCATGTCCTGATCTCGACAGCCTAGAGGTAGGTAACAGTCCCAGAACGTCCAGACCGTCTGATCTCGCAGTTTTGTCAGCAGATAGTCGGGATCGATCACCTGGAAGATGGGAGCCTGCCATCCGGGTGGAAAGACGCTGGGGTCGTTGTGGTACGGGCCTTGGTGCGAAGCGCCTGCTGTTTCAGGCATATCATCGCCTGCCACGCTGCCGGCAGTGTGTGCCACAGTGGCAGGGCTCGTCACGTCATAGTGTGCTTCGTATGCTGTCGAAGAACTGACGCCGGTCACGTCAGCTGAGGTTTCCGAAGCCCAATGCGTGTCGGCCTCAACGATCGATGCGGCGCTCGTCAGCGAGCTCAGTCCGCGATTCTGCTGTTGCACAATCTCGCCTCGCGCCGGCCAGCATGCTTGTGCTGGATAGTAGGGCGGAGCCATGGAGGTGAAGATGTTCGAAGCCGCGTGGTTGCTGTCATAGGGAGCTGGAACAGGCGCGGGAGGAGCTTGGCTTGGCTGTAGCTCCGCAGCGGAACACATCTCTCCCTGTTGTGGTGCTTGCTGTAGCGCAATCCCACCTTGCACTGCCTGCGCAGTCGCTTGATAAGGTCCAGCGTGCGACCATGCCTCCTGGTTTCGCACGGGTGCGACGGGAGCGGGCAAATTGAGGATGCTTGGCGATTTCTGGAAGGCGTCGAGGTCCAGCTCTGAGACTGCGCCATCCGTCTGAGCAAGTCGAAGTTGCGCAAGTCGGCCTTTGGCGTTCTTTGCTGGAGCTCGCTTCGGCGCCGCCTTCTTTCGCGACGCAGCAATTGGTGCTGGAGGTGTACCGAGGTCGACTGTTGGCTCGACCGCGGCCGGATCGGCTGCTTTATCGGCTTGAGCTTGGACTTGATCATTCGCTTTGCTCGGAGGTTTCCGCGTGACCTTCCCTTTGGCCTTTCCCGTTGGTTCGACAGGCTTTGTATCGTCATGTGGTGGGGATGTCTCGGGCACGCTCACTTGGTGCGACAGGAGCGCCTCAATCGGGGCGGCAATGATGGTGGCAGGCTCGATCGCCGGCTGCTGCAGCTCCTGCAAGCCTTCTGGCTCAGCCACGGCAGCACTTGCTGGCTGCTTGCGCGTTCGGACTGGGGTCTTCCGAGTCTTCTTCGGCTGCGACACAGGTTCATCCTCGGCAGGAGCTTCGATCGTATCAGCACCCGCACTGTCTTCAAGATGGCTGTTGGCTTGGACGTCAGTGGCGGCCGGCTGCTTTCGACTTCGAGCAGGAGCCTTGCGGGCCTTCTTCGGTTTGACGGCTTCGTTTTGTTCGAGAGGAGCTACGGCGGAAGTTGGGGCCGCATCAGAGTCGGTGCTGCTACCTTCTTGCGCATCCGCGACAGGGCTGTCGTTCTGATCTTGGCCGCTTCCCGTCCCGACGGCTTCCTGTGGCTCATTCTGCTGCGCTGCTGCCTTCTTCCCTTTTGCCTTCGGCTCTTTTTTCGGCTTCGGAGGCGCTTTGGGCTTGGGGGGTGCCTTCTGCTTTGAGGGTGCTTTCGCCTTCGTAGGAGCCTTCGGCTTTGCAGGAGCTCTGGCTTGCTTCTTGACTGGCTGCTTGGGATCGGATCCGACTGTGCCTGCGTCGACATCAGCGTCCGCAGCAGAGTCAGGGGTGAGGCTCTCGGAGTCGTCCAGTTTCTGGCGTTTGGCGGTATCTGAAGCAGCATCGTCGACTTCTGCTGTGCGAATCAGAGGATTGGCTGACTCGGAAGCCTGGGCAATGGTGTCGTCCACAGTCGCAAGCTCGGGCGGTGGAGGGGTCGACAGGTCGCCATCGTCTTGCGCCGTCTCGTGGTCGGGGGCCGGCTGTACTGTAACAGCAGCCTCGTGTTCGACTGTATTGAGAAGCGAGTCCATCATCAGGCTCATGCCTGTGTCTCCCCTCCCGTGACTCGCATCACGATTCAGAGACTCTCGGTCGTCGCCGTCGTGTGCAGCAGCTGTCGGAGTTCGCCCTCGAATGGGCTCGTTCTTCGCCTCGTCAGCCCGAGGAACGAGATTTTCCGCTTGTTGCTCATCGATGTGTGCTCCGTCGCTGCCGTTCATATGTCCGTCGACGGGTTGCAATGGGGGAGTCGCCAACACCGCTAGTCTTTCCTGCGTGTCTGGCTGCATGGCAATCCCCATCGAGGCATCGTTTTGGCCATCAGACTCATAGTCGGAGCCTGGCGCGTCGGCCGAGGAAGACGCTGGTGAGGCGGCGTCTGCCGGAGGTTCATTTTGGTCAACGAACGAGGCACGAGCTGTCTCGTACGCGATGTCGTCGACTGCTCCTTGACGTGGGGCCGGCGGCATGTCACCACCTTTGCTGAGATCGGAACGTGCGTGCGAAAGCTGATAGGAGAGGTCGGTGCGAAATTCGGTCTGCATCGCAGGAGATTCCGGGGTGTGGTGATCTTCGGATACTGAGCTAGCTGCCACCAATTCTGGCACCTCTTCGGGTTCCTGCTCCCGTCGAAGAGAACGTGTCTGGTTGCTTGACATTGCGCCTTCCATGACACCTTCCTGCTTTTCGGGTCGGCGACCGCCGCCAAACAGATTGGACACGTATGCTGCGAAAGTATTCCCACTGGAAGGATGCGTAGCGACAGCCTTCATGTCAGCCGGGGGATCAGGACGTCGAGACAGCTCCACCCTCTCTTCCGAACTCGATTGCTTCAAGCAGTTGAGAAAGGTCGTCGGTCGGACTGTGAGCTGATCAATTGGCTGAGCCAAAGCTAGTGATGGTCGAGCGTGATGACTGATGACGGATGCAGCTGGTGTTCAGAGGAAGAGGTGGCTGTGCTGGGCAGACGACGTGCTCGCGCATGAGATAGGTGAGGATACTCTCGAACGGAGTCGTCAATTGTCTTATCAGACAGAGCTGCTAAGAGTGTGTCGATCGAGATGGGTTGATGAACGAATCAGGCGAGCTGCGTCCTGCAAGATTCCCACCAGAATACGCAGAGAAAGTCCAGATCTGCGCTGAGCTGATTCGTTGCTCGAAAGCGACAAGCCGACTTCGAATTGGCTGAGACGACCTTTCTCAGAGATGGTGGAGATGCTGCAGGTGAGTTGTTGGAGTTTTGGAGCGAGGTGGGCAAGACAAAGTTTGACCAAGCTTCGTGTTTAGAGACGAAACTTTGTCTGCGAAGCCGTCCCTCCCGTCGCAATGCAAAAATTTGGCCAAGCTGCACGAATATGAAGTCGTGGTGTTCGACCTTTCGAGAGCTCGCAACGCGCTGTGATTGAGTCGACACCTCGTGATGTGGGTGAGTTGGAAGTGCGTGCATCCGTTGGCGGGACCTCGAGGTGACAGCGCGCCGAATGAAGTGCAGGTGCGTGGTGAATGGTGGGGGTGTAGACGGATGGATGAGCTCGACAACGCTGTGCTTTTATGAGTTTGCGTATCGGTGGCGACACATCCTCGCTCTTCTGCGTGACGCCAGATGGCTGAGTCGTCGCGGCAACTGCTCATTCGCTGCCTGGTCGCTTGTGTTTTGAATGGACATTGCGTGGCGGGAAGTGATGGCGAAAGGATCGATAGCGAGGCGAGACGAGGCGGAAAGGCAAGGCAAGAGGCAAACGAGGTTGATGCGCAGCAGCAAAAGCGGATGGCTGATGAAATGCAGTGCAGGGCGAGCCTTCGGAAGGTTTCCATGACTCGCTACCCTTGCCCCTCACTCCGCAGAGCAACGCCTGTCGCCCGCCACCTTTCTCACGCTCTGATCAGATGAATGTGACTTTGAAGAAGGTCAAAGGGTGAGAGGACTGGTCATTCGCCTCGTCGGAAGCAACCCGACCTCTTCATTGGCCATGCGCTCGTTGCGAGGCTGCTGCGCCCCAGCTCTTCGCCCTTTCGACTGGTCATTGTCCTGCTCGGCTGACTAGCTGTGCTTCCATGCATTCACATTAGCGGAGTGGCCCGAGCAGACTGAGCAAGTGACAGAAGCAAAGGTGAGCGAAGCTTGTGACAACGGACCGAGGCAAAGCCAAAAGAGGGTCTGTGCTCGTTAATCGAAGCTGTCAAGGGATTGCTTAGCCAAGTCAGAGCTCGTTCCTGTCTGCTTCACTTCAACTCGCCGACAGGGTCCAGATCCTCTACTTCTGCAACACATCACCTTCGTTGCCAAGTCAAGGCCAGTGCGCAAAGTCAGCAACAATGAAAGGCTGAAGAAGCGGGGCTGAAGTCGCGGACAAGGCGCATGCATGTGGTCTGTGCTCTTCTCCCTCAACTCGTCACATTCGTGTGACAATCTGGCTTTCGACTCGCGAAGCTGAAGCGTGGGAAAGTAGCCACCTCTTCAGGCGCATTTGACCATGGCGGCTGACCGGTTCAGACCGCTCGACCTCGAACTGAGCTGCCGAATGAGCCGCAGCTTTGACTTGCATTACAGGACCACGAAGAGCTGAAGCAGCGAGCTCTCACGATGGATCGCTCCAACCCACGCCGGATTTGTCATATGGAGTGTGTTGCAAACCACTTTTGATTGCGGTATCGAAAATGCTGAATCCGAGCGAAGGCTATGGAGAACGCGATCAAGGCTCGGTCAGTGTGAAACCGCCATCGACGCAGAGGATCTGGCCATTGAGATACTGACAGCTGGCGAGGAACTGCGTCGCCTGCACCATGTCCTCCTCCCTACCCGGCCGACCGGCTGGCAGCGCCATCTCGTCCATCTTGCCCTTCAGCGTCGAGATGCTGGTGTCGTCGTTCTTGTCCTTTGCTGTCATCTGCGATGGGAACGTTCCGGGAGCGATCGCGTTGATTCGGACCTTGGCCGTGGTCGCAGCTGCCACCTCGAAGGCGAGCATCTTGGTGACATGGTGGACGGCAGCCTTGGAAGCATTGTATGAGACGTGCAGCTGCGACTGCTTGACGACACCCGAGATGCTGCCCGTGGTGATGATGGTCGACGACCAAGCAGTCGATGCTTCGGTTCCTTTGGCGAGCAGCGGCAGGAAGGCAAGGCTGAGGAAGTAGAGCGCATAGACGTTGATGCGGAAGAGGCTGTCCCAGTCGTCGGGCGAGTTATCTTCGAGCGACTTTTTGGCGAACTCCTCGATCGAGAGACGTTGCTCGCGGTGCTCTGGATGCATCTTGAGAGAAGCGTCGGCGGTGTTGGAGCCTTCGTTGAGCGGTCCGACGACACCAGCGTTCGAAATGAGGATGTCGAGCTTCGACTCGTGCTTGCTGAACTCGTCGGCGAGCGAGAGGCAGCCTTCCTTAGTCGAGATGTCGGCCGTGAGCGGAATCAGGGGTCGGTCGTCCGATCCGTGAACCTTGGCCGTCTGCTCCAAGACTTCACCCCTCCGGCCGACGATGTAGACTTTGGCTCCGGCGGCGCGCAAACCTCGAGCCTGCATCAGTCCGATCCCTGTGGCCCCGCCTGTGATCAGGGCGATCTTGCCAGTGAGGTCAAACATCTTGCCAGGAGCTAGATGCTCCGCGGCCGTGTGGTCTGCTGGTGCTGAAGAGTACGACATAGTTCGTTCGCGATGATGGTCTTTTCACGTTGCAAGAACAGCTTCGACGATGGAAGCGGCGTTGATGGTAGCGGAAGGAGCGATGTTGAAGGCGTCACCCGGGAAAGGGGCGCTGTCCTTTGGCTTCGTCTATATAGCGACAGCCTCATAGATGCAGTAACGATGCAGCACAGGCGGCTGATTCACCCCGACAGCGTGCTTTGATGATGACGATGCATTTTGGTGACCGAGTTGAGGACGCTCAGGGTCCACTTCGAAGGGGAAGAAAAGCAGCAGAAAATCGCTTTCTTCCGATTTTTCGCTTTGCCGACACGTCCGTTGAGTCAGCATGAGCCGTGCACGAGCAAGCGCATCATCGGATGCATCATCAACCAGACGAGCGAGGCCCGGCGCTCGCCATCGTGCTTGCGCGAGATGCTCGCGATCAGAGAGCTCTAGAAAAGGGCCCGGTCCAGAGGCTGACAAGGAAGCGCACGTGGGGATGTAAGTAGCCGGCGGACTCTCTTCGCGATCTACCGATGATCGGCGATGCCTGGGACAGCGAGCCGGCTGATGGATGCCGAAACGATCCTCCGTGTTGCTTCCTCATGTTGTCCGCTTGTGCGGTGGTATCGGAGACGACCAGCATCCTCGAGTCTGTACAGCTCCAAGCCGCCGAGATCTCGTTCTCGAGATCGACCATCGCCTCGGTCGATGCGCACGCATCGCTGATCACGGGTGTCTGCGGTCGTAGAGATCGTCATCGAGATCGTCCATCTTGGACGCGCCAGCACCACTACCTGTGGGAGGATACGACGAGTGATGATTGTACGGCTGGTGCGGCGCATCGAGATCATCATAGAGATCGTGTTCGGCTGCGTTGATGTCGAATGCTTCCGCCTCGTCATCGCGCATTCTCCCGTACGCACTGCGGCTGCCCGAAGCACCGCCACTGCCGTACGAACCCGCTCCGCCTGATCGGCCGCGACCGAAGAGTCCGCGAATGCGTTCTGCTAGTGCTTCGCGAGCGTTGTCGCCAAGGCACGATGAGAGGGCGAACCAGCCGATGGCTAACGCTACACCAATGCCGAGGATGATCCAGAGCGGCAAGAGCGAGGAGGACTCTGCTCCGGACTGGCGGCGTAGCAGCGTGTGTAGTGGGGCGGTCGAAGGCATGATAGCGGCAGTCTACTTCGTGTGCGGTTCTTTGTGTCGGAAGGAGGAGAAAAGCTTAGAGAGACTGGCCAGATTCCTGTCGTTATAGGCGCCTTCTAGACTCGCGAAGGTGATACCTGGCCTCTGAGGCAGTGTTGTATGAAGCGCTTCTGTTGCGATTAGTCGCGAGTGTGATATGCCGAACCTCTCGAATGGTGTTGTAGTTGAGCGACGAAGAGACTGTCGAAGGATGTCGATTACGAGCTCGGATGACATGCCCAACTTGGTGGTGCGTGCTTGAGAAGCGTGCCGAATTCTTCCCTGCTTTCGGCTTAGTAGGTCTAACAAATTCACCATTTTTGAGACCGGCATCCTCAACGATTCTCTGCTGCCCGCGGCCTCTATCCGGTCTGCCTCACCATCGACGTGGTGGCGATGTATGCGGTGGGTCTTCAGCACGGGTCTTGCACCAACAAAGACCCACTCCAGACACCTTGTAGAAGTAATGATTATTGAAACTGACGCACTGTACAGAAGGAACTCGCTGCTCCACGACCGACGCTCACTGATCAGCCACCAACCGGATATCGTACGCCACCTCGGTCTGGCAGCCGCTCTTCTTGGCCTCGTTGCTGCTCGGAGTGGCAAAGTCGACGGTCAGCCCGCTCTTGTCGGCAAACACCGCGTCTGCGCCAATGTACTCGCACTTGGAATCAAAGATCTGGGTGACCAGCTGCTTGTACCCGTTTGCCTCGATGAGGAGATGGATGTGGGCAGGTCGCATGGGGCTCCTATCGAGCAGCTTCAGAATGTCACCCGCTCCACCGTCGTAGGGGATGGGATAGGCGGTGGGACGGAGGCAGCGGACGGCATAGTAGCCGGCAGCGTCGGTGGTGAAGCGACCGCGGTAGTTGTAGTCTGGCTGCTTCTCGTCCTGCTGCTCGTACAGGCCGTTGGGGCCGGTGTGCCAGATGTCGATCTGCGCCCCCACGATGGGCGCGCCAGTCGAGGCGTCCGTGACCTTGCCATGCATGAGACACGTCTCCCCACGTTTGCCGTCGGCACTCGTGATGGTGTGGTCGAGCACAATGTCACCCCCGTTCTCGTATCGTGGAGCGCCCGTGCGGTAAAAGGGCCCGAGAATGGCGCTCTCCGTAGCATCCACTTTGGCTCCAGAAGAAGCAGCCTGCGCCCGCTCATGCGTCATGTTGTCCACCAGCGACTCAAGCCCAAGGACATCCGAGATGAGGATCAGCTCGTTTCGTCGCGCATCCGACATCTGACCCGAGCGAATGAGGAGATCGCACGAGGCGAGCCACTCTTCGTTCGTCAGCTGGACTTCGCGAGCGAAGGCGTGCAGGTGCTTCATGAGGGCATCGAGGACGAACTTGGCTCGGGGATGCGCTTTGGGTCCGGAGACGTCTTGGCATGATTTGGTGTACGAGTCGAGGACGCCGTTGGTGGTGGTGTGGCCGTTTGTGGCAGTCATCGTGGCGGTCTTTGATCGGAGAGTTGGAGGTGGTAAAAGGAAGGATCCCGTTCCGCCAGGCTTTGGAGGGGAGAGGTGTATGGCTCAGGAAAGGGGATGAGGACGATGGAGGACGGGAGGGTATCAGCGACACTCGAAGGCTCTTGTGATATACGAACGTCTCACCAGCCTGCAACTGGACGCTGAAACCGAGCTCATCATGACAATTCGCCAGTTGGTAATGGCTCTGCGCAGTGTGGGACTTGCCGTGAGAAGAGCTTAATTGGCGCCCCATCAGGGTCCCACGCCCCTCTGCTTGTTTGCGACGAAGGATGCACGGATATTGCGGCTGGCTGGCCTGCGATGAAATGCGGGGAAGCTGTGCGCTGCTTCCAGAGATTTCAGGGTAAAATCCGAGGAGCCGTGGAGTATGTCCGTCGCTACTCACAACTTCTCCTGCCAAGCAAGAGAGGGGGGATGCATTTGACAGCGGGGTAGTGAGTACGCTGTCCAATGGGAGCAATCTGATTCGACGCAGTGTGTCCGCAACAATGAGGGCACACCTTTGACAATCAGTGCACACCGAGCACATCCGAGCACGGATCAGATCCGGTCGTCGGTCCCTCCAAACACCACTTTGAGCCTCGATCACTTCATCAACTGAGACGACAGGAGAACCGATATGTCAAACGCCTTCATCGGCCTATGCTTTGAGTTTGGGTTGTCGCGCAACCTCTTCCCCACGAGATGACCAACAGGTGCCGCTGCGTGTCCCGGCCCAAACCGCAACCTTGGCCACTGTTTGCTGAGCCAACAACCGACGCTCGACTCGCACGCCCGGTGCCACAAACACTCCCACAGCACAGCCCGCCACGGTTGCAGCGGAACGCGTGACGCCGCTGCACGGGTATGCTCAAGCTGAAGCGTGAGCGACGGCTTGTGGCCCCGTGTAGGGTTGAATCGGGAGGAGAGGAAGGCTTGCGATCTCGGCCCGGCTATCCTTTTTTTCGACTTCGGCAAAAGGAGGGGTTTGTGCGCTGTGTGTGACACCGGACCCCACAATCGAGGCTTCGACAGGTTGAAAGCCACCTACCAACACACCTTCAAGGACTCGTTCAGCATCTCCTTGACATCGAAGCGGTTCAGCGGGAGCCACATAGACGAACGCAATTATGCCGGTGTGCGCGCTTCATCTAGTGCAGCTGCACGATGCGACCGCGCAAGGCGTCGACGGCTTCCTACAGCGTCTCTTCGAGGCGGCCACCAACCCGAAGGAGTTTAGCATCGTGACGGTCAGCCAGATCCAGTCGCCAATCATTCGACCTACGTTGGTCGACCACACCACCCTCAATGGCACTCCTTGGACGCTGCTGCTCGTCGTCGGCGGCGCGAAGGCCCACGTCTTGCCCTCCTCGTTGGGCTCGGCTGTTGAGGTGCACTACTCGCTCGTCTCGGGCATCCCCTCCAAGATCGTCAGCAACTACGACACCATTTCGACCAAGCTTCGGGAGGAAGCACCACGCGTGCCGCTGCTGGAGATCAAGCTGGATGGCAAGGGTGATGTAATTCCTCCCGCCAACAAGAGCAGCTCGACTCGCGACGATGGTCAAGACCTCTCCCTCTCCCCTGCTCTGCTTGACCTCGCCAAGCAATTGAATGCCAAAGGCCACAAAGGACCAGTGTCGATGCTCAACTTGCTGCATTTCCACACGCAGCCGGGCGCTGTCGAGTCATATCACGAGTACGGGCGTCGCTTCGCCACCGTCGCTGGCCGAAGGGGAGGCAATGCGAAGTTGGTTGGCATCGTCATCCCTCTCAGCGGCGAACTCAAAGACTCTAGGAACGGCAAAGGCAAGGGTGAGTGGTGGGATGAGTGTACGCTCGTCCACTATCCCTCCATCAACCATTTCATAGACATGAGCGTCGACGACGAGTATCAGTACATCAACAAGGAGTTCCGCCTGAAGGGCATCAAGGATACCGCGCTCATCTGCACGCTCGAGCTCGACCTCACCAAGTACCGAAGACAGGCCAAGTTGTAGATGTCGCAATGTCATGATATCGATATGCTATACGGCGGTGTTTGTCTCGATCACTTGCTGCTTGAGCATCCGACGCCGCGCCAACCCCTTCAACGCCCACGAAACGTTTTCGTACACGACAAACGTCACGCATGTCCCGGGCAGAATCCTCACCAGATTCGGCACCAACCCTTTGTAAAACGCCCGCAACCCCTCCTGCGTATACGTCAGCCGAATGCACGTGCTGATGTTGGGATAGATGTGCGACGTAGCGTGGTTCTGAATCCTCGACCGCACCACTTGGTACGGATAAGTCAACAGAATCGCCGCCACCTTCGACACGCCCGACATGACAATGTACTCAGCGTTGGAGAGCTTGACCATCGACGTGTCCACTCCGGGCTGATTGCGGATGGCCACGGACGTGCGCCACTTTTTGAGCTCTTCGTAGGCCATGAATTGAATGGCACCGTTGGAGACGCCGAACAGCGCGAGACCGGCGCCTTTGTACCAGCCGCGCACGCCTTCGGTGCGGTAGATCGATGCTAGACCGTGCCACAGCCCGCGGTACACCTCGGGCGCTTTAGCTGTGGTCGAAGATGCGGTGTTGGCAACGGATTGTGGAGTCGTAAACATGCGCGTCTTGACCACCCAGATGGGGTTCGTCATGAGCGCTGTGATCGCCCCGCTCTCCGATGCTGCTAGGAGATGCTGTCCCGCGGAGAGCTTGCGTGGCTCGCCAGTGGCCGGATCGGGAGTGGTATCGTTGGCAGACATGCGTTCTTTGATCATGGTATACCACAGAAAGTAGAGCCCCCACGAGGCCGAGTTGCCAGCAACGTTGGGACTGAGACCGCGATACAGACCCTTCCAGCCATCGGCTTTGACAATATCGTTGAGTGCGCCCATCATGTCGTTGCCGATGCGGCCTCCTAGCGCGTAGTACCTCCAGCTGTGGCGCGGTGCTGCCTGTCGAAGTGTGCCCCTTGCAGACTTGCCGGTGGCAGCAGCATCGATCGCTCGACCTTTGCCCTTGAGATCCGCGCTGCTGTCGGCGAGGGATGCAGCTTGCGAGTATATCGATGCGCCGTTGCGCTGGCGAAATGAGATGGGACGCGGCCGTGAGGTGTCCACCTGGTACTTGGTCTTGATGAGGTCGAGCGGATTCATGCAGATCGTAGCGACGGCGCCGGCTGCGATGCCGCCGAAGGCGTGATCGAGTGCAGGCGTCGGGAAGAAGGATGGAGTGGTGGCGGGGACGGCAGAAGATGAAGCGGCCGCTTGGGAGGCTCCTTCGCCATCACCGCTGCCATTTGCCACATCGGTGCTGCCGAGCTTGACTCGTGTGCGGTCGACTTCGAGGGATGAGAAAGGCCGTGATCGTGAAGGACCAGCCTCCGCTGAAGCTGCGCTTGAGGTCATGATTGCTAACGTCCGTGATCTAGGGGTCGAAATGCTTTATCGAGCTGGGAGCATGCTGTCCAGTGGCGTGAGCGCGCTTGGGGAACGAGCCTGTTGCTGGTAAGAATCGTGCGCACTGATGGGAATGGATGATCCTGTAGAAGGAGAGACTCGTCGTGTGGCAAGCTTATAAGATGCTTCCTGCTCTTGATGCTGTTCGAGTCAGGTGGCCATGTGGAGTGTTGGATGTGACAAACTGACTCTTCAGAAGAAATTTTGTGGTGTGGTGAGCGTGGTGCGGAAAGCTTCCGAGAAGCTCGGAAGATCACGCTCAAATTTAGGCTTTGCCGAGAACGGCGGTGACGCTTGCAATTTCACAAGAATGTTAGGCCATCGAGCGCGCGTTTGTGCAGAGCCCGACTTCCGACGAAAGGCAAGTGTCATTTCGAAACGACCTTCTCGACTCCTAACCCTTACTCCCTTCACCAAGACATCCTCCTCTTTCATCCCTGCCGACGGCTACTCCGCTGCTGTCCTGAGCTACTTCAAGCCTCGCCTTCAAGCGTGCTGCATAGCTCCGCGCTCTTACTCGCGAATCGATTGGCACCGACACGCAACGCCCGCCTCACGTCACATCACCTCCATTGAGGCTCTCTCACAATGGCGGTCGCTTCAACATCAAAGTCGACGGCAGGCAACGGGAGCACCTCCACCGCAGCTCCGTCCCCAACACTGTACGTCAAAACCCTCTACTCGAAGATCAAGAAATCCGAATTGCGACGACAGCTCTTTACGCTCTTCTCCTCGTACGGTCGAGTCCTCGACATCGTCGCCACGCGGGCGCCGTCCATGCGCGGCCAAGCATTTGTCGTCTTCGAAAGCACCTCGACCAGTGCTGCGGCAAAACGGGCGCTCGAAGGGTTCAGCTTCTACGGTCAACCGCTGCGGATCGAGTACAGTACGGGTGGGAAAAGCAAGGCGCTGCTAAGGAGGGAGTTGGGCAGCGAAGCTGTGTTGGAGGCCGATCTGGAGAGGAGCAGAGTCACCGTGAGCAGGAGGGGCGAGAAGAGAGGGCTGTTTCTGAGTGAAGATGGCGAGCAGGAGGAATTGGATGAAGAAGAGGACGATGGAGCGAGGGGCAAGCGGGTCAAGCTCGAAGAGGGGGTGGTGCTAAGCGCGAAGGGTGTGCCGGCGAACATCGAGCCTCAGGTGCTGGAAACGCTCTTCGGCCGCCAGACCGGGTTTGGGAGATTGACAACACAAGAGGACGCAGGCGGAGAGAGCTGGAGCGCAAGAATAGAGTTCGATAGCAAGGAAAACGCCGATGCTGCCAAGGAGGCGTTGCAGGATGTACAGATTGATCCCGTCTACAGGCTCGACTTGGAGCTGCTCTAGCCGCAATGTCACAGTCTCACGCCATCTGCGGTCCTACTATTCGCTTACTTTGGCTTTGAAATCCTCAGTTCAAGGGCCTGCATCGATACCACAGTCTCTCACACACGAGCACGCCGTCTGCAAACGAAGAAGCAGAAACCTTGAAATTGGAGTCGAACACCGCCGTCCACACATCTAGTGATCAATGATAGCGAGGTTACCGCTGATCAGCTTGTTCTCCAACACACTGCCCTCGGGGATCTCGATCTTGTTGCCCTCGTTGGCAACGATGATCACGGTTCCCCTGAGCGTGATGTTCCTGCCGAACACCACATCGCCCTGGACCGTCAAGTGGTCGAGCTCGATCATCTCGGGGATGCTCTTGAACCTCTTCTGGAAGGAAGCGACCTTCTTGAACGTGTCGCCCAACTTGACCACGGGGGTTTGGGAGAACATGCGGCCTGGGTTCATGACGAGCTTGCCGTGCTCGAGCGAGTAGAGGTCCGAAGTGATCAACAGCAAATCGGAGCAGCTCTTGACGGGCAAGAAGCGCGATCGGGGTACGTTGACACCCTTGGCGCCGCGGAAGTGCTTGATCGCCGCACCGACGGCCGTCTCGAGCTGGATGACGGCCTCACCGGACTCGAGCGCCTTGTTGTTGACAATGATCTCGAGGTCCAACTCCTCGTTCTCGAGCACGCGCTTGACAGCGCGCAGGTTGAGCCACAGGTTGTTGGTGTTGAAGATCTTGAACTTCTTGATCGACTTGAAGTCCTCGACGTGCTCCGAGGGCACTTGGGCGATCTCGAGCAGACGAATGGTGCCCTCGTAGTCGATCAGAGTACCACCCTTGACGTCGGCCTTGGTCTTGTCGGTCACTTCCGAGATGAACTCGGCCTGAGCATCAATCATGTGCTGGTAGATGTTGAGGTCGACGTCGGCACCCAGGTTGTCGACGTTCGAGACGAAGAGGTACTCCTTGCCAGCAGCAATGAGGCGGTCGAGAAGACCAGAGTTGTTCATGGCATCGAACAAGTCACCGTGTCCGGGAGGGTACCAGAGGTTCTTGTTGTCCGTGGCGTTGCGCGGGCAGGGGAGGAGCGACTCCTTGTTGACACGCGGGTATCGCGACTGGTTGAAGGTGAGGATCTCGACGTTGTGGTTGGCGTACTTCTGGATGACTCGAGCCGTGTCGTCGTCGGTGTTGAACGAGTTCATGAGGATGAAGGGGACGTTGACGTTGTGCGAGCTGTTGAGGTGCTCAATCTGACGCACGGAAAGATCGAGGAAGGTCATGCCCTCACGGACCTCGATGACCGACTTGGGACCGGTGCAACCCATGGTGGTACCGAGACCACCGTTGAGCTTGAGCACGGCAAGCTTGTTGAGGATCGAGGGATCAGTGGCCTTTCGCAGCTCGGCGTAAGGGGTGATCTGCTTGGGCGAAGGGGGCTGGATCTTGTCCCAGATGCTGTTTCGATTGCAAACGAGGAGGAGATACGGTCAGCGATTGCGCTACGAGAGAAGCTTCTGCACTGCGAATGTTGGAATGGCTACTTACAGCTTCTCGCCCTTGGCCTTCTCGGAGAGGTATCGGTTGAAGAGGGTGAAGAAGTTGGACATCTCGGCGTCGAAAGCCTGTGGTACGGGAAGGGCAGGTGCAAGGTGGAAGGGACGTCAGCTCTGCGGTCTTTTGAAATAGCTGAGGCAGATGCGTGCTTCAATTCGGCTCGTTTGGCAAGTCGGCCATCCATTCCGCAGGAGAAAGACGGCTCGGCTCCTCGTCGCAAAGCGAGAGCATCCGCTCTGTCGCTATCAGTGCGGAATGGTCGTAATGCCGCGTCGAATCGATCCATGTTCGACTCCTGAAGTAGACGCCAAGAGCCTTCACGGACCTATGAAAGCGTCCAGTGCTTCCGAAAGCGGTACCGCGTGTTTGAGAAGCAGCACAGCTGCCCATGCGGAACGAGTGCGTCGTGCTTGTCGTCCCAGAGAGGAGGAAGGTACCAACCTTGCGAACGGCAGGGTCATCGATGCCCGAGACGAGAGCGTTGAGCTCGTTGCGCATAGCCTTGGCGGCAACACCGGTGGTGGCCGACTTGAAGTCCTATGGAGCGGCAACCGAAGGGCAAGCAGAAGGGAAGCCACAAAATCGGCGGAGATCAGCAAACGTGTCCGCAAATCCGAGAACATGACCACTGCTCTGCGCAGCTTTGCCAGGCGCACAGCCAATTGGAGCCGACTGTCTTGGCCCCGCTGGATGGCAGGGCAGACAGCCGTCTCGCGAGACTCGACTGGAGCGCCTTGCGGCTCGCTCGAGCGCAGACTTGGCAGCTCTGAGCGCACGGCAGCTTGGCGAGCTGGTGATCAAAGGCAACTTACAATGTGCGAGGCACCACGGGTGCGCGAGGCCTTGATCTGGGCGCCATTGTTGGGCGTGGAGAGAGTAGCGTTCGAAGACATCTTGAACGACGAGGATGCTATTCCTAGCGATGACAAGGGAGAAAAGGTATGATGATGGAGGAAGTAGGAAGAGAAGGGAGGTGCGAAGGAGAAGTGATGCTAGCCTTCGACGCAAGCTACAGGGGTACACAGGAGTGGCGATTGCGATGCGGTGTGATGCAGAGGCGTTGTGATGCACGGTGCCTTGTGGGCAACTCGATTTTTGGAAGGGTGCGAGGGTGGCCAAAGCGAGCGAGAATCATGACGGAGCAGACAGACAGACACTCACGCCCGTGCCTGCAAGCGCAGCGCACAGAGAAGTGTTGTTCTCATGATTTCTCGCTCAATTTGGCCGAATTTTCGCTCGAAACGCCGTGAGCGGGTTGGGTCGTCGAGCACGGGCACAAAGGCTGCGCACACCTCTCGCCCCTCCGAGTCTTTTGTTCTCAGCGGACAGCGAACGCTTTCGGAAGAAAGCCAGACAGACACTGCTCAAGTGCCCTCGAAGAGATTTCAATTTACTCACAACGAAGTTTTGGAATTTCGAGAAATTCGCCACCGCCCATCATCGATGTGCAGCCATGTCAGATGTCGCCGGTCAAGACCCTCTTTGAACGCAGATCCTCCGCATGCACCTCGACCAATCATACAGCAGAGGCGACATGCGCAATGCACGATCGAAAAAGCGTACAGTTGTACAGTAGGTCAAGGAGTGCGTGCTCTGGTCAGTCAGAGAGACAGGTGCAAGCTGGCCTGAGTTGGTGAATCGGGTAGCCTTCCTGCGCTCGGCGTGGGCAACAACCAAACTCAGGCTGGGCGTAAAGAGATATTCCGACTGAGAAACGTGGCTCAATCGATATTTTGGCGGGATTCCGGAAACGGTTCGGTCCGCTCGTTCGCTGGTGGGCGCTTGACAGCTCGTTTGTTCGAATAGTTGCTCCGTGCAGGCTGGCCTCTCCGCAATCGGCCGTTGACGCTATCGATAGGTGGGTTGTTCACCTGACTAGCGTCAAGACCATCGGGCTAGCGTCAAGTATGAGGATGACGATGCCTCTGTCTCGCCTAGGACTAGTGTAGCAGTCACTTCACTGCCAGCGTGGAGACACAAAAGTGCGCTAAGTGGCTGCTGACCGGCATGTAGCATCTGAAACATCACCGCACGTAGGCGGCGTCTTCCTGCCTTATCTGCTCTTCGTCGTTAGCGTTGGATCGTGGATTTGCCTCGCCTCCAGCCCGATCTCGCTGTTGTATCGGTGCATCAGCATGGCGAAGGTCATCCCATTCGATCGTGTGCGTGTGTGTGAGAATAGATGCGAAGAAATCATATTGTGCTGCGATGCGATGCAAGTGAAACGAGAACAAGACTGCGAAAGGTCCATGAAAACCGACCGGTCCTGCTAGTCAGGAGCAGAGTTGACGACTAGCCACGAAGAGAGCGCACCCTCGTCTCGCTACGGATCGAGCCTTCTTCATCCGACCCGTATCGGCTCAGCTCGGCCCAGCTCTCCTGACCATCGCTGTGCACCGAGATCATGTCGACGCCTCCCACCGCCGCAGGCTTGCTGCCACTCGACATTGTCGGGCTCGGCGGAGCTTGCACCTGACTCCACCTTCCCTCCGAGTCAGCTGTATCGCTGATCACTTCAAAGTCAGGCTCGCTCTCGGCGCCCGCAGATCGTGATCCAGTCGAAGGTGGGTTGAGGCTCGGTGGATGCAGAGCCCTATTTGAGCGATACGGAGATCCAGAGGTATGCGAGTTGTTGCTGCTGCTATGCGCGTCAGCGTAGAGATCATGGAAGGAATGCTGCTGCTGGTCCGAAAGCGTTTGCGAAAGCCCGTTGGTGTCGAGGATCACGTGCCCTTCCTCGGTCAGCTCCTCTTGAGAGGGCGAAAAAGTGTCACGAGAATCTTGCGTGGCGGGCTGGTCAGCCCGTTGAGCGGTACGGTCGCTGAAGACGGCATGCCAGGATGATGCGGTGCCATCCACAATGTCGGCAAAGGGGTCACTGGCGTTGCTGCGAGCATTCTCCTGATCCAAAGCCTGCGATGTCTGCACGTCAAAGTCAAGGCCGAAGAGACCGTTCCTGGCTGCCTCAGTCTCGCCTCTGCTATCGCCCCTCTCGAGATCAGATGATGTAGAAGCTTCTGCGCCGTGGTCGCCCGTTTCGGTCACCAGCTGCGCAGACGGCACTTCATCTGTCTTTGACGAAGCGCTCCCGACTCTGTGATGCGTCATTTCAGGCGACGTCGTCTTGCGCGTATCCATTACAGGCACACTGATGATGCTCGTCCGCGCTGATCGATCCTCGTTCGCCGCATCCGCACCTGCTGGGCGTCGTCTCCGCAACCTCCCATCTTGCTGATCCGTGCCACTTGTGAGACTTTCGCTCATCGAAGCTCGAAGGCGGTCGCGGTAAGCGGAAGCTTGACGTTCGTGCATCTCGAACTCGTGCTGAGCGCTCTCCCTGCTTGCCTCTTCCCCGACGCCTCTGCGGAAGTCATCCAGCTCGTCGTCGCTCAGTCGACGATGCCCATCTCTGCTCCTGCTAGTATCGCGCCTTCGTCCATCCCGCAAAGTTCGGAGGTCGTCCTGGATCTCGTGGACCGCTTGCTCGACCTCTCTTCGAAGCTTGAGGAACTCGCTGCGCACACCTTCGCCGAAGCCATGCGGCCAATTGTCCTCGCGCCAGGGGCGAAAGACCGCCACTTCGAATGCGACAGCAGCACCGACGCCTGCCGTTGCGGCTGCTGTGATGATGAGCGGGTGCACCATTGTGATGGCAGCAGGGTAAGGGTCGTTCCTGCGCGCGTGCGGTTCTAGGCGTTCGTCGTCCGCAAACAGCACACTGCTGTAGGTGAAAAGTAGTCAGTAGTCAGCGCCTTGCCAGTCGCCGTGTCGTTGCAGTTCTCGCTCTTGCGTAGCAAGACGCAATGCTCGACGGTCGTGGTGGAGAAAATCGAGGGGAGAGTGGGTGGTTTCGAGGCCTAGAGGCTCAGTCGATCCGAGCGGGGAAGGCACTTTTTTGACGCGCAGGTGGAGCGAGCTGGCTGAGTTGCGGAGAGAACCCTGCATAAGCGGTGCAGGGACCGAGCGGGGGATAATTGGCAAAGTGTTAGGCCCACGCATGAGGTTTGACGCTGCATCACTTGCCAGATCTGGTCCTGACACTTCATCGCCTGCCAGAACACATCGGCGTGCTGCTCAGCTTCAAGTCAATTCAACACTCAGGTGTCCATGAGGAACGGATGCTGTATGCATTGCAAGTCGGACGATGGGAAGAGAATCGGAAGATGTCACTTTTTCCACAGCCCCATGAGCTCTTTCTGCAAGTCTCTCGCCTTCCTCTCCTTCTCCAAGCTCTGTGTGCTTCGCAGATGACTGACCACATCCCTCGTCTTTCCAAAGTAGACCTCTTGCAGCTGATTGCGCATCTTGGCCTCCATGTCCTCGATCATGCGGCCCACGTTGGAGACGTGCGAGACGAAGTCCGGCAGCGCATAGTCGCCTTCGGATTGACGCGTGAGACTGCCTGCAATCTCGACGGTGCCTACTTTGGTGGAGGAAGGCTTGAGGTCGGTGGGCTCTTCGTCACCTTCGTCGCGGCGGACGAGACCGAGCATGACGGTCGAAGTGAGCTTGTAGCTTGCGCTGACGCCGGTGCCAGTGGACGAGGATTTGGAGCTGCCACTCGCGCGTTCAGTTGCCTCAAAGACGTGGATCGAGTCCCATGCGCCCGAGATGCCGTTGCCGCTGGCGTCGCCGATGGCTGTCAGGTCGAAGCAATCAAGGTGATCAAGTGATGTCAGTGAGACAGTCTCCGAAGCGATGCACATCCCGCGCCGCTCTGGCGACTGCGCGTCAGACTTACTCTTTTTCAGCAGGACGACGCCTGCAAAGGTGGATGGAGCATGCGTGCCTCCGACGGTCGCCCCGGAAAGGGAGCTTGGATCGCTGTCGAGGTCCCACAGGTAGACGCTCGACAGCGCATTGTCGTAGTAGAGCTTGGCGTATGTCGCGAATGCATCGTTGGCCTTGAGCTCCAGCGATCTCAAGGGTGCACTTGGTCGTGTCCCTGGCTCCCCGTCCGCAGTGTCGTCGGCATCCGGTGCGATGGGAGGATGGTAGGTGTCCGAAATCCATGACCTCCAGCTGTCTCCGTCCTTGTTGTAGTCGCAGCATAAATACTCCCGCCCTGAACCTTGCTTTGACTCATCCACCTTGACCTTGAGCGGCTGGTCGACCGAGGAGTAGAGATCGTCGGCATATGATGGGATGAGCTTGACGATCGAGTCGAGGTTCTGCTCCACTTTGGACGGCGGCAGGCGACGCAAGAGGTCGAGCGAGAGGTCGAGTGGGTCCGTCATTCTTGGTATGAGGCTATTCGGACTCTAGCAGCCAAGGAATAGGAACTTGGTGAATGCTGGATGGTGGGCTGCTGTCCAGTATCTGACCAGAACCTCGAAGTTGGGGAGTGGTGTGAGTGCGTGTCTTGAGAGGTCTGTGCGAGATCGGCCATCACCTCGCCGATCCATCTCGGCTTAACCTCACGTGAAGTGAAGGCATAAAACTGTTTTGTGTTACGGTGTGAAGCTCAACATTGCTCATTTTTCCGCCATGCGAGAACTAAAGCCTGTCATTGACGACCGAGATGGCGTGCTTTGGCTCGCCCCGCTCTGCTCTCGAAGGGTCAAAGAACCCTGAAGCACTAAAGCACAGACCACAATCAGAAGATCTGTTCAGCATCTCGCTGCAAACGGTGAGCACGTTTGCTTGCCTCGTCCTTCAGTCCGCTCGAGAAGAAGAAGGAAGAGAACCAGCGGTTGACTGCCGCCCATTGCAGCCCTCTCGTTCACGGACCAATATATAGATCCGCCTCTCCTCGACACATCGTTCGCATTGTTACCACCACCACCCTTTGTGCTTCTTCGTCCACGTCCCCCCTCGTAGACGCATTCATAACCGAAAATGGCTTCGCACGCTTCCAACTTCGACACCCTCCAGCTGCACGCTGGTCAGGAGATCGACCCTGCCACCAACGCTCTGGCGGTGCCCATCTACGCCAACTCGTCGTTCGCCTTCAATGACTCGGCTCACGGTGCTGACCTTTTCGGTCTGCGCAAGTTTGGTAACATGTGAGTGTTCATCAAGCTGTCTGCGAGCAGCAGCATTGCTCTCTGTGCACACTCCTGTGCAAGGAGCGGGCCGTTTACACGCCGTCAGACGGAAACCCGAAATGAAAGACCTGGATGCTGACGAACGAATCTCCTCTCTAACTCTGCGATACAGCTACTCGCGTCTCATGAACCCCACCAACGATGTTTTCGAGAAGCGCATGGCTGCCCTCGAGGGCGGTGCCGCTGCTCTGGCCACCTCGTCCGGCCAGGCTGCCCAGGGAATGGTCGTCATGGGCCTCTGCGGTTCCGGTGACAACATCGTCTCCTCGTCGTACCTCTACGGTGGTACTTACAACGCTTGGGCCAACCTGTTCCCCCGCCTCGGCATCACCACCAAGTTTGTCAAGTCCGAGAGCCCCGAGGCCTACGCTGCTGCCATTGACGCCAAGACCAAGGCCATCTACATCGAGTCGATTGCCAACCCCAAGTACATCGTGCACGACATTGCTGCCATCGCCAAGGTGGCCCACGACAACGGCATCCCTCTCATTGTCGACAACACGTTCGGTGCCGGTGGATACCTTGTCCGCCCCATCGAGCACGGTGCCGACGTGGTGGTGCACTCTGCCACCAAGTGGATCGGCGGTCACGGTACCACCATCGGCGGTGTCATTGTCGACAGCGGCAAGTTTGACTGGAGCAAGAGCGGCAAGTTCCCTCAGTTCACCGAGCCCTCGGCAGGCTACCACGGTCTTAAGTTCTGGGACACCTTTGGTCCCATCACTTTCGCCATCTACCTTCGAGTTGTGATCCTGCGTGATCTCGGACCGTGCCAGAACCCCTTCGGCTCATTCCTGCTGCTGCAAGGTCTCGAGACGCTTTCGCTCCGCGTGGGTCGCATTGTGGAGAACGCCCTTGCGCTGGCTCAGTGGCTCGAAGCGCACCCGCAGGTCTCGTGGGTCTCGTACCCTGGTCTGCAGAGCCACCCCTCGCACGCTGTGGCCAAGAAGTACCTTCCCCGCGGTTTCGGTGGTGTGCTCTCGTTCGGCATCAAGGGCGACGCGGCTACCGGCTCGGCTTTCGTTGACAGCCTCAAGCTGGCTACTAACCTGGCCAACGTCGGTGACGCCAAGACGCTCATCATCCACCCTGCCAGCACCACCCACCAGCAGCTGTCGGACGAGGACCAGATCAGCTCCGGTGTTACTAAGGACCTTATCCGTGTCAGCGTCGGTTACGAGTTCATCGAGGACATCAAGGCTGACTTTGCCCAGGCTTTCGAGAAGACGTCGGGTGTTAAGGGTGCGATCCCCGGCGGTGAGACTGGTCCCGCTCCTGGTCTCTCGGGATCTGTGTAAATGAGAGCGCCGTAACAAGCTGGAGCAGCCATCGCATGGATACCTCTCGCCTTTTTCTGTAGTTGCTCCTGAAAATATATGTGCTGTACCCAAGTTCCCACTTGCAACTGTCAAACAGCGATGTGTGAGTCCCACGCTTCTTACTTTTCGGCCCGGAGAAGAGGATCGTTTGAAGGTGGGAGAGAGCAACGATGACCGTGATGTACGATCAACTGACGGTCCTTGCTCGTTTTGCTGTTGAATTGCGCGCCCCCTTGAGTTGAGTTAGCCGACAACCGCACAGCAGAGCGCGATGATCCCCCGCGTCTCCCCTCCAATTTCGCTCCCACTCTGCTGCGCTGTGTGGGCTGGGCAAATTGTCTCAGAGGCGGCGCCCAATTTTACGCCCTTTGGTTGAATTTGAGCCCCTTTCTGCCTGTTGGTTTCTCGCCCGCGCGACGGCGCGTGTGTGCGTGTGTTGGCATACAACGCCTGCACGCACCTCCGAGGGCTTGCGAATCGCTCCATCGCCACTTTCTTTTGGCTTCTGTTTGCCCACCATCATTGTTTCCATTCTCCAACAACCGAACGCAGCAGATCAGGGCTCGAGCGTCAATTCTCACAAGCGCAGGACACAACAAGATTCACGGCAGATTGCTCTCTTGGATTCGCCACGCTCATTTCTCTCGACGCTCACTTCATATTTGACACCGAGACTCGCCCTGGACGGATAGCAGCAAGGTCACCAACACCTCTACTCGTATCAGCGACTCTCAGAACATCCAACAAGCAACGGAACGATCCTCACCAAACCGTCGCAGCATCTAGCGTCACGACCACCGGTGACTAGCAAGCAACGCACCCCCTCCCTCTTTCTTTCTCCTTCCTCATACACACTCGCCAAGATGGGTTCCTCCCTGAGCCGGGCGATGGGCAAGATCTTTGGCAACAAGGAGATGCGCATTCTGATGCTTGGCCTCGACGCGGCGGGCAAAACGACCATCCTGTACAAGCTCAAGCTCAACCAATCCGTCACCACCATCCCTACCGTCGGATTCAACGTCGAAACCGTGCAGTATAAGAACGTCAAGTTCAACGTGTGGGATGTAGGTGGACAGGATAAGATCAGGCCGCTATGGAGGCATTACTACACGGGAACGCAGGGGTTGGTGTTTGTAGTGGACTCTCAGGATCGGGACAGGGTGGATGAGGCCAGGCAGGAACTGCATAGGATCATTGGAGATCGCGAGATGCGGGATTGTTTGTTGCTGGTGTTCGCGAACAAGCAGGATCTGCCCGGGGCTATGAGTCCCGCTGAGGTGACGGAGAAGTTGGGCCTGCATAGGATGCGAGATCGAAGCTGGTTTGTTCACCCGAGCTGTGCGACCAGTGGCGAAGGGCTCTACGAAGGGTTGAGCTGGTTGAGCCAGAACGTTAGCACGACTAAGAGCTGAGGAGCAGCGCACACAAGTGGATTTCTTGCATCGTAGGCCAATATCAATACCCTTTTCTCAGCTTCGGTCGACCGACGTCAACCACCTCATGAGCACAGCGGCCCGCGGCAGAAGAGACGGTCCCGCCGTGCATCGAAGGCGCCCGCTGGTCGATTCGATCAACCGACCCATTCCACAACGTGAGAAACGAGACTGCAGATGCCTCGCGACGAGCCCGAACAATCACCCATCCCCTCCTAACTCAACCTTGATCATCCGCCCACTTCTTGACACCGCACATTTCGACCCAGCTCACCGAACATCACGCAGACCCCGAACTTCCAGAGGAAAACCGACCGTGACATTGCAATCATCCTCTCTCAAGCGCTCCCCGAGCTACTGCTCGTGCTGTTTGGAACGACACTGGTCGAGCTCGAACTCGATCTCGTGGAGGCTCTCCTCCCCGACGCGCTGCTTGCGCCACTTGCCGAACCAACCCTCAAACCAAGCCAGCTGGCCCATCCTTGCAAACTGTAGTCTCCACTGGCCCCCGCAGCTGCGCTGCTGGTGGGTGCGCCACCACGGCTGTTTCTCGCCGTGTTGGCCCTGAGCATCCTCTCGTACTCGGCCTCGCTCAGACCGCCACCGTACCCGCTTCCATATCCGCCGTACCCATTCCCACCAGGCGTGGGACTCGGTTGCGGGGAGGGGTTGTTATGATTCAGCGGCTGGAGCAGTCCTCGATCGCTAAGCATGCCGAGCACTGCGTTGGCCAACTGATGCGTTCGACCCGAGCCACGACGGGCTTGGTGGTGCGATGCGGGGGTTCCGCCCAGCGCGCCGTGCTCTACGGCGGTGGCGTACGAGGGCGGCCGAGTGGACGTTGCAGGAGGTGGAAGTTCGGCAGGCGAGGGAGGCGTCGCCGGGAAATACGAGTCTTCGGCACCGCTGCTACCTCCTCGTGAAGACGAGTCGGAGAGCGAATGGAGCGAGATGTCGAGACGATGCGGCGTGGGCGGATTGGGAGGGCTGCTGTCCATCGAGTCTTCCAGCTGCATCGGTCGGCTGGTGGGCCGAGGCGGCGGAGGTCGGAGCGATGAGGTGCGTGCAGGTGCTACAGACGATGTGCTTGCGCTCGTGGTCATGCGGTTGTGCGAAGACGAGGGCGAGCGTTCTTCGTACGGCGAGATGGGTGGAGGTGGCGATTCGCTTCTATTGGCGTCGCCAGCAGCGTTCGACGACGAGGTGGCTCCTTGGGCATCCGCTGAGCTGCCCTGGCCGCTCTCCATGAGGATGGTCCCGCGCTCCTGACCGTAAGCGGGTGGCGGCGCCAGTGTTCCTACCATGGGAGCCAGGCCCCACTTCTTCACGTTGGCTTCGATAAAGACGAAGCCAGCCTGACCGAGGTTGACATGAATCTCACAAGCACCATCAGCGCCGACGGTGGGGAACAGGTTGTAGCGGTTGAGACCGATGAAAGCATCCTCGAGACGCTTGCCGTTGCGTGTGAAGAAGACGGTACCTGTTCTCGGACGATATCCGACGCCGATGACATCACCTTGACCGTACGCGGGACCGTACGACTGTGCTGCAAAGGGATAATTGTGGCACTTGAAGCCATCGCTGGAAAAGTAGCCGATCGAGTACTTGGACCACCCCGGCAAACGGAACTGCGGATAGGGCTTGGTAGTGAGACCGATGGCGACATTGGTGTTGTCGGGCTTGTTGAACATCTTGACCTCCCAGTAGTAGACTTCGTTGATCTTGGGCAAGGGCAGGTTGCTCTGCACGCACACGCCTCCGCCCTCCTGCGGCGCCATGCCCTCGCCGTCTGCAATGAAGGTGATCTCGGTCCTCGCCTCGACAAAGACGGACGGATTGCTCTCGTAGTCTGGGTCAAAGGACCATGCGCTGACGCCCTTTTCTTGGATGCTGAGGAACTGACTGAGGGTAATGTCGGTCGACTGGGTGCCTGGTGGATAGGCGAGGATCCAATCCTTGGCGCGGCGGTAGCCTTGCTGAATGGGACCTTCGACGGACTCGAGCCAACGCTGTTCGATGCCATCCAGACCGCCTGTGCCTTCGAGCTCTTCCTCGCGACCGACATCGAGCGGGCCATCCGAATCGCCAAGTGAGATGCGGGCCCTGCGTCGTACGACGATGACAAGGATGATGAAGAGGAGCAAGAGAAAGAGCAAAGTGGAGAGGAGGATGAGGAGAGGTAGCAGCAGAGCGAGAGTGTCGTCGGCGGTAGGTGGACGCTGGTAGACGGGCTCGTCTGGGATGTGGATGATGTCGAAGGGCTTTACGGTCGGGCTTGGATCCTGCGCATGACCGATGGATTTGAGCTGTTGATTGAACAGGCGTTCGCCCGACATGCCAAAAGGCCGCTTGAAGCGCGGCTTGGTCGCTGGCAAGACAGGGTCGAAGATGCCGTCGGCATTGCGGTCGTCATCTGAAAAGGTGAGAAGCGCGTCCATGTCAAGGACGGATTGCCGGAATGCGTATCGACCATCTGGAGCTGCTTTCGGTTGGGATCTGGATCTTGAAGAGGAGAACAGCGAGTTGGAGGATGTGTCTATTGGCGAGGAAGCAGAGGGAGATGAAGGCTGGCGCCTTGACCCCGAGGAGGAAGCCGCCTCGTCCTTGCGGGCATTCTGCATGTTGTGAGATGACAGTCGTCTTGGATCCAGATGAGATGGCTTGTCTGCGTGAGGCTGACCGAGATCAAAGTGCGAGAGACGCCATGCCCTGCAGCGATAGAGCGATACGATGATCTTTGCCAATGCCAAGCTTGTCAAGGGAGCGTTCGAGAGGTGGGTGCGAGATGGTCCTGCTGCTACTGGGCTTGCGGGTCAAAAACCACAGATGTGTCGGTGTAGGAGGTGACCGCCGAACCGGATGCAGCTGGCGTTGCAACAGCGACGTCGATGCTCGTGGTGGCGCGCTGCTGCTTGGAGTGCCGAAGGATTTGCAGGTGATGATGGCGGGGGTAGCGACGGTGATGACAGAATGACGAGCGAGACAAGGGTGCGAAATGAGTGTGCGCCTGTGTACCTGACCAATTTGGTGAGCTGCTTGTAGTCTGAGATAGCCAGGCGAGGATGACCTTAATCACCAAACCGGCTCCAGAGCAGTCTCGTCACTCGCTTCAAGCTCAGCTCCGTGGACCGACGCAATCTGAGCCCTCTCAGCCCTCTCCGCCTGTGCCGATTTTCGAGGCTCAAAATCCTAAATATGGCAGTGCGGGGGCAGTTCACCGGCCAAAGAAATGCCTCAGCAGCCTGACCGCTTGCTCACCTGCATAGGCCTGCAGCAAGCGCGTAAAGCGATGCTGGATCTGGCCAGATCGGCTGCGTCCCGCGCAAAAAACGTGCCCGATCCGGATGGATTTTCAGCGCAGGTTCCTCTTCGCCCATCGACGGTCGCTTTTGGATGCGTGAGCCTGACTCAGCAGTCCTCCTCCCTCCACCATCATCAACCCTTACTTCCTGCCTCGACATCATCTCCCCAACAACACCGCCCGAGTTGTTCTTTCTTCGACGCAGAGCCAATCGGATCACACGCGCTGCCTTCGAAACAGCATCACGCTCAACTTCCATTCTGACCGCTGCTGCAACGACGAAGCACCCGCGTCGACCTCCTCGACGCGTCTTATACCGAAACCTCGAACGTCGCTGAGGATCATCACGAGCCTCAATCGCCCTTCTACCTGGTGTGAGCCCCCGCTCAGAGCTTCGACAAGCACACTTTCGCCGACATGGACGCCAAATCAGCTGCCCAACAGCACGCCGACCCCACCGACGACTACAACTGTAAGCACCGCCTCCCCCTTTCTTCCTGACAGCGCATGACTAAGCCAGACCCTGACCACTCCCACCATCTTTTTCCCCACAACCAGCCTCCGAGTATACACACAGCAACCTCGACCCGTCCATCTCTGGTAACGATGAGACTTCCACCTCGGGTCCCTCCGAGACCACTGGGGCGGAGGCGAGCCACACGCGCGCCATGGAGGCCGTCATGCAGCTAGCCCAAGCCGCGTCGCAGCAGCAGTACGATCAGCAGCACAGCAGCACCGAACACCAGCAGCACGGGCACGTAGAAAACCCAGAGGTGCACAACGCCTCTCTGCCCGTCAACAATTCCGAGGAAGGTGAGAAGCGGGGGAGCAAACGACGTTCTTCCATCCAAGCCGTTTCACCTACGGGCAATCGCGGACGACGAGCCTCGAAAACCGCCCGGAACGACGACTCTGACGTAGCGGCTGCAGCAGCTGCTGCTGCCGCCGCCGCAGCTTCCGACGGCCAACCTCTGCCTCTACTCGAATCGTGGTCCGGCGACAACCTCCCCTCCGAACTCCAACAGGTCTATCAGCAACATCTCGCACAAGCCACCACCACCACCGACGACCCTTCCTCTAGCAACGCCAACTTCAAACCCACACGTCAACTGTCGACGTCCAAACGCGCGGCGCAGAACCGTGCTGCGCAACGAGCCTTCCGCGAGCGCCGGGATAAGTACGTCAAAGTGCTGGAATCCAAATCTGCGCGATTGGAGGTGGCCATCCGTGTGGCGAGCGAGTGCAAGCGGCGCTACACCGAGAGCATTCAGACGATCGACGGGTTGAGGCAGGACAACCATACGTTGCGGGTGGCGCTGGCTGCGTTGAGTGGGACGTCGTTGGATGGACAGGCGCCACCGGTGATGAGGAGTGAGGAGTTGTTGGCGACGCTACCCGAGATCCCGGCGTTGACGACCGAGGAGGAGGAGGCGGTGTTGGCGGGTGTCGGTGCGACCGGAGGAGGGGGTGGGAGTGGGGGTGGGCAGAGTTTGGATAGTTTGAGCGCTGTAGCTGCCGCGGCGGCGGCGGTGAGCACGGACGGTGCCGGGGAGAAGACTGCGGAGACGATGGCAGAGGAGCAGAGCGCAGAGGAACAGGTCAAGGCTGCTTTGACCAGTCCGACTGGTAGCAATGTGGCGCTGCCCCAGCCTCCGTCGGCTAGCACTGCCGCTGGCAGCTCGTAGTGGGTCGCTCTAGTCATTGCATCACTGAATTCACTCGCTCCATTCGCAAGCCCATTGTATGACAAGGCAAAGTCTCATTCGTCTCTTGAGCCTCGGTTCTCGTCGGCAGTTCCGCAGCTGTTAGCCATCATACTGGCCCACGATTCAGCAGCAAGAGTGTCTCCCCCGCCATCTCATTGAACAAACTCGAACGCTCGACAGCATGTCTCCTCTTTGTCCGGGTGCTTCCGCGTCGGTTCTCACACTCTGGCTCATCTTTCACGACACCCCCACAGCCATGGTAGCAGCCTCGTGTGTATGTGACTATGCTTGTTTACCGTATGACCCAAGACCAATCTACCTGCACATTCACTCGAACAGACCCTTATACCGGGTCTCCTTACAAAAGTTGCAGCACATCCCTGTACCCGCATTCTCCTTGCCTTCCTCCTTGACGCGTTGACCTTGCAACTTCCACCAGTATGGGCTGAAGCGCGTATTGCATCCTTCGCACTGTTTGCCTTTCATCTCGGGTGCACCTGTCAGGCTCTTGTTGGTCTCGCTTGTGAGGGCGTCGTAGCGTTTTGCGCGGCGCATCAGGGCGTATGCTGTGTCCGGGGTGCTCTTGTTTGCGCGGACGAACATTTGGAGGCTTGTGAGGCCGGATTTGGGGTCGACTTCCGCGAGGTCGTAGAGCTTTTTGGACTTTGCCACTTCCTTGTGGTCGCGACACCACACTTGTGGGGTCATGTGGCCGGTTTCGCCCTTGAACGTGAGCGTCGGGGTGACGTCCCGCCGACTGCCCTTGACGGGGAGGATCTCAAAGGCGAGCGTGAAGAGCGGTTGGTGGTTGTAGGCGCAGCTGACGTGGAATGTTCTTCGGCAAGACGGGTCAGCGCAGGAGACGCAGGCGCCGCGTGGGGTGTGACACAGATCGCATAGAGCTTCGTAGCGATGCGTGGGGAGATTGCCGCACGACTCAACCGTTTTGAGCCGGGTGGTGTCCGAGAAGACGACTTCGGGGATGAACACGGAGCACAGGACGTGGGCCCAGTTGTTGCATTCCGTCGGCTTAAACGCATCCAATGCGCCCAGGGGAGCTTTGACCAAAGCGTCCTTCTTGATGTCGTCCGACGAGACGGAGGTGGAGACCCGGGGGCGACCGCGAGCTTTGCCATCCCCACCAGAGGCGATCGAGGCGGCGTACTTGGCCATCACCGCTGCGGCGTCCTCCTGCGCGACGTGGCTGCAAAGGATGCATCGAGGCAGGAGTGCTGCTTCTTGCGTCTGCTCGTTGTTGCACGGGTCGCAGAGCCATTGCGCCGTCTCCACCTCGGCATCGGTCAGGCCGTAGCAGCCCTGATGAACGCTAAGCGAACACTGACGGCATTGAGCCAGCTTCTTCTTGGGCTCGATGCGCTTGCACATGACGCACTTGAGTGGTTCTGGTTTGGGCACGGGAGGCGGCTGCGCGGGTGAGGGCGAGGTGGCGGGTGTGACGGCCTTGCCATCTCGAGTGGTGCGTACGAGTTTCGACGGCGGCGCAACACCAAGTCCATCCTCCGAGGTGCCCGGTGCGGCTGCTGTGGCGGTGGACGACTTGTTCCGCGTGTTGACCGACACAAGATCGGGATTGAACGTTTCGGCGGCGTACTTGCGCCAGTAGATGCCGCAGTTGACGCACAGTACGCGGTTGGCGAGCGACGCGGGACCCTTGTACCAGATGCGACTCGATGTCGTCGAACACATGGCGCACGATGTTGTCGGACCGGGGGCTTCGTCCCCATAGACCGAAAGCGAGGGTGACACTGCCCGCGAGGTAGTCGGCTTCGTCGTCGCCGTTGTCGAAGTCGAGCTCCGCGCTCCGTTGGCCTTGCCCTTCGACCCTCCTGCAGCCTTGGTCTCGCGCTGCTGACTTGCCTCCATGTCCGCCTTGATCCGTGCCATCTTCCAAACGACAAAGTAGCGCACGATCTCCGAAACCTTCTTGCTCGGGATGAACTTTTTCAGCTGTTTCATGTCCGAATTGACCTGTGCGATCCCCGATTCGAACTGCTTAGCCTCCTTGGAGCTCCAGTGATCGATACGGAGCTGCTTGGTGGTGCTGGCGGACACGGTCATGAGTGCTTGCACCGGATCGCCCTCCTTCTCGGTGAACGTCTTGAGTGCCCGGTTGAGGAGGTCGACGTGGAAGGGCGGAACCGTCTTGAAATGCGCCTGTACTGCTTGAAGGTAGGCGTTGAGAACCTGCTCTGACTCTGCTGCCGAGGGCAAGAAGATGGCTTCGATGCTTTGATCACCTCCTCGTTCGAACTCGGGCTCCTCGACGGTGGACACAGCAGCTGCAGCCGCCGGCGTGTTCGTCCCTGTCGTCGGGGTATCGGATCGCTCGACAGCCTCTCGTTTGCGTTTGAACGGGCGACCTTTCTTCTTATGGGAGTTGCTAGTCGGTGCAGCCTGGTGAGGGGTGCTCGTCGACGCCGACGCAGCGGCGCCATCCTCGGCCCCTGCTGCCGCTGCCGCCGCCAATTCGTCCTCCTTGATCTTCTCCTTGGTGCGACAGTGCACGCCAAGACCGGCCTCCTTCTGCTCCTCCCACGTCGGCAACGAAGCCTGATACTTGGGACCGATGCGCGTCGTAGCGATCGGATAGACCGAGTCGTGCGGATCCAGCACTTCCATGGCATTGGTGTGCTGACCAAAGTAGCGATACGGCCAGCGGTTGAAGCAGCGTGTGCCGCGAAGATCATCGCTCGTCTTCTCCGGCACAGGGCTGCCATCCGGTGTGTTGCTGGACGAGGCGAGGTCGTCGCCTCTCCCCACGGTGCCTCTTCTTGGATACGATTGTCGTCCTTTGCCTCGTGCCGCAGTACCGCGCCCTCTGTTGGCGACGACTGTGATCTGATGCCTTGATTGTTGCTGATTGGAAGTGCTGCCGCTGTTGCTCGATGAAGCCGACATGAGCTGGCCACCTGATTGCAATGTCTGTTCGACATCCTGCTCGTGTCTGCGTGAGCACGGCGCACATGTCCAGCTGTACCCCTTGGCGGGCTTCGAGAGGAGTGGTGGGTTGAGGCAGTTCATGTGGAAGAACTTTTTACAGGTATCGCAGCGCACCGATTCGGGACCGGACGCCCATCGATGGCAAACGGCGCATCCTCGCAGAGCGTCGGTGAGGTCGTTGATCATGCCGGCCTCTGCGACAACGAACGAGTAGCGGGAGCGGAGCGCGGTGAGGACTTCTGGCGGCGCGTTCTGCACCTTGTCGGTGGGGACGACGTCGTAGAAGCGGTGAATGTATCGATCGTAGAGCTGATGGTAATAGAAATGGTCCTCCTTCTTCTTCCATTGCGAGACGTCGGGAGCTGTGCCGGAACCGATGAGATCTCGATGGCGCACCTCGCAGATGCCGCGGACGTTTTCGAGGCTGAAGACATCCGAGTGCATGGTAGCGACGAGCAGACGCGGATCGTTGGTGCTGCGAAAGGTGATGTCGCGCATGCGCAGGAAAAGGTTGGCGCGCACCTGCAAAGTGCCGGAGGAGCTGGCGAGGGCTGCTGCACCACTGCGGGAGGAGGATGCGGTAACGAATTCCATGACTCTTGCGATCATATACGGCTCGCCAGCACCTGGCGCCCAGGCAGGAGTGAGGTAGATGTGATCGTTGATGCCGATCATCTTTCCGTCTCTGATGGCAACCCGGGTGACGGGGATTGGCGCCTTGGCGGTGGAAGTGGAAGGGGCGGTGGCATCTAATAGAGCCTGCTGCTGCTGTTGTTGCTGGAGACCGGACTTGGAGGCGGTCAAGCCGGTAGCTGCTAGCGCCGAGGTGGCCATCTTGGCGTAGTCGGACGCAGAAGCTCCGCGCTGCAACGAAGGGCCTTGCAGAACCAAGCTGGAAGCGAAGTACTTCGCCAGTGGCTCAGCAGTGCAGCGCAAGCCCACTCGTGGACGAGTGCGGATCAGTCCTGGCGAGCGCTGATGGCAAGCTGGTCAGTGGAGCAGCGACACGTGCAGAGCGCTGGCTCGTGGGCTCTCGATGGAGGGGAAAGAGCGGGTGAAGAAAGGGGAGGAGGAGGGGGAAAGATTGTCGATGATGAGAAGAAATGCAGACGGCTCTCAGCCCGGAAAAGCCTCCAAATCTTCGAGGAGCGACGTCGGCTAGGCGGGATGAAGATGGTGGGAGGCGGAAGCGCTGGAATGCGAGATGCTGAGAGCGGGGATCTGGAAGAAGGGGCGAACACAAGGGCGAAAATTAGTGCGAGCTGAATGCAGCAGGTGGGTAGGGGTGCAGCGTGCCCAAAACCAGTCCTGAATGCTGTATGACGGGGAAAAGGATGATGATGGTGAAGAACGGGTGGGGTAGGGGCCCGAGAGCGGAGTCCGCAAAGGGAGATGGCGGTGGTGGTTGTCGACGACGAGGGAAGGGGGATTGGGTAGAGGGTGACATCAAAGGCAGGAGAGAGGAGATTTTCGGCAGCGCAGTGAGTGCGGACAATGCCAGATTAAAGGGAAAAAAGGTCGTAGCGGGGCGGCGTGGCCAGGGGGATGCAAGAAGGTTGCAAAAAAGGTCAGCATTCCATCGAGGAGAAAGGTCAAAGCAGGATCCGCGTACTGCCAAGAGCAGGATCAGAAGAGGACCCACAGCGTAGCAATGCGTGATAGGGAGAGAGTGTCGAAGTCTCAAAGGGCAAGTGGCAAGAGCGGCGGTTACTACTAGGGGAGAGCCAAGAGCGGCGCTAGCCAGGAGCGTGGCGAAGGAAGCAGATGCGATCGGAGGAGCAAGAGCTTGAAAGAGGACATGAAGAGGTGAGATGAGGTAGGAGGTGAAGCGGGCGATGGATCGGCATGAAAAGCAAGATCATGGAAGCGTGATGAGGGAGTGGATGGCTCGAGGTGATCCGGCAATGACAGCATCTCTCTGGATGGAAGATCACGCTGAGAAATTGCTGCAGGCGCTACATCAACTGGACCAGAATCAGTGTACAGCTCAGCACTGACAGTGAGCCTGGATCTGCGCCAAGGCAACAGATCGAGGAGCACCGCCCAGGCTGGCTCGTCTCGAGCGGTGGAGGATCTGGAGCGAACACGGTTTAGGGGACGCGAAGCCACGAGCATCGCAAGCGCCCCTCAGGTATACACCGGACGAGTGACATCCTTTCCTGAGACGATCAGAAGCTGAGGTCGACCAAGGCACACGACGAGGGGCAACATATTGGACGAGTACTGCCTCTGAAGAGAAGGGGAGGGACACGAGACCAAATCTGCGCGAGATACGTACCAGTTGGATTGTGTGAGGAGAGCAGAAAGAAGGCAGCTTGCGCTGGAGTGAGAAGGTGTAGAGGATGGAAGATGCGAGGATGCAGTACGTGTAGCAAGAAGCAGCAGCACGAGAGGTGATTGTGGGAGGGGCGATCAAGGTTTGAGGCTCGTAATGAGTCGGGAGAAGAAGCGGTCAAGGGTCTGGCCATGAATAGCAGCTGCCATGTTTGATTGACTTGTGGCACAAAGAGAGCGCACAACTCAGACACAGGCGTGCAGTCGGCAAGAATTTTGACACGCACTCGTTCCAAATTGCAGTCATCCAGTGGCCTGCAGCAAGCACTTTGGGCGGGACCATCGATGAGAACTCTCAGCTCAAGCCGATTCGTACATACACACTCAGGGCAAAGGACTGCCCCTTCGTATCATCTCGAGAAGAATGTTGTGCTCGTACAGCGGTTGCTGACAAGGCTGGAGGCTTCGCAAGGGGGTAATCGTGGCATCTCTTTCGGCATCAAGGAGATGCATAGGACAGCACACTCAATACGACAATGCAAGGTGTGCTTATCATTGTCAGCCCCTGGAGAACAGTCGTGCCCAGAGCCAGCTTGAGGACATCAGGCGTGGGAGGTCGGTGATTCGAGAAGACCATATGGCTCGGGCGGCATGGAGTGCCTCTAGACCTGTTGCATCCCCCTTCGCCTCCTACTGGCTCTGCATGTGAGTGCATTCAAAGTTTGGCATCTGACTCAAATAGTCACAGACAACACGAGACATGGTGATGGTCCATTCAGTGCTCGTGTCGACGATGTCATTGAGGCGACGGTGTCTCAAGACGAGGATGGTGGGAGGGGTAAGCGCGATGCATGCTGCCTGCTCCCTCGCCCGCCCGCTGACGGGTCAGCTCGGCACTGAGGCTGTCGAGTCCACTTTGGCGCTCATTGACATTTTTCTCGGATATAAAAATCAAAACGTTGGGCGGGCACTTTTGGAGACCGTCTGAACAGCAACGCAGCTCAACTCTCCGGTTCGACGGTTTTGCCTGTCCTGTGTCTTGGACTAGCTTGAGATGCCTTGCATTTGGACGTTCTGCAGCAAAGGGCCTGTCGCTGTCGAAGCCAAGGGACTGTATCAATACCGGCGGCCAGCACCGACTGCGCCACGGCAAGTGATTGTTTGTTAGACCTTTGCTTTCACCGCGTATTCGCCGTCTGCAAGCCCGACTTTTGAATGACATGGTTGGCGTGCGATTTTAAGGCTTTCCATCCAACAAAAATCCAAAATGTGGAGCAAAAGAGCGCACTCCTCTGCTCAGGTGCCTGAATCGCCTGAAATCGAGGGTCTAAAAGTCGACCTGCATACGAGTGCATCGACGCCCAGATCACACGGCGCTCTGCTGCGTTATCACGCTGGCCTCGACCTCGACTCAGCTTCAAGTGCATCACCATCACCACCAAGCAAGCATTCCTTCTCATGAGAGACCTTGCCTTACTTTCACCGTAACAGCTGCATCGAGCCACACTGTCGCCGCCATGACGCGCGGTGTCGAGCACATCGATCCCACCCCCGAGGTCATCCCCGCTCGCGTCAACATTCATCACCTTCAGCTCCGAGATCTCCTCCAGCCTACCGGCATCAAGGACAAGGTGCTCTTCGTCAGCCGTCTCCAGATCGAACAAGCCGACTTCGCCACTCTCAAGGCACCAACAACGTACTGCACGCTCGATTTCCAGCCCAACTGTCTCACCACAGGATGCGGTCTCCTCGCTGCAGGTGGGCAGCATGGTGAGCTCGCGCTGCGGCCCCTACACTCTCCTTCCTCGTCAGCAGCGCAGCTGCATCTCGATTCATCAGAAAGACCACCAGCCCCTTGGCTACTACGCACACCGACAGGAGGCTCCATCAACAACGCCATCACCATCCAGCCGGATCTCAACCATCCTTCCTCCAGCTCGAGCTCCTACTCCTCACGGTCCACAGCATCGCTCTCTTCTAGCCCTGCCAAACCAGATCTAGTCGACTCCTCACCTGCGCACTCCTACTCGCCCTGGGCCCGAGACGAGCCTTCTTCATCATCCACCAGACCAGGCGTCATCTTCAGCGACGAAGAGATGGAATCCGAGCTCTCCGAGAGCGTCTTCGAAGAGCTAGCTGCCGCCTACGGTTTCGACCCTGCCTCGGTCAACCATCGATCCCGCTATCGCCGCTCACCCCTCCCATCCCTCACCTCTCCCAGCCTTCCCACCGCCGATGCAGCACCCATCAAAGTCATGGTCTCGAACAACGACCAATCCATCAAACTCTACAAGCTCCGACCGCCCAAATCTTCGCCCGGCGCTCTCGGTCGCATCGAATCGGGTCTCCCCGGTCTCTCCCGCAACACCACCCTGCAGTTCCCCACAGCGATCAATCACTCGTCCCTCTCGCCCGACCAGCGAACGCTCATCGCGGTGGGGGACACACCCGAGGTGTTCATCCATTCCGTCTCGCGGACGGGCGAGCATAGCAAGCTGGCGACGTATAGCGCGTCGAGCGATGCGTGCTTCTCCACCACCTGGTCGTCCGACGGGACCAAGTTTGCGGTTGCCAGTCAGGATGGTGTGGTGAGCGTGTGGGATGTGAGGAGCTCCAGGAGGTTGGCGAGTGTGAGTGCGTCGCAGGGGGGTGCTGGGAGTGGAGCTGTGCGGGTGGCCAAGTTCTCGCCTTGTGGTCGGTTCCTCGCCTTTACCGAACATCGGAACTATTGGAATGTCACGGATACGGTGACCTTTACGGAGACGCAGCGGATCGCCGCACCGACCACCACCTCGGACGCAGCGGGGGAGGCGTGGGTGGAACGACGTCTCGCGGCGGACGAGCGTTTCCGGCTGGTGACGGGAGGAGACGAGGCTATAGCACGCGATCGCGAACGGCGAAGCATCATCCATGCGAACTTCATGCGCGAATGGAACCGAGCCGTCAACCTGGTCGATTCTACTTCGAGAGCATCCCACTTCCCAGACTGGCTAGCCAACCCCACCTCGACCACCGGCAGCGCTCGGCGGGAAGACTTGCTCTCGGCAGCGCTCAACCAGCCGCCCGTGCACCGCGGCGAATCGCACTCGATCAACATCAGCGGCCTCTGCTGGGATCCGGACGGGGAACACGTCTACGTCAGCACTGAGAGGTGTATCGCCAAGTACAACGTGTGCGATCCGCGTGTCGCAGTGACCAACGCTGGGATGCTGTAGCCCGAGCCCACACAATCAGACCTGCTTGCATCACCGCTTGACACTCTCTGGGGGCTGAATTGTCAGGGAACGGGTGAACTAAGCCTTTCAATCAAACCTCACTCTCGGGGCCGCATCGCAACACACGTTGAGAGCGGCTCTCGGGTCTGAACCACACACGTTCAGAAGGAGTTCTCTCGGTGTCGAATTACACGTTGATGAGCGAACCCTGAGCGATGCTAGCAATCGAATCTCACTCTCGGGTCTGAACCACAACACACGCTTCGACCCTGACTCTCGGGGCTAACACGCTGGCAAAGGTCAAACTTCGCAGCTCTCCATCACGTCACACTCGGGTCTGATTCACACGCAGTAAGATGGTGAATGCGATGCTAACAAGATGCGGTGCGAGATTAAAAGTACAATGCTTTTTTTGACTAGTAACGGATGAAGAGGGGGTCGACGTAATGGGTCTCGGCGTTGTTGAAGGGGGCGTGAGGCCTGGCGTATTGGAAGGGCTCGATGGGGGGAGTGGGGTATGCTGCGGTTGTGGTGTGGTCAAGTTGGTGCCAGTGGAAGTAGTCCTGGGGAGCAGGCATGTGCAGGCCGAGGATGCCGCGGTCGTGGCCGGCGGCTAGTTGCCAGTAAGCCAGCGCCTGGTGCTTTGCCAGCATCGTCCCTGCTCCGGCTTGCTGCTGCTGCATGACGTACGGCGCGAGCAGCGTGTTGGGAGTCGAGACGAGCGGCTCAAACACGCTACGTGGGCACGGCTGGGCGAAGGGTGGGCTGAGACCGTAGTTGCGCGCACCCGAGGTGAATGCTTGGAGTGCGCGGTCGTCGCCCATCTGACGTCGCTTGTTGCTGCGCTCGGGCGATGGCGTGTGATAGAAGCGTGTCTCGCTGAGAGGGCTCGTCTGATCGTGCTGAGCATAGCCTCGCTTGCTGCCCGTGCAGACGTCCAGCTGAGACACACCCGTTGGCGAGCTGGCGCCGACAGACGACGAGGCGGGTGTCGGGTAGCCGGCGTTGTTCATGATGGCCTGCACGCTAGCATCAAGGTCAAACCTGGGCACAATGGGTGCAGGAGCCGGTGCATAGACGTGGCTGAGATGGCTGGTGGCGGCGGTGGCAGGCGACGAGCGAGGTCGAGCATCGAGCGCAAGCTGTTCGGGCGACCAGGATCGCGACTGGCTGACGCGAGAGTTGTGAGCGATGCGGCGAGGTGCGTCATAGATCGAGGCGAGTACAGGAGCCTGAAGTGGCGAGCGGGCGGGTGCGTGCTGAACAAAGCCTTGCTGACGAAGTGCGGCCTGACGCAGCTTCTCGGCCTCGTGCGCGCTAAGGGCAAGCTGACGACGCTCAGCAAGCACCTCGAGAGTACCGATCCAACTGCGGAAGTCGGCATCTGAGGCGTGAATGTTGGAGGAAAGACCAAGCCAGAACTCGATCTCCATCTTGGTGACGTCCTTGAGCTTGAGGCCAGACAGCTCGGACCAGGTCTTGTTGGTGTAGGTGTGGTCGTCGAGGAACTTGTTGGCGAGCATAAGGGCGGTGACGAAGAGGCGGAACTCGCTGCCCTCCTGACCGCGAAGACCAGGGTTCTTGGACTTGAGGCGGTGGATGTAGAGGAGGGCGAGAATGATGACCGACTTGGAGACCTGGGTGGTGTTGAGCATGTTGCGGACAAAGTCGGTGAAGCGGCGGCGAGGGAACAAGCGGAGCAGGCGAGGGTCGTTGGAACGTTCGCTGGCGCTGGGGCGGGAGCGAGTCGACTCGACGGCGGACCGGGCATGTGCCTCGACGGCGTTGTGGAGATCGCGAACCGAGAACGAGACTGCTTCCGAGAGGCTGCCGAGGCTGAGCTTCTTGGAGTGACGCTTGTGTGCAGAGAGGTGGGTCGCAGGTGGCGAGCTGGTGACCGAGAGACGGCCAGCTCGAGATGCGGGGCTGGAGGCAGCAGAGAGGGAGAAGTTGGGCTCGTGGCTGTCGATGCCGCTAAACCAAATGTAGCAGACCATCTGCGCACACCAGTCGCTGACCGAGGTGGACGACTTGAGGTCGGCATCATCCTGGCTCGACTTGGCTGGTGCAGCTTCTACCTGATGATCTGAGTCTGTTGTTGACGGGAAGGGGATGCAAGCGATGGAAGCGACGGCCTGTGGTTGTTTGCCAGCTTGCTTTTGAGATCTTGGCCAGTTCTCCTTGCCAAAGAAGGCGACATTGTCGCAGGAGAGGTCCTTGGCAAAGGCATCTGGGATGGGCAGCGCCGAGTGTGGTTGTGCGACGTAGACCATGGCTGTTATGAGGTTGCCGATGTTACCAGCGCTGCTGCTCGAGGCGTCTTGATTTGGGAAGCTGTATCAAGCCGATGGGAGGATGGCTAGCATGGATAAGTTGACGAGACGACGCTTTGAGAGATGTATGCTGAGAGCGCCGGTGATGACAGGGAACTGCTGAGCCCGAATGTGCAGGCTACTGAAGGAGACTCTCGATGCGAACGGTCGAGACGAGGCAGCGGCTGTGTTGGTTGTGATGCGGTGACAGTGGTGAAGATGGGGAGAGAGCGGGCCAAAGAGAGTATGCTATAGTCTGGTGATGGGTCGTTAGAATAGGAGAGATGGACACCAGCACCGTCAAGGAGCTACGAGGGCGGGAGAGAGAGAGAGAGAGAGAGGTGTGAACGTAAAGAAAGAAGAGGGTTGTTTTACAAGAAAGAGATGATAGTCTAGAAAGGGTGAGCCGAAGAGGGTGATAATGATGGATGATGATGCTGAGTAGAGGGAGGGCGAGGAGAAGGAGGCCGAGGTGCTGCTAAGAAGAGGAGGGACGAGTGCAAGAAGCCGCAGGATGAGAGTGAGTAACACATGTCAAGTGCTGCTGCTGCTTGCTGCTGCTCCAGCTGGGCTTTGGTACATTGGCCGTGATGCGGACAGCAGCCAGCAGCGGAAGCGGAACAACCGAGGGGAGAGAGCACCAGAGATGAACACACGCTGCTCACCAACAATGGTAACCGACCGGCAGGCACAGCCAACCCAGTCCGCACGCCCGCAAGCCATCACAGCCAGAAATTCTGACACCGCACCTTCCCGCTAAAACGCTTTGACAGCTTCAGTGCGGAAGAGGAGCGGAAACTCAAAATGTCACTTTGAGAAGCACCCAGACTTTCACTCGGTCACTGTGGGTGCTGCTCTCGCTGATGAAGGTGACGGGAGTGGAGGAGGAAGGCGAAATCGCAGTCAGCACAAAGGAACTACGGATGTGACGCCGAGAAAGGAGAGGTAGAAGAGAGGGGAGGAACGAGGTCAGCACTCGACCAACACAACAAGGTGACTGACTAGTTTCAAAAGAAGGCCAAGCCACGTCGTTCGGTCGAAAGTCCAGCAAGCGAGCGGGCGTGTGAATCTGGGTGAAATGTTTAGTGTTGGAGGGGTGCGAGGGGTCGGCGGGCGGGCGTTGGTTGTGCAGCTAGCTAGACCACCAACAATGCAATTTCAGTTCCCGGGCATCGCATCACATCCACTCTGTCGAAATTAAATTAACAAGAATATTATAAAAACTCACGCTCGCAGTCACGGTGGAGCAAAACCACACGCTCGAGGACGCGAACAAGGCCTTCTTTGGAGGAGGAGGGACCCCGTTGGTGGGTCAGCACGCAGCGGAAGCACCGCCCACAACCCACGCACCACAGAAAAGCCTCCATTCTTTGCTGCGCCTCTCTCTCTGTGTTGGCTGCAGCTCTGTTCCGACGTGGGATCCACCTCTTCTCCTTTCAGGATTAGCGTAGTCGAGGCCCCCTTTCCTCTCCATCCCCCACCTCCTGTGACAGTGTTGCAAGGCATCCGAGCGATTGTTGTGACGACCAGCTGAATGTGGCTTGTGCAAGCGACTGTCACGATCAAATGAAAGCTGCGCCGCGTTTAGGCGACTCTCGAGGCGAGAGCTCACAGTCGCCTTTTCTTCTCGCTTGTTGGGCGGGCCCTTTTTGCAGGCAGCAGCGCGCGTCACTGCAAGCAGATCCCATATGGTGCCCCTCCCCCCTCTATCTCTTTTGTTTCGGTGACAAGAAGCTTGGCTTTGTATTCTGATCACCCACACGCTCAGGTAGAGTTGGGCGCGGCCCGAGTTGATGCACACCAAGCAGCATATGCAGCCCACAGAGTGGACCCCCTTTTCAAGAACATCCGCTTCCGTCTGGCGAGGTTGGACGACACACCATCGCCGAGATGTCTTGCTGTGTAGACATCTCGCTAGACCGACCACAAAGGCAGCCTTTTGTGTGCCACAGCGGAGTGCAGCTGCAATTTCAGTCAGGGGAAATACTGTAGCCTGAGTCTAGGCGGAGCCAGAAAATGCGATGAATCGGAGACGGTGACCGCGCTATGCGGAGCTCGAGGTATGAAATTCCACGCCAAATCTGCGACAGTCGAGCTCGCACTCGGAACGCTTACTCTGGCTAGTCGGTCTATCATGCCGCATACGCGAGCCTCGCCAGTCTCGGCTTGCGCTTTCCTTGTGGAACCTCCTTTTTGGCCATGGCAGAGGTACACACAAACGCATGTGTACACTAAGTTAGCAGACGACGTCGATCGCAGTTCAAAGACAACACTAAGTGAGCCTCCGAGCTAGGTGATACACGGCTCCCAATTCGGCATCAGTGACAGCAGCGCAGAGAGTGTCGATGCGGTCAGCTCAAGGACGCGCAAAGGGTCATAGATGCCGTGCAGTTTGGTCTGCCGGTCAGCTTCGATCCACAGCAAAAGCGGCCGGCCGGCCGGACAAAAGGGTGCCACGACCCTGAAGCGAAATTGATCAAAGCTGCTTACGGTCAGGAAAGAGCCAAGCTAGGCACGCAGGACTGACGTGTCCAACAGGGCCCAAAAGCGAAATGGAACGCCGGCGTGCCTTGAAATCCTGCCTCGTTGCGTGAGAAGAATGGACGAGAATGAAAGGGGTCCGTCAGCAAGCGATGCCCGACCCCTCGCTTGACCGGCAGCAGACTTTAGCCCTCTTAGTGTGATGGTGGTGACCCGTGGTGCCTAGGATTTCCACATCATTGTCATGCTTCGTCTCGCTTGCAACAGAAACGTATGTCGCGCTTACGTCGATTCGCTTTGTGACCATGCTCTATCGGCCATCCTTCCGTTTCATGCTCGAGTTGTAAGTTATCAATAAACTTGCCCCGAAGAGTCAGCAGGACTCGGCGGCCCGTATGAGCGACAAAAGACTCCGCTCGAGTCGACCGAGGCCTGACCTTCATGCGATCAACGAGGAGCGGGTGGTCGCCTTGTTCGAGGAGATCCTTTTCTTCGGAGCTGGATCGTCCAATGGCGGGATCCTCCTTGCAGACAGGTGTGTGGGAATCCAGGGTCAGCCAGCTGCTGGCTTCACTGCGCCATGCGATGCGAAGACAGGCCGGGGAGACCTTGATTTCCGCTTGGCAGGGCGAAAACTTCTCGGCCCGTGTGGTTGAAATTCAGCTAACGACAACCGAGCTGCGATATGACAGGATTTGAGTTGCCGCTCTTTCTCTCGACGCTGCTCACGATCGAATCATCTGACGAGACTCTGTTGATTGCTCGCTCGGCTTGGTCGATACCATGTTGCATAGGCGATGTCTCCAGAGGCGATGCTTGCTCAACGGCACCCCCTCGGCAATGAGCCGCCAACGGCCCCTGTTTCGTGCTGAGTCTATTGTCAGGCGGGCTAGCGTTCGGTCTTGCTGGCAAGAAGGCATTCTTCATCGAAAGGGCTGAGAATCAACGACGACCAGAGCGACGCACGAGGCGACGGCGTCTTTGCAGCAGCGAGACAGCAGCAGAAAGGATCGGCAGCGCCGCGGACAAAGCTGCACCTTGTCGAGCTTTCAGGGCAGACGGCGGCAGGGCGTCGAGTAACGTACCGCGACAACAAGAGGCTTGGCTCGCAGCCAAACAGAGGATCCAGACGTCCACCAGCACGGTGCTTCTCAGGGCGGTGCAAGCTTTTCGAAAGCAAGCCACGGCATGGCAGGGCCTGCAGAGCCTGCAGAGAACCGCGGGCCAGCGCCTAGGCGACAATAATTTCTTCTTGTTGTCATTCCCGTCACAGCTAAGCGAGCCGCCCTCGCTGCCTGAGGTGAGAGAAAAGTGGCGCACCCCCTCCGTTTTTAAAGACCGGCCAAACCTCTTCCTATGCCTAATCCACCATTTGTCCCACGCTTCATGAGCCGAGCAGACGACCGATCAGCACCATGAGTACGTAGTACAACAGCCGACCTCGTGTTTGCCCATTTTGTCGTCTTCGAACGCACTGCGAGTATGTTCGACTGTGAATGGCAGATGTACGTACGAATCATGCCTTGCCGCAACGCGGTGTTCAAAAGCACGGCTCTCGGCGACACCTTTTGCTGCTGCATCAAGCAAACCACCCACCGAGAATCCGCCCTGTGAAATTGAGCCACGGGGAAAGACGTGCGTGGCTCGGCTTCGGCTGCGCCTAGATTCGTACGCTAAAATATGAAATAATGAATAAACTTAAGCAGAGTGGGTGGCAGGCGCAGGCAGCTCACGGACAAGGAACCGTTTCCACCAAACCCTGTGAGACCCCCACCGTCGTTGCATCGTAGACTTGTACCTCAACAAGCGCCCGCTTCGGAGAACCCCTGTCGTTCAGCGCAAGCATCGCCGCAATAAGTCAGCAAGGCTTGAAGCTGAGCCGATTCTCGGACATTCCGTACAGCACGTCGGCATGATAGCCTCATCGCCCATCTGAAACGGGACCAAGTTGCTGGGTTTTGCTTTTCCAAGACAAGCAGCCAGCCAACCAGCCCGACTCAAATGCGACGGGAATGAATTTCTTGTCTCTTCCCGCTTTCAGTCGTAGCAGCAGCAACGCTCCGCCAAATGAAACGAGTGCCGAGCCCGTCCCAAGCGAAGCGGGACAGCTCCTTCGGATCAGCCGAAGATCGATCGGATCTTTTCAACTTGGCAACCGCACTTTGCAAGTGAAGACTGGGCGCCACACATACTCTTCGACCCAGAAAGGTGACATGCTGTGGGACCGACTGAATGATTTGCTGTTTGTGTACTAGAAAAGAGCAGAAGGGAACATCACAGCGAGGTCGAGCTCACCGAAAAGACTGACCAGCCAAATGTCATCAGGAAGATTCGCTTCGTTCCAGCTTGCCGAGTTCGAGCATCGCATTCATGCGGACGACATCGTTGCATGCCATCTTGGGTTCGATCCAAACACAGCGCAAGGCGACTCAAATCCCATCATCGAGAACGACGCGGTGGATGAAAAGCAGGACAGGGCTGAGTCGAGCATCGAGCGGGCGACACCAAACCACTTCCACACGACCCTGGTGCAGAAAGTGCAGTTTCAGTGGTCCCGCGAGGCAATTTAACTCGCTGACAGCTCTAGCCGAGGATCGGGTCGCCTCACCAGAAGGCTTCTTTTGCACAGAGCCCTCACAGCCAGAGGGGCTCCGAGGGCAGGGGTTCAAATTGCTGAGCGGTTTCACTCTCCGATTTGACTCAATCGTCGGCATGCGTGTTGACAACTGCGACCAATTAGGCGGAGCCTCGTCAGGCTAGCTAGCTCAGGTCAAAGTGCCAATTTGGAGACCCGCTTCGCCTCGAGAACCGAATCGAGGTTTCCCCCCCCCCTTGGCTCAGCTTGGCACGCTTTGCGCTTGCACTCCAGCCAGACAGAGTCCGTCTCAAGCCTCGCTCCTCCCCTTTGAGCCAGCCAGCCAGCCAACCAGCCCCCGGCCGCTCAAACAATGAGAGCGCATGGATCTGGGCCCTTTTGTTCTGCGCTTCCGCTGCCGTCGCTCCGCCTCAACTTCGCTCGCTCCTCTCAGCGCCGGAGGCAGCCCGCCCAGCGCAGACAGTGCCTGACCGAATTCGCTCCATGAGCGCTCTGTTTCGAAAGCAATTCCCGCCTCGCTGTCTCCGCCCTCCGCCTTGCAGAAAGGCTCTCGACCCGATCCACCGCCCCCAAAGCCACGCTGTACCGCCAAAACGCTCGTTTCGCACCCAAGTCTCTCTCTCCTCGAGACAGGGATGATCTGTTTGACTTGCAGTCAGATCCCCTTGCTTGCAGTTTGTCGCCGTTGCTGCCTGCCAAGAAGCTCAGCAGTGCTTGCCCTCTCTTTCCTCCGCTGCAGTACGAACTCCGGTTCTACATCGATGGCACCATCGGTCACCTTATGCCCTCCTTTGCGCTTTGCCGAATCTTGCTCTCAGGGCCCGCGCGGACGGCGATCGCGAGCTGTGTCTGCCGGGCGGCGCTCGTGTAGAACTCCGCAAGGCCGAACTTGTCCAGTGACGGGAAGCGTTACAAAGAGCTGCCTCGCTTGGTTTAGTCTGACTTCGCTTGCACCAGGGCGGGGAGGTGGGTTGACACTAGAGCTCGCTATTCCGCCTCGTGTCTTGATCAAGCCGGTTTCGGGGTAAACTAGCTTCGCTCCGCATTGTGACACGAGCCCACAAGCGGCCCTTGCAGCGAAACACTGACATGCCAGACGCATGCCGGTTGCTCTGCGCTGCCTCAAACACACTTTGGCTACGTCTCGAGTATCAGTTCAGCCGGCCCCTAACTGTTCTCCCGAGACCGACGACACCAAGACCTCTTCGGCGAGGGGTAAGGTGCTGGTGTCCCCTGGCGCATACTCGTCGTAACAGGGGCCTCTCGTTCCCAGACAGCGCCCTCATTCCACGGCTGTGTGGGAGGTCAATCCCACCATGCACGCCAGAGATCCCGTTGGACTCCAGCCAAAGGTCGCCACGAGGGACCAAGCATTTTCACACGACTCCCCGTCACCACAGGCGAAGCCTCTTGGCGACCTCATGATTCCTCACCTGGTCTCGTTGGCATTAGGTCGGGCTATGTAGCCGAGTCAGCATCTCGTCGAGTGACAAGCTCATCCCATCGGCAAAAGCCAGGGGCAAGGGGGAGGATCCACATTGGTTCGGACGCTTTTCTCCGTACGCATGCGAGCCCTTTCCCATTGCAGAGGGTGGGACAAGTTTCAGTGGCAGAGGGGCTAAACCGGTCCGCGGCTCGCAGCTCGTCATTTTCGACTGGCTGTTCCAGTTGCCCTGCTCTCTCATCCGCGTTGAAGGCAAAAGGCCGTCTCAAACGTTGAGAGGGGCCAAGCATAGCCGAGCGACTAAAACCCTCAAACTTGGGTCAGTGCCGCGTGGCCATGACGCACTTAGGGCCCGCGCTCTGCTTTTCACTGCACGCCTTGCACGCCAAATCGCATCCTGCTGCCTCCCCTTTGACGAGTGGATCAGCGTGCCGGCAAAAGCGGCATGTCCACGGTCTAGCAAGGGCCATATGCATCCTCAACGTGTATCGTGCAGTCATGTGGATGGTGCATCGTGATAAGCATGAGGGAGAGCATCGCCACGTCTGCGCAATCCCGCGACGAGAACGGCTTGTGGCGGCCGAGATGGCAAGGATGGCCCGAAGGCGTGAGCCGCAGCGTCGGATCTCGATATCGGCAGGCTTTCGATCTCGATACGAACCCTCTTCGAGGTCCAGAAGTCGATTGTGGTCTAACACGCTTGCAATATTCGACACGTGACCACCCATCGCGAGAAAGTGTTGGTGTCGAGTGTCGAGTGTCACTTTTAAGCTTCTGCAGGAGCGGTTTGGTTCGCGACATCAGCTTCCGGCAACACGGAGCATTACCATCAAGACCATCACACCCACCGTGATCGCCAAGAAGCCAGAAAGGCGCTAGGAAGGAGCGAAACAATGCAGACGGAAGCACTGCCATCAGCGTCGGGGTCGGTGAACGGAACCGCTCATCTGCCCCCCGTAGCAGTCCACATCGAAGTGCGGTTACGACCAAGCTCGACAGCGGACGTTGCAGACGTTGCAACCGCAGCACGAGTCTTTCTCACGTCCAATCGCACTACACTTCAGGCCGAAACAGAGGTCGTGGACTGGACGAGTTCGCGCTTCCTCACCGCCCACGTCGACAGGATACGCATCGCCGAAATTGCTTCGAGATCTTCCTCCATTCCCATCACTTCGGCCAAGCTCTCAGTCCACGTCTACCAGCCCCTATCCGACGACTTTACAGAAGAATTCTCTGCGGCAGAACCAGACGCCGACCAGGCCGAAGAGAGCATTGCCGCCTCGGTCGCTGAGCTCCCCAATCGCGCTCTCGACGGTGTATGGGACAGCCTGGTCTACGAGGACGATATCAAAACCAAGCTCCTCAACTACATCTACACCACGCTGCTGTTCAGCGATGCGAATGTGGACTTCAATCTTGTCTCGTGGAATCGCGTTGTGCTGCTTCACGGTCCGCCGGGGACTGGCAAGACGTCTTTGTGCAAGGCGCTAGCGCAGAAGCTGGCGATCCGCCTCTCCGGTCGCTATACGCACGGCAAGCTGGTGGAGATCAACTCGCATTCTCTTTTCTCCAAATGGTTTTCCGAGAGTGGCAAGCTAGTCCAACGCCTGTTTAGTATGATCACCGAGCTGGTCGAGGACGAGGCGGCGTTTGTGGTGGTGCTCATCGACGAGGTGGAATCTCTCACTGCCGCGAGGAGCGCCGCGGCCTCCGGCACCGAACCCACCGACTCGATCCGTGTCGTTAACGCGCTGTTGACGCAACTGGACAAGCTGAAGCACCGCAAAAACGTGCTGATCATGACGACGAGCAATATCACCGAGGCCATCGATGGCGCGTTTATCGACCGAGCGGATATCAAGCAATACGTTGGATTGCCCCCGCCCAAGGCGATCTACTGGATCTTGGAGAGCTGTCTCAGGGAGCTGATGCGTGTGGGGCTGGTCGCTCCGTTGCGATTGCCGAGCTACCAAGTGGCGGCGTCAAAGGAGAGTCTTGATAACGTGATGACCCCTGAGGGCAGGGCTGGGATACTTTTGGTCGAGATTGCGAATGGGTGTAGGGGTCTGTCGGGAAGGTCGTTGAGACGGCTGCCGGTGCTGGCGCACGCACACCATATTGGGATGGCACAAGCGCCGATTGAGTGCGAAGTGTGGATGCAGGCCATGAGAAAGGCGCTGAAGGAGACGCAGCCGGAGAATGGCGAGACGGGGATCTAAAGCCGAGCGTGGACCCGAAACGATGTACGATTATAGAAAAAGGCCCCCTCACATGCACATTTGCACAAGTACTCTCCTGAAGAGAACGCCATGGCAGGCCTCTGGAGATCCACGCCTGCCGTATGCTCCAGTCTTCATCAAGGAAGAGTTGTTGACCAGAGTCTCGACAGCGACCAACCAGCATTTGGTTCTGATGTCAAGAAGATGTGACATGCGCCAAAAAAAGGCCTCGAAAATGTCACCCAAAAAATGCCGCGGAAAAAGGGGCTTGCTCCGGCATGCCAGCCCGGACTCCACCAAGCCTCCAAGGCCACGGGCAAGCCATCGGATCGGTGCGCGTGAAACGTCGTCCGCATACACAGCACCCTCACGCTGGTCGTACCAAACCCTGAGCGGTCACCCTCGTTCAGTTGTTACCACCCATACCATCCTTCTTGTCCTCATCCTTTCTCCTCTCATCTCGGAACCTCACCACTTCATAGACTCCCACTCTACCATCCCGACTCATCCCGGAAGACTCATTCTCTAGAACTCATCATGGCGACGGAAGCACTTCTTCCCCTGGGCGCAGCCTACACGGGCGCAACGCAATCCACGCTCGACGCGGCGCGCAACACCCCCGACTACTTCCCTACCGTATTCAACCCTTCGACGCTTCACTCCAAAGGTCGGGCCACCGTCGCCGTCGGTCGCACGTCCCTGCTCAAGAATGGACCGAAAGACGGCTTCAAGCTGTACCACGAGGTGCACGGCACGGGTCCGATCAAAGTCGTCTTCGTCATGGGACTCAACAATTCGTGCTTTGGCTGGTTGCCTCAGGTGGAGCATCTGAGTCAGGACGAGCGCTACTCGTGTTTGGTGTTTGACAACCGGGGTGTGAGCAACAGCGAGACGCCGGCGGGGTGGTACAGCACGTCGGAGATGGCCAAGGATGCGTTTGATCTGTTGGAAGGTCTGGGGTGGAAGAAGGTGCACATTGCGGGTGTTTCGATGGGAGGGATGATCGGGTTGGAGATGGCACGACAACGACCCGAGATCATTTCGTCGTTGACGTTGATCTCGACTGCCCCTGGGAGGAGGTATCACACTCCCACCTACGGTCTCACCTCCCTGGCCCGTGTCCTTGGGGGTAGAGTGCTAGGTTTTGACAGCGAGCAGTATCGACTCAATCGACTCATCACCACCCTCTTCCCCTCGCCTTGGCTCGCTCAACCCTCCACCAAAGATAACAAGCGAACCAACCAAGAGGTGCTGTACGAAATGTTCAAGTGGCGCTTTCACTTTACCACCCGCCAAACCCTCCACGGCGCAGTGAGCCAGATGAAGGCCGCCCTCACCCACAACATCCCCGACGAAGCGCTCGGACGCATCAACACAAACGTGCCCAAGATCGCCATCCTCACCGGTGACACGGATTACCTGGTCGATCCGCGCAACTCGGACTACCTCAAGAAGCATCTCCCCACGGCCGAGTTTCACAAGTTCGACATCGCCGGCCACGCCCTTGGCAACCAGATCGCGGATAAGGTCAATGCGATCCTCGAAAAGGTCATTGCCGAGGGCGAGGAGAAGAGCAAGTCCGTCGCTTAGAGTCGCCTTCAGAGATGAGCATACATGTTGGCAATCAATGAATTCGCATCTCTTCCGTGTGTTGTATGTGTCACGATTGGGTGGAGTTACGCCTTCTTGGCGCTCGCACTCCTAACAGCCCTGTTGCTAGCGACGACCCTCGGTGTGGGCATGAGCACATGCAACCAGATCGCCCTGACAAAGAAACACGTGCCGATGACGAGACTGATGACCGCCTTGCCGCTCTCCTGGCTGAGCACGCCCTTCTTTCCTTCATGCACATATGCCAACACTCCGCCATACCCCGGGTGGCTGAGCGTCAGCACGCCAAACACGGCGCTTGCCAACGCGGGGGCCAAAATATCCGTAAACTCGACCAGGCTTTTCGCCTTCAAGAACGGCGGTGTTCCCACACTCCATCCGAGCGGATCAAAGACGTTGAGCGTGAACGCGCTGATCCCTCCACCGCAGGCGCTCACCGTTCCGATGATCACTTGCAACAACAAACTGCCTCGAGCAGCCGGATTGGCGTGGTTGCGAACCATGTTGATTCCGCCATAGCACGCCGCGGTCCTCGTGGCGCCGTCCAGCACCGGCAGGGCCAGATCCAACAGCTTCGCCGACGGTGCACCCACCGCTTTCACTAGGAAGTTGGTGACGAAGTAGACGGAGAGGTAGTTGATCCACGGCCAGACGGTGAGCAGTTGACCGGGGATCTGACAGAGGAGGTAGTTGGAGATGAAGCCGCCGCCCCAGGCCATGATGAGGAAGCCGGCTGCGTCGCGCAGGGGGGAGATGTGGAGGTCGGCGGGGGTGTGACGCGCTTCCGAGCGGCGGCGGGCGAGGAAGGCGGCGCAGATGGCGCGGTACGCGATGGCCACCCGCAGCGCATGGAGGGTTGTGGCGAGTGGAAAGGGGTACAGGGTGGCATGGACGGGGAGGGCCAGCCTCGCGTTGACGCTGGCCAGTGGTGCAAGGGCCGCTGCAAGCATCTTGATCGAGTTTATGTTGATGGTGGTGCGGAAAAGAAGAGGAGAAGTGTTTGGAGTGAGTGCTGGCTTCGCGGCCGGATATCAAGGACTGCCCAAGATGGCGCCAAATTCTGTGTGCACTGACCAGCGCGGCTCGCGCGGTACATCGTTTAGCTCCCCCGAGAAGAATCGTCCAAAACTTCATCGTCCTTCTCGGCCTCTACCTCTCCATCAGCCGCGACGTCTTCGCCTTCAGCTCTCCGATCACCCGGCACAATGCCGCAAGTCAACCCAGAGCTGTTTCACGCCCAAGTGTACGACGTGACGCGCCTCATCCCGCACGGCCGGGTCACATCGTACGGCCACATTGCGCGTCTCCTTGGCCACCCCTCCCACTCCCGTCTGGTCGGTGCAGCACTGAAGTTCTTGCAAGACCCCACGGTGCCGTGGCACCGCGTCATCTCGTCTTCCGGAGCGATCTCCGATCGGGGCGACGGCGGCGAGGCTGCTGCACGCCAAGCACAACGGTTGCAGCACGAGGGAGTGACGATCATACACGGAAGGGGGGAGGGTGTGACGATCGACTTTGGGCATGCGAATCCCAACGCTAAGTTCAGGGTCAATCTGCGCGAGTATGGGTGGTTTCCTGATGAGGTGCATTTGGAAGGGTATGAGGAGGAAGGGGAGGATGCGGCGAGGTTGGAGAGGATACCGGACGGTGACGACGAGTCGGACCTCAGCGAGCCATCGGATGAAGAGTAGTGTCGGAGGGGCTGGGTCAGCAGTGCATCTCAACATTATACCCCGCTGCAATCAAGGTCATCATCGGTCTCGCGCTACTACATCAGAACAGCCGGATGTCAGCGAATGTGTAGGCATGTGAACTGGCGATTGCGTGAGACATTCTGAGGTGGAACATGATCTGCTCGCATAGCGTCCGCTCATCGACGCTTACTCTTCTTGCCCGAATCCTCATCGTCATCCGACCCACCTCCCTGTCTCCTCTTCTTCTCGTCCGCCCTGGCCGCCTTCCTCTCGAGCTCATCCCAATCCTCGCCCTCCTCGCTCTCGTCCTCGAACCCTTCCGATCCGCTCTCGTCCTCAGCCGAGTCGCCAAAGTCGCTCCCAGAATCCGACTCGACATCCGTCTCCTCCTGCCCGTCGTCCATGTCGCTGCCAAACTCCGACCCAGACTCGCTCTCGGACGAATCGCCATCGTCGGAACCAGACTGCAGGAAGCCCCAGCCGCCTTCGGCGAAAAAGTCGTACGGGTCCTCGTTGACCGTCTTCATGATGGCGCCCCAGTTGAGGTTGACGGCTCCCTCGCTGACGCAGATGTCGACCGAGTCGAGCCACTGCTTGACGTCGTCGAGCGATGTAGTCGGGATCGAGGTGACGTGCATGGGTGCACGAGAAAAGTCGGAAAAGACAAACACCATGTCGAACGACTGCAGGCCGAATTGGACACGTTCCAAGTGGACGATCTCGACGTCCGTGAGCGTGATGACCAGGAAAGGAGGGTCGGTGAGGTGCACCAGGCAGTCCGTGGTGGGCTGCAGCAGCACATTGGTGCGGAAGGGCACACCGTTGAAGCCGAGCTCGCGGTAAGGAACGTCAACGGTGACGCGGCCTTCCGAGGCTTCAGCGATCCGCTCAGCGAACACCTTGAACTCCTTGTTGAGCTGCGACCTGCGTCGACGCTCTTCCTGCTCGAGCTCGATCTCGTCCTCGTCTCCCGATCGGTACTTGCGCTTGCGGTTTCCAGTCTCGTCGAATTGCACGTCGGACGCCTCGCGGTAGAACTGGATATCCTTGGCCTTTCGCTTGCCGATCATGATGGGCGACTTGAGGTGCACGTGAACAATGACGATCAGCTCCTTGTCGCATGGCTGGAAGAAGAGATGCTTCATGTTGGAGAAGAGCAGGTCGATCTTCTGGTCCGGTCGCAGCGGCGACGAGAAGCGCAGACCGTTTTGGTGGATGGTGAGGTCTCCAGGCACGCGCTTGCCCTCCATCGCAGGACGAGGGAACACCTCGGGGAGCGTGTAGGTGCGCGACTTGGACAGGATCAGCTTGTCCTGCTCGACCACGTCGGCGAGCTCCTTCTCCTCGGCTTCGCGCTTGGTCGCCGACTTTCGCAGCTCCGTGATCTCGCGGTACAGCTCCGAGAAGCGCGACGAGTCGGTGGATCGATAGCTCATGCTGCGCACGAACGTGGCGTCGGGATCGTCGAACGGCACGTCTTCCTTCTTGCCAGCGATCTGACCCGGTGTCACGAAGTTGAGACGCAGGTACGTGTACTCGCCCTCATCGCTCTTGCTGACGTTCTTGAGCGTGTTGATGTGGAAAGGCACCGCGTAGCCATAGATGGGTAGGATGACCGACTGAGCTCGGTGATCGACCATGATTTTGAGATCTGCCACTTTCGTTGGGAGCAAGTTCTCGCGCTTATAACTCTCGAACTTCTTGAACACTTTCTCGTTGGAAGCGTTGCCTTCGCCGTCCTCGCCGGCAAAGCGTGCGAGACCGTCCTCCTGCTTTTGCTTGGCGAGTTCCTTCTGATGCACCTTCATCTTTTCCGCTGCGGTCTCATCGAGCGCTGCACCTCTGTTCTTATTCCTCAACACCTTGCCGCCTGGCGTCACCTTGCCGTCGGGCTTGACGGGGCTTCTGCGATCCTCTTCCTCCTCTTCCTCTTCGTCATCCTTGAAGAAGAACGCCATGTCGTTGGTGCCGCGGACACGGTCTGTGAGGAAAGTGGCAGCGCTTCCGTCATTGATGCGGAGTGTGTCAATCAAGAGGAGCGAGTATACCTCGCCCTTGTGGTTCGGGTCGTCCAGGTCCTGGAAGCCGACCGAGAGGTTGACGACCATGTCCTTCTTCAGGGCGCGGGCGTTCTTGCCCGAGAGGACATATGCACTGTCGCGGAACTCGAGACCGATACCAAAGCCGATGTTCTTGACAAAAGACTGCACGAGCTTGTCGTCCTTGGCGCGTACGATTTCGACGGCCTTTGTGTAGATGTCCTTGCACGTTGCGCCGGCACGGACATGCTTGTCAGCGAGCTCGGTTTGCAGCTCATGCAGGAATGCGTACATTTTCTGTTGGCTGTTGTGCGGGTCGATGAGGTAGGTCCTGCCGATGTTGGAGCAGTAGTTGCGGTACTTGATGCCCATGCTGGCGATCACCACACCACCGTTGCCATCTGCACCCTGCAGACGCTTCGTTGTCGAGACCGCCGACGTCTTGAGATCGTATTCGCCGCCGGACTGGACGATTGGTGTGTAGCACCAGTCGGCGAGCGAGAAGTCAGCTCCTTCAAGGTTCTTGACCTTCTTCCACATCTTGTTGTCGTCGAGCTTGCCCTCGATGCGCTCGGACAGCTGCTCGTGTGTGACCTTCTTGCCTTCGTCGAGGATGGTGGACATTTCGTTTTCAAAGTAGCCGGACATGACGGCCGAGCTCATCTTCGAGGCGTACTTGATGGCCTTGATTTCGTCTTCGTCCTTGGCGGCCCAAACGGCGCTGAGAGCTGGGCTGACGTCGATCATCTTGAAGTCATTGGATTTCTGCGCCTTTTCGAAGACGGCGTGCCATTCATCGGCAAACTTGCCCGAGGGCTTGTCCTTGGGCAGGCAGCCAACCTTGGAGCCTTGAGCGTTGATGCGAGAGATGAGGTCGTCCCAGAGGCCGCGGTTGGTTGCCTCATCCTTGGAACGCTTGAGGATCTCAATGTCAAACCCGTTGCTGCTCTTCTTGAGCGCCTCGAGATGCACGGCTTTGGAGGCGCTGGTGACAAACGTGACGGCGGTCTTGGTGAAGAGGATGACGGTGGAGGGGAATTCGTAGCCCAGCAGCCAAGAGTGAATGGCGGTGGTCTTGGAGTAGATGAGGTCGTCGTTCTGACCGCCCATGACGACGAGGAGCGAGTCGACCTGCGCGAGCTGTTCAAAGTCATCGCTGCCGTCCTTCCAGGCGGAGAGAAGCTTCTTGACTCTCCGCTGGAAAGCGCCAGCATCGATCTGAATCTGTTCCGACATCGTATGGGAGCCGTGTAAGGCTGCAACTGCTGATGGTTAGCAGTCCGCACCGGTGCGTCTCTGCGTCCAAGATTGAGTCGAGGCTTCTTGACACGAGTAGGCTGTGCTTCGTGTGCCAGTCCGATTCGATCTTGACGCCTTGTTGAGAAAGGGCTTTGGGTAGTCAAGGATGCTGAGCCTTGTGACGAAGTGAGAACGTGAGGGTCAAGACGGTGAAGGGGAAGGCGTATCGAAGCTGAGTCGAGTTGGCCAGAATACCGAAGAGGCCCAACCATCGTCTTCACTCAGCTTTGCGCCAAACGCGCAGTTCTTCGCACGCGTTCAAGGCCTGCGCGCGAGACCCGATTCAATTCCCAACCTCAGATCGGGGAAAAAAAAAGCAAAGGTTGTCCAAGCTTAACATCTTGATGGCGGCCAAAAAAGTGGAGGTCAAGCTCGCAATTGGGCACGAGAGCAGTGTCCAGTCCAGATCCAGCCTAGTCACACAGCGTCAGGGACCTGGTCCGTGAATCACAGATGGTGCGGGCGCAGTCTGAAGTGAATGCGCAGCTGCCTTTGAACGCGCGTTGAGCCCCTCAAATTGATGGGCTCAGTGCGAGGGTGACTGGGCAGTTGGCCTCTGTACTCGCGGGCCCAAGGAGCCAAGGGTCCACACAGCTCGGCTCAGTATCACATATCGTTACTATCATCATCATCCTATAAGCCATCCGCTCGACATCGCTGAGCAAGCTATCACTCGACCTCCATCAACACCGGCAAACCAATCTCAGGACCCGCGCTACGAAGGACTCGTCGCTGGCAGCAAGCATCCCAGCCATCCAACCCGCTCACAAGTCTGCAATCGCTCGTCACGCTTGAGCGAACCATCCGCACGATAGCAACAGCGCCTTTGGTGGTCTCTTTCTAGCGACTTTATCGATCGTCCCAGCAAAGCCCTCTAGAAGCTTCCCATCCCGTAGCCTGATCCGCGGCAGTAAAGATGCGTTCCGCGTTCAAAAACGAGCACTCGTTTGAGAAGCGCAAGGCCGAGGCCGAGCGGATCCGCCAAAAGTACCCGGACCGCATTCCTGTCATCTGCGAAAAGGCGGATCGTACCGACATCCCCACGATCGACAAGAAGAAGTACCTGGTGCCATCGGACCTCACAGTAGGCCAATTCGTCTATGTCATCCGAAAGCGCATCAAGCTCGCGCCCGAAAAGGCCATCTTCATCTTTGTAGACGAGGTACTTCCAGCCACAGCAGCGCTGATGAGCGCCATCTACGAAGAGCACAAGGATGAGGACGGCTTCCTCTATGTCTCGTACTCGGGCGAGAACACGTTTGGCGGTCTTTGATCCGCTCGAACATCGTTTCACTTCAGAGCGGGTGCACAAGGTATCCGCAAGCGCGCAAGACTAACGATGTCTTCCTGGTCCGTCACAAGCAGTCGTCCCGTTTCCGGATCTGCTCTAGCCTCTTGCGCAATCGATGACGGGATCACTATCAGCCTGCTAACGTGATGATGCATCTATGCATGCGCTTGGACTCGCACACCGGCACTGCTACATTATCTTGGCACCTCATCGTTTCTGCTTCCTCGTCATGTCTCTCGCCACTCCTCGGTTCGTACCTCTGACTCGTCTCGACAATCCTTTCCTCGTCCTCGCATGCTTCTCCGTCGCTTTCGTTTGTACTCTTATACCACCTCCGTCCCTCTTGTGCCTTGCTATCGAACTGGTTCCTCTGACACGACTTCAGCCAGCAGAAGTGTGTGACGACAGCACTGCGCACTCATGTCCTGCACCGACGGGGCACACGAGCTTGAGCCCGTGCGCTGCAAGTCCTTCGGTTGCGGAAGAGCTCTGACTGCCTGATGTGATGCAAAGTTGGCTCCGTTCGTCGTGCCACACAGCAGCTCCGTATGGCCGATTAAATGAACCGGGCTCGAAGCAAGCCGGATCGCAAAGACTTGCGCTCGGCAGGGCTTGACTGCTGCACCCTTGTTTGACCGGCTGGCTGGCTGGCTGGCTGGCTGGCTTGCTGAGCCTGTTTGTTTTGTCGTGTGGAGCCGTGTGACCGGCGCGCAAGTCGAAAGAAAAAGGGTCCTGCTCGGCTGCGGTCGATCAATCGCTGCTGATTGTGAGATTTGACCCCTTCTCTGGCCCTTTCTGCGTTTTTGAGTTGTTTTTTTCCTTGATAGAGGCTGGCGGAGAGGGCGTCGAAGAGACAGGCGAGCAGGCAGGCTGGTGAGCAGCTTTTTCAAGACGGAAGATCGACTTTGCTTTTTCTGTTTGCTCTTGCTGCTCGTTGTCGACATCCACTCTTTCACTTCATCTTCATCCCAAGCCGGTGTCTAAGGTCCGGACCGTCACAGGTCACTTCAGACGAGACTCTTTTGGTCGTCACCTCGGGCTTTTTCGTCTTCGTCTCACGCCTATTGTCTCTGATCGACCACCAGCAAAGAAAAAAGGGCTACTCGCGACTGGGCCAAGCACGACCGCCCCCACATCGCTTCACCCACACCGCCGTCGAAAGCCCCTCTTGAACGTGTTTAGCAATAGCAGTGGTCGCTCGACACAGTCCCGTCGGTCAAGTCAGCAAGGGGGCAGGTTCTGACCCGGCTCACAGAACTCCATCTAGCCACGTTTTCCTCCCTCTCTGCCGCCAACATGTCTCGGTTTTGAAGGTCAGCGACGTCACCTCTCAGCCATAAACCCGTCCGCCTCAGCGCAGACACACATCAGCACGCAACAGATCCCTAATCTCGATCTTTCTACGTCAGAGAACCGCTCCTGCGTATTTCAAAGCATCCGAGTTAACCTTATCGTAAGGTCAGACCCAAGCTCCACCAGGTAGTCTCCCAGTCGGTCCGCTGGACGCGTTCGAAGATCCACCATTTCGAAGTTCTCGATCATGGCGGAAGACGGTTCCAAGGAGCCAGAGATCAAGGTGTCTCAGGACGGCATCAACGCCAACTTCAGCCTGTCGCCTAGACTCGATCAGCTTCCATCAAGGCCCATGGGCTCAGCCGCGCGAGGCAGGCATCGCCATCACAGTCGAAACCAGTCCATCGACACAAAAGACCGCACCAGTCCCATCCTCGGTTTCGGTCCGCTGCAGTCTTCCTCGGATCGATCTTGGACCATTGCTGAAGCTTCAGGAGGCGCAGAACACAATGCAGCCTCTGCAGATTCCAACTCGACAGATTCGTCTCGCTCTGTCAACGGCTCGAGCGACCACCTTGCAAGCTCTCGATCCAAACCAGCCTCGATGAACCACTTGTCTGCCTCTGGCTCCCCGACCTTCCTTCCACACACACGAAAGGTCAGCGCCGGATCCAACGCGAACAGCAGCAGCAGCAGCGCCGGAAGTGCCTCGCCCGATGCCAACTTCACCTCTGAATTGCGGCGCACCAATCCTCGCAACGCCGATCGACACCAGCCAAATGGCACCACTCACCACTTTTCCGAGGGCAGCGCTCGCCGCACCTCTTCTCCTGCACGCACCTTTGCTGGTGCCCCGATCTCGCCTCGCCTCCAATCCACAATGTCGGCCCACGCTGGACTCGCACGCGCTCGTCGCGCAAGCACCGATCTAGCCACCGCTCCCTTCCGAGCGCCTTCGCCCATCTTCTTGCCGTCGACTTCGCCGCCCACCGTGCCCATCAACCCAGACGCACAACACGCCTGGGACTCGGTCTGGCCTCGCTCGTCTACGCCGGACCGCGCCGATCAGCTGCGCAGGATGGGCTCGGCCTCACCTGTCGCCGGGTCCCCGGGTCGTGCTTCGCCTTCGGCGGGCTCGGATTCGATGGACCTCTCACGGTCGCCTGCTACGTCAGCCGAATCAGGATCGCCGGCAGGCTCATCCAACACCATTCTCGGCCGACCCAAAGCGCGGCGACCGCACGAGCTGCGCGGCTCGTCCTCCTCGCCCGTTTTGCGCACCGGTCTAAGCAACATGCGTGACACCCACGACCCACACAAGAGCCCACGCAGAAGCATCGAGGTGGCCAAGACCGACCCCGTCGTCAAAATCGGTTTCACTCCGCCTTGGTCGACCTCGGACGCGTCGGAAGAGACGTCCAAACCCACGTATGCCAGCGCCGTGACTTCCGGCCAAAGTCCAGCAAGCAGGGTCCTCTCGCCCGCCACCGAAGCTGCGCCGCACGTGGACGTTGCGAACGCACTCGTATCTCATCGCACCAACAGCAGCGGCTCGTCGTGGTTGCCAGAGCGGGCCGAGTCACCCCTGGCAAGCCTTAACAACGCTGATCCCAAGAAGCGGTACAGCTCAGTGCCCGTGCCTCAGTCGCTGCCGCTCCCAACCCGAACACCTTCTCCGAAGATCTCGCCCACGTCACCGCGCTCACCTTTCCTCGAGCTTTCGGATCCGTCCGGATCAGCCCCGAATGGGGCCAGCATGGGTCTGGGCGAGAGTCCGCCTAAGACGCGCAGCTTCATCGCCATGCCGCCGCGCTCGGGCTACGATCTCAGTGACGATCCGGACGATGTGGGCTCGTCGGAGGAAGATGGCTCCAATTCCGAAAGAGAGAGCGTGGGCACCAACGACGAGGATCAGGAGGGCTCCGAGTTCGACGAGGACGACATTGCAGAAACAGGCGATGACATCGAAGAAGACGAAGATCGCGTCAGCTCGACAAACAGCTCCGCAGCAGCAGCGAAAAGCATCGAGGACGTCAGTGAATCGCCTGGCAGCGGAACCAGTCCCATGACCGGGGCCGAACGCCCTTCGCTGCCTAAACGTCCCAGTCTCACCAGATCTGGTGTGGTCCCACCACCGATCGCCATCATCGACCATCCTCGAGGTGCACTCAATCCTCTTGCCCAGGCCGAATCTTCCGCCCGCGCGCTCGCTGCGCAGAAAGGATCGACGGGCAGCACCATGCTCAACTTCTTCCGCGACGAGCCCAGCCAGCAAGAGATGCAGCAGCAGCAGCCGCCAGCGGGCATCAGCAGCGATGCTCAGATCTCAGATTCAGTCATGCCGTCCGCGCTGGGTCTCGATGCCGGCGACACGGAGTCTGCTGACGCCATGATGGAAGAGGGTAGTCCCGGCGTCGACCAAGACGAAGAAGAGGAGGACGAAGACGAGCAAGGCTTCGGGGCCGCGCTCGAGCATGCCGAAGAGAGCTTGAACACACTCGAGCGCATCTTCCTGTTCGCCAAGAGCGATCAGGCCTACCACAGGGTCCTCGTCTCTCAATCGCTGCCCGAGTGGATCCGCGAAGTCGAGCTCAATGATGCGGTTGAGTACATTATCCCGTTGCTGAATGGACTCGCGACCGACGAAGCCGAGGTCTGCGCAGCATTTGCGCCCGAGATTGGCAGGGTCATGTGGTTCTTCTTCCGCAATTGCCCCATCGCCGAGCTTGCCGACGAGTCCAGCGAGATGCAACACACGGACGACGACGAAGCCGAAAGGGCATCGCGCCCAAAGATCAGCCTCACCGCCTTCACGACGCTGTTGTGCGCGCTGTTGCTCAACCAAAATACCGTGATTGCCGGCGCGACGCAACAGTCACTCGTTCAACTATTTTATCGTCTCGATCGTCGCGATCTCGAGTTCTCCAAAGAAGAGCTCGCCGAAAAGCCTCAGGAACAGATCCAGGCGAGACAGGAGGAGCAGGATCTGGAGAGCTACGTCACGCACGCATCGGGTCGAGATGGACAGCCAGTGCCGCACGATGACTACCGCTTCGACGACCATGCCCGGATGACTGTCAAGAACGAGCTGCTTGTCAACGTGGCCCTCGCGTTGGCGCAGATTCATCATGGCCGCCACGGCGCAGAGCAGGACGAGCACATCGACGAGCAGCAAGGCGCACCGACGGATGGAGCGAATGTCGAGGCGGAGGCGTCCAGCGCCACAACAGCAGATGAAGCCATGGAAGAGGACAACGCAGACGCCTCTGACAGCGCCAAAGCTACGAGCGAAAACGAGGCCTCGTCTGGATCTATCGCTGCCTCAAACGACGCCATGGATGAAGAGCCCGACTCATTAGAAGCCAATTCGTGGGGACAGGAGGGGAACATGTTTGGCCAGCAGAGCGATGACTCGGCTAGCGACGTGCAGATCGACGAAGACGAGGAATCGGCCGTCGGACGCATGGCCTCGGTCAGTTTGCTCGCCGCACTGGCAGCAGACGAGCTGATCCCACAAGATGCGCTGCTGGACAGGTACGCTCCCGAGGTGCTCAAACTCATCGATGATGGCGCCTTCTACGTTCGTAAAGAGGTGGCTAGCTCGCTTGGCCCCTTGTCACGCAACCTGACAGCCGAGCCCGTAGAGAACAAGGTGCTTCCCGCGCTCAACAAGGCCATCCACGACCGCAACTGGCACGTGCGTCAAGCCGCTTGCTTCTCGGTCCCCGCTACTCTCGGAAAGCTCGGCGAGAAGCTTCGTCGCGAGACCACGCTGGTGTTCATGCGAGCGCTGGTCAACGACGTCTCCCGAGCGCTGCGAATGGCTGCCTTGGAGATCATCGGCGAAGTGATTTACATGTTCCATGAAACCGAGGCGGGCGTGCCCGAGGAGCTTGTGCGCTTCTTCCTGGGTGAGCCCTTCGATGGTCCACCCCAGCAAGGCGATGCCTCGCTCACGTTCGACAAGACGAGCGATCCGGAAGGCACAGAAGCGCTTTTCGAAGAGGAGAGCGCCATGATGATGATGGATGCCGGCTCCGATGCCGGGGTGCCCTCGTCCTTTGGCGGCGGCAACGGTCAAGACTCGCTGCTCGCCAGCTTTGGTTACGGCGGCGGAAACGAGAGCTCAATGATGGACGCGGCGCCGTGGGACACCAACTTCCGCGCCAACAACTTTGATCCAGAGCGTCCGCTCGTCGTCGCTTACAACTTGCCCGCTGTCGTGCTCACGCTAGGCGCTAGTCAGTGGAGCAGATTGAAGCAAGCGCACGCCGAGCTTACGAGGAGCGACAAGCCCAAGGTGCGCAAGAGCTTGGCAGCTTCATTGCACGAAGTCGCCAAGATCATTGGGCCAGATGCTACACGCGACGATCTACTGCCGGCTTCGACGCGCTTCGTCGCGGACGACGACGTCGACGTGCGGACGGCTATGTTCGACAACATGGACGTGTTCCTTTCGTGCCTGCCCCAGGTCGAAGCAGAACGTACGCTCTCGGAGCTGCTTTCGCAGTGGTCATCGGGCGCGCTGCGAGACTGGCGTCTGCGCGAGCGACTAGCGCTGCACATTCCCAGCATGGCCAAGCAATTCTTGCTGCAGGATGAAGACGGCAACCTGGTGTCGCTGATGCAGCTGGCGCTGGCGGATCCGATCAGCGCGGTACGAGACGCAGGCATTCACTGCGTACCGAACCTGTACAGGGCGTTCGCCGAGCACGACCAAGTGATCGCTGACGGCTTCCTGGGCATGGTGAGCGATCTGGGAGACAGCCAGGGCTACCGTCTGCGCGTAGCTTGCCTGCTGTGCGTAGGTGCGCTGGTCGAGTCAGACATCCAACGCTCGTCCTGCGAGTTGCTCTTGCTGAACCGGTTGAGTCAGATGGGCGACGACAGCGTGGTCGACGTTCGCATTGCACTGTCGCGCGTGCTGGCGCAGATGTGCCGCAAGGACGAGCTGTACGCGCTGCCGCAGTCGAGGTCAGAGGATCTAAACAAGCTCATCGCAAAGCTCGCGCACGACGATTCGGACGAAGTACGACAAGGCGTGTTTGGCATCCTGTCGGAAGAGGAGCTGAACCAACACGCTGCGCTTCCACGAGAGGAGGGTATCGAGCCAAGGAAGCTGGTGCTCGGTCCTGCTGATGGTGGACCCCATCGACCTGAGGGCGAAGGTGGCTTCACGAACCAATTTGTGGACGCCGACGGCGATGATGGCGACGTCAATGTGTTCCAGATGGACGACGACAGCCAGTTCAGCGAGGCCAGTTCGGCCGAGAACACAGATGGAGACGAGGAAAGTCAGGTCAACTCGGACGCAGAGGACGATGCAGAGTCATCTGGATCCAAGACGCAGGCGCAATCGGCGCAGCATCTCGAGATGTCGCGAGCATCCATCTTTGGCGGAGGCAAGCGCCAGACGGAGCTCGACTTTGGCACAGACTGGGTCAACGCCAATGGACCTGCCTTCTTCGACTATGGCGACAACGACGAGGACGATGAGAACGAGGACGGCGAGCCCCACCATCTGCTGGGCGTGGATCACGAGTCGAGCGACAAAGAGGACGACGACAGCGAGGGCGCTCAACAAAACGAAGATGAGCCGCAAGATTCGCATTCAGCAGACAACAGCATGGAGGAGAGCAATACGGAGCATGGTATCACGCTGTCTTCGCCGCAACGAGGCGTCGACGGCGCTGTGAGTGGTGATGGCGACACATCTGCAGACAGTCCAAGTCGACCAGGACCGTCGTCGTCCAGCAGCCCTGGCCAAGGCAAAGCTTCGGACCCGTTCCTGGCATTTGTGGCTGGTCGGCAATCGCAGCACCTGAGCAAGCAGCCGGCTGATCAGGCTGGGCGTATGTCTTTGCTGACGGGTGCAGCATCCAAACGATCGCGTCTGTCGAACGGCACAGCTGCGTTGCACCACGAAGCAGCAGCTGAGGATGACGACGAGGAGGGACAAGTGCTCTCAAAGCCCGAGGACGACGAAGAGATGATGGGACGACGCTACAGTTCCAAGACGTCGGGAGACTGGTCTCAACTGACAGGCGATGCGAGCGGTCAAGCCAAAGCAGCAGATCGAGATGGCAACGACGCTGTTGAGAACGGCGAAGATCAGGACGACTTTGTTCAGGTATAAGGGCGGTAGTAGTGTTCTCGGCTGTACTTTTGTTCTCATCGCTCTCTTGGCAACTAGGAGGATTTGTGTAATGGAAGTGCGACTGTATCGCTCGCGAGATCAGGAACGAAGTATGTACCTTGTCAGCATTGGCACGGCAGATGGTGGGTGGGGTGGTGACGCAAGGCGTTTCATGCAAGCTCCTTGCATACGGCGCTAAGGTCGACTGGATGGAAAATCTGAGACCCGACGGAGCGGTGCGCTGGTGATGGACGTCAAGGCACTGGGTGGTCACTCAGAAGACGCCCCTTTGCGGCATGTGGATTCCAAAGCCCTGGTCCGCCACCCCCTTATCTCTGCCCCCTTGCCGATGGCATGCTCTGCACAGGGGATCGAGCGAACCAACGTGACGGTGTTCCTTACACTTGGACGGCTCGGACGGTCGGAATTGCGTGGGCCTGGAGCGCATCAGCGCACTGCATTGAGCCCAAGGGGTGGGTTGAAGGCGCTGAGATTGTGCTCATTGTGCTCATTGTGCTCAATATGGACCCCTTTGCGCCCATCTTCTGCATTCGTCTGATGTTGTTGTTGTTCTCGGGGAGCGGCTCAGACATTTTGTGCGGCTCCAGAGCGAGTCGATTGCTTTTAGCTTGAGACAACTGACCTCAGCTGCAGTTAGCCGACTCAACCAATTTCACGATGAATAAATTCAAAATCCGAAATGTGTCTTCTGCTGATCCACTGTGTGAGCTGCATCTGAACTTTAAAAGTCCTCTCTCTCAACTGACACAGGAGAGAGAGACAGAGTGCCAAGCAGCCGCTAACTGACTGCTGCCTTTGCCTTTGCATTTGCGATGCTTTGCTCTGCTTTGGTTTGCTTGCTCGGCGTGCTTCTCATGCGAAATTCCCATCCGAACGGTAAAAGAGGCTCAGCAGCCCCACTTTCTTGTAGGCATGGTGCATGCATCCTCTGCTTCGGCTGGCGGCAGGGCTGCTGTAACTAACAAGCTAGGAACGCGAGCACGCAGCATCCACGCAGCTCGAGCTCAAAGCGCATCTCGTCAAATTCCTCTGAGTAGAACCAGTCGGAGTGAGCCAGGAGCTAAGCCACTCTGACTGTTGGCTGTCACGCCTGGAATTTCCGCCTCCGCTTCTGACTTTGACTGGTGTGTTGTGACATTTGTCGCTCCTCACTCGTCCATCTGACATCCCAGACTGCCTGCTACCTTCCCTCGGACCATCACCATCCTTTATCCTCTTCTTCATCTCCTCCTACCGACATCTGCCCCGTTCCTCGACTCTCACTCCTTTTTATCTCGACCTTGGACTCCTTTCTTCCGTTGGATACACTCATCCGCACTCTAGTCTCGCCGTCCCACAGTGGCACCACCGCGTAGAAAAACCTTCTCCGTTTCCTGACGGAACCCTACAGTCTGCTTCGACCCGTCACCACTGTTCTCCTGCTCCGTCCTGTCACTTCTCTGACACACACTCGCTTCATCGGTGCCACCAGCACGTGGACTAGCTTCATTCGCATTTCGACCTTGGAACCGCCGCGAGTCTCAATCTTCGTCCACGGACCGTTTTCGCTTTTCAGTCCGCGACAGCATTGCTTCATCTCATCGCGTCACACACGCTTCTGCACGGTGACACCTGTCATCTCGTCCTTCCGACCAAATGAGCTCTGCTAGACCCACAACAGGTCGGCCAACAACCGGTCGCCCCACCACCGGCAGGCCCACCACAGGTCGTCGTCCAGGCACACGTGGTGGCACCGCCAACCCAAGGCCCCCTACACAAGGTCAAGGCGCCTATGAGGGCGAGACTTATATAGAGGAAGAGGAATGGGACGAAGAAGACGAAGAGGAGTACGAATCCGAAGACGATGGAGATGTGTTTGCCTTCGTTCTTCCCGACCTTGGTCCCGCGCCCGAGCTGCAGCACAACCCTCTCGACCCTTCCATAGACAATCAGAATCGTCAGCAGGCTTCCCAGCAAGACCCTCCCACACAACAGCATCTCGCCTCTGCGGGTCCAGCTGCGGATCCCAACGAGACCTACTACTATGATGAAGCCACGGGCGCCGTCTATGACTCGCAAGGACGTCTCGTCGACGTTTCCGGTCAGAGCCTCGCCTTGCCAGCATCAGGAGTACCCTCCCAACACCAGGGCTTGGCAGCCGAGTCCGACTTGAATGGCGTCGAGTTTCAACGCCCCACCGGCCCACCCGTCGTCGACCTCACTCAAGCCCTCAATCCCATGGGCTCGCCCGACAACCGCTCGTACGACTCCAGCAGCACCTTCGTTCGTGGTATCAATGGTCAGCCGCTCGACCATGCTCGCTCCGTCGCCGTCTTCTCTTCCATGGATGCGTTGCCTGAAGCCGACTCGCAACCCGTCAGTCGCAGCGGCAACTCGGAGATGCGCACCTCTCTCCCCCACGGCACCCGCGACATTGGCACCACCGCTAGCGGCGGCATCTCGCTCGACCAGCGCATCCCCGCCCAAGGCATCCGACAAAGTGCGCAGATCGACACCTACTCCTCATCCGTACCTGAACTGCGTCGCACGCCCGAAAGCCCCGGCAGCACCGACGAGAACAAGTTCCCTCTCGATTCCGCCGAGTTCGCCTTCGACGATGCCTACAAGGACGAATTCCACATGTCCGACTACGGCCAGAGCCAAGGTCTGTCCCATCCTACATCGGAAGATGCCGAAGTCGGTGCGAGGGGCGTTCGCATGGTCGAGCTCGAGATGGAGATGGAGGAAGACTCGCCCTATCCAGAAGTGCGTGCCTCCGTGTCCAACATCGACGACACCGAGATGCCGGTCAACACGATCCGAATGTGGTTCACCTCATTCCTCCTCACCATCCTCGCTTCGGGTGCCAACATGTTCTTCTCGCTCCGCTACCCGGCTCCTACCTTCAACACCACCGTCGTCTTGCTAGTAGCCTACCCCATGGGCAAGTTCTTCGCCGCTGTGCTGCCGTACCGCATCTGGACGTTGCCGCGCTGGCTCGGCGGCGTCTCGTTCTCGCTCAACCCAGGCATCTACAACATCAAGGAACACACGCTCACCACCATCATGGCCAACATCTCCATCATCACCGCCTACTCGATGAGCGTCATCATCGCCGACGAGTCGGTGCAGTACTACAACCAGCCACGTGCCTTTGGCTTTGACGTCCTGCTCATGCTCAGCACGCAGACCATCGGTTTTGGTCTCGCGGGCATGTGTCGTCGCTTCCTCGTCTGGCCCGCTAGCATGATCTGGCCGCAGAACCTCGTCGCCGCTACGATCCTCAACACGCTGCACGCCGAGGAGGAGTCGGACGGCACCATGACGCGCTTCCGCTTCTTCACTGTCTGCTCCATCGGCGCGTTCGTGCTCTACTGGATCCCTGGCTATCTGTTCCTGTCGCTGTCGGTGTTCAACTGGGTCTGTTGGATCTTCCCTTCCAACCAACCGGTCAATTTGGTCTTTGGCACGATCTCGGGTTTGGGCATGTCGGTGCTCACCCCCGATTGGACGCAGATCAGCTACATCGGCTCGCCGCTCATCACGCCCTGGTGGGCCGAGTGCAACGTCTTCGCTGGCTTCGTCATGTTCATCTGGGTCGCTGCGCCGATCATGTGGTTCAAGAACGCGTGGTATCAGGCGTACCTCCCCTTCAACACGGGTCAGTCCTTCGACAGGTACGGTCAGCCGTACGAGATTAGCCGTGTCATTCCTAACGGTTCGGATCTGGATCAGCAGGCGTACGAGGAGTATTCTCCCCTCTACCTCTCGACGACCCTCGCGCTGGTCTACACGACCGGATTTGCGATGCTGACCAGCGTTCTGACGCACACGGTGCTGTACCACGGCAAGGCGTTGAAGAAGGGCATCCTGCGCGTTCGCACCGAGGAGGACGACGTGCACGCCAAGTTCATGCGTCACTATCCCGAGACGCCCGACTGGTGGTATGCCGTCATGTTTGTCATTGCGCTCGTCTTTGGTATCGTCATGGCGCGCGTCTACCATACGGACCTGCCGATCTGGGGGGTGTTCCTCTCGATCCTCATTCCGACCATCTACATCCTCCCCGCCGGGTTTGTGTATGCCATGACGGGCCAGGCGATCGGCACCAACCTGATTGGCGAACTGCTCGTCGGCTACATGCTACCCGGGAAACCGCTGCCGAACATGATCTTCAAGGCGTACGCCATGCAGGGGTTGTTCGGCGGTCTCGGGTTCGTACAGGACCTCAAGCTGGGACATTACATGAAGATCCCGCCTCGGTTGACGTTCATGGCGCAGCTGAGCGGGGTGATCGTGGCATGCTTTGTTCAGCTCGGCGTCAAGCAGTGGATGTTTGCCAACATCACCGATCTGTGCAGTCCGGATCAGGCGAACAGTTTTACCTGTCCGTCGATCCGGGTGTTCTACACGGCCTCGTTGATTTGGGGTGCCATTGGACCGGCACGCATGTTCGGGTCGACGAGCATGTATCGTGCCATGTACTGGGCGATGTTGTTCGGAGCGCTGATACCGATCCCGTTCTACCTGCTTGCACGACGTTACCCGCGTTCGTGGATCCGTTACGTCTCCTGGCCAGTCATCTTCGCCGGTGTCTCGTTCATCCCCCCCGCCAGTGGTCTCAACTACACCTCCTGGTTCGCTGCCGGGTTTGTGTTTCAGTACCTCGTACGCAAGTACAACTTCCGTTGGTGGTCCAAGTACAATTTCGTCCTTGCGGCAGCGATGGATAGCGGCACGATTGTGTCTAGCATTTTGATCTTCTTCGCGCTGATCTTGCCGAAGAATGGGGCGGTGACGCTGAATTGGTGGGGAAACGAGGTCGCGGGGAATAATCTGGATGCTGCGGGTCTGGCGCTGATGCAACCTCCCGAGGGCGGGTTTGGTGGTCCGGCTAGGTTTTGATTACTTTCGTTATGGAATAACCTCACGTTCGTTGGGTTCCTCGTCGTGTGTCTGCGTTCGTCCGTGTGTGATGGTGGGTCTTGCTTGCGATGTGATCGTGTGTTGACTTTGTTGTGCTACTTGTATCGGGACGAGCGGGTGAGAGAGGGCATGGCGTTGGGCGCGGCGCTCGTTCGACGCGTGACCATGCGAGCTCGACAGCCTCCTGTGTGCTCCTTTCCGTCCATTCTCCGTTCCATCTTCTCGATTGGCCGCTCGAGCGAGAGAGAGCGTCGTCACGCAAAGCGTTTCGATGCCAGCCCTCGTCCTCCGATCCGCAAACCGCATCGCCACTTATTGTCACATCACCTCATCTCTCCACCCCCAATTCTCACACCCCGGTCTGAATCATGCCACCTTGAGCTCAAACAGGCACACACATACACTCGACTCGTCTAACCGTATATCATTCTTACAAAGACGAAAGCAACTAACATTCGATGCGCATACCCTTTTCGGCCATGACGAAGCGCACGCCCAATGCGGCCGCTTGCTCCTCCTGCTCTAGCTCGTCCAGGATCTTCTGGGGTGCGGTGCGGTGGTCGAGTATGGGTTCTGGGTTGACTATTGGCGTTGCGTCGTCATCCGTGCTGTCTGTGGTGGCCGCATTGACGAATGTCGGAAACAAGGCGGGTTTGACGTGGATCACAATGACGCCCAACCCCTGCAGTTGACCACGAAGCTCGCTATCGCGGTCGTACACACTGCCGCTCGGTGGCTGTGGTTGTTCGTCATGCACCGACACCGCCGCCGTCCCCAACGGCGAAGGCGCCAGATGGTATTTGTTCCCACCACTCGACCCCGCTCCGGTAGGACCACCAGCACTCCTCACACTCCCATTCGACCCCCTCCGCCTCATCTCCCTCACCCGCTTCACCATCTGCGCCAACACCCGCAACTCATCAAACAGATGCTCCACCGACAAATGCCCATACAAAAATTCCGTCGGATGACCCTTTGCAAAACTGCACTCGAGGAAAATCGCATTCAGCCGTCCTTCGGCAAACCGCTCGGCGGCGTGACTCCACACCTGCCGATTGCGCGGCGATTGCGAGACGCAATCCGGCTCGACGTCGCCAAAGAAGAGCACGTCGCGGTCGTGGTTTTTGTGCGTGATGAAGAAGGCGGTCGAGTCGAGCGAGGGTGGGGGACGATCGATCGAGACGCGCCGAGGCGGTTGTCGTGTGGTGTTCGAAGCGGGGCCGGAAGACGAAGTGGGTGGGGTCCATGCGGAAGGAGGCGAAGGACGTCGTTCCGAGCCTTGGGCGGTTCGAGGTCTGCGGTTCTTGGCCGGGCTGTCCGGGAGCGGTTTGTTGAAGGAGGAGGGTTGCTGAGGGGGATGCGTCGGGATGCCAGGTCCGCCACTGGCCGTAGGCAGCATGGCGACCGAAGACAGGGAGGCGGTGGAGGACGAAGCGGATGCGAGACCGTCCGCAGCAGTAGCAGCAGGCGACGCTCGAGGCGATACAGGCTCTCCCTGTTTGTTGGTCGGGATATCCGTAGGGCCGAGCGAAGCGTTGGACGCTTTGCTCGTAGCAGTCGAGGGGAAGAAAGGGCTGTTGTTGAACGACGGTCGACGGAACGCATTGGCCTCGCTTCCTTGTGAGATGCTTTCGAGGGTGCGCATGCGGTCGTCGATACCGCGCGAGAGCTGGAACGAGCCGAGCTGGGTGCTGACGGGCAGCGACATGCGTTTGCTGAAGTAGTTCGAATTGAGTTGCGCCGGCGCGTAGGTTGGTGTGGGAGGTGCGGGCGGCTCAGACGGGTTGAGACCGTGCGAAAGAGCGAAGGGCAAGACACTGAGTGAGTCGCTTACTGAAAAGGGTCGCTGGTTGTCGAGGCAACGCATGTGATACATGGTATGCGGTTCGTCCTCCTTCCACGAGGCGAGCTTGGGCCAGATTTTGCCGTTGAACATGTCGAGAATGTTTTCGAGTGTGGGCTTGAGACCGAAGACGCTCCTTTTGCCTGGCAAGGAGGCTGAGCCGAGCACCAAGCCGAGAATATGATCGAGATGGGCGTGTGATATCAAGAAGGCACTCGAGAAGGAAGCCATGAGACCGGCGCGCAGATAGGCGGACGGTGTGGTGGGTGGGAACTCGAAGTCGTAGAAGGCCGAGTCGGGACCGTGTTGTTCGAGCACATCGGTGAGCGCGCCTAGCCACGAGCCGCCTTCGACAACGATGGAACCATCCTGCCACTCTTGATCGGCTGCCTTGAGGAGGTAGCAGGAGCAATCGCCTTCGAGGGGACCACCGCCGGTACCGAGACAGACGAAGCTGAAGGAAGCGGGTTGGTGTCCTGGATGAAGCGCTACACGCGGCTGCTTGCGTCTGGGATAGTCGGACGCCGAGTAGAAGGACTGCTCGGTTTGAACCGAGCTTCTTCGAAGGTCATTGCGACTGCTGATCGAGGGTTCGGAGGCTTGGAGCTGTGACGAAGATGAAGCGGGAAGTTGGGCGGATGATGACAGGTCCTGGTGGGCCGCGGCGGACGAAGAGGAAGGCTGGGTCGTCATGTTGATCTTGAGGTGTCGGTGTGCCTTGTCAGATGAATCTGTCCGAGTACGGAAGCTGTGACAGGACTTGCGTGCAGATTCTGATCGTCCACCGAGTTGAGAAGAAGTCGACAGATGCAAATGCGGAGGTCCTCAGATAAGGTACACGGATCGATTGCGACGGATCGAGAACGCCGTTGTTCTGAGTCGAAGCTGTCGCTCGCTTGGACGGACTATGTGCCGGGACCAAAGCCTAATGAGCGTACGGGCCAAAGGAGTCCAGAGGAGGCGACGATGCAAGGCTGTATCTTTTGCGCAGATATTGGCGGCGGCGTTCAAGAAGCCAAGAAGCAGAATGAATTGTTCGCCGAGTCTTGGTTGGATCGGATGGGACAGTCAAGACAGAACCGACTAGGACCGAAGGATGCCGAGCTCGGTTTGCGGTGATGAGCTGCGGTGGGACTGGCGTTGTGTGGACGGCAGGTGGAACTGCCAAGCCAATAGATGGTGGAAAGAGTGGTGCAAGTTCAGGAGAGGTTCATCTCGGAGATGAAGGACGGGACCGAACTTGAATTGCCGCTCGACGGTGGGGAAATGGAATCGTTGCTGTGCAAGAACGGATGGCACGCGACGAAAAGGCCGTGTTGTTCGCCGTTCGTTGAAGAGCGGGACGTGCGGCTGAGAAATTTGGAGCACCACCAGGATACCGTGTGAGATGCCGATTGTCGTGAAGGTGCAGCTGTCAGTGGGGCCGATGATACCGCGAGATGAAGCGAGAGTCCTCGAAGATGACGTCTAGATGGGAGATGATCGAGAAGCCTTTGGCTTTGGCTTGCGATGAAAAGCTCTGCAGATGGACGATCGCACCTTGGGATGGCACCGGACGAAAGCGACAGCAGAGGCGTGCGTAAGGTGCTGAAAGGAGCTTGGAGGTGCGACGAGCTGTGCGTTCGAGTGGATAGCGAGATGGGAGGGCGAGCTCGAACAGAGGGAAACCAAGTGGTGTGAGTGGATCGTGTCGAGGGAAAGAGAGATTGAGGTTGAGAGAGTGGGTCAAAGTCAGCACCCCACCCACGCGCCCAATCCAAACGGGCTCAAACCCAGAGTCAAGTCGAGTCGAGTCAAAGCGACCAATGCGTTCGGACCCGCAGTCAATGAAAAGAGACTGGCGTAGAGCGCCAAAGCGAGCGCGTGGCATCCCAACCGAGCCAACCGACAGCCAGGCGACAGGCAGAATTAATACATTTATTGTGATTCAATGAGAGCCAATAGAAGCGACCCTGAACGCAAGCCTCTTTAGAGCGCTGTTTTATGCCAATTTCTGCACCTCAACCACCACGCGCAAGACTGAGCCAATGATCAACCAGCCCCATCCTGTCGGTCCGGTCATCTTCTGTCAAGACGCTCGCTTGCTGCTGGGTCCAGGCCAAGCACGATCAGTGCCTGGCTAGGCAAGTGAATCGTGTCGATGCTCACTCGCTCCATCCCGCATCGACATATCCAGGTCTGGCTCACAGCGAGAATGGGACAGTGAGTCATTCCATAGTGGCTGCAAGCGTGGCTGGCGTATTGGTCTTCAAACAAGCCCAGAGCAGAAGGGAAGCAAGACGCATTCGAAATTGCAGCTCATTTCAAATTGCGCCCAGACCCGCAGCAAGCCAGCCAGCCAGCCAGCCACTTCTCCAGTAGCTCGATAGAGACGTCTCTGGCCGCAGACGTTCATACCGCCCGCTTGTCACTGTGACCCTTGAATCCTATTCATGTGTTGCTCGACACCATCATAGTCACTCATCTGCCTCTGACAACGCTCGGAGAAGGATTGCTCGCCTGGGTCAATTTCCGACTGCAAAGGTTGGTATAATGCCTATCTGTCCAATATGCAAGTCAGCGTCGGCAGCCGGGATCTGGTGCGGGGTCTAGACTTGCATCAACAAGCGAGCTTTTTTTCGTTCTCATACGATATCTTACCGCCACCGTAGATGCAGATGCACGAATCGCTTCGACGCTTCCTCATGCGGTCCGTTCTCTTCTCTGAAAACACTGGGCCTGTCAACCCATCCACTCTCGACAATCGAACAAAGCCGAGATACGAATCAAATGCATTTGTGGTTTGCGTGCTAGTTACAGATGAGTTCATGCGGGTCATGCTGAATGCTGTTCGCTGCGTATATGCAGGAGAGGGTTGAACGCGGGCTACCTTCCTCATCGCCCGGTCAAGATGTAGTTCAAGGCGCGCAGACTTCGCAGCAGCACCGCCTGCGCGTTCGCCGGGCTCGCCAATGTCGCCAAAGCCTTCGACTCGATCCGTTGCGCTCCGCTCATGGCCGACAGTCGGTCCGTCACCGTTGGCCCGCTGATCACAATCCCGGACTGCGTCACTCCAGCCGAAGCTGCTGCCGCTGCTGCCTGCGCCGCTGCTCCAGGCGTCAAGTCGCCACTGCCGCCAACACCACCTTCTGCGCCCGTGTTGGTCTTCTTCCCACCATCCTCTTCTTCATCCTCTTCCACGGGCTCTGGAAGCGTCGAGAGCAGCGCGTCCAGATCCCCCACCAACGATTGCGAAGCTTGGTTCGCCTGCGCTTGCAATGCTTCGCAGATGGTCTCGCGCGCCCCCTGCACAACGCCCAGGTGCAGAGCGATCGCCAGTGTGCTCTGGAAGCCTTTGCTTGAGATCGACGTAGCCAAAGGCTTGACCACATTGCAAAGTCGATCCGCCGGGATCACTGGCATCGAATTGAGAGCACCGTCCGTTCGAGGCTTGACCGAGATCGCCGCCACCTCTGTCTGCAAAGTGGTAGCGGCAGTATCGTCGCTCGCGTTGGCAGCGTTAGCGGATGCGGAGTCTGTAGCTGCAGGTGCTGCCGTGGAGGTCGTTTCGCTCGGGCCGGCGTCCTGGCCGTCGCTTCGCACCATCTCCGCGCTCGTGGCCGCTTCACTCGGTACCTGCGGGGCATTCGCAGCTGGCTCGGCATCCGCACTCGACGGTCTGTTCGTCGTCGTCATCAGTGGCCTCGTCACCGTGCTGATCAGATCCAGCAGCGAGTCCACCAATTGACTGTTGGACAGGATCGTTTCCTTGGCCAGCAACCCGAGCAGGATGTTGAGTGGTGCGATGCCGCGGTCGGACGTCTCGGTCTCCTTCTCCTTGCCCTTGCTCTTCTTCGGCGGTCGCGCCTCATTTCGCAGGAACCACATGGCCGACTGATTGTTGACATTGGTCAGGTGCAGCAACGTGTCGATGCTGCGAGAAGCAATCAGGAACGGCGCCTCGTCGCCCGTCTTGGAGAGCGGCGCAGTGGCGCCAGTCGTGCCAGGCCCATCTGGTGTGGACGTCGGAAGGTGCGCAGCGCTGGCAGGGCCCGTGAGAGATCGCTTGGGCGTCGGTCGCGACGGCGTGGAGTGCATCCGATGAGCGCGGTTGCTCATCGATACAAACGAGCGGTCCACAGCGTGCGCGTCGACCGAGCCTTCCGATAAGACCATGAGAAGCAGGTTGAGCAGCTCCGCACGGGTCTTGGAGTTCTCTGCCAGGTTGGCGAGCACCTTGTGCAATGCGGTCTGCTTGGCGTTCATTTGCGGGAAGAAGAGCAGACGCACGAGTGTGGCCACGCCCGACTTGTCGAGCAGATGAATGGCGTCGCGCGGTCCGGCTTTCTTTGTTGGGTCCACGTCAGCTCCATCACGCGCCTCAGCACCGGCAGGTCTGGGAATGCCGGATGCATTGAGCATGCGGATGGGCACGGATCCAAGCCGTCCGGCTGCAGAAGAGGCGGGGACAGCGCGAATGGTGCCAGTCGAAATGTCCTGACTGTCACTCTCCTCCTCGTCGAATCGGCGATGCTGACGGTTCCGGCCATCCGCATTGTCGCCATCCGTGGTGGCGGCGTGGCCTGCCATGCCGCCCAGAACGCCAGAAGGAGCACCGCCGGTTCGGAGCACTTCGCCGAAGGCGGCGTCAAGGAAGTCGAACGCTGGATGCTCGCTGTCACGTCTGGCCGCGCCAGCACCCTCTGCGCCTGATCGCGTGGAAGAGGGGGCAGCAGAACCTCGATCTCCGGCACCTCCCTGTCCGACGCCTTGGTCAGGGCCATCGCCATTGCCGCCTGAGCCGATCTGCTCGCGGATGCGGCGTCGCGAAGTCTCGATGGCTTCTTGCTGGATGACCTCGGCACGCAGCTCGGGAGGGAGAGCATCCAAAAATTCGGGTGCGATCGTCGTAGGCTGAGGCAAGTTGCTGGTGGCCTCCGCAGCTCGACGCTCCCGGAAGTGCTGGTTGAGCACCTCCTCGCGCAGATCGTCCGGAAGCGCCTCGAGGAAGGTGGGATCGATGCCAGTGTCGGTGATGTCAATCTCCTCGCCGTTGATGGTAATGGTCGCGCGCGGCGTCTCGGTGGCAGCTTCGTGGGTTTGCGTTTCGGGCGCGCCAGTCGTGGCTGCGTCTGCTTGCTGAGTCGAAGACGAGCCGGCTTGCGTGGGTTCGGCATCCGCCATCTCGACGTCGTCAGGCAGAGCGGCAGCTGTCGAGCTCGATGTAAGCTCGGCACCAGCGTTCGCAGAATCGGAGGTCTCTGCTGCAGGAGCCTCGCTAGCATTGGAAGCATCACGCGAGGCACCCGCTTGAGACTGTTCTGCAGGCGCTGCTGACGAAGAGGGAAGAAGGGACTGAAGCTCGCTGCTGCCGATGCCATCTGCGATCATCTGCCTGGCACGCTCCTCACCCTGGCGCAATCGTTCGCGAGCCTCTTCGAGCTCTTTCTCGGTCTGCTCCCTGCTCTCGCGCAGACGCTTGAGCTCGGCTTCGGCCTTCTCTCGTGTCTGCTTGGCCTGCTCGAGCGCCTTTCGGTCCTCTTCCAGCTGACGACGCGTCTCCAAACGATGCTTCTTGAAGCCAGGCAGAAGCGCATTGATCAGGTGAGCGCGCATCCTGGAGGTCCGTTCGGCTGAGACGGGAGAAGACGGGAGGAGGATCAGTGCCTCCTCGGACCATCTCGTCAGTGTCGGCATGGGCGTGAAAGATTGAGCAAGGGTGACGGGGTCGTTCTGAGCCGCAGCTTGCCTGTCGTTGGCGGCCCGGTGCCCACCGCCGCCCAGCACGGCTTGTCCGTGATGGGTGTGACTGTGGTGATGGTGATGATGGTGACCTCCGCGGCCTCCTCGGCCGGTCACGTCAATGCCGTCGATGCGCATTCGGCCTCCATCGCCCATCTCGATGCGGATCTCCTGAGAGCCTGCACCGCCTCGCGCGAGGAGATGCTCAAGGAATTGCAGAGCCCCTTCGCCCACGAAGTCTTCCACGGACTGAGCCCAGTCCGCATAGCCAGAGGGTAGGGATCCGCCGCCAGGGCCGCGGCGGGTCGCTCGTCCTGCGTGACGGCTAGCATCGGCATCCGACTGGTCCACCAGCAGAGGATGAGTAGAGATCTCATCGGACGGCGGCGCTGTGCGTCGAGGTGCCATCATCGAGTCGAAATCGATCAGGTTGCGTCGGCGATGGCCGCCTGTACCACTGCCCGTGTTGGCGATGGCATTGGGCAAGAAGAAGTTCGGTGGCAGGAGCCCAGCCGTTCGAGGACGAGCCGAGGAGGAGCCAAGACCAGCCGTGCGCGGATCAGGCACAGCGGTCCAGCCCCAGTTGGCGCCAAAGCGGTCGTCGGCCGGGCCGACATACTCTTCCGCCAGCTCGAGCTGCGAAAGCTCGTCCTGGTCCATATCTCCGTCGATGGACTCGTCGTCCAGCATCTCGATCTCCTCGTCGTCCACCAGGCCATCGACCATGTCGCCCTCCATCACAGGAAGATCGTCGCCTTCCTCAAACTCCTCTGTGATCGGTGGCAATCCCTCCTCGCCGTCTTGGAAGACAAAGTCCAGCGCCTCCTCCTCTTCATCGTCGAGGTCGGTTCCGTCGTCGTCCTCGTCGTCCTCGTCGGTCCACTCGTCCTCTTCATCCATGATGCTGGCGTCGTCATCGTGGCTGTCATGGCCATGCGAATGCGTGTGGTCGTCCTCGTCCGAATCAGAGTCATCGTCGCTCGAGTCGTCCATGTCCGTGTCGGAATCGGTCAGCTCCACAACGCGGGGATCGTCGCCGTCCATGCCCTCGAGCTCCTCGTCTGTGGACAGCTCGCTGCCGGTGTCGGTGTCAAAGTCCTCCATCTCCATGTCGTCTTCGTCATCCATGTCCTCGTCCGACATCTCGTCGTCATCGAGGCCTGTGTCCATCTCGCCGGTGTGCATGCCGAGGGACGAATTGCGGTAGAAATCGGGCGTCTCGGCACGCTCAATGTCCTCGTCGTCCTCGTCATCGTCGTCAAAGTCCTCCTCCATGTCGTAGTCGGAGGAGAAGTCGGTCTCGTCGTCCGACTCGTCAATGACCGCGCGCGCGCTGGCCTTGGGCTTGCTCATCCGGATGGCAACCTTGGTCAGATGCTCAAGGGGCCGCAAGATGGCTTCGAGTAGCGACTTGACGGTCGGCAAGTTGAGATCAACATCGGCGATGGCGCTGGTCAGCACAGTGACGAAGCTCTTCTCCAGCATCATCTTGGCCATGTGGATCGTCAGGTCCTCGGTCTGCTTGCCGCCCGTGCTGTTGGGACGAGCGATCAGCAATCGATAACAGAGGTCGCTCAGCGCGTACAGACGGCCGTAGCGCACTTCGATGGATTCCGAAGAAGAAGCAGCTTCCTTGATGGACCTCGCGATGGCATCGAGCATCGTCCTGCGCACTGTGATCAGGTCGGCGGGGACCTCTTTGACGTCGATGTGCACGGAGACATCTGCTGCCAGAGCCACGAGGACCGACATGGCCCAATTGGACAGCGTCATCTTCCTGCGCAGCTCCGTGCTGCCGTACGAGCTGAGGAAGCCAGCAGGGACGAGCTCGGTCAAGAACGTACCCAGGATGCCGGCACGCGTTCGGAACGTTTCCTTGCTGCCGGGAGTGCCGGGCGCGAAGGTGACGCTCGCCGACGCAGGAGCAGCAGCAGGCGTGGACACGGGCGTAGCAGCGTTCCCGGCCGCAGCGGCGAAAAGACGCTTCTTGCTGAAGTTGACAAAGGAGGTCTTGCAGGAAGAGTACGACGAGAGCAGCTCGGTCAGGCACTGCATGAGGAAGCACGAGTAGAAGAAAGCAATGTCTTGCTGCTTCTCCTCTTCGGTCTTCTCCTGCGTGGCAGCCACGGATCCGTTCGTCGCGGTCGAGGCGGTCGATGAAGTGCCAGCAGCGTCCAGGACCGCGGCTTGAGCATCGCTCGAAGCAGTCGCATTCTCAGCGGTGCTGCTCGACGCCGACGCAGTCATGGACTGGGTCTTCCTTCCCGAGACGCGAAGAAGTTCGGTCAGCAGATAGCTCATCAAGCCGTCGAGCTCTTCGGAGGGAGCAGCGAGGACCGACAATTGCGTCGCTGACTTGAAGAAGGCGGGCTCTTCGTTGGCCTTTGCGCTGGCGCCATCAGCAGCATTTTCCATCGGATCATCGCCGAGACGGAGGCTCGCAAGACTCGCCGAGCCATTGCCTAGATCCGAAGGGGAGTCCTTGGCCTCTTTCTTCTCGGCCTCAGCCGGGTCTTGCAGCAGCTTGATGTGTCCGCTGCCCTTGGTGGGCGAGTATTCGGTCATTTCCACCTTGGCAACGGCCGACTCGAGGAAAACGTCGGGGTCACGCAGGACGGCACAATCCAGCTGACGAACCAGCGTCGAGGTGTCGCTGGTCTTGTTGCGCGACTGCGCCACCAGGCTGTGAATCTCTTGCCTCATGACGCTCGCCAGCGTCTGAGCGTCTTCGACAATATGACGCAGTACGATGGCCACGAACGGCTGACATCCCGAGACTTGCTTGGGCTCGAGCACCCGGAAGGGCTCCAAAATCAGGCGAACGCCGCCCTCGCGTGCGAATCGAGCTGCGTACGTGTGGTTACGCGTCAATACGGTGAGCAGGCGGAAAGCTGCGAGCAAGTCGTTTCTCTCGAGCGAAGTCGCCTCGCGGAAAATCTGCAGGGCAAAGAGGAAGAGGGCATCCGAGATCGGCACTGAGCCGACTCGCACGCGCGGCAGGTCCGGCTTGATGGTTGCTGAGGCAGCGGTGGCGCCTTCTCCAGCAGCTTCGGTCGTGATCCCATTTGCGTTGCCAGCAGTATCGGAGGGAGTGGACTCGGTATCCATCGTCGCATCGAGCAGAGCATCGTCGGTCTTGACTTCGGCAATGTCTTCCGAGAAGCCGAGGATGCCGACGAGAGCCAGAATGAGGGATGCCAGCCACTTGGGTGTCGACTTCGGAGGGGTTGACTCTGCAGATGATGCAGATGGAGTGGCGGCTCGAGCATTTTGAGAGGATTCAGCGGTCGAGGATGCCGAGCCAGGGACGCTCGCGTCCTCAGACGAAGAGGGGCGGGTTCCGTACAGCTTGATCAGCCCTTCGAGCGACCGCAGAATGGTCGTGGCGACGTCGCGATCGAGCTGCTTGAAAATTTGCTCGTCGTGCAACACGAGAGCAAGCAGCTGCATGCGCAAGGCGACAAAGTCAGCCTTGACGCCGAAAGCAGCGGATGCTTCGGCATCAATGACCTTGACAAGCGTTTCGATGTGCGCCATCGCCTTGGCTCGATCCGATGCCTGCAAGATGATGGCAGACTTGACTTCGAAGACGAGCGCTGGATGATGATCGGCCAGCTGCAAGCCTCGTTCAACCAGGGAAGCTCGCAGCGAGTCACGGCGCTCTTCCAACTCGGCCTTCAGCTTGGCCACCTTGTCGGTGTCCATCGTGTCATCGGTCTCCGCCTCCTTGTCGCTCGTCTCCGCAGCCGCCTCACCGCTTCCGCTGGCGTCGGCCATCGCTGCGTCTGGTACGTCGCCGGCCGCGGCGTTGGTCGTGTCAGCACGATCGTCACCGGCACCGTTCGTAGCTGTAGCCCCACCTGGAGGAGCGTCGGCGGCCGCACCAGTGTCGGATGGCGGTGCAGCCGGCTCAGCAGCCCCTCGAGCTCCGTTCTGGCTATCCGTGGCACCAGTGCGCTCGTCGCCCCACGGTTGAGTCGGATTATCACGGTAGTGGACAACGAGCTCGTCATGCGCCAGCAGATACTCGGTGGCCGCGTTGAGATTGTTCTGACAGCGAGACAGAGCATGACGGGCTGCACCGTCGGGGAAGCCCATGTCCACCATCGTGCGGACACGCTCCTCGTTGGGCGGCCTGCGAATGGGTGAAGGAGCTGTGCGAGGCGCACTACCAAACGCGAATGGATTAGCCATATTCAACAGCCCCGATGGGAGCGTTCCGGATGCACCCGGAGCGCCAGAGGTGGTTGAGGTCTTCTTAGGAGCGGACGCTGACTCGTTCTGTGCTTTGAGGATGGTCAAGAGGTTCTGCAGCATCAAGCGATTCACCGATGCAGGCATGGAAGGAAGCCACGGTTTATCCCAGGCGGAGAGCAGCAGCTGCAGCACCCCAAAGCGGATCTGGACCAGGTACGCGTGAGGCTCAAAGACGTCCTTGCCGCCCTCGCGGATGAGTTGCGTCGTCTGAGCGGAGTCGATGAGACCCTTACAGTGCACGAGCTTAAGCAACAGACCTAGCATCACCTTGAGACCGCCACAGGTGTGACCCAGCTTGATGCCTGCCTCGTCGATGTCGGTGGCCGAGAGTTCGATGCTGTTGCCGTGACCGTTGTAGAATCGGTCGATCTCGGCCACATAGCGGCGGAACAGGTCGAAGAGGGCATCAAGACCGCCTTGCTTGTCCAAGGCACGCAAAATGGCTGGATAGACGACAGGAGAGCTGGGCCGTTCGTCGAAGAGGAGACAGCTCGTCTGGCAGATCATGAGCGTGGCAAAGGCAAAGCTGTTGATGCCGTTGCTCGATTCTCGCCACGTGAGGTGGTCCTTGAGGAACTTGGCGATCTCCACAGAGGCTGTGTATGCGGCGGCCTTGTGGGCAGCATCGACGCTGCGACGGGGGGCTAGGTAGCGGACCGTCTCTTCGAAAAGCGAGGTGAGCGAGGAGGGGACCTGCGAAGCAACGTAGCGCAGCGCAGCGGCATTTCGCTGTCTCGGATCTTCGTCCTGCGACGGAGTCGAGTCTTGCGGCTGAGCGCGCTGCTCGACGGTACCAGCAAGATCTTGCAAGAGGTCATCCGGAACGCCGTGCTGTGGGGTGCGTTGCGGCTGCGGCATGCGCGTGGACGAGCCCGTTGCGCCATTCGAAGACTGCGCAGGAAGGTCAACAGCACCTGTCGCGGTTGACTGCTGCGATTCTGTCTGCGTATCTTCTGCAGATGTTGGCTCCGTGTCGGCTTTGGCGGTTTCGGCCGAGGGATGCGGAGGCGGCAGCGAAGTCTTGAGCAGCATGTTCTCCCACGCGCAGGCACGGTGGATCGCGCCGAGCTCTGCAATGCTGACGGTACCCGATGTCGTGCTAGCCACGAGGGTCTGAAGGAAAATGGACGGCAGCTTGTGACCCACATACGTGATCGTGCACACATCCGTGAAGAGGTGGGTGCGCGAGCACAGACCCACCAGCTTGCGGAACGCGAGGTTGGCCTGCTCCACCTCTGTCTCGTCACGGGGCGTCGCCATCCACAACAGCCGCGAAACCGTGTTGTCGTACGTCAGGGAAGCGAATGACTTGTCCGTGATGCCAAACAGCGCCGCCGCTTCCTCCGAGGCGGCCTTGACGTCGCGGAGCATGGCGATCAGAACCGTGCTAGGACTGATCTCTGCCATCAAGCGCACGAGCGTGACGAGCGAGTCGGCGAGCAGCGACGCGGAAAAGTCGTAAGGAAGACACGGCAACGAGTAGAAGCTGAGCAGCTTGTCGAAGCCATCCATCTTGATGAAGTCCTTGCAGTGCGAGGTGGTCTGGAAGAGGCCCTCCAGAAAGCGGGCCATCACGTCGATGGAGGCAATGACCGGGTTGGACTCGAGCTTGGTGATGTCTTCCTTGCGGATCGGGTCTGGCTCGTCGGTGACCACGTCCGCCAGCGCGACGGAACGGCCGCCAGTCGAGCCCGCAGCGGTGGTGGCATCGGCTTCATCGGCAGCGACCTGACCGACAGGAAGCAACCCGTACGCTGCACGCGCCTTGGCGTCCTCAGGCAGCACAAAGGTGCGGCCCATCTGCTGAATTTCGTCGAGCGTCTTCATGATCGATTCCATGACGAGCGGCTTGAGGCTGGGCTGGTGGCGCATGAGTTCGTCGATGGCAGCGCCAAAAGCGTTGGCATTGTCGCGATCCTGGAACACCTTGCTGTGACGCTCCGAAGTGAAAAGCGAAAAGAGCTTGGGGATGAGTGGACGAGAGTTGTAGAGGTCGAGCCCAGCTTGATTGAGGCAAATGGCGCCGATGGCATTCGGGATCGCAAAGATGACCTCCCAGTTCGCCTCGATGTCGGCTTCGATGGCATCAAAGAAGGCCTCGGGGATCTTGGCCTCCTGCAGGATCGCGAGCGAGGTCGGCTCGTTGTGAACAAAGGCCGAGATGATGAGGATGGTCAGCGAGAAGATCTGCGGACCGAAGATGGATCGGTGCACGATGATGCGCTTGAGCGAGTCCAGCAGCGAGGTGTTGACAAGGTTGCGCAGGCCATCTCCGGTGCCGGTCAAGGCCATCATCTGAGAAATCGATTTGAACATGGAGCGGATCAGCCCGGCGCGGCCAAAAGCGAGGCGGCCGTAGAGGTTGTCTGGGCCTGGCTCGCCAAAGACACTGTCGCTCATGCGATCAGCGGAGCCATCCTCGATGTCGCGATCCACCTCGGCCTTGATGCGATCGACCATGACATCGAGGCCGCGTGCGTTGCAGAAGAGGTCGAAAGATTGGGGCAACGAGTAGATGAGGGCGTCCATGAGGCCCATCGCCCTAGAGACGGTACGCTGCACCATGTAGCGATCTGGACATGGGATGCCGATGAGGTCGATGAGGAGAGGAATGAGTCCTGCACCGACGATCATGGGGCTGCCGAGCGACGTATTCCCGATGAAGGCGACGAAGCTGAGGACGGAGTCAACAAAGTGATCGCTCGAGACGGGCTCGTCGGTGCGAAGGTCGTCGATGAGGCTTCGCAGCACACTGAGGATGATGCCGTGGTTGACCGAGGCGTTGACCGAGTTGAGCACCACGGCGATCTTGGTGCGGTAGCGGCCGAGACTCTCGAGCGCGTAGAAGGCGCTGCTCTGGACGGCCATGTCGAGCTTCTGCACAGGGTCGATGAGTGCGGCGACGCGCTGGACCAGGTCTGGCTCGTACAGGAAGAGCTGGGTGTTTGCGGCGGATTCGCCGATGACGAGACCATAGCAGGCCATGGCGAGGAGGCGACAGATGAGCAGCTGCTTGCGAGCTTCTTGATTCTGAAGACCGATCGCCAGACGGACGCGTTGGAAGAGCTCGAAGCGCTCCTCGGATGGAATCTCGTAGCTCTCGACCGCCTTGGCAAATACGTCGGCGGGATCGCCAGCGACCTTGTTCAGCTCGACCGTGATCAAGCCTTCGCGACGACCTGCAGCCGAGGTCGAGCCGGATGCTGCCGTTGCAGCGCTCTCGGCCCTTTCGTCGGGACGTGTTGGCGTTGCGAGGAGGGCACTGGCCGACAGAGCGGGAAGTATGGCCGGGCGAGTGTCTCTGTTGCGCGAGCGCGTTGGCGTTGACGTCGACGGCTGATACTGCTGGTGGGTTTGATGAGGAGAAGCCGCGGTGCGAATGGGGTGAGGTGACTCGCTGGCGGAGATGGTCGAAGAGGACGCGACGGGCTGCGAAGAGGTCGATGCGGTCTGAATGATTGACCCACTGCGCCTGAAGAACTGGAAGCGAACGTCGGCCACACCGGTCGGCAGTTGAACCTCGGGCCGGGCAATATCGACGAGCGAAAGGCCATGGTCTCTGGGAGTCCATATCATGGAGAGCGTGGTGAGACGGTCCTTGGAGATCTGGAACTCGTGTCGAGGATGGTGAGTGCTGTGCTGCTGTGCGGCTCGGAGGACTAGGCGGAGGGTGGTCTCGAGCACGTCGAGGTCTCGCGTGTAGAGAAGCTCGTTGAGGTGCTCGAAAGAGCTGTAGAGCTTGCGGTTGGTGCAGTTTTCGATGAGAAGGCGGGAGAAGCGCACGATGCTGACGACGAGACGCTTTGTGATGGGGGTGAACTCGTTGAGCTGGATCTTGGACAGCTCGTAGTCGCGGCAGACATTTTCGAGGATGGTGTCGAAGCGATTGAGTGTGCCGGTCCAGTAGTAGAGATCGCCGCGTGGCCAGCACCATTCGGATATGCTGTCGAGCACGGCCGGTAGCTCGTCATCGGATGACTTTGTGATGCGCTCCTGCAGCGCCACAATCTCTGGGGCCTATTATAGTGGCAAATGGAAGAGGAGTGGATCGTTAGAATGCTTGCTCTGAGACACGCATCGGGAATCCTGCGTCAGTATCATCTAGGAGCGGAAAACTCACGGCTGGTGCCAGACGCTTTGGCGCCTTTGTGATCTTCATCGTGATGCGAAGGCAAGAAAGTGCGGCGTCAAGTGCTCTGCCGAGCCAGCTGAGCGATGCCGCACCTCTTGGTCGAAGAGAAGCCTTTCAGCAGGGGCAGGTGTGGGCTGAATGCGGAAGTGGTCCAGACGTCTGAACATCGACTCGATCGACGAACAGCCGAGATGTGTGAGGTAGCACCTCTCTTGTGATCTGCCTGTTCGTCCGGCAGTCGACCGACGAGATGATGACGGCAGAGGAGAGAAGGAGAGAAGCCCCTGGTGTGAGTGAGTGATGAGGAAAATGAAGGATGAGGAGGCTGAGCTCCAAGCTCACTTCGCTTGCACTTCTCAAAATTGCAACACCTGCACCACGCGCTCTGCGATTCTCAGCGTCTGCAGTGACAGTCAGTTTGTCACTTTCGATCACGCTGCGCTGCTGCTCCGTGCTTTGCTTTTCGCCTCCACACTTTATTTCCTCGAGAGCTGCGCTGTGCTGGCCCTTTTTTGCCGAGCCTCGTTTTTCAGTTCAGGGTTCTCTTTGGTTCAGAAACTTGTTGCTTTTGCTCAGCTTCCGCAGCTTTTGGCAGGTGCGAATTCAGAAGATGGGAATATGCAGAAAAAGGTCGAGAAAATGGAGGACGAGAAATGCGAGCCAAAATGCAACTCGATGGTGCCGCGCTGAGCGGGTGAATCGACTCAGCCGGCGCACAGTCCAGTTGTCTCGTTTGGCAGCGACCAGGCTCGAGAGCTCCTCATCTTGTTCCACCGTCTCCAATCAGAGTTGTCGAGGACAGAGCACATCATCATGTCGCTTTCAGAGGCACTCTTGTCGCGGGCCCAGGCCAACAGCTCCCTGCTGGCCGAAAAGGGAGGCTCCTCAGCTTTCCACGGTGGCCCAAAAGGCGGGCTCGCTGCTTTCCTAGCCAGGTCGAGGACGACCCCCGCCGGTGCCGGCACTAACACCACCAGCAAGGGCCAAGGTCTGACTTCCGTACAGATAGCCTCATTCCATGCGCACAAGACCTTGCCGCCCGTCAACTACGCCTCGCAGGCCACCACTCAACTCGTCCGTTCGGTCCGACAGCTTCTCTCGTCCAATGCGTCCAACTCGACCGCGACCGCCTCGAGGCCGCCTCTCGAGCATCTCTACAGCATCACCAACACGCTTATCATCCACTCTTCACGTCAGACCCTCGATGACCTCTACGATACGATCAGGATCGAGTTTGAACGTGCTGCTGGAAGCTTTGCGACCGCGCTGCACAGCTCCGGTTCCGCCAACGAGTCGCTGGCATCCAAGGCTACATGGCTGACGCAGCTCCAGTCCATCTGGTCCAACTGGTGCGAGAATCTAGCATTGGTGCGAGACGTCTTGCTGCCCTTAGACCGCTACTTCCTCCAAACCCTCGCATCTACTACGGCGTCGGAACAGAGCAAGCTGCCCATCTGGGATCTGGGCCTCGACATTTTCGGTCACCGTATCCTCAAAGATGCCACGCTGGCTAGCATGATCCTCACTCGTATCGTGGCTGCTATCGATGGCGAACGCCAGCAGAGCATCTCCTACCGAGAGTTGCACGCTTCCGTCGCGGACATGTTCCGCCAGCTCAAGGCAGAGAGCGTGCTCGACGAAGCCATTGCCACCGCCACCGTCTCCTTCTACCAAGCAGAATCTACTGCCGCCATCGCGGAGCTCTCACCGACCGACTACGTCGAGTACGCCGATCGTCGCATCCACGAAGAGCAGCAGCGCAGCGAGTGGGCTTTGCTCACCCAGGACGGACGCGCTGCCAACGTGGCTGCGGCGCGCAAGCAGCTCGTCACGGAGCATGCCGACAAGATCCTCGCCGGCTTGCCCGATCTCATCACCGCCAAGCAGCTCAGTGGACTCGCCAAGATCTATCAGCTGGTCAAGAGTATCGACCGCCTTTCGGACCTGCGCAAGGCCTTTGCAGAATACATCAAGACCCACGGCGCCTCGATCGTCAACGACCGTGCTAGAGACGACGACATGATCGAGAGGCTGCTCGAATTCAAGTCGTTCATCGATGCGATCGTCTCAACCGGCTTCCAGCGCGACGGCGACTTTGTCCATGCGCAGAAGGATAGCTTCGAGGTGTTTGTCAACAAGCGCGAGAACAAGCCTGCCGAGCTCATAGCCAAGTTCCTCGATGCCAAGCTACGCAGCGGCAACAAGACCATGACGGATCAGGAGCTGGAGCACAACCTCGACGAAGCGCTCATCCTCTTCCGATACACGCACGCCAAGGACATGTTTGAGGAGTTCTACAAGCGTCACTTTGCCAAACGTCTGCTGCTCAACCGCTCGGCTTCGTCGGATGCGGAGCGCAGCATGTTGCTCAAGCTCAAGGAGGAGTGCGGTCCTGAATTTACTGCCAAGCTGGAGACCATGATCAAGGATGTCGACGTTTCCAAGGATCTCATGGACGAGTTTGAGCGCTTTGCGACCAAGCAGCGCAAGGACCAAGGCTCGCTCAGCGACGACTTTGACCTCAGCGTGAGCGTGCTGACCCAAGCGCACTGGCCGACGTACCCCAACATCGAGGTGACGCTGCCGACGGAGCTTGCTGCCGCCGCCGAACGCTTCGAAGCGTTCTACCAGAAGCGTAACAGCGGTCGGCGTCTGCACTGGCAGCACTCGCTGGGCACGCTCTCGATCACGACGCAATTCGACAAGGCGGGCGTCAAGGAGCTCCAAGTCAGTACATTCCAAGCGATTGTCCTTCTGCTGTTCAACAGCCTCTCGGCAGGGGAGAAGCTCAGCTACGTCGACATTCGCACACAGACGGGTCTCAACGATCAGGAGCTCAAGCGTACGTTGCAGAGTCTTGCCTGCGGCCAGATCCCGACGCGTGTGCTCCGCAAACATCCGCAAGGCAAAGAAGTCAACGACGACGACGAGTTTGTCTTCAACGACCACTTCAAGAACGAACGCCACCGGATCCGCATCAACCAGATCCAGATGAAGGAGACAGCGGAAGAGCAAAAGTCGACCGAGCAGCGCGTGTTCTTGGATCGAGAGCTCATCCTGCAGGCGGCGGCGGTGCGCGTGCTCAAGGCCAAGAAGACGATCAAGCATTCGGAGCTGGTCAACGAGGTGGTGGAGCAGATCAAGAGCCGCTTCACCATCGAGCGCGCCGAGATCAAGAAGGTGTTTGACATCTTGATTGAGAAGGAGTACATGGAGCGCGTCGAGGGCGAGCGAGCGACGTACCGCTACCTTGCGTAGGCGTTTGTTCAAAGCTGCAATTGCGATGTTAGTTTCCGTGTCGTTAGGCTTCAACCGTGCGAGACCATGAGCGTACAATATGTGTTCTCTGATTCTTCGGAGATCACCATGCCGATGAGAGCCGATGAAGACTCACCACCTCGACGGTCCTCCTATGGCGCCATTCGCAGTGGTGCGCATACCTTTGTGAGGCTCCCACGGAGAAGCACGATGAGGCAACCAGATTGGGCTAGCCGAGAGTCGCGCGGGAGAGCGGGGAAGGTCACGGCTCGCCGTAACGTGCATATCTGATCTCACTGCGCAACTCCGCCTCGACGATCATCACCCTTGAAAACACACACACTCAGCAGCGCGCGGAAAATCAGGCACCGAGAATTATCAATGAAAAAAACCCTCGATAAATTGGCATTTCGAAAAACAAAAACATAAGCGAGGCTGCCGGCGCGCTGATCAAGAGCCTAAGCGAGGCCTTGGAACTTGGACGAGAAATGAGCTGATTCTTTCCCCTTTGCCACCAGCTCGGCTCGTCTATGTCGGCAGCACACTCAAAGGGTCCTTGCACATCAAAAAGCTATGACACGAATAAGAGATGTCGAGAGCAAGCTATGTTGTTGTCAGTACGGGCACAGTTCGAAGGAAGGAAGGCAGCCGACTTCGCCGAACCAGAATCAACAACCGAAAGCGTACGAAAGAATTCTTTGCCGGAGGTCGAACAATTTATTTGGCTCGTCGTCGAATATTCCTCTATGCGGAACGGGCTGGGGACATGTTTGGATTTCGGGGCAGCGGCAGCACAGAGCGTGGAGCTGTCGGTGAATGGGAGCGCATCGCCTCTTACATCCGGAGGCGTACGTCTGTCAATCCCCCCCTCTTTGTTCTCCGCAGCTAGGGTGCCGTCATCTTCGCGCGGTCTGGCCCTTGGTGGCTTGCGAGTCTGTGCAGAAAAGCATTCCAGCGTTTGTTCCTTCTGCTCCCAGTTTTTGCTCCCCATCTCGTCCATGCTTCGGAGCTCGAAATATGACTGCCAGGCTCTCTTTGGCTCGCCGTCTGCTGCTCATTCACAGCCTCCTTGGTACGGTAGACGATACAATGACCCTTCTTTCTTCAACTGACGAGCGAGCCGAGATGGTTCGCAAGCCGCTCGCTTGGAGATGCTTGTCCCTCTCCGCCTCCCGTTCAGGGTTCACTACCCAAAGTGAACCCCAAACATTGCACAGGTGGGCGTCGAGACATGACATGATTCCTCGACCTCGCTTAGACACAAAGCCAAGTGACGCAGGCCAAGATCTTGACAACGTAGCACAGATGATTCTCTGCCTGAGGAATGCCAAGCTGCCGTGGCTCTGACCTCTGGCCTCGCTGGACCCTCCCGAGCCAAGCGCGTCGCTTCCCGCATGAGGACGGTTTCAACGGTCGGCGGGCGCGCACTAACTGATTTGGGCGTGAATCGGCAGGCAGCAAAGCTGAACCCTTGTCTGTCCAAAACGCAGAAGGGGTCTCAACTTTACTTAGTGCAAGACAGGGCTTGACCGGGCAACGGTGGCGAAACAAGTGGTACAGCAGAGACATCTTGAGCTATGGTCCACTAGACTGCTCGATCAGGTGATGCTTCTGGCCTTCCGCTCTTTCGTATCTACAAAGCAGAGATGGACAGGCAAAGCTTGAAAGAGATGATCGATCCTGCGCGCACGGTCAATCCAAGCGGACTCCAAAGATCCGCCTCGCTTATTTTGCCATTTTGCGAAAAATGACCTCTGCCCCAGCTGCCCAGCTGCCGGCAATTGCTTTTCAACACAGGACCGGTCTCTTTGGCGTCTCCATCCGTCGTTCCAACTCAGGTGATGTTTTGACGTTCCGCTAACCACAGCGTGTAGGCGAGATCCCATTCCTTCAACGAGCCCCTTGGCTGCTGACCGAGAAGATCGTCGTTGGTTCTTTTCTGCCAACTCAGCTGATCGACATCATCCTACTGCGCTCGCACCTTCTGCCGCCCCCATACCCAAACCACCGGGACCCTTGTTTTGCCCCCTCTCGTCTTGCTGTTTGCTCGCTCCAATGTCGGGCCGAGTACGTTCTCTCTCTGCCTCCTCGGTTCTGACCTGATTGGGACAAAGGTGCGCGCAAAGCTCCAGGATCTTTCCATAGAGGCCTCACTTGACCTGCTCGCTTAGGCGTGCTCTTTCCAAAGTCCGTTCTGCCTCCCCCTTCGAGAGTCCGACCGATTCCTTCTGATGCCTCTCCCCTGTCTAGACTCCCTTTCTGCTTCCACGCACACAGCTTAGCACCGGCATCTCATTCCATTCCGTGCATGTGAGCTTGAGATCGTTCTTCCTTGTTCAGACAAATTCGACATCGGGGCCTATAAACCCTTTGACCCCGTCTGGATCCGGAACAGCTTAGAACATTGAGTGGATCTTGTCCGAGCAATCGGCCGACGAGGACGGCGACAAGCGGTCTCTCATGTTGCTGGGCACCAAAACATTTGTTGAGCACGTTCTTGGCTCACCAAACTGCTTCAGCAGATGGCGCCGATGAGCGGCACGCAGCGAGTAACCGCCTGTGTACGATTGCGTCGAAACGAGATCTACATGTCCCTGCATGCATGAGAGTCGTCCCAAGCCCTCAGCCAGATGCCGGGGCACTCGTGCCCTCTCCAACCTTGCCCCGCCCGCCACTCTCTGCCCATGAGCTCATCCGATCGGTCCGTTGCGTCTAGAGAGCCAAGCATCTCCTCCTCGACCGCCAAGACCGGTCTTGCTGCTTGCGTCCTTTCGCTTGCTTTTTGACCCTGTCGGTGCCTGAACCTCGCACGGCGAATGTATGGACACGGCGAACACGGACTTGGATGCAGATCAAACATCTGATGGATCTGGGACGAGGGACGGCGGAGCCACTAACAAAGCTTAGAGAGACAATGGACCGACCGGCATCTGAGGTCTCGCATGAACCAGAAGGGGAACCAATGTCATGTGTTTTGAGGAAGAAACATCCACGGAACCTCATCTGACCCTCCGCCCATCTGCCCGCACTATTGGATCAGAGGCATCCCTCCGCTCTCTCCCACTTTCCCCCTCTGCCGTCCTACCCCAAGCGCTGCCCTCCCCACCTGCTGCGCTCACGTTAGCAACGTCCATCCGAACCCACCTGACAAGTACATAAGGACCTCATCTGAACTCGTTCCTTCATCCCCGCTTACCTCCATCCAACCCACTTCCTCTTACACACCTAATCACAGCCAAACCCTCCCCCCTCCTCACAGTCCTTTCGTATCTTTCACGATGTTGACCAAGTACGCTGTCCTCGCTGCCACCGCCGCCGCCGCCGTCACTGCCGCTCCTGCCCAGAAGCGTGCCGCCGCTGGCCAGGCCGACATTGACATTGTCATCCTCAACTACGCTCTTACCCTCGAGCACCTTGAGAACGCCTTCTACCGTGACTCCCTTGCCACCTACGATGCTGCTGCCTTCCAGGCTGCCGGCTACCCCGAGTGGGTCCGCCAGCGCTTCGTCGAGATCGGCGGTCACGAGAAGGCTCACGTCGACTTCCTGACCACCGCTCTTGGTGACCAGGCCACCGCCGAGTGCACCTACAACTTCGGCGTCACCGATGTCAACTCCTTCATCGCCACCTCGGTCCTCCTCGAGGGTGTTGGTGAGAGCGCTTACCTTGGTGCCGCTCAGAACATCACCAACCCTGCCTACCTCACCGCTGCTGGCTCCATCCTGACTGTTGAGTCGCGCCACGCAGGCTGGGTCCAGTCCTCCGTGCAGCAGGGCGACGGTTTCCCCTCGGCCTTCAGCACCCCCCTCAACTTCAACCAGACCTTCTCGCTGGCTGCTCCCCTCATCACCTCGTGCCCCAGCACCAACCCTGCCCTCCCCGTCAAGGCCTTCCCTGCCGCGACCGTCTCCGGCGACGTCTGCGGTGGCAAGACCATCACCATCTCTGGTGAGGGTGTCCAGTCTGGTCAGTTCGCTGCCTTCCTGACCGGCCTCAACACCTACTACGCCCAGATCGGCGACAACGGATCGGTCCAGGTCCCCGCCGAGGTCAAGTACGGCCGTGTCTACATCGTCGTCACCTCCGGCCAGAGCCTCAGCGATGACACCACCATCGCCGGCCCCGCCGTCGCCGACATCCCCCTCTCCGCCGGCGAGGCTGAGAAGATCTACTCGCAGCAGCAGTAAGCGCGCAAGTGGACGTCGACAAAGCGAAAACACCACAACCACATACCATGGTCCCGTCTAATCTTCGTTCGGAAGTGATCTTCCCCTTCCTTAATTGAACAATGCTTTTTGCTACCATATCTTCTTGCTTGTGTGTCGAGCCTATGAAATACTTCGTTCCCTTGAGCATGCCGCGCGCGTTGAAGTATCGTGTGAGTGAGCGACCCTCTCTTGGCGCCATGTGCGACGGAGACTGTTCGTTGAAGACGGAGGCGTCGAGGGCTGAGTCTGAACGAGTGAGGGTGAGGGCATGAGGATTGCTGCAGGAGGGTTTGATGAGGCGTTCGTTGGAGGTTTTGCATGAGTCGGAGGGTTGATCAAGGTTTTGTGCTCGTCGGTGACGCGGTATGCTATGAGAGCCCCCGCTTCCGACGCTGATACCTTGCCAAGGTTCGTTAGACGGCACGACGTGGCCATAGTTGCGACCGCCAGTCTCGGCGGCCACCCATCAGCGGAGTGAGCGCTTCGCTGCCGTCTTCGACGTCGACAGTACTCCCCAACATAACGCCCCCAGCTATCCCATTTTCCTACCTCGAGTCGTCGTCTTACAGGGGCTGTAAGACGACGGCCTCGGGGTACGAGAACGGGCAAGCCGGAGGTCCCAGGTTGCAGAGTACTTGTTGGCAATGCAGACGATGCGAGGAGGGTGGTGGTGGAGAGTGGATGAATAGTGTATGCCAGTGAGACGAGAGAGGAGGAAGGCCAGCTTGAACGCCATTCTCCAATCATCGGTGGGTACGAACAGAGACACAGCGAGCCACGTCAGGCGCTGCGTGTGACATTGTCGCCGGTGACTCTCGCCGAGTGGGCATAGACGCCGTCGGCGAGCGACAGAGTTAACGGGGCCAATCACGTTCAGCTTCACAGCCTCATGCCCGCTCGGGCAGGAGGCGTGTGGATCGGTGTCCATCCGGCACCATTGTGGCTGGTGCTTCATTTCATTCGACGCAGACAGGGGCAAGCACGATTTTGCGAGACAAAGGGAAAGCAATCTGCATTGAGACGAGTCGACATGGCAACGAAGGCAGATGTCCACCGACCGTGCAGATGAGATTGAGCGAGAAGAAAGGACAGCAGACATGGGACGGTGGGCCAAGTGGGCGTCGAAGAAAACGAGAAGAACCACCGGCAACATCGTCCAAATCAGGCCGAGGAGGAGAAAAGGTAGCATCCCAAGCCGGTCTGGCGAGCACGTGCGAGATTTTGGGGTCTCGAGCTGATTTGGCGAGTGTCGAGCGAAATCCCCCTCAAGTGAGGTACGGGGACCACTGTCGCGTCGCAACGAGCGAGAGGTCATGCTCACTGGGTGTAGATCTGCTCGACCTCGGAGCTGGAGAGAGCAAGACCATCACTAGATATGATGAGGGTGCGTCTGGGCGGGCTGGAGAGAATTCGAAGCTAAGAGACAGCAACAGCCCGAACACTGATCACATTCATCGCGTAGGGCGTGTAAAGTTGGCACTGACATTGTTAAAACACGATTTTGAGAGGGGAAGACATGTCTGAGGGTATGCTACACGACAGAGAGAGGGGGTGGATGCACTGTGCGATGACGAGGAGGGAGTTGACTCAGAGGAGGGTATTGCTGGGGGTGGTAGCACCGAGAATGCCGAAGCATGCGTAGGTCGCCGTGACCAGCAGACCTGTAGAAGCGCAATGAAAGGAAGAACACGAGTCAGCGCCAACATCGAGAGTAATACCGACTCGAACGGAGACGACGTACCGAGGAAGCTGAGACCGCTGAGGATGGCGCCGAAAGCGCGCTTGCTTGGCGTGCCCGAATAGTAGCCGATAGCGTACGGAATGCGAGAGACGACCCACGTCGCTGAGATGGCGGCGGTGAGCCTGGGGAAGAAGAGGCCGTTGAAGAGCGTGAGGAATGCGAAGCCGGTGAGGTTCTCGAGGGTGTTTTGGTGAACACGCTGGGCGCAGTTGAACAGATGAGCCTCGCGGTTCTTGTCCGCAACCGCCTTGTCAGCGTAGAGGTAGGGGTAGGGGATCTGAGCTGCCTTGCGAGCGCTTCCGGCCTTCACGCCCATGAGGAACGTAACCCAGATCGCGGAGACGACGCACGAAACGACATAGCCGTAGCCAACGGGCAGGAAAAGGCCCTGAACGGTGGTGGGCTTGGGTGCGAGAAAGTGGTAGAAGGCCGGAATGGAGGCGGTGAGCGCGGGAAGGGCGATGCTTTTCGACATGTTGATGAGGATGCTGCGCAAGAGAGGTGAACCGCTTGTTGAAGTATGCTGTGAGAAGACGGATGGAGGTGAGGTCGAGTGTGAGGTGGACAATGACGACGGTGGATTAGGGGATGACTTGTTGGAAGAATCAAGCCGCGTGTCGCAGCGTTGATGTCATAGAGCGCGGCCCGATAAGAGAGAGGGCGAGTGCCGATACACCAGAGCGGCAGCCGATCGAGAGGCTGTCAAAATGCGCGGTGGCCGATTTGTGACAGGTATCGAAGAGTCGGTTTGGCCCGTGCAGCAGAACGTCAGCTACGGCCCTCTATCATATTGTGCAACCGTTGAGCACACTTGCCTTCCATTACAATCACTTACCACAATGACACCAGCGCATTAGTTCTGCAAGGCCTCGGAAGGAGCGACGGCGTTAGCGCAAGGCTTCTGCTGGACACCGCTGAAGGCCTTGCCCTAGTTCTTGGCGGCGTCACGTCGCACGCGTTCCTCTCGCATCAAGGCCTGACCGCGATCGAACAACTCCTTCATGTTTCCTATGCAAGTGTTTGACCAACAGCAGAAGGACGGCGAGATCAGTATGAAGGTGCTACTGCAGTGCTGCCCGACAACCATCTACCTACCTCCCGCAGGGACGACGACGCCATCCCAGAGGACCTTCTCGGCAAAGATGAGGTCGATCTCTTTCTGGCCTCTCATCATCTCTCCGAGCAGGGCGAAAGACATCTTAGGGTATTTGAGCCCGTGAACAACGACGACGTTGTCACCTTTGGGAAGGTCAGCCTCGCCGCCGACGTCGGCCGTTTCGACCCCCTGGCATTTCCGGTGAACGTGGAGTTCCTTCTGCAGGCGGTAATTGATTGTCATCATGATTTCCGTCGGGACGTCTGCAGCGGGAGACCCGGAACGATGCTCGGGCGCGGCACCATCCTGAGCGAAGCGTTCGAGTACGACTTCCAGATCTTCTGTTGGTGTGAGAGAAAACGGATAGGGAGGCAGAGGATAGAGAGTCAATATGCGTATCAAAGCAAGTAGGGCCTGAGTATGCTGCACCACGTACCGTCCTCGGCAACATCGACGCCGTTGCATAGGACTTGATCGGCAACGTAGAAGTCGACTTCCTCGACACCATTCTCTGCAAGCTTCTTGAGGTCGTCGTCCATGTCGGGAGAGTGACCACAATGAATGATCTCGACATGCCGGGGCTTCTCGTCCTGCTCTCGAGCGGCACGAAGCTCTTTGGCCACGTCCAATACATCCACCGACTCACGCAGGTGGAGGCGGATCGTCATGGTCTTGTCTGACACCATCGCTGCTGATGTTCGATGAGATGTGCGAGGGAGATACTGGCGTTGGCGTATGCTTTGGCTCTGACTAGGATGAGAGGGCGAACAAGCTTGGGGCAAGAGGAAGACGAAGTGACTTGGAAGATGAGAAGGACGAACAAAGGTTGGTGAGACTGGCTGGCTTATATGCGTTCGAAGCTCTTACAAGAAAGAGCGAACCTTTAGACTCGAGGTCTATTGACGTGCAGGGCCGGGGGCGGAATCCTTCTTCGTCAGAATCACAAATGAGCCGCAATTGGGTGCAGAACGCCAGGCCAATACACTGCGCAGCAGCGAGCTTCTGTTTCTCATCAATAGGCTTACTGCGTGCGCTGCGCAACCGAGGTCATGTTTGCAGAGACCCGCAAAACGAGGAGCAAATGCTTGACTACCTGTGCGCAGCAGCTGAGATTGTTGGCGCGTTCTTGTTGAGACCTGTCCATCCGCTCATCAGCTCGGAACAAGCTCAGGGTTTTGTGACAATGCAACGAAGAGAGCAGCTTGTAAAGCTCTGCCTGTCACATCGGTCAGATCTTTGACATTGCGACCGCTGGAGCTTGCTGCTTCTGACGGATAAAGAGCCTCCAAGCTCTAAGCACCACCGGTCTTGCTTGAGCGAGGAAGGCTCAGCGAAGCATATTGATGCGTGGGACTGATTCGCTCTTGACCATGTATCGACCTGCCGTTGAGCTGGAATTAGCTCAGACTCTGGCCAGCGTGGGAAGATGAAAAGACTTCAGACAGCTCGAGCTGATCAGGTCTTTGACAGGTCTCTTTACGAGTTTGTGACAACCCTCCGTTCGGCAACGAGCCCGGTTCAGGCCGAAACCTTGTTTCTCTCGAGATCACGTCGTTCGACGCCCACACTAAGCTCGCTGGTCGACGTTTTGAGTTCAATCACATCAACTCAACCTTGTTTTGGGACATATTTAGGCTAGAGTTCGTCTGATTGGTCATGGAAGGAAGAGAGAGGAAGATATGACCTCGACGCCGTTCCAGACGATGCTTCGCCGGCCAAAGAAAGCCAGCAGCCGGAATTGGGCGGCAATTTTTCTCTTGCAAACATGCCTTTGTGTGAGTATGGACCCTGCAGAAAATCCTTGGCAGCCGCCTCCGCCACCAGAAATGCCAGTCGTGCAGAGTGGCTCGCGTGTCCCGCGTTTTCGCTGTTTGACCCCGGATTCACACGGTTGGCACGAATTTGACCCGCATTTCTGACAGCGAAAGCACATGGACCGCACTCTGCTCTGTGTGGCATGCGAACAAACTCAAGCGTTTCACTCTTCCTTCGTCGTGCGAGCTTGTATGCACTCCATCACCTATCCACCTCGCATCCTCCTTCCTTCTCCCCAACCTTACCCTGTCTCTTATCTCTCGGAACCTTCCCTGCTTCGGCCAGGTCTCGTCTGCTTCACGGTGATCTGCACGTCGTGAAGCAGAGCTAGCTGCCCTCGGATACCTTTGCTCCATCTACATTAAGATTTGCCTCACCTCACACTACCTGGAAAGCAGCCTTCTCGAGACGAGACACCGATTAGACATAAGCTCGACCACCCTACAAAGCATTCAAGACCCACCTCATGAAGGTTCGTGCGCGCCTTGGGCCTCTGTCATCCCCCTAGAATCCTCACCCATCACGACCTCGTACGACATCTGGTCTCGCTCTGCAGACCACATAGAAGCAAGCCTACGCAGCTGCACACCTCTCATCGGTTCGAATTCCCTCCCCCCCTCACGGAGTCTCTCGATCGCAGAGCTCTACTCGGTCAAGATGGTCAGCTTCCGTGGATCACTCGCACCCTCGCCAACCGTGCGCCGCATCCGCGCCATCTGCACCAACGCCTCTCTCTACATCGAGGCATTCCTGTGCAGCCTGCACACGGTCCTTTACTTTCTCTTCTTTCACACATACCAGCCAGCATCACGTGCATGGTGGGATTCGTCCAAGGGATCTGCCGTCGTCGTCTACGCTCCGCACAACGACGCCATCGCTCGATATGTCGCCCTTCGCCTATCTTCCGGCTCGCCCTCCAGTTTCGCCCTCAAGGATGTCGGTCCCACCAAGCGCAATCCTCGCGCACCATATACCTGCTTCGTCCTGCACGCTGACCCGGATCAGTTTTCCATCACAGTAGCCCAGTGGGCGGCCAAGAAGGCACGCATGGAAAAGGCACTCCTCAAACAGCGCAACGGTGGACGCTCGTCGGCCTCGTCGAACTCCAGCTCGCCCTCCTCTCCGACCTCTTCTACTCCCATGCACGACGGTGAATCAACACGAGATGGCGCGAACAGCGAGCACGGCTCTTCCGATCCCTCTTCGCCCTCCGCAGCCGCTTCCACCCTACACGCCAGACGCAGCGACGCCGGCGACGAAACCCCGCGTCCGAATCGGCAACGATCCAGACCACCACCCATCCACATTGGCAGGAACCTCCGCCGTCGCTCGCGCAGCTGGTCCAGCTGGGCCACCCCGGACCTGTTCGGATACGGCGTCGACATGCTCAAAGGCTGGATGCCCGGTCGCACCTCGCCGAAAACCCCACCTTCTGGGACCATCATCCCCATCATGGCGGACGTGCAAACCGCCGACGGACTGGCCATGGTCAACTCGACCATCTCGGCCTACTGCAGTTCGCACGACCTCCTGCTCAGTGGCATCATCCTCATCCCCTCGGTGCTGGCTCCACGGAATGTGCCGCTCACCCGGGCGGCTGCGGCGCTCACCACGCGCGTCGAGATTCCCAAGACCCCTGGCAGCGCCTATAGCGACGTCGACCCGTTCACGCTGTGCAACCGGGATGTGTGGGGCGAGATGCGCATGTCTTCTTCCTCCTCCCGACCTAACGGTGGGGCCAAAGATCCATTCGGGTTGGCACCCGCTTTCCGAGAGGAACTGGGTGCATCGATGGAATCCTCCTCGTCATCCATGTTCAACTCGCACGCTTCGCCCCCGCTGTCGCCGTCGAGCATCCGCATCGTGCGCATGCAGGATGACGAGCAAGCGGCGCTCCACAGTGCGCTCGCCACCGACGTGGTGCAGTCCAAAGCGTTGATCAACGTCCTCTTCCCGGCGCTGAAGCGGGATAAGGGCCGAATTGTGGGTTTCGTACCGTGTGGGTATGGACCGGATCTACCGCAGGATCCGGATACGCTTTCGCTCCAATCGTTGCCGTCACGTGGCAGTGGCAAGTCGAGGGATCGATCGTCTTCTTCTGCCTCTTCCTCGTCGACCTCGGACGCTCCGATTCTGCGAACGTGGCCCAGTCCAGTGGTCAATACGGTCCGTTCGGCGCTTCGCACGTCCTACCGGGAACTCGAGTTGGAGTATCGACGACGGGGTGGTGGAGCGTCCCAAGTCAGCGTTTCCATGATCGAAACCAACGCCCTGATCCGTTTGCCTCAAACACGACTGAAAAAGGTGGTCAAGTGGAACGAGTCGGTGCGGTACTTTGCTCCCGGCAGTCGGGTCCGCTGGTGGCGACTATCTGATCTGCGTTTGGACCGGTTACCTTTCATCGGTCGTTTCGGACGGTTGAGCGATGAGGCGAGGGTCACACCTCCCAGGCCGAGTGGGAGACGCGATGAGGGACGGTATGAGATTCGCATTCCGACGGAGTTGCGACCCTTCCTGCGGGGGTGGACGCGACCGTTTGCGGAAAGTACGCCGGATGGTGGGAATGGGGAGAGTTCGGATGGAGGAGCTCCATTGAGCGTCCGCGCGCTGAGGAGGGTGGTGAGGGTGTTTGGTTGGTTGGAACTGTGTAGTGTACCATGGGATGATTTGGCCGAGCATGTGGCGGCAGTGAGCTGTCCCGTGGCACTCAATTCGTCCTGCCCTCCGACACCTGGGCCGAGCCAATCGCTGCTACATCCGTATACGGTCAGCTCAAACCACGCGCCGGCGAGCGTGCATCAGATGAGTCGAACGACTTCCCAACGCGGCTATACTAAGGCGTTCACGAACGACGACGAGGAGGAAACCCCCGACTTCCCTTTCTCCACCGCATCATCAGGACCAGCGTACAACGTCATCCCGCACCACGCCGAGGCACTGCGAATCGCAAGGACCTACCCGCGCGAGCTGAGCCATCAGGATCCTACCCCGCTCTTCGAGGCCATCCGATGCGCCCTCACCAGCTACCACCCCCGAAGGACCTACTATCCAGGACTCAGCGCGTGGCTCAGCAGCTGCGTCGAAAGCGTCGCACCCTGGGTGCAGGGAGAGATCAAAAGCACCCTCGCTGGATGGCTGCTCATGTATGCCACCGAGGAGAGCTGTTAGATACCCCGCACACGCAATCGCAATGACAGTTGAGGCAAATCGTTTTGTATGCGTGAAACGGGACCATGAGCGAGAACAAGAGCGGTGAAACACGGAACGGATCCAGAAAAGCGGAACACGAGTCGAGCGCGGTGGATATGAGATGCTGCGCTTTTTTGCTAGATGCTTGCACGATGCTGTGCTTAGAGGTTGTCAAGGTCGGAATCGTCGTCCTCGTCCTCCTCGGGAGCGGGCGCGGCCTGCTTCTTGACGCCGTTCCCGTTTGCCTTGGCCTTGGGCTTGGGTGCCTCCTCCTCCTCCTCCTCGTCATCGTCATCATCGCTGTCCTCCTCGGACTCGGAATCCGCCTGGTCGAGCCACTCGAGGAACGGCGCAGCGGCCCTCCTCACCTTCTTGCTGACATCCTTGTCGACGTACTTCTTGCTGACGTGCGTGCCCCAATTCTTGACAAACTCCTCGTCGAGCACGTCGATCTGGTACAACGCCATGAGGATCTTGGGCACACCATTCGGCACGAGGTTGGGGTACTGAACACCGGCGAGACGCTCAAAGCCACCGAGCATAGCCTTCTGGTGCTTCTCGCTGTCGCCGACCATCTTGACGAGCACGGCGCCGTACTTTTCAATCTCCTTGGGAGCGTCTTCGGTGAAGAGGGCCTGAGCGAGCACCTGGACGGTCTTGTGCTTCTTTTCGATGCCAAACTCCTGCGCCTTCTTGTAGACTTCGGCGGGGGTGCACTCGCGACCCTCGTCGCCTCCTTTGCGGTTGGCCTGGAGCCACTGGCCGAACTGGGCGTAGGGGCTGTCCTCGTCCTCGTCCTCGTCGTCATCGCCAAGAACGAGCGACGACTTGACGCCGCCCTCGAGTGCCTTGACGCGAGCAGCGACGGCAGCTTCCGAGGTGTCGACGGACCAGTCGTCGTCGACGTTGCCGCGCTGCTCGGCGGTAGGGATCTCGGCGGCTTCGGCCTTGATGCGCTTGGTCAGCTCGTCGTCGGAACCAGCATCGCCGGCGTCCTGACCGGCGGATTTGCCGGCACCCTTGGCACCTTTGACTCGCTTGGGAGGCGGGTGCTTGACGATAAAGGTGGTGAGCTTGTGCTTCATATCGACGCCGGTGCGCTTGCCGCAGGCCTTGCAGTTGCGAAGGATGTCGCCGTCTTTGAGGATCTTGAGATCCGTCTCGGGGTTCTTGCAGTCGCCGCAGAGGACGAACTTGTCGATGAAACCGTCGAGCAGCTCGCGAAGACGGTCGGCATCGTGGGCGCCATTGACGATGTAGCGGTCGTTCTTCTCGTCGAACGAAGTCTGAGCGCCGAGCTCGCAGCCGAAGAACTTGGTCGGGTAGGTGGGAGGACGGCTGAGCGAACGAGCGATGTCAGCCATGTTAGGAATAACGGTCTTGATACCGTTGCCCTTACCCTCAATCTTGGTTTGCAGGAGAGGCATGCGGTATCGATAGAATTTGTCATCGACATCGCGACGAATGTTGACCACGGACATGATGGCGGTCGAAACAGCGGTTGGAAGTTGAGGAAGCTAAGTTGAGGAGGGTGTAGCTGGTATCAGGTACAGCTACGATGCGAAACCGAATAGGGCGGTTTCTGTCTGCGGGCAAAGGGTGAGTTGACGGATGGACGAGTTATGGTGGAGAGCGAGAGAGACATAAAAACTAGACTTGTCGGTCGTAGCCCAGGTGGATTGCTGGAGGAGAGGAAGTGATTGATATGGATGAGAGTGCCTGAAGCGGGTCGATGCTGTAGCTGCGGCTGATGGTCGCTTTGTTCAGAGGCGTGGTGAGAGTCGGACTGAGAGGTGTGAACGTGGTCACGTTTGGATGTTGCAGATGGTTGATGCAGAGCGTATGCAGGAAGCAATGGTGGTGGTGGGGAATGCGCAGGACGATGTCGTCTTGATGGCTGTCCCCACCAAGAATCGTAGCTGGCCAAGCCTTGGCCTGACCGACTCAGCCTCGTTCTCTGCTTGGGAAGCAGCCAGGGCTCAGCAGCCAAAAAAAAGTTTCAGAGGATTTGGCGGCTGAGAAGAAAGGGACCGGAATCGAAAATAGCAAGGTGAATCGGGCGATTTTTGGTTTTGATTGTCTGTATTTTCGGCCTGACACCTTGCGTGGAATTTTCACGACGAGGGTCTGGAATCGCATCACTCAGAGCGCGGTCTCAGCTGTGCGTGCGCCCAACCCTGTGGGCCTCTTGGATGTCTGAAACCAGCCAACCGCCTCGGAGAGTGCAGAGCAATATGAGGCAATTCATGATCTCTTGAGTAGCTTTGATGCTGGCGAATGACAATCACAGCCGCAGACGACACAGGCGAGGCGGCCAAGGACCATCATGATGGATCAAGTGAAGCTGAGCGGTGACGAAAGCGCGATGAGGGCGACCATTCTGGCAATTTCGCTGTGCCTGTCTCACTGGGTCTGGAAGCGCTAAATTTCTCCACACCAGCCTCTGACAAAGCGCTTACGACAACCTGTAATTGTAGCACCGGCACAGCAGCAGTCTCGACAACGGAGCTGCACCCTGAATTGAATCGCCAGCCTGGCTCGCCTCATACGCATACGCAATCAGTCCGGTTTAGGATCGACCCGGTGCCGTGCCCTGAGCCAATCCGTGTGACAGCGCTGAGCCACCCCGCACTCACGACCCATCAAGGATCGTCCTTGCTCAGCTTTGTCTTTCATGCTTGCTTGATCTCAAAGTCATCATCATCTCATCCATCGACATTTCCACCTCCGTCTGATACACTCTACCCTGCCTCCTCTTCGCTTCTTTCCTGACATTACCTTCGATACGACCAACTCCCCAACGAACTCGCTCTTGATTCACTAGAGCGCCGATACGAGCAACGAGCTCACGAATCATTCTCACCGCAGCACATAGGGCTTCAATCGACGGCCCAAGATGAACCCAAGCATCTCCATTCCAGACCGTCTGCCGGTTTTGCCGCTTCCATACCCGCTCGTTCTGCATCCCAATCTTCTGCTCTCCATCAACATATCCTATGCTCACTCTCTCAGCCTCCTCAAGGCCGCATTGCAGTACTCTGCCCTCAAGGACGGCGTCGAGTCCAACAATGACTCCTCTTCTCGATCTCGTCAGGGCGGCAAGTCCAAGCTCGACTCAAACAAGCCCATCATCATCGCCTGTGTCCCCACCATGATCGCGCCCAAAGGTACAGCATCAGCAGACAAGCCCGCCTCTCGCGCCACCAACCCCGCCTTGCCTGCTGACCCCAACGCACGCAACGTCACCAGCCCCGAAGACAATGATACCCGCATTCGCATCAATGACCTATACGACTGGGGCTGTGCCGCTCGCCTATTGCGCCTCGTTCGGAACCCGCAGACGCAGACATGCACCCTTCTCGTCTCGGGTCTCACTCGTGTGCGCATCGACCGATGGCTCTCCATTCGTGCCCCGCTCACTGCCACCACCATCGACCCCAAGAGCAACCTCGCTGTTCCCGACGTGCCCATCCCACTCGCCACCGCCACCGCCTTCGTAGACGAAGAGTCCTGGCCAACCTTCCCGGAAGCCTCGCCCGGCGACATCGACCTCGTCGTCCGACTCAAGAAGGCTTCTGCCGAGCTCATCGATGCCATCGGACAGCTCAATCCGCCCGGTGACAGCAGCACCAACACACCCTCCCCCATCGTCGGCCCGGCACTCCCTCTCCTTCCAGCAAGCCTCCTCAAGAAGCTTCGCGGATTCATGCAAGACTGTCGCGAATCGCAAGCAGCACTCCTCGCCGATATCGTCGTCGGTACCCTCGGCGGTGCCTGCGATTGGTCCGAGCGCGTCGCCATCCTCGGCGACTGGGACCAGCGCGAGCGAGTCCGTCACTCGGTCGACGTCATCCTGAACGGCGTCAAGCGTGTCAAGCTCGCACGAGAGCTCATCGCTGCTCTCTCCTCTCCACTCAACCCTGGAAACAAGGAGACTGTCATCCGCTCTCAGCTCGAAGCCTTGCTCAACCAGCTCGCTGCGCTCAACCAGGGTGTCGCCGCTCGTATCTCGGCCATCGCCTCCAACAATGGCGACAAGGACGACGGAAAGTCAGGCAGAGGCATCATCATCCGAGCACCTGCTTCGCGCAACAACCCCAACAACGATACCGGAAACGGTCCCATCATCACTGGTCCTCTCGGTGGGCGTCGAGGACCCAAGCCCGGCATGAAGGGCATGCCGGGTGGAGGTCTTCCTGGATCCAGTGGCGGCGATGACGACGAGGAGGACGAAGTGGCCGAACTCGCAAAGAAGCTCGAGCAGGCTCGTCTCAGCCCTGAAGCGCGCAAAGCCTGCGACAAGGAGCTCAAGCGACTTTCGCGTATCCCGCAGCAGAGCGTGGAGCGTGGCGTCGTCATCACTTACCTCGAGATCATGGCTGAGCTGCCATGGGAGCAGATTAGCGCTGACGTCGATCCCGCCCGTGACCCCAACGAGAAAGCCATCGTCTTGCACGAGAAGAGCAACTCGGCTCCAGCACCTGAAGAAGGCATCGTCGACCGTGCCCGACGCATTCTCGACGCCGACCACTACGGTCTCGAGAAGGTAAAGAAGCGTCTCATCGAGTACCTTGCCGTGCTCGAACTCAAGACCACTCAAGCTCGTGAGCGCTTTGAAGCCGAAGAGGCTGCCGAGCGCAGGACAAGTGAGGAGCGACGAAGAGCATCGCCCTCGGCATCGACCGAGGAAGCTATGGGCGACGATGATGACTCTTCTCTCTCTGCCGATGTCGAGGATGGCGAGGATCTCGTGGCAAGAGAGCAGGGCATCACCAAGGAGGAGATCGAGGAAGAGAAGCGTCGTCGTCGCAACGAGAAGCTGCGCGTGGGCGACAAGGGCCCCATCTTGCTGCTTGTTGGTCCACCAGGCACGGGTAAGACGTCGATTGCCAAGTCGCTCGCTTCCGCCCTCCAGCGTCCCTTCACTCGACTCTCGCTCGGCGGTGTCCGAGATGAGGCCGAGATCCGAGGTCATCGTCGCACCTATGTCGGAGCGATGCCCGGCTCGATCGTCTCGTCCCTGCGCAAGGTGGGCGTGTCTGACCCCGTCGTCCTGCTCGATGAGGTCGACAAGCTCGGCAGTGGCAATGGCCTGCACGGTGACCCGATGGCTGCCATGCTCGAAGTACTCGACCCCGAGCAGAACCACACCTTCAGTGACCACTACATCAACGTGCCCATCGACCTGAGCCGCGTTCTCTTCATCGCGACGGCTAACTCGCTCGACACCATCTCGCCTCCCTTGCTCGACCGTACCGAAGTGATTCACATCTCGGGCTACACGCACGACGAGAAGACGGCCATCGCTCGACAGTACCTGCTGCCCAAGCAGATCAAGGCGCAGGGTCTCGAGCCCGATCAGGTGGTCGTGTCGGACGAGGTGCTGCTCAAGGTCGCCATGGGGTACACGCGCGAGGCTGGTGTTCGTACGTTGGAGCGAGAGATTGGCGCGCTGGCACGAGCTAAAGCGGTCGAGTACTCAATGTACAAGAAGGGCACGCTGAAGGACGATCAGGGCAACCCCAAGGACTATGATCCCGTCATTCGCGAGGCTGACTTGGAGAAGTACCTCGGACCTGACACCTACGAGCCAGAGGTGGCTGAGGCCAACGCACGTCCCGGTGTCTCGACAGGACTGGCATATCAAGGCTCTGGCTCAGGCGGCATTCTGCACATCGAGTCGTTGCTGCTTCCGCCAGGCAGCGGCTACCTCAAGCTGACTGGCTCGTTGGGAGACGTGATCCGCGAGTCGGCCGAGCTGGCCTTCTCGTGGGTCAAAGGCAACGCCTTCCAGCTAGGGATCGTCCCGAGCCGCGATTCCGAATTCCCCAAGAACGACATCCATCTCCACTTGCCCTCGGGTGCGATTCCCAAGGACGGCCCCTCTGCCGGTGTCGCGATGACGTGCGCACTGGTCAGCCTGTTCACCAAGACGCCCATCTCGCCGTACCTCGCCATGACGGGCGAGACGACGTTGCGCGGCGTTGTGATGCCTGTCGGCGGCATTCGGGAGAAGCTGACCGCGGCCTCTCGTGCTGGTATCCGCAAGGTGCTGCTGCCCATGCGCAATCGCAAGGACGTCGAGGCGGACCTGCCCAAGAAGGTGCGCGACGAGCTCGAGATCAAGTACGTCAAGACTGTGTGGGAGGCGATGGAGGCAGCGTTTGGCAACAAGCTGTTTGAGAACGCTGCGCTCGCCCTTGAAGGTCACGAGCACGAGGGCATCCGCGAAGGTCGCCGACTGATGCACGAGATAGAAGACTCTCGTCTGTGAACACCATATTTCCCCCCTGTTCTTTCCCACGTTTCTAGATCGGCTTCTTTGTGTATCATCAGCTCAGCTTAATGTTTCCCCCTCTCTTCTTGCTCATCGTCGCTCTGTTGTCTTTAGCTTTGCCTATTACCTCCTGTACTGCTTTTGCCTGAATCGATTCATTGACGGATTCATATGCTGTGACGTGCGAAGGTCTATAAGCGACCGCGAACGACGTTGCTGCCATGTAGCTGGTGGGTCGAGCGACGGATAAATGATGGACCGGCGGTAAGCGACGCCTGTACCTGTTGATCGAAGCTGCAACGATGGAAGCTGACATCTCATCCTGACGTCAAGGACGGCCAAGGATCGAAGAGTTCTTAGGCGAGCTAGAGGAGCTCAAGGAGATTAATGAAAAACGTTAAAAATGGATAAGCGAGACCTTTACTTGACGCTGGGCCCTGGTCTTGTGCATTCCCGCTCCGAGAAGAAGGCTGTCAGGGCCCACCGTGGTGAAGGGGGAAGGTCAATTTGAAATGAACTCCTTGCCGAGCCAAAGCGAGCACGAGGTTCAGCGTCGAAGCTGGCGGGACGAGGGTGGAGGCCCGCTTACCTCAGAAGGGCGCCAAGGCGGCACACAGAATCGGCAAGGCGAGCATCCCATCCTTGGCTTCGGACCAAGTCCAAAGTTTCCGCGGGGATTCCTGGGGAGCTGGTGACCTCGACCTTGCTCGTAGCCTGCTAGGCGCTCGAGTGGTACGATTCTCGACATTCCCGCTGCCGTCTGACGTGCACAGCCCAGCCCAGCCGCTACTGAGTCAATCGAGCTCGTCGATTGATAAGACCTTTGCGACGCAATTCCATCGACCAAGACATGTCAGGCTCAGCCTTTCTTGACTCGTCCCTTCTAAGTTGCTCCTGGCTTTCTCTGCACATGTGCTATGCTCTCAGTTGGTTGATGTGACTTTTGAGACAGACACAAGCATCCCACCAACAGTCACAGATGACGGGCAAGCGCAAGGGTGGCGGCGAGGGGAAGAAGCGGCTATCGTGGGCCGATACAGGGCAGAGAGCCTATCTGCTGCCTTGCCATCGTCGACTGAATTAATTTCCAAAAAATCCACGGAAAAATCAAAAATGAAATTGGCTGTCAAGGCTGTCATCCATGGAAAAAGGCTCAGTTGAGTTGAGTGTCGCGCTGAGTCTTCGGAATGCTTTGGCCGACGCGACGGACTGGCTTGATCTTTCCAAAATGACTGCCTCTCTGCTGCCTCAAAAGTTCAAGATCACAAAAAATCGCGATTCTCAGAATCGGCTGCTGCTGAGCAGTTCGAAGCTCGGCTCGGGACGCACGGCTGATTGGCTGATTTGCTGATTCCTTCGCCACCCAGCCTCGACGACGCTCACCATCATCAACCAGCTCCCTACCCTCTCCGTCCCCTGACAGGTGTCTCGCCGTCACCTTCACCATCATCACCACCACCACCGTCGTCTTTATCACCGACCTGTCCTGGCCCGCCGCATACACAATCATCCTCGCCTGCATCGCCTTCTGCATCGCTTCCAACTTCTTGCATCGCACTACCAACTCGATCCTCCCATCTCGCCCTTGCAGATTGGATACGCTTTCTCTACCCTCATCACGACCTCGGCAAACGGACCGCATTCTTGACAAGTGGCCGTGTTTTCACAAGTCCAACCCTCAGTCGCTTACCTCGTCATCCCATCGGCATCTCTCCGGGCTCCCTCTTTGGTCTGCAGCGCGTGATCTCATCCAACGATCACTTAGTTCAAGACCTCTACCCGATCTCAGTGACACTTGCGTTTGCACCGCATTTATTCGGATTCAATTGAGTGGCAAGGGCCAAATACCCCACCGACCGTCGCTCGATTCAGCAATCTTCAGTCCGGCACGCTCAGGCAGCGATAACGCACTAGCCAACCTTCGTCTCCAGCTGCACTTACGCTCATCAGCGGCATAGAGCAATCCGAAAGAATCACCCCCATAGCTCTTCTACGATGTCAAATCCGTACCAGCTGCAGCAGCAGCAGGCCGCGGCCTCTGGCAGCAACTCGCCCCTTGCAACTCCCGTTCCCATCAAGCGAGGGCGTGGACGTCCACCAAAGAACCGCGACCCCAACGCTCCAACACCTGTCAAAGCAGCGCCACCCCCGCCCAAGCCAACACCGCAGCCTCGCACCTCTCACATCACCTCGCCACGTCTCCGCGCAGCACAACCCACCGCCTACTCTACGGGCTCACCTTTCCAACCGCCACCGCCTACTGGCTACCCATCGCATAGTCTCGGACCCGGCATTCTTGAACAGCAGAACGTCTTCTACCAGCCTGTAACTGGCGGTCCGCATTCTTCACCCCACAGCGTCCCCTCTTTCCCGTCGATACCGACGTTTCAGCGCCAGCAAGAGTTGCAACAGCAGCAGAGTCAGCAGATCGTTCGTGAAGCACAACAAGCGAGAGCTTCCAGCGTGCGAAGGGAAAGTGCGGAAGCCGTCTCGTCGGCTATCACCTCATCGCCTGCATCATCTTCAGCTGCGCCTCAAATTCCTATGTCTGGCGGCGCGACCTCGACACCCGCCGAAGGCACAATCATGACCGCTGCTGGAGGATCAATCGGTGCTGGTCTCGGACAAGCTGTCGGCAATGCGGGCGCTTCATCTGCCAGCCGCACACGCCGCAAAGCAGATGCCAACGAGCCCGAGCTCAAGCTTCCCGAAGCGCACGATGACGGCTGGATGAACGAGCCCGCCGATGCTGCTGAGGCTCAACGTGCTTATTCCGCAGTCGTTGCCTGCATTCGCAACCACGTCGACGCCACTGGACGCAGGCTAGCCGAGCAACTCGAAGAATGCCCTGACCCGGAAGTCGATCCCGATTTCTACGAACAGGTCGAAAAGCCTACATCGCTCTCTGCCATCTCGCAACGGATCAGCGAGGGCGAGTATCCAAAAGCATCCGACTTTGAGATGGACATGCTCCAGCTCTTCGAGAATGCGCGCAGACTCCATCCTGTCGGCAGCCAGTCGTACGGTGATGCCGTCGTGCTGCATCGCCTCTACCACGAGATCACCAAGGCCAAGCCGTCACGTAAGGAGCCCATCACAGCAGAAGCCGTCATGACGGCCGCTGCACAAGCCGATGCTAGCCGACACTTTTCGTCGATCCCGCACGGTCCGCTCTACGCCAGCGCAGGCTTCAGCGGCGATCTCACCACCCGCATCAGCAGCAAGTCCAAGACATACTACGAGCATCTCAACCTCAAAGGCAAAGCTTTCCGCGTTGGCGACTGGATCCACCTCATCAACCCTTCCGAGCCTACAAAGCCCATTGTAGCGCAGATCTTCAAGGTGCTTCGTCGAGAAGATGATGATCCGGATCAGGGCTGGGTCACCGTCTGCTGGTACTATCGACCCGAGCAGACCTTTCACCCGGCTTCCAAGAAGTTCTTCCAGGATGAGGTGGTCAAGACCGGCTACTTTGCGGATCATCACATCGAGGACATCCTTGAAAAGATCATGGTCATGTTCTACACCAAGTACATTCGCGGTCGACCCAAGCCCGAGTACTGGGATCCGCGTAGCCCGCTCTACGTCACGGAGTCGAGGTACAACGAACAGCAGCGTGTCTTCCACAAGATCAAGAGCTGGGCCAGCTGCGTACCCGAAGAGATCCGCAAGGTCGAGACGCCCATGAACTTCTTCGAAAAGGCCATCGCGCCGCCACCCAAAGAGGAGTCACCTTTCCTTCGAGGCGTTGCTGGTCCAGGTGCTTTGCGTGACGAGGACGCTGCCAACGGCGAGGGCGTCGACTTCCCGGATCTGTTCAAGGATGCCCCCGACGATTTCCGGCCGAAAAAGAAGGGACGCGGATCGGACGCCGCAAATGGCGAAGCTGCCAATGAAGTGTTCACGCGCTTGGCTTCCCTCGTCGCAGCGCGCGTCACTCCTGACCAGTACCTTCGTCTGCAACAGCTGCTATCGACACCGCAAGCTGCTACGCTCGACATTTCACAGCTCAGCAACGAGTTAGGAGGCGTGGACGTCAACATGCTCAACGAGCTTCGCAACGCCGCCCTCGCTGCGGGGGTCACGTCGGCTGGCTTCGACAAGGTAGCATCCGAGTCGAATCCGCCGCAGTCTCAGCAGCCCACTGTAGGCGTTGTTGACCTCGTCCGCTCGCAACGAGGCGAAGGCTTCTACGCCGCACTTCCGCAAGAGACACGAGATCTCTTTGCTGATCAGCCTGGCGGTCAGATCAATTGGTACGCTGCAGCGCCGCTCGACCTTCCACTGCAGCACGATCTGCACAAGAATGGCTTCTACGCTCCTCAGCAAGCTCATCTGCGCAACCATACGCTGGACTATTTGTACCACCAAGCCAGCATGCGCAACGAGAGCGACGCATCGACAGAACCGCACATGCGCAACGGTGGTCGTGCTGCACCCTCGCAGCCACTGCAGCCCAGCGCGTCCGCCAACGGCAACTCGACTCCTCGCGCCATGCTGACGGGATCCTCACCCTACGTGCCACACGCTTCGGGCATGTACGACTTTCTCGCACCCAGCGCACGCAACTCGCCTTTGATGCGTGCTGGCTATGGCGCCTACGCCGGTGCCGGAGCGACGGGTCTTGTGGGCTCAGGCATGCCCGCCGCCAGCAGCAACGGCAGCACGGACGAAGCACTGACGCCGGTCATGAACCAGAACCAGGGCTGGTACGGCGGCAACGAGTGGGGCGAGGACCCGCAAAAGACGGCCGAAGCATTGGCCGAGTTCTCGAACCATTATAGCGATGGTGGGCAGCTGAATCTGTCCCACTACCTCTCGTAGGGTCGTCAACATCTACGCTTTGCATTGGATCTCGTTAGATACGGATCGCATGTAGATTCGCAAGCATTGCATCGGATCCGCCCTCACTGGGTTCTGTATTTGTGCACATCACTTCATCATTGACCTCATCATCTTCCAGATTTCCGCTCGGCCTCCTCGTTTCTCATTTGCATTTGTCAATCCATCTGTATTTTTGTCATCCCAACTTCCTCGATTGTGTCCAATCCCTTTGATGGTCGTGAGCCTAGTCAAACGAGGTGACGGCAAATGTGAGAGCGAGCTCGAGGTTGAGGCGAAGGGTGTGCTTACGTAATTGATTTTATGTGGCAGATCGATCACCGCGTTGCGCAGAAGAGACTCGAAAATCTGGAGGCTGGACCAGCCGGCGTGGCAGGGCTCAACAGTCAAATTGGAAGCAGCAGCAGTGAGCAAGGCGCAGAGGCCATCTCTTCTTTTCCTTCCATACCACTCCAACTCCCTCACTCCATGTCACTCGGTCTATCAGCCGTAACCCCCCTTCTCGACTACCCCTATCCTGTTCATATCCGTTCGATACAGCGCTCTTGACGTTTCAAACCGATACCTCCCACAATTAGCACCTGATCTCCGGGGCAAGATCAGACCACTACCGATCAAGCACTGCTCCACGTTTTCATACAGCCCCGAACAACAACGTCTCATCCACTTTGCGATCACACATCGATTTGATCCCATCAGCCGTCGCTCGATACCCCGCTTCTGTCTCAAATTTCCAAGTTACGCAGCAACCCATACACAGCCCAAACGGTCATCTTTCTCTCGTCAAACTTGCAACAATGGCCACCGCAGAATACATCGGAGCGCTCATCTCGCTCATCTCAAAGTCCGACATCCGCTACCAAGGCCTTCTCGCCTCCATCAATCCAGGTGATGCGACCATCGCACTGCAGAACGTCCGATCATGGGGCACGGAAGGCCGAGTAGCCGCGCAAGGTCGCCAGCAGGAGGAGATTCCACCCAGCGACCATGTCTACGACTACATCATGTTCCGCGCCGCCGACGTCAAGGATCTCAAGATCGACGATCCCAATCCACCCAAGCAGCAACAAGCTCCTCCTCAGCCTGCCCTCAATGATCCTGCCATCCTCAACGTAAGTGACACCAGCCATGCCAACAGCTGCCCAAAGGGTCAACGGTGGAGAGAACGCCCGACCTTATGTGATGAACTATTTACGGATGTAAAACTGTCCTTCGGGACATGTCATTGTCCGAGAGCGCAAAACCGTGTGGATCTCTCCGTTGCCTTCCTACTGATTCTTGCTTTCCTCTTGACCCTTGGGAAGCTGTTGGCACACAAGAACGACGTGGTCGTTTGATGCTTGGAGAGTCTGTTACTGATCAAGGACCCTTCTTGCATCTGCTACTCGCACGCAACAGTCTTCAGCACAAGGTCCTGGCGGATACGGACCTCCTGCAGGCATGTACGGCAACACGCCCACACCTCCCTTCGGTGCGGTTCCCTTCCCTGGTGCGCCTGGCTTCGGACCACCTCCACCGCAGTTCAACGGCGGACCTGGCGCTCCTCCGCAGCACTCGCCCGCACCGCCTTCACAGAACAAAGCGGCACCAGCACCCGCCGCCAAGCCTGCATCAACCCCGGCCGAGCAGCCACCAGCCTCGTCCGCCACGAACGAACAGTCGAGCGCCGACAAGGTTCTGGAAGAAATGTCCAGACTGAGCGTCTCCAAGTCTGCGCAACCCGCATCTTCACCCGCCCTCCCGGCTGGGCCACACGGCCTTCCGGCGATTCCACACGCCGCCGCTGCGGCCGCCAAAGCTGCTGCGCACACCGAGCGTCGGACTGGCAGCGGTGCTGGTGGAGCAGCTGGTGGCTCCCGCGGTCACACCAACCGACGTGGTAACGATGTGAGCGGCCCAAGCATGCCCAACCGGGAATTCGACTTTGAATCGGCCAACGCCAAGTTTCAGAAGCGCAAGGAGGACGAGCCCGCCGAAGCTGTCGCTCCAACCAACGGCGGCTTGCTGGACTCCATCCCTCCACCATCGAGTGAAAGCCCGGGGAGCTTCTACGACAAGAAATCCGGCTTCTTCGACAACATCTCGAGCGAAGTCAAGGAGCGGTATGAGGGTGCCAACAGGGAGGAGAATGTGGGCGGGAATGGGTTCTTTGATGTTCCGGGTGGGAGGGGGAGGGGTGGACGGGGTGGTGGTGGCAGGGGCAGGGGGAGGGCGAATAGGCAGGCCGAGGAGATGAAGAACATGCAGACGTTTGGCGATTCTGGTGCGAATGTGGGTGGTGGTGGGAGGGGTGGTAGGGGGAGGGGGAGGGGTGGAAGAGGTGGACGGGGAAGGGGCGGTCCGAGAGGTGGAGGACAGGGTGGTGGGGCAAATGGGTTCGCTAATACGGGGCCGATGAGGATGAGTTGAGGTCAAGGAAGACTTTCGAGGCTCTCATGGCTTCGTTCATGCGGCTGGAAAGCTGCCATTATTCATCATTTCTGCACACTTGCTCAACACCACTTGATATCCCGCACACTCGCACGTACACATGGTCCGGTTGAAATGGTAGCCATTCACGGGATCAAAATGCTTACTGACCGTCTCGCGTGGAGTGCGTGATATCGCCGAACTGGCTCTTTGCTGAGTGGGATACGCGGTCGAGCCGACGCTTTATCTCTGTGGATGTTGTTCTTGAACAGCGCACAAGATGCGGGACTGCGTTTGCTGGATCCACGCTCGAGTGGCGCACATCTCGCCTGGTGTTTTTCTGCATCAGAGTCGGTTCTCAACCTCACCCTTGACCTCCTTAGCTTTGCTCTTGGCCTCCTCCCATGCGCCTTTGGCCTCAGCCTCGATTTTGCCGGTGACATCCTCGCCCTTGCCCAACCTCTGAACTTGGTGGGTGACCAATCCGGCTGCGCCACCCAGACCCGCGCCGCCGAGGAGACCGTTAATCAGGCCGACTCTGCTGAGGAAGAGGGCTGGGAGGACGAGTGCGCCGAGGACGGAGCCGATGAGGTGCAAATCGTCTTGTCTGACGCGGTTGCTGTTGAGCCTCAACCCACTTGTTCGGGCGGACAGGTCGGGATGGCTGAGTTGAGAGGTGGCTGCGTAACCAGCCACACTGCCCGCCGCAGCTCCGACGGAGGGGATCAGCCAGTTCGCCCGCGCCAACCCGCGCAACGAGAATCCTCGCCCACGAATCGCCGAGACGAGGTACAGCGGTGTTGCCGCAAGACAACCGTACTGGAGACCTTGAACGGTATACCGGCCAATGTAGTACGCCGAATCTTCTTCCATCCCCGCCGCCTGCAGTTGCGATTTGAGCTGCTGAGACATCGTGTGTGTTTTCGTGAAGGGATCAAGGATCCTCGTGTGTGTGTTGGATGTATAGGAGCGTACTTTGTGGAAATGATGCGGCCCGGATGGATGATCACTTGAGGACGGAACACTTGAGATGGTGTGAAAGGAGGAAGGGGAAGATGTGTGGAGAAGGTCTCGGGTGCACGCGGGGCTGCTTTGCCCGGGGGCGACTGTGGCTTGACCGCGTCTTTCGCTTAGTGACGTCGAGCCCGCTGCCACTTCCAATTTTAGCAAGCCCGCTTCACAACTCACTTGGCCGCTTGACACCGCATCACTCTCCTTTACATGCCCACAAGAGGTAGCACCGCCAGACACACGTTCCCGCATTGCTATCGGTCCCAAGATCAGATTGGTACGGGGGATGGTGTGTGAAGAAGAAAAGTACGGAAGGTCGCGTGGGCGCCAACGATGCAGCACGGAAAGAGCCGTCACCCCGCAGGCCCCACGACTCCGGCTTCATGACACGACCGACATTTCCGTCAAGTCCAATCCAATCACGTTCCTGCTTTGTTCAGGGTCACTCATATGCATCTCACCCTTCGTGTTGTGGCTCGACAGTCTTACGAACGTGATCAGCGGTTCCTTCACACGGCCCCAATGGCAACTTGATAAGTCTGATTCGATTCGATGCAACGCTACGCTGGTGGATAGAAACCAGCATACAACACCACTCCAACGCACATCTGCATTGCCAAGTATCCCACTATAAGCCGTCTGACCCAGCGTGGACATGAGAGCACCGCGTGTGCTGCACCCCACCACACTGCTGGCATCCCACCTGGCGTCGCGAGTCGAAGTGCGATCTGCACATGCGATGCTATTAGCAGCATCACTCCCAGTGCCAGAGCATGGAGGATGTACGGCGTCGCTCGTGGGGCGCTGCTCCACATCAAACCCCTACCAGTTCCAACCTGAGTGGTGGTTGGGACGAGTGATGCGACCACCTCGCGCCAAGTTGCTTGTTGGTAGAAGATCCGAACGGTGTATAGGATGAGCAGGAGCACCGGTGCAGCGAGCGCAAAGTTGGGCGTCTGCGCCAACTGCCAGTACCGGAATGGGCCAACGTGCCAGTAATGCGACTGGACAAAGGTGTATACGCTCGGAACCAGCCTGTCACACCAAGGTCGACCAGGGGACGGGCAGAAGCGAGAGTACGCCCAGATTTGAAATAGCACACTGGGCGACAGGCATATCAGCCCAGCCACGATGAGTTTTGGTATGGATGAAGGTCTGCCTGCCCGCAGCTCGGGGATGAGCTTGAACGCGATATAGCCAAGAAGAAGCGTGCCGTTCGCGCGGAAGGTCGTTGCGAGGGCGAACCAGAATGAAGCTCCCAGAACCACGACCCAGGAGAGGGAGCCGCTTTCGAGCGCGAGCAGACCGAGCAGGCTGGTCAGGCTGAAGAAGCTCTCTGGTGTAGGCGCGGCGAGCGTCGTCCCAGCAGAGGGGGCGAAGATGCTCAGCGCCGCGGCTGTGTATGCCATCTCCGCGTTGCGTGTCACTTTGAGCGAAAGACGGTAGAGCAGCACGGGGCTGATCGCCGCTGCGAGGTTCGCCAGGAGCGCCGTCACCAGGATCGCCGCGGTCGGGCTCCAGGCGCCGTCCAGCTGGGGTGTTGCATAGCCGCAGACGCGAAGCAGGCCGATGATGCCGGGCTGAAAGGCGAGCGTCTGCTCCCACGCGTAGCCGCCCCGGTGGACAGGGGTAGAAGGTGAAGCGGCGGCTAGAAAGTAGATCGTGTCCCATCGAACGAATGCGAGTGCCCACTTGAATGGGCCTGCCGATAAGCTGTGGGTGGTTGCTGGATCGAGCGAGTAGGAGAGCAGCTCGTGCGACGTGTCAAATGCCTGCTGAAGGTGGGCGGTGAGGATGAGGAGGCTGGCGAGCGCGATGCGGACCAAGAAGGAGAGGCGGAGCAAGCGCGCTTGCGCTGCCATCACCTTCCGCGATGATAGCGAGTCATTCTTGGCATCCGCGCTATGCTGCTGAGAAGAGGCAGGGTCGACAGGCTGTGAGGAGCCCGAGCGACGCTGCACCATGCTTCTGCGGGTCGTTGCGAGAAGCAAAGGGAGGCCAACGTCGAAAGGTTGGACCCTGAAGAAGGAAGAAAAGCCCGCACAGTCCACGAGTCTCACCAAATTCACGCGGTCTGAGAATATCACCGAGACACATCCTCGCAGACTTGCACGCGTGGCCCTTTCCCTGGATCCATCATCATCCACGGCAGACACACGATCCACTCCCGCGCAAGGCCAATCCCGCAAGCAGCAGCGGCGCGCCATCGCAAGAGCAGCATCATGGGCGTGGCCTTTAGCTCGTTGTGGTCCTCGCTCTTCGGATCCAAGGAGCTTAAGATCTGCATTCTGGGGTAAGCGCCACTACTTCATCGTCGTTATACAGCTCGAACGCTCACGCGATGAGGATTTCTTGACTGACACTGCTTCCACTGGTACCTTTCTTTGAATGCTCAGCCTCGATAATGCGGGCAAGACCACTCTCATGTACAAGATGACGCTCGGGTCGGTCGTCTCGACAGCACCCACGGTTGGGTCCAACACAGGTGCGTTCCCTTTTCCCCTATTGTTTCCCCTTCTACCATCTTAGCTGACTCCATCATCCCTCTCTCGCCTCTCTGTCATCAGAGCAATTCGAATACAAGAACCTCAAGTTCGCCCTCTGGGACGTCGGGGGTCAAACTTCCCTCCGCTCCAGCTGGACATCCTACCTCGCCTCCACAGACGCAGTCATCTTCGTACTCGACAGCAACGACCGAGAGCGCGTCAACTTGGCCAGAGAAGAGCTCCACCGCATCGCCCAAGACGAACAGGTGACTAAAACACCGATCCTCGTCTGGGCCAACAAGCAGGATATCAAGGGCGCCATGAGCCCCGCCGAGATCTCGGAGAGTTTGGCGCTCACCGCGTTCAGGGAGAGGACATGGCAGATCTTCGGGTGTTCTGCACTGACGGGCAAGGGGCTGACGGAGGGGCTGGATTGGTTGGCGCATACGTTGGGGGCCAAGGGGTGATGCTAGGATGGCAGACGGGTGGGGGGCTTGGAAGGCTGTTGAGGGCGCAATTGGGTCGTGATCGCGCCTGAACTCAGCTCACTGTATATACGACCCGCTATGCAGAAAAGACGTCTTGGTAGCAGGCTACGCTGTGACATGACGATGCAAATGAGCCAAGATGACAGGATTCGTCCATGTCGACCATATCCTTACACTCGTGCTCGCTCATCGCGGTCGGCCTCGCGGCGTTCTTCTCCACAAGCTAGGGTCCACTCGGCGCCCAACCCAAAAATTTGAGATTTCCGCCGAACGGTTTCTTCTCATCCCTCTTTTCCACATCATCATCCCGCCTCCTCGTCCTACACACGACGCTAACACCATGTCGGACCCAATACCCTCGCCACACGAGTCGCAGCCCGCACAGCCAGCCATCGAATTGACCATCTCCTCCATCATCTCGCAGAATCGCCGCACCGCAACACCCTTCGCCGTCACCAAACACACGGCCGAGGCGGCGCGCAACTGGGACAAGTTTTACAAGAATCACGCCGACAAGTTTTTCAAAGATCGTCATTGGACGGGTCGAGAATTTGGGTCCGAGCTCGCCTCCGGAAAGGCGAAGGGGGAGGACGATCGAGCGGAGGAGACAGCGTTAGTCTCGGCCGATGTTGGTGGTCAAAGTGTCTTGCTCGAGGTGGGGTGTGGGGTGGGCAACATGCTGTATCCGCTGTTGGAAGATAATGTTGCGCTGAAGGTGCACGCCTGCGACTTCTCCAGTCGGGCAGTCGACATGGTGCGTTCGCATCCACGGTTCGATGACGACCGGGTAAATGCGTTCGTCTACGACCTCACAACAACCGATCCCCCCCTCAGCTCCTTTTTGACAAAGAAGGATTGGCCAGAGGTGACAACGATCAGTCTGATCTTTGTGCTCTCCGCCATCCCGCCTCAGCTGCACGCCCAAGTGCTTCGGAACCTAGCTGATCTGCTGCCAAACGGGGGCCACATTTTGTTTAGAGACTACGCATACGGCGACCTGTCCCAGGTGCGATATCATACCAAGAAGGACGCTGCTTGGGCCGAACCCAGTTTGCTATCCGACCTGGCCCCCTGGTACAGACGCGGGGATAACACCTTCAACTACTTCTTCACGCAGGCCCAACTTGAAGCGTTGGCGGCCGAGGTGGGACTGCAGGGCGAGGTGGAGACGCTCCGCCGAACAGCGGTGAACCGCAAGAGCGAGGTCAACATGCAGCGTCGCTTCGTGCAGGCAAAATGGTTTGTTCCGCCGAGAACACAGTCTTGAAATCAAACTGCGAAGCCAGATGGTGTTCTTGCGTGAATTGCGTGAGGCTACGCGGTGGCAAGCGCCTCCTCTCTATCCATGACCGCCTTGTCCAGCTTGATCAATATCGTCGTCCTATTGGGAAACTGCGCCGTTCCGACCGTATGAGCCGTCACCCTGGCCGGAAAGCCCAACCCGTCCAAAGCAGCCTCGACCATCCCCGCCGTGATCGCTTCGACCGACAACTGACTCATATCATTCGGAACACATATGCTCCTACTAAACGTCGGGACATTCGTGGAAATCATATACTCGTCACCCCTTCCCTGTTCTGTACTCCTCTCCAAACTATCGGCGCTCTTGCCAAAAGCGGCCTTCCAAAAGCTCGTGTGTACCCAGAGCAACGTTGGCAACAGTCGCGTCTCTCTCTTTGGATTCTTGGCATTCCCCGTCATCTCCTGACGATGCAGTGTCAATCCCAACAGCCGTTGTCCGATGCCGTACCCGAGCAGGCTAAGTCGCTTTTCGAGATCCGTTACGCCCGTCACCCTGTTCTGCGTATAACTCACCATCTCGGCAAACAGAAAGGAGAGCGAGGAAAGCGCGATTTCGCTCTGCCGCGTTTTATCGCGGGGACGATCGACGATGTCGGGCACTGCACCCGCACCGACGCGATGAGTCGAGACCTCTTCGTTGGTGAAGCTGGCAAATCTCGCGGAGGAAGTGCGAGCGCCAATGCTGGGTAACGCGCGAGACGATGATGGAGGGGACGACACGAGCGCCTGCTGCACCGCCGAGGAAGCACTGCTCGACAGCGTGCTACTCGTCGTCCGACGCGAAGAGAAGACCGGTGGAAGAGCGTCGTTGATGCCGTTGAGGCTGAAGGAGTAGGATGCGGCGGAACCGGGGTCCGGCTGGGACTGGTAGGGTCGAGGCGAGGAGATGGAGGAGGTGGAAGCGTTGGTTTGCACCGAGAAGCGCTGCGATGCGCGGGGTGTGCTCGTCATCGTTGGCTGCGTAGCTGTGTGTTAGGCGCGTAGCGAGGTCCAGCGTCAAGACTGTGCAGCGAAGCAAGGCACCCGATGGCTCGACGAGGCGTTGCGAAGATGCGAGAAGAACAGCGGGTGATGGTCGTGAACGGAAAGGCTCGTGCGCAGAATCACCACAAAATATGCACGCCGTCCAAATGTCCGAATTCCGCTATGCCTCCTCGCTCATTCATTCTTACTGCAGCTCATCGAAACACGCACACACACAGAGAAGTCCGAAAGATGACGATGGCATTGCGCTAGATCAGGAGGAAGTCTTGTTCGCAGCGTTGGAATTGGACTTGTTGTGTCGGTTTCCTTTGCCTCTGTGACCTCTTCCGCGGTTCTTGCCCGGAGACGGCGAGCCATCTTTGCGACCCTGATTGCCACTTGGAGGTTTGAGCAGCGTCTTTGCGTCCTTGCTCGCGTCCGCTTCAGTATTGACAGCGTCGGCCTTGACTGTGTTTTGGTCGGCCGCGGGAGTGGCATCTGCCGGAGCTTGGGCATCGGCAGCAACCTCAGGAGTGACACCCTGATTGTCCTGCTTGGCCGGTTCAGCTGGGATGACCGTCTCGCTCGCCTCCGCTTTCAAGGCGTCGTCGATGGGTGATGTCGTCGATAGAGCGGGAATCGGCTCGAAGTCGCCCTCGGCGCTGTCGGAAGGCGGAGCAGTGACCACTGCTGGGCTTGGGACGTCGGCAGACTTGGTATCCGCTGCAGGAACAGAAGACAGGCCTGTATCGTTCGACGAGGCTGTCGCGTCCGATGGAGTCGAGCCCGGTAAGCTGGCGTGCTCTGTTGAGGCTGCTACTGCTGTCGCTTCTGGAGATGTCGATGCCTCGGCCACATCGATACCGGAAGCCGAGGTGACAGTGGTGTTGGACGAGATGCCATCGCCTTCTTCGATACCAGTCGAAACCAGCGCAGGAGGAGCCGCCTCGGCAAGCATGTTTGGTTCAGCGCCTGTCGGCGGGCCAGCAGATGTCTGCTGTTCCACCTCGTCAATGGGCGTGATCGCGTCGGCATCCGAGCCTGTAGCGGCGTCAGCCTGTAGAGGAGCAGGCACGGTGGCATGCAATTGGGATGCTTCAGCCGTCTGTTGGGTAGCAGCTCGTAGCTCCTCGATGGACGATGGAGCGGTCTCTGCATCATCTGCGGCGAACACGGCTGGAAGCGATTCGGTGGCTGAGGGGGCCGCTGTTACGTCGCTCGACGCCGAGGCGTCGCTGCCAATCAGGGGACTAGAATCGCTGGCTCTGCGCCCACGGTCGTTCTGGACCTCGTCATCTGCCAGAATGGCTTCTTCGATGATCTGGTCTTTGCGATCCAGCGCAGGCGTGATTTTGGGCGAAATGCGGGCCGGCGACAATGGTTTGGCTTCCACGTTCTCGTCGCCCGGCCGTGTGGTGGATGAGATCTGCAGCGCTTTGTTTGGCGGCTGTCCACTCGCCTCTGCTGCGATGGTTGCTTCGTCGACGGTGAGAGATGCACGCCTCTCTGCTGGCGATAGCGGCTTGGATGCTACGGGAGCCTCGATTACGTAGGGCTGGACGGTATCTGGAGATGAGATGAGGGCATCGCTCTTCTCCTTCAAGCCGAGGAGTTCGCGAAGAGTGTCGTTCTCCATCCGAAGCCTCTCCTCTTCTGTGAGTCGATCGAGCGCTTCTTCGGCCCGAAGCGCTTCAGGATCGGTCGTCTTGCCTGTATACCCCCCAGACCCGTACCACCTTGGATCCTGCACCCAGCCACGCTTCGCCTTCCGCGCTGACGCTCCGTCGTGATCCTCTCCGTCCGACTCATCATCGCTGACCTCGCCATCCAGCGACTGCATTGCTCTCCTAACCAGACCTCCGAGATGTGTCAAAGTGCCACTGAAAGCGGTCTCTGCTGCTAACGTCTGCTCTGCCGCATTGTGTGTTGTCTGGGCAAGGAGCGACTCGTAGTGTTGGGTCAGCTGCAACGTGTGCTGTTGAGTCGAGTGCGAGAAGCTGCGGAACTTGGCCATGACGGTTTCGAGAGTGTTTTCGTACTCGCGAAGCAGCACGGCCTGTTGCTTGTTCTCTTGTGACAGGCTGAGGTTCTCCTTGACGAGATGCGCGTTGAGGGCCTCGAGCTCGGACTCGAACTTTTCTTTCGAGAGGTCGGTGTTGAACCTGCGAAGGGCGAAGCCAGTGCCGGAATGGATGGCCTGGCCGCGTAGTTGATCTGCTTGCTGTTGCAGAGACTCGCAGAGCTGTCGGTTCGCCTGGAGCTGATTCGTGAGGTCCTCTATGAGAGACCATAGTCTCTGCATGTCATCGCCGTCCATCATGGTCATGTCCTGACGGCCACCTCACGGAAGGCTGGCTAGTGGTGAAGAGGATGTCGCTACTGAGCAGCAAGTCAAACTGCCATCGATTGTCGTTTGTGGCCGGATGTTCAAGGTGGAGTGCTTTTCGTTGCAGTTTGTCGAGACAGGAAATGAACGTATGCCAGGCAGCAGATACAAGTCGTATGTGGGCCAAGTTCTTTCGAGAGGCGCTCGACGCGTGTGGGAGTAGCAAGCAGGAGAGGCGGAATGCTGTCTGGTGAATGCTGGATGCTTGATATGTCGGACGACGAAGGATGGTTTGGTGGACAAAACGTCAAGAGCAAGAGCCAGTGGAAGCTTGGAATGACGAGATGGGACTCGGGAATTGGATTTGGGCAGTGCCATTTCACGTGATGATGGCCAATTTGTGCAGCAGCACAGCGCGGTCTCGCACAAAGGACGAGGATCTGTGCGAGACCAACACTCCCACGCTTTGTCACTGTAGCGCCCACGCAGGTCCAACCAGCAGTCCCACTTCCACAAAGTCACAAAGACCCGTCAACTCAGCCATCACTGCTATCAGCCTCGCTCAAGGTTCACCGCCCGATTAGGAGGTAGCTGCAACAGCACAAGGCGTTCACGCAGCTGTCAGAACCTGGCTAATCAGACCCTGGCACGGAGGTCGAAAGCTCACTGACCATGAGATAGGAAATCCACAATCACCACCAAGGTCAACCTTCTGCGTCAGGTAGGCGACGCCTTGAACCGCCGCCATGTCAGATCCGCAAGTCCCACCATTGCCGGCGACCACCACCGCTGCAGCATCATCTCCAGATGCCGAAATCGATGCCTTCGTGGCTTGGGCTCAGGCTGTACTCGCTGATATCCCCGAGGCCGACAGAGCGGTGACCAACCCATCCGACCTCTCTGATGGCGTTGCTCTCTTTCAGATCCTTGCCGACATCGACTCCGACCTTTTCCGCAATCCCCATGCTGGCGACACAAAGGACAATTGGGTGCTCACCATCGGCACTCTCAAGCGCCTCTACAAGCTCATGATGCAGTTCTACTCCGAGAGCCTGCAATGCGCCCCTGCCCCGCTACCAGTGCCCGAACTCAATGCGATCGCGCGCTCCGCCGACCCCGCTGAAGTCGCCAAGCTGTGTCTACTGGCCATCGGTATCGCTGTGCAGAGCGAGAAGAACGAAACGCACATTGCCGCCATCCAGACACTCGACCAAGCGCACCAGCATCAGCTCATGATGTCGATCGAGCGCATCATGTCTCTCATCGCACAAGGTCAAGAGGAGCAGCAGGCCACATCACTAGCCGACGACTCGATCTCTTCCTCTGTCATTGATGGCGAAAGCGACAGCTTCGACGCAAAGCATCAGGGTAAGTCGGTCGCTCAATTGGCCGCCGAGCTCGAGGCAATCCAGCTGCAGAAGGAGGACGTGGACAAGTCCTATCTGGTCCTACTTGAGGCGCATAGGGAGCTCAAGAACAACTTTCAAGACCTGCAAAGCGAGAAGGAAGAGATTGCAGCCTCACACGAAGAGCAGAAGAAGCAGGTCGACGCAGAACGCAACGACGAGGCAGCCGTGCTGATGCGGCAAGAGATCGAGAGGCTGAAGAACGACCTACGTCGCAGCGAGGACACTGTTGCAGAGCTCGAGACCGACAACGAAAAGCTGCTCCAATCGTCGGAAGAAGCCAAGCGCAAAATCGAAGAACTCCAAAAGACCTCGGAAGAAGCCACTAAGCTCAAGGACCAGATGGAGGAATATCGACATGCCGCAGATCGTCTGCAGAAGGCCGAGAACGCCATCGAAAAGTACAAGAAGAAGCTCGAAGAGGGTGCCGACGTTCGGCGACAGCTCAAGACGCTGGAAGACCAGAATGCCGAGCTGGTGGATCGCAACGCCAAGCTGGAGGACGAGTACAAACGCGTCTCGGCGTTCAAGCCGCTCATGGACTCGTACAAGTCGCAGATCGCGGATCTCGAGTCCAAGTCGTCCAATCTACAACGCGATCTCTCCACGTCCAAGTACGAGCAGGAGCAGATCCTCTCGCGACTCAAGGCATCCGAGGATCAGCGAGCCAGCGCCAAGGAGGAGATGGAATTATACCAAGAACGGATCAAAGAACTCGAGCTTGGAGGTGACACCTCGTTGACCAAGCGCAAACAACTGGTGAGCCGCAACTCGAACGCCTCTGCTAACGGAGTCGATGGTTTGGTTGCAGCAGATGCGAGCAGAGCCAGTGCCGAAGACGCAGACGAGCTCGAGGAGGAGGAAGATGTCTTGGACCGCTCAGGCGAACTTGATGATGCGCTGAGTGGCACAACGATGACCGACCTCAAGATCAAGGTGCGCAAGCTTTCACGCGAGCTGGAAGCAGCCAAGACGAACAAGGCGGACCACTCGCGCTTGATCGTACTGGAGAATCTGCTGGAAGATGCACAACGCATGAAGACTCGCTACGAGTCGGACTATCTGCGAGAGCATCGCGAAAAGATGGTGCTGCAGAACCAGCTGGAAGCCATCCGGAGCGGCAAGTCAGATCTGGGCGACGGCACAGAGGCCGCGTTTGCACTGCGGCTGCGACTCAATGAGATGGTGGAAGAGCTGGACGCAGCCAAGCGTCAGGCCACCGAACTGGAGGTGCAGAACGAGCAAGTGGCAAGAGAGCTCACGATAGCCAAGTCGGATCTGACGCTGGTCAATAAGGACCAGGTGGACATCCTGCATTCGCTGCGAGCCTCGGTGGACGCGGACAAGGACGAGCTGGAAGCGCACATCAAGAAGCTCAAGACGGAGCTCGCATCGATCAACGAGCAGAACCGTATGTACATGGGGCAAGTGAATGCGCTTCTGATGGAGAAGGTGGATCTGCAGGCCGAAGGGATCGGACAACGGGACGAAGCGCTCAAACGCGAACGCACGCTGGGCGAGCTGCAGTCGCGTCTCAAGGGCAAAGGTCTGCCCAAGGAGGTGGAAGAGATGGTGGCCAGCCTGCAGAGCGAAGCGCTTGGGTCGACACGCGATCTCAAAGCCCTGCAAGAACGCTTTGCGAAGGCAAAAACTTTCATCAAGCAGCAGGACAAAAGGATCAAGGAGAAGGACCGAAGCATTGCTGCAGCCGCCGCAGCTGGCAGTCTGATGGGCGGCGGAGCCGGTCTCGAAGGTTCAACAGGACGAGGCGATGCGAGCTACGAAGCGTTGGACCGAGAAGTGCGGACGTTGCGGGACAAAGAACGCAATTGGGATCGCGAGCAGAGGCTGATGATGTCGGCGTATCAGGAGCTGGGTCGACGCTACATGATCGAGCTGGAATCAGGACTCAACCCGAGCGGCGGAGGTGGTGTAGGTGGCGGCGCAGGCGGATCGGGAGGAGGAGTGTATGCCAGGCTGAGCTCGGCATCGTTTTCGGCTGGTGGAGTGCGGGCGCTTTCCGGGTTGACCGGCCTGAATGCAGCGGGCAGGAGCTGGCTTGTCAATCAGCGCAGGACGGTGAACCCGACGTTGCAGCTCGCTAGCCGACGGTAGTCTGAGCATTGATACCCCAACGTCACGGAGAGGCACTAATGGAAGCCTCAAACAGCAATGCATTGCAAGTCACATCAGCAAAGTGACTGTTCGGACAAGTGGTCGAGGAGGAAGAGGCTTCAAAGCGCGTGAATTTGAGCTGTGGGCCGGTTGTCTGTTCGTTTACCGCGACTCGCGCTTCCTTGACCGCTTCGACAGCCTGGGCCGAAGAGGGCACGACTCGTCTCTTCGGGCACAACGAGTCTACAGTAGTGCCGAAAGCCTCGACGCCGGCACACGATGGAAACGCAGGTCGTTGCAGTACGTAGAAGCCTTCTGGACAGGATTGCCGCCGCAACCAGCGTGTGTTCTCGGTGATTGCGGCTTTGGCCTGTCAGCTGCGAATGAGCAGTCAAATGTCCATCGATGCGATCCCCCAAGCCAAGAAAAGCAGCAGCAGCAGAGAGTGCAATCTCGATCCGCAAGATCCGTTCTCCGCTCGATACATGATTCGTTCGGAGAGAGGCGAATTCGGCAAACGCGTCTGCATTTCAGTACACCACCACTAACAAACACGCTTCCTTCCGACGCCAAATGAGACGACACGCAGGCACTGCATGAGGTGTCACGCAGCAACAACGGCCCATCCGACATGCTTTGATCGATTAGCTCGATGCAACGTGCCGGTCCCTCCGTGCTGTGCGGAGTAGGCCGAGTCTCATTCCAACGGACGATGTGCGGAGTGGATCCGATGCTGACCAAGATCTATGAGAAGGGCTGCGGAGGAACTGAAACGAGCAAGCAAGAGCAAGCGAACGTGCGGGGGGAAGGAAGGGGCTATCAGATGGATCGACAGGTTTACAATTTCACGTTCACGTTCTGGCAGCCACCATCGGAACGAAAGAGCGCTTCCACTTGTTGGGCTTGCAGAGCCTGCTTTCGAGAGCCGATCGGATCGCTTCCTCTCTTGGACCTCGTTTCCCCTTTTCTCGCTGCAGAGACTCGACTCGGCCTTCTTGATCGCAAATCGCCAAATACAAAATCCTTCCGCTCCCTCTGCTCTGGCGCCTGAACCAGCTTCGGAGAAATTGATTTTCAAAAGTGAAATCACACGTCGACGAAATGCCCCGGGCCGGAAGACTCACGCTTCCTCTGCACTGGTGCCGTCACGCGTGTGTTTGCTGCCCGGCTCGCCTCATCTTCCTATATATACCCTTTCACACTTGCTTCCGTTCCTTCCGGCTCCCTTCACCTGTACATCACAGCGTACTCTTGTCTGATCTCTCAGCCTTCTTCACTCACTACATACACACAACCAATCGTCCCTTGCAAGTCATTGTCTCAACCACAGGACTTGCATACTCGAAACCGTTGCCCACCATTTTCTCCAACCAGCTCTGCTCGTCCCACAACTCGTACAGGGGCATCAAGCACACCGCCCCTGCCCACCTCGCTGCGCATTAAAGCCGTCTTCTCCCGCAACACCTTTTTGAACTTCCTCTCTTCTCACCCAATCCGTAAAGATGGCTCCTGTCGCTAACGGAAACAACGCCGCCAACGGCCATGCTGCCAACGGCAACGGCAACGGTGCCAACGTGCCCATCAACCCCACCAACGCTCGCCACGAACAGCGCGAGTTCATCCGCGTCAACTCGGACAAGGTCCAGTACACCAACGACACCATCACCTCGGACTACCAGTACCTCAACACCCATGTTGAGAAGGTCAGCCACGACGATGGTACCACCGAGTACGTCGCTACCCCCATCCAGCGCCAGTTCCAGTTCAAGACTGAGCGTAAGGTGCCCCGCACCGGTCTCATGATGGTCGGCTGGGGTGGTAACAACGGTACCACCATCACCGCCACCATCCTCGCCAACAAGCACAACATCACTTGGCACAACAAGGACGGCCTCCAGGTGCCCAACTACTACGGCTCGCTCGTCCGCGCTTCGACCATCCGCCTCGGCACCGACCCTGCCACTGGCAAGGATGTCTGGGTTCCCTTCTCTAACGTCCTCCCCATGGTCCACCCCAACGACCTCGTCCTCGGCGGTTGGGACATCTCGGGTCTGCCCATGGACCAGGCCATGACCCGCGCCAAGGTGCTCGACTACGACCTTCAGCGCCAGGTTGCCCCTTACATGGCCGAGATGAAGCCTCTCGCTTCCGTCTACTACCCTGACTTCATCGCTCAGAACCAGGAGGAGCGTGCCGACAACACCCTCCCCGGTGAGTCCAAGGCTGCCCACGTCGACCAGATCCGTGCCGACATCCGCGAGTTCAAGCGTCAGAACAGCCTCGACCAGGTCATCGTCGTCTGGACCGCCAACACCGAGCGCTACTCCGAGATCCTCCCCGGCGTCAACGACACGGCCGACAACCTGCTCAAGTCCGTCGAGCAGAACCACGCTGAGGTCTCGCCCTCGACCGTCTTTGCCATCGCCTGTATCCTCGAGAACGCTCCTTACGTCAACGGTGCTCCCCAGAACACCTTTGTGCCTGGCTGCATCGAGCTCGCCGAGAAGCACAAGGCCTTCATTGGCGGTGACGACCTCAAGACGGGTCAGACCAAGGTCAAGTCGGTCCTTGCCGAGTTCCTCGTCAACGCTGGTATCAAGCCTCTCTCCATTGCCTCGTACAACCACCTGGGCAACAACGACGGCTACAACCTGAGCTCGCAGCGTCAGTTCAAGTCGAAGGAGATCTCCAAGTCGTCCGTCGTCGATGACTGCTGTGCTGCCAACCACCTGCTGTACAAGCCCGCTGTGCCTGGTAAGAAGACGGCGGATGGCAAGGCGGACAAGGGTGAGCACCCTGATCACTGCATCGTGATCAAGTACCAGCCTGCTGTCGGTGACCAGAAGGTGGCTATGGACGACTACACGAGCGAACTCTGCATGGGCGGTCGCAACCGTCTCTACGTGACCAACCTGTGCGAGGACTCGCTGCTCGCCTCGCCCCTGCTGCTCGACTTGACCATCCTTGCCGAGCTCATGACGCGCATCACGTACAAGGCTGAGGCCAAGGACACCGAGTGGAACTCGATGTACTCGGTGCTCTCGCTGCTGTCGTACTCGCTCAAGGCGCCCGTCGTCAAGCCTGGCACTGATGTCGTTAACAGCCTCAACCGCCAGAGGGCCGCCTGCACCAACTTTATGCGTGCTTGCCTTGGTCTGGCTCCCGAGTCGGACCTCCTGCTCGAGACGCGTGTCTGGTAAGCGGTGTTTCTCGCGCGGGTGGAAGCTTCTCAGTCGCGAAAGGCAAACAGCCAGTTTGTTTTGACGGCTGCAAGTTCTCCCATTGCGCTGCCTCGTCAATCTCCTCGTCTCGTCGTGTGGTAGATAGCTGAGAAAGGGGACAGAGGCGTGCTCATTGCCTCGTCCGCCTCTCGGCTGCTGCGTTGATTTGCTATTCGATCTCAATGCACCTTTCTTTTCCCACAACTTTTCAGTATTCGTCTGTGCTCGCGTGTTCGGTGTGGGCCTCCTCCCACAATGGGTCTTCGTCTGTGCGGCAAGCATTGAGCTGCCCTTGCCTCGGGCGTGCCGTGAGAACAATGCATTGTCTGTGCATCTGCATTTTCGTCTTCCGTGACGATCAAGGCAATTTATAAACAAAGTGAGGCTCGGCTAACCGAGAATCCGGACCGGGGCTGGTAATCGGACCGCGGCGGCGCTCGCCGACAGCACTCACGGCTCGCGCCACATAGAGCGTTCTAGAAGCGCACCCCTCTACCCCGGATCCAGTCAGCCTTCGGACCGCGGCGAGGTAGCTCGCTTGTGTTGATGCCCCCAACCAAGGTGTCGCGGTTCGAAAAATGGACTCGGCATCTGTGCGGGGTGCGCGGGGAAGCGTACGATCGGCACGCTCTGGCAAGGCGTGGACCGCGACCAACCTTAGATCGGTCCGCCACCCCCAGCTGATGTGCCAGCGTGACTGCTATCAAGTCAAGTGGCATGGGTCACAACGGGTCTCGGATGAAGCACGCCGTTGGGCCGGAGATGAGACTAGGCAAGTTCAGTGGCACATGTGGGATGCCGGGAGCGTAAAAAGTGATCTAGTGTATGCAACTATGAGGTGGGATTTGCCTACCCCACATCCTGCAGTGTGTGACATGAGACACGGTGGATTAGCGCCGCGAGAGTCGCCATGTGCCTCGGTGAGGCCGGTGGTACACCTTCTCGCCACATGGGTGTAGCGGGCCCCCTCCCTCATGCTCCTTACCCCTATGAAAGTAGCTCTCCCTCTCCTGACGCCCAAGTCCTTATAATGATCCCATCTGTCTCCTCACCTCGTGCCCATGACCCCGCAAAGCATCAACCGCCTCCTCTCTGATCGCCATGCATCTCCACCGCGTGCATCTCTGGCTCGCGGCCCTCCTCCCACTCCTCTCCCTCCTCCTCACCACCGTCTCTGCCCTCCCCAACACCCTCTCCGCACGCACTCCCGCCCCCTCCCGTCCAGCCCCACGTCGTCGCGTCACCGTCCGCCACTACACCCTCACCATCACCTCCACCACCCTCTGGCAGCAATGCGACCCATTCGGACCCACCACTGTGATCAACTCGACCTTTCCTGGTCCCCAGCTCCGCGCTCGCGTGGGGGAAATCCTTCAGGTCCGCGTCATTAACAACCTCCCAACGAGCGCGTATGACGGGGGGAATTTGACGATGCACTTCCACGGCCTGGCGATGCACATGCACCCCGTGATGGATGGGACGACTATGATCAGCCAATGGCCGATTACGCCGGGAAATTTCTTCGACTATCGAATCCCGCTCACTGCCGAAGACAAGGGGACGTACTTCTACCACTCCCACGTAGGCGTCCAAGCGATGAGTGCGTATGGTGCGCTCGTGGTTGAGGATCCGGAAGATCGCGATGTGTGGGACCCCTCTCAGGCAACGAGCATGTCGCAAAACGACCCGAAGAGTGTCGAGTACATTCACGTGGATGGCACTGCTGGTTTGGCGAGAGAGGCTAAGAGTGGAAGGAGCAGCCCGTACAAGTGGGATGCCGATCGCGTGCTCGCGGTTGGCGACTGGTTCAGCTACTCCTCGACGAGTCTCGTCCAAAAGCAGCTCGGCGGCGACCCTTTCGTCTGGCCAGGCTCCGCATCCAAGCTGCTGCTCAACGGAAAATCCACCCCACCCGCAAGCCCGGCGGGGTGCAACCAGACCAAGGCGACCATTACGGGAGTGGCGTGCACCGCCGCACCCCCCAACTGCGCCGCGACAGCTCAGGAATATCCAACCATCCAGATGGATTATGAAAAGACGTACAGGTTGCGCAGCATCGGTGCGACCGCACTCATGTACGTCTCCCTTGGCATCCTCACCCCCACCACCACGCCGTACGCTAGCGCAAACGCAACCAGCACCACGCCTTCCTCGGCGGTTTCGCTCGAAAAGCTCTCGCTGATCGAAGCGGACGGCTCCTACCTCGACGCACTCGATGTGGATCGGTTCGAGCTCGCTGCGGGTCAACGCTACAGTGTGCTGTTCCGCTCTCGCTCCCGCAAGCAGGTAGAGAGAGATAACGTGGGAGGAGTCTACTGGATGCGAGCCGAATCCCGCTGGCGTGCGGGACCGAGTATGTGGATCAAGATCGTCTATCCTTCCGCGACGCCCTCCACCATCTCTGCCGCGACGCCACCCGTGAAGCTCTTCGACGGTCAAAAGGACCTCTCCCTCTTGCCAGCCGAGACCTTTGGGTGGGTAGGGTCCGCCATGGCGCCCCTGTCGAAACGTGGCGGACCGGAGTGGTGGTACGCCTCCCCCATGCCAAGAGACGACCAGGTGACGCGCACCGTGGTGATCGACACTCAACAGGTTCGTTTCTTGCCTAGCACCAAGGGGATCAAGTGGGATCAGAATGGACAGCCGTTCAACGAGAACCAGCCTAGTGAGGTTCCTTACCTCGTCAAGACGTTCTTGGGCGATATCGCTTTCCCCAACGCTAGCCAATTTGCGTCGGCCATGTATAATCAGGCGAACTATACATACAACCCCTCCACCACGGCACCTCGCGTCGCCGGCGCCGGTCCATCGGTGGACCTCATCTCGAGCGCGGCTGGCGAGGCGGACGCAGCAAACACACGCCACTGGGCGCAAGGCTACAGTGGCGAATTGAACATGTACTTTGCCCGCGCGGGAGAGGTGATCGACATCGTACTCGTCAACAAACCTTCCTTGCTCAGCAGCAGCGTCGAGATCCACCCTTGGCACATGCACTCGCACAAGCACTTTACGCGGACTGTCCAACCGGGCACATTCTCCTTCTCCCGCCTCTCCTCTCTGTATTCCAGTGGGAATGGCGGTTACGAGCGCCCGATTCAACGCGATACCTCCGTAGCATACGCCTCCCCCGGTGCGGCGTATCTGAATCAAACCCTCCCCAACCCGGCGGAGGACGACGGTGGATTCACCGTGCTCCGCTACAAAGTGGACGCCAAAAACGCAGGCGTGTTCCTACTGCATTGTCATATCACGTTCCATCTGGAAATGGGCATGGCGACAGTGTGGACCATCGCACCGGACGAGCTGGCCGATCGAAACGGGATTTACTGGCCCAAGAACGGGAGTGTCGAGGGACTCAGCAATGGCTGGAGTCAGTTTGGAAGCAGTGTCAATGCTGTTCTCTGAAGGCCAGCTTTGGGGTTCAATGTCACGAGGAAATAGAATGTCGTCGTGCGGGTGATTGGCTGGTGTGAAGGGCGAGACCGGGCCGCAGCTCCGTGGATCCGCGCTGAGTTGTTGAGCTCCGTAGAAAACCACACATGCGGACCGACAGGAAGGCTGGGTTTGAATCGTCCATTGCACCTGCGTCTTGCTAGCGCGTTACCAGATGAATCGCATCGTCGTCCCCTCCCCCCTCCCCCTATCCACTGCTTCGGGTGCCCACTCGAAGGGCTTCCGCACAAACAACGCCACGGTCCCCACATTGACCAGCGCATACGTTGCCACTTCCCCCGCCAGAGAGACCCACTTGATCCTTCCTTCTCCTCCTCTCGGCTGGCAGCTGATCCTCAGCACGATGTACGGTATCAAAAAGTACCGCGGTTCGACCAGTGGTGTCGGGATCAAGGTCGCCATTGTCGCCAACCAGAACAGCGCATTGCCCAACGCTCCCTGGTTCGTACTGAGCGCGGTGCTCCACGCGACCAGCGCGAGAGAGTACAGCGGTACCATGGCGTATCTGGGCTGAATGTGAACCCCTGCAAAAGGGTAGGTGCGACGAAAGAGCCGCCAGATGTAAAACGTGTAGTGTCGGTTGTCGGCGAGCAGGAACGGGTGGTCGATGGTGAAGCGGTCGACTGCGATGTAGAACGCCGCTAATGATGCTGCAAGGGTGATGAGTCCTGTTGCTGAGCCGAGAGTTGCCTTCAGCAGCACCCCAGCTGCAGACGAAACAGACCCTATGAGGGCTGACAGTGTCGCATTCGATCGAGCTCGCGCCTGCGCGGGTATGAGCGAGAAGAGCAGCGGAAAGACCCCGAACCCAGTTGCGAAGGCCAAAAAGTATCCCATCTGGGGCAGGTGTATCCCTGCCTGGTGGTTCGACTTGTCGCCTAGTACAATGCTCCCGTTCCACCGGATGAATGCTGCGCAGCCGACGAGCATGGGTACCATCGGTGCTGCCATGATCATCGTCGACCTCCACAACTGCCACCTCTTTCTACCAAACGCGGCTGTCAACAAACTTGACAGCTCAGCTACAAGCCCCGGCCCCTTCATCGGTATTCGTGCAAGTAGTGCTTGTGCAGCGCAAAAGCCGACCCAGACGATGTTTGTCTGTCTCACCATCACCGCCAGCAACGAGATCGCAGCGATGAGCGTGCTGGTGAGAAACCGCGGCGAGGCGGCGAGGTCGTTGTACAGCGTCCAACACGCCAGCGTTAGCCAGACAGAGGCGATGTCGGTGTAGTACAGGAAGCCGAAGAACCATAGTGGGGGAAGGAAGCAGATTGTGCTTGCGAGAGCCATCGTGTAGGGCGTCGCTTCTTTTCTCTTCGGCTTCTGAGGCAGCGGTGATGGGGATGGGGTGGGGGGTGCAGTGCGTGTGACGGGTATGGTGGACGGGTCGATGTCCGGTAGGCTGTCCTGCGATGCATCAGGGGTGGGTGGAGTTTCGGATGCTGCTTTCGCCTGAAGATCTTTAATGAGGGCGCGGGGGACTGCTGGCGTCTTCCTGGATGGCGGGCTGCGTTGTTGCACGTGTCGAGCTGCGTTCGGGCGCCCAGCTTTGCCGCCTATCCTCTCGTCGTTCTGGCGCAGGGTCCTAGCCACCAGCACAGGCATCGTCAGCAGCAGCACCAGATTTGTGCTCCTCAGCCATGCTACATCTCCACACTCCCAGCCTGGCAACACTTTGGCTAGCGCTAATGAGATGGCATACAGCCCGGGGGGAGTCGTGAGCTTCGGATCGTACTCCACGCTCCGTAATCGTTGCCAGACACTAGCTGTGATTTTATCGGGAGAAAGTAGCGCTGAGCAGAGTCGCTGTGCCTGTGGAATGTGAAAGATCTCGTCGATGTACGGCACTGGCTGGTTGCGCGAGATGAGCGTCGAGGTGAGGACGGTGACTGAGATGAAGAGCAGCGTTGGGATGTGCTGTGCTAGGGGTATCGGGCTCACTCTTGCGGTGGCGGCCATGATGTCAGGGAAGAGTAAGACTCGCTGCCTCTGCTTTCACACCTTCCTCCCCTTAGGAAGCAGTGTGATGGACGAGAGGCGTGGTGATGGTAGTCGAGTGACGAGGACGAGGTGGTTTGTGCGCGAAAAGTGACAGGTATTGCTCCGCGGATAACCCGAAGCCAGCTGACAAGAGAAGCTCGGAAAGCGGATTTCCACCCACGTTTTCTTCGAGATTTCATGCTTAGGCGAAGGATTCCCACTGACGTCGTACAACCCTGACCGGTCAGCTCGACACTTCCTTCCTCACCACCAGCGACCACACCCACCTCAGCTCCTCTACCAGCACGACCAGTCTAGCTGCGGAAGCCAGACCGAGGAACTCGACGGGCCGCCAGGATGTTCACATCCTTCTTCGCCCCGCAGTGGGGTGGAGCCCTCCTCACCTCCACCTTGGCCTCGGATTCACGATCAATACCGACACTACCGCACCTATCAGCGGATCCACCACCAAACCCCTCGGCACCTCTCCTCAAACCGCCGCCGTCGCCGCCCGCAGAATCGGGTGCGTCGATCAAAGGTTTTGTCGGCGGCACCGTTTCCGGTCTCACCAAGCTTCTCGTTGGTCATCCGTTCGACACGATCAAGGTGCGCATGCAATGCTCACCCCTGGGCACGTACACCGGACCTCTCGATTGCTTCCTTCAGCTTGCACGGCGGGAATCCGTACTTGGGCTGTACAAGGGTGCGACACCGCCGGCGTTCGGGTGGGCGCTGACGGACAGCGTGTTGTTGGGCAGCCTGCATAACTACCGCCGCTTCTTTGCGCGGCTGACCAACCCGAACTATGGCGAGGAGGACAGTGTTAAGGGGCTGCCAGTGAAGTACCATGCGTTGGCAGGCCTTATGGCTGGGTGGACGAACAGCTTTGTCACCACCCCCGTCGAGCTCGTCAAGGCCAAGTTGCAGATGCAGACCCAACGCGTGTCGTTGCACCTCCCCGGCCAGCCAGCCGCAGAGATCGTCAAGAAGGAATTCAGTGGTCCCGTCGATTGCATCCGCCAGATCGTCGCTCAACGCGGTGTGCTCGGCCTATGGCATGCACTACCCGCAACATTACTCTTTCGCAGCTCGTTCGCAGCCATGTTCGGCAGCTACGAGTACTTTCAATGCCAACTCAGCTCCTGGAAGGGAACAAGCTGGGAACTCTCACCCGGAGCAATCACGTTCATCTCCGGCGGACTCGGCGCAGAAGTCTTTTGGCTAACAGCCTTTCCGGCTGACGTGATCAAGAACCGCATGATGGCGGACAACATCAGGGAGCCCAAGTACAAGGATATCAAAAGCGCCTGGTTGTCAGCGTGGAATGCCAGAGGAAAGGACACGGTCTGGTGGAGAAAGGTCAGAGGAGTGTATACGGGCTTTTTGCCGTGCCTGTTGAGGGCGTTTCCGACCAACGCGGCCGCGCTGTTTGCGTTCGAGACCGCAATGCGCTTCATGGGCGCTGAAAAGGTTTGAAGAGGGAGTAACTTTGTATTTGTATCGACCCAGCATCACCACTTACGCAGCAGAAGCAATAGATCAGCATGCCACATCTCTTGGATACAGGCGTACACTCAAGACGTCGGTCGAGTTGGGCAAGTGGTGTTCGCGCTCATTGCGCGACACCGATAGATTGGTGCATCTAAGCAAAAGCATAGGGTGGTATCTAAATCTCATCCTCCCCTTCATCGTCATCGTCGTCCTCCAGAGCAGCCTTCCACCGCTTGCGCCTAACATCCTGGCCGACCATCATATCCTCGCTGTCGCCCCTTCCCAACTTTCCCTTTGCCCTGCCTCTCTTCCCGCTTGCTGCTCCATCCCCATTCGCCGCCTCCAAGAACTCCCTCACCAGACTCCTATCCACCGTCTGAATGTAGTACTTTCCGCCACCATCCGCCCAACTCACGCACCCGCTCGTATACAGCCTCTCCGTGACCCTCAAGATCGCCAGTGGACTGCTCAGCGTGCGCTGCGTCAACCTGAAGTCCGGCGGAACGAACGGCTTCAACGATACGATCTGTGCTCCGTCCGGCAGATCCAAAAACAGCAACGAGAGGTTCTCGTTGGTCTTAGGCAGAAACGCGTAGTTGTTGACCAGCACCACATCGGCGCGTTTCAGCACGTCCCTCACGCCTGTATGTTCGCCAAAGTCGCCCGCCCACGCTTCGACGGCTTCGCCACCGCGCAGACCCCACGCTGCCCAGCGCGACTGTGCCTCCGTGATCTGCTGCGACGCAAGCGACGCGGGAACGGGCATCATTTCGCATCCGTACGCCTCGGCGCCCGTTTGAAGACTCGTCTGGATCAACAGGTTGCCCACTCCGGAACCGAGGTCTACAAAGACCTTTCCAGGTCCGAGAGACGTCAGCTGCGCAATCTCGGACATGAACCGAGGCAGGAGTTCGCCATAGACGTTGTCGGAGAACGCTTGGTAGCGACCCAACTCTTCGACGCGCGGACCGACGATTCGTGCGTACACTTGGTCTTGGATCAGACGCCAGATGCCTTCTGGTACACCGGTGGTGGTGCCCAGCGCAGCGATGTTGGTGGAGAGCGCGCCGGTGGAGCGGAGAGCGACGAGAGCGGCGTTGAAGCGCGAGAGGGTGCGCATGAAGAGCGGACCGTCACGGCGATTGCGTGCCTTGGTGAAGGAGCGCAGGATCGAGTCGGGATCGGCGGGCGAGGCCGGATTCGAGGAAAGGTCCGATGCGAGAGAGGACTCGGTTGGTGCGGGAGAGTCGAGTCGAAGGAGCGCGTTGTTAATGAGGACGGTCTTGGCGACGGAGCTGCCACCGGTGGAGGCGGAGACGCTGCCGTTGTGCGAGGTGGGAGACTCGGGAGCCGTCTGAGAAATGCCGTTGGTGTGCGGATCTGGCGTCTTTGACCCGGCCTCTTCTGAAGAGAGACCGCCGACGAGCTCATCCCGACGCTCAGCTTTGGAGCCCTGCCCATCAAGCAAATCGGCCGACTTAGCGCGTGTGCCGTTGATGCCGTTTGTCTCGGCCAGTGCAGCGACTGTGTTGGAAGATACGCTTGTGGCGCCAGCTCCGTTGCTGGCGCTGGGCAGGATCATGCCGGCGTTGTTGGAGACCTGGAGGCTGTCAAGCGAGCCAAAAGCTTCGCGCTGTTCATCGGTGAGGTAGTGAGTGACGATGGTGCGGACGGTGGCGAGAAGCTCGAACAGCGGGTCATATTCGTCGGTATCCTTGGGGACCAGCAGCAGAAACTCCTCGGAAGCATTGGCACCAGGATACTCGAGAGTAGCACGCGGTGCATCGCCGAGGCCGTTGAAGTAGGGCCCGTAGCTCTTGATATTGGAAGTGACAATGTCGGCCGATGAGATGGGCGTGCCAAGTTTGTCATTTGTGGAGGCTGCTGCGTCTGCATCGGAGGGCGCGGATTGGGACGCCAGAATGTCTCGCGGAACAGTGTAGTTGGGCAGCACGCCTTCTCTGCCAACCTTCTGATAGCTGTCGGAGGTCGGGTGTGGGTCTACGCTGGCCCGCTTCGACCCTCTCGGAGTGGAAGGGGCGGTGCTTCCATTTCGAGATGACTGACCATAGCCTCCAAAGTCGTCATCGTCATCGTCCGAGTCGAGGACCTTCTTGCGCGGTTTCTTTGGTTTAGGCTTGGATGCTGGTGCAGATGCCCTTTTCAAGCTCGAGCTGGAGCTCTTGGATTTGGAGGAGGACTTGACTGGTGCTCTCAATTGAGCCTCGAGACTGGTCTCGATCGACTTTTGTTGTTGGGCAGCGAGCCTCTCTTCGATGATACGACGACGCTTCTCCTCCGGAAGTGCATTCTTGGAGCGGCCAGAGAGGGCAGCGATGGGATCACGAGGCTGTGTGGTCGGAGGAGGGGCGACCTTCTTCTTGACGGTGGTGACGACTGTGACGGGCGGTGGTGGGGCCAACTTTGTCTTTTTGAGTGGAGGCTGGGCGGCAGCAGCAGACGACGAGGTGGAGGCGGAGGAGGTGCCTACACCGTTGGATGTGGACGCCGGCTGCTTGTTGGTGGCTGGCGGTTTGCCGCCGAAGAAATTGATCATGATGACGAGGCGAGTTCCCTGGCAGTGGGAGGGGTTTTGGGTGCGGCTTTTCTAGAGTTGGGTATGCATTTGACGAGCGAGCCAGCGAGAGAGGCTATGAGGAGTGTCGAGGCTGTTGCTCTGAGACTTGCCGGGAACGGAATGGGGTCGAAGGTTAAGCAGCGTGGAGGTAGCAATACAAAGTCGTGAAGGTGAGGTATTCCGAGCAGAGGAGCCGATTCGAAACCAGTTTCGATCTATAAGGTAGGTGGAGGCTTCGGGTGTTGTTAATGATACAAGAGCGGAGAGGGGCGAATGAGATGATGGTAGTGTGAGTTGTCGTGGCTGTTGATCGACCAAGGTTGGGTATGCACAAATCTGCATCTTGACAGTCCAACACTGCCTATGCAGTTGTCGCTGCCATTGTGCAAGAGGGCAAATCAGGGTCAGACGACTGCATTTCTTCCTTTTCCGTTCAAGCTCAGCCGGAAGCAGCGCGGGAAAGGGTCAGACCTGGCCTCTCGTGCGAGTGAGTCAGAGCCTATTTTCAGGGCCACATTCGGAGCCTCGTTATCAGCCCCGCACCGCCGCGCTCTTGAGACAGACCAAGACTGCTGCCATTGACAGCGCTCCTCGGCTCGTTGTTCCTACTGACTGCATAACTAACGGTCAGAAGCTTATCTTGCAGTCGGAGGTCACGTCTCGTCTGCACAGACAGCTCGCTGCTGCTGGCTTGCGACGATCATGCTAAGCAACTCAGGCACACTTGGCGTTTCGCCTTGTTCCAAACAAAGTGTGAATTCCGAGTCTAATTTCGCGACACTGGCACTGCGACCGTGCACGCTGCTGCAGCTTTAAGACGTCACATCCAAATTCGCTGCAACGCAACGCTCACCGTCGATCCTCCCCAGCTTCGCTTCTTCCTTCCACATCACCCGCTGGCTTTCAGAGCATCTCTATCGACTATACCGCTGTCAACACCGCTATATCACCCTCGCTCCACTCAGGACAACAAAGACCGCTTCAACCAGCAGATCGACCACCCCAACCTCCACATCCCAACATGGCCTCGTCAAATCCCCAGACGGTGCCGTGCGCTTACAAAACAGGCCGCACGCTAGGTCAAGGCACCTACGCCGTCGTCAAGGAAGCGGTGCACATCAAGACGGGCCAGTACTACGCCTGCAAGGTCATCTCGAAAAAGCTCATGGAGGGACGCGAGCACATGGTTCGCAATGAGATCTCGGCGCTCAAGCGCGTCTCCCAAGGTCATCGCTCCATCGTCACGCTCGTCGACTACTTCGAGACCATGAACAACCTCTACCTCGTCACGGACCTGTGTGTGGGTGGGGAGCTGTTCGATCGCATCTGCGAGCGGGGGAACTACTACGAGAAGGATGCGGCCCACATTGTTCGTACCATCACCGAGGCGGTGGTGTACCTGCACAACCAGGGGATTGTACATCGCGATTTGAAGCCCGAAAACCTCTTGTTCCGGGATAAGACCGAGGAGAGTGACCTATTGATTGCCGACTTTGGCCTATCGCGCGTGGTCGACGACGAAAAGATCACGGTCCTTTCCACAACCTGTGGTACACCAGGATACATGGCACCGGAGATCTTCAAAAAGACGGGGCACGGCAAACCCGTCGACATGTGGGCCATCGGTGTTATCACCTACTTCCTCCTCTGCGGTTATACACCGTTCGATCGCGATACGACCATGGAGGAGATGCAAGCCATCATCAATGCCGACTACCGTTTCGAACCGAGCATGTACTGGCAGGACGTATCGGATGCTGCCAAGGATTTCATCAACAAGCTCCTCACCACCGACCCAGCCAAGAGGTTGACGGCGAAACAGGCCCTCGAGCACGAATGGCTGCTGAATGCCGCCCCCACCCAGAACGGCGCCAAACCTGCACCGTCCGCGGAACAAAAGGATCTCCTGCCAGACATCAAGTCTGCCTTCAACGCAAAGCGGACGTTCCGAAAGGCAGTCAACGGCATTCGACTCATCAACAGACTCAGAACCAACGAACACGTCCCCAACAAGGAGGAGATCGAAAAGTTACGACAAACCATCAAGGACGCCGAAGACGAAAGCGCCAATTTGGATCAGGTCTACCCACCCTCTGCCGAGAACCAATAGTTTGTCCCGATCTCTTCGTCGCAATGCAGCTTTACATACCCGTCCCGTTTTCACATACCATCCGGTCCTCACAACACCGATTGAGAGAATGAATAGTCCATTGATCAGGAGAATGCAGAATGGTGCTGATGTATGCGTGCGATTCGTAATTGTTCATCTAATACCCCCATCTGCTCCTCAACCCTTCCAACCACCGTCCATACAACAAGTCCGCGATCGGGCTTCTGCTCTCCTCCTCCTTTGGCGTAGCTTTCAACTTGGCCATCTGCTCCCCCGTCAACCTCTGCCGGAAGGTAGTCGACAGGTTCTCCCTCGCCTGCGCATTGTCGTTCATGCTCAGCAGCAAGTCCACAATCGTCGAGTAGGCCAACTGGCTGTTGAGCGTCGAGAGATCGGTGAAGCCACGGGAGATCATGTTGATCGCCTCTGTGGTGGCTGCATCGAGGGGTTGGGCCTTAGCACGATCGAGAACGGGCAGGATGACGTCGCGGACGAGGTTTTCGCCTGCACTCGCGTGCGCCTTGCCCGTGCTGCTGGTGGAAGCAAGGGCCGAACGCGAGTGTCGCAGCTGTCGATCTCCAGGAGTCGTTCTGTCGAGGCCGTTGGGCGCAGAGCCACTGCGCAAGCTCCCAATAAATGCCTCGCTCGCCTGAGCAGAACCGCCCACATCAAGCCGTCGCACAGGTCGAAGCGTCTCGTGCCCATTGGCCACATCACCGGGCTTGAGGATCGTACCGTTGATGTCGTGGCGCTCGTTGAAGCTGCTTCGTCGCGCACGGGTTTCCGTGGAGCGAGCAGAGGAGGTTGCAGAGTTGTTGCGACTGTGACTGGGAGAGGCTTTGCCATCGCGAGCGCAGCGGATGTGAAGTGTGGCGGTGGAACCGGCTTGGGCTTGGGCCATGATGGCCGCCGCTGTGGCGCCGTCAACGCTGCTCTCGGCGAGACCACTGACGGAGGGAGGTGCGAGGTGGGAGGAGGACGATGTGGCGCCTGCGTTTCGTCCAATGCCACTGGCGACGTAGCGGTCGGGAGCATCTGACGTCTGCATCCCGCGGAAGGTGGCGGCGAGCGCGTCGACGTGAATCGAGTTGCGATTCTTTTCGGCTGGTGTCGAGGGCTCGGACGCGTTCGACGTGGCTGGTGTGCTGGAAGATCGGCTCAGAGCATCGCTACTGGTGTAGGCCTCGGTCGAAAGGTCCGAGACGTCGTCCTGATCGCCTCCGGTGGCAGCGTAGTTGGCCCGAAGGGTGCCGTTGCGTCGCGGGGTGTGCATCGCACTGTCCACCGCCTCCATGAGCTGTCCTGCGGGACGGCCTCCGCGTACCGTATCGTAGCCGGCACGCTCCTCGTTCGTTGCAGGTGGACCGCGACCAGGCTTGGCCCACACGTCGAGAGCGTCGCCCAACTCGTCGTCGTCTCCGTCCGGATCGTCGTAGCCTGACATGCGGGAGCGCATCGTGTCAAACTGCCACTCGCTCATGATGCTGCTGCCGCCAATGGTGGAGATGGAGGCATCGACGCCGCGCAGGTGGTCGCGAACGATGGCTCCGCCCCTTGTAGCGCCCCGTGACTTGTACTCCTGGTGCTTCTCGATGAGCTCGGTGAGGAGGACGGTCTTCTTGGCGTACTTGATGAAGCGATGCGAGAGGAGCTCCTTGGTGGAAGGACGGTGCTTGGGGTCCTTGATGAGGCAGAGGTCAACAAAGTCCTTGAAGGCCGAGGAGAAGTTGCCCTCGAGTGTCGGGCTCTTGGCTTTGGGAATGAGGAAGAGGACGCGCATGGGATGATACTCGGCAAGCGGTGGCTCACCCTTGGCCATCTCGATGGCGGTGATGCCTAGCGACCAGATGTCTGCCTTGTAGTCGTAGCCCGCTTGGCGAATCACCTCGGGCGCCATCCAGAACGGTGTGCCGACAAATGTGTTGCGTCTGGACTTGTTATTGGAAAGCTGAGCGGCAACGCCGAAATCGGCCAGCTTGACCCTACCGCTTGCGGACAGCAACACGTTGGCGGCCTTGATGTCACGATGGATCTTGCCCTCGTTATGAAGATACTCGAGACCGAGGAGGAGCTCGCGACAGATGATAGCAATGTGAGCTTCGGAGAAGGGACCAGCCTTGAGCAGGTCAAGACAGGACCCACCTGCGAGGAACTCCATGATGATCCACAGCTTGTAGCCTTTGACGAAACTGCCATAGTAGCGTGTCACCCATTCGCTGTCGCATTGAGCCAGATGTGCGATCTCCTGCTGAATCTCGCTGATGTCATCGTCCGAGTCTTCGAGGTCGACCTGCTTGATGGCTACAATCTGACGAGACTCCTTGTGCATGGCCTTGTAGACGATGCCGAAGGAGCCGGCGCCGATCTTCTCGAGGAGCTCATACTGTTCTGAGAGCTCTTTGCCGGACGCACTTGATTTGTTTGGTGATCGGTTGAGCTTGCTTGGACCGGCTATTGGTGTTGATGCTGATGACCTTGATGAACTGGGGGAGGATGGTGGAAGTGGGGATGCGGAGCTTGTGCGGGTAGGTGTGACTGGTGCTGGGCTAGCGTCGCGCATGGGTTTGCGTCCACCGAGCAATGGTGATCTTGATGGTAGTGGCAGATTGGGCATGGTGATGCGTGCCGAGAGACTTGCTCTCGAGGGAAGCTCGATCTAGAAGGAAGGGAAGGAGGAAAGAAGACCGATCGAGTTGGCGTGATTGAGTGCTAAAGCATCAGAGTTTGAATCCAATCTGCGCGGCTCTGACCGAGTCGGATCAGCCGAGAGGCTGTGTGTGATGCGTCAAAGTGATGACTGTGACGCAAGCTAACGTGTCGGATCGTGCCGCAGAGTGTGATTTGTAAGCGCAGCGCGGCTGAGTCGTGAATGAGATCGTTGGTGGGATCAGAGCGGCCGGACGTAGATGCGCGTTGTTATGTGTCTTGGTCGAGTGACGATTCTCGAAGATGATGGAAGCAAGGATGCTTGGAACGAGCCAATGATGGTGCGATGATCGAGACGATAGATGAAGATGCCAAGATGATGAAGATGCAGAGCGAAGCAAGGCGTCGTTATGGTGGGCCGTTATTGGCGTCGAGGAACAATGTTATGAGGGCGGCGCAGCGATGATGGTCGGAGGGTCACGAGTCAGGAGAAGAGTTTCGGTACGATCGAGTCAAATGAACAAGCCCAGCGTGATGAGATGAGGGAGAGAAAGATCTAGAAGAGGGAGAGAGGGGTGGGAATGAGGGGTTTGGCTATGACGGAGGCGTTACCGGCAAAGAGGCCAACCAGGGTTCGTTGGTTTCGTATTGTTGGTGGCTATGTCAACGCAACGCACGATGAGCGGCTTCAGAAGCAAGCGAAAGAGCTGCCATCTAAGCGCCTCAGCCGAGCAAGAGGCGCAGATGTTGCGTGTGCGGCTTGCAGCTGCAACAGCAGACAGACACGCAAGCCCGACGAGGAGCGAGTTGAAATTAGGTTCAGGCAGCGAAAGGTGGTGCTTGCCTGTCAGTCGACCAATTGGCGCGATGAGGGCCCATAGCCGGGCAGCCGCTCTGCCGCTGCTGACCCCCTCTTGCCTGCACTTGGCCTCGCCTCGAATGCAGTCACGGCGTGTTTTCCTCCCTGCAGCAGCCAACAGCCCGAGACCAAACGCTGCACAGCTGCAGCCCATCCGTAAAACTTGAATATTCTCGCAGAGGGGGAAAAGGGGCTCAGAAAGACACGCTGTGGAGGATCGTCGTGCTGCATTCTGCTGCATTTTCGAATTCGACCTCCTATTTTGATTTACGGGTCTTCTTCTCGATTTGGCAGAGACTTGCCATGGCTTGGATCTAGAATTTCAGAATAAAAATTCGCCTGACCATCAAAACAAGAAGAGGCACGGCGAGAGAGCGGGGCCAGAAAAACATCGATTTTTTCCGTATTTTGGCCGAAAAAGAGGCACATCGTCTGAGCAAGTTCTCGTGATGCTCTCCATGCAAAGTCCCTTTATGCTTGCGTTTAGCTCACTTCTACCACACAGCCTGTGGTTTCAGATGTGCCTGCAGCAGTCGAACCAACAGCCACGCTCGATCAAGTCATGGTCGCGGCGGGACAGGTATTCTGTGCATGGCCAAACGGGTTGACGGATGAGTGACGAGCGGCTCAGGGGCCGTCTGATCTTGGTTCGGATCCGCTGCAGAGGCGTGTTGTCTGCGAGCCAAAGGATGAGAACAAAGGGGCTGGACTGGACTCTGCTCTTCTTAACTGCTGTGTGCAGTCCGTGGTTAATTAGCGCTTCGCCTCCTGGCTTTCCGGCTCCTTCTGTGCTTCAACTTCAGGGGCATCGAAGTTGACGATTGGAATAGCTTACACCGCTCGCCTCGTCAATCACCGCCGCCGCGATGGGAGAGGGTCCGACATATTTGTCACCGACCCGCTCCTGACCTTCATCTTACTCGAGCATCGAGGAGTCTTGACATGCTTGATCCGATCAATGCGGATTCATGTCGACCGTTGGTGAAAGGCGCCTACACCTGTGGACTACTCCTGAGCGATTCAAAGGTCAAGCGAAGCATGTGGACGCATGATCTCAGGAGCAGTCGGCAGGAATAGGCCCAAGCCACGAGCCTAGACGCATATTTCTTTGCCGATGGCGTTCAGTCAAACACCTTCGCCAAATGGTAAGGCGATGCCGTGCGGACTCCGCAAAGACCATCTCATGGGTTGCCCGTAGAACAGGAGCGTTCGAAGCCCGCTTCTTTCTCCTCTGCATGCGATCCCTTTCCCGGGGATACGCACAGCCGTCGAAAGCAGGAGCGTGGCCGCGAGAGATGTCAAGCGGCTTCTGTCTCGAAGCTAGCCGCCTGGAGGGAAAGATGATGAGACAATGACTCTGCACCCGGCGAATCGGTCCCGTGTTTGACGTACAGTATACGAGAAGAGCCTGCACTTTGTGCACTGGCCTACAGTCGACTCTTCTTGCTTTGCGGTAAAACTCAAGTCTCAGGCACCAACTCGTTCGCCGAGGGAACAACCATTCCAGGAGTTGTTCCGCCATTCTGACCGCAAAAGCAAACGCTGGGGAGCCTCTGACGCAGAACTATTGTGCTAAATCTGTGAGCTCATTGGTACCGAGCTGCAAGGCACAGCCCGAAGAGAATACTGGCAGCAGGTAAGTGAGACTCTGAGGCCAAGGTCGAAAGGACACCGCGTCAGGAGGTTCTTGCATGTCAAATGGTGGGGCGAGGAATACCAATCGGCGTCACGACTCGGGTCTATCTGATGAGCAGCTGTTGCACTGACGCCACGACAATGCCATCGACTCCACCTCGATCGCTCGAACTCACCGGGCTGATGGGATCGAAGGGCAACCACGACTATGATCATTCATGCTCTCACGATCCCCGAACGACGTCGTCGTCGTCATCGACAGCACAGCCCGCATCCAAGCGCACGTCAAGTTTGACAGGCGTGTTTTGTTGTCTGACACAAGCTCGCTTAGCTTGACCTCTATGTTTGACGTGGGCCATCGGTGCCCCTGAGCTAAATTTCGCTTGCCGTTTCACCCATGCACTCGACCCCTAAATTGATTTCGAGCCTCGTTATTGTTCTCCTAGCCGCCCCTGCCATCGCAGCCCCTGATCTTCCGATGCAGGAGCCAGTAGGATCGGATCTGGTTGTCCGTCGTATCCGCAGATTTGGTGTCCGTCGGGATCTTGTAAGGCAAGTTGTCAAACCGCGATGGGCGGTCCAGATGCGCATCAGAGCGACGATGCTGATAGTGGGTTTTCCAGGTCGGTGCCTGCTTTGCAAGCACGCGGCTGAGCACTTCAATTGTCTATAGTCAGTAGGTATCTTTGCCTTTTGCGAGCTTCTTGAGTTAAACCTTGAACCTTTCTGAGCCATCTTCGGTGTCAGAGGGCGATCTGTCCTCGACTTCTATCCTCGGTCCCGATGTTAGCAAATGCCGTCCAATAAACGGGGCGGACCGTCAAATGCGCCAAGTGCCTTAAGTTGTCGTTTTGTGTCAACGGACAAGCACGATCGAGACCGGCCAATGGGTCTCGCAAGTCTTCCGTTCCCTTGGAAGCGCCTGTCGGAGCTGGAAGTGATCGACGTCTTGGCATCTCGTCATACCTCGCGGCTTTTGGAAATAATGCTGCTGCACCGCATTGAGTTCCGCCATATTGATAAGCGCCACCAACTCCAACAAGTGGCGCGTCCGCAAGCTCAGCAGAGGCCGGATAGGCCTTTGTCCGGCTGTGATCCCCACACTCGTCGTCCAATCCACTCGCTCCGTTCCGCATAGGATGGAAGCGACATGGCAGCGGGTCGGTCAACCATGCTCCTTGAAGGGAAACGTGCATGCGTCTGAGCCCCGGAAGCAATTTCGTCGCGGCTGAAGATGAGACGCCGAGCTGATTCCTGTTCCACACCTCCCTGACACTTGAACGAGGCCTCTGCCAAAGCGGAGGGGGTTTAGGGTTCATGTTCAGTCTCAATGGTGCCAATGTTGCGGCTCGGAAGCTGGCTCCAAGTGTTCCGGTCCGCTTCTTCCGTTCCGACTCAAATGTCGACCGTGGTTGGTACCTTTGAGATCGTCTGCGCACGATCTCGTCGCCTAGCTAGTCGGTCTCAGCCTGTGCTCGGACCGCACCATAATAATCGCACAAGGAACAGTGAATTCGTCGACTAGACACCATTTGCAGCTTGTGATAGATCCCTGCCTCATCGTACCTTGGTTTTTTCTTCCGACCTTCTTTTCTGCTCCCTTTTTTCGAGTTATGATTTTTTTGCGGTGCAGCAAATTGGACCCTGAACCTGTCTTCGAAAGCATCACTGCAGGCCCGAGCGTCGACAGCTACCTTTCTCATCACTTCATCCGCAGCAGTTGCAGTGCTCGTTCAACTAGCCGCTGCATCCTTCTGCTCAGCCAGTCACCTGTCATGGCCAACCGAAGACACAGATAGTCACAGCTGGATGCCAACATGCCGGCGGCAACGCGTCCGACGCGCAAGAGAGCGAAGCCAAACCCGCCACCTTCACCATCCGCAGACTCGATCGTCACGCCCACCCCGCCTCCTTACGCTCACGACGATGACGACGATGCCGACTTCGATCCAAAAACCACGTCTCCTCCTCCACACACGCCTGTTTCAGGCCCGTCCAAGCCGACTCGGGCGCCACGCAGCGCTCCGCGCAAATCTCGCGCGCTCGACGATGACCCTCCTCGCCTTAGCAAAGGCAAAGCCCGCGCAACAGACGAAGACGATTCGTTCTGGGGCAAGTCCTCGGATCTCGAGCTCTTCACCCGTACCGGACCGCTTTCGGCACTCGACCGTATCGGTATGAAGACGACCAAGTCGAGGTCCCTCCGGCCTTTGTGGTTGCAGGGTGTCTACCAGCCGCCGTTTTTCGGCATCCCCACAGCGGAGATCACGCACGAGGTGGTCGATGAAGACGAGGGTCAGCCTGAAGGACTGGAGGCTGCGCCGTGGCCGAAGGATGGGTTGACACGGACGTGGTTGAGTGAAGGAGCGTATGATCGGTGCAAGGTGCAGCTGATCAAGTGGTGGTGTTCCCAAGTGGGGTGGGTTCCGCACGAGGGAGTGTACGATCGGGCTTGGTGGCCTGGCAAAGCGTGGGGCTGGGCGGAGAATGTGCGTCGAACAGAGTGGGCGAGGGGTGCAAGACAGGGCGACGGGACGACTGCGCAAGCGGGCAAACCAGGCTGGCCGTTCATTCAGCCCTGGCTCGATCCCCACTTTACGCTACTCTCCCCAGCGGAAGCCCAACCGTACCTGCACGACAACACTCCCCAACGTACCACCCTACGTCACCCGACAACAGTGATGAAGCTCACCGTCCCCGAGCTGAGCATGCGCAACCGGCTCAAGCGGAGCGTCGTACCCAACCCGCCTAAGACGCCGAAGAAAGCGCGCACCGGCGAAGACGGGGACGATGACGATGCCGCTTCGGGCGACGACGATGGAACGGCACCTCCCGAGAGCAATCAAGAGCCGATCGACCCGACTAATTCCAAGTTCGCCAATATCGCCAATCTAGGGTTTGAGGAGAAGGGACCGATCTGCGGCGACGTGCTGCACGTATCAGTCGGCCCACCGGATCAGGAAACGCCGGTGCAGATCGCGAAAGGCACCTCGAGGCGGTTGGACACCCTAGGCGTGGCGAATGATGAAGGGCACATCCTCAACGTGGGCGGTCACGTGTACGCGCTCGATTGGGTGCCTGTTCCCGTCCACCTAAACACGGGAAAAGAATACTTTGTGGTGTCAGCAGCGACGTCCACGGCGCCAGTGACGATGATCGGGGAGAAGCAGGCGGCCGCACCGGGGAGCTTGCAGATCTGGAGTGTCGCACCTGACGGGAAGGACAAGGGGAAGGCGAAGCTCGAGATGATCGTCTGCCACGAGGCGGGAGCCGCGTTCAAGCTTGCCTGGTGTCCTGCGGGGCACGACTATGCTGCTGACGAGTCGCGCAGACTGGGTATCTTGGCGGGATGTTTTGCAGATGGCTCCGTGAGCATCTTCTCCGTCCCGCACCCCGACGTTGCACGATCGCTTACGAAGGACGAACCGATCCACATCCGCCTCGAACCTATCCTCCGGCTGGAGCATCCCACGCAAGCAGCGACGAGCCTCGCCTGGGCGGGTGGGGAGCAGCTTGCCTTTGGCGGCTCTGCCGGTTGGCTGGGGGTCTACTCCCTCGGCTCCATCCTTCGCTCCCCCACCGCACCCACCGTCACCCCTGCACCATCCTACGTCGTCCGCGCGCACCGGTCGGCAATCACCGATCTAACGTTCGTCCTCCTCCCCCCGCTCACCGCCTCTGGCCAAACCCTCCCCTCTGCCCCACCTACAACCCTCTTCTCCGTCTCGCTAGACGGGTGGACCGCTCACACGGACCTCTCCCGATGCACCTCGACCTCGATCGAACGCAGTCGCACCGTGCACTACGCATGCGCCTTCTCGCCCTTTTCCGGTGGCACGCTGGTGCACGAACACGCCGACGGGTCGGTTGCGCACTACTCGCTCCGACCTGAAGAGATGTTGAGGTCGAGACAGATTTCGCATACGCCATCGAGGGTGTTGGCCCTGAGCGCATCTGCGTTTCATCCGATGCTCGCGATGGGTAGCGCTCATGGGGAGGTCAAGCTGGCCAATACGTTAAGAACCTTCAGGCGGACGCAGAGGAATCACTTGCCGGTGTATCAGCAGGTGGTGGATCGATCGACGGGAGTGTTGACGGTGAGACATCAGTTGTTGCCCGAGATCGCTAATCAGGCGGAAGGGAAGAGTTGGCATTTGGCACAGTGGCATCCGGCACTGGCGGTGACGAGCGTGAAGTGGAACCCGAACTTGGGCCGGTGTAGATTGTTGCTCTCGGGGACGGCGAGTGGGATGGTCAAGGTGGATTTTGTCAAACCGCCGTTCGAGGCGTGAGCAGGCCGCGAAACTGGGGAAGAATGGGATTCATGGGTATGCGTGACATTATTGTTCTTCGTGCGAGTCTGATGATGCGTAAGTGCGAAGCAGGCTACTATGCTCCGTATCGTGAAGTCCGGGGTGAGTGTGAATGGCGTTACACGGCGTTTGGGGAGGGGATGGACTGCGGATGGCAATCGACATCCTCGGGTCTTCGACATTTGATCATCGAGATGACGAAGCTGCCGAAGGTTTTCTTCCTCTTGACGCATCTACCGCCTACATCTGCGCGCTTTCCCTTGATTGATGGATGTGCGAGAACAACAGCAGTGTCGGCGCTCCCCTCGACCGACTGGAAGCAGTTGCATATGAGAGCCTTGGCGAAATGACACGGCATTTCGACCGTTGGCGATCCAGAGTGGGACTGCTTCGCGCGGCCAGACAGGAACGGCATCGACCTGGCATGATTCAAGCTCTTACGCGGCGGAGCTGTTGGCGAGGTGGACGGGCTGGGATCGTGCGCGAGCCCTTTGCCTAGCTTTCGTATTGAGATTGGCGATTCTGCCAGTGCTTCTGCCGTTTCTTTGGCCTGACGCTGATCATTCTGAGAGGGTGCGTCGACGGTCTTGGTGATGGCCGCGACGGGAAATCTCCATGCCGACCTCGTCGTGATGGACAATTTCGGACGGCGATACTGCTTGCCGCTCGCGATCGTAGAGAAGCTTGGGATCGTCGGATCGGGGCGAAACGGCGGTCCAGAATTCTGCCGCGCGTGCTCCAAAACCTTGAGGTCATGCATCAGGATGCTGCTGATCGCCTTGAACGTCGCGCTTTCCTCACTCGTTCTCTGTTCCGCCAGATCGGCGAGACCTGCATGTCTTTGTCGAGTCAGCAGAGGAGCGCGGTCCAATCGATGTTTGCTGGATCGCGAAATCGATGCTTTTCTACGAGCGTTTGTGAGCGCGTTCTTCGGCAACGATTTTGTGCGCGGTCGTAGAGGTGTGGTGATCACAGCGTCTTCGTCTTGCTTGAGCGTCAAGTCCGGCCTTCGATCTGGGTAGTTGAAGTCTCTGGGTACTACACTACCCCTCTTCTGGACCGTGTTCTCGCGCGTGATGACGTGACTCGACTTTTGTACCGCAAGCATGGGAATGATCATGCCTTCCCAGTTGTCTGGCCTCGTCCACCGACTCTCCTCTGTGCGAGTGTGGTAGTAGTACTTCCTCCCGGTACGCTCGTCCATCACCTCCCACCATTCGCCCCTGTCATTTGGCGGCAAGACGATGGAGCCCGCGGGAAGTGTCCATCTGCATTCGCCCGTCTGAGGATTGGCGAAGAAGGTGTTTGCAGGCGAGAAGGGATCCGTGACGACACACCAGAAGTTCGCACCCCAGTCGATCGACAGCGGCGAGAGACGGTGCTCTTTTCTATCTCGCGGACGATCGTCGATAGGAGAGCTGGACGATGATGAGGAGGCCTGGGAGGAGCCACGCAGGCACGGCTTGCTCTTCGAAGCGCGCAAGTAAGGAATGCTGGTGTTGCTCTCCCGGCTAGCTGGTGAAAGCGCAAGAGTGACCGAGGTGGCTTCGGATGCGCAACTTGTGTCCGTCGCTGGTGCCAAAACGGACTCTCGTCGCTGTGATCGCTGTCGGTCCCGTTCCAACTCGTCATGAGCTGACGAGAAGGCGCCATCTTCGCCAGTGAAGAACGAATCGATGGTGTGAAAAGTTGCACCGGAGGCACAGGATGACGATCGTGTGCGTATGCCCTCTCCCTGTCCGAGCGCAGTCGGCGGTGACTTGTTTGAATGCATGGTGATGGTGAAGCGATGGAATCAGCTTTCGAGCGTCCGAGAGGGCGAGCTGTCCCACCGTGGACCTCGTTGACAGGAGCACCGAGAACTTAAAGCATTTCTGGGAGGGCCATCAAAGTCGAGGATGGTCGATCAATGCGAAGAGATAACACAGAGATGGTCGCCAGGAAGGAAGAAAGGGAGACAACAACCGCCCGTATCCATGTGACCATCCATGCACAGCGTGTCGTGCGTCGGCGGGCAGACAAAGCAGTCGTACGCAAGCAATGAAGGTGTCTTGAACGCTGAGCCTCGGCGTGGCCAAGTCCGACATTCACACACTAGGATTCGCCCATTGTCCCGCACAAATTCTCTCAGCAACGTGATTGTGTCGAGTTGAGAGAGCAACGACTACGCCCACCAGCACCTTCGATCCAGGAGTCACACTTCGGTGTGCCGAAAACACGCAGATGTTCGGCCTTGATCGTCTCGTTCCAGCCCACCCGTCGGAGATGCGCTTTTCTTAGTTAGCGCAGCTCTGTCCACTTGGAGTAAAGCAGCGTTACGCGGGAATCTCTCGAGTCGTTGCTGGACAACCTCAAGCTCGTACCTCTATTGTGCAAGCCATGCAGACTGGCATTGGCGCTATTCTCAGCCGAGCTGCAGGGTCATCGAAGAGCCAGTAGGAACAAGAGATCATTGCTTGCACGGCTTGTCTCGACCGTTGCCCTCTCCTTGCTCGACTTCGGCATTGTCTGCGGCTCGACTCCTTTTTCACGAACCGCATACACCGCCATGCCTGCTGCTGCAAAGCGACCCTGACAATCGCCACACGAACCTTGCATGGGCTTGCGCCGGTCGTGCAGACAATGGAGGGCGACGAGAATGTGCATGGCAGTCACAGAGTGCAAAGACGGTGCCGGCAGAAAAGGGCTTCGACTTGACATCCAACAAGGAACCGGCCATCCACCATGCATGACACGCGCACGCTCACAAAGACGACTTTCATGCCGCACTCTTGCTCATTGCCTCCCAATGGCTTCGTGATCAGCCCAACACAATGAAGACACTCAATGAAGCTGGTGGCAGCGAGACACGCGTGAAAACGGGAATAGAATGTCGGAACAATGTTGGTAATGTTACATGCTTGTTGGGTCTTGAACGATTCGACTGAGTCCGAGAGAGGGAGATCCTTGAAATGTGTGTGTGCGGGAGACTAGCCCTTGGCAAGACGAACTAGGGTAAAGATAAAGGGGTCAAATGCTAAGATGAGAATGAGGGAGGTTTGTTGCATGGCGAATCAGGCCTGCTGCTGCTGTTGATGCTGCTGCTGCTGCTGCTGCATCATCTGCTGGGGCAAGAATGCCGAATGGCCGTTGAGATGCGCGTGCTGTTGCTGCTGCTGCTGCTGCGGGTAGCCAGAGCCGTCCTCATTGCTGGATGCTGCGAGCGTTGCTGCGATGTGGTCCAGAAGTGCCTGGATCTCTGCCGGTGCACGAGGGAAGCGGTGTCGCTGCGTCTTCATCAGCTCGATGAACGTGGCCACCAGTCCCCATGGATGAGGACGGTGGATGACGAGTCGTTCGAGAAGAACGCGCACGATCTGCTGGCGCACCGAGTCGTCCTCGCTCTCCGCAAAGAGCTGAATGAGCGCTGCAGAAAAGTAAGCGGTGTGGCTCGAAGGGAAGCGCAGCTGATTGGCCGCCGCCGTGAGGATCAGGTACCTTGCTTCAGGATCCGCCTGCGCCACGAACCAGCGGAAGACGGCAGCGCCGCTGTTCTCGTCACCGCCGCGACGGGCCTCGATGGAGCGGACGCCAAGGTAGAGCACGACCGAGTTGATCAAGCCGACGTTGAGCCCACTTCCAGAAAGCGAAGCAAGATGGCTGACGTTCGAGGCCTCTTCCTTGCTCGAGCCGTTGCTGAGGGCGAGCGAGGCGCGCGTGGCATGCTTGAGCAGACCCATGAGCTGCTCCGGCAGGTCGTTGCCTCGAGCCTGGTCAAAGTGGGCGTCAATGGCAGCGCGCAGACCTTCGATCTGGTTCAGGGCAGCGACGTAGTCGGATGCGATGTGCGGTGCTTGACCCATCTCGGGCAGCATGTTCATCTGCAAGCTCGAGCTGAAGGGATCCGGCAGGCGGATGGTGCGGGGGAAGGCGCTGAGGATCAAGTTGCGCAGCTGGTGGCACGAAGTCGGCACCGAGTCGCACAAGCTCTGGTGGTAGTCGCACAGGAACTCGGGGAAGTCGTGCAGCAAGATGAGCAGGATGCGCAGCGTGCCGCGGTACAGCTGGCGTGTGGTGTCCTGCAGCTCAGCATCGCGCAGCAGCGGCGACATGAAGCGCAGAAGCGATGCGAACAGCCTGTGGAACGCACCCCAGCCTTCGCGCTGGTTGGCTTCGAGTAGCTTGGGCATGAAGAGGCGGTGCGACACGAGAGACATCCAGGAGAAGGTGAAGCCTGGGAAGAACGATGGCTGCAACGTGTTGAGCGTGTTGCTGATGGCAAGCAGCGTCTGCACGTAGGCCGGACCCAAGCTCGACTCGGTAGCGTGCAGATCATGCAGCAGACTCGAGAACAGTCGGAAAAAGGGCTTCTGCTGGAAATGGACTCCGAGCTCTTCGTGCGACTGTGCGAGCACCAGCACCACGATCGACAGGATCTTGGTGAGGTAGTGCACCTTGGCCTGCTCGTTGTTGGCGCCAGTGGGGTCGGCGTGGTACTTGATCATGAGCACGATCAGACGCGAGAAGGCGTCGATGGGCGAAAAGATGCCGGAGGCGGCCGATCCGCCCACCGCCTTTTGCTTGATATAGCTGTCCACGCTGACCTCGGTGCAGACGCGGAAGAACATGGACGAGATATCCTCACCCTTGAGGATGCCTTGCGTCTGCAGCTGCGTGACGTAGTCGATGAACGACTTCTCCGGGTTGGGCGAGTGCTGGAAGAGACGCGTCCATTCGGCAAAGCAGTAAGCGAGCTGCTCGCGGAGCGCCGTGTTGCCGACGTCGACCTTGCTCTTCAGCAGACCGCTCTCGAGATCGTGCAGGAAGCGTTTAGAGGCATCGGTCGCCTTGCCACGCTGATCGACTCGTTGCAGCGCCTCGATCGTGTTCGTGAGCTGCTGGCGAGTAGCGCAGGCGGGCTCTTGCAGGCACTCGAGGGCCAGTTGGGCCGAAAAGTCGATCACGCTGGCACGCAGGTCGCGCAGGATGAGCTTGGCGAGCTGAACGTCGAGCTCGGCAATGTTGACCAAGCCGGCACGCACAAGCGACACGGTGACAGGCACGTTGAACTTGCGCTCGTCCTCGGCGTAGATGAGCCAGGCCGTTACTTCGCGAGCAGCTTTGAGCGAGATCTCGCAGAGTCGGTCCAGCAAGACAACATATGCCTCTCGTCCAAGCTTCGATTCGATTTTGAAGAGGAGCTGAACGACCTTTTGCGAAAACGCAAGAGCCGTTTCGTCACGACTGGCAGACTGAGCGGCGACGGTGGGGATCAGACGAAGTGCGTGTCGGATCTCGTGATCCTGCGGCAGTTCGGCGAGACCCGCATCCTGGTCGGAAGACTCAAGCAAGCGCTCCAGCTCGGCCATACCCTGAGAGAACTTTTCGAGCGATTGCTGAGCGCTCAGTGTGCCGCCAGCAGTCAAGGCGAGCAGGCCGGCGGGGCCGCTGTCCTGAGCACCTGCCTCCTGAAGCGCAGCTGCACCCACAGCACCGGCACCGACTGCACCTGCGGCAGCGGCGGCAGCGGCCGCCGCGTCCGGGTACCCGGCTTCGGAAGGACCAGAGACGGAAGAGGCGTGCACAGAAGCTGGTGTGCCACGGTCGCCGTCGAGGCCGGGAGACATGCGGCGGCTGAAGCCGTCGTAAACGCGAAGCTGACCAGGCAGGAGTCCATCGGGTCGCAGACGCATCATGTCAGGCAAAGTCGCAGCGTACTGCGAGGCAGCCAGAGCGGCGGTGTCCCAGTAGTAGCCGCGACCACGAGCGCGGTGCTCGCGTCGGCTCGAGTAGGCATTGGTGAGCCCCTCGTCCACCTCGGGCACCGCCTTGTCCATGGCAGCCTTCTCGATGACGGAACAAGCAAGATCGAGGTTCTCTTGCATGATCACCATTAAAGCTTGCTCGGGCAGGTTCTGCTCGGTGAAGCCATTCGAGAGGAGGAGGGTACGTGCGTTGGCGATCATGCTGATACGCAGCGGTTCTTTGCAAGTGACGAGGGCAAGGCTGCCAGCGAGGTTTTGAGCCATCTGATGGGCCGAGCTTCGCATCTTGTCTTCATCTCCCTCCATGGCAAAGTCCTTCGTGACCAGCTCGCGGGTCGAGATCGAGGCGATGGTGACGGATCGCTCGACAACGGGAGCAATGATCTCGCGGATGGCACGGTCGATGGCGACGAAAATGAGTCGCTTGAGTGCTGCGTTGCTGCTGAACATGGTGAGCTGGGGGTTGAACACGACGTACTGAGGCAGACTCTGGAGCATCGACGAGAGTGCTTCGGCATACGCCGCCGCGGCGGCTGCCGACTGGGCTGGCTGAGCACCCGAGCCGGCTGCAGCGACTGCGGCAGCGGCGGCGCTGGCCTTCTGCGATTGAGGCGCCATGCGGCCGCTGGCTGCTGCTCCGCCGTATCCGCCGGCGATCGACAGACGTTCGAGATCCTGCGAGATGCCGGTGGCAGGCTGCTGCGAGAGCTGCTGTTGCTGTTGACGCTGCTGCTGCATCTGCATCTGCGCAATGGCCTGCTGCTGTTGCTGTTGGCTCAGATGCTGAAGTTGGCCGAGCGATTGCTGCTGCTGCTGTTGCTGCTGCTGCTCTTGAAGTAGCTCGGCAGATGGGCGGTTGCGGAGAATGGTGGTCGGCGGCACATCCTTCAGCTCGACGTTGAGACCCTTGAAGAGGACCTCAATTTCGAACTTCAAGTTGAGCTTGAGCTCTGCGAACTGGTAGAGCTCGACCATCAACCGTAGAACCGCCATCAGCCACGGGTTGGGCGGCTTGAAGACGTTCGACTTGGCGCACTGCTCCATGATCTTGCAGACGAATGGAATGGCCACGATGAGCCGGTTGCAGTCGTAGCCTTGGATGAGCAGATCCTTGAACGCAATGTTGCGGTGGCGAATCGGCTTGTCGCGGGCGAGCGTGAGGCTGCCGAGCCAGGAGCCGAGGTTCTTGAGCAAATTGCGCTCCTGAGTCGACTGGACGGTCTTGTCGCTGTTGAGCAGCGTCTGACATTTGGCGAGGGTCTCGTGGAGAATGTAGGTCATGAGGCCCTTGGCTTCCAGGCCATCGAGGAACTGCGCGTAGAGGCCGTGATTGTTGGGCTCGATGCTGATTCGCTGCAGCACCAGGTGGTTGGAGAACCAGCGATAGGTGTCGGCGGTGATGAGTCTTCGAGCATCGCCGAGCTTGGACTCCAGGTTGGTGGGCGAGAGATTGTTGACGAGGAACAGCACCTTGTCGGTGACTTCTTCGCTCGGGTCGCGCTGGTCTCCGTCCTGAGGAAGGGGATCAGCGCGGATCGCAGGGAAGGGCGCCTTCTTGTCCTCGAGGGACTGGCCTCCGGGCATGCCAACATCAGCACCGGGCATCTGACCAGACAAAGCCATCTTGACGAGTCCGATGATCTTCGGATACGATTGCTGAAGATGAGGCATGGAAAGGAGAGCCTGGCAGAGCTGGGGCCATTCGGGGAGGCGATTCTGGAAGCGCAGCAAGGCCTGGAGGCCGAATTTGAACATGCTCGAGTCGGGAGGATTGCGCAATGCGTCAAGGACGTAGCGGATGGCGATGCCGAGAGGGATGTAGTCGATGAGCTGATACTGGATGAGAGAGCCGAACACCACCGCCGTCATCTCGAGCTCGGCGGCTGGGTAGTACATCTCGAACCAGCGATACTCATCAAAGAGTGTGTGCACCATGCACGCAAAGATCTGATGGTCTCGCACGTCCTCCGAAGCCCGGGTGCGCTGCAGCAGGCGCACAATTTCCTCGATGCTGATCTTGCCCTCATACATCTGGCGATACCACGAGTCGGCCTCCTCGTGAATGTCTTGGGAGAAGGTGACGACCTGCAAGCCAGGTTCCTGGCCCTCTGCGCCCGGAGCCAGATTCATGAGACGAGGATGAAGCTGGAGGCAGACATTGCGGACTCCCTTGAAGAAGTCGATCTCCTCCGCGCTCATGCTTTCGCCGTTGGAGCGCAACGCCTTGAGGAAGCTGGCGACGTTCTGCACCGTGAGCGGGACGAAGCTCTGTTCAGCCTGCGGATCGGGCTTGGCGAGGTCGTCCTTGGCTTTCATGTCGAGGAACTCGAGTACCGCACGGATGAAGTCGCTACCATGACGGTTGATGTTGTCTTGCAGCCACGCGTCTAGGTCGATGGCCTCGCGTCGGGACGCCAACGCCGCCACGTCGAGGGCGAATGCAAAAGGTCGAGCATCGACGAGGTCGTCGACGATGCCGAGACTCTGCGCAACGTCGACGATGCGGGTGAGGTTGAGCTGACTCTCGAGGTAGAAGTTGCGGAAAGCGTTGAGAAGGTATTCGCGCTGTGTGCTCCAGATGCGGTAGAAGACAAACAGGCTGCTGTTGTGAGGCGACATGAACATGGTGAGAAGCTGAGAAGCGAGTTCGGCGTGGATCGCGTTCCATGGTTGCGGGATCTGCACCAAGCCAAGCAGGATGAGTTCGGGACAGGCCTTGATGGCTTGCTCAAGCACCTCCTGCACCGCGGAGCGGACATTCTGATCGTCGGAGGCGGAGATCTCTATGAGCGTCTCAACGAGGTCGAGCGAATTGTATGCACTGGAGAAGAAGGCCTGTCCGGGGGTCTGGATGCTGCTGGGGGCGTCGTTCAGCTGCTCTGCGGTGAGGGTAGGTCGTCCGGGCACCGCTCTAAAGGTGAATGTGTCCGAGCCGAGCGCGAGAAGGCCGTGCAAGATCTGAAGCTGTCGAAGTCGGTGCATCCACGGACCCCACAGGCCAGAGACGGCCGAGGTCTGAACTAGACCTTGACCAGAGGTGTGGAGCAGCACGTCGGCCATGCCGGTCATGCGACCGTGGAAGGACGGGTTGAAGCCATCAAGCTCATCGAGGCCGCGAATGACACGGGGCCAGGAGATTAGCGGCTTGATGGCACCAAGTGCGCGCGCGAGATTGGCGAAGTGGGTGACACGGTCGGTCTCGAAGATGGCGGGGTCGACCGAGAGGAGGACGGCGATGATCTCTGATACCATGCGCTCGTCTGGCGGGTTGTTTTCGGTCAGTCCGAATCGCTGCAGGACGGCGCGAGCGGCGTCTTCGGTGGGGAGGCTCTTGACGCCGAGCTCGATGAGAAGATCAGCGACATTCTTTTCCTGCTTCAATTTGAGCTTGGGAAGTGCCTGGCGCACGGCACCAGCGGTGGCATCGGGCCCAACTTTGTCTGCAATAGCATTGAAGAGCTTCTGACGCTGCACCGGATGAATTGCCGGAGTGCTGGGCAGGGCATCGGAGAGCAGCGTCTCGAGAAGGAGTGCGTGCTGCTCGAGGCTGACGACAGGGTGAGGCCCATCCCTTTGGAGGGCTTCCAGGACGGCTTTGACGATGCCGTTGCTGGCGCCTAGGGCATCGGCGCCTCCCCCGTTGGGTGGAGCAGAGCCATTGAACATATTGGCCGCGTCGGCACACGGCCCGCTCGTTTCAGCGCTATCAGAAGCGATGAAAGCAAGGGAGGACCGGGATCAAAGTTGGCAGGCGACCGGGCTGGAGCGAGGAAGCTGTTGTCTTGACCTGGCAAGTCCAACCAAGCAAGGACCGGCGTGCGCAAGTTGGGCTGGCTCGAAGAAGAGAGCGTGTTGCGAAGATTCACGGCGTGCGGAGCGATAGACGCTTGTTGAGTCGGGCCGTTTGTCTGACCTAGAGTGCTGGGAAGAGGAATATGAAAGCGTTATGCCGTCAATGGTGACGAAAGAGACCAGTTACGTCGCACGTCGTTACTGCTATGCTGGCGAGCGTACCGAGTGTCGTGAGGTGAACTGCGCGGAATCTTCTGCTGCAGACGCTCCACTTGATGGAGAAGCTGCGAGACACGATGGGAGTGCTTGCGAGATTCTTTCCTCAAGTCGATGTAGCAGAGCTGAGCAGCTGAGAAAGTTGCGCTGTGCACTGTGTCGATGCGCTTGGCTGAGGACCAGCGTGAGCGGTAGCTGAAGGTGACGGAGCTGGCAGTCAGCGGTGTTGGTGTCGTGAGATGATTCCGTGAAGCTGAGTGCTACGTTCTGGCGTAACAGATGCGATGGACGTAGAAGATATTACAAATGAGCGCAGGAATTTGGTGGTGAGAGACGTTGGATGCGTGCAAAGAACCAGCAGGGTGTGAGAGACGTCGCAACGTCGAGACCACGTTAAGTATCACCGACGAATCAAGATAGGAGGAGGAGGATGGAGGGAGGTCGAGGGTGTTGGTTGGGAAAGATGGGAGTGCAAAGGTTGCTTTCTCGACGGAGTTGGATTGACTCGAGCGAGAGAGACAGCAAGAGAGAGCGAGCAAAGTGTCAAAGTCCCACGTCGCAGAGCAGCGAAGAAAGAAGCTCTTGCTCAGTGCGAGCGAGCGAGCGAGCTACTCTCGTGTCTGCTGTCTGTCAATTTCCTGGCCTGAGCTTTTTCAACGGCTCAGCAGTACCCTCACACGCGACCGACCCAGCTTCTGAGTAGCCTGCAGAGCAGCAATTGGCTGAACGCTTTGAGTGGGACGATTGAAATTTGTACTCGATCGTTCCCACTTGAAATGCGTCCATGACGACTCGCCCTGATTTCTTATTCGACGCAAGTCTATGATCAAATACAAAAATCAGCTCTTCTCAAATCTCAAGATCACTGGCAGACGCAATTTTTGTGATCGGGAATACCTGTTAGACTTGTGGACTTGTTTCCACTCAACAAGAAAATTCTCCGGAAGAGCTCAAAAGCGTCCGTCGAAAGAAACTTATGCTCTCAACCTTGCTCCAGCACAGCGGAAGACTGGACCCTGACGAGCTCGCTTGCTCGCTTTGCCGTGTTGCTCTTGGCAGCCTCGTGTTCGTTCACGTCTGACAGAGCAGTCGGTGATCCGGCGTCAGCCCACAATGCATCGAGCAAAGAGGCACAACGGATTGTCATCGCTCCCTTCTTGTCGCCCACCACTTCGTATCCTCGGTATTTCAGGCCCGCAGCTTGTCCCGCCGGCCAAGGTGTTCGACAGCATGGCCACGATAGCGTGAACACCTTCGCATTGTCGGCCACCCCCTAGGATCTTTGACTCGGATAGAATTCGGACAGATACCTCCCGGAACGCTTCATAGATACCCTTCCCAGAATGTGGGCAGCTTTCTCGCTCGTACTAGTCTGGATTAGGCTCGCCTCTGCCGCAGTCGACTTTGCCTCTTCCGGATACGCCTCTTTGACGCACTACGATCTTCCCAGCAATTATGTCGCTTCGTGCGGGTGTGTTGGACGCTCGACCAACTACCCCACCGCTGCGATCAACCGCTATGCATACGGATCCAACACCTCGTTCGGTCCTGCCTGTGGAGCCTGTTTCGAGATCCGCCTCGTGTCCACCCCGCTCGCGCCTCCCCCGCCACCGCCCGGCTCCAATGGTCCTTGGGGAGACGGCATCTACTACAACGTCTCTCAAGTCACTTCCGGATCCACACCTACCCTGGTCGTGAAAGTGACAGATCTGTGTCCAGGCGCAGGAGGACCGTGGTGCAACGCCACTCGCCTTTCCAACGGCACAGTGGAAGGGAACAGTCTCGGCTTCGACCTGCACTTTGATCTCGCTTGGCCAGCGAAGGGGATATCGAAGAACTTCTTCCCCGGCACACACGATTATGGAGCATGGAACATCAGCTACGCAGCAGTGTCGTGTCAGAGATGGGCCGGCTGGAGGGATCCAGCTGCGCTCGGATCGGACTGGGCGCAGCAATCGTCAGCTTGCTGTCCGAACAACCCATCACCGAGTGGAGGTGATGCGAGCTGCCCAGCCTACTTCAGCACCCTAGGGCCCAACGCCGCAGTTCCACCGAACACGAGCAACATTCTGTCAAGAGGCGCGTCCAATGCTGCTGCATCTACATTGCGACGAGACGCTGCCGCGAATGTGGTTGTTCTGCTAGTGACTACACTGGCAAGCGCGCTCGCCGTGTCACTCGCAACTTCCTAGATACCCCATAACAGAAAGGAGGTCCGCAAGTTGGTTGTACATCCTATATGCTTCATCTTGCAACTGCACCGTTTGTACTCGCTGGATATTCTACAGTGTATGGATTCCTCATTGACCTGTCGTGGAATCTAGGCTGAAATCGATTTGTGCCCGTCAGCGTCGGCAGTGGCTCCGTCCTTGGGCTCGTCGTCAATCCAGTCGTACAAGAGCACGGCGTCAGCCATCTTGCGCCCCCACGGATCATTCAGCCATCGCTGCACGGCTTCGGTGGAATTGTTCGCCGGCGACAGCGTCTCGGCTTGGGTGACCTCGCTAGGTGGATGTGACGTCTCCGCGGTGACGTCCTGAGGCTTTGTGTCTGGCGACTGATACTCGTAGCCCAGCCATATGCCCGAGTCGAGCGGCTTACTCGCAATGATGTAGGGAAGCAGAGCTGCAAGGCTTTGATCCGATGAAGCGTTATGCTCTGAGAGAAGCTGCACCACACGTTCGGGCGCTCCGAAACCGTATTCAGCGTGACCGAGGCCACACACGACCAGCGCCACATTAATGATCGGCCGATCCGAGTCGTCGGCAGTTGTAGAGGGCAATTCGGCCTGAGACACAGTCGAGTCGTTCGGCGTTGACTCGTCTAGTGACGCTGTCAGCTGCACCTCTTGTCTGTCTATCAACGAGGCTTCTGACTGCGCGCCACGCAGGATCCACGTCGTTACGTGGGCAAGATATGAGTCCTTGAGTGCCTGAGCTGGACCGAAGCCTTTCGTCTCGATGTTGTGCGGCTTGAGAAGCCAGGTGGGATACATCGGCGAATGTGTATCCGAGTGGCCAGTGCTGCGTGCTGGTGCCTCACCTGACGTGGCGGGCTCTGGCGGGAGCTCAGGAAAGCGTGGCGGCAAGTCTGGTCGAAAGAGACCGGAAAGATAGCTTCTATGAGCAGACCCGATCTTGGTCACCGCACTCCACGATGTGAAGAGCGGCGATTTGAGGATGAGATCAGAAGTCTGCCTCTGCTTGGTAGTCCGTTGCTGGTCCTCCGAGGAAAGATCCGGTGGCGACGACGATGATTTCTCGGTCTCGCGACCACTGGCACGTTGCGCTTCCTGTTCTTTGATGGAGTCGACGCCATTGCGGAATACCTGTCTGGCCCAGTCACGTGGAGGAAATCCACCCCAGATGGGAACTTGCAGCTCTTTGGCTAGCATGAGCAGCGGCATGTAGTGGCCAATCTTGAACGACTCTTCGCTCTGCGTTCTATACGCATCCGCCAGCTCGTCCGGACCGAGCTTGTTATCTGAGAATGAAGTGAGCATAGGCTGATCGAGGACCGAGAAGTGTTCCAGGATCAGATGGAGTCGGTATATTGGCGGGACTTTTGACTCTTTTGACGGCTTTGAGGCGAGATCACACTGCTGATGAAGTGCATGTAGTGTCTGCAGTTGCGCTCGCATGACTTCGGGCTGATGATGCTGCTCTCCGAAGAAGACCAGCCGCGGCGGCGGAGAGGCCGATGTTGGCGGAGGGCTATCATTGCTCTCTTGCTGCTGCGTCGAAGAGTCAGCCGACGGATCAAACTTTTCTTTGTGACGTGCTTCAAAGAGGTCCCGGAAGGAGCCGAGTAGATTTGAGGGTACAGGTAGCAGTCTGCTCCATTCGACAAACGAGGCATTGCTTGACCGCAATTGTGGCTCGTCCGCGTTCGCGTCGGCCGGTGTATTCTGGTCTCTTTGCTTTTCGCTGCCATCAGATGACGAGCTTCCCTCTCCTTCCCCCTCGATCGGGAGAGAGAAGGAGTGTCGATAGGTGGGAATGTCGCGGGTCAAGATTCGAGGCCGAGTGAAGCGTGGGACGAATTTGGCAATCGACATGGTTCCGAAAGGTTTCCCGGCGTTGGCCTCTGGCTGCGAAGGAGTCGTTTCCGACATTGACATTGTGTCTCTACGTTGACGATACCATCTTTTCCAGTCGATGATGATGGACGACAGACGACGCAGCGTGGAACCACAACGGAGTGATGTCTACGAGAAGGGATGGTCGTCTTAGCTGATTCAATTTTGGCTGGCTCTGGAATCATGAAATCAGGGTCCAACGTCGTCATCTCGCCCGGACCACGCCGCTCACATCGGATCGTTCGGGTGCTTTCCGCGCAGCGCGGGGAAGTCATGTCAGACTTCAATCGGCGGCTGGCGACTGGCAACTTGCTGCAAGTTAGGTTACGTATGAAGGAAATGAGACCCTTTGTCGAGTGTCCCTGCCTCAAGCTGGCCCTATCGGCTGTTTGCCCTTGAGCGGTGGTGTCAGCGGCAAAGGCTTGAGTCCAGGGTCCACAAGATCTGAGCAGGCTGACAACGCGCAGCCTCGGGTGAGCCGCAGAGAAGTGAAACACACACGCACACTCGCAAAGTGCCCCCGAAGCTTAAACAGTTCCAAAAGCCTTCTCTTGAGAAAAACAACCAAAAATTAAGCTGTCGTTCGGCGCAACGCACACACACACAAACGCAGTGCAGGATGCAGAGTGGCGGCGCAGGATCGACAGAGCATCGAGGGTCGATTGACAGCGGGACGATCCGACGACCCAGACAGGCTTCGGGAAGCAGCTGGCCGCCGTGACGGGCCAGGGTCTCGCCAGTTTGCTCGCTTCGTTTCCGACCTCACACAATCTGTAGTCGTCAAGGACCCTACTTCATCTCATCACAATCCGCGCATTCCCACGCTCCCACTCCGACCTTCATCGACTCAGTACCCCAGCAGGGCAAGCTGCGAAGGCTGTCTTCTCCTCCGACCATCGCGCTCTTTCTTCGACCTTTGGGACGTCACCGTCACACTGCATGCTCTGAAGAAGCTACGCCATCGATGGCACAAGGAGCAAATCTCATTGGGCCAACACTCAGCCATCAACAGCTAGCATCGATGCAAGCATGGACCGCCTTCAACCAAAGACATACGGCGCATCGACCGTGCGATCCTTTTCCGCTGGCTCGTACGGCTCCTCAAATGGCTCGGCATCCTCCTCGGTCTCAATGCAAAATACTGAACACACGCCAACCACCAGTCCGTCGCTCTCGGATCAAGGCACTCCATCCTCGCACGACGTAGCTTGGACTACATTGCCACGCGCTCATCAGCTGCGCTCACCTGACCCTGCGAACGGTTCGTCCTCAGGTCTTTCTCCGCTAGAGCTCCTGGTCAAACGCGGAAAGCAGGTGCAGCATGATCTCGTCGGTCCCGACGACAACGGCGCACATCCAACATCAAGCGATCGTATCTACGAACGAGCAACAGCCCTTTCGCGGAAGATTTCGGTGCGCAGGCCTCCCATTCAACCCTCGCCCGATCCGAATGATTTTGACGATGCTCAAAGCATCCGCAGCGTCAATCTTCTCTCCGATGCCGGCTCCAGCTTTCAACGCGGCGGACGTGCGTCTGCACCATCTTCGAATGCGCCATCGCCGAATCCCAGCTCTTTCTCCGTTCAGCGAGGCTACAAGGCATCCTACGATGACACAACCGACACTTATTCGCCTACACAGCCAGATGCAGGCTGGCAGCGGCAGTCTTCGCATCTGCTCAGCAACGCTTTCCGCGGCTCAATTGCCTCGGACATCTCCTTTAACTCGATCTCTGGCGACGAGCCAGAGTCGTCCCTGTCGCGAAGAGCTTCCATAGATACCGTGCGCAGCTCAGAATTTGGCGAGCACGGGAGGTGGGGTCGAGCTTGGACATCCCGCGCCGATGACGAGGAGAGCGCGTACTCAGAGAGCGCTTATGGCGACCATGAGGATGACATCGAGGACCAGGAGCAGATGGCAACCGTGAATGGCAGCATAGACGTTGAGCCGAGTCGCGGACCGCTGTCTACCATCAGCGGACTCGACACCCTAGCCAAGCAGTGGAAACTCGATCAAGCTACCCGTCACGGTCGAGCAGCGCCAAAGTCTTTTGACAGAAACATCAGCTCGACATCGTCAGCCGATCCCTCACAAACAGTCGTCCGCCATATGGCTAGCAAGGAAAAGATCGCCAACCTCACCAGGTCCATCCCACCTCCATCCACAGTATCCGGGTCAAATCACCTCACTCCCTCAGAGATCCAAGCGGATTATAGGCACAGCTTCGTTCCGCAAATAGAGACGCAAGACTACGACCAACAGGCGCAGTTTTATGGACGAACTCCCTTGGCATCGGCCGATCGCTACCTTGGCCATCGCTCCACCGCGTCGACCGACACCATCACGGGAAATTCTTCAAGAGGGCACAATGAGAGCCCGCCGACTGCCCGCGTCTATGTCTACCCACCCAGCCCGTCAGGCTCGGAAGCGTCGAGGGCGAGCGGGCGGTCGGGCCTGCAAGAGTCATTACCGCCAAGGTCTGGCCAGCAACGCTACGCCACGATGCCTTCTCCCTCTTCGGCCTATGTTGAGACCATGGCTAACTCGCCCGAGCTAAGCGGCACAGCAGAAAGCAAGCGCACTCCTTTGGCTCCTTCTAACCTGCTCAGCAATCCTCGCAGAGCTTCGGCAGGAACCGCATCATTACACAAGAATCGACCGTCGGGCCATCCGACCGGACGCGCTCCACCACCGCCACCACCACCGACAGCACCAGGCGGCGAGAACTCAAGCCCGCTTGGCTACTCGGATCCCAACCAGTTCTTTCAGGGTGTGGATCGCCCCATCTTCGGCCGCAAACGCGCGGAGGCTATCGCCAGAGCTGATGGCAGGGAGAGCATGGTATCCGATCTTGACGTCGAGACACTGCGCCTGGACGGCAGCAGTCGACGCGATAGCTCAAGCACAATTGCCAGTGTCATGACCTCGCGCATGTCGATCGGCAGTGTCTATCACGATGCCGTCACCCGTCAATCCGAAGCAGTGCAGGATCGTTCTCCCAACATGCAGCAGCAGAGCGCTGCTTCACCGAGGGACAATGGCCAGGCTTTCAGCCACCCGAATGCATCGCAGAGCTCATTCCGTTCTTTGCAAGCACAGCAGAGTGTGGCGTACTCATCCCCAAGTGTTGCGGCGCTCGGATCAGGCACCGGGAGACCACCGATGCTGCGCAGCGCCCAATCCACCAATGCGCTCCCCAGAGGTGCACCTGCTCCCGGCTCGGTCGACATGCAGCCGACATCGTCTGCGCCATCCTTTGCCCAGGGTGTCCTGAGCCCGAACCCTGCCTCGACCAAACCCCGAACTTCACCCGCCGTCGACACACGTACCGGACCGACCTCAGCGGAAGACTTCCTCTCGCAAGGCATTACGTACCACGAGCAGGGCGACCTAGCTCGCTCGGCCTTCTACTTTGAGCGCTCTGCCAAGGTGGACGGCGGCTGCGTGGTCGGCATGTGCATGTTCGGCATGGCGCTCCGCGAAGGATGGGGCGCACGCAAGGACCCCGTCAAAGGCTTCACCTGGATCCAGCGCGCCGCAGCCCGCGCCGGCGAGATGATGTCCAACACCACCTCCCCCAAGACCGACTCCGAACTCAAAGCGATCAAGAGCGAGCTCAAGCTGAGCGTCTACGAACTCGGTAAATGCTTCTGCTACGGATGGGGTGTTAAGATGGACAAGCACATGGCGTTGGAGTACTTTGAGCTGGCGGCCAAGCTGGGCGATGCGGATGCCCAGGCCGAGGCAGGGGCACTCTATGCAGCGGGAAAGGGGTGCAAGAAGGATCTCAAGAAGGCAGCTATGTACTACAGGATGGCCGAGGAGGGCGGGTATGATACCGTCGGGCTGAGCTGGATTCACAAGGACAAGTATAAGTAGGCGTACACATGGACAATGCCAAATCGTAGTGCCTCTCGCATCCTGTACGCGGTAGTGTGACCGCAGTGCCGGACAGGGTCGCAAAAAAGCAGCGCAGAACTTCCAAGCTGAAGGAGTGCTGAAAGGTATGAACATTTTGCAAGTATCGATACAAGTACATGTGGCATTTGCCCGGCTGAACAGTCTTCTGCTGGCCTACTTCTTCTTCCTATCGTTCCACACCTGTCCCGGGCCTACGCTGGGCGCCGACTGCACCGGATCCCTGAAAAGATGATTGCACCTACAACACACGTAGAACAGGATCATCCTGTTCATAATCCTCTTGCTCTGGTCCTGGAAGAGCACCGCTTCGCCATGCCCACAGCTGGGACAGTGCAGGTCGTGCGTCCGCCTCAACGTCGGGTCCTTCATCAGGTTGTCGACGATACCCGGCTGTTCCTTTGTTACGGACATCAGATCGTTTCGGTAGACCAAGGATTCGCGCGACTCTTGTTGGTAGTTGCAGTTGCGACATGCGTAGAGGAGGACGTGGTTCGTACGGTCTACTTCCGGGTAGAGGAGGTTGTTGCACTCCGCGCAGAAGTGGAGCGAGGACATGGTTGCGAGGATAAAGACGGATGGAAGGGGAAGAGATGGCGAGCTCGCGAGGGTGAAGGCTGGTGCCGCGAGGTGACGTTGAAAGCGAAGACTCTTTCGCGCCTTTGCTGGGTGCCAGCGTCAGATGGCAGTGGTTGAGAGCGGAACGGGACAAGTGAATGTCTCGAGCAGATCTTTTGGGGCTGCGCAGTCGACAAACACTACTGTGTGCGCGATGCTAGCGGGTGGATGGTTGGCCGCGTCGACGAGGACTGTGAGCCAGAATTGTAAATGCTGTGATCCGGCTGGAGATCGACGTTCTCCGTTCGTTGCGCGACCTGAAGAGTCGAATGCAGCGGCCTCGGTACCTGAAGCTGTTGCCGAGCCACAAAGAGCGTACGCAAGAAGTTACCGGATCAGCAAGCAAGTGTGGTGGAGAAGGTGGTGGTGGTCGGAGGGAATGTTTAAGCTTTGGAATGCAGCGATATCGGATGTCGACTGCGCAACGGAGTGTTGAAGTCGAATCGAGGCGCGTTCTTCGATTCGGCCGACAGGTTTGCAGGCCGGCCAAATATCCGAGCGTCAGAAGCAATTAGCCGTCAGCTTCAGCTGGCTTGACCGAGTCATGAGACAGGACAACAGCATCAGCAGCTTGACCTAATTTAGCAGCGTGAGAAGACCGTCTGTGCAGCCCCACCCAGTGTGTCGAGTGTCGATATTGAAGCAGACCTTCATCTCTGCTCCCGTCTCTTCCCCGTTCACCATCATCGCATACCTACAATTATGATCACATTGGCAAGAACAGCCCTTCGCGCGCGTGCGGCGCCCTCGCCGTTCCGCCATGCTGCCGCTCTCCGCTTCCAGTCGACCTCGGTCTCGCACGACCCCATGACCGGCGAAGCCACGGGCCTCAAGCATCTCGATGCCTCGGCCGTCGTCGTCACCCAGTCCAACGCACCTCGCACTCCTCCACCCTCGCAGAGTCTCGTCTTTGGCGCCAACTTCTCCGACCACATGCTCTCCATCCCTTGGAACAGCGGCAACGGTTGGGATGCGCCCAAGATCCACCCCTACTCGCCGTTGCAACTCGATCCGAGCGCCGTCATCTTCCACTACGCACCCTCGCTCTTCGAAGGCATGAAAGCGTACAAGGACGTCAACGGAAAAGTGCGCCTCTTTCGACCGGACATGAACATGAAGCGCATGAACACGTCGGCTGCGCGCATCGCCCTCCCTACGTTTGAGGGCGAGCAGCTGATCTCGTTGATCAAGAAGCTCGTTGCAATGGACAAGGGGTGGATTCCTTCGGAGCCCGGGCACTCTCTGTACATCAGACCAGCGTTGATCGGGACAGAAGCGGCACTCGGTGTGCACCCGACAAAGGACGCACTGCTGTTCGTCATCTGCTCCCCTGTCGGACCGTACTACAAGACTGGGTTCAAACCTGTCGCACTCGAAGCGGATCCAAACAAGGTACGCGCCTGGCCTGGTGGCACGGGTCAGTACAAGCTCGGTGGAAACTACGCGCCCGGTATCCTGCCCCAGTTGGAGGCCGCGAGGAGAGGCTACCAGCAGAACTTGTGGCTCTTCGGCGAGGAACACTGGCTCACCGAGGTAGGCACAATGAACCTCTTCGTCGCACTCAAGAAGGGTGATGGGGTGGAACTCGTCACTCCCCCACTGAACGGTATGATCCTCCCCGGTGTGACCAGGGACTCAATCCTCCACATCGCAAAGGATCACGTCAGCGGCAAGTACCCCATCGACTCGCTGCCCAAGAACCTCACCGTCTCGGAGCGCGAGATTAGCATCCACGAGGTCATCAAGGCGGAACAGTCGGGCGAGCTGATCGAGATGTTTGGCGCTGGAACGGCTGCTGTCGTCAGTCCTGTGGATCGGGTCGGGTACAAAGGCAAGGATATTAAGATCCCGGCTGGTGATGGAATTGGGCCGATTGCAAAGGCGATGTTGGAGAGGATCACCGATATTCAGCTGGGCAAGGTCGAGCATGAGTGGAGCGTTGTGGTTGACGAAGTGTAGAGAGGTGAGGACGAAGACGACGATTTATAATGCATGGTCTCGATACAGTTTCTTAGGTCTTCGAGAGCGTACGACTGTGTGAGGATCGTAGGCTGTGATGTCAATGAGAACGAGAGCGGACTCTGTTGAAGCGTCTCAACCCGAGCTTGCTCACGTTCGGTCGGCAAGCGAACTCAACGATCTCGGCTCTTGCGTGACCTAGACCAGCACACACCAACCTTCTACACGGATATACTGATTGCAAGAACCCACATTACACACTCGCATCGACTCTACGAAGTGTCCATGCGTTCCTCGCCCGCCGCCGCTGCCACAGGCGTCGGAGCGGTCTTTCCGATCTCCAACACGTCCTCTTTCCTGATCATATCGTAGATCTGCTCCTTGGTCCAGGCGCTGGTACCCTTGGGGAACTGGTACCTCTGTTCCTTCTGCACCCTTTCGTTCGGCGTCTCGTAGTTGCGCAGATACTCCGTCTTGCCTTTCTCGATCACGCACACGTCTACGTTGCTACCACTGCCCAGATCGTTGAAGATACCGCTGCTGATGGCTGCTGCGACCAAAGCGATGGCGTCTTGTCTCGACATATCCTTTGTCCATCCAGATTCGAATACTGCCATGGCAGCCAGGCTGCCACTGCCCATGGTCACATATGGCAGCTTATCCGTGCTTCCGTGTGGGGCAACGGTGAAGAGGTGCGGACCGGTTGCGTCGAATCCACCCAACACCAAGGCCGCCCCGATCTGCCCCTGATACTGGAACAGCCGCTGCTTCAACATCGTCATCGCCGTGACGACGCGCGGTTGACGCCCCGTGTTCAGCTCGTGCAGCTGCATGTTCGACGAGATGAGCTGCGTAACAAACTCGGTGTCCGCCGCCGTGCCCGCTCCACAGCATCGAATGTTGTCCGAAATGTAGTGGATCTTTTCGCAGTTCTTGTCGGCTACGATGGGACCTTCGGTTGCTCGTGTGTCGGCACCCAGGACGACGCCGTCTTTGAAGATCAAGCCGACAATGGTCGTACCGGTGGAGGTGGCTGTGAAGCCTCCAAGGCCTTGGTTGGAGAGAAAGGTGTTGCGTGCATAGTTGGAGAAGTCAAAGCCCGAGTTGGAGGTGCTCGAGCTGCCCGAGGCGAGAGTGGCTGCCATCGTCTGATGAGCCTGTCTTAGGTGATGTCGGTGCTGACGGTGATGTGAGCACGAGGCGAAGGTGAGATGGTGAGGATGCGGCAGGAAGGAAGTGGTGTTGGAGGTGGACAAAGCGTGCGTCTGGAAGCGCGTTATTTGGCAATGTGGAGTGATCGAGCTCTAGAGACAGCTGCGCAACCGCGAGGGAGACCAACACGCAAGCTCATTTCGCGCCGTGCCCGTTTCATAAGAGGTCTAACAAGCTCACATTTCTCGCCTCCACACCTTCTCGAGACCCTGACTTCCCCTGCTTCTCGAAGCACACTTTGACAGCCGCACACCATCACCTTTGCTCAAGATGACGCAGACACCATTCTTCACACCGACCGCTTCGGCCATCTCACTACAGGGTACGACACTGGTCATACCCGCTGTATCTATCGGCTCCGTGCCGCAGCTCGCCATCGACCTCTTGCTGCACGATGCGTCGCTGAAGCTCACGAAGGTGGGGCGATTCGATCCTGCATACTGCTTTCCGTTCGTCGGACCGTCAGATAGCGGGGATGACGACTTGACGACTGCGCTTGAGGGTAAGCCATCTCTCCTCTCCATGCTTCCTTTATATTCCTGATGGTGAAGCTGACAGTGAACCATCTTGCAGTCTTCTCCAACGGCACCCTGACAGTGATTCAGCAGCGCTCGCCGGTGTACAAGTCTTCCAGCGCCGCGTACATCACTGCGCTCACACACTGGATCTCAGAGAGCAGCTTCGCAGAGACACTGTGGCTGAGCTCAATCGACGCGGCCGCGCGGACGGACGAGGAGTTTTCCACGCCCATACTGTCCTTTCCCCCACCAGGGTCTTCTCCGTCTACACTGGCGCTGTCCAAGCTGTCCAGCTCGTATAAGACCTTCAATCCGCCACGCGACGCCTTCGCGCCCACAGCGCAGGAAGGTAAGGGGAGCGTACCGCACATCCCAGGCTCACTGCTCACAAAACGGCTGCTTGCCCACGTCGCATCTCAGGACAACCTTCGCGACAAGCTCGGTGCACTGCTCTACTTCGCCGCGGAAGGCGACACACGGGAAGACGCACACCATCTAGCCACCGTTGTCCTCCACCTTCTCTCCTCGTCACACGCATCAGCAGCAGAGTCACATCGGTCGTTCAAGGAGCCGCCCTCATGGTCCGCGCTCTTCGGTCAGCCCGCCGAATCTTCACTCTACGGCTAATCACTTGAATACCATATATACATTGCATTGCGCTTACGTTGAAGCGAGCAGACGCTCGAGAGCCTTCTCTGTGCGATAGTTGGACTTTTCGAGCGCGAGAATGACGTTGGCGCGCGTGAAGCCCATGCCGCAGAGCTGCTTGACGGGTGCCGCGTCGTCCGGGAGCGCGCCTGTGTAGTCCTCCGCCTCGGCGATGGCTGTTGAGCGAGCGGGGACGGGTGGCGGAGCGGAAGAGCTGAAGCCGGGAGGTGGGCCGGGGGGCGGGGCGTAGGTGCCGGCTGGGGCGGTGGGGGAGGTCACACCGGGAGTCGAGGTGGAGGTCACGGCAGTGTTGAGTGCAGGTGCGGGTGCGGCGGCGGTGGAAGAGGAGGTGGGGTCGAAGGCGTCTTCAAAGCTGAAGCCCGAGGATGTGCCGCGGTCAGCGGTGCTGGCCGAAGTTGAGCCTGCAGCAGCGCCGAGTCCGGCAGCTGCACCGACAGCTGGGAAAGCAGAAGCGGAACCGCTGAATGCGCCTGCGCCGGTCGTCTTGGGAGCACCAGCATTGCTATCGAACGCAGCATCGAAGTCGTCGAATGCATTGTTTGCTCCAGCAGCACCTGAGGTGGAAACACCTCGACTAGCACCGTCACCGCCCGCAGCAGCACCAGGAGCGCTGAACGACGGCACAAAATCGAAATCGTTGTCAAAGGCATCGTCAAACCCGGTCGACGCTCCGCCAGTAGTTGCACCTGTTGCACCTGCCGCAGCCGCTGTAGGAACCGCCTCAGAGGGACCGAGATCCTCGAATGCCGAATCAAAGTCGTCAAAGTTGCTGCCGCTTCCACTGTCGTTTGTCGCCTTCTGCTGCGGCACGGTCGAAGCTGCAGGAGCGCTGCCAAAGTCGTCCATGCCGAACGGGTTGGTGGACGCGCCGCTGGACTCGCCTACAGCCGTGACGGGATCAGCGGTTCCAGCAGTGGTGGTTGGCTCAGCAGCGAGCACGGTGGGGGCAACAGGACGAGCGTTGGCCGAAGATGTCGAGAGTGTGGTCGCGCTACGAACCGGAGCCGGAGGTGGAGCACGTCGGGCCCTCGTTGATAGAGTCGGGCTGGCACTGGGGTCTAGGCCGGTAGCAGGCTCCAAGGTCTTCTGCGAGCCAAGCAGCTGGCTGAGAGGCACATTGTCGTCCGCTGGCGTGGTGACGTTGGGAGTTTCGTCACCGTGGCCTCGTTCGCCCAAGGTCGAGGCGCCTGCACCGGCGGTCAACGCGGCAAGACCAATGCCACCGGCTGCAGCTGTACCTGCGCCCATGTGGCTGCTGTCCGCATCCTTAGTCTGCGCCGATTCAAGGGCGGAATACTCGTTGAGGTCGCTCGAGACGGTGTCTTGGCGGCTGACAGGAGCGATAGAGGTCGTCGATGCAGTGCGGCCGCCGATCTCGCCAATCGCAGTTGGGTCGACTGGAGCTGACGAGGCGGGGACCTCGGTCACATCTTCAAGGCCGCCGGGAACGGTGCGTGCACCGTCCTGGTCTGCCTGTGCGTCGACGTCGGGGAAGCGATCCGCAGCGCCACCCACAGGCGTGTCGTATCCTCTAGCCTTGTAGCCGCCGACCTCCTCGGGTCCGTCATCCTCGTCATCCGAGCTGTCCTCATCCTCGTCTGCGTCGGCTGCGTCAGGACGGTTCATGTCTGCCGCGGTAGCGTCACTGCCGAAAGGTCCGGAGGCTGCCGGGTCGGACTCGAGCTGCTTCGATGGTTCGTCAGTGCGAAGTGCTCCTGCACCGAGCAGGCCTGCGCCAGCGCCAAGACCACCAGCAGCAGCTAGTTCAGAGGCATCGTGGCGACCACTGACGGTCGGCTCGGCACTCGATGCAGGCACGGCCTGAGCAGTGGCGCCGAAGTCGTCACCAAAGTTGTCGTCGAAGTCAGTTGATGTGGCCGGAGCATGACCCGGTGCAGAAGCAGAGGTGGCAGTGGACTCGGCGGGAATTGCAAAGGCATCATCAAATCCTAGACTGGAGACGCCCTGCTGCGGCTCGGTATCAGGGACTCCGAACGGATCTGCTTCACGGGTGTCTTGCTGGGTCTCGTGTGAGCCATCGTCGTGATGAGTGGCAGCAGCGACAACGCCACCCAGCACCGCACCTGCACCCGCGCCAGCGGCGAGCGAAGTGCCAACAGATGGGTGTTGACCCGTCGTGGGCGTAGCAGGCTGCGACCCTGCTCCAGCTCCAAAGCGGTCAAAGGGGTTGTAGCTTCGCGTGCTGGCGGCAGGACTGACCACAGAGTCGGCTGCAGTGCCACGAGAAGTGGGCGCCAGACCGGCAGCACCAACTTCTTCGTCGCCCAGCTCTCCTCGCTGCACCGCCTCGATCTCGCTAGCGGTTTTATCCTGATCACCCTCAGCAGTCGCGAGCTGCTTCTTGCTGATCGCAACGAGACCCTTCTGCTGCCTAGCATCCTTACGAAGCTTCTCCAGCTGCTCCTTGAGTGACTTGGTCTCGGTCTGGACGTCGTTCATGCGCTTCTTCATGTCACGAACGTCTTCACGGTCACGCATGAGGGCCTGCTCGAGCTCGTCCTTTTCGGCCTTGAGCGCGCTGAGCTCGCTCTCCTCGCGAATGACGTCTTCACGCAGCGTCTTGAGCTCGGCGCTCTGCTTCTGTTGGCGGTCCTCGAGATCCTTGACGAGTTTGGTCTCAGACTCGTGCTGACCTCGAACGGTGGAGAGGCGTGTCTCGAGCTCAGCGAGGGACGAGGCGTTCGTCGCAATAGACGACTCGAGGGTACCGCGCTGTGACTGCAGATCTGAGACGGCCTTCTCGGTGCTCTGGAGCTGGATCGACTTGTTGCCAAACTCGGCGCTCTGATCATTTCCACCTGCACCACCGAGTGCAGCACCAGCGCCGACACCTGCAGCGGCGGCTGGCGCGGCTGCAGCAAAGGTGCCAAGACGCGAGGTGGACGCCGAAGGCGAGGCAATACCAGGAGAAGCGAGGCCAGGCGACCTGAAAGCTGAAGCACTGCCGAAGCTTCCGCCTGTAGCAGCCGGCGACAGAGCCCTTGCAACAGGCTGAGGCTGGGCTGCCGTAGGCGTGCTTGAGCTCCCACCCCCGCCGAAGAAGTCATCGTCGAAGGGGCCAGGTGCAGAGCGCTGAGCCGCAGCGGTGCTACCAAATGGCGTGCTTTGTGCACCCGTGACTACAGGAGCTGCGGCAGAAGGGGCAATGAAAGCTGACGAGGCGGAGATGGCTGGCGCAGGCGGATCGTCGTCCATCAGAGAGAAGAGGTCCTTTTGGGTGTCGGACTGTTGCGGATTGACAGCAGCAGGAAGGTCCAAGCTCCGCATCGAGGGAGGCACGAGACTGGGAGGCAGCGCCTGCGGCAACGGCTTGCCAGCAAGCTGGTCGTTGATCAGATGCATCGCTACAGCGAACTCTTCCTTGGAGAGTGTGCCGCTCTGGGTGATGTCGGACAGGTCCCAGACGTGAGCGAGGACGGGTTCGGTGAGCTTGCTCTGCATGAAGAAGGGGACGACAGCAGCACCATCGAGCTTGCCTTGTTTGCTGACGTCGAGACCATCAAAGAATTGGTCGGCACGAGCTTTCTCGTCCGGCTTGACGTCCCAGGGAGCGGTCGCCGCGGGAGCGCTTTGCTGTGGTGGCTGGAAGGCCGGCTGGGGGAAAGAGGAGCCAGTCATCTGACGAGGAATGCCAGAAGAGCCAAAGCCAGAGGCAGAGCCGCCGGTGTTTTGAGCAGCGAGAGGCGAGCCCGGAAGGACACGCGAGCCAGCACCGCCGGATCCCTTGGCTTGTTCGTAGAGACCGGGAGGAAGAGCAGCGGGGATCGAGTTGAGCGTGCCGTTCATGGTGTTTTGGATGAAGTGCATGGCGATGATAAAGTCGGTGAGGTCCAACGCTCCACGAGCCTGCGTATCAGCAAGGTTCCAGATGGCACCGAGCTTGTCAAAGGGCAGCTTTGACTTGACGAAGATCTCCTTGGCGCGGTCGCCGTCGATGATGCCGCCCACAGGTCCGGAGTTGGCAAAGATGCGAGTATAGCGGGCGCGATCCTCGGTCTTGATCTCGATGACGCCGGGCATGTTGGTAGGAACGGCGCTTCCTGACTGGCCTCCGGTGAGCTGTGCGGTCAGTGGCAAATTGACGCCTTCCATGGTGGGTGGAGGTCCGGGACGCTTGGTGGAGGCATCAGTGATGGTCTCTCCTCGCTGAGCATGGCTGATGAGACGCAACGCGATACTGAAAGAAGGCGGTGTGAGGAAGCCATTGTTGGCACTGTCGGCCATGGCCCAAATCTGGCCGAGGACAGCGGGTGGGAGCTTTGATTTGGCGAAGAAGGCGACAGCCGCATCGCCAGTCACGATGCCTGTTCGCTCCGGGTCGGCGAGGTTGAAGAGATGCGCAAAAGCGCTCCTCTCTACTGGAGAGAGAGCGATCTGAGGCGTCGCGCCTCCTGCGCTTGAAGGTGCTGGGCTCTGCATATTGGCTCCAGCTGTTGCCGGTGCTGCAACCAGGTCTTGTGTCGCTCGAACGTCCGACCAATAATCTGTTCCTTGGATGGATGGAAGAGAAGCACTTGCAGGAGAGCAAGGATAAGATTCGAAGCAGGATCCGGGATGGAAGCCGAGAAGGATATAGCTGGATGGGAGAGGCGAGGATGGATGTGGGCGAAGGCTGTGCTTCCGACTTGTGTGTGTGTGCGCGGATGGAGAGAGAGCTTACGCTTGGCTTCGTCGGCGGACCACAAAGCCGAACGACAGGGTTCTCGCTTTGGATGACCACAGAGAGAGGCGAATCGACCGAATCGTCTCCACACCCACACACGCAGGAACCCTTTCGCTTGGCTCGTGCTCGGATGCCTCGCTCCTTCGGTTGTCAGCTCGCCGCCGATCTTCCAAGCTGCGCTCTGCCGTCACAGATGCAGATTCAATTTTGCATATTGTTAGACCATCGTTTCATCAGGGGGAGAAATCGCAGCTCACCAGCACGATCAAGTGTTGAACGCAGACCTCTTGCATCGACATCACTCAAAGTCATCCCTGCAAGATCATCTTGGGTCGGAATGATCAAGCCGGACGACAGTAAGACTAAGGACGTGCTATGGGTATATTGCGGTCTATCGTCAGACAGCTTATAAATAAAGCGTCAGGAATCAGTCTGCTTCGCCAGCATATCTTTGAGTTGTTGAACCCGTGTGCGCATGCTTGCACATCGGCTGTTCACGCAAGAAGCAAAGCAGGGTCAGTATCGGCCTCTCTGATCTCTTGACAGATTTGCTGAAGTGCAACTTACTCTCGTATGAGCTGTGTCTCTTGCTTCCGCCTCTCGAGCTGCATCTGCATGATGAGCTTGAGTGTCTCCCTGGCCTGCACTGGTCTGAGCTCGTTGATCAGGAATTGCATGTTGACCACCACATTCTGCATATGCTTGAGCCTGTCCTTTGCTTCAGTCGACTGTGTCCAGAAGCCGGGATTGGTTGCCATCTGCTGCTGTTGCTGTTCGGGAGTGAGGTTGGGATCTGGCACAGCGGGCACCCAGACGTCGTAAGGCTGTGCTGGTTTCAACAGGTCGGCTGTGATCTCTCGGTAGGTCTGCAGCAGTGTCTGAAGTAGTGTCAGAAGCAGCTCTTTGCGATTTGTGCCTTCGAGTGGGTAGAGGACTGGGATCCCCAGCTGCTCCAATGTTGGCGTGACGTCAGGTATGGGCCAGAGCTGACCAAACACGGTGTATCCGCCATCTTCTTCGATCCAGTCGACGTTTGGCGGCTCGAGGTCCGCTTTCAGGTCAAAGTCGGGCAGGTCGGCTGCGTTTGCCCCTGCGTCGTGACCCTCGACAGCGTCCATCTCCACGTCTTCTCCCTCTTGCTTATCATTGGACCTTCCCAACAAAAGAAAGCCATGCTGCCGGAGAATGGCAGTCTGCCTTTTAAGTCGCTCAGCTGCATTCAGCTCTTCCCATGGTGTCTCGTCGTCTGCTAGTGGATGCGAATTGAGAATCTCGAGATACCTCAGATTGCGCTTCGTGAACTTCTTGTAAACCTGCGGCGGTGGTGGGAAGAAGGACGTGCTGATCTGGTTCGAGTTGGAGGGCCCGGCTGCGGCATTGTCTCCGGCACCCTCTTGCTGCTGTGATACAGCCTCGTCGTACTCCTCTTTCATCGTGATGGACCCGGTTGACGGTGGTTTAAAGAGTGTGTTGCCGGAGAACAACACAAACACGTTGACCCTTGATTGGCTCTGAGCAGCGAGGCCCCGTGCATTGATCCGAGATCCGACCATTTTTGCAAGTGGCGAGCTGCTGCAATCTTCCAAAATTGGCATCAAGTCTCGAGTCACAGTCAAGGAGCCCTGCGTTAGACTTGAACAACACCTTCCACCACTGCTTCTACCATCCATCTTGAGCTATACGCAACATCGGCGCCATGAGCAAGACACTTGACACCTCAAAACGCGAGCAGACGATCAACCTCGGTGCTGGTCCCAGCTCGCTCCCCACCTCGGTCCTGCTCGAAGCTGCCCAGGGCATCCTCGACTATGACGGCACAGGCATGGGCCTTGTCGAGCTTTCGCATCGATCAAAGACATTCCAAAAGCTGATGGACAAGACAGAAGCCGACGTGCGAGCTCTCCTCAATGTCCCGGATACCCACGCCGTCCTCTTCCTTCAGGGTGGTGGCACGGAGCAGTTCTCGGCTACGGCGCTAAACTTGCTGGCTGCGCACGCCGTCAAGAATCCAGACTACTTCAAGTCGAACGGCAACAAGGGCCCACCCTGCGACTACGCCGTGACTGGCTCGTGGACCGCCAAGGCTGTCAAGGAAGCTGCTCGCTTGGGTGCCACCACCAACGTCGCGATTGACTCACGAAAGGTCGACGGCGCCAACGGCAAGTTCGGCTCGATCCCACCCGTCAGCGAGTGGAAGCTGAGCCCAGTCGAGAGCAAGCCGGCCATGCTGTACTACTGCGACAACGAGACGGTCGACGGTGTCGAGTTCCCCAACCCCGGTTTCCCGATCAACGATCTGCCAGAGGACTACCGCAAGGAGGTGCCCCTCGTAGCCGACTGCTCGAGCAACATTCTCTCTCGCCCCATCGACGTCGCTGCGCACGCCATTGTCTTCTTTGGCGCCCAGAAGAACGTTGGTCCCTCCGGTACCACTGTCGCTATTGTTCGCAAAGATCTCATCGTTGATCCCGACCAAGGCGTGCCGAACGGAGGCCCGCGCATCCCCACCACGCTGGTGTACAAGAACATGCTCGACAACGGCTCGCTGTACAACACCCCACCCATGTTTGCCATCTATGCCTCTGGTCTCGTCTTCGCAGACTTGCTGCAGAACAAGGGTGGTGTCGCCGGTGCGACGGAGCGATCCGAGAAGAAAGCCTCGCTCATCTACGGCCTGATCGACAATAGTGACGGCGTCTACCTGCCAACGGTGCGACAGGCTTCCGCGAGGAGCAGGATGAACGTCACCTTCCGCATCTCAAGGGCGGGAGAGAATAAGCCCGATGAGGCACTGGAGGAGGCTTTTGTCAAGAGGTGCGCCGAGAGCAACATCGTTCAGGTCAAGGGCCACCGATCCGTGGGCGGCATCCGCACCAGCCTGTACAACGCTGTAACGGTCGAGGAGACACAGAAGCTGGCAGAGGTCATGACAAGCTTCATGGAGGACGTCAAGGCTGGTAAGCTTTGACACAGATGTATCTAGATTTGCAATTCATTCACCTTTTGACTTGCGTTCATTATGGTTCCTGACTGACCGATGAATCTGCCTTAGTCTCGTCGGGCGCTGACTGCTCCTTCTCCCTGAGCCTCTTCTTCTGCTTCTTCTTCTTGTTCATCTTCTTCTTGCGTTCCTTTTCGATTTGCCGGTCGATCCGACTACCGCCCCCCTCGCCTCTGACCAGCTTCTCGAGCGTCAGACTCATCCTTCGCCGAGCGAGTTCGCGGTTCCGATCGCGTGACCTGGTTTCTTGACATGTCAGCTTGGTTCCTGTCGGAAGGTGAGTGAGCTGCACGTTGGTCGAGAGCTTGTTGATGGCTTGGCCGCCAGGCCCTGAGCCTCGAATGAACTTTTCGGCGAGGTCCTTCTCGTCGAGTATCAGAGGATACTTGCGTGAGCCTGGTTGCAGGGTGTAGTCACCAGCGGTGAACCAGTCTGGCAGCTCCAGGCTGGTGTTCGACTTCGAGCTGGAAGACGTCACAGGCGACTCCTCGGCAAGCTCGCTTCTATCGATGATATCGTCCAGACTATCTGTTGTTGATCGCGAACGATTGGAACGTCAGCGTGAGCCCTTTGACTTTCCAGCACAAAGGCGTGATTCGCAGTACTCACACACCGACTTCCTCCTCGAGCCACTCTTGTGCTGACTCGGCACCCTGTTTCTCCTCAACATACGTGTATCGATCCAAGCTCTCGTCGGCCTCCTCCTCTCTCTCGTGTTCGATGCGGTGCACATCATACCACGGTACATGTTTGTCCTGCTGTCGCTGCAGCTCTGCTTGACACCACACCACGCGCACGGGGAAGGTGGCTTCGAAGTCGAATTCGGCAAGCTCTCCCGGCAAGAGCTCAGGATGATCCTTGCGCAAGTACGCATTGTTGATAGGTGGGTCGATCAGCTGTAGTGCCGTGAGCGGCCGCGACGAGACATACGTCTGTGCAATCAGCGAAGCAGGTCCTCTTGTGATCATGACGGGTGGAAAGGGCGGAGCTGAGCCAGCTTGACGCAGAGTTTCGATCGCATCTTTCTCGAAGAGCTCCATGAGCTTTGACGAATCTTTGATGTCGGATAACGGCTGATCCGGGTCTAGGTCGAGCAGGACGGACTCGTAGCCTTGGGAAGAGAAGTGCTGGATCCATTGTGAGAAGGCTTCTGCGGCGGGCGCTGACGATGTCCACTTGGAGGCTGTGAGAAAGATGATGGGCGTGGGAACTTCTCGAGGGGCTGACGAGGAGGCTGGGAAGATTTTGAGCGTCGACTTGAAGCGTTTGCTGTTCATCCGACTCGATGATGTAGCGGCTCGCGGGGCGATCCGACAAAGTGTAGAGGTGCTCGCCGCGTAGCGCAGCCCGTATGCTGCTGCGGACGCTGTGCGGAGCATCGTATGTAGCGAACGCTGTCGCAAGCGCTCCGATGTAGACGGTCAATGTGTGTGACAAGAAGGAGGATGAAACGGAAGCAAGCCGAAACGTCAAAATTGATTCAAGCTCGGAAGGTGGCCGATGCTGAGTGACCGAGCGAGCTTCGAGTTCGGGTCAGGGTCCAAACTGAGCTTCCCAGGGACCCCGCATGCTGGGTTTCCACCGACCCACCTTACAGCACTGGCCGCTTCATCCTCACGACCATCACATTGGAGCTCGTCTGTTCTACACACAGCACCACATAGCTGCACCTGGAGCTGTCAAAGAGGTTGCTTTTACTCTCCGTCCTCGACAATGGCGCCCTCAGCGCCAGCCCCGTCGAACGAGCCCATCAAGCGGGATCGAGACTCATTGACGCCTCTGTCCACCGGCTCACCTTTGACGGAGATCGACGAGCTTGAGTCAAAGCGGCCGCGTCTCGACCTCGCAGCATCCACACAACCAGCTGAATCTTCAACTCAGACGGCGAGCAGCTCATCAAACCGAGAAGGCGAAGTCACCATCCTGGCCGGCCTCCACCTCCCTCTCAACGAAGAAGTCTTCAAGACCTTCTTCCAGTACGCACACGACCGTCACGATGCTTTCCTAAAAAGGAAGGAGGGCAACTCGCAAGAGGACTGGACTACTGATCCAGTCCTGCGATCTACGAAGTTTGCCAACGTCTTCAGGGTGCTCGATCGCTCGACACAGTATGTCCTGACCAATGTGGTCCAGGATGGCCCACAAGACCAACGCGAGGTGTGCTTTCGCATTATCCTCTTCAGATCCTTTGCCCGTATCAGCACGTACGAAGTCATCAAGAGCGCTTTGGGAGGTGCTCCGACGCTGGCAGGATTCTCGCCGGCCGCCTACGAAAACATCCTCCTGCCGCATATCGGCGCCGGTAACCCAGTCTATGGCAGCTCGTACTTCATTCCAGCTCCGAGGGACTTCAAGACGCAGTACCCCTTTCAATCTACATTGCGGCTGATCCAGCTCATGATCAGGACTGGGCTACCGGAGAAACTAGCCGAGCTGCATCATATGCGAGATGCTCACTCACTACTGGTAACCTGCCCAGGCCTAGGACCCTTCCTTGCTATGCAGTTGCTGCTCGACCTCAATCTCTCGGAACACTTTGACTTCAACGAAGAAGAATTCGCAGCTTGCGGACCTGGGTCACGCGCCGGCCTGGTCGAGATCTTCGGCAAGTACGTCTCGGGCTTCGAGCTCGATGCGATGCGCTGGATCCAGGCCAATCAAGACCACTACTGGGCCAAGTACGGCATCGCGAATGTTCCGCATCTGTGTCCGGCGCGCAAACCGGGCCTCAACGTCGTCGATATCGAACACACCCTGTGCGAAGTGTTCAAGTATCGCCGTGCGAAGGGCCGAATGGAAGCAACGCCTGCTGTGGGTCGTTCTGGCAGACGGCGTGGTCGCGGAGCATCCTCAGCCGCCACACCCACGCCCTCTCCCCGTCCCATCAAGACTGAACGCCCGATCAAGCTCGAGGACGATCAGGACGGCGTGGACGGTCTCGACTTCGACCATATCCGCTCGAACGGCTCGAAAACATCTGCCCCTGAGAAGGTCAGAACTTTCGCCGCCACGAGCTCGACGGTCACAGGCCACCTACCGGCCAAATGGCTTGTCCCTCGTCCGCCGGACAACTACGAGAAGCCCCCTCCCATCGACCGCAGCGGCGAAGAGGTGTATGAGGTTAGCCACATTGTCACCATCACGCCGACGCACAGCAAGTGTCTCGTCAGGTGGAAGGGCTTTGGACCCGAAGATGACACGTGGGAGCTAACAGAGGAGCTATGCAGTGGAGGGGCGAAGGAGGCAGTGGACGAGTTCATGAAGTGGCTGGCAACGGTGCGAGATGAGATCACGAAGATGCTCGAGGAGGAGAAGAAGGCCAAGAGGGAGTTGGAGAAGATGTCTGCGTCGAGTTTGATGGACAGCAGTCCCAAGAAGGGGGCGAAGAGGACAGGAAAGGGCGCTGCGGCGACTCCAGGGTTGCCGTTTGCGAATCTTCCCCTCAGTCTACCTTTCTGATGCCAATCACACACATTCGAATCATCATACATTCGGTCTCAATGAAAGTAGCGTGAGTCCAGGGGTATATTTCGCACATATTCTGCCAGACTGTCACCCACAGCTCCCCTCGAGCCGCTCCAACTCCCGATCATCCTCCTCGATCTGCTCCCTGAACCACTCTGGCAGCCCATCCTCCGGAAAGACCACCAGATCCGTATCGAACATCTCGACGAACCTTTCGTTGGTCGCTCTGGCCCTGTTCCCTGCGAAATGCCTGTACTCCAGGAGGATCGTTGCAAAGTTCCACCTCTGCAGCTTCCGGAGACACCCTAGGAGCACACCGATCTCGTGGATACCTGATGTGTCCGTTACCAGCACTGGATGGTAGGACGAAGTGAGGAGGATTTGCAGGCTGTCTTTGACGAGCTCTTCCGTGAGTGTTGGGGATGACTGATGGTGTGTAGGCGAGGGGGTGAGGAAGGAGGTTGGCTGGGTGGTGTGTAGGAAGGAGAGGTCGAGTGCTGGTTCCGAGTCGTCAGTGGTGTTGAGCGAGAGAAGGTCTTCGGAGCCCCATCGCTTGAGACCAAAGTGAAGGAATCGGATACCGTGCTTGCGGCAGAATGCGGTGAGACTCGGCGAGGGCAGCTCGGCGGTCAGCGAGAGGATCGTGCGCAGTTGGAGCGTGCGCAGAAAGGTATGATTGGAGGGCGTTGGTGTAGCCGAGCGGTAGATCTGCGGTGCTACCGAGGCGAAGAGCGCCGGTGGTTCGACGAGCGAAGCGGTGGGTATCGACGCTGAGGACGAGTGGTGATGGTGGTGGTGGTGATGCGAATGGGAAGATGATGATGTGGACGCCTGCTGGATTGGCGTCGACGAAGAAGGCGACGTACTCAGCTTTGATGATGTGCCCGAGGGCGGTGCGAGGTGTACGCTTGTCATTGTGATTCCGTCCTGGGTGGATGAGGATGAACGACGAAGCGGAACAAGAGGTTTCGTCGTGGTGGTCGTTGTTGGACCCTTGAAAACGTCAAAGCGGAACTCGGTTCTTCATCCTGCAGAAGCCTCCACTTCCCAAGCTCCCTCTTCCACCTCGTCCTCACCCGCCCCGACACAACACTGTCATGATGCTGTGAATGCGTCCAACTGATGGGCAGGTTCTGCACTGACGACTCTCAGACGGTGTTCAAACATGTCGCTGTGTCACGGAACGCATAGGAAAGAAACGCCGCTTTGACGAAGGCAACATCGCATGACCGCCATAACGATCCTGACGCTTCGAGGTGGCGTCTCGATTCATTCACATCTACTTTGCTGCTCAACGACCGGTCTCATCACGAAGTCACGCTCTAAGATCGAGATGCACAGGCGTTCAAACAGGCTCAGCGGGCAGCTGGGCAGCTCACCTCCATCTTCTAGCATCGAGTTGCTAAGCAGCACTCGCCTATTGAGTACCAGCACCAACGCTGTCGCGGGACCTCCCTCTCGCGCTGCTGTTACGGTCGACACACAACAGCATCCAAGTGGCTCAACTATACCCCTCGAAGATTGGTCCCTCGCAGCGCTGCAAGCCGAGGTCAAGCGATACGGCTTCAAGGTCTCCCGCAAGCGATCTACGCTCATCGACCAACTCAAAGCTGTCCATGAGGCGCTGCAACGCTCACAAATTACGAATGGGGCCTCAAGCATCGGAGACAACCATAGCGAAGCGACCGCGCCGTTAGAGCGGACACCATCAATGAGGGCGAAACGAAAGCTCATCCTCCCCGATTCTTCAATAGCTCGCGAGTTTGCGGCAGAAGGCAAAGGCAAAGGCCGCAAGAGCGACCCGTACGTCCTCGACGTCAGCTCTGACTCGGACCAGCCTTCCTCACCCGTCGCAAGTGGCGTGCAAGCAAGCGAAGAAGCGGGCGACTACACGCTCCAACTCGAGCTTGAAGCCCTGTCTGCCACTGATGGCTCCATCCCTTCCTCACCAGACGTTCCACTTTCCACCACCTCTTCACCTCTGAAACCACGCCGCGGGCGCTCTCGCTCCCTCTCCACCTCACCCGACATACCCCTCGCCACCTCCCTCGCAGAAGAAGAGGAGCTGGCAGTGGAACCAACGCCCGCCCTAGCCACAACAATGACGACCGCCATCCGCTCCAACCCCGCCCTGTGGGATCGAGTCCTCAAATACGAGCCGATCAGCTTCGACGAGTTTGTCAGCGTCGCAACGCAGAGCGGGCTCAGCATGGCCGCGGGCAAGAGCAAGGAGGAGCTGCGGACGTGGTTGGATCGGCAGTGCATCTGTCACTACTCAAATGACCTGACTGGGCCCAGGAGTCGACACTGAGGCACAAACGGTGTGGCTGTCAAGATATGGATGCAATGGAATCTGAAAATTGGGGACCTAAGGATGACAAGAACGAAAGGAAACGCATCGAGCGTGAGGTGAAGACGAAGAACGACGAAATTGTCGGGATCAAGAGCTCTCAACGGGAGCACCCTTCTGCATCGGCGTGCCGACGTGGCGGTGCTCATTGTCGTGGCTCATCGAGACGTTCTTGCCCGCATCGTGTGCCGTGCCCTCGCTCTTCAACACCCCCGCCTGGCGCAGACAGGTGGTCAACTTCTTGCGTTCCTCTCGGTCGAGCTTGCTGGGCGTCTCGACGCACACCTTGCCGTCGTTGACCTCGACGATGCCCTTCTTGTTCCTCGCGTGCTTCTCGATGCTTCCCTGGCGGAGCTGGCACTTGTAATCGCAGTGATCCTCGTCGTACTGTGGGTGGAGGGATTGCTTGATCTCGTCGTCGTGGAGGGTGTGGTTAGCGACGTCTCTCTTGCCGAGCAGGTTGAGGTAGTCTCCACCACCCGAGTTGGCTGCCCACCAGAGGAGGTCGCGAGCGCTGCCGTCGCCGTTGAAGTAGCTGTTCATCGCCGACGGGTAGGGATCGGGTTTCTGATCGACCGGGAACCCACCCAACCACGCAGATCGTTGAACGTAACCCACCGAGTGCATCCACTGCACGGCGCGGATGTGGAAGTCCTTGATCTGGGCCTGTGTGCCGCGACTGGCCTGCGTAATGCCGTACTCGGTCACCCAGATGGGCAAACCGTACGCATCGTGCACCGACTCGATCCAGGCGGTGAACTTGTCAAAGTCCCTCCAGGAGCCGTACCAGTGGATGGCGATGAAGCTGATATCGCATCCGAGCCGCTGGCAGGCGGACATGAATTTTTGCAACCATTGCATGTTCCAGCAGACCTGGGGAGATCCGACCTTGACACCGCGGTCGGCGAACGGTTTGAGCTCCTGCATCCACAATCGTGCCGCCGCTTGAGGTCCCACATCGGACTGCCCTTGCACATCCGGCTCGTTGAAGGCTAGCATGTAAGTGGGCAATGCGCCGGCGTTCAGTTCGTTCTTTACCGCGTTCCACTTGTCCCACTTGGAAGGGCCCCAGAAGGTGGGCACGTAGTCGAGACCGAGAGCGTCCAGCTCGGGGACGCGCGTATCCTGCCAGTGGTGGTAGAACGAGATGTCGGAGCGACCGGTCGACTTGAGACCTTTGATGCAGGACGGGTCGCAACCCCAGGGCACACCGAGCTGATGGCTCGTGATGGTCCCGGTGGACCTTTGGTGGCCATGTCGAGCTTTGTGCTTTTTGCCGTCGACGATTGCGACCAGCGCAAAGGCGAGCAGGGTGGCAAACGTGCCGAGCTTCATCGTTGGAGTGGTCCGACTCGATAGAGGGGTGAAAGAGTGTGGTGAAGGAAGGGACAGTTGGTTGAGGAGAGGGAAGAGGGTTGAGTGAGAATGAATGAAGATCAGAGGAGGGGCACGAGGAACGAAGAGCGCAGAGGGAGGTGATTATAAGTGGGGTGCTGAAAGTCGAGTACGCTGCTCAGGGGTCTCGCACGTCTCTCAGTTCCGGCCGGAGCGCTTAGTTCGCTAGGAACTCAGCCAAGGGAAAAGCATCAGATGCAGCGTTGTCAGAACTCTGGCCTCTACACAGGCGCCAACACTTGGCAGACAATGGCTCTCAAAGGGCTATTGTAACGACAATGCACAGAGTCGAAGCTTTGAAGTCACGTCGCTTCTGCCATGCCTACGCCTTGATGACAACCCTTCATACCCACATCACATTGTCTCCCCCGACTCGTCACGACAAAGCCTTTTTCCACTCCATCACAAAGGGAGCAAGTGGGTCTAGTCCGAGATGAGCGCTTCATGGTGGCGTAGTGGACTTTGACAGCTCAAAACAGTTTCAAAGCCAGCACAGTGGGCGGAGATCGCGACGCAAGGCGATGCAACGACCTGCAAGCCCGCTTTTCCACACAAAGGGACAGAGTGGGGTTCCGACGTGCACGGCGGCTGCGTCTGCGTCTGCAGCTCAAAGCATGTATCTTTCAGTCCAGAGAATATCCCTTCAAGCTTCTTGCGGGTCAGGCAAGGGGCGGACAATGGACAGCACGAACCTTCGGCATCGACGATCCGCAGGTGGTCCAGACCGCAGGAACGAGGCTCGAGCGACCGCTCCTGCACGCACCTTTGTTCTCCCGACTCGATTCTAGCATCAAAAATTCGATTGTTCTTCGTTCGAATTCCAACGATTCTGCATGCAATCTAGTGAATGTCGTCTCCCCCTACCAGCACCGCGAATCCGGCGCCGATCAGCGTGCATCCGAGGACGCTCAACCACTTCAACGGGTGGCCCAGCAGCACATCCGCGATCTCGACCAGGATCGTCGTCATGAGACAGCTCACCGACGCCAGCACGGGTCCCCATAGGGAGAGCAGGATCATGAAGGCGGCATTGAAGAAGATGCCGCACAGGCCGACCATGGCGAGCGAGAGGTAGGTGCGCACGTTGTGCGGCGCCTCGAGCGTCTCCCACCCCAGCGCGTCCGCGGCGAGGATGAGGATCCAGAAGGTGGTGAATGTGGTGAGGCCGATGCCGGCGGTCATGACATTTGCGTGCAGGCCAAACGGCAGGGGCGGCGGGATGGACGGGTCGTGCTGGACGTTGCGGTACGAGGACGTCCTCCGGCTGGGGCCAGGCCGCGAGGAAGCGGCGTCAAGGGAGGTGCGCAGATCGTCGGAGGAAACGGGATGCGTGAGGAGCTGCGAGCGCGTGCGATGCAAGCGAGTGGCGCCAGAAAGAACTAGTCGCTCTTCATCCTCGTCTAGCTCCGATTCGGTGATCTGGGACTCTTCGTCCTCGTCTCGGTGCTTGGGCTGACCATTTGAGATGGGAACCGCCTTGGCATGCACACGCACCTTGTCGGCTGCAACTTTGACCGTCTTGCCTCCATTGTCATCGTCGAAAGGTTGCGCAGGTTCCGGCGGAGGAGTGATGGTGAAATAGTCTGAACGTTCCGTTTCCAGCAGCTTGTCCGCTACCGTCGAGTACCTTCTCGCGTGTGTTGATTCGCGCCTTTTGAGGTCGACCTCTTCCTCGTCTTCGTCGTCGCCAAGAACGTGATGGCCGGCTTCTTCTAAGCCTTTGCCGAGATCGCCATTGGTGCCATTTTGCCGTGTCTCCGACTGTGATGCGCCAAGCAGTCCTTCCGTCTCGTGTCGTTGCGGCCCATCCTCCTCAGCTGCTTGTGAATAGCGGACGTAGCTGCGCGAGCGTCGGTTGCGACCGCCGGGCACCGCCGAATACATCTCGGCCTGCTTCTGCTCGTCTGGCAGCGTGCCAATGAGCTTGAATGCCATCTCGTACGCTGCCATCGTCACTGCTCCGATAAATGCAAGCAGATCGCCGAGAGCAGGGTTGTGAGCGCTGTTGACGGGCGGTGACGGTTGCCCGGGGTCCTCCCTCTTGCGCAGCATACGAGCCACGATTGACTGTATCGAGCGTCGGACCACTTCTTCGGCTGGACTGTCATCTGCTGGCGGCTTGCCGTGTATGGGGTCGAATGGCTTTGGCACTTTCCTGTGGTCGGCGCCGCCATACGCAACGACTATGACTCCGAAACATGCCAGCAGTACGGAGAAGACTTTGCGCTTCTGCCATTTCTCCCCGAGAAACCAGACCGAGAAGACGAGCGCCCAGACCGAAAAGGTGTTGTAGATAGCCGTGATGTCTGCCATCGACGTCATGGGCACGGCGCAGTACCAGCTGAGCGCCGGCACTGTGATGCCAACCGTCAAGATGGCAAAGAGGCCTGCGAGACGGAGGACATTGAAGCCAAACTTTTGCTCAAGAAAAGATGCCGGCCGCCGAGTCAAGCTTTCCGCCGCCTGCTCGTCCCACTCGGCGCCATTTGTCGGTATCCCCCTTCCGGAAGCCTGGCTTAGGCGCTGCCGCACGGCGTCAGCCCTTGGATCTGGTAACGTAGATGCAGGTGTTTCGAGCTGCCATCGAAGGTTCTGTGCGATGAGATGAAGATAATGTGTGATGGGTCGTCCTGTGGTCCATTTAAGGAAGAAGAGATGCATCGGAAAAAGCAGGAGGAAGGCGCTGTGCCCAAGATATAGCGATAAGAAAGGCTTGCGGTAGTTGAGAGATTGCTGGACATATTGGGCGAACTCGGTCTGGAGCGTGTATGCAAAGAGGCTGAGTACAAAGGCGAAGATGGCTTTGCTTCCGCCTGGCAGGCTCATAAAGCCCGGCTTCTTGCCTTTTGTGTTGTGCGCTGTTGTCGCATCGTTGTCCGATGGGTCGCCGGCATAGCTATCGCGAAAGATGTTGGTCGACATGCTGAGTATATGCGGTGCTGCGACGCGTAGGATGTTCCGTGAGGTGTTATGTCAGGATCGGAATTGGGTCCTTCCGTTGAGGTGTCTATCCTAGGAGCCGTGAGAAGGAGGACGTAGTCGGGACCCCTGCCGAAGCATCTGTGGAAGAACTCGCCGGTGCTGCCGATGGTGAGAGCGAGGATCGAGCAAGTCAAGACCAGGAGTGAAGAAGCGGAGCAGATCCTGGCAAGCTCATCTCCTAGTGCTGAGTGAGAGTCCGAAGCTGCTGGGCAGATGAATGATGGTGGCTCGGAGGCGTCGCCGTCTTGCTCTTGGGTGTCGGATCTGCTAGTTTTCTGCAAAGGTGTTTTGTGTTGCATTCAAAAATCGCCGTTGGCGAGGAGGCCGAATCTCGGGATGCGAGTCCAACACGGACGGGCCACGTCGATTCTACTCCTGTCGCTGCAACCTCCTCATCTTTCACGCAGCGCACCTACATCGGCTTGCCTCCTCTCCGTGAAAAGCTCGAGCAACCATGGCATCAGCTACAGCATCGAGCTCGCGCTCGCCTATCCCGCCAGACCTCGTCGCTGTCCACGCCTCGTTCCAGCGGTACGGCCAAGATGTCATCACTCACCAAATCCCACGCTTGCAATCCTGCAAGAGCGCATCGCTCCTCACCGACTACGAGGCCGAGATCATCTCCTCAATTGACGGCCTCAAGCGACAAGTCACCGATCTCAAATTTGCCGTTGACGAAGCCGAGTCTGACGCGGAGCGTCGCGAGATCGCCTCTTTAGCCGCTTCCTCGAGTCAACAGCTCGAAGAGTGAGTCGCTCACCCTCGTCCTTCCGTCCCAAGATGTTCAACTGACACCTTCTCTCTTCTCTCGAGCAGAATCAGGCAATTGACGCGCAAATCCCTCCTCGCAGCGCGGCGTAGCATCGAGTCCGCACGCACCGCCGACGCCCGTGCCGGTCTCCAGCTCGCCGCCGACAACGCCAAGGAGCGCACTGGCGGCCGCCCCGGCTCTTCGGGTGAAGACAAACTTATGACCGCCTCCCAAGATGTGACCGATGCCCTCCGTCGCACCGTCTCGCTCATGTCCTCCGAACTCGAAAAATCAGCCATGTCCTCCCAGCTGCTCGAAGAGAGCTCTCAGACACTGTCCAGTTTGTCGTTCCAGTACGGATCGCTGACGACGCTCATGACCAATTCGGCCAAGATGATCAAGACGATGGAGAGGGAGGATTTGATCGGAAAGGGCATGGTCGCGCTATCGATGCTGTTCTTCTTGGGATGTGTCGGGTGGATCGTTTATGTGCGGCTGATTAGTAAAGGCATTGGGCTGGTGGGTTGGATGTTCAGGCTGTTCGGGCTGGATAAGCTTTTAGGAGGGATGGCGGGGAGAGGAGGAGAGGATGTCAAGGAGAAGGCCGGACTGCTGAAGGAGACAGCGAAAGAAGTGTTAAGCAGCAAGATAATTGCAGATGCGGCAACGGCAGTCACCGCTGCCGTGACAGCGATCACCTCAGCCGTCTCGGCAGCTACAGCAGGTGCGGCAGCACAGACAGGCTCAGCGAAGCAGCGAGTGGAAGAGAAGGTCATGGATTTGCAAGACGACCTGGAACAGCTAACGGAGACCGTTATGCAGCAGAGACCAGCAGTAGACGAAGCAAAGTTGCCAAAGACTCGTCAGAACACGCTCCCTGTCGAGCATGTCGAGTTGTAATGGAAAGTCAGATTCGCTCATTCAGTTGCGTCCTTCGGTCGGGAGCTTTCTAGGCACAGAGCAACGGGCACGATAACAGATATGAAATGCTAGCTGCTGAGATTCAATCTAGGTAGGACGACTCTTCATGCCGATGCCGCAGGCACTGCAGCACTCACACTCCCACCTAGCTGACCCGGAGCCGTCTCCTCCGCTGCTACCACCACGTTCTCCTCCGGCTCTACAATTTTGCTTCCGATTCTAGGCCTCGAAGCTGTCGTAACAAACTCGGTCGGCACGGGCAGCTTTGCGCTGGCCAACCTGAGCGCCTCCTTTGCCACCTCTGGTCTGATCTCCACGGGCCCGCCGATTTCAAAGATCACCTTGCCCATGTTGGCTCTGCAGGCCCAGTATTCGAACGTGCCCTTTCCTTTGCCCATACGTGTTTCGTTGCCCTTGATGCAGACGGGGATGTCGGGGAAGACGCGGAGGAAGACTTGGGCTCCTTTGACCACTTTGAGCTTGCGCTTGAGTGCTGTTTCGGCGGCAACGAGCTGTTTCGCGGACAAACGGGCGGGAGCGAGAAGACGGATCCCGTAGGCGCCCTCTTGGACGGTGGTACCCTTGGTGGAGCCACCGGTGTTGAATGGGATCGTAATCTTGTGCGCCTTGCGGTACTTTGTTCGTCGTGGCGCGAGGTTTCCTTTGTGACGCACACCGCCGAGGGATGACAGATGTGTTGATGAGGAGGGCGACAGTGAAGGACGAGCTGAGGAGGTCATGTGAAGCGATCGTACAGATGATGCTGAAAGTCGCGAGGCTGAGGCGATAGATGAAGGACCAGCGGCGGTGCTGGCGAGACCTAGCCGGCCGAATGCGGCAGTGAGTGATGACAGCATGGCCGGGCTATCAGCTCAACAAACGATTGCTTGAGGCTGAATTGTATGGGCGAGGTGTGGGATGATGATGTAGAGAAGCTCGACGAGATCGTATGGTCTGCACCTGCAGAGGATTCTTCCGAAAATCTCGACAAGGCAAGGTCAGATCACCGATCCCATAATTCTTCCATCTCAGATCGCATCCGAACTCCGAAAGCTCGCCGGCCGACTGCGTGTTTGACCTCGAAACCTCCACACCTGTCATCGACTCAGCATCATCCATCATCCTCATTTCTTCTCTCCCATACGACAACGTCGACATCGTTTCGACTCACCGCGACGACCCCTTCTATTCGACTTTTCACAAGTGGCGTCAAGGCCCTCGGCTAGATGGCCACCTCGGCGGATCGAACGTACGAGCAGCAGAACGACTCGGCTCTCGACGCCCTCTACTCCAAAGTCTCCTCGCTCCGGTCGGTCACGGTCGACATCCACAACGACTCGGAGAGCCAGCGCGCGGGGCTCCTCTCACAGACCTCGGATCAATTTGATCAGTTCGGGAGTCAACTTCAACGAACATCGAATCACTTTTCGAGGACCATTGTCAACGGCGCGAGGCAGCATCGATTGACGCTGTATATCGTGGGTGGATTTGTAGGACTTTGGCTGCTTTACAAGCTGTTCCTTTGAAGACAGGCCCAAAATATGATTGCCGCGACGTCTAGCAGAGGGCTGAGGCCCCTCGTTGCGAACACTGCTCGCGCAGCTTCACGGTCCTCAGGTGCAACTCGGATGCTAGCGTCAGTGTCGACCACTTTCAGCAACGGAAGTTCAGCTCGACTTCGACCACAAATATCACTGCCACCGCCGAGCCCTCGTTGCTTGGCTCTCTCGCAGCGACTGAAATACAGCACCTTCGCAACCCCGCTCAAATCCTGTCCCAAGTGCAGCGAACCCCAACCGCTCGAATCACTCTCCTGTCCCAAATGCAGCACGCTCCAACCTCTCCCCTCGGACATCGACTTTTACAAAGCGATGAACCTCGATTTCACCTCGATCCCACAGAATGGGTGGTCGGTCGACCCCGCCGCATTGAAACGGGCGTGGCGACTGAAGATGGCGGTCACACATCCGGACCGCATGGTTGGTCGGAGTGACAAGGAACAGCAGATTGGTGCCCAGCAGAGTGCGTTGATCAACCGCGCATACGAGACGCTGCTCAACCCTTTGCCTCGGGCGCACTACCTGCTGGAGCGGCACAACGCACCGGAAGTGTCCGAGTCGGACTCGCTCGAGGACCCCGAGCTGCTGATGGAGGTCATGGAGCTGCGGGAGAGGCTAGAGGAGGCGGAGAGTGAAGAGGAGGCCGCCGAGGTCAGGGCGGACAATGCCAAGCTGCTAGAGGCGACGGTGGAGACGCTGGCACAGGCATTTGGACAGAGCCCGCCCGATCTGGAGACGGCCAGGCAGGCAGCGGTGCAGTTGAGGTATTGGACGAACATCGAAAAGGCTGCGAGGGAGTGGTCGCCCGGCAAGCGGGTCGAGCTGCAGCACTAATCCCGAGGCTTGTACCCTGCTGGCCTCGCGAATTGTACACAGGATTGAATGACATAGATCGTGCATCATCGTGCTGCTAGGAATGGACCGTCATCAGAACACCCAGAAGAGAGCGACATGTGAGCTCCTCCCTTCATGAGACGCGCCAGATCGTGCGGGACACGCTTAGGCTAGACTGGCATGCAAGACGATCGTCGATGCACGACTGTGAGGTGTTCAGGGTCAATCGAAGCTTGCCATACGGGGTTGTACGCTAGGAACGGTGAAGAAAGCCTGAGGGGCTTGCGTCGACACACGACGAGATCAAGCCTCATCAAGTAGCTGCATGTGCACATTTGTGGCTTTCGCGCAAGACATCGCCAGGAGAAGAGCGGGCGCTTCGGCATAATTACTGACTCATTGTTCTATGTACGATGACTGCTTCGGCCGTCCGTACCGTGTCAATGTCGCCCCTTTGCAGGCTCGTTCCTGAAGTAGAAGCGCCGACGTCGATCGCAGCTTGACCGTCGAGCGCTGACAAGCACGGCGGCGGCATGTGTCTGAGCCTGACCCTGTCGCGTGCCCTTTCGTTGCGTCTAGACCATTCCGAATTCGTGATCCGACTTGCAGCCCAGGCGCGGGACGAAAAGCCTCGTGAAATGAGGGCCAAGCCTCGATTTTCGAGCTGGAAAGAGTGCGTGCCCGTGTGAGACGCAACGGCCCGCTTTCAGAGATGGGCGGAGACAATCGCTTGCGAGAAAAGCGAGGAATTTTAGCTCGACACTGCTCGGGTGCCCCGCTGCCGAGTTTACCGATCTATTCGACCTGCAGGCAGCTGGTCGCGCGCCCTGCCCCGCGTTTTTGTTTTCTAGCCCCGACCCACGTCGCTTGACACAGGGTGGGTGTGAAATCCATTTGACCGACGCCTTCCTTTGTCGATCGGTCCTTGACAACGAAAGGATGCTTCAGCGTGATCGTGATCGAGACCGATACGGCTGTGTGAACGCTTTCGAGGCGGGACCCACTGATGCTATCGAGTTGATCGTCCTGTCTGGTCATCTTTTGGTGATGACCTCTTGCGAATGAGGCTCAAGGGTATGCCTCCGAAGCGAGAAAAAGCGCGCTTGCATGCTGCGAAGGCGGCTATCTGAGACAAAAGCAACGAAAAAGAGGCCAACGGGGCGAGTGAGGGTGTGCGCTTCCGAGAGCAAATTGCAAGACCCTCGATTTTTGTCCAGGCAGAGCGAGACCCTCGAATCCGGGGACAAGTGACATGCAGAGTGCTGCACATCAGTCACCTGTCAAAAGGCAGAGTCGTGGCGTGCGAACCGATGAAGCTCCAGAAGATGAATAAATGTTGATGACAGACAAGTCGAGCCTGAAAGGGAGAGCGAGTGTGGGATCCCCTGCTGCGCCGCTGAAAAGAGAGTTGAGTTTGGTGGAAGTCAGTTGACTTCATACAATGCTGAGCATGATCCGCGACCGCATCGCAGCGGTCGACTCTTAGTCACTGTCTCCTCCTCGCTTTGCTTCGCTCTTCATCCACCGTTCGTCTCCCTCTCCTCCTCTGCCCTCCAATCCTTGCACTGCGGCTGTCGCAGGGGAGCATATATCTCGCTGATATCGCTCGCCTTCAGCACCCACGGCCGACTACGGGGATTCCCGCGACTCACCTTCGCAGCAAGGCACTCGCATCACTGTCTCGATCGACCAGCGAAGCTCCACAGCAAGTCTGCCATCCCTAGTCGCTGCTGCTGTCTGCTCGGCTCGACTCCCTGCCGCCGAGCTGGTCGAAGCGCACTGCAGGCCACGCACCGTGCTCCGTTACGTTCTTCGCGTCAGCCACCGTCAGACGTATCGCTCCACTTGCTGTTGACTGTCGAGCTGCAGTCTGCCACTTCTTCATCGTGTCGTGGGCATCCGCACCACTCGTCTCCTGGCTCCGTCACCCTCAAGATACCACGCATCCATAGAGCTCCGTGTCCAGAAAGTCTCGTAGAGCTGTCGTCGTTCGAAGTCACGAGAGGTCACCGGGTCGCAAGAACTTCACGATATAGAATCGATCTCCGGACACGTCCATAGACAAGAGAGGGCGTCGTCTTTCAGTAGCATACACGGGACTTACACTTGCAAGATAGAACATTGCCCTGGCAGCTGATCAACTCGTCGCGCGAGCTCGAGCCAATCAACCGTCAATCACCGAAGGTCACGTCTCCAGGCCTAGCGGCAAGCTTTCGCGCAGGATTAGCGCATCGACCAAACAGAAAGGGCTCGACAGATCCCTCGATAGAACATAGAATCACAGGTGAGTTTGACTCTGCGACAAGGCTTCGGAAGACTTGGAATCGAAGTGGTGGTGATGGCTATGTCCGTTCGTGGTGGCTAGGAGGGATCGCAACGGCTCGAGGCGAGATCATGGAGGGAAGGGGAGATGGCACGCTCAGCAACATCTCTCCTTGGTCATTCGAGCTCAGAGCGTCGATAGCGCCGCGCCAAGCCTTGCCTGGCGGAAGAAGCGACCGGCAGCTTCGGTAGCGCCGCTGAGCTTCGGCTGAGCAGGCCTCCCGCCTCAGCTCTGGTCCGCCTGGCGTGAACAACCTTGGCTGGGTCTTGGCTTGGCTACTTGCCACCCCGTTGACCCCAAGAGCGCGGTGATTCGCCAGACCGTGACAAGTGGGGAAGGGCCATGCGGCTCCTCCTGTGCTTGCGAGCGCGCCCAGTCGAGGAGAAAGCAGCCGCGCCAACGCCTTCACTCCTAGCACAGTGACTTGATCGCTGGCTGCTTCGTTGCTGCGCATCGGCAGGGCTGAATCATCAGCTCACCGATACGTCGGCGCACGGGACGCTTTCAGAAGGCCGTGACCTTTAATCGACTGGCGCAGGTGTCCTTGACTCAGTCTGCGCGCGTTCAGCCCGCTGCGGTCGCAACCCCAGGGTCTCGTCCCTCTGCTTCCATGCAGGTGACATGCATACCCCTTCCTGGCCACTGTTATCTCTGCTCGATCGCCGCTGCCTGGCAACTTGGGCTTCCCGACCAGACTCGGCACCGGTCGCTCGGGTAGCGTTGCAAGGGAAGGCGAGCTGTTCCTCGGGATGACTTTGCCACTTTCATGCAGCAGAGCGCAAGAGCGCGGCGAAGTCTCGGCTTCGAGGCTCGATTGGCTAAATATAGCCAGGCCAGACTCGTTGAAGCTCCACCCTTGAGGCGCAAGCGATTTCGTCCGTCCGCCTGGCCAACTGTCACCGTCCTTTCTCATCACTCGTCCACGAAGATCCTGTCTGGGTGGAGTCACACGAGCGCATCTGTCACGCAGGCATGTGATACCGAAGAAGGCGCATGCGCGACTGTCACTCGGAGAGCTGTGATTGGTCGTCCAAGAGACAGGGACGAACCGCCTCTATCTTTGCTTTTCGCTGGGAGCAGTGCTCAGCCGCAACTTCCGCCAGCCGCCCCGCTTCAAGAAGTCCAGCTCGTATGGCTCGGGTCACATGAAGCTGGGTAGCTAGTCTGAGCGGACTCTCGTCACACCTTCGTTCCTTTGGATCAGTCACCATGATCAGCGCGACAAAATTGTCGCTGGGACACTCTGCCCAGTCTGGCTTGGTCGGATGAATTGCGAGGGTGCTTCGTCACACGCAGCTCACCCTCAGATCACAAGAGATGTGCGTGAAGGCTCGTCTATGGAGGAATTGGAGAAGGAGCGGCTCGATCCCGACCTCTTGGCTTCGCTTTTGACGTTTGCTATAAAGCCACCGTTTCTTGGCAGCTTCGTCCTTCGTCTCGCTCCTTCATAGCCCCTCCTTTCCCGCTACTTCCATTCCTTCCTCTTCGATCCTCGCTGCTGCGAGACTTCTTTCTCACTCGCATCCGTACATCCATCGCGACCGGATCTTCTAGTGGCTTTGTCACCGTCGTCACTCGTCGTCGCCGCGGTATCGCGCACCCTTTCCGCCTTCCCTTCCTCAATTGCGTCTCTTCGCGTATCAGGTCGTCTCTGGAACTCGGTCTCGAAACCTCTACTTCGGTCTCCTGTCCCATTCGATCCACTGACCCAGACCTCCTCCCATTTCAATTACTCTGCGACTAGCAATCGCACCGACCCAGCAGCGCCTTTCTTGCATCGACTCGACATCTACTTCAAATTGTTGTAGCGAGCATCTAGAGGCAATCAGCACAAAGATCAGTGGTGGCAGTTTGTCGGTCACCGATCGAAAGCCGAAGCCGACAGCAACGACTGAAACCTCCAGCCACCATCCTTCCCAGCAGACACAAAGCAGCGTGGTCCGATCTGCGCTGCAAATCAGCGTGAAGGTCGGAGAGTGGACATTCAGCTGCTCAAGTGCGGCTGCCACTTGCCTCGATCTCTGACGCTAGCTCAATCTCGAGCACCCATCCCAGGTGCGAGCGCTGCGGTCTCATCGTCGCGGACTTTCGTAGACGATCATCGGTCCTAGACCTAGAGGTTCCGCACGCCAGGGATACGCGCGTGTCTACATGGATTCAGCCTCGTATCAACAGCCGTAGCGTCTGACAGCTCTCACTCGCAGACGTTCACTTCTACATCGACAAGCCCGTCTAAGGGGGGACCTTCGATCTGCTGCGAGGGACGGCGCTTCACAAGATCTTCCCATCTCGCACACAAAGCTGGCTGCCGCATTTTTCTACCAGCTGCTGACATCATGGCTCAGACGCGCGAGTCCGTCCAGCAACCTGCCATGCGCACGGCCAGCCCACACTCTCCCGACTCTGATCATGCCACCACAACTCGAGAAGCCACCCGACCACACCCTGGTTCCAGCTCGCCAGGCTCTTCTCCGTCACCTTCGAACCCATCGCACCCTTCCTCGCCCACCGGTGATGATGCTCGACACGGAACATCTCCGGCCACCTCGGTGGACGGCATGCCGATGCCTCCGTCGGGCCTTAAGCTCGACCTGTCGTCTCACACGGCTCAAAGCCGCCAAGAACAGCAAGCCTCTCTCAGCCGTGCCGGCGTGGCACGTTCGCCTCACCCGCTCGATGGATCGCAAGAGGCACGCGCATCTTTGGCAGCCAGGTCGGGTGGCATTCTCGCAACGATGCAGGAAGAGGGTTCGGGCTTTAGCGAGAGTCGACGCGGATCGACGCTGGGATTCGAACCGAATCCATCCTACTCTCACATCGAGCAGGCCATCCGTGCTTCTCGCCATCGCTCGGCTTCGAGCGCAGCAGCCCTCGCTCTTCACGGCGGCACGACTCCTTTTGCGGATCGATGGGGCAGCAATGCTGCTGGACGAATCGCTCCTACGACCGCGGCCGCTTCGCGAACTCTTTGGGAAGGAGCCAACGTCGATGCAATTGGTAGCGGAAACTCGAGCAGCGGCGCTTCGCAGAGATCTTTCCCGCCTCTTCAACGTGGCTTTTCAGCATCCATCGTCCGCAGCAAGCCAGAAACAGCATCGCCGCCGCCGCCTTTCCTGAGCTCTCCCGCGGGCCTCCGTGACCTGGGCTTCGACTTTACCGACGCCTCACTGCGTACGTCGCGCACCGGCCTCAATGTTGCGTCGTCTCCCTTCGATGCGCGTCCTGACCTTCCAGACCTTTCGAGCTACCCCGAGACAGGCGAAGGTGCCGGGGAGGAGTGGCACCGTCCGTCGGCTGGCACCGAGTCACGACGTCACTCTGTGGCCGGCTCAGGCTCCGTTTGGGACCCGGCTGGTGTCATCGGAAGTCATCGACGCGCCATCGGCTTCGACATGACCAGCAACGGACACAGAGACTACACCGGACAGACGGTCAACGACCAGCGAGCATGGCCGCGTGCTGTCAGCCACGGCCGTGATCGGAGCGTCAGCAGCGTCTTGCCGGGCTTCAACCCCTTTGCGGGAGGAAGTCTGGCTCTGTCGGTAGACGATCTTGCTGCCGATCGCGAGTATGACGCGACTGCTCGAGACAGCGCCGCAACAGCACGCAACGCAAGTAGTGCTGGCGCACACGAAGCCTCGTCGATGCCCTCCGACTTCTACGACCGAGGCGTCGAAAGCTTCGACACCAGGTCCAGGGGCTTCACCGATGCCTCGCAGCCTCGCAACCACCGCGGCGGCAGGGACAGCTTGTCGGTCAGCTGGGATGCGATGACCCCCTCGCACGCAGTCGCTCAATCGCCTGGCGACGGTCAGCGTACCCTTGCCGAGATGACGAGGCAGCTGCGACAGATGTCGATGGGCGGAGGCGAACTTCAAATGCGATCTCAACCATCGGGCGTCGCCTCCATCTTTGACAGCCAAGAAGGCACTCGAACGGTCCGCGCCAGTCCCGGGACCTCGCCCACTGGCATTCGCGGCAGCTCGAGCGCGACGCCGAGCATGGGCCATGGTCTTTCGGCCCAAGCAAAGGCCTTTACAGCTTCTCAGCCGCTGGGTCGGATGTCGCAGGACCAGCTCGGCAGTACTGGCTACGCGGGCGTGGGTCCGGGTGATATGCCCACGTACGGCTTCCCGACTCCTCTTCCGACCGCCAGCAGCGGCTTCGTGCCGCCGATGGCCAGCGCGCCGCCCTTCATTCCAGCGCAGCACCAGCTGAACTTTGGAGCGTCGGCGGTGGGCCTTCCCGCCCCCGCACCCTCGGCGGCAGCGATGGCCTCCGCGTTGGCTTTGTCGAATGACCTCACCTTTTCCAGCCTGGCCGCTCTCGGACCGATGCCGCCATCGTCGATGGGTCCGCCTCTGCCCATGGGCGGAATAGGCGGTGCTCCCTTTGGCGCTGGCACGACAAGCGAGCTGCAAGACCTCGGCAAGGGCGTGCCTTTGACGAGCTTGTCCAAGGACACGCCGCTCTACATCGTCGAATTCAAACAAGGACGCACCGACCTGTTCTTCCGTTCCAAGTCGCCTCCGCACTCTCCTACCGTTCGTGATCAAGACGCTATCCGACGCGGAGATCTGGTCATTGTCGAGGCGGATCGAGGCAAAGATCTTGGCACGGTGGTCAACGACAGCATCACGGTCGAACAAGTGCAAGCCTTCCTCGCGCATCAGTCTGACCTTACGATCGGCGCTGCTACTTCGGGCGCAGCTAGCGTTCATGGTCCGACCGGGCTGCTGACGGGTGCCGGTAGCGGCGACGAGACGTCCTCCAGCGCCTCGGGCTTGAGTGCCTCACCCTCGTCGACGACGAATGCGACTCATGGGCAACTTGGCTCCGGCGGCATGGGCGCTCGACCGATGCGCACCATCAGTCCGAAGCGACTCTTCACCAAAGCCACCGCGGCCGATACGAGCACGCTCTTTTCGAAGGCGCAAGACGAGGAGCGTGCGCTGCAGCTGTGCATCTCCAAGGTGGTTCAGCGAGGACTGCCAATGAGCGTGGTGGCTGCCGAGATGCAGTGGGATAGGCGCAAACTCACGTTCTACTACACGGCCAGCATGCGCGTCGATTTCCGCGATCTGGTCAAGGAGCTCTTCCGTCTGTACAAGACGAGGATCTGGATGTGCCATCTCGGCCATCCCAGCGGCGCCGGCGTCTGATGATGGCGGGGGCTGCTTGTCTTTCACTGTCCCTTCTCTGCTTTCGGCGTCTTTCGAGCGCGAATCATCGTAGCGACCCACCCCTGTCAATGACGTGATCGCTCAGCTCCCATCACATCCCGCAGTCCCGCATAGGCTGCCCTCGCACGCGCACAGCATTCCATGTTCTCACTATCGATCAATAGGGGCAATCTGACCCCATATCCCTCTCCTTCTTCTGAGAAAGCTGTGCTGCGAAAAAAAGGGCGGCGAAATTGTGGTCCCGAAATTGAGCATCGCCTTTGCCCTCCAGGGATGGCGCAGCGGGGTGGACTTCTACAATTGCTCCCTTCTACTGTATGGCTGGGCCAGAGCGAGCGCAGATGCCGGCACGCAGGCACGAGGCTAAGCAGGTCAGAGGCACAGAGCTGCAGCAGTAGAGGCTCTGCCTGATCCTGTCTCGGGCCGTGGCTTTGGCTGTGCGAACCCTTTTGGATCAGAGCAGCAGCAGCAACATGTGACCCTGCACGAGCCAGGAAGTCAGCCACGCAAAAAGAGCAACACGCGCACGTTCAAAGTGGAGAAGAAACATCTCGAAGAAGAGAAGACCTGCATCTGCCTCGTGACCTCGCTTCCTTTTGCTCCGCCAGCCAATCATCCGGAACGCCTTCCTCCTTCCTCGTCGTCTGGCTTCTCTTCCACCACCACGCCACCAGCCACTTTCGAGATCCGAGCGGTAGAGATACCATCTTCTTCGGCTCCAATTAGATTCAGCTCCTACATCACGTATTGACTCTCCAAGATGGTTTGGTCACCTCCCGTCGCACCGTCGTCTGCCAAAGACAAGTCTAGCTTCGCATACGAGTCGACCGTCCATCGATGGCCCGCCATCTTGACCCAGGTCATCGATGGTATCTACAGCGCCAATCATGCGCTGGCCTACTCCCGTACCAACCAGACTGCCAAGATCGAGGAGGGAAAGCAGATCATCGAACAGGTCGCAGCGCTCAAGCATGACATGAGCCGGGACCGTCCTCTCGAGGCCATCGGGGTCGTCTCGAGCAAGGACGCCGACGAAGGTCCCTCGACCGAGCTCTTCGATTCGACCATCGAGAAGGAAAAGTGGACCTGGTTCTCAGCGCCATGGCTCTTCGCCGAATGCTACCTGTACCGTCTGTTGAGGACCTTCTTCGGGCGCAGCGAGCACTGGAAGCAGTACGACCCCTTCTCCAAGACTAAGCTCGACACCTTCAAGAGCTCCGGTACTGCCATCAGCGCCCTTGCTGTCACCATCGAGGATCTTGTCGCCAAGTCGCTTTCGTCCCAGCAAGGACCCGAGTCGACTCCCGAAGGCCGTGAGATTCTGTTCCACGAGATGGCGCAAATGTCGCTGTGGGGCAACGCCACCGATCTCAGTCTGCTCACCAACCTCTCGTACTCGGATCTGCAAGCTCTTCAAACTACTGGCCGCGAGCAGCAGGAAGCTCGCAGCAAGTTCATCCTGGCCAACGACCTCGACCAGGCTTGGCAGAAGATCTCGTCGCTCAAGGATGGACGGGTCGACATTGTGCTGGACAATGCAGGCTTCGAGCTGATCACGGACATGATCTTTGCCGACTGGTTGCTGACCACGCCTCACGTGGCTGAGGTAGTCTTCCATCCCAAGAACATGCCCTGGTTCGTGTCGGATGTGACACCGCCTGACTTCCGACACACGATTGAGTCGTTGCTCGAGCCCAGCTTCTTTGCGCGACGGGACGAGTCTGGACAGGATCGTCACCGCAGCGTGAGCCGTAGTCGGGACCTGCAGGCCGACCCTAGCAAGTACTCGTTCAACGCTTCGGGTGGACAGGAGATGCCTCGATCTGGTTCGCGCTCGCTACAGATGGCTGACAGCAGTGATCGTGGCCGCTCGCCTCATCCTCCAGGAAGCAAGAACTTGCAGGCCAGGGATGGCAGCGTCGACTCGACTGGACGAGGACGCGCTCCTGCGGGCAGCCGCAACTTCCAGATGGACCCTGCTTACTTCCGCAACGCTCGCAGTCAGACCATCTCTCCGTCTCGATCGTACGTCATGGACAGCGCGCGCTTCTCTTCGCTCTCGATTCACGATGAGGAAGGTGGCGACGACGAGCGCGACGGCCGAGGTCGTTCCACCACGGTCAAGGACGAGACGCCGTCATCGCAGACGCCTGTGCAAGCCATGGTGAGGAGGTGGATGAAGCACATGGAAAGCGGCCGCTTCAAGCTCTCTGTCCCACTCGACACTCTTCTCGGCGCTGATACTGGCTCTGCTAACGGCTTCTGGACTCAGCCCGTGTCGTACGCCAACATGGCCACCTACTCGCCTGAGCTGCACCAAGAGCTCGCCAGCAAGAGCGACCTAGTCATCTTCAAAGGTGATCTCAACTACCGCAAGCTCACGTCGGACGCTACATGGAAGTCGGACACGAGCTTCAAGGAGGCTCTGGGACCGCTTGCTGGTACGATCGAGATCTTGGCGCTGAGGACCAACAAGGCTGATGTGTGCGTGGGACTCAAGCCGGGACAGGAGGCGGAGGTGGAGAAGGAGGATCCCAAGTGGCGAGTGGATGGTAAGTGGGCTGTGGTGCAGTACTGTCCCAAGACCAAGTAGAGGTTGCCAGTCGGAAACGAAAGAAGAGCATGTCCTACGAAATCAAAAGATGCATTACCCAGTCACGTCGAGAGGCTGTCATGAGGGCTCTTTGCTGGCCCTTGACGGTTGCGACTTTCCACTTGACCCTATTGCCGGGGTTCCGCCCAGCTGCAATGGCTTGAACTCGCCCAAATCGATGCCTCCCTTGACGTCTGAGCCCTTCATCCTGTTCGTCTTGACCTTCTTACTCTCCTGGACGTACACGCTGTACCTGCTATACAGCACTCCTTCCGCCACGGCCGTCACCAATGCCACAAGCATGCTGACCAATACCTTATTGCCCACTTTGGCATTCCCGCTTGCCCACCAAGCAGCAGTAGCCGTGGCAAGTGCAGAGAGGAAGATGTTGAGAATGACGCTCAGTGTGCGCTGAGCGTCCTTCCACGCTTTCTCCTCTGCTTCTCTGGACAGCGGCTGGTTGGAAGACAGGTGTGGTGCGGTGGTGTGCGAAGAGATGCGTTGGCTGAGCGAGAGGGAAGGGTCGACACCAGCGATGTTGACGTAGCTCGAAGGGATCTTGTAGCCGGTAGACGAGGAGGTGAAGGTGGACATTCGTTGATACTCGGCCTGCTCTTGAGCTTGGCGGATGGCTGCTAGTGAGTCTTCGAGCTCTTTGGATCGCTGAAAGACCGGCTTGGGTGGGACGTAGACGTGAGACCCGGCGACGAGCGAGGATAGCTTTAGCTTCGCTGAGTCGATCGTTGGCTGTGCATCACTCTGAGCCCACGAGGCGATGCTGATGAGCACCTTATGATCCAGCACAATCGACGAAGGCGACGTTGCTGACTCGTTCGTGGTCGGAACAGCCGGACTGGCGGTTGTCATCTTCGGCTGCTCCGGCTGCTCCTCCAGCGCTGCTTTGAGCGATTGAACGGCGTGATGGTCCGAGTCGCTCTCACGGACCAACCGCCGCAGCAGGTCCGAGCTGGCTGCTGACAGCACAAGTCGGGTCATGCCGTCAATACAGCCTCAGGCGAAGGTTGTGGTGCCCTGTGACGATGAGGAGAGGTTGGTGTCAAGAAGGTATGCACGGCTGAGCGTGTTGAAGTGCGGAAAGCGGACCCTTCGTCCTCCACTCGACCCGCAAAAACCGGCCGAATGGAACTCTGCCTCGCTTGCGCCGGAAAAAGTGTTGGTCTCGTGTAAGACATGCACTTTGTCGATCCTTGCTCGTGTGTTACTTTGCTCGCTACGATGAACGACTTGCCTTGTCATGTCGCACATCCGCTTCTGGGGGCGAACCGCACCCGCGATGATCAGCTCGTGACTGGAAGCAGAGAAGTCGCTGACATGTCTCGGATGTCCTCAAGACGATGAGGAGTAACGAATGCGAATGGCTTCTTATCTGCTCAAAGTAAAATGTGACTTTAGCAAGTGCGGAGAAGGAAAAAGGCACCTGTCATACGTCTCGTCATGCGCCTCAACCTTGAAAGGGAAGCTGCTGCAGCCTCGAGCTGGAAGATGTGACTTCGCAAAGAGCAAGCCTAGCGTCTGCATTGCCCTAACTTAGCTTTGCCGGAGAGCTGGCGGACGGAATCCTTCTTCGCCCACTTTGAGTGTCACACGCACTCACCCACACACACGCATGCACTCCAACGCTTTGTTGCCCTTTGCGCATTTCCCGCACACGGCTCACAGTGGCTTGGTGAAAGCACAGTTGAGGTGACCGACGCCTAGCCTGGAAGGTCTCCAGCTCAAGCGGCCCGCTCTCACGGTCATCAAAGCGCTGCTTGACAGGTGGTCCTTCTGTCCTCCTCACCACTCTCGCCTGGCGAAACTCACCAAGACGGTATCTCACATCAACCACAAGTACTTGCGCGCAGCTTTTATTCAGCCTCACACTTACCTCCAGGCCTACCTGCGCCCTATCTTCTGGCCTGAACGGGCCGCTCGACGCCGACCAGAACCCTCACAAGTGCTCCTCCAGCTTTGCAGTCCATGGTCCCACCTCGTAGAGCTGCCTTTCGTCCTTCAGCCAGAAACTCCTTGAACTGGATACTTCGCGACAAAACGATAGGCTCTAGTGTTTCCTCGTGGGGCTCCTTCCTAGACCTGGCGTAGTCCGTACCGCTGAGCAAGATGGACTCCAGCACGCTCAATGTGGCTGCACCTGTCTTTCAGCCCGGTCGCTTCGCCAACGGCGCAAAACAGACGACACCACTCTCCGCCGCATCGCAAGGAGCAGCTCTCTCCGACAAGAATGGCTCCACAGTGGTGAGTGCACAGGAATCGTTGCAGAGAACGTAGTAGACAAGACAAGGCTATGAAAGCGCAAATGCTTACACCATCTCCTATGCCCCTTCTCCTCCTCATTTCTCGCAGATTCAGAACCAGAAAGCTCTCGGAAGCAGTGCACCAGGCGCTGTCTCCATGAATGCCAACTCGCGTCCGTTCGTACCCGGAGGAGCTGCCAATCTCAATGCTTTTCAGCCGCAAAGGCCGCAGACGCCAAAGACGCCCTATCAAGCTGATCAGTCTGCTATCTTTCCGGCAGCACGATCGCCGCTTCCGGTTCACGGGCTAGGACATGGCTTGCATCCAGGCAGCGTTCAGCTGACCGGCCTACCTGCCTTCCTTGCCACGCCTCCCATCGTGGGTCACATGTCGCCCTCTCCCGGCTACCCCGGACCGACATCGCCACTCTCAGCCAACGGCTCCGCTTCCGGGTCGATCAATCCCTTCTTCATGCCACAAGGTCCGGTCGCATTCGGATTGCCGCGTTCAGCTGGGCCCATCAATGGTCATATGCACTTTCGCAAAAGCAGAGGCCTTCCGCCAGTTACACCTCTCAAGACAACCGGTCACAATTCGACTCCATCCATTTCGCTGAATCCAGCCGCATTTGCCGCCAATTTGGCAGCCTTAAGGGCAAAGAAGAAGGTCATCGTCTCGCTTCCGAGAGAAAGGCCTCTGTTGGACGACGAAGCCCTACCTGCTCAGGACGAGCACGACCAAGGGAAAGCAGACACTGACGGTGCTGGCTCGCATGAAGCATGGAGCGAAGCCAATGTCGCTAAGCTTCGTCGCGCTCTTACTGCCGCCTCGACGCGGCACAACTGGCCCGCAAGACAGCCATGGTCATCAGACCGACACGATCTCATTCCCTGCATCGACTTGCCTAAGGACGCTACCGTCACTTGCGAGATCTACCCCACACCTTGGCCCTACTCGGCTGGTCTACCAGACACCATCGAGATCTATCTTCCGGGAGCCAGTGCCTGGGACGAATACTACGAGACGGCGGTCGAAGAGCAGCACATCGCGCCTGAAAGCGATGAGCATGTAGCAGGCTCGTTACTGCCTCGTCACTGGCCCTGGCTGCCTCCCAACACTGCAGTGCCGGATGTGGGAGGCAGGGCCCGCAGCATGTCTATTTCCACTCCGGCTGACCCGAACATGGTCACTTTCAAGCTCAATCGCTATCTCCAGTCGCAGCAGGAGTCGCAGCAAGCAGATCCCAGCGGGCCTTTCCGAAAGGATGCGACAGTTGCCCCGCACAACGCACACAGATTGTTTAGCCGTAGCCAGTCAGACCTGACCAACCGACTCCGTGGGGCATTTGAACGTCGTCGTGCCGACAGTGCCGATCTCAAGCTCGGTTCCACCTCCAAGCGCGGTCAGACCATGTCGCTTAGCATGCCCAGCTCAGGTGGACCCTTTGGCCCAGAAGTCTTTTCCGCTCTTGATTTGATTCGCGCCAATTCGGACGAAGGCCCATCCAAGCCTGCGTCAGAAGCTCCTCATCTGCCCGAGAAGCCCTCGTCCGACTCGGAAGCGATCGTTGGAACATCAGAGCCGTTGCTGACCAACATAGCCGAGGACGATGCCGAACAAGAGGCAGAAGCTGGACCTGCGAACCGACGATTCGGTGCTTGGACCAAAACGGCCAGTGGCAACTGGAAGGCTCTTGGAAGAGGATTCGGCTACGAGCCCGAGCCTGAAAGCGCAGGAAAATACGCACGCAGGCACGTCAGAAAGACCTCGAGGGTCTCGGTCAGCACCTCTCGCCAAGACGGAGGAGAGCTTGACGAGCATCTCGCTGATAACGACGAGGCCATTGAGATCCGTACCAACCCTAGCGAGGATGCCGATGCCTCCGACTTTGAGGAGGAGCTCGCCGACTTCGGCCCCGAGCACTGGCGGGCACGCCGCAGCAGCTTCCACCTGTCGGCCTTTGGTGGTGGCGCTCGCGGTCGATACGGCTACGAAGACGAGGCGTCCGATCTGAGCGCTGAGGACGAACTCGTTGACTCGCTCACCCCCTCTGATGAGCAGTTCAGCAATCCTTCTGACGAGGAAGCCGCCCGTAAAGAGCGCATCATGCGACGACAAATTCGTGCTGCAGAACGGACTTCTCGTAGAGAGGGTAAGAATCGTCGCCGAGATCGCGCCAACACCGACAACACGCTACCCAGCAGTAGTATCGGTGATGGTGACGTGCATGAGAGAGATCTCTACAGCTTCAAGAGCGAGACGCGCCATTTACTCCGCCGCCAGGAATGGCAGCGCTCCTTGCAGGACGAGATCATCAGCAACCCTTCCGACGAAGATCAGTCTGATTTGGACGACTCTCGCACGTTTGGTCAAAGCGAACGCACTCACGGTACTGTCGATCAAGGTCCGCGTCTCAGTCAGGACTTCCGCTTCCCACGATCACCGAAGTCAGCAGCAGTCAATCTGCAAGGCTTCACGAATCATGCTCTCGCGGCAAATCGTCCGCCCATGTCAGGAACGCTGGGTCGTGCTTCCGGCATCTCCTTGCTCAATCCAGACGCCAAGGAGTTCAAACTCGGCGCGGCCACTGCGAACAAGGATGCCTCTGTACCCAATTCTACTTTGTCTGCGGAGCACGAAGCTACGTCCGGTCACTTCCGCCTTCCTAGCATCAAGACGTCCAGCTTTGGGTCCAGCGCCCTCGGAGAGCGCGCTGCAAATGCGCCTCATCTGAACGTGAGTGCAGCTGCCTTCACTCCGAGTGCGTTCACTTTCAAGACCAGTCAGCAGATTCAGGTGCCCGATGTGTCTCGATCGGAGTCGCCTAGCATCGGCGCTCAAGAAATGGAGCGGGTTGCTGTCGCACAACAAGAACAAGCTCAACAGCGGGAGGAACAAGGTCGCGAGAAACGCATCCGCTACGGGCCTCTGGACTACGGTAGCGATGACGACCGCTATGCCATGTACAGCACAAGCCCATCTCGGCCTCAAGCATCGACGGCCAGTATCGAAGGGCCTCTTCGCGCATTCAGCACCTTGACAAGACAAGGTCCACCGCCGTTCCTTCCTGCGGGCTATTCGCAACAGCAACGAGCGGTGTCGCACGAGTCTGGGTTTGCAGCAAATGCACCTTCCTTCGTGCCATCCTGGGCAAAGGGAGCTCGTCCTTTCAGCGGTTCTGGGAGCTTCAAGCGCCCTTCTCTGCCGGATTGGGGTCAGCTGTCTCAGCGCGACACCGCAGAAGTGGCGCTGCCCTCGATTCGTGATCCTTCCTTCTTTTCGAGGGATGTTAGCAGCAAAGCCATTCCCATCCGACGTCCGTCCGAGGGCAATGAGGTGAATCCGGCGGTCAAGACTGACTCAACGCAGGACAAGAGAGCTGCAGCGGATGCTGTGACCGCAGCGCCTGTCTCTCGACAGGGCGAGGGCTCTCCTGACATCAGCACAGATGCAGATCAAACCTCGAATAAGACGCTCAAGCCTCCGGCTACCTTCTCGTCTTCTGCAGCTTCAGTCTGGTCCGCGCAACGTGCTCGACCTATCCACATTCCCGTCCGGCCCGAGAGCTATCAGTCTTCGTCTCTCTTGCTAGCTTCCGATGCTAGCCGGAGTCCATCTCTTCGGTGGGCGCATCGGAGTGCGCACTCGCGCAGCAGCATGTCGTCTATTGGCAGGCGGCTGCGTAGGCCGGATGGAGATGGAGATGACGACGAAAGCCTGAACGACTTTGTCGACGAGATTGTGGACCGCGTCGACAAAGCACTGGAAGGCTGGGCTGGCAAGATTCTCGATGAAGTCACCATCATGGGTCAAGTGCGCCCCAATCCCCGAAATGGCTCTTCCGACCCTTCATTTGATCACGACAAAATCGCACAGACGCTGTTGCGCCGCATGGAGGAAGTGTTGGACATGCATCTGGCTTCCAGCTTTGCAGTTCACGCTCGTAGGCCCACCGACTCCTCTGACGGTACCCAGACGACCATTCGACCTCTCCGCCAAAGAGATTCTTCCTCCTCCCTCGCTAAGGCCACTACTGCCTCCGGTCTCGTCGATGGATCTGGCGAATGGGACTTTGACTACGTGCAAGAGGTACTCGATGCTAAGCTCGAAGGCTTCCGCAAGCATATCGAGACTACAATGGCCCATGTGCTCGAAAAGCTTGGCTCGTCTACGCCCCCTGTGTCTGCCAGCAAGCCAGAGCCTAACGGTGAAAGCAGGGTCGGATCTGCTTCAGCCGCGAATCTTACAGAGGTCGTCTCTACGCGTCTCATGGTGCAGCTCGAGTCGATCCTGGAAGAGTACCACGAAGAGGCGAAAGAGGGATGGCTGGCGTCCGACACCAGGCTGCAGACTGCAATGCAGACCAAGCTGGACGAGAACCTCTTCCTTCTGTCTGAGAAGGGCGCGACGGAACGTGCAAGTATCCAGCAGATGCTCGAATCCGAGCTGCACGGTCTCGAACGCTCGATTGCCCAGGCTGGGAACTCTGTGCAGGGCCATGTCGAGTCCGCGCTGAAGAGTTGCCTGCCTGCGCTGCTCGAGGAGAAGATGTCTGGCGACGTGGCCTTGGCGAACAGCCTCACTGACCAGGTCGGCAAGGCTCTCGGATCAATTCTGTCAGACGAGCGCACGTTGCTCTTGGAGGAGCTCGGCAAAAGCCGTAGCATCTTGTTCGAAGCACTGCCTTCTTCGCATGAAGTTGCGCAGTCCACCCTCAACCTGGTGGCTCCTCTCGTCAAGAGCTTGAAAATCGACCCGATCGACTCGGACTCACTGGTGATTAGACTCGCCGAGGTGATTGGCAAGCAATCGATCGAACACCTGGTCGACCTGACACCGGTGCTTGCTCTCCTCGAGCCGCTAATTGTCAAGCACGAAGACGCGCGAACGTTCAGCAAGCGTATACTACAGCGACAGGAAGACACGGAACGAACGCTCTCCGAGCTGCCCTCTGCGATCAATGCCAAGACCGAGATCTTCCTCTCAAGCGCGGGCGAGACGAGCGCCAAGCAAGCTCTCATCCTGGAGAAAGTCGGACAGCTGAAAACGGATCTGCAGCAGAGACTCGATGCCGCATCTGGAGTCGCTTCTAACGACATCAAAGCACTTCACAAGACTCTCGAGCATCTGTCAGCAGACAAAGCCCTGACGCGAGACACGGCAGAAAAGACGCTCGCCGAACTCGCTGGAGTGTATTCGGTACTCAACGCTTCGTACGAAGCGCTCTCTCGACTGGAGACGCAGCAGACGTCGAGCGAAGAGACACAAGCGCAGCTGATGGGTCGACTCGAGAAGCAGGCGCAGGCGAGTGCGGATCTGGCACGCGAGCTGAGGGAAGCAGAGTCTCGTGCGATGTACGCCGAAGCACGTCGTGCCGAGCTGGAGGTCAAACTTACTGCCTCGAACAAGGACTCGGCTATGCTGCGGGATCAGCTGGCGCAGATGACGAGCGAGCTGAGCTCTTTGAAGGAAGGGCAGTCGCAGGAGCGAGAGGCGTCAGCAAAGGCGCTCGCCGAAGCAGCCGTCAAGACGGAGCGTGCCGAAGCCGCCACTGTCGAGCTGCAGGACCGACTGACGCATCACCTCGAGCAGGCAGCCACCGCCGAGCGTGAGGCATACGACTCGGCCAAGTCGATGCTCGAGCGCGCATCCAAGGCAGAAGGCCAGGTGGTCGCGCTCGAAAAGCGTATTGCAGAGCAGGACAATCGCATCACCAACCTGCAGCAGCTTACGGCGACGCAGAAGCAGAAGGCCGCACAGAGCCATCAGAAGCTGGCGGAGGGGGAGAAGCGGGTCAAGGAGCTCGAGGCAAGGGTGGTGGAGCTTGAGAGAGCGGCGGACAGGGTGGAGGAGATGGAGGCAAAGGCGGTGGAGCTGGAGGATGTGCGATTGAAGCTCAAGGAAAGTGAGGAGAGGGAGGCGGGGATGAGGGAGGAGGTGAAGCGGTACGACGAGCGGTGGGAGCAGATGGAGAGGGATCTGGTCGAGATGAAGAGGGAATATATTGAGAGGACGGATTACGAGGCGAAGGCGCAGAAGTTTGAGGAGAGCGAGAGGCTGGTCGAGCAGCTCAAGGCGCAACTCGCTGCTGTGTCATCGACATCGAACGGGTGGGACAGCGTCTCGAGGACCAGAACGGGCGCTTGGTCATCCATGCATGCTCCTCGGGTGCGAGTCGAGGACGTCGGCGCACCAGCAGGGCGTGCGAACGGGCCCACTCGATCAATCTCGTCCGCATCGACGACGAGCGTCGTCAAGGAGGTCGAGGTGGACGCTGGAGGCTGGTGGTCCTAGCGTCGGCCAAAACATATCATAAGCATGAGCATCAACACTTTCATTATTATACCTTTGTCAATTGCATCTGTTCCGCATTTCGTTGTGACCGTTGACGACTTGGTCAGGTCTTCACTCGTCGGTGTGAGAAGGTGTGTGTGACAGCCAAGTGATGCTCGTGCTGAATCGTTGGAAAGGCGTTCTTCTGGATTCAGGGTCCAAGCGCAGAAAAGCCGGAACTCGGCGCCTTGTCCTGTCACACACCGCTCCACCTCTCACTTTTTTGTGTCCCACCACCCTCTCACATACACACCTGGTTTTCCGCAAGTAAGAAGCATGTCACGCCGGCTCGTGTCGTATAGCGATCTGGATGGTGCGCCTTCCACCGAGGCAGGCGAAGAAGGGCTGCCGGGGATGGGCGAAGCTGGTCCGTCGGCATACCACACCACGAACGGGAGCGCGAACAAGAATGGTGGTGCGGGGAAGCGCAAGCGTGCCGATGCTCAAGGAGTCGGAAAGGGACAAAGTGAGAAGCAGCGCAGGAACGGAGGCCAGGTGCACTGGGATGATCCGAGCTACATTCCCGCGGGTGTGGAAGAGGATGCGGGTGGGTATCGCGCTGAGACGGCGACGGACGGGGTGGACGCTGTTGGAGAAGACGGCCTGGGTGAAATAGGGCATGGTGACTATGACGACTGGGAGGAAGATCATGGGGAAGCTGTCTCGTCTACAAACGGTGCAGATCAGCCCTATACCAACTGGAAGTATGATGAGTGGGGAGAGCCGTACGACAGCACCTATCAGGAGAACGAGTTCGAGGCCCACCCTGATGATTACTACGAGGACGAGGAGGACCCCGCTCGCACCGACTCGGATTCGAGCGAGGACGACACCCTTTTGCCATTCGCCATCCCAGACGTGGCCGCGTACCACGCCTCCCTCGCCCCCACCTCTTCTACCGCCACCCTCTCCACCACCCCGCATCGCCCGCCTTCAGCCGTCGGAGGGGGCGGCCGAACCCTAACGCACACCGAAATTTGGTCCTCCACCAGCATCGTTGGCGCCTTCAACGCGGCTCTTGCACAATACTGCTCGATGCACTCCCTCCCGGTGGGCGCAAAAGGGGCAAGCTCGGCGCTGTGGGATGACGCGCCCGGGTTTGACTCGCTCCTCGCGCAACAGGTTCGGGAGGATACCGCACAGATTCTTGCCCAGCGCCGCACGCATCCCGCCAACACAGCGAGTGATGTGGTCGCCCTTGAGGCCAGTGTAAAAGGTGTCATAGGAGAGGAAAACGGAACAGGGGGAGGAGGAGAGGGAACGAGTATGAAGAAGAAGCAGAAGGGTCCACCACCCAATCCGCCCAAGCATGTGGTGACGCATGTGCCTCATGGGGAGATGGATGGCAACAGGGCTTGGAAGAGGGCAGTCAAGACGGTGCAGACCACGCCGAATCAGGTTGGGACCATAGCCTATGCAACACAGCACGATGCGATAGCGGATGGGGTCCGCGATCACGCGGGACTGCGAGAGAACGAGGGCTCAGATAGGAAGATAGATCAGGAAGGCAAGGCGGTTCAGGAAGGCAAGGAGCGCCCGGGAGAAGATGGAACTGACGCAGAGAAGACGCAGAGAGAGGCAAAGAGGAAGCAAAGGGAGGCAGAACTGCATGCGTACTGGTATGCGGGCTATCGGGCTGGTGTTGCTGCTGCCCACGCCAAGGCTAATGAGGCACAGGAGGCAGTTGGCGAAGAGGCAGACGAAGCGATGGCTGCCACCGCAGACACCTCACCCGTCGTCATCGCTGACACCTCTTTCGTTGCCGTGGAAGCCAACGACCCCGCCGTCCAGACGATCGATGCCTCATCCAGTTGAAATTGCATCATCACCTGTCATGCACAAGCCTTTCGCAGACAGTGACACATGGATCTTCGGTTTGCGTGCGTTCGATTTGAGTGTTCTTTGTGATGTTGTACAGGGTCGGTCTACTTTGATGAGGCTTTCAATCGTCGATCAATTGATCCACACTAGCGCTCCTCTCCCTTTGCATCTGCGCATCGTCGCTCTCCCTCCTCGCCGCATCTCCAGGGGATACATTCGGTCCCCTTCTTCCCTCGGCACTCTCCTCCCGTCCACTGCCACCACTAGGCGGCTCCATGGGCGATTCGCTGCTGGCACTGGCCGAGCTGAGTCTCGCCTGCGCCGCAGCACTCGCCGCAGCACTTGCCGCTGAATCACCACCCATCGACTCGCGCTTACTCGCACTCTCCTGCTCCTTGAACTTCTTCCACCGCGATCCGCAGCGGTCGCACAGCGTGCCAGGGCCGTTGGGCCCACGGCGAAACTTGGCATCGTGCGGCGCGGCACAGCTGCTGCATGTGCGATTCTTCGTTGAAGCCAGCTTGCGGATCGGATAGCTAGATTCGGACGAGGGGGTGAGCATGAAGCTCCCCGGTCGCGAGACGGGGTGCGTCGGCGGATCCATGTCGTGGCGAGGAACCTTGCGCGAACGCTCGAGATCGTCCGCTTCGTTTGCGTGGTCGTAGTGCACCGATGAGTAGGCTGGCGTGAAGGAGGTGGATGATGAAGTTGAGGGATAGGTCGTTAAGGTGGGCATGGAGGAACGATCACTGCTGGAGGTGAGGTAGGCCGAGCTGGATTGGGGGGAGCGGGCACCGTAGCGAGGGGCCAGGGGCGGACGGTGGGGAGGTTGGCCGTTGTAGCGATCCCCTCGGTCGTCCGCGTAGGCGAAGTCGGTCTCGTGTGTCGGCGGGCCGAGCGGCATGCGAGTGGAGTGTCGCGGATCGGGACCGTCGTGCGGATCGTGGTGCAGGTCTGCGTAGGATCGGTGTCGAGAAGAGCCTGGGTGGCCGGAGTAGGATCCAGGCGGAGACATTTGGTCGTGGTGAGGGCGCGAGGTCATGCCAACGGGGGTGCTGTGCGGTGCCTCAGTGGTGATCGTGACGGAAGCGCCAGGGCCGTCGCCGTGAGCCACATTGACGGATACAGCGTTGGAGCCAGGCGCAGAGGGGCGCGGCTCGTAGTCTCCAGGACGAGAGCGTTTGACCCCCATCATCGGCTGCGGCGGGTGTTGCTGACTGCGGGACGACGAAGTGATGTGATCGCTGGGGCCTAGATGCTCGGAATGTCGTTCGGCGCGTTCTCGAGGAGCATCGGGCACACCTGCGAGGTCGAGACGGCGGGCAAGATCATCGCGCTCCTGTTCGGCGTGGCGAGCTCGCTGTGTGGATCGCTCGAGTTCGCGGCGGAGTTTCTCGAGATCGACATAAGCTTGGGACCTCTCGGTGGGAGCCTCGCCGTTGACGCCGTAGACCATTCGAGCTCCGACGAGGGCTCGGACGAGAGGCTGCACGACGTCGTCTAGGTAGGTGCGTTCGAGCAGACGCTCGGCGAGCGTAGTGGGCACAAAGGTGGCCTCGTCACTGAAATCCGGCATCATGGCATGGGCTGGGCCGAAGACACCGCGCGGAGCCGGATGATCGAACTGAATGGAGTCGGATCGTTTGGGGCGGTTGGCGTACGGCAGATCGGGATGCCGACCGAGGGCGGCGTGGGGCGAGTTGATGAGAGGATTCGAGGCTGACATGTTGGCAAAGGGAGAGGGAACGGTTCAAGATGAGCTGATCCCTTTAGTCGAAGTCGTGTATGTTCGTCCAAAGAGATGTGAGGTCAATCACCGGATGTGTAGATCCAAAAGAAGATGTCGAGGAGATTGGGGCTTTCGATGAGGCAAGGAAAGCACTGCTTGTCTAGAGAAGGTTGCCGCGATCAGCGAGCTGCAATCCTTCCCGAACAGGCTTTCGTGGTGGAGAGGTTAAGACAGACCACCACTGCCAAGCTGTTTGTAAGTGAGACAGATGAGATCCGTCTTGAGTAGAGGGGTGGTCTGGGTGCTGGGTCCAGGAACTGGATTCGTAGGTGCAAGCAGAATTAGATCAGGGTGTTATGGATGAGATCAAGAGCATGTGGATGGTGCTGAGGCTGATCTCGGAGGGCACAAAACTTTGTGATCGAGTCCAAGGAATGAAGCCGTCAGCGAGAAAGCCGGCTGAGTCTTTATGAGTCCAGGTTGAGAATGAGGCGTCACGAGTCGGGAGAGAACCGGAGACCCAGGAAAGGAGGGCGATAAGATTGATCGTGAGGATGAGGAGGCTTGCGATGGCGGAGGCAAGGTGGGAAGCACCGGCGGCGTGGAATGAGTGTAACGCGGCTTTGGTGGGAAAGAGGAAAAGGTGGGAGGTGATGGGGAGAGCGGAGTCAATCCGATGTTCCAGACAAAAGCAGAAACCTCGCCCGGCGCCTTGGGTGACGAAAGGAGGGTTCAGGGTCAGTTTATGGGTGAGCGAGAGAGAGAGGGAGAGACAGAGACCGAGAGACAGAGGCTCAGCCGGGGGGTCAAGAGGGTGGGTTGGTGTGCCCTTCTCTCGTCTGTCACAGCTGACGAAGAGAAGAATGCACGAATAACTCAAGCACAAAAAGAAAATAAAAAAAGAATAAATTTAAGGCGTTGGCGGGCTGATGATGCAAATCATCAGAAGGCCGGGTCGAGGACTTAGGCATGCTCGCCTGTCATCAACCAGCTTGAACGGAATCAACGGAGGATGAGCGAGTTCTTTTGGCCCAGGCACGGGGAACGGCACAACCCGCTTGACCAAGCAAAGGAAAGAAAGGTTGACACACCAGGGACAGCCAAAAAGTCGGGGAAAGCAGGCACCAGAGCAGAGGGAGTTAAAAAAAGAAAACCCCGAAGCTTAAAAAAGCAGCATGGCGGTGTACCACGACGAGGCAGCGAACAAGAGCGTAGCGAGAACGGAGATACCGCGGTTGCAGCCCGCGCAGCCAGTAGTATCACAGCATGGAAGGGTCGCTCGCTAAGAAAAAAACTCTAAATGTGATGGTGTCTCGGATGCGACCGGTCTTACGGGCAAGAGAAAGGACGCACCGTAGCACGCAACCATATCCTGCAGCCCTGGCCATCAGCCACCGGCGACTCCATACCGTATCTTTTCCGCTTCGAGCCGAGAAGCCTGCCCTCTAAGCAAAGTGACAACCAAACTCGAAAATCGGGGCACCCGTTGCTGAGAGTGCTGTCGGTGTTTCCGCAAAGCATTCTGCGCGCGCCAAGCCGAAAGGCCGACCTCTCTTCTGTTTGCATCTGTGGTCGAGCAGTGGGGTGGGAAATCATCTTGGCAAGGCTCAACGTGTCCAAGAGAGCACAACGTGCAAATTCGCCGTCCAGTCTGCAGCTCATTGAGTTTGATGCGATATGAAACAGGAGCACGGAAGTTGCATGGTCGATCTGAGTTTGAGCATGCGTTGGTCACAGATCTCATATAGGCTTCCATTGTGACACTTGCTCAACTTGAATCGCAGCACATTGAGCTGATTGTCTGGGAGAGCGCCGAACCCACGGTTCTGGTCCCAACCAGCACACATCCCTCTCGAAACTTGCGTAGACCCACCGCCTCGAGGCTCGTCTCTCTGGTGGTGGGGACCCACAGCGGCGGCGTTGCCTTTTCCAGTGATGCGGTCAGCCTGGCTTAGACAGAACTCGAGTCATTTCCACTCTTTGACAGTCGCTGCTCGTTGATGCAATCCCACCTTAACCAAATTGCTCGGCAAGCAATACCCCCGAGACACCGTTCCCATGAGGCCTACCGAACATCGCTTCCTCGATCAGCTTCTGCTCGAATGGCGAGCTTAATTGGCTCTGCTCGGAACTCGTCTCCGAAGTGTGATAGCGCCATCCGTTCGACGCAGACGATCTTCTGCAGAGAGCTGCATCGTAGCCAATTTGACCCAGCAACCTTATCCAATGCATGCGAAGTTGCGGTGCCTCGATTTGGTAATTGCAGGTGAGATGGTCGGACCTTGAACCCCTTCTCACACGCTCACCCGCGGCAGAGATCATTGCAGCACAATCTGAAAGCCTCTCGTCGCATGTTGCAGCAACAGCAGCTGTCTGCCAAACCATGCCCAACACCCAGCTGATCGAGTCGGAGTCGCACAGGTGTGTTTCAAGTTCGTCTTTTTGTTTGTCGCCTTTGCCGAACGGGCCGATCAGCAACGAGGCTCCACGCTCGACGGTCGGCTCATCCGCGTGTGATTGTCCCAAGACAGTTCGGAACAGCCACGTTCTCCCACGCTTTACTAGCTTTCGGCGCTGAGCCGACCAGGTCCAGCTCATCACTGAAGGCGTCGAGTCAGGCAACCGCCCAAGCGAGCCTCGATCCGACAGACCTACTCAGAGTTTCTCCGTCCGGTCGAGCCCGGCGTAGTCTGCATTCTGTTCTCGTCCCTCGTCTCCTCGCGCTTGTCCGACGATTTATGTGCCTCAGTTCGAACCTACCGAGTTGGTGACAAGGAAGCAGTCTGGCCTCGCCGATCGTGCAGCGCTTCCTGTCTCGATCCAAGCGATCCCGTCCGATCGAAGCACTTGCAAGCCTGACAGCCATTCCACTTGACTGCGCTGATCTGTCGCTTACGCCCTTCTGTCCCCCGCGCATGATTTCTGCATGGACTCGCGCCTCCTTTTCGGACTCTTCGGTCGAGGGTCACAGCTTGTACCAGGTCGGAGGTCGGCACACTCTCCTTCTGAACCCACGTCAGCCTGATCATCGACGGGCGCCGCTTCGTCTCGAAGTTCTCGAGCAGCCTATGAAGCACGCACCCGGACTCTGCCTTTCGATACACTTGAATCTTGGCGGCGCCACACCCTCTTCGCGACTGGGACAAGGGTCCAGGCCCTGGCCGCGTGCACATGGGCAAAACCCTTGTTTGCCACGGCTCGTCTTCCACCTCCCAATTTTGCTTTTCGATCGCCGCGCAGCGGGCATTCGGGCCTGTACCTCGACGAGACACGATCAGGAGACCTACGTCTGCTGTTCAAGAACTCACGGCGGAGCTGAAATCAACCGACCGGAAGGGACGGTCAGATTGCGGTGAGAGAGCGGGCTTGCATTGCAAGCGAGCGCGCATGCCGTCGATCGAGAAGGGTGCGGTCTTCGGCCTGTTGCTCTCTTGGACAGCCCCGTCAACAATGGCCTGATGTCCGTACGACCACGCGCGGAAAGCCGCAACACCGGCGTTTGTGGCAAGCGAGAGGATGTTGCATTGCAGCATACCTCGTCAGAAGGGACGTTCAACCGCCTCCCATCCCGGCCCTTCGCGGTCCATCAGGAAGGCCTAGGTCTGGCGGGCTGACAGCGCAAGGCACTCGGTCGTGACCCCGGTCTGCTCTTCGCGCGCGACATCGAGAAAGCGGCCCGCACTCCGCCCCTGCTCGTGGGCACCAAGGGCTCGAATCGGACAATACCTCGCACAGTCGACAGTCGACGGCCTTCTCGGTCGCCACCACGCTCACAAGAGACCTGGGTGAGGTATGACCCCGGCCGACTTTCGATCTCCGGACCTGTGCCACCAGAGTGTGGCTTGACGCCGTCCTCAGCTCCGTCCAACTGCGCGTAGTTTCACGGCGCGATCCACGATGCAAGCCACCGTCTTGTGCACCGTTCACGGCAACCCGTGAGACATGTCCGGGTGTCGGGTTGGCTTCGTCGCCCGGAACCCTCCATCGAGACTCCCATCTCCTCACCTCTAGTCGCAGCGGAGTCCGGGCGCTTGGTGTCGTAGATCTTGCGCGCATGCAAACTCGGCGACACACAGACCGCAACGGGCGGAATTCAACATACGACGTCGATGAAGGCCGCTGACTGCCTCGCATATGTGTAGCTGCGGACCGGGTTGAGCGACATTGGCCGGCGAGATCGATGGAAGCCCGCTGACAATTCCGTGGCAAATTCGGTCATGAGCGGACATCCCTTGCAGCGGGTCAGCGTAGCAATAGGTCACGGACTGGACATCGAAAAAGGTGATGAGCGCGCGCATTTCCTCTTCACCTGCGCTTGACGATCGAAGTACAAGCCTAAGCCTGAGCCTCCCCATCTGCTCGAACCCGCTCGCACTGCTGCCGATATGAGGAATGAGCTCAGACCATGTTGAAGATGATGAAAGAAAGCGCCGCTTTGTATGAGCGAGCTGTTCAACCTTAATCCTAGCCCACACGTCAGGGTCCTGCCGCCCAGGCAGTGGATGACGATGATCCTTCACTCGCACGAAAGATTTGCGCTCAGGGTCTGGCTCGCGTCGCGTCTTTCTCTGCATGGCTGAATCTGCCTGTGAGTTTTGATCATGCAGGCTAAGAGAACCCTTCTTCATCGAAAAAGCGAAAGCGGAAAGGGAAGACCACACCGGCCGAAGATCGTCGGCCGACCTTCATATCATCATCGACCGCAATACAGCACCCGAACGAGCGCTCAGTCGTATCCAGCGCCGCCGGACAGTCATTCGGAAAAACCAACGCAGCACTCACGATTCGGCATTGGACACCGGGCGAGCACAGAGCCGTCGGTACTCGGAATCCATCCGCTCCCCTCCTTCTCCATCACCACCACCGGCCTCATCGCGAGGCGCGTGCGCGGCGACGCAGTGGTCCAGCTGCACCTTCCGCCTGGTCAGCCCACTGCTGGAGACCGATGCAATAACGAACACGACTTCCACCTGTGGCACAACTCGCACGAGGCGAACATCTTGGAGACGCCGCTGGAACGTCGACTGCCCTTTATCCGAGAGTGAGGTGCTTGCTACAAGGTGACAGAGAAGGGCTTACAGCTGAGCCCGCTGAACATTGAAGGTGCAAGGGAAAGAGTCACCATGTCGTCGCTCTACCATCCTCACCCATCCGAGGACGACGAGCCATCCAACAAGCGCCGCAAGGTCAACACCTGCCTCCAATGCAAGGCGCGCAAAGTCAAGTGCGACAAGGTAAGGCCGCTCTGTGGTCCCTGTCAGCGTCGACGTGTTCCGGCAGACCGATGTGTGTTTGCGGACGAGGCGGATCCAGAGACTTTGCAGCACTACTTGGGACCCGACTACCTGGCTCAGCAGGGATACGATGTCAACGAGGTCGACTCACAGCCGAGCACATCAGCAGCAGGGCTGCTGGGTCTGCAGAACCCACAGGCTCGTGCAGTGCTGGACCGGATCACACAGCAGATGCGCCAGGGACAAGAAGCGAATGGTGAGCTCGGCGCAGCTTACGGGTCAAATGGAATTCTAGGGGGCGATCAGTTGAACAACAATGGTGTGGCACAGGCCGCAGCAGCTGCAGCAGCAGTCGATCCTAGCTTGGCCGGAAGCTTATTGGCGAGCAGTAGTGTCGCAGCCAACGGCAGCTCTGCAGGCAAAGGCGATGCTGACGCAGTTAGCACTCTGCTGGAAGGCAACCTGTTCCCCTTTGCATGCGAGCCGACGCATGATCGCACCAAGCTCATCTTGGGACTGCTTCCCAACGACCACGTCGTCAATGTGCTGCTCGACAGCCTGCGCACCTTCGAGACCAAGTCTCCGCTCGGCATCAGTTGGCGTCTCATCCGAGTGCAGCTGATCAACCTGCGTGGCGACATTTCGGACTGGAGGACGGGCCAGCTGGAGGAGCCCGATGTCGATCTGACTTTCCTAGCGCTTCTGTTCGAGCTCATGGTGGCGGCGATCGACTGCAAGCCCGTCGAGGAAATCATCAGCGAAGGTATCGCTCTGACGGCAGAACAGGTGCCAGAGATGACAGAGCGCTGGCATGCTACCTGCCAAGCGCTTCTCGCGATGAGTGACTTTTGGCACGAGCCCAACTTCAACACGGTCTGCACCGAGTTTCTGTTCTATCTCTACGAGCTGCGACGAGGGCGAACACGAGTCGCCTCACATCATCTACAGAGCGTCAGTATCGCTGCAGCTGTCCCGTTCACCACGTCTTCTCACTGACACGTTTCGAGATCCGTCGCATCAATTTCTCACAGTCATTTCAAAGCGCAAAGGCGATCTGCATGCATCAGCTGGGCTCGGCTCAAGACGATGCAGAGAGATGGCAGGCCACTGCCGAGACGGACGATGTCACCATCCGAACGGGCGCGGTCACAGCCATGCGCAAGGCGCAGTTCGAGGGTGGCGAAGTGTACGCCATCAGCGAAGAGCAAATTGCACTCGAATCAATCCGCGATCCTTCCACCGTTCGTCGTCGAGAGCTGCTGCAGACCAACATCCCCGATCGCACGCACCTCGTTCGCGAAGCAGCCCGCATGTTGTGGGTATCGATAAAGTGGCACCTTGGAATGATCACGCCACCTGCGCCGCTCGGGGAGCCCATCGACAGCACGAGCTGGTCGACATCACTTGGCTCGATCGACGAAGCACACCTCCCCGACGGCGAGTCGGCCGCTCTCCCAACAGGCACGAGTCTGAGCTCGATCTCAACGCACTTCTTCCAATTCCTGTCCGCATCAACGCAGTTCCTCCTCCGTCACCAGTCAACTCAGCACGCCTCCACAAACGGCACCGACCTGCTGACCACCATCTCGGAATGGAACAGCATCGCCGAGTCGCACCTTGCGCAGATGCGCGATCTCGTCGGCGCCAACCGGGCGATGCTCAACCATTTCTCCCTGCTCATCCATCACTGGGTTCGAATCCGACTCCTTCGTCCGCACCTTCACCAGCTTGAATCCAGCACCACCCTTTCTGCCTCACGGACGACGCTCACCACCTCCTGCAGCGAAGCCCTGCTGCAAGTGCAAAAGATCATCGCGGCCTCCGATGTGGACCTGTCGATCTTTGCTCCGCTGATCGTAACCGTTAAAGTGGACGCGACGCTGCTGCTTGCATTGCATCTGCTGCATCGAGCCGGGTCGAACGATTATAACTCCTCGTCGGAGTGGCGCGAGGTGCGAAGGGTGGCCAAGAGCTCGTTGTTGTTGATCTGGACACATGCGGAGGATGCGAAGCGCGGAAGGGTCAAGGGCACGCGGCAGCTGGTAGAGGAGGTGTTGTTGGCGGCGTTCGAGCGGAAGGCGGTGGCTCTGCGAGAGCTGCCCCGGGTAAAAGGCGAGGACGAGGAGGAAGGAGCTGGCGAGCTGGATCGGGAGGATCGGTTGGATGCGCATCTCGGTGCGCTCGGTGGGGAGTCGGGTTTGAAGGTGTACAGGGATGCACTGTTGGGTGGCGAGAAGGTGCCGCCGCTCTTCTTCGAGCTCCTGGATGGCTATGTGCGCACGCTCTGAGGCATTCCACACAACGAAGTAGCACATAACGAAGACTGAAGTAGGATGCCAGGAATGTATTATCAAACGGAAGTATGCACGATCAAAACAACAAAGTGGTATCTAACCTCATCGTCTACCAGCGGACGGGATCGAACAGCTGTGCCTGACTACTGCTCGCATCCGGATTAGGCAAGTCCAGCCTGTTCCTACTCATGCTCGTCCGTCCAAACCCGTCGTCGTAGCCCTCGAACCTTGTGCTTGGCCTCCTCAACGACCTAGCACCGACGCTCTTGGTCTCTTCGACGTTGAGTTCCGACCCGATCCCTGACAGCGCTTGAATGTGCACGTCGTCCACCACAATGCCACTGGACCTCCTACCGGTGAGCGCGTTCTGGGGGAACCTACCCCTGAGATGCACGACGTCGTGACCCGGCTTGGTCCTCCTTCCTCCACCACCGAGAGGACCTGGTCCTCTGAGGGTGGGAATGCAGGCATCGTCGGGAACACCAACCGCCTTGGCAGATCCCCATCCACCACTGCCCTGCACCTTGGCCGCCACGTATTCGCGCAACAGCATCAACCCCTGCGTAACCAAGAACGCCGTCACGGCGCAGACCGCCAACAGGATGCACACGCACACCACCAACGGCACGCCAAACTGCTGCACGTTGAAAAATCCATACACCCACACGCCGAATCGTTTGTAGGTAATGTCGACAATCCCCAGATAGAGCGCGAGGATCGAGACGAGCGGGATGAGGTGCCACCAAGGCCGGAGGGGTGTTCTCGATAGAACGATGAGATCGAGTGCGGTAAGCACGTAGTTGAGCGTGTGCTTGCCGATATTGGCGAATGCCGAGTAAGGGTCACCTAGCGGATTGGGTCCACGAAGAATAGACCAGAAGATGACCAGCACCACCAGGGGGAAGGACGACACCGTCGAGACCAAGAACGTATGAGCCACCTGCAGCGGGCGCGGAAAGCTTCGGGAGAGCCAAGATCGAGGATAGCGCGCACCGATCTCAAACTCGGATGTCTTGCGATAGGTGAGGTGGGATTCGATTCCCTCGTGGGTGGTGGTTGGGAAAGCATCGATGGCGGCCTTGTGTCGAGCGATCTCGATGCGCGCCGCTCCGTTGAGCGGATAAGCCTTTTCGAGCATCTCAATCCTTCCCTCCCCTGCAGCCTTGCGAGCTTTGGTCCATCGCCGAAGAGACCACCAGAAGGAGACGGTGTGAATCGCGCTGATGACAAAGTACGTCGTGTCACCCCAGTAACTGAGAGACGTGAAAAAGGTCACGGTGCCAATGCCTTCCACGGCAGCAGTGGCGAAGGCGGTCACCAGCATGTAGATCGCCACAAGAACCCGAAATGCCGCAAGCGCCGGAACGGGCAGGAGGTAGGAGGTGACATAGCAATGTTGTGGGTCGAACGGCGTATCGACGCCGAGGTGGTGGTAGAGCTTGGTGGTGAAGCCCGAGACGTGCGGGGGAAGCTCCTCGGGTTGCGGGTCGACGAAGCCGTGTGTCGAGTGCAACGGCGGCGTCGTGTGCGAGGCTAGGTTGGCCATCGTGACGACTGCCTGCTGACAGGGTGATGATGGGGATGGTGCGAAGATTGCGAGGACAAGCACGGAGACATAGAACCTTCTTATACTCCCACAGACATCACAGGCAGCAGGGCACTCGGAACGTACCACAAAACGAGGGCTATTGGTACGGACGGCTCGCAGCCAAAAGACAAGCAAGAGCAAGCTGGTTGCGAAGGCATGGCTGAAACCTGTACAAGTCTAGCCTGCCGCTTGCGATGAGCACGAAGCGCGGGAGGGAGGGGCGGCTAAGCGCTTGGCGAAAGCCTCGTCTGTCTCGCCAAACTCGACAGCGGCAGTCGGGGTGTAAATCTGATCTCGTCGACTGCGTTATCTTCCGGCCTCATCTTTCTGCCTCCTTCAGCCCTAGTCTGAATGCGCACTGGGCTAGCAAACATGCGCACACTCTGCTAGCAGGCATCTAAACAATCGGAGAACGCTCTCTCTCAGCAACTGTGATAGCTTGATTTGTTGAAGGGGCGCAATGTGGCAGCAGTCTGTAGGAAATTGTGCGATTCCGCATCCGCCCTAATTTGGTACGAAAGCGGCGTTTGACGTGAGACAAAAAGTCCAGCCTCCGACCGCTTTCTCAAAATTGCACACTGGCAAGCCACCGTGTCGCAATGCGTGGGCGCAAGCAGAGTGAGACCTCCAAGAACGCCTCTCAACGCTAGCGCAGCGCTTAGCTCGTCCCGTCGTCCAATCTCAAACGTGCTGACCCTCCGACTGATAGGCAAGATGACTCAGGGCCACATGTTTGTGTATCAAATGGTACGGGCCGGCGAATCGCGGAGGATGGATGTTGCTCCTTTCGCTTGGGAGGTATCGGCGATGCGCAATCAGATCCGCGGGGGAAGCCATTTTTTTTGGTCGGGGCGGAAGGTGTTACACCGCTTTCGCGATCAAGTTGAGAAAATCGCAGTCCTTCCGACTTCCTCGGCTGGACCCTTGAACCTTCACTTCGCACTTCCAGCAGGTAGCCATCTCGACCAACTGACACCGTCCTGCAGTGGACGTCAGAAAAAGATGGCTCCGCCGCCGCCACCAAAGACGGCGTCAAGGATCGCTCGGCCAGCCGCACGGTATCGGCCCGGCAAAGCTCCTCTAGGAGCAGGGGCATCGCTCGACGACTACTCGGACTCGGACGACGGCGAAGTGCGCGAAGACGATCACGATGCGCATCAGGTCGGCGTGACAGACCTCTCACCCGGAGCCGCCGCACTCAGCCAGCAGAGGCGGGCAGCAGGAATCGTGATCAGCGAGGCTGGTCCGAGTAGCAAGAAGCTTGACTTGCGGCTGCACTCGAACACCGGGGCGGAACAGCAAGGCGAGTCGTCCGAGTACGAGACGGATACGGACGAGGAGCCTCCCTCCAAGCCGGTGTTTCGCAAACCCGGTGCGGCGACCGTGACCGCTCAGCAATCTACCGCGGTGGAAGACTCGTCAGAGTACGAAACCGACTCGTCCGAGGAAGAGGAGTCAGCACCACAACCGCTGCTCAAGCCGATCTTCGTGCCTAAACGAGCGCGCACCACCACCCAACCCGATCCTGCCCCATCTCAAGCGTCAGTCGAGCATGCTGCTGAAGCACTTGCCGCGCAACGTCGGCAGGAAGCACACGACCTAGCAGCGTCCACCATCAAACGCTCTCTCGCCGAAGCGGAGCACGCCGACACCCTCCGCACTGACGTCGACGACACGGACGGTCTCGACCCTTCTGCCGAGTTCGAAGCTTGGCGTCAACGAGAGCTCTCCCGTCTACATCGCGATCGCGACGCCCTCCTCACCCTCCAAGCGGAACAAGCCGAGATCGAAGCCTTCAAATCCCTCCCCGAAGCGGAGAAAGAACGGTTGGGTCGCGAACGGGCCGCCCAGCTCCAAGCCGAGAAGAGAGAGCAGAAAGGTAACCCTGCTTTCCTGCAAAAGTACTACCACAAAGGTTCGTTCTTCCAAGACATGGATATTCTCAAAAGAGACTATACGGAGAAGACGAGTAAGGATGTGGATGTGAGTCAGTTGCCCAAGATGATGCAGGTGAGGGGGTACGGCGTGAAGGGGAGGAGCAAGTGGACGCATTTGGCGAATGAGGATACGAGTAAGGGGGCGATGCGGATGGATGTGCGGGCGGGTGGGGGGACAGGGTGTTTCAGGTGCGGTGGACCGCATTCGAAGAAGGATTGTCCCGAGGCGAGTGGTGCAAATAGGGCTCAGGTGAGTGGCGGAGGGGAAGGGAGTAGGAAGTGGGGTCAGAACGCAGGTGAAGAAGAGAAGAGGGAGAGGGAAAGGAGTCGCAGCCCGCGACGAGACTCACGGAAATACGAACAGGACGGTCGTGATGCAAGCTCACGAGGTCGAGACGAGGACGACTCCTCTCGACGCCGTGACAAGGAGTCACGCTCTCACAGGTCCCGAGATGACCGGGAGCACGCAAAGCATTCTTCATCATCTTCACATCGGCACGACCCCGAGAGCAGGCATCGTCGCCATCGTGATGACGACCAAAAGCACAGTCAGCGTCACCGCCACGACCGGAATCGCGATCGCGAAAGCGACCGTCACCATAGCAGTCGACACCACAACGAGCATCGCTCAAGGTCCGATCGACATGACGAAGATCGCAGCGACAGACATAAACGGCGGGATCGCGACCATCGTCACCACGACAGCCGCAGAACTCGAGAAGATGAGTCGGACCGCAAACGGTCGCGACTCGAAACCTGACCTTCGCATATCTGGCTGCGATTCCTGCAATGCATCTGTACTTGTATCCCTCGAGAGTCCTAAAGTGTGTCCGTGATCACAGGCTGAAAGGCCAACAAGCCATCCGAGATGAGAATAGCAAAACGTGCTCCGCATTAGACTAAACATTGGTGAATCAACAAAGCCTCGCACCGATGTCTCGGTCGCAGAAAGGTATCAAAAATGGAAGAGAGAACAGCCGCCTGACTACCTCGAGTGAAGGGGGGCGCTTCTAGCAATTGCAGCCGCTCTGCTGGTTATCCTGGTCGATTCGGATCGGGTCGGGGTAGTCCGCATACAACTCCGCCTCAGCCTCCTGTTGCAGTGCGGCCCTAGCAATGGTCTGAAAGGCCTGTTCGACGTTGATGGCCTCCTTTGCGCTCGTCTCAAAGTAAGGGATGTTGCCCTTGCTCTGGCACCACGTCATGGCTCTCTTCTGGGAGACCATGCGTTTGCTCTCCTCGACATCGATCTTGTTGCCGAGCACGACGAAGGGGAAGTTTTCGGGGTCGTGCGGGGCGGCTTGGATGAGGAACTCGTCGCGCCACGAATCGAGCGTCTCGAAGGATTTGGCGTTGTTGACGTCGTAGCAGAGACAGCAGCAGTCGGCACCACGGTAGAAGGCGACACCGAGGGATTGGAAACGCTCTTGACCGGCTGTGTCCCACAGCTGCATGGTCACGAGTCGGTCGTCCACCATCACCTCGCGGGTTAGGAAGTCTGCACCGATGGTCGCTTTGTACGCCGAAGAGAAACGCTTGTTGACATCTGCGAGAGGCAAGAGAGCAGGAGTCAGTCAGATACGAGGTCGCAGTTATCGTAGTGAGGAGCATGGGAAGATCTTACATTGGTTCATCAGCGATGTCTTGCCGACACCAGAGTCGCCGAGGATGATGACCTTGAGGAGGACCTTCTTTCGAGACGCCATGATGGTTGAATGTGTTGCGGATTGCTACGCCGAGTCGAAATTTGTGTAGACTTGCAACAAGGTCCTAGAGCGTGAAGAGTAGAGCGTCCTTTCGCGATTGCGCTGAGCTGAGTGTTGTTCGTGGTGGTAGTGATGGCGGTAGGGGTGATCGTGATGGTGAGGGTCTGAAGAGATCAACACGTTCAAGATAGCAACTCGGCTGACTTTGGCTCTCCAAAAAGGTGACCCGCACAGGCGTCAGATGTGGAGTGTTGGCTGCTCAGCACACACAGAGACTGGCCTGGAGCCGCGCCTGTCAGGGGCTGCTTGGTTGGCCGTTGATTGTGTTGATGCAAGGCTGGGAAATTAAGGAATCCGCACCACTGCCTGCCGATCCTGTCGTCATGGCCCAGCTCGCTTTTGTGAGATCCAAATTCAGGTCCGGCCTAACAAGCTCACACCGAAAATCGAGCTCAGCACCCCGTTCTTAGCAATTGGACCCTGAATCACGCTCAGACTACCCTTCACACCTCACTTGCCTCGACCACCATCCTTATCTGCCGACGTTCTCTGCGGTCTGCTCCCAGCGCGGAGTCCCCTTCAACACGAACATGCAGGCGACAGTCGCACCGAATTGGCAGCAGGCCATCTTTCTACGCTTGCAAGAGCGTGATACGCTCGAGAAGCAGCACGACGCTGTCTTTCATCACTGTGAGTATAGCATCCTCCCTTTGACTTTGATCCTCAACAACGAAGCTGATCATCCATACCTCTACTCCTATCACCAGATCGCAAGCTGACAGAACAGACACGTCTGCTGAAGCAACGCAATCGAGCGCTGCTCAGTGCTGCAGCAGCTGCCACATCCACCTCGGCCGCTAACGCAGTCGCCGGTGCCTCCTCCCCCTCGTCCTCAGCAACGCCGGCAAACCCTGTCCAACTGGCATATATCACCTCTCTCGAGCAGCAGCTGTCCACTCTTCGCGATGAAGTCGCCACACTCTACAAGACGCAAGGCCAAAACGCCCAGCGTCTGCTCCTCATGAGCGAGTCCCACCGCGAAAAGGAGGAGGAAGCACGGCGACAATCCGAGCTGCTCGCCAAACTCCAGCTGGACTACGAGAAGCTCAAACGCCAAGCGGAAGATCTCATCCATGCCGCTGGAGAGAAGGACAGAGGGATACAGATCCTGCAGGATGAGTTGGCCACGTTGAGTCTGGAACTCAGCCAGATCGAGACAAGGAACGAGGATCTCAAGAAGGATAATGCAAGTTTGTTGCAAAGGTGGCTGGATCGGATGAATGAGGAGGCGGATAAGATGAATGAGGGGACGATCTGGTTGGAGGAGGTGCGGAAGAGGAGGGAGAGCTCGTCGCCTGCTGAAGAGAGGGCCGGCGTGGGAGGGGATGGGGCCGCTTCGTCGCCGTCGGCGGCAAAGTCGTAATTCCGTACGATGGTTCCAACACAAAGCAATGATACCCACAATCCACAGTCGCTATCATGTTGAATGTGTCGCTTGCCATACAGTATCTGGGGAGACGCCAAGCGCAGGCCCTCGCGCGCTCTCAACGGCTGGCGCCTTGAGTGATATGCAGGGTTGAGCGTCGCGAGCACGGATTTCGGAATTTCACTCTGACCTTCTCGTCGAGCTTCCAGTTTTCGAGGGTTGAGAAATGGCCTGAGCGACTGGGCTTCCAACCACATCACGATCATCGCCTACATCTTCGACAAGTCGGTTGGCGCAACACTCGAAAGACGCCGCTGCGCAGATCGCACAGCTTTCAACGTTCATCAAAGCAAGCAGAGAGGTTAACTCATTTTTCTGCAGCTGAAACCACTCTGAGCTCGCGCTCGGAAGGATACCAGCTACCATGGCGCCCGTCGCCGTTCACGACAGCAGGATGCCGGGATCATCATCCAATGGCGCTGCATCCTCCTCCTCGACACCATATCAACCGCTCGACCACGTTCCCGTCCATCCCGCCGCCGACTTTCCCAAACCCAAACCGGTCCCCAAGCTCGCCTACCGCACCTCTGCCTACTTCAACACTGAATGCCCCATCGTGATCGACAACGGCTCCTCCGAGCTGCGCGCCGGCTTCGCCCTCTCCTCTCCCTCCAAACCCACCTCCTACTCCTCTCAACCCTTTGTGGCGTACGACAATCTCATCTCGAAAGTTCGCGACCGCAAGAAGAGCCTGACGATGCTGCTGGTGGGCAACGACGTGTACGCCGACGGTCTGTCGCGCAGCTCGATCCGCACGCCCTTTGACTCCGACGTAGTCACCGGATGGGACGCCATGGAGATCGTCCTCGACTACACCTTTGCCAACCTGGGCATCGATACCGATCGAGTGAACCATCCGGTGTGTATGACCGAGACGCTGTGCAACCCGGCCTACAGCCGGGGGATCATGAACGAGCTCATGTTCGAAGCGTATCAGGTGCCCATGGTCAACTACGGTGTCGACTGTCTCTTCAGCGCGTATCAGAACGAGGTGGGACCAGATGCGCTGGTGGTGTCGTCTGGGCGATCGAGCACTGTCGTGGTCCCGACAGTGGGTGGGAAGGGCATCTTGACCAACTCCAAGCGGCTCGCGTGGGGAGGAGCGCAGGCGTCCGACCTGCTCTTGCGTCTCATCCAACTCAAGTATCCCAACTTCCCATCCCGCGTCACTCCATGGCAAGCCCAAAACATGATGGAAGACCTCTGCTACGTCTCGTCCGACTACACCACCGACATCCGCGGCATGTCGATGCTCCCCGCGTCCCACAAGACCCACAACCCTTCAAGCTGGACACCGATGGAGCGCAGCGACGTGATCATCCAATTCCCTTTCGCCGACGCCCTCCCCGAGCAAAAATCCGCAGAAGACCTCGCAGCCCAAGCCGAGCGTCGCAAGGCTGCTGGCGACCGCCTTCGTGAACAAACCCGCAAGATGCGCCTCGAAAAGATGATGCAAAAAGAAAACGATCTGCGGTACTACCTCCAGCTCAAGGAGTGGAAGGGCAAAGAACGCAAGGCCGAGTATCTGAAGCGACTCGAGAACGATGGGTTCGACAACGAGGGTGCTCTGGACAAGATGGTGACGAAAATCGAGGGGGCGCTGAAGAGATTCAGGGCAAAAGAGCTGGGTGAGGAGTATGTGGAGGATGACAAGTCGGAGGAGCCTAGTTTCCCGCTTGTAGATGTACCGGATGCGGATCTGGACGAGGAGGGTGTGAAGGAGAAGAGGAAGCAGCGGTTGATGAAGGCCGGGTACGATGCGAGGTTGCGGGCGAAGGCGGAGAAGGCGGAGGAGAAGCGGTTGGAAGAGGAGGCGTTGCAGAGAGATGAAGATGAGAGGGTCAACAACCCTCGCGTTTGGTCGAGCAAGTTGAGGAGAGAGTACGACGACGCTATCAATCGCATCAAAGAGCGCAAACGGATGAAGGAGATGCTGTCCGATCGAAAGTCGCTTGCTGCGCAACAACGGATGAAGTCCATCACCGCGCTGGCGTCGGATGCGCCCGCCAGTGGGAGTGCCACCCCGACCGGCGGTCGAAAGCGCAAGAAGGGCGGCGAAGAGGATACCTTCGGAGCTAACGACGACGACTGGGCGATCTACCGCGAGATTCAAGCCGCCGACGATTCCGAAGAGGAAGAAGATGCCTATACCAATCTGGCGAATATCGAAACCCGACTCTTGACGTTGGATCCGACCTTCGGTCCGGACGACACGTACGCTGCCCGCCTTGCTCGTAAGAACCGACTCACGCTGACGTTCTTCAACGGTCCCGGTGGCGGACAGGAGTCTACCATCGCACCTACGGACACGGCCCTCGACGACCCGACCAACGCAGCGGACCCGGAGAGCATCCGCCGCGCTCACCAGCTGCACCTCAACGTCGAGCGCATCCGCGTACCGGAGGTGCTGTGGCAACCCTCTATCGCAGGACTCGACCAGGCCGGACTCGACGAGGTCTGCTCGCACGTCGTGCACAGTTTCGACGCCGAAACGCGCGCTAGGATGCTGCAGAACATCTTTGTCACGGGTCGGCACACGGCGTATAGGGGCTTTGAAGAGAGGCTGTACTCGAGCATCCGGGCTAGTCAGCCGAGTAGTGTCAGTGTCAAGGTGACCGCGGCGAAGGATCGCAGGTTCGACGCGTGGAAGGGCGCTGCGAGGTGGAGCGTCGGTGATGAGTTCAGGCAAAGCGCCATCACAAAGCAAGACTACGAGGAAAAGGGCAAGGAGTGGTTCAAGGAGCATGCGCTCAGTGCCAATTGGAGGTGAAGCCGCACCTCTCCCTCTGTTTCATGGGCAAAAGTCATTCACTATCACGAACTGTGCAGAGTGAGATGTGTGCGAAAAGTATTGTGCATTGCTTACTCGTCGTCGTCGGAGGAGGAGGAGGAGGAGGAGGAGGAGCTCTCGGCCTGATCGTTGAGCCGATCCTGCTCGTCGCGCCACAGCTGGTAGAGGAGCCTCCTCCTCGCCTCGGTGGCGTCCTTGCGCGAGGCGGCGGTGAAGAGCGCCTGGAAGATGCTCTTGCGCAGCACGAGGGCGACGTCGATGCTGCTAGCGTCGGGCTCTTCGTCGTCGTTGGCAGTCGTGGGAGTGGGGACGGAGGAGAGGGCGAGCAGGAGCGGGAAGCGGACGTCGTCTTCCGCGTCGTCCTCCTCGTCGTCCTCTTCGGAATCGGAAGGGAGGGAGCGTTCAGACTCGTCGTCGTTGGCAGGAAGACCGGATTCGTCGGCGAAAGAGTGGAATTCTGTACCGTTGGTCGTCTCGTCTCCTCCCTCCTCTTCGTCTTCGCCCTCCTCCAAGTCCTCCCCTTCGTCCTCCTCCACGTCCTCATCCTTATCGTCATCGAGTGACGCCTCCTCCTCGTCATCCGACAGCGACGCCTCATCATCCCTCGCCGACGCACGCAGCGTATCCTCCAGCAACGGCTGGAACACGTTCGCCCAAATCCTCTCGTACATCGCCTTGCTCTTCGCCGTCGCCAATGCATCCACAAACGGCATCAATAGCTCCAACGTCGGCACCAGCACCAACTCCTCCTCCTCTCCTTCCTCCGTCTCTTCTGCCTGTTCGTTCTCCTGATCGTGCACTTTTTCGACCACCTTTTCCAGTTCGTCGAGGTACATATCCGACAAATGGTATGTCAGGCTATCCGGTGTTTTGGGGTTGTTGGTGCTTAACACGCCGTCGAACTTGCCCAGTATCCCTTGGAAGGTCTTCACTGCGACCGGTGGCCACTTTTCTTCCGCAAGCAATTGAAATCCGGATGCAACAAATCGGCGGACGAGCAGGTAGAATTTGTCCACCCGATGCTTGTCCAATCCCCCCCACTCGGCGGTGATCGTATCCCAGAAGCCCTCTAGGAACGCCAACCCCGCCTCGCTCCGGTTGGTAGATGAAGAGGGGTGAACAAGAACGAGACTCGCCAAATCATCGGCGAGCCTTTGCTGGATCAAAGGCTTATCGCTCATCCAGAAACAGTAGAAGAGTCCCTTCCAGAGCTTCTGCAGCTCCAGAGTCGGGATGGTGTGCGCACCGTTGGTGGAGAGGTACGTGCGGAGCGAGCGGACGGCTGAATCGCGGATGCGCTTCTCGGTGGAGGCGAGCGCCCGACCGAGTGGGATGGAGGCATCGTCGTTGCTCGTCGGGGCAGGTTTGGACTTTTTCGTTTTGCCGGCGGTGGTAGGGATGGCCTTGCGCTTCGAGGAGCTCGCTTTTGATGAAGAGGCCGTCGCCATGGCTGTAAGCGATGCAGACAATGACAAGTGCGCTGGGACGCAAGGGTGAAAGGTGGCAGATGGTGTTGTCCGTCAAGCAGGGCGAGCAAGTTGAGAATCTTCTCAAAGGTCCGGGCTGCAGCAACAAATTTCCACAGCTGCGAAAATTTAAGACCCTGACCAAATCTGCATTTGACGCGCTTACATAATGCCCACAATGAGCTTCGGTCTTCCTCATCAGATGGATACAACAGCTTTCAGTCCCACGATCAACTCAGCAAGCCTCTTCAAGAGCTGCGCAGACCAATCACACTGCGGTCCGTGGCGCAACCGGGTAATCGCATTTCGTATGTCAAGTACCTGCCCGCCTGTGCTTGCCAAGGACTTCCCATTCGGAGCCCTCATTTGACCCCGAGCGCCGGCGCAGGGTACGCATTTGTGTTGTGCGCAGCAGGCGGCACGTTCGACGGACCAGCATTGGGCATCGCCGCCGCAGCTCCACCCAGCGGTCCGGTCTGGCCCACGGCTCGCACGACACCGATGAGCTTGGTCTTCCCCTCTCGCGTGATGAGCTTCATGCCAGGCTTGACGTACTCGGGGTACCTGATGAATTGGAGGCGCAGCTTAGCTCGGTCGCCCGTACGCACCACCGGCTTGCCGCCGTGTGCATCGCCGCCAGCAGCGCCGGTGCCGAGCGTGGGCTTGCCGTCGAGCTTGGCGATCCCCACGATGCGCACGGTCTGTCGGATGGATGCGGCGTGCAGCACCATGCAGCTGCCCACCGAGAGCGTCGTCGAGTGGTACAAGCAAAGAATCTCGGCGTCAAACTCCATGTAGCTCTTGGGCGCAACCTCGGTGCGTGCTACCATGACCATGCCCTTGCGCACCTGGTTGCGGCGAATCTTCTTGAGCGCAAACGAGACGCTCTGGCCTGCCGTGGCGCCGTCGACGTTGACACGCTTGCGTTGAATGCTGCGGATCGAGGTGGTGACAAATTGACCCAGACTATCCGGGCCCAACAGAGACACGTCGCCCACTTTGCAGCTGCCACCGAGCACAACACCAGAGACGACAGTGCCGACGAAGGGAACAGAAAAGATGTCGCTGATCTGGAACTCGAATGGCTGGTTCACCTGGAACTTGGCAGCGCTGGCTTGGGGGAGAATGTTGAGGAAGCTGCGCAGGAGGTCAAGATTGAGGCCAGTGACATTGGAAATCTGGAAGATGGGACAGATGCGTTCGGTCTCGAGTCGAAGCGCCGATTCGACGACCTGACCCATGTCGTTGATGAAGACCGGCGTCTTGCGGCAGCCGGGCGATTTGAGGATCTTGGTGAGCTGCTTGAGCGTCGTCTCCAGGACGTGAGCAGGGGTCATGTCGATCTTGGTGATGCACACGACGACGGGCACGGAGAGCGCAAGGGCAATGCCGAGATGCTCCTTGGACATGCCGATGAGACCGGCGTTGGCACCCACCATGAGCATCACAAAGTCTGGCAGACAGCCGGTCATGCCGAACACGGTTGTCTTGAGGTAGCGCTCGTGACCGGCGAGATCGATGAAGGAGATGACCTTGCTCGACTTGGCGCAGACCTCCTCCCACGACATCTTGCGCCCGGGCTCTTGACCAGGTCCGGCGGCATTGTGGACCGGTCTGCCCTTCGAGTCGAAGCCCATGATCTCCATTCCCACGGACGAGGTTCGGCCGGACTCAATCTCGTGCTTGTGACGGAAAAGATTGACACGCGCCTTGCCTCGTCCATCGTCGAGACCGCCCTTGGTGAGGACACCGAGCATGGTGGACTTGCCGGCGTCGACGTTGCCGATGACCGCGATGCGCAGCTCGACCAGCTCTTCGGCACCAGCAGGTATCCTGCGGATGAGAACATGAGCTGATCTGCTGTGACCGTCCTCGGCGGTTTGCTGGTGAAGCACACTGGCATCGGCATCCGATAAGCTCGAGGCTTTGACGACATTTGCAATAGCTATTGAGAGCTCCTCGTCGGTGAAGGTGGCTGTTTCGGCATCGCTCTCGTTGGGGCTGGGCGCACCGATGCGCAATACAAACTCGCCGCCCTCGTAGGTGACCCGGTCAGCGATGTACTTGACTAGGCCTTGGACCTGAGGAGCGGACGGAGCGGATGCGGAATCGCCTTCCTTTTCGGCAACATCTATGACCGACGGGTTGGCAGCTTGATCTATCGCTTTGGGAGCCTCGATCGACTGTGACGATATTGAGCCTGGTATTGAGGCTGCAGCGGTCTCGTCAACAGGCTCGAGAAGGAGCTGTTTGAGATGCTTGGACGAGACAGCACGGAAATCGGGGCCGGAGGAGCCGTCGAGGTTGGTGGCGTGAAGATCGGCGGTGAGGACGTCTATTGTAGGCGCCTTCTTCTGGGGAGCAGGTGCGGCAGTACACATGATGTCAATGGCGGTCTTTCCTGGCCCAATGGTGGTTACGAGTTGCTCCCACGACAGTGCTGGACGATGAGACGAAGTCCACGTTGCTTGGAAAGGTCAAGGACCAGTGTTGAACAGGACTGGAGACGCAAACGAAGCGGATGGCTTGCGGTCTCCGGTTGAGCCAAGCTTTGACGATTGAGACGAGAAATGACTCGACCTGCGAGAGTTGGGCAACTTCCCAATGTGGCGCAGATCGCCACGCCTTGCGTTGGAAGCGTAGAAAGTAGGCTGGCGAGTCTGATCCTGCGACGATGAACAGACTAGCAGCTGCGATCGATAGAAGCTTGCGAAGAGATGGAGAAGCGAGGTGGCAAGGAAAGGGTCTTCGACATTGATGACCCTGAACCCGGCGATTTGATACGGGCCGGAAAGCGCTCAGCTGCATTGCTGCGCAGGGCGACCAATTTGAGCTCGCGCCACCCTGCTGGACCCTGCTGCTGTATGCTCTGCTAAGCTGAGCGCGTTTTTGCTGCAAGAATTGCACACCCTGCATTTTGGAAAGCAGCACTCGAAGAGCGATTCTGCTTGCACGGATATGCGGGGTGCATCTTTGGAAGAAAGCTCAGTCGCTGAAGACGATGAAGCTCGAGTCACAACTGTGAGCGTGCCGCAGACTCACTGCAGAATGCAAGCCAGCAGATCAAGGTCTTAGCCCCTTGGCTCTGTGCCGGAGCCTCTCAGCCATGGGCGAGAGGGGACTGGATAGCGTGAGCCGGAGGAACTTCGGACAGGCCACGCGACCAGGAGTACCTCATATGCTTGCAGCTGACACATGTCATGGATGCCATCTTGTCCAAGCTGCCTCACTCTCGTGACCGCGGTCACGAAGTCTTCGGCAGTATCAAAATGCTGATCAGCCGGCCTGGAGTTTCTCACTCCGCCCAATCGATGGAAATGCGCAAAACGACAAAATCAGTGGAACAACAGACTTTGCTTGGAAGGAAGCGCCGAATGACGCCCACGATGATTCAGCACCCTGTCTATTTTTCAAGGCGAGCTGCCAAACTGTTACTTTGGAAGGCCATGTGTGACCAGCCTGCCTCGTCCGCGCCGATGCCTCTTCCGTCACGATGCTTGGCCTCGGTGACTACAGATCTCACTCAGCGAGCGCTTTGACCGACACAATGAGCTCGTCAAGCCTTTGTAGGGGCGTTACTGATGCCATCTGAGTGCAGGTCCGTGACCTTGAGCATGATGACAGGCATGCCCTCAACACGCTCGCATTCTTGAAGCCATGAGCAAGGGTATATAGTGGACACCTTGGCATCCACTCGTCCTTCCGTCTCACTCGATCAACCTTTCCCTTCACCTCAGGCCCAACACGCTACTTCGCCATGTCATCGCAGCAGGAAGACGAGGTGGTCACCGCCTACCCCAACTACTACCCCAAGGGTCAGAAGCAGGAGCTTCCCGGCGAGGACCAGTCGATGGAGCCGCTCGCCGAGCACATCAAGGTCGAAAAGTGGGACAAAGACGGCAAGCCTTATCTCGAAGAATATGGAGGCAGCGGCAAGCTCGAGGGCAAGTCCGCCATCGTTACCGGTGGTGATTCTGGTATCGGTCGCAGCGCTGCGCTCTTCTTTGCTCGCGAGGGTGCCAACGTCACCATCGCCTATCTGCCCGAGGAGGAGAAGGACGCTGACATGGTCGAGAAGCTCGTCCGTGAAGCGCCCATGGGAACGCACGAGATTCTCCGTGTGCCTGGCAATCTCGAACAGGATTTGTACTGCAAGGAACTCGTCGAGAAGCACCTCGCCAAGTGGGGCACCATCGACATTGTCGTCAACAACGCGTCCAAGCAGGTGCCCTCTCCCAATTTTGAGGAGATCGATCTCAATGTCACGGAGAGCACCTTCCGCAGCAATGTGCTGGGTGCCTTTGCACTGACCAAATTCGCCTTGCCCCACATGAAGCGCGGCTCGACCATCATCCAGTCGTCCTCGGTAACGGCGTACAAGGGCAGCGCAGCTATGATCGACTACAGCTCCACCAAGGGCGCCCTCGTCTCCTTCACTCGCAGTATGGCGCTCCACCTCGCACCGCGCGGGATTCGCGTCAACGCCGTCGCTCCCGGACCGGTCTACACGCCGCTGCAGCCCGCAAGCCGCAGCGAGGACAACATGGAGGGCTGGGGAATCGGTGGCGTGCCTTTGCACGGTAGGCCTGGTCAGCCGGCAGAGATGGGCGCCGCGTACGTCTTCCTCGCCGACGCAGGCTCGTCCAACATCATGACCGGCCAGGTGCTGCACCTGTCGCACGGCAGCTGGTTCGGGTCCTAGTGGTTTCGCAAGGTCAGCTCTTGGTGCACCGCAATCGTGTCGATCATCGACGTCAGTCAAGGAATGGAACTGTCTGTTGCATCGTGGATCCGAGCAATTGTGATGAAGAAGGTCAGCGTTACAAGCAGCTTGAGCGTCACGGTACAGTCTGAAGATTGGACAAAGATACGGAAGTGTCTTCCGAAGCATGTTCAGGGTCCGCCGTGAGGAAGAAGCAGCTGCTCTTGAAGCGGGAAAGAGCGCGTCTCAAGATCTGCAGGTGTTGCGTGAATTTTAGCTTGGTGGTCTGTCAAGAGCAAGCCTAACACAGTCACACTTGGCTGCAAGGGTCGCACGTTGTCGGTCTGTTGGCTAACTATTGATGCACGAACCCGCTTTGGCCGACCTCACTTGCTTCAGTCACACCTTCCTCCCTCACACGACCTAACCACAAGCAACCACAGCATCGGTCTGCTTCGTCACCAAGGCCGGAGCAGATAGTCGCGTCGTCAGCATGTCTGCGTAGACGTTTCACGCTTCACGACTCGAGAGCTCAATTCGATATCTATGAGCCGTCCCCCGACGAGGCCTAAGAAGCAAAGATGGACGCTCGACCGGCAGATGCTCGCTCGGTCCATACAGATCATTCGATAGAGTCGTCCGAATCCGACATTCTCTTCTTCCCGACCAGCTCGTCCGCGCGCAACTCGGCCGACGTGGCTCCAGAGAAAGGATCCGGCGACACAATACGAGCCTCTCCCAAGCCCTACACCGCGACACCGTCGCATCTGCGCCATCAAGGCTCGCACGAAGACGAAGATGCAACGCCCGACGCAGAATCACAGCCGCTCACCAGCAACGAGCGCAGCGGCACCTCGACACCCTACCGCGACGATATCGCCCCAGCCTTTGTCCACCGAGTCGGTTCCAACACATTCAGCCAGTCGCTCGATCCACGCACCTACTGGCGGCTGGCCGAGCAAGCCTCTCACGCACCCTCCACCCGTTCCCTCGAGCGTCAATCGGGTGGCACCCTAGCAGAACGCCAGGAGGCCTACTGGAAAGCGGGCGTGGTCAACATCCTCCTCATCCTCTGCTGGTACGCCTTCTCCACCGCCATCTCGGTCTACAACAAATGGATGTTCGATACCACCAAACACCACTTCTCCTTCCCACTCTTCGTCACCAGTTGGCACATGATGATGCAATTCGGGCTATCGAGTCTCGCATTGCGGCTGTTCCCATCGTGCGTGCCGAGGAAGGCCAACGGCACACCGTCGAGACCATCGGGCGCGAATTGGGCCACCAAAGTCGTACCGTGCGCACTGGCCACCGCTTTCGATATCGGTCTGTCGAACACGAGTCTCAAGACCATCACGTTGACGTTCTATACCATGTGCAAGAGCTCCAACCTCGCCTTTGTGCTCTTCTTCGCCTTTGTGTTTGGGTTGGAGGTCATTCGGTGGAGTCTGATCGGCATTATCGCGCTGATCACGGTCGGAGTGGTGATGATGGTGGCAGCGGAGACCAAGTTCGTTCTGACGGGAGCGGTGCAGGTGTTGACGGCGTCGGCGTTGGGAGGGTTGCGATGGGCGCTGACGCAGATTCTGTTGGACAGGGAGGAGATGGGCATGAGCAATCCCGTAGCGACGGTTTTCTGGCTCGCACCGATCATGGGTGTCGCGCTGATCAGCCTGTCGGCGGCATTCGAGTCGTGGTATGCGATCTTTGCGGCCAAATCGGGGTATTTTGACACCTGGGCCCATGCGATAGGGACGATAGGGTTGATGGCCGGACCAGGATTCCTCGCATTTGGGATGAATCTCTCCGAGTTCGCCCTGATCAAGCGGACGAGCGTGGTCACGCTGAGTGTGGCGGGGATCTTCAAGGAGGTCTTGACCATCGCGCTTGCCAGCAGCGTGTTTGGCGACGAGTTGACGCCGATCAACGTCACCGGCCTGTGCATCACCCTGTTGGGCATTGGCATGTACAACTTCCTCAAGTACCGACTCATCACGCGCGGCGCCGATTCCGTAGGCCAGGGCATCTCAGGACTCAACGAGCTGGGCGACAGCATCCGCAGCCGCGCAAGCAGCATCTTCGGCACCACCCAGCCCAGCGCTCCCAGAGACAACGACTACGAACAGGTGGGCGAGGACGAAAACAGCCTGCTCTTTGATGAAGGGCGAGAACGCGGCAAGGTGCGGCGGAACATGACGGGCGAATCGGATGCCTTGGAGCTGGATACGCAAAGGGTCAGCCAGGAGATCGTAGAGAGGGGGGCGAGGGTGGTCAGCGACGAGGAGAGGGAGAGGTTGAGAAAGATCGAGGAGGAGGCGGATCTGAGTGGATGGGGGACGAGTGGTGAGAGGGTTACGGGCCAAGGGCTGGTTGAGGAACATCATCATGCGCGGTACAGGTGAGAAATGCCGATCAACGTATGCTTGTCTCAGTCTTTGATGTGTGTGTCCTGGGTGTGAGTCGAGACATTCCTTCAAGACGCAGCGAGATGGACATGCGGAAATGGGTATATTGAAGGCACCCCGGCCAATGATCTTACGCCTGCCCTTCCTCCCCCTGCTCCCCTGTTTGCCCCTCTGGATCCCTCCACGTCGCCCAATGTCCCACCTGCCTCGCCATGACCTCACCGACAAATCCTGCGTCACGACAGGCAATCCTGAACTCCTCCTCCCTCTGCAGCAGATCTAGGAAGTGCAACGCCTGCGGATACTGCAGGTACCGAACGTAGCGTGGATGTCGAAAGTAGTCGAGGTAGCGCAGGTAGCGCAGGAACGATGGGGATGAGAGGACCCCGGAGAGCGCGAGGTGGTTGAGGTAGTACGGGTTGGCGAGGGAGGAGAGGAATTCGAGGTCGCGCGAGAAGGTCGTTTGGTTTGCCGTGCGGAGGTGGTCGTTGATCGTGTTGGTGGTGGGGGCAACTTCTTGCGAGACGGTGTGGGTGGTCATCGTGTGTGATGCGGGTGGACCGGTGTGCGAGCTTGAATGAGGAGAGATTCTTCGGCAGCGATTGCGCGGGGGAATGTGGGAAGAAGCGCTTCGACTCAGTACGGAGGGTGAGAAGCCGTCGTTTCTTGCAGAGAGAGGTGGCAAAGCTGTTCCTGAGTGGTGTGCGAGTCAGTCGGCCCAGCCGATGGTGGATGAGTGTGACGATGGAAGCGTTGAACGGATGATCCGTGTGACTTTAGCAATTCAGGGTCCTGGTCGGAAATAAGCCAGACCAAGAAGATTTCTCGGATGGCGCGATCGTCCTGCACGGGTCACTTCCAATCCCTCATGCTCATCCTTCTCTCGCTTCTCCTCCTACCTCTTCTCCTGCTTCTACCACACCTGGGCAAGCTCCACTCGCCGACAATGTCGATACCCCTTCTGCCATCGTGGCCACCCAGCCTGCCCTCCGAGGCGGTGTCGTACCTCTCCGACCAAGCCACCGACTACGCCCTCGCGCACGGCATCGTCTACCGACCCGTCGCCCTCTCCCCCACCACCGCGCCCGCTCTCGACAGCGCCATCCACGCCCCCTTCTCCCTCCTCCCCTCGCCCTTCCCCCGCGCCCTCTTCGACAGAGCCCAATCCATCCAGCCCGCATACGACCTCTTGTACGCTCAAGTCTCGTCCGACCACACTTTTCTGCAACGCGTCATCGGTCAATCTGTCATTCACGTCGACGAATTCCAGAAGCAGCTCTGGGACATTTACATCTCCGTGAAAGATGACTTGGTCCAGCCGCTCAGCTTGGGTCTGTTTCGAAGCGATTATTTGCTCCACGATGCCGCGAGCGAGGGGGAGAAGGGAAGTCGATCCGGCGAACTGGAGCTCAAACAGGTCGAGTTCAACACGATCAGCGCGAGCTTCGGGGCGCTGTGTACCAAGGTGAATGGGTTGCATCGTCATTTGGCGTCGACTACGGACTATCTTGGGGCGCACGAACAGCTGAAGAGCTTGGACAACTTGCCCCTCAACGCCGCGCAGGAGGTGCTCATTGAGGGACTGGCCAAAGCGCACGCCGCCTACAATGCAACCGCGCAAGCATACGTGCTGTTTGTCGTCCAAGAGGGCGAGCGAAACGCATTCGACCAACGACCGCTCGAGCACGCGCTTCAGGCGCAGGGCATCCGCGTCGTTCGCCAAACCTTTGCCGAGATCGCACAACGCATGTCGTTGACTGGCCAAGATCGCAAGCTGTTGCTCGCCCACCCCGTGCTGGGCGAAATCGAGATCAGCGTCGTCTACTACCGCGCCGGCTACGGCCCTTCGGACTACGCAAGCGCGAAAGATTGGGAGACGAGGAAGCAGCTCGAGCGAAGTCGCGCCATCAAGTGCCCCTCGATCGCCGTCCAACTGGCGGGGGCCAAGAAGGTCCAACAGGTCCTAGCTGAGCCGGATCGACTCGAACCTCTCCTTTCGACCATCGGCATGGAGAACAAGGTCAACGAGATGAGAGAGACATTCTCGGACCTCTATCCACTCGACACCTCGCCTCTCGGGCAGAAGGGGTACGAACTCGCACAAACAGAACCACAGAACTTCGTGCTCAAGCCCCAACGCGAGGGTGGCGGAAACAACGTGTATCGCGAAGACATCCCCGGGTTCCTCGCACAGCTGGAAGCGGGAGAAGGGGAAAAGGGTGCAGTGGCGAAGAGACAGGCGTATATCTTGATGAGTTTGATCAAGCCACCTGCTGGGTTGGGGAACTATTTGGTCAAGGCAGCGACCAAGGATGCGAGGGCAGGCGCGGTGTTGGCCAAAGATACGGTTTCGGAGCTGGGCGTGTATGGTGCGGTGCTGTTCGAGAACGGGGCTGAAAAGGTCAAGGTGCATCATCACAGGTCCGGAGGGTATTTGCTCAGAACCAAGGGTAGGGAGAGTGATGAGGGCGGTGTCGCGGTCGGGTTCTCAGTGATCGACTCGCCACTGCTCATATAAACCTCGCTGTCCGGCATGAAATTTCATCTGATTGCAACGAAACCAACAGCGAATGAACAAAACAGTCTACCTCCAGCTAGCACTGACCAGCTTACCCACCGTATGCAGCGCATAGTACTTGACATTAGCATCGTCGTGTCCCATCAACTCCATGATCCTCGTCTTGGCGCCCAGCTCCCCCACGCGTTTCTTGCCCTGCTCGAAAAAGTGGACGAACTTGCCCACGTCCGAACAGGCCACACTGAGCGTCGTAGCATCCTCGCTCTCCTTGAGCACCTTCACCAGCTGCTTCAACACTTTTCCGTCTTCATCGACAAATTTGGGCGCGTTCTCCTTCCAGAACTCGTCCATCTCGTGACAGGGCGATTCGAACGTAAGCTGTCCGGACTGGAGTTCCGACAGGTACTCGTCCCACGTCGTCATGGTCTTGAGTCGCTCGCTGAGTTCGGTTTTGAGGAACTCGAGGTCTTCGTTGATCTCGTCATCCGACCACTTGCGCGACTGCAAATTCTCGGTCAAGGTCAAACACTTGCTCCCCAGCATCACGGGTGCATTGGCATCGGGTGCTTTGGCGAGCAAGTTGCGGAACGTGGCTACCGTCACACGCGTCACCTTCTCCTTGACCGCATTGCGCGCCACATCGACCAGGATCGGGATCAGCCCGAGCTTGACGTTGAGCTCAGCCGCAATGTCGGCGTTGAAGCTGAGCAGCCACAGGCAGAGAACGACCTGGTAGACCAGCTGCGTACCGGCGCGCGTGGTGTTGGTGCCGTTGTTGGCGCCGACGACGAGCGTGCTTGCGTTGCTGCTGGTGGTCTGGCGAGAAGGGGTGGCGGAACCGGAGCCGGCTGGCGAGTTGGAGCTCAAAAAGGAAGGACCGCCAGCAGGGGCGTTGCTGAGCCGCAAGATGTATGCGAGTTCGGAGAGGAAGCCTCGATCGACGTCCTCGTGCTGCTGCTCTTGGTCGTCATTGTCGCCGTCGCTATCGTCATCATCGTTCTTCTTGGAGGATTTGCCTTTGCCAGTGGAAGATTGCGCTTGACCCATCTTGGCGACGTCGATCTCCCAGGCTTCCTCGCGGTACTTTTGCGTGCGAAGGAGGGATTCCAGCAAGACAAGTGCGATTTCGGGTCCGTTGCCTTCCGCAAAGTCGGGCGAGGTTCGTCGTGCGGCGGGAGAGGCATTGGCACCGCGCCCCGACGAGTTGGAGCTGGGCTTCTGGCTGGCGCCACGCAGGAGCGAAGACAGGAACGTCAAAAGACGAGGCAGAACCGACGAAGGCGGCTTGGGCTGCTCGAGGTGTGATGCGGAGAAGACGAGGAGTAATGTGAGGAACTGCGCCGACTTCATTTGCACAAAGTCGTCCGGCACATCAAGCAGCTTCACGAAGGGCCTCCATGGGAAGCCGATTCCATCCTGCTCCTCTTGACCGTTGAGCGACAGGAACAGCTCGAGACGATCATCGCGATCCGAGAGCATGTCGTCGATGAGAACGAGGATCTGCTGGAGGGTATCGGTGCGGCTGAGCTTGGACAGCAGACGCAGGTATAGAGAGACATAGTCTTGGCCTTGCTCGTCCAAGAGAGGGTTGAGCTTAGATCGATCCTGACCCACGACAATGGCGTCGACGCTCTTGATCATCTTGAGCTCCTCGGCGCTGAGCAGGTCGGCGCGGTGGTAGCCTTCCCATGGGATAGGTCGAGCTCGGATGCGCTGTGTCAGCTCCTGAATCCACTTGTTCGTGAGGTAGACGAGCGGAGGTCTCTCGACGCTCTCTCTCGGTTTGCTCTTTCCATCCTTGTCCTGCTGCTTGCCATCTTGCTTCTTTCCGTCCTGCTGCGACTTTTTGTTGTCCTGCTGGTCCTTCTGCTGGGAGCTGGAAGACGATGACATGGTCGCTGTGATGCCCTGCTGGCTAAGGTGGCAGCTGAACCTCGGAAGCCGTTTGGTATGAGCCTAGCTTGTGGTGTGCGGTGCAGGTGAGGTTGCTGCTGTAAGGAAAGGATCTATAATGCGGAGCGAGAAGCAGAGGATGTTGTGTGATAGTGAGGGTCGGTGTCGATAAGGTGCGAGTGCCAAGCTCGTTTGTGCTGCTGCTGCTGCTGCTGTGTGCCCCTTTCCTGCCTCACAGAGCGTCATTCGCTTCGCTTGCTTCCCAGAAATCACACACACATTTTGGCGGCTCTCAAGGTGGCCCGCGCTCATTCAAATTTCACCGCAAGCCTCCACTGTCGCCTGTGCTCTGCCACTTCGCTACGCCAGAAATTTGTGATCGATTCAGAGGCAAAGAGTTGAGCTGCACGTTGCGAATTACTGGATTTTGTTAGACCCTGTCAGTCTAGGGCAGGGGTCAATTTCGTACGATATTTTTCGTCAGCCGCACGCCAAGGTCACTCGAGCAGGAAGAAAGGCCCTTTTTTTCGAGATTCAAGAAGATCTTCCTGATCCTGCCAGCTTTCGACCATCAAACCACGACGACAAGCCATACCCTAGTCACAGCATTGCAACAGTTGCCCGAGATCATGTCGGCAACAAGATCGGCTGCTCCGCGCTTGCGGTTGCTGCAGTCGCAAGCATCTGCGAAACGTCTTTTGCATGCTTCCACAAGCTATGCCACGCCGGGTGCAGCATCGACCTCGTCAGCTTCGACAACAACAGAGACCGCAGGCGCATCCTCTTCATCGACCAGGATCATCAGCTCGCTCATTCTCTCAAGACCGGCTGTCATCCTTCGCGAGCCCACTAAGTTCGAAAAGGCATACCACGACTACAACCGTCAGCTCTCGGAGGCTTTGCAGCAGCCCTTCCCGAAAGACTTCTACTTCAAGAAAGGCTCCGCTGCCGAAAAGCGCTTCGAGGAGGATCAGGCCAGCTCTTCGCACGGCTTCTCTGCCATCGCCGGCGCTGCATCAGGATCGTCATCGAAAGGGAAAGCTGGCAAGGCCAAGGAGACGGCGCCTGCACCCGCTCCCTCGTCATCCTCTGTGGAGGGCGAAGCAGAGAGCCGACCTCTGCCAAGAACCACCGAAGCTGACAGCAAGAACGATGTGCGCAGTCTCGAAAGGAAGCTCGACCGCACACTCTACCTTGTCGTGAAGCAAAAATCGAGCAAGGGCGCCGCTTCCTGGCAGTTCCCAGCAAAAGCACTCGTCAACACCAAGCGCGAGAACCTGCATGACGTCGCTCCAGCATCTGTGACAGAGATTTTGGGTAACAAGATGGACATCTGGCTGGTGTCGAATCTTCCCATTGGTCTGTACAAGCCGGCAGAGGGCGCGGACGAGAAGACGTACTTCCTGCGAGGACACGTGCTGGCCGGCAATGCAGAGTTGACGAAAGGTGCGGAACGTCAAGCCGAGGAGTTCCAGTGGCTGACCAAGGAGGAGATCGAAAAGTTGATGGATGGCAAGTACTGGTCGAACGTCGAGGAGCTGCTCGATCCTTGAAGGACCAGCCCTCCCTACAATAGAACCACCTCCCTACCATGTACTTCTAGACCAACGACAAGACACCTTCTCTTTGGTGATACAAGCCGATTGACTTAGGCGTGGATGAGCTTAAAAGTGCCCCTTGGGCTGCGCTCGCAGAGGTCTGGTGCAGCGAATTCAGAGTGGATGTCGTCTGCTATACTGCGATGAAAGGGCGCGTGTCTGGGCAGAGTGCGCCCGATCCCGATTCGAGAGTGAGTGGGGCATCAGCCAACGCCAAGTCGACTCCCGAAGAATGCACGCTTTCGCCCTTGTACTCTAGCTCAGAATCCAAGCTCTTGGTTGACCGACGAGCCCTCCAGATGCAGCCGGGCATTTTTGCAGCGCCACGACGTGTGCATAGATTGATCCCTTCACAGGACTGCACCACATTGTTCTAGAGCAGCCTGTAGCTTTTCGGAGCTGCTGCAGGACATCGATGATCTTTGAATGAGACCGAGGCTTGTGCAGGCAAGCACGGACGGGCCTGGTTGTCGGCAGCAACGCCGTTCGCGCCTGCGTTAAGAAGAGGATGTTGCTCTTTACAACTCTTCCTGATCCACTGCTCATCGCCAACTTAACTTAATTGAGCCTGTCCGGACAGAAGCAAGCCACCGCGCATGTGATGCATGCGTGTCGCCAGTCGAGGCGACTGATCTTGTTTCGCCGGTGCATCAAGCAAGCAGCACACCACACGAGCATGTTTCTAGGCCATTGCAAAATACGCCAGACGTGGAAGCGAGAGTCGCTGCAAGTCGACGACGCCTAAATTGGACTCGCAAGGGTAATGTTGATTGAGTTTAGCTCACCGCACCTCGTCGCGATGACCCGCTCAAAGCGTCGAGCATGGATCCGCGGTGTTGGTGAGGCCTTCTGGCGGGAGCGCAGCCTTGATCCTGGTTCCATGAGTCGGAGCTCGAAGCACGACTTCGCTTCGCTTTTTGGTCGTCCGCTCCAGACGAACAGACAGCTGCTCTCTTTGCATTTGCTTGCCAAAGTCTAATTCTTTCCCTCTGGATGGATACAGTAACTGCGATCACCGGCCTACCCTGCAATCCAGGCTTTTTTTTTTGTTTAAACAAAAAAAAAACCCCCTACCAGCCCTTCTGTTTTTGACTGGCCGGAAGCGAAGGGAAGCGACAGTCTCGGAAGCACTCTCGAATGGACTGCATGGAAAGCTGTCATCGCTGGTCCCGGGCCCAGGTCACGCTGCAGGGCATGCGGCATGCGACCAACAATCAATCAATCAATCAATCAAAACCGCTCGAATGGACTACGCCATGCGGCTGCGCAGCCAGAGTCGATCTGACCTTCGGTTGCTCCCTCGCTCGAGCCTCCTCTACAGTACTCCCTTCCACGTTGGTTTGATGGCCTTGCCTGGCCTCCTCGACTGAGCTCCAATCTCTCTTCCATTTCCCGCCTCACAGTGCCTTTTTTCTTTTTCTTTTTTTTTTCGTAATTAAATTCCGCCGTCTTCCTCGCTCAGGGCAGCTGCCTATTCCAAACGCGCTCAAGCGCTCGCTTCGTGCTGTGGCCGTGTTGCATTTTCTTCTGCTTTTGACCGCTTTCATCTCGTGCTTTTGTCGTCGTCGTCGCGCTCCTTTGCTTTCCGCCATCCATCCACGACTCACGAACTCTTCACTCGTCGGTCTTGGCTCGCTCTACAAGTCTCGTCCTTCACCCTCGCGATCGCTCACAGGGCACCATCCGTCGGAAGGCCCGCCCCCTTCACCGTGAAGCCATCAACTCGAAGCGCGTCTTTGGATCCGGCCTCGCGACGTAGGTGGTGGTCAAGCCTCGCGATCATCGGTCTCTTGGGTGGTTTCGGTCACGTTCCTTAGGGTCACAGGTCATCTTACGACTTAGTAACACTTGGTCGGGACATCATCCGCGATCTTGATCGGCTGATCCGACTCGGATCTGGTGACTTGCTTCGTCTTTCTCCGCAAGAGAGTCACTCGGAAGTCAAGGTTGATCCGACGGCTGTTCCGACTCGTTTCGACTTCTCAGCTTCAATCGCGCTCTTTTCTCTTTCGGTGCTGCGACATAGCTCTCACGCTGCGCTCAGCTCTTTGACGTGGCTTGTATCAAAATGCCGCCCTCGGCTCGACACAGCGTGCATCCATCGCATCATCCACATGCAGGCGGAAGAGACCTTCTGCCACCGCAAGGTGGCCCTGGAATGCCACCCGGTCCAGGCAACGGTCCCATGCATCACCCCAATCCGTCCTATGCCCAGTCCATGCCGCCTCCGCCTGGACTGCCGCCGCATGCTATGAATGGCGTCAACGGTCCACCCTCGGCACACGGTGCACCGCCTCCTCGTATGGTCATGGCGGATGGTCCGGGCGGTGGTCCTCCGCCGCCTCCTCCGCACATTCCTCGATCTTCGTCAGCTCAGAGTCGTATCATGGATGCCGCAGGGGGTCCCGCCGGTCCTGCTGCTTCATCTTCCCCAGCTGTGCAGAAACTGTCGCTGGCCAACGAAGCCGCTTGGGTCTCGGTCGGATCGGCAGCAGAGACCATGGAGGACTACGATCGCGCTCTCTCTGCCTACGAGGCCGCTCTTCGACACAATCCATACTCGGTTCCTGCTCTCAGCGCCATCGCCGGTGTGCATCGTACCTTGGACAACTTCGAAAAGGCCGTCGACTACTTTCAGCGCGTTCTCAACATCGTCCCCGAGAACGGCGATACCTGGGGCTCGATGGGTCACTGCTACTTGATGATGGATGATCTGCAGCGCGCCTACACCGCCTACCAGCAAGCTCTCTACCACCTCCCCAACCCAAAAGAACCCAAGCTCTGGTACGGTATCGGCATTCTTTATGACCGATACGGCAGCCTCGAGCATGCAGAGGAGGCGTTTGCCAGCGTCGTCCGAATGGATCCCAACTACGAAAAGGCAAACGAGATCTACTTCCGTCTCGGCATCATATACAAGCAGCAGAACAAGTTCCCCGCCAGTCTCGAGTGCTTCCGCTACATCCTCGACAACCCGCCACGCCCGCTCACCGAGATCGACATTTGGTTCCAGATCGGTCACGTCTACGAGCAGCAGCAGGAGTTCAACGCCGCAAAGGAAGCCTACGAGCGCGTCCTCGCAGAGAACCCCAACCACGCCAAGGTGCTTCAGCAGCTTGGTTGGCTCTACCATCTCTCCAATGCCGGCTTCAACAACCAGGAGCGAGCTATTCAATTCCTCACAAAGAGTCTCGAATCCGACCCCAACGACGCACAGAGCTGGTACTTGCTGGGACGTGCTTACATGGCGGGCCAGAACTACAACAAGGCCTACGAGGCCTATCAGCAGGCTGTCTATCGCGACGGAAAGAACCCGACCTTTTGGTGCTCCATCGGCGTGCTCTACTATCAGATCAACCAGTACCGCGATGCTCTCGATGCGTACTCGCGCGCCATCCGCCTCAACCCGTACATCTCAGAAGTCTGGTTCGACCTCGGCAGTCTGTACGAGGCATGCAACAATCAGATCAGCGACGCCATCCACGCCTACGAGCGTGCTGCCGACCTTGACCCGGACAACCCGCAAATCGTGCAACGCTTGCAGCTTCTCCGCAACGCCGAGGCTAAGGGCGGCGAGCTTCCTGAAGCGCCCGTTCCTCAAGATGTGCACCCGACCGCCTACGCCAACAACAATGGCATGGCCCCTGGTCCTCCCACTCAGATCGGTGGTGGACCTGGCCCTTCCTACCCGCCTCCCCTTGGCGGTCCTCAGCTTGCCGGCACAGGAGGAGCACGCGGCGATATGTCCGAACGCGACTTGCCCGGTCCCGGCTACCTAGGCCAACCTCGTTCGCCCCCGCCCTTCCGAGGCGCCGGCCCACCTGGTGCAGACGAGAGGGGATCGCGTGGCCCTCCTCCCGGCGCTCTGGCTCCGATGATGGGAGGTGGTCCCGGCGGACCCGAGCAGCTCGGTCGTGGTGGCTTCCCGCACTCACGCGGTCCTTCGCCAGGCCCGCCTCGCGTGGACCCTTATGGAAGAAGGATGGGATCGCCACCGCGTCGTTCACCGCCACTGCCTCTGCGTGCAGACATGCACGATGGACACGGTCCTCCTCATCACGGGAGTGACTTCCGCGGCCCACCTCCTCTTGCAGCTGGTGGCCCGGGTGGACCTCCACCCCCCTTGGATCACTACGGCCGACCCATGGGTGGACCCATGAGCGAACGCGAGCGTGAGATGGAATGGGAGCGCGAACGAGAACGCGAGCAGGCGGCTCGTGGCTACCCTGCCAGCGGGCGCATCACTCCCAAGAACGATCCAGCCTACGCACGATCTCAGCACGGAGGCAGCAACGCAGCTTCGCCTGCCTTCGGACGCCCTCCCGTCTACGGACGTGACGAGCCTCGCGAGTACCACAACAATGGACATCCCAGCGCCGGTCCCGGTGGTCCCCGAGGCGGCTACGAGCGAGGACCTCCTCCTCCTGGCATGCGACCTGACGAACGAGGACCTCCGCCGCACCACTTTGAGCATGAACGGGGTCACCTTCCTCCTCCTCCTCACCAAGCAGGCGAGGGTCGTTACGATGGCTACGGAGATGGTCACGACGGTCCCATCATGGGCGCTGCTTCTGCTCGAGGTCCGCCGCCACCCGGTCTTCGCGGCCCTACGCCGGACTGGGAGCGGGCACGAGCGGGTGATCAGGGTCCTCCCTCCGTGCACGACGGTGCTGACGGTCGTGGTGCAGGAGGACCTGCCAACAAGGCGCGTCGAGGCCCCAAGGCCAAGGACGAGCTCGAGGCCGCACCTGCGCCCCCTTCGCCAGCTCCCTCGGCTGCCGGCAAGAAGGGCAAGACGACCGGCGGCTCGCGAGCCAGCTCGCCCTGGTCCTCCAAAGCCAGCACTGCAAGCAAGAATGGCAAGAGCGGTCCTGGTGCTTCCCCTGCTGTCTCTTCAGCTGTCGCCGCCGGCAAGAGAGGCGGCGCCGCTTCGCTGCGCGAGATTACCTCGAGACCCGGTTCGCCAGCTGGAGGCGCTCGAGCACAGCGCGACGCTTCGCCAGCCAGCTCGGATGGCAGCAACGAGCCACTGGCCGCCCGGGCCCCATCTTCGCGCATGGTCGACGAGGACTATGACGAAGGAGCTGCTGATGCGCTGATGGGGCTTGCTGGTGCCGCTTCCGCGTCGGCGGCGGCGACACTGGTAGCGCCCGCTCCTCCTGCTGCGGCTGCCGACCGAGCCTCCAGCCCTGACAAGCGCACCGAAAGCTCTTTGGGCAAGCGACCCTACAGCGAGGAGGACAAGAGCGCCAGCGGACTGGAAGACTCGTACAAGCGGGTCAAGAGTGGAAGCGCCGCTGCGGGCGAGGCAGTCGACCCTGTCAACGCAGGGTCGAATGGTGTTGCGGCGCCTACGGAGACGGAGGCTCCCGCCGCAAGGCAAGGCTCGGAAGGTCGAAAGGAGCCCGCAGCAGTCACTCCGCCGGCCAAGGCGGCTTCACCTAAGGTCACCGAGAAGGTGCCAGAGAGCGTCTCGCAGCCGATGGAAGAGGACGCGCCGGCAGCGCCCAAGACGATCACGGAAGCCGCTACCGTCACCAAGGAGCCATCGCCTGCCGCAGATGCCCCCTCAAAAGCTCCTGAGGCTGAGGCCAAGTCGACTCCGGCACCCGCTCCAGCCTCGGCGGAAGCAAGCACGGCAGCCGACAGCAGCAAGGCCGCTGCTGCGAATGATGACGGCGCTGAGGAGGAGGAAGGGGAGATCAACGAGGACTCACCCGCCAAAGTCGATGACGATGCGAAGAAGTGAGGTGTCGTCGTCGAAAAAGAAGACGGCTCAGTCACTGTCACAAAGTGTTGCTATCACACGATGCAAACTACCGTTTCTCCATTTGCTTCTTGTGTCCGAGAGTATCCGTCGATGGCTGCGAGGTGAGCATTGTCAGGCCAGGCCGTACCGATGTGAGTATCAAGATGATTTGCAGATCGAGATACGGAAAACCTCATTTGTAAATCAGGGAAAGAAAAAGAGGCCACAAAATTTGCACCTTGTGGGTGACCGAGGACGAACAAAACACACGGACCTCTTACAAAGCGTCATGCTCGTCATGTCCATCGATCTCGTAGACATCGAACGATGATACGGATGAGCTTAGCGAGAACAACACTGAAACTGACGTCTTGTAAACGAGGTACATGCGAGGTAGGAAGAGCCGGCGAATTGTGTTCGGTTGATTGCCGAGGGCGAAGGAAGAGCTTTCAACCTCTTCTTCCCGGCGACTGCCTCCAATACGCCGGCGCCTTGCGGTTGAAATGACAGAAACGTCCTGAAGGCGGACAATTGAAGCGGCGTATCGCTGGGACCGTCCCGTCTGTTGTTGAGACGCAAACGACGAGGCGTGGGAACCAAACCCCCCTTTTCATGTTCGGGGTGACGCCGACCTGCGGTTGACGGAATCCCACACACGCTGACACAGTCTTGTCGACAATGGCCCGCACCGCATCAGCGGCGACCACCTGTACGCCTGCCCGCTTTGAGGGCGTTGCTCGCTGTGCGATCTGATTCGACGCCCAGGCCCACACGCACGGTACGACGCTAGGTTTGCATGTGAGACGAAGACACGGCACGCAAGCTCCGATGCCATGCGTCAACCTTGTCCAGTCTTCCACGTGCGATCCTCCTCTCTCTTCTCACACGGGACACTATGAAAGGCGAGTTATGGATGATGTGGTCCTTTTCACCGGTACTGCTGACGTCGGAGCACGAAAAGGTGCAGACGGAAATCAAACACTGAAACACAGCTCTATGGCTCGCTTGTACCTGCAGGCTTACTTTGATCCGATCGCGACCTTGGATCGACGCAAGAGTGTGCGACAGGACCACCTCCTTGCCATCAGCGACGCCACGACGATATGTCTGAAGCTTGAGGCTTGATCGTAAGCAAACGCATAGGGGGTCTCGGATCGGCAAGATGCGCGATCTGAGAGCCTGAGTGTCGGGCGCAAGCATAACCTTGTGCGTCAACGCCGTCCATTCAAGCATGTCGTGGCTGGCGTGAGCGTGTCTCTCGGGGTGATCTCGACGTCAAGCTAGGCATCGGCTTTCACTCAGCGGCCACGCACAGATACGGTACAGACACAGGCAAGAGAGAAGAATCCGCACATTTGATATGTGGACCCAGCGGCAAGAGCTTAGTCGCTTTTCATGCGAGTTGATGTAGCTCTCGCTTGCCCGCCCACCGTCTCAGAGAGCTTGTCAGCCACGAATTCGCCTCTTTTGGAATCCAATCTCGCTGACAGCAAAAAGGCTCCGATCGCCTGGCTCACTCACACAAGCCGCTGTCGATCTGAAAATCCACTAGCGAGATGTTTCCGTCGGCCCACGCTCTTTCCGCCTTGGCTTCCTTCTGTCGGAACAGAAAGCGGGCAAGGTCGTCCGAGCTTACCCAACTGGACCGCCAAGACCGTGAGCAGAACGCTTGCTGATGAGCCGAAAAGCACATGCGCCTTCAGGGCGAAGCGCAGTTCGTGCATGCGGGCTGGACACAGGGAGAGAGAGCAGCTGCGCGATTTTTTCCCTGGGCTCGCATGCCCACTTCAATCTATTTCGACCCCGAACCCACAGAGCTTGGCTTGAGTCTCGCTTACGCCCTTTTGTTCAAATTTAGCTAGTTCGAGAAAACCCTTTCGGCTGTCAGAAGGCTGATCGAACGGCACTGGCACACGGGCGTAACGCTTTTGTTCACAAAGGAGACCAACACTTTGAGACAAGCGACGCGCTCCTTCGTGAAGGGCCGTGATCTCGAGGCTCTTGGCTTCATCGGGATCGGCATCTAGTCACTCTCTCTCGCCCGTTGCGAACTTCATCTGAACACTCTCTTCTCAGACTCTCGACCTCGTCGGCGTCGATGCCAGGTCAGACTGAAGTTCATATGCTTCTGTACAACCCATTGCAGCACAGCGTGGTCTTGTGTGACTGCGCTGTGTCAGTTTTTTATTCGGCATCTTTTCGCTCAAATTGGAATTCAAGGGTGCAGCCCAACAGGCAGCACAGCACAGCCTGGCGTCAGTGAGGGCCCCTGATCACCCAGCCCAAATTTCTCTCTCAGCCACCCGCCACGCACTTTGTCTCTCTTTTAGACGCTCGTTTCAGTCGCCTTTCTCGCTCACGGAGATCTGTTCCGTCGCCCTTTTGCAGCAGCAGCCGAAGCAGCAGCTGCTGCGGTCGCCTGTCAGGATTCGATGTTGCATCTGGTCGGGGCTTGAGAGCCCAAGCATTGACTGCCCCTCTCTCTCGGCGGCAGAAGTGGTTCCTGTTGAAGCCCCACTGCCCTGACTGAATGTGACTGGCTAGCCATCTCGAAAATTGCATCCAACTCGCCTCGCTGCAAGAAACACACACACACACCCAGCCAACCCACAAGGTCACACATCCCACATCCCACATCCCACACCCACTCAAATCACACACACGCAGCGCTTCCACTCGCACACAAGAGTCGCACAGTGGCCTACGCTTCTTCTTTCGCCTCCGCAATCCCTTCCTCTCGGTCACTCAATCCCACAAGCCTGGCTCTGGCTCTGGCTGTTGTTCTCCCTCAACTCGGTCACGATCCTCCTCTCCTTTTCCCACATCGTCACTTCTTCCCTTACCTTGCCGGCATCGATTCTCCCTTCTTCATCTTGTCTTTTCTCTGCATCAATCGGTCCACCTCTTCCTTTCTCTTCCACCTGCGTCACAAGAGAGCTCTTTGCGTGCGCCGGCAGCCCTTTTGCTCTGTGGTCATCACCTGCACAACAGTCTCTCGGGGCGCCTCTTCTCACCCTCGACACCGGTCCTGGCTATCCAGTCAAGTGATCGCTGCGCATTCTATACCGCCAACACACGTCTGGCTTGGATCCATCTCGTCCATTCTGGCTCCTCTCTTGCATACACCCCCCCGATATCCTCGTTGCGCAACGATCGTTTGCTGCCTCCGCCAACTTGCTTCGGACTCTCGTGACCACCTTCACCCTCGTCATCGATCGATTCGCAAGTCGCGCTTGGCATCTGAACGTCCACGGCCGGATACCAAGTTTCCATTTCCTGCCATCACCGCAGACGACGGTCTGAATGCATTCGGTCTCAGTCTAAGGTTCACTCGCGCCACCACATCACCCAGGCGCACGCCAAGGCGTTTGTCTTCTCTTCTTTCCATCAGCGAAGCCTACGACACTCCATCGACCACAGCGTGATCTTCGGAAACATCTTGCTTCAGCACCTGCTCTTGTGGGTCAGCTCCAACAGCATTGACCCTCGCGCAGACGCTGCGATCGAGCTCGAATTGACTTGATTCGCATTCCTCTCCTTCGGCCCGGCTCCCCTCCCTTACGAATCCCGATCTCGCTTCGACCGTCGCCTTCGCCCCATCGGCCCCTAGCTCCACGCTTTGCTACTCATGTTCGGCAGTCAATTCCAGACCCAACCGTTTGGCCAATCGACGCCCGGTTACTATCCCCACATGAACGCCCAACAACACCACCAACAGCAGCAGCAGCAACAGCAGCAAAATCAATTTGCTTGGATGCAATACCAGCAAATGCTGCAAGCGCAGCACTTTTACAGCCAGCAGCAGCAACAGCAACACCAGCAACAGGCTCATGCAGCGTCGGCCAGCGATATTGGTACAAGCGCAGACAGCCGTCGACGCACTTCCTCGACGCCGCAACGACCTCAGCCCGTCACGTACAACGACACGTTCCGCCGTGATCAGCAGCAGTCTGGGCCAGGTATGGCGCCAGTTCCAGGTGCCTCGTACGCAGGCAACATGGCGCAGTTCAACTCGATGCGCAATCTCAATGGCCAGCCCGTGACCGCAAATCAGTATGGTCAGGTGCCTGCATCGGGCCACTCTGCTTCGTCTTCGGTCTCCTCCGCACCCACAGGTGGATTCCACCCTTACCGCAGAACACAGCGCGGCACTTCCGACGTGGGTGTGACTGGCTCGCAGAATTTCCCTTCGAGCGTTTCAGCTGCGAACTCCATGGCACCACCCGCAGCTGCGCCACGTAATCGCACCTCGAGCGCCGCTTCGCAGTCCTCTTCGCGCGAGACTTCGCCCATGCTTGCAGCTGAGCGCAAACGTGGCGTCGGCGCGCTTCCTTCTTCGACTTCGGCTCCTGGTATTGCCAATGGCCATGCCTCCAAAAATGTGCCTGCCTCGACTTCGTCTCAGGCCGGTCTCAGTCATCTGCGCGGCGCACCGCCACGGACCAACAGCCAGTCTTCGATCGGCTCGGACGCTTCTTCGAGGACAGCTACCGCTTCCAATAGTGTCGGCAACGGTGCAGGCGCCCCAGTGCATCAGCGATCCGACTCGTCTGCGTCCCTCCAATCTATCAACACTTCGCAGCGTGGTCAGCCCGCCAGCATCGCTTCTTCCAAGAAACCTTCGCCTCTGTCTAGACAGGCAGCCAAGGACGACGACGAAGAGGCTGTGTACGGTGGTAGCGATGACGATCGCGTCAACGGCGGTCGATCCACTCCCATGCCTGGCTACGCTCCCAAACCAGCCAAAAAGTCGGGTCTGTCTAGCAAACTGCGCAAAGCTTTGTCTTTCTCCAACATGAACGACATTCAAGATAGCAGCGCTCATGGCACTTCGGCAGCTGCAGCTGCTAGACGTCCGCAGAACGGCGGCGTGTACGGCCGTGACCTGGGCGGACTGCCCAACTCTTCCGGAGACACCAACGCCTCGACCGGATCCACCCGCTCCACCTCGCCTCCACGAACGCCCGACAACGGCGCTGCTCCGCTGGGTTCGTCGGGCGCCTCCATCACTTCGCGACGTACCACTCGCCCTCCTCTGTCCAACAACAACGAAGGCAAGCGAAGCATCTTCAACCGCAAGTTCAACTCGTCCACCGACAACATCTCCATCTCGTCCACCGTCTCGAGCGCTTCGGTCATGCTGCGCAAGGTAGGCAACCTCGGCAAGCTTGCTCGTCGCCACTCGCTCATGGGCCTCACCAACATGTTCAACAAGGACAAGGATGGTCGGGACGCCGACTCGTATGGTGCCATGCCAACCGCTTCGGATGATTCGGCCATCAACACCAAGAGCAAAAAGTCGACCAAGAAGGGCACTCCTGCTTCCGCTTCGATCACCCACGCCACCGTCGAATTGGAGAGCGCTCGTTCCAACGACACTGGCATGACGCCGGCTGCTTCCTACGTCCGTCAGCATCAGCTTCAGATGCAGGCGCAGGCCGAGGCCGAAGCACGCGCCGCTCGGGAACGTCAAGAGGCCGAAGCGCGAGCACGTGAGGCAGGCGAGAACCGTCAAAAGATGATCGAAAAGGAGAAGGAGAGGCTCAAGTCGAAGCGAGGCTGGCGCAAGAAGTTTGGCAGCAGTGGCGGTGGCAGCATCAGCTCCATCACTTCCGATGCGCCCTCCGGTCTCGAGACCACGTACGCCGAGCCGGAGCACTATGTCGATGCTTCCACAGGTCAGCAGAACGCGGACCCGCTCGTCTCTGCTGCGCCACCCCAGATCGCCATGCCGTACGATGGAGACGGAGGCTTCGATGCCTCGTTCGACAGCGAGCTGCTCGAGCCTCCGCACATGCCGGCCGCTGGCGGTCTCGGCGGCGAAGACTCGGGTGACGAATTTGAGACCGACAGTCTCCGTCATTGGGGAGAGGGCATCGAGAGGTCGCGTGCCAGTGCCGCGCAGTTCAAGAACCCTAGGAGCATCCTCAAGAAAACGGCTTCGACCCCGGATCTCTCGCTCGCTGGCGGATTCGAGAAGCCGTTTGCTGGTCGTATCCGCGCCAACTCGTACGACGCCCCGCTGGCCGCTTCGCCGACGACGCTGCAGCCCTCGAGCACCATGACGCACATTTCGAGCAGCACGGCTGGCGTCGAGCGTCTGGACGGTGTTGGCGCCAAGCCTGAGTCGCCCGCTTCTTCACGCCCTGGCTCTCGTTCAGGTGCCGATGGTCCGGCGCGTTCTGCCTCGCCTGGCTCGATCCAACATGCTGGCGGCGTGCTGGGACACCACTCGAACTCGTCGATGCCGACGCTGTCCTTGATGATGGATCCCTCGTCCGACTTTATGCCGCAACGGTCGGTGACGGCGCCTACGCAGGCCAAGAAGAAGCTCTCGTTCGCCGACGACCTCATCTTCCACTCGACATGGCCTGCTACCGTCTACGACCGACGCGGAGAGCAGGCGACGTGCAATCGCCTCACGCCGCTGTTGGCGCAGCGCATCAAGGAGGAGCTCAACACGTACAAGATGGAAGAGATGGCGGTGGCTCCTACGAGTCGCATCTACACGCACTTTTTCGTCTGATCTTGCATCGGACATCGGCATCATCATCTCTCGCATCAACTCCCCACCGATTCATGCTTGTTCTTCATTTCTCTCATCTTTGACTCTGCTCTTGTCTCGGCACATATTTGCATTCCAACGCTCGTGGCCTTCCTGTCCCTTCTCGGCGACACGACTCCCTCTCTGTCACGGAAGATCTCTGCTGGTCGTCCTGTCATCCCGTCGTGCCTTCTCATGGCTCTCCTTCTCGGCCTCATTCTCAAGTCAGACAACTCTCAACTCATTGCATTCAACCCTCGATGTTCCCCGTCAATCATGTCTCGTGGTTCAATCTCAAAAAAGCTTATGGCGTGCCTAGATGGCATGCTTTCATCTTGATCTACAGTTGATATTTGCTGCTAGTGCTTCTCTGTGCACGTTGAGAGCTACAGGGCCGTCCTGAGGGAGGAATTGTGAATCGGCCTGCTCGCGTGGGCAAGTCCAGGCAAGGCCGAAAATAGCAACGGCTGCCAGCGTGTCACCCGATGGGCGCTCACCCGCCAAATGCTCGGACAGACGACGCTGACATTGTATAGACCGAGACCAGAAAATCAACCAGGGGCCGGAAGCAGAGATTACTCTGCTCAGCCAACACCTTGAGTCTCGGCATCAGCGACTGGCAGCACGGTGGATGTGATCGACAGCCAAGCTCGGCCCTTGGTAGATCGGGCTAGCTGTCAACCAGAGGCGGAGATCTGATTTTGCATGCGTGAAAGGAGGCAAAGAGAGGGCGCTGTGCTCGCTTCGCAAGAGACACGCGGGCCAAAAAAGGCGATCAAGGCTCTGCAGGCGGAATGCCCCTTCCGCGTGAGGGGGGCTTTGTCGTCATCGCTTGCTGCGCCTGTTTGCTCTGCTATGCTGTGCTAAGTTACGCCTTGACCATCTCGAAAGAAATTCTCCACTTCCAGATGAGGCCAAAATCACAAAAAAGGACGGGAAATTGGTTCCAGCAGGCACAGAGGCACCGTGCACTGCGCCCTTCAAGTCCAAGATCGTCATCCAGCCAGAGAGCGGGGAAGGCCACCGAGTCGCTGTCTGCAGGCGGAGAAAAAAGAGCGGATGGAAATGCAGATGGAAAGCATCTGACAGCCTCGATCTGGCCCTGTGTTCTGGTGCCTCCTGTCACACACTCACCCTTGTCACGCTCGCCCGCCCGCTCTCCCTTTTGTCTGTCCCTTTGAACGTCAATTTTCCTGCGTGGTTTGGCGTTGCTCGTCATCATCATTCTCCTCCACACCATCATCATCAACCTTGACAGCTGAGCTACTTCGGTTCTCTTCTCATTTTGACTGCCTTTTGCTGTCCAGCTCAAGGATCATCCAATTCAACGGCTTCATATCTTCGATCAAGCCCACTTTACGCCTACTTCGGGTTCAGTCTGAACGAGGTGCAACTTGCTCTACACGCAGACGGGCCGACGTCGACCCATCTCCAGGTCTCTCGCATAGTCCTGCTGGCGAAGAAGATCACCCAATTCTGACAACCGCGGTCTGCAAAGCATCGTGCGCCGACTCAGCCAAGTCAGAACGTGCGACACCCTTGCTATCTCGATCGATCGAGCTCGCCAACGACAGCTGGTGCGCCTCATCGACGACAGGACAGCTTCAAAGTACATCTTCTATCGACTGCTCTCTAGCTGCGTTCCTGCCGCCTCGGAACATAGTCGCAAACCGCTTGATCCGTTCCTCACCCAAGCCCTCATCACGCTGCTTAGTTCGCAATCATGGGCTTGCTCGACCACGTCAGTGGCGCCGTCTCGGGCGCCAAATCGCACGTCAAACCCTCCAAGGAGGACCGCCCTCCCGAGGGTGCTGCTGCCGATGACACCGAAGAGCTCGACGAGGAGTCGGGCAACATTCTCATGTCGCTCATCGGCCAGCTGCGCATAGGCATGGACCTTTCCAAGGTGACACTGCCCACATTCGTCCTCGAACCACGCTCCATGCTCGAGCGAATCACCGACTTCATGTCACATCCCGACCTCATCTTTGGCGTTGGCAAGATCGACTCACCCGAAGAGCGATTCCTCCACATCACACGCTACTACCTTTCGGGCTGGCACATCAAGCCCAAGGGAGTCAAGAAGCCGTACAACCCCATCCTCGGCGAGTTCTTCCGCTGCTCGTACAACTACCAGGACGGCACCAAGGCATTCTACATTGCCGAACAGGTGTCGCACCACCCGCCCATCAGCGCGTACTACTACGTCTCGCCCGAGAACAACCTCTTGATCTACGGCGAGCTCAAGCCCAAGTCCAAGTTCCTCGGCAACTCGGCGGCGACCATCATGGGCGGCGAGTCCCGTGTTGTGCTGCTCGACAAGCAGGACGATGGCGAGTACCACATTTCGATGCCCAACATGTACGCGCGCGGCATCATGTTCGGGCGCATGGTGCTCGAGCTGGGCGACACGAGCAAGATCCGCAACGAGGCTAACGACCTCTCGTGCGATGTCGAGTTCAAGACCAAGGGCTACTTCACCGGCACGTACAACGCCATCGGTGGTAAGGTCACCAAGGGGGGCAAGACGGTCGGTGAGATCAGCGGCAAGTGGTCCGACTCGATGGACTACAAATCCTCCAGCTCGGGTAAGACCGAGGTGCTGTTCGACGCACACAAAGCGACGATCGTTCAGAAGGAAGTCCTGCCCGAAGACCAACAGGAGGACAACGAATCCCGCAAGCTCTGGAGCAAGGTCACCGAGGGAATCAAGGAGAAGAATCTCGACAAGGCTACTGAGAGCAAGAGTGCGATCGAGGAGAAGCAGCGTGGTCTGGCCAAGGAGAGGGAGGAGAACGGAACCTCGTGGTCTCCGAAGTTCTTTGTTCAGAAGGGCGATGTTTACGTGCCCAAGATGGACGCCCTGCCCTCGGACGAGTATAGGCCTCAGGCAGTCGTCGATTACTTTGCCAAGTCGGCTTGAGTTGGACATAGACCCATATTACAGCGCTCGCAACTCTCACCACACACACGACGATCTCTTGCTGGGGTGCTCGTCACAACCTCCGTGGTTTTCCCCCAGTATGACCTGTTTTCGCGAAAGGCAATGTCTTGTATTGGAAGCGCTGTGTTGATGGAATGTGGTTGATGTATCTGAGGAGTGCAAAGCTACGAGTTTCCGGACGTGGCGGCTTAGTACAAGTGCCAAATCCAGAGTGCCCCTCGACTGCCAGAACTCGATGGGCAGCCTCGGTAGCGCAGCGCCGCGCTCCGCTTTCCGCATACGCGACGCTTGGCGTTTCTCAACCACGCCATTCCGAGATTCAACCTAGGTGAGTCGGCGATGACGAGCAGCCATGATCAGCATGCGCCGGGCAGACAGTGAAGAATGAGATGATGCGCTCGCGGGGCTGTCAGATCCCCGATGTTCGCCAGCTCGACGGGGGTTCGTTTGCGGCGAGAGAGGCACGCGTACATCGGGCCGCGGGCGCGTCGACGCGTAAATTGACCGTGTGGGACGCGTAGATTTTTCGACCGACCCCCGCCAAAACTTGTAGGAGAGCCCACTTGGAGGCATCATTGCGCATCGACGAGGCCTGTCCCACCACGGATCGAGACAGAAGCAGGGAGAACTTCATCTCGGTCTGCTACCATCTTGTCCGGACTTCATCTCGCTTCGCCACCCTTGTCAGTCGCACTCATACCCATCGAGCCAGAGTCATTCACGGCTCGCCCACGCATCCCGCTCGCTGCGCATACATCCACCGATATAGCTAGCGTCTCCTCGCCAGCTCAGGGATCATCTGCGTCGTCCTCACCAATCTTTTGCCAGGCATACATCCAGCTACACGGCGCCATCCTCTGGCTCACACGGCGTCATCTGCGATCGGACACGCAGCATCGTCCATCATCCATCCCGAGCACCCTTTCATCGGACCGCACTCGGACCCTCTGACCCAGCCTTAGCACACCCATCACATTTCAAAGATGGCCTACAACACGCCCATCACAGCCGCCGGTAGCAGCTCGAACTACACTTCCGCCTACAAGAAGCATTTTGGCGATCGACCGGTTGCATTTGCGCTGTCGGAATCGCGCCCGTCGTCGTCATCCTCTTCAACTTCGCACCACAGTGTCTCGGGCGTCGATGGGTTCGCCTCGTGCTCCCACTCCCAGGTGTCCGGCCTAGACCCGTTTGCCGCGGCCTCGTCAACGAGCTTCGCTTGCCGATCAACGGAGAAGCAGGTGGGGAGGGAGGAGGTGGTGGATGAAGGGACGCGCACCCAATTGGCAAACCTAGGTTGGAGGATACGAGCGACTGTCAACCAAGGCTATTCCCGAACTTCCACATGTCATACGGGAAGCGGGTTCGTGAGCGAACGAGATGTGTTGCGCAACGTGACAAACAGCCGACGTGGCTGGAGTCGCGTCGCTACCGCCCCTACCACCGCACCCACATTCGACGGTATGAGGTGCCCACCGGCCGCAGACCAAGCTGTGCTCGAGGGGGCGGTGCAGAAACGCAGCAGACGCCTGTCCGAATCGGACCAGGAAGAGGAACATCCCATGCATGAGGATGGGGAGAGAAGGATCAAAGGTCTACCCAAGTTGAGCTTCAGTTCGTCCACCAGTTCGGCTACATCTATGCTCTCCACCAGCCCGTTCGCTCCCGAACCGACAACCCTGGGCCTGCCCGCGGGAAGGAGCAAGAGCTTTGTCCGCACCCACAGCGAGCGCTTGCCCCCGTTGAAGCAGGATACAGTGATGGACGAGGAGATGGGAGACGCATATGATTTCTCCTCTCACTTTGGTCGGACCGACTTTTAGAATCTCAATATACCCAGTGGATCTCCTGCTTTCGAAGTGTGCCACAGTCTCAAGTTTGATCGTCTCTTGAACTGAACCTGCTGTTGATTGCCGTTACCCGACAAAGCGAAAGCTGTCGGCCTGAACAACATACTTGCCCGTCAAGGTGACACTTCCCTCCTTGCCGACATTGCTACTGCACGCCACGCCGCCCTCGCCATCCGTGTTGACCAGTACAAAGTTCTGCGAGAACGCCCGTGGGTGGCTCGTGATCGGCGCATCCGGGTCAAAGTTGGTCCGGTTGCGGTTGACACCGTGGGTCGAGGATGTGGCTGATTTGGGTGCAGAGGTGGATGGGTGGAGGGCGGAGGAGGATTCGGGCGTGTGATGCGAGACTGTGCCCGAGACGGAGAGCGTTATTGATGGGGGTGTGAACGAAGCTGTGGCAGGAAAAAGTGAGGGTCAGTACGAGGAGCTTGCGGGGAAAGGAAAGGGGGGAAGTGGGTGTGTATGCTTCATATACTACTCGATACGCGATTTGAGCTTTGAGAAGGAAGGTATCGAACCCTTATGAAAAGCGTCCGCTCGCAAAACCTCGATGTCATCGCCGTCGTCCACTGCAGTATGCCGCAAACGTGCTCGACCGATGGGGCGGGGGGACTTTGCTCGATCTCGCCTCTTCTTACGCAGACTGCAAGATGGTACTTTCTCCACCGTTGCAGGCTTCGAGCCGTCTTGCTACATCTGCGACCATGTGAGGCTGCCAAGGGAAGTCGGGGAATGCAACGAAACTCACCTCCGTCTACAGCTCCTCCAAGAGCATGACAGTCAAACGCCTGCACCTCATGCTTGCTGCCCGGCATGCTGTTGAGCATCGCCGTCAGCTCCTGCTGTCCGCTCACCGGTGTCCCATTCCAGACGATCGACGAGGTGGGCAGATACAAGGTGGGGACGAGGTTGGTGCGTTGTGGTGAATCGGACGCGGCGTAGTAGGCAGAGACAAAGGTTTCGGCTGCTTTGGCGGCAAAGTCGGCGAGACGACGCGAGTCCGGCCGTGAGTTGCTCGGTCCTGAGGGTGGGGCTGCCATCGTGAACTTGCAAGTGAGAATGAGAAGATCGGATAGGATGTTGAGGGAAAGGTGGTGCCTCGAGAAGCAGCGCAGCTCTGGACACCTTTTGAAGGGTCCGAGTCCCGACCATTCAGGAAAAGATCAGAATGTTAAACCCGAGGCTTGTTAGGGTTGAGACGGGCCAAAAGCACGCCATGAAAGCCCGCAGAGAGAGGCGTGAGTGTTGAGCCAAAATTTGAAATTGAGTGCTTTGAGCTGTGTGGGAAGAAAGTGACTCGCTGCCTGAGAGCCTGAGTGGTGGGTTGAGTCGCCGCCCTCCGCAACCAAGCGCAAGGCACACAGACTCGTATCACTGGGCACAGGCAGCAAGCAGGGTTTGACTTCAACTGCCCCGCCTACATCATCCCTCTTCAACATCAACCATCTTCATTGCATCACACACATCCCTCTGTCACAACACACATACGAAGCAGATCCATCGCAACACTTTCCTGAGGAGCGGCGAATCGTTCTAATCGCCCTCTTTCGGCTGACCAACCAGTCTCCTTGCCACCTACAACATCGCCTCAGGCCTTCGCTTCACCCATCACACAACACCAGCATCTCTTCCGTCGCCCACCATGTCCATCCCTCGCGACGCCTACAGCGTCTCGTCATCTCAGGCGTCTACCGTCACCCCCTTCGGCACCGACGGCACCGACATTGCCTCGTCCGTCGCCTCGCTCGACTCTTCCATCCCTACGTCCCCCGAGCCCTCCGACATTGGCGATGAGGACAAGCTTCCCTTTGTCTCGCACAAGGACCGTCGTGGCCCCAACGGCTACCGCTTTGCCACTCAGTGTGCCACCGTAGACGATCCCAACCACAAGGATCAGTATGGCTCCTCGTCGACCCCCATCTACATGTCCGCCACCTTCAAGGGTCTTCCCGGTGCCGAGTTCGACTACTCTCGTTCGGGCAACCCTACTCGTTCCATGCTCCAGCACCATCTCTGCCAGCTCCAGAACTGCAAGTACAGCTTTGCCGTCTCGAGCGGTATGGCCTGTCTCGATGTCATCACCCGCATTGTCAAGGCGGGCGAGCGCATCATCGCCGGTGACGACCTGTACGGTGGTACCAACCGTCTTCTCGGCTACCTCGCTTCGCATCAGAACATTCACACCGACCACGTCGACACCACCGACGCCTCCAAGGTGGAGGAGATGCTCCAGAAGCGAAGCCAAGACGCTGCTGCCGGCAAGTGCGGCAAGGTGAGCATGGTCCTCCTCGAAACGCCCACCAACCCCTGTCTCAAGATTTGCGATCTTCGGAGATGCGCTGCCGCCGCTAAAAAGTGGGCGCCCGATGCCGTTGTCGTTGTGGACAACACCATGATGTCACCCTACCTCATGCGTCCACTCGAGCTCGGTGTGGATGTCGTCTACGACTCGGGCACCAAGTACCTCTCCGGCCACCACGATCTTATGGCCGGTGTGATTGCTTGCGACCGTGACGACCTTGGCAAGCAGATTGCTTTCACCATCAACTCGATCGGCAACGCCCTCACTCCCATGGACTCGTTCCTCCTGCTTCGTGGTATCAAGACCCTCGCTGTACGCATGGATCGTCAACAGGCTTCGGCCATCACCGTCGCTCACTACCTCGACTCGCTCGGTTTCAAGGTCAACTACCCAGGCCTTGCATCTCACCCTTCCAAGGCGGTGCACGACAAGCAGGCTGCTGGACCTGGTTCGGTGCTCAGCTTCACCACTGGCGACAAGGCGCTCTCGGAACGCATCGTCGGCGCCACCCGTCTGTGGGGCATCTCGGTCTCGTTCGGATGCGTCAACAGTCTCATCTCGATGCCCTGTCTCATGTCGCACGCCTCCATCGACCCCAAGGTGCGTGCTGCTCGAGGCATGCCCGAGGACCTCATCCGTCTCTGTGTCGGTATCGAGGACGAGCGAGACTTGCTCGATGATCTTGAGAACGCTCTGCTCCAGGCCGGTGCTATCCGCCGCAAGCCCTCAAGCCGATCGACCCACCTCGGATCCACCACCGAGAGCTCCCGCGCCGCATCGCCAGATCCCATCGCGTACGAGCGCACCCCTTTGCATACCGGCGAGCCCGCTCAGCAGGACAAGGTCGGCAGCTTGGTCGACGATATGAACCGCGCAAAGCTCGAGACTCGCGGCGGTGAAGGGGAACCTCGCCTCGCCCAGGATCATCCGCCGCCGACCTCCGTCGTTGTCAGCGCCCCTGGCAAGGTGATTCTCTTCGGCGAGCATGCCGTGGTGCATGGTGTCACTGCTGTCGCTGGATCCGTGGCGCTGCGTTGCTATGCCAGTGTCTCTCCGCGTGAAGACGGCAACATCTCGCTCGACTTGCCTGACCTCGGTGTGATCCACACTTGGAACATCAAGGAGCTGCCCTGGTCAGCCGTGCCCAAGTCGATCCAGGCCAGCGGCGCTGTTCCTGACTCGCTGGACGCCGGACTGGTCAGCGCCATCGAGAAGGTCGTCGGCGACACGGTCAACGAGAGCGAGAGGAGCCATGCCGCTTCGATCGCCTTCCTCGTGCTGTACATGTGCATCGTTGGCGAGTCTGATGCTCGAGCTCAGGCCTTTGTGCTGCGTTCGGCTCTGCCGATTGGTGCTGGCCTCGGATCCAGTGCTGCGCTCAGCTCATGTGTTGCTGCGGCTCTCACCATCTTGTACGGCCGCATCCCTGCGCCTGCTAACGAAGTGTCTGCAGACCACTCGGCGTACGTCAACCAGTGGGCGTTCCTTTCCGAGAAGGTAATTCACGGCACTCCCTCGGGCGTGGATAACTCAGTTGCCGTCCACGGCGGCGCTATCGCCTTTACCCGTGCTCACCCTAGCAACACGCTCACTGTCAACTCGATGGAAAAGCTCAAGGGTTTCTCGTCGTTCCGTTTCCTCATCGTCGACAGCTGTGTTGGGCGCGAGGGCAAGAAGCTCATCGCCCACGTTGCCTCTCAGAAGGAGTCTGACCCGACCCGCGTCAACGCCGCTCTGGCGCGCATCCAGACGATCGCCGACGCGGCCAAGCACCTTCTCAGCGGCAGCTCGGGTCTCGAGCGCACGCAGCTCGTCGCACAGCTGCGCGATCTCATCAAACAAAATCACACGGAACTCGTTGGATTGGAAGTGAGCCACCCGGCGCTCGAACTGATCAAGAACAAGACGGAGAGCTTCGCCCCCACGGAGCTGGCGACCAAGCTCACGGGCGCCGGTGGCGGAGGCTGTGCTGTCACGCTCCTCCCGGACGACTTCCCGGAGGAACAGGTGCGCGAGCTGATCAGCGAGCTCGAGAATGCCGGGTTCAAGTGCTACGAGACGCGCGTGGGTGGCGGTGGGTTTGGCGTCAAGCTGCTCCAGAGCGGCGAGGAGGAGGCCGAGGCAAAAATGAGGTTCCAGCAGGCCAACCAGAGTCAGGAGCTGGCTGCTTGGGTTGATGGACAGGATGGGTGGGTTTTCGCTTAGGCTTAGATCGAAATCGTAAGATGTTGTGTCCGATGACCGAGGAGGTGTGTTTCGTGCGTGTAAATGTTCCGTCGGAGAAGCACCTTGATAAAGGCAGGTGGGGTGTGAATACGCAAAGCGAGATGAAGGGGATTTTATCGACCGTCGTCAAGCGTCATTCTTTTGTGCTCTGCAGCGATTTCATCTGGGCGTTGCAGTGTTTCGGTCTGAGGTGGGTGGGAAGCGTGAGAACGTGCTGCTGCCCTTTGAATCGTCACCAATCTTGTGAATGCATTGAGGCGGGCGCCGATAGGTGAATCGAAAGCGTCGGCGAGACCTCCGAAAGCTTCTTCTGCACAGTCACATTCTCGTCAAAGGGAAGCAACCCGTGCATGTGTGATCAGGTATATAAGATTCGATGGGCGCAAGACAAACTTCGAGGGGATACCCCCTTGAACCTTGTTGATCGCCCATTCCTCCTTCTCTTTCGCCTCGCTTCTCTTCGCCCCTCGCTCGCTGCGCACACTTCTTCTGCACCGTCACCTTCACATCCATTCTGTCCCGCATTGTCTTTCTTGCTCAATCGGTATGTGATCATAGAGCGTAAGCTGCTTCACATCTCGAAGATGGACTGATGATGCAAGCACGCGATCTTCGAGCTTGTCAGCACGAGCACTGATTGTGACTGACGCATCCACCCACTTCCCGCACTTTCTGCTCAACCGCTTTCGGCGTGTTCTCGCTCGTGATGGCGCATGCATCCTCCGCTCGCGAACGGCGCTGCTTGCACCCTCGTTTTTCGGGGTTCTTCCGGCGCAACTGCCTTGCTTGATCCCGCACAGGTCTTTGTCTCGTTCTTCTAGAGCTGCGCAGGACTCAAAGCCTTTGTAAGTACACGTCGCGACACGTGCATCAGACGGCTGATCCGCCCAGGCTGTTCGGCGCAGCAAAGTGCGACGCATGCGCCAACGCGGAACCGTGGCCCTCTCCGCGTTTCATGCCGCCCTTCTCCGCACACCGCAAGGCGGGGGGCTTCAGAGGCATATAAGACGCGCTGCCCAGCTCGATTCCTTCCCCCTTCTCCCCAGACGCTGACCACAAGATCTCGCTTCTCTACTTGTCCCTGTACTAACATCAACCGCTCTTGTCTCCAATTCGACCCAGATCCGCCTGTAGAGATCTTCGCTACCAGCGTTGCACCTCCTCCTTTTGGCTTGTCGTGCTGCGCATACAGGTCTTCGACGTCTTCCATCCTCCTTACATTCGTCCAATCCCGCAACAATGGTCTCCTTCCGCATCTACCCCATCATCGCCGTGCTGGTCACGGCGGTGTCCCTCGTCTCGCTCTCCACCGCCCGTCCCATCCGCTCCACTTCCATTCACGCTCGCGCCGGCGGCAACGTCATCCACGGTCACCGCCAGACTCCCATCCATATCCATCGCCGCAACGACCATGGCGACGTCACCAGTCACGACGGCTACGAATCACAGCTGCACGCTCTCGAGGCCGCGCTCAAGCACTATGAGGAGTACGGCGATGCTGAGAGCCTCAAGACGTATCTCAAGGGTTTCACTGGTGGTAGCGATGCTGGGAAAGGTAACAACGGTGATGGCGGTGATGCTGCTAAGAACTCCCCTCAGGCGGCCCCCAAGGAGGACGAGAAGCCGAACCAGGACCAGTCGGGCAACAACGCTGCCAAGAACTCCCCTCAGGAGACTCCGAAGGATGACAAAAAGGAGGACAAGAAGGAGGACAAGGATCAGTCTGGTGACAAGCAGAAGCAGCAGCAGCAGTCGCAGCCTCAACAGCAGCAACAGCAGCAGCAGCAGTCCGAGCAGCCCAGCGAGGACGACTGCGAGGACGACGATCACTCCGACGACATCCAGGCGCCGCAGCCCAAACCCCAGCCGCAGCCTCAATCGCAGCCCAAGATGGTCAAGCAGCCCAAGCCTCAATCCCAGTCCTACACCTCTCCATCCTCAAATAGCTCGGACGCCTCCAACAGCATCAACGGCTACACAATCCCCTCCTTCACCACCGACTCTGCTCCCTCGACCATCTCCCTCTACACCGCCTCCCCCTTCTCCGGCCGGGCGACGTTCTACAACACCGGCCTGGGCGCATGCGGCATCACCAACGCGGACAACGACCCGATCGTCGCCATCTCGCGCGACCTGTTCGAGCAGTACAACCCCTCCGATGGCAACCCGAACAACAACTCGCTCTGCGGCAAGAAGGTCGAGATCTCCTGGAACGGCAAGAAGGCCTATGCGTTTGCGACCGATGAATGCCCCGGATGCGAGAAGACCAGTCTGGACTGCTCTCCGGGCGTGTTTGAGCAGCTCGATAACAAGGATAAGGGCGTGCTCGATGGGATCAGCTGGCGATTCGTCTAGGCGTGCAAAGCCACGATTGCTCTCGATCATATTTCCCCCGCTACGAGGCGCTCTGTTTCACTTCGATTTCGACCGCTTTGTTTGTGCGATGGTCTGCGTCCATCGTACTGCTCGTTTCTCACTCACTCTCACGAAAGATGATGACCCTCCCTGTCGAAAATGGGCGACAGCGGTCCGTGCTGGCCATGATCCGCTTCGCCCTGTGTACGTTCTCACCAAGACCCTCATCCAAAAGTCATCTCTTCCTCATCCTCATGTGATACATCACCCTCACTCGTCTGTGGCGCAAAGCATCTGAGAGATCGATTCTGCTGACGTGTCTGTGAATCAAGTGCTGCTGGGCTACATCCTCCTCAATCCGCCTTGCAACGCGCGAACCAACGTCTCTCTCTCCCTCTGTCTCCTCGCCGCCTCCTCGCCACCCCTCGCCCCTCGCCCCAGCCTCTCCAACAGACCCACCAACCTCCTCCCATCCAACTTCGCCCACTCCTCCCTCCCCCTACCCGTCTGGAGTCCCTGCACGTACTCTCCCACCTTCTCTCTCAGCACCACCTCCAACAACTGCTTGGTCGGGGCAAACACTCCCGCTTCTACACCGTCCTTCTCCGCGTTGGTGGCAAGATATCCTATGTCCGCGTTCAACACCTGCAGCCCTCCCGCATTGACAGCGGTGGTATCGGGACTGAGCAGGTGTTTGTCCACCAGACAGCTGGTCAAATGCGCATAGGCGGCGGTGTAGACCTTCTCCCTGACTTGGGCGGGTAGTAGCACGAGGACGCTCTCCATCATGGTGTGGAGCCATTCCAGCGTGTCTTGCAACCAGGGCGAGCCTGCGGCTGTCGGAGCTGTTGCGCGCATCGTTGGGGGAGCAAAATCGTACTCTGCCAACCCCAAGAATTGATCGAGCTTCCCCGCGAAAGCACCGTTGATCTTGTCCTCTGCAATCCGCAGTGTGGCAACGAAATGACGACTGGCATCCAATCGCACCCCTCCCCCGCGTCCCTCGCCGGCGCGCATCCGCTCGAGCAACGCCTCAATCTGCACACACGCCAAATTGAAGTGTTCGGCGTTGACCACGATCTGTGCGATCTGAGGCAGGTTCACCTCCGTAGACGAAAGGGATTGGCGGATGCCATTCGAGACCTGTTGGATGAGCAACGAGTCGAGGCTTTTGGATAAGATCTCGTCGATCTCGCGCGTAAACGCAAAGCCGTCCGAGAAGTGGTAGTACTGATCGACGAGGTTGCGGATGTCCATGCAACACAGCGGGTAGGTTTGACTGAACGGCAGTGAAAGCGGGAATTGGGAGTTTCGCAAAAGACCCTCGTCCCCAGGTTTGAGCCATGCGACGCTAAGCACTTTTGACAGTTCGTCGGCGTTCGATACGATCATGGGTTGATGTTGCGTTTCGCGCATGGCCTGTTGGAAATCCCGCGAGAAACGGTCCCGCAGCAACTGCGCGTACCGCTCAAACAGCGTCAGGAGGAGCGAATTGAGTTTGGCCACCGGGAAAGAGTATCCTTCCAACGTCTGGATGAACACCTGAATGGCTGCTTTCGCAGAGATGTACACTTTGGTGTCCCGACACTCGCGGAGCGCGAGAGAGACAATGTCGCACACCCGACTGCACATGGTGTCCCACAGATCGTCGACCTCTGCCTCGGAGCGAAACCCGGATGGTGTTGTCTGCAGCACGTGGTGTTCTACGAGAAAGAAGCCGACCATCTCCTCGAGCAAGGGAGGAAAGGTGCTGTTGGCAGCATCGAATGTGAGTCCCTGGGTGAGGAGTAGGTTGGCCTGTGCTCGTCGATCTTCGTGGTACGAGCTCTGCAGTTCCTCTCGCAGATCCAGCGCATCATAAATATGGATGCACTGGTATAACGGTCGAAAGTCGATACTGACCCGATCGTTGTCGACAAAGTTGTGCTCCGCCCGTTCGTTGACGACCAACTCGATGGCGCTATTGACCTTTGCCAGCCGCAACAGGGGATCGCGTTGCGTCTTGACTCGCCATCGCTTCTGCCTGTTCTCCATGGTTTCCAACGCCAGTTGCCCCACCGTTCTCGACTTCTCCCGAACTTCGAACAGCCACTCCTTCATCTCTCGCGTCACGGCCGCTTTGACCTGCCCACGCATCTGCGGGATCCCATCGAGCATGTGGCGTGCAAACTCGTGATGCAGCAGTCCACGCAGATGCACGTTCTCCAGCTCCTGCAAACTGCGCAGCGCTGCGTAGTACTTTTTATCCGCAATCAACCCGTCTGCGCGATTAGCCATGTCGAGGACTCGCAAACACACCTGCAACGCCGCAATTGCCTCCCCGACATTTGCTGCTGTACGTTGCGTCTCCAACAATTGCCTCTTCTTCCCGCCGAGCGAAGAGCCACCCGCTTGGACATCCTCGTTCAGCTCCCCAATACGATGCTTGAGCGTCACCGTGCCCGTGCGCACTTTGAGAAGTTTGTCGACGGCATCGACGAACTCGGTGTGGTTCGCATCGCACACCGCTTCGATCTCCCGGTCCTTTTCGCGAACAAAGGTTTTGAGGTGACGCAAGAAGGCATCTTGTTGACGCGCTTCGTCGAGGGATTTGATGATGGGTCCGAGTTGCTCGAGGTTCTCGGCGTCCGCGTCGAGGTCGGAGAAGAGGGTGAGTTGCTGGAGCTGCGCTTCGAGGGAGATGAGTGGGCGACGGGGACGGGCGACCATGGTGACGGTTGAGCTGCGAGGGTGATGGTGGCGGGCTTAAAGTGGCTCGTAAGGTGAATACGAGGGCTGGCTGCGGTTCAGGCCGATGCGTGCATGTTAGAGTGCGACGAAGCCAGTCGCGGGGGTCGCGCTTGGTAGAGGGGACGATTTGGATGCTATGTGTGGTGCAAAGGGATGGGCGTAAGCGAGAGCTGGCGTCTAGACGATGTTCAGGCTGCTGCGAAGGGTATCGATGATGGTTGGAAGACGTCGGCCAGGGTCCAAGGATGGCGGCAAGCTGAGCTGGCCTGGTGGCCCTTGCGCTGGGAATTTTGAGCCAGAGCTTCTAGGCGTCTGAGGTCTAACAAATTCATAAAATTCGGGCAGTTAAGCGCAAGGATCGACGGCGTGCATACAGTCGCGAGTAGATCTGCACAAAGTCGGTCCAAGGAACAGCGTTGATGATCTTGTCGACTGGCAATCTCCGAACAAGCCAGGGCGGATCCAGATGCAAGGAGGCTGAGCCTTCGAATGCGTTCCTGCTTGAGCTCGACGTGATATGCAGGTGGGCGTCGAAGTGTTGTCACGGAAACGTGGTTGGAGTTGCACGCCCCCGACGCCCGTCAGAAATCGGATCGTAAAAAGGGCGGAAGCGAAAAGGAGAACAACACAGAGACCAACACTTTTCATATACTACTCCCTTGCTCGAACGTCCCATCGAGAAGAGGCTTGCAGCTGGTCCCGAGTCGATTTGTTGATCTTCCACACCTCGAGACGATCGTCACGAGTTGGAACGATGCACGTCAGAGGCCCTTGCGCCGTCGCGTGCATGTTCGAGGCCGCGGTGCAGGGGCAGTCGCATTGACCCTCATCGATAGAGATCGAGGTGAATTGGACAAGCACATGTACTACAGCGATGGCTCGAGGCGCACACCGGGCAAGGTACCGTCCACCAGGCCGGACAAAGACACATGGAGCATACAAAGCTCAGCGTGTATATAGCCGATCAAGCACCGCTCAAATGGCGTCTCTTTCACCCCCCCTCCTTCTCTTTCTTGCAATCTTTTCAGCATTCATCCTCCTGTTTCCTCTCAGACTCGCAGCTCGACCGTTCTTCAGCGTTGCACCAATCTCGAAGCTTTCGTCATCGTCTCCTCGTTTCCACGCCCTGACCCCAAGGTCGGTCCCCAGCAACGTTCTTCTACGCGAGCCTCTTGTGCTCCAAGAGCACCTCAACGCCCTCGTTGAAGAGCTATGACCACGTATGCCACGCTCGGACATTGGTGAATGGATGAGCGCAGAATGGATCATCGCCAACACTCTCCCAGGACCTCTTCCAGCACGAATGAATCCTCTCCAGCATTACCCGAGCTCAGCCTGGACGCGTCACTACTGCGTCTACATCAGGAAGAAGATATTTCTGCCTCCTCCTACTCTTCTTTCGCTCGATCTCGGACTTGGCTGGATGACCGAGCAGAGAAAGCGAACGACTCTCCATCGCCTCTTGGCGTACCTGCTCGATCGTCAGCAGAGCTTATCGACCAAGGATTCAGCGGTGATTATCGCTTTCCCCCGCTCGAGCGACAGCATCTAGGCGGCTCACGAGCTCAGACAGCAGAGTCAGAGAGGGCAGCTCTGCCCTTTCGCCCACGGACAAGCCGAGGGCCGGCCGGTCGTCAGGTCTCTCCATCGCGACCTCCTTCGACGCATTCGCTGATTCTTGATGACGTCGAGCAACAGCAAAACTTCCGGCACCACGGAAACGACAACAGGGCCCTCGCGCTGCCAGGCTCACCAAGCAGTGCATACCCATCGCAAGCTTCGCCCTGGACGGTTCTCTTCTGTCCTATGGCGACGCCACCAAGTCGGACTAGCTTCATCGAGGGCAACGAGGCTGAAGACTCCATCCTACTGCCTCTGCAAGCATCTTTGTCAGATCAGATCAAGACGCTGAGCGCTCACCTCGGAGGAAATGTGAGCTCTCGACGGGATGGCGACACCCGTAGCGACATGGCGTTGTTTCTTGATCTGCGCAACGCAACAGCTCTCCCGGTCGATACGATGGCTAGATTCACTTCTCAAAGCTGGTCTTCGACATTCGCAAGGTTTCGGCGCCATGACTCTCTTTCTCTTGCGGAGCCCCTGCCCCACCTCTATCGCGAGACCGGCCTTCCAATTGCTGCTATTGTCCGTTACATATTGACGCCTGCAAAGCAAAACGTCTATCAGGAATCGGGAGACGGCACGCAAGACAGCAATCCGTGGCTAAAGCCATCTTTCAGTACAACGACCATGCCGTCCGCAATCAGCCCCGCTGTTCCGAGCCACATGATGACAGCCAGCCGGAGCTTTCCGGGACCTTTTCGCACACCCGAACGAAAGAGTCCCTGGACATACTCTCCCCCTCAAAGAGCCGCCGCAACGCACGACAACACTCGACCTCACCTTCACACCACGCTGGCATCGAGGGTCTCTCCGACCTCACCTACGTGTGCGAAGTGTTCAAAGCTACGACCACTGTCCCTCGCAGCTGTTCATCCCCTCAGCTTTGATGACCAGTCCAGCTCACCCCTCCCTGACTACGAAGCGGCCCATCCAACTGCCAGCGCCTCCGGAGAAGTTGCGAGCGCGGAAGATGTTGAAGGACCCTCCTGGGGACAGCCTTCGTATCGCCACCGGCATCAGCTTTCGCAGCAGCCCAGCCCCAGAAGCCTTCATTCGCCCACCATGGCAAGCTCGAGGGCGGCAAGCATGCGCAGCAGCCAAACGATTTCTGACTTTGCGTCCGATCAATTTCGAGACAGCGAGGAATCAGATTGGGACTTGGGACCCCGGTTCTGGACGCACCTTTCCAGCCTCGGTGAGATGGTCTCTCGTCAAAATGTTGAAGCGCTGCAGAACAGGAAGTCGAATCGAGACGACGAGCAACGTCTCGCGTCGACTTCATCTGCGGCTTCAGACGCCTCTGTGCTAGACTTCAGCCCTCTCGGAATTCTCGTGCCTACCGGTGGGGATGCCGGGGAAGTTTCACAGCCAGAAAGCCGTGCTCTCAAGCCGCAATTGACGACAGAGTCAGAAACCTCTCGACTTCTTGCGTCGCAGCAGGCTGATCCTGGGAAAGTCGGGACAGGGCTTCTTGGGCGCCGAAGAGCGCACAGCTCGCTAGTACCTCTCACTGGCTGGAGAGCCGGCGATAGCGACTTACGGACAGCCTCGGTTCAGGAAACCGCGTGCTATGGTCTGCCTCAAATGCTGTACATCGACACACAAAGAGGTGGAACAGAAAACTCACTTGATTCCGAGCCGAACGATGTCATCACTCCCACAGTGACGACCTTCCAAGGTCGAGCCCGAGCTCTTTCTTTCCATCCACCGCCGACGACCCAGTCCGAAAAGCGTGCTGATCTGACAGCGTCATTCCATGATAGGCGGAACATCTGGGATGAGGCAATCTCTCAACTCAACGAGCGCATTTGTCGCCCTAGCATGGCAAGACCTGCTGATCCGGAAGTGTCCCCACCCGGAAGACGGCTGTCAGGCTCCGCGGTACTGACCTCTTCGTCCTCCGAAGCGTCCTTGAGCGCTTCAGACCTAGAAGATGAGGTGCTCTTTGATGCGGACGACGAAGCGACAGAGCCACATACTTCTCCAGTCTCGGGACTCTTCTATGCTCATTGGGTCGAACAGGTCGATGGAGAGATTGATGGAGAGCTCGGAAGACGAGGCTCGGCATTTGCTTTGTAGTGACAAGCCTGCCTTCTGCTCCTAGAGTAAAGTGTGCCTTTGAATGGAATGGGAGCAGTCACCGTGGCTGCATTGCACTGTGCCTACCCGATGTAGGCGGAAGACTGTCTTGAAAGTGTTGAAGATGCTGATCTTGTCTGCGCAACTGGAAGTGTCTGCGCACCGGGTCTCGGAAGTTTGAAATTTGATGTCGTGCCGCACATCTTCTCGTTTGCCTCGCATGGACCAACCTCCATCCTTCTCGCCGCACACCATCTCGGTCCAGCAAGCCATCATGCCGGTATGTCTCACTTCCCCAGCTCTGTGAACCTGACTATATCGCTGTTCGGCGTAGCTGACCCCGTATCTCCTTCTCATCCTGGTCGTCACCACCGCAGAAACTCGCACTGCAGCTCAAAGCGCAGTTCAACAATGTCACGCACCTCCTCCCCGCCGATCCAGACCACACATTGATGCTCAAGCTCAAATGCACCTCTTGTCACGAGGAACACTCTAAGCTGGTGGGCGTCACCCCATCGGACGAGAACGAGATGACCAAGGGTGCCCGAGGCAGTGCCAACCTGGTCATGAGCTGTAGTTTCTGCAAGAAGGAGAGTTCGGCGAAGTTCGAGGAGCCCACGACGAAGGCGCCGTTATGGAGGCCGATCGATGCAGACGAGGCGGGTGCGACATGGCAGACATTGTGCGTGCTCGATTTTCGTGGTCTGGAACCGGTAGGTTTCGACCCGAGTGGTTCGTGGACGTGTCAAGGGCTCGAGTCCGGGACCACCTTTGATGGGGTAGAGTTCGACGATGGCGTGGAGTGGATGGATTACGACGAGAAGGCAGGAGAGGAGGTCAGCATTATGGAGCTCGAACATCGATGGCAGCGAGTCTGAGTCCGGTGGACGCTCGGATACCGATCGGCTTCATGTACACCAAATCTCGCCGGAATCACGAACGTACGCCCGACTCGACACATCGGAAGCCGGATCGCACCAGCCTGCCGAATCGCGATCCGAGAGCGGGCTGATGAAGGCGAAATCTCAGAGGCTGTGCACGAGATCGAACACACACAGTGATTGCAGGCCGGACACTGCTTCGCAGAGCCTGCATCGCGAGTCACCGTGATATGAAGACCACCTTCAAGGCAAAGTGGCGCTGCTCGCTATGTGGGACCATGCAAGAAGCCGCAACATTTGCGGTCAGCCAACATAAGCACAAGCCTTCATATTGGGCTTCGTCTCTTGCAACGGCGGTTTCGAGCAGAGCCGCTGCCTAAGAGGTCGTTAGCAAGCCCACTCAATCTTGACTTCATATAATTGCGCTGGGGCGAGTTTCGAGTCCGGTTTCCGCCAGGGGTGTGGGTAGAAGAGAGGCTTGCTGTTACGTGTCAACTGTTCAGCAAATGAAGGCTGTGTGACGGCCCCCCGTTGACAACTATGCCTGTATCTCATAGGCTCTCCTCCTTGCTATCCCTTCTGTCGCACCATCATCTTTTCGGGCTCGGCTTCCTCTTACCACTCTCTGCTCTCCCCTCGTATCATCACATCCTAGTCAGTCTCAAACGAGGCGAAACACTTCAAGATGCGGCTCGGCAGTACCGCCAGTAGCCATCTCCCTTTCCTGGCGATCATTCTCGCGCTCTACACGCTCCTCATCTCGACCTCAGCTCGAGACATTTCTCCATCTGAAGCCAAAATCACCTCGCTCCTACAGTGCCTCGGCCACCACGCTACAGCTCACGCTGATCGGGTCAAGGTCCAATCTCTCCTTTCAGCCCATCCCAATCCGTCGGACGACAGCGTGTGGTCCCAACTCGGACCCAAAGAGTGGGGCTTCAAGGGTCACGATGTTGCCGGTGGCGACACTTGGACTCCCGCCGCTGGCGCGGCTCAGACTGCAAAGAACCGCTCGATGATGCAGCACAGAAAGCTGCTCCGATGCGTTAAGAGGCTGCAGCTGGATGCCTTATCCGCTGACCCGAGCCATAAGCAGGGTAAGTACTGTCCAGCCGTCAATGTCGATATTGAAGGTGAAGCTGACTCTTCTCGTCCGGTCTCTACGATGTGTGCACACACAACAGGCGGAGAACGCGCCTTGCCCGCCAATTCTGGGGACGCCAGCTCCGAGCAAACTCCTCAGGACGCTCACAGGCAGCCCGTCGTCGCCGTTAATGACGCCCAGTGGGCGTCTTCTAGCGAGACCGATTCGGAAAGCTCCAGTGTGCAGTCGCAACAGGTGAGCGGCGATGCATCGGTGACAGATGCTCAGAAGCTCACCTTTGACAGCGATGGCAACCCTGCTCCTGAAGCTGCGGGCAAACTTGCGCCTGGTCTCGGCCCCGATAGCAAGTCGGTTGCTGCGGCCTTCGAAAGTGATCCGGGTGAAAAGAATATGCCCAAGACGGTGCCTGGTAGTACTGGTGTAGATGCCAGCACTCAGGCTGGTGCAGATGCTGGTCCTGATTCTGTCAGCGTCGCGGCTCCTGTAGCTGTCGCTGGCAAGGCGACTCAGCAGAACCTGTTGGCCAACGGACAACCCGATTCCACTCAGAACCTGACGCTGAACGGTGCTGGACAGGTGAACAATGCGACGAACAGAACCGCTTCTCCCAACCTGTCGGATCCCAATACCCTCCAGACCTCGCTCCTGCAAGTCGACGGAACCAATTCAGCCCAGTCCCAGCTGTCCTCTCGGGGCTGTCGTCAGCTTCGCATCCGCAAAGAGTACTCTACGCTCACCAACGCGGAAAAGAAAGCCTTTGCGGATGCGATCAAGTGTGTTCGCTCGAAGCCGTCACGCTACCAAACCGGACCCGGGTGGAACGCGGCCGACGACTGGACGCTTCTTCACATTCGCATGGTCAAGTACGTCCACTTCACCGCCTACTTCCTGCCCTTTCATCGCGGCTTCCTGGCTATTGTCGAGCGCGATCTGAACAACTGCGGGTTCCATCTCGGTCTGCCATGGGTGGACTGGACCAAAACTTCGGTTGATCCGTCGACCAACGCGCTCTTCTCCTCCGACCCGGCCTTTGGGCTGGGCACAAATGGGAGGGGGGACAACAGCGAGTGTCCTTGGCAAACCGGCCTGGCGGTGATCGACGGGGCGTTGGCCAACCACTACTTCAACGCTCCCTTCCGTCACCGTCTCTGTCGTCAGTTCAACAATTTGGATGTCAACGCACCCAATCCGCACTTTGGCAACAATTGCACCACCTTCATCAACCCCACTTTCGTCTCTGGGTTGGGGAAGACCCACGACAATGGGCGGTTCTTCGATTTCTCCTCTGCTCTCGAGATCAGCACCCATCTATCGATGCACACGTGCATGGGTGGCAACCTGGCTTGGCTGAGCAGCTCTCCGAACGATGTGGTGTTTCACACTCATCACGGGTGTGTGGATAATATCTTCGCGGGCTGGCAGAAGAAGAATCCTAGGAATGGGAGAAGCTTTCATGGTCCAAAGAAGCAGCAGAAGGATGGTCAGCATCCTCCTTGGACAGCAAGGGATACGGACGTCATCAATTACATGCCCTTGGCGGAGAACGTGATGGTGAGGGACCTGCTCGATCATCAGAGTGGGGAGTGGGGAGGGAGGATGTGCTATCGGTACGATTACCAGGTTGGTGTTTGAGAGGGCGACGAGCCTACCTACTCTTTCGTTCGCACCGCTCCTGTTCCTGTGCTCAAGATGACAATTCTCACATCTCGCACTCTTGCTACATCAATACATATTTCCTTTTCTCATCCCTGTCACTCGTGCGCCCATTGGCAGCGTGATGAAGCAGAACATCGTCGACGAGGCGCAATGAGGATCGTTACCACAACGGCTGGGTGCAACACTCTAACAGTTCGAATTTCAAGAAAGGGTCCAATGTCAGATCGCATTATCGCTTCTCTCGTGGGGCTAAAAATAAAAGACGCCGAGAAGATCGATTGCGATCTCAAGCGATGGGTTATCGGAAGGCAACGGTCGGCCATCTTTTGTCGAGGGTCCTCCGTTCATGCAACGTGAGCACAAGGCCCTTGGCAGCAGGTCCGTCTGTGACAACCGTTCGGCGCGCGGCGAAGTTGATGAACTCTCCGAGAACGGGTCCCGTTGATACAGATGAAGAGCACGTTCAGACCCGAACCAAAGGAGGCGTTCGAGAGGCGTAGAGTGGTGGCTTTTGTCGTCCATTGCGATCTGGCGATGGCGAAAGTATTCCGATCCAAGCCGAAGCGTTCTCACGCCCAGATTCATGGCTTTCTCGAGATGGCTTGGCGGATGCAATCACGATGTCGACAGCCCCATCGAGAAGAGCTTCTACGTGAGTGTTGCGCGACAGCCGAGCAAGCCTAGCAGGGATCGATCACGGACGGGCGTGCCGAGCAGGCTTCGGCTAGCGTCGCCCTTTGACAGGTGTATCGGCAGGGTTCGCTACCTTGCCGCACCGTCTGATGAGCTTAGCTGTGTTTGAAATGACGAGCAAACCGATGTTCTGGGTTCTGGCAACATCGCCCAGATCGAAGAGGGTCCACCAACATCGAGAAAGGGTTGCGTTTACCTATCTTAGCCGATGTGTCAATGACGAAAAAAAGTCGAGACACCACGTTGTCGCTCACACGCGCGCTCGATCTTGATGGATCCCGATTGCCTCGCAACTCCTTCGACCTGCGTTCGACCGTACCTTAGGCTGTTCCATGAATGCCTGCCAAGCGCGGCGTATTGGAAGCTCCCCGCAGCGTCCCTTGCAGCTGAAGACTTGGGACAATGAGGTTGCACACGAATGAAAAGCACGTTCTTCGGTCCGAGAGCAAGCTTTGTTGCAGCAATTAAGGTTGGTCGCGACCAGACCAAGTTGAGCGTGTACCTGGTCTCACCATCAAGCGAGCGTCAGCAGGCGGCGGCAAGAAATAGAGGAAGCCATCCTCGCTCGGCTGGTCTCGGGTTGACAGGGGAGAATTCATTATTTTGACAGACCGAGATGCAAGGGTTTTTCTGGCTGCACCTCTGCCTTTCACGCTTGGAAAAATTCAACTCCGCTGACGTGCTTCTGCGTTGCCGTTGTCAGGCTCCGTGCAACGTGTGACGGCGCAGACAAGACAATAGGAAACTTCGATTTTGCCGCGTATGGATGGTCAGACGTCCCTTCGAGCGTCGCCAAGCTTCTTGCCGTGGATGGAACGAAGTCAGGAATCGCGTATCGGAGAGGCTGCTCCCGGTCTAAGGCTTAAGTCTGAACCGGAAGAGCGCAAAAAGGTTACCCGAGCCAACACTGTGTTTCAGCACGGAGAATTTGAAGAGACAGACGGGCGAAGTCGCTTTTGTTATGGTAAGAAGAGCAAAATTAAGCATTTGGCTTCTGAGAGCGACTTGCAAAAGCCGCCGCCGAGCTCAGGGTCCTCCTTTCTCTTTCTGCGAAGCGCGATGCGACATTCCGATTTCCTCCCTTTTGTTCAGACGCCTTATCTTTTCCAGATCTCGCCATCACACAGACCCTCAAGATGACGCCAACCACGCCGAGCAGGGATGAGAGGCATATTCCGCGGATGCGAACCTTTCTGGCTGCTCCGTGTTCAAGTTTGAGCATAGAATGCGGCTATCGAGGCAAGCTTCAGCTCGAGTCGAAACGTGAGCTTGGCCTTCTGCTGCTCAGTCCCGTGCTTGGAAATTCAGACTCAGGCTCATGTCAAGCTTATTTGCTCGCTTCGACTTCGGACAAGCCGGCAAACTCCTTTGATGTTCTCACGCGGTGTCTCTTGGCCTGTGATAACGAAAGATGTTTTAGAAGAAATCAATTTTCACAAGGCCTCAACCTGTCATGCATGGGATAAGCGAAAAGGCGAGGAGTGTGAAACGCACCCTGTTTTCCAGTCTTGCCAAGCGGGAATTCCTCCTGTCTGCGTTTGACTTCCAGAACCCTTTTTCTTCTGAGCAGCAGAGCGAGGCGGCAAGGGTGAAACGCACAACCCTGCAGCGGAGCCAGCCGCCTGCCGCTCTCCCCTCGCACCCTTGCTCTGGCCACCCTGGAGCAGATGCAGAGCAGTTGCATTCGAACCCCACCTCGGAACGACCTTGGTCGGGGTAGCAAGATCGGTCCTCTTCTTCAGCTTAGGTACGGCCGTTCCTGCTCGCAGTCACGACAACAATAGGAGAGGGTTGCAGGCTCAATGCTCGGGCGTAGTAAGGCACAGATGGACCACGGCGGCATGTGATGTGACAAAGGTGAGATGGCATGACACCTTGCCGCTGTGAAATCTTCTCCTCGTGAAAACGAGCGCATTTCAGCTTGCTGCATGCAATGTACGGCAAACCCGACGTCCCGGGCGGACCCTTTGCATGGTTGAGGGCTGCCTCGCTTTGAGACGGTCGGCTTGCTCTCTTCCTGCGTGATGCTGTGTGCGAGACTCGCTTGAGCAGCATTTGGCACGGTGGCCACCTTAATTTGCACTCGCTTGCTGTTGTTTCACAATCCGACGGGATCCTCCTCCCATTGCTCCTTGCTCCTCCTTCCTCTTCCTTCCGGCTGTTCCTCGTCGGTCCTTCCCGATGCTGTCCTCGCCAGCTCACTCACCTTGCACCTCCTCACCTCATCCTCGACGCTGAGCTCGTCACTTTCATTCACGCATTCACCCGCTCGGCCTTCGCTTCCACTTCACCTTTCTTTGCCGACTCAAACTCAGCACTTTAAGCTTTGCTTGCAGACCGAGCTAAGCTACTGTCGCCTGATTACCCTCCCGTCGGTCGCATCGCCCAACGTCATCAGGGTGCCACTAGGGTTTGCGAGCTACTGCACCCCTGCCGATCATCCCATCGCTCCCTGCGCCTTTGCTCGCTCAAGCCTTGCCAGCCAAACACTTCAGCCATCAGCCCATTCGACGGTTCTTCCGCTCTCTTCCGACCCTCTCGCCGACCACGCATTGCATCTCAAGGCGCACCATCGTCCTCGACCCGCGTGCCGCCCGCATTCTACAGCCGACGAGGCTTGTGCTTGACTGGCCACTTCGATCCGCTCGGCTCACCCTGACCCTTCCGATCCTTGCCTCGGCCACACCCGCCTGCTCACCGAGTCTGTCCTGCTACCTTAAGCTCACTCTGCATACCGGGTGTGCGCTGACCCAGCTTTTCGGAAGCCACCGACATTCAGTCATCCAGCTTGTCAGCCAGTCTGACTCCCGCCCTTGCGCCAGTACGCTTTGACTTGGGCAATCCTATCAAACTTCATCCCTTTGCCCGTAACCATCAGCGTCGCCCTCCCTACCAATCTCGTCTCGACTTCGATACCACAAATACCTCCTCGTCGCCGCCAATCTTGATCCGACCTTCACAGTTCAGCGTTCAGCGTTCAGCATCCACCTCCCCGCCGTCACATCAGCACCAGAGTCTTTCAACGCTCCCACCTTCATAACCCAAACTCAGCCTTCTGTCGGAACCTCCGATCTGAGTCCGACCGAAGTTCTTCCTATCTAAGCGCATCCAAGCTAGGTTTTCGGCAAGGGAAGAGGCTGTAGCTGCTGGCGGCGACGGGTCTGAGTCGACGGGACCCTCGCGCATCATCATTCGACAAGAGCAGCTGCCCTAGCTGGTCCTTCATAATGCTCGCCTCTACCTCGATGCCTCCGCATTCATCTAGCGGCTCAGGGTCGTCGACACCGTGGCTCTCACCAGAAGCTTCCTCCAGTGCATGGCGTGGATCTTACTCGACCTCCTCAGAGCTCAGTCGCAGCGCTAGCCTCAACGCCAGCATGAACGCATCCCTGCCTTCCTACTCTCACAACGAGCCGCATTCGCAGGAATGGTGGGAGCACGTTCTGCCACCAGGACAGCTCGCAGAGCGACTGCGAAAGGCGCAACGCTCTTCCAATGCCTCGCGTCGACGCAACAACCCCGCTCTCGCCAACGCAACCCCGTCTGAGCGAAGCGCATGGAAGAGGCTCTCGGGTCTGCCCACCGAGAAACGTCAGCATACTCGATCCGAATCGTCTACGGCTACCTCCAGCAGAAGATCCTCGTTTCAGGGCGGCGCAGCTGCCACTTTGCCTCGCTCCGCCTTGAAGTCGAGTCTTCGCTCGCAAGAAGTTGCCACGCACAGCGTCAGCCAGTCTGAATCCAGCGCAGACGTCTCGAGCGACGAGTTGGGCGGTACGTCGACGGGCCAGCACAGCCCGGAGCATCACTTGCGGTTTGCCTTTCCTCCAAGTGCTCCAGCAGCTGGTGAGCGCGACTCTACATCAAGGGCATCGAGGAGAGCAGGCGTACGAACCAGTGCTAATAGCCCCGAGATGGTCTCAACATCCCAGTGGACAGGATCTTCCTCGGCATCGCCGCTCTATCCAGATGCATTCGACTCGCACCGTTCCTTCTCACGCAGCAGCGGTGTTCGAAGAATGCGCGTCATGAGCGAAGATGGCATGGCATCCACCCTCTTCGCCTCGGTCCAATCTTCGTCTGCATCTGGCTCATACCGCCTGCCCGCATCGCAGTCGGTTACGCATCTCAACCAGCACGGTGCTCATAGCGAACGATACAGCAACTCAGCCGATCATCTGAAGGCCAAACTTGCGTCCTATTCCCTGCCCGAGACGCCGGAACTCAGTTCAGACGACGCAGCAGATGTCACGACATTCAGCACCACCACCACTCAGCGTGTCCGCAAGACAAGCACCACAAAGACGACAATTCGATCGGCGCCAACGTCCAAGGCTCCCTCGCCACCAACCATCCTTCGGTCCCACTTTGACAGACCGGATCAGCCAGCAAGCACTCTGGGCTCCGACGACTTGGACGGCTACCACAGTCCATCGACCCGCCGCGACCGACACGTGAGCTTCGACTCGACCGCCGCCACTGCTTCTGACACCCCGACGCGAGCCAACGTGCGCGACTACCCCGAGCCCCTAACTTCGAGCCAATCCGCGTACAGCTTCGGCCGCGACCATACTGGCGCTTTCGACTCGCTTCCCCCTCGTTCCAACAGCACCAGACGATCCCGACAGGGTGTCCGCGTCGCCGGTCACCGCGCAACCAGCTTCTCGCTCCCCAGCAGTCGTCGCGGTTCGATCCGCGAAGACTCCCCCTTCCAGTTCGGCGGTGGTCCTGCACCCTCCTCCAGCTCGACCCACCGTCACCGACGGACAGGCTCGATCCCGGACGCGGTGCTCATCGAAGGCCTCCACGTAGCCCACAAGCAGCTCGCCTCGGCAGGCCACATGGCGCTCACCCTCACCCGTCAGCTGTCGGCTCCCCTGCGACCCGTGTTTCACATGACGCTCTTCCTCAGCATCTCGAGCATCACGGTGCTTTCGCTGGCATGCTTTTTGTGTGCCAGCTACATGCTTACTGCATGGGACGATGTCAGTGTGCGTACCAACAAGGTGCGCGAGGTTGCTGGACGGACGAAACATCGGTTTGAGGGGGCCCTCGATTGGGGGCGGAAGAAGCTTGGTCCTGAAGCGATGTCCGGTAGCAGCAGTCCCAGGACGGGTGATTCTGCCTTTGAACCCCGGTCGTCGTCTGGCACCTCGACACCTGCGGAGAAGCGAGGGGCGGTCTCTGCCGCCGGTCACGCCTTCACCTGGCCCGCCCGCATGGCCTTTTCGGGCGCTGCGACGGTCGCACACCACGTAACCCCTCCGTCGGTCTCCAAGATGTTTGAGCAGAAATCCGACTCGCAGTCCAAACGCTCGACGCTGCCCCCACGCCCGCCACTGTCGACCCTGTTGCCATCGATCCTGTTCACTTTGTTGCTGGCGATCGGTGCGGGGTTGACGAGTTTTCTTGCATCGCGCAAGGAGGCGGGTCCGGAGGCCAGCCCGCAGGCGTACACCGTACCGCTCTCGCCTGGGACCGAGTACATTAGTCAGGAGGCAAAGAACTTTCACTCCATGCGCGCGGGGATGGGTCAGCGACGGACGTACGTTGCTACTGAAAGCAGCGGCTTCGTACGTTAAGCGGAGGGTTTATGATATTCACGATTGGCCACGCATACACGCATTTCACGAATCCGCATTGCATCTCCAATTCATCACTCAACTTTTGTCTGTCCTGTGTGTCTGTGCGAACTGAGGTGAGGTGAGGTGAGGTGAGAGGCCTTCTCTGCGTGCTTGCAAAGGTGTCTCTCAGTCTGGCTGTGTTGGGAGGTGGCGTTGCAGAGAGCGGTGTGGCGTGTGTCGGTCCGTCTTTCGACTTGACATCGGCCCACTCTCGCATCGCAACACTTAGCCTGCGGTGACCCGCGCGCTTGACGAAGAAGATTCTCCCTCACTTCCCTCTCACACGACACCTGCTCAGCGTGCTTACGCGATCGCGCTCGCGCTCGCCCACAGCACCCTCTGAAGATCTGAGAACAAGTTCGCATTTAGAGCGGTTGACAGAGACTCATATTCCGCCTACGCAGTGTGGGAAGTTAGCGCCTCCTAGGACGCAATGGCTTGATCTGTCTCCCACCCGGGCTCTGACCCGGCGCAGCACCACCGCTAGGCGCAGCACCCATGCTGAACAGTCCCGGTTGCGGTTGTTGCATCTGAGGTGCTCCTGCTGGCGCGCCGAAAGTGAACCCGGTCGGTTGGGCAGAGGGCGTGGTAGGCGTACCAAAGCCACCCGCTGCCGCTCCGAAGGGTGCCGTGCCGAAACCGGTTGCGGTCGGCGTGGTAGGGGCGGTGCTGCCGAAGGTAAATCCGGTCGACGTTGCGGGGGCGGCGGAAGTCGACGCGCCGAACTGGAACGGGGCACTGCCTGCCGGAGCGGGAGCACCGAACTGGAACGGGCTGCCTCCGGGTGTGACCGGCGCGGCGGGCGCGAGGAACGGTGAGGCGGGCGTGGAGCCCACCCCGGGTGTGGTGCTACCAGTAGGTGCGCCAAACGTGAAGCTCGTCGCTGCAGGAGCGGGACCCGCAGGTGCAGGGGAACCGAATCTGAACCCGCCCGCGCCGGCTGCGGCACCGGAGCTGGTGTTGGACGCAGGAGCAGAAGCACCAAATGTGAAGGTCGACGGTGAAGCCGAGCCAGTGTTGGCTGCAGGAGCAGACGCGCCAAAGGTGAACGGTGCTGGTGTCGCCGATTTCGCGGGCGTCGACGAGCCGAACGTGAAGCTTGGCGTGGTGGTCGTCGCAGGGGCCGTCTTTTGCGGCGAATCGTCCATCATTTCTCCTCCATTGGCGCCCGATGCGGGAGCAGAAGGAGTGCCGAACCCGCCGAATCCTCCACTGCTCCCGGCAGCGGGAGTCGAGGAAGCAGGAGCGCCAAAGGTGAACCCGCTGCTCGCTGGCTTGCTGGCGTTCGTCGATGCGCCGAAGGTGAATGTACCGTTAGGGGTCGTCGTTCCCGACGCTGGGGCCGACGAGGCCGGCGTATCGGAAGAAGCAGGCTTGGGTACGCCGAAGGAAAACGTCGTCGCGGATGCAGCAGCGGGCTTGGTTTCGGGCGCTGGACTGCTACCCGTGCTGGATGGGGCGCCGAACGTGAATCCACCTGCAGGCTTAGATGCTTCAGTACCCGACTTGGGCGCACCAAAGCTGAACCCGGTCGAAGAGGACGCGGCATCAGCAGGCTTGGGAGCGCCGAATCCGCTGCTGCTAGCGCTGCTCTCCGTCGAGGGCTTGCCAAACGTGAACCCACCGGTTGACGCTGGGGCAGCGGGCTTGGAAGCATCTTCGCCTTTGGCACCGAAGAAGTTCGGCACCCCGCTGCTCGGCTTTGCTGTCGATGCATCGTCCTTCTTCTCCGCCGCAGCTGCTGATGGAGTACCGAAGCTGAAGCCTGAGGAAGCGGGGCTCGAGGTCTGGGTTGCAGGCTGCGAAGCGGCAGGCGCACCAAACGAGAAGCTCGGCATGCTCTTCTTGGCGGCTGGCTCGGCGTCGTCGTCTGCTCCACGCTTTGAGCCGGTCGAGGCGGCAGATGCGGAGGGTGCGCCGAAGCTGAAACCGCCAGCGCTGGAAGAGCTGGACGAAGCACCGCTGAAGAACGAAGGCTTGCTTGCCGGTGCAGACTCATCCTTCTTCTCCGAACTCGCGCTAAAGGAGCCAAAGGGGTTCTTGGCTGGAGCGGAGGCGGAGGTAGGCTCGGCAGCCGGCTTGGCTCCAAAGCTGAATGGCGCTGGCTTGCTTGCAGCCGCATCGCTGCCCGAAGCAGTAGAAGACGTAGTGCTGCCAAACGAGAAGCCTCCGCTCGGCGTGGAAGCTGCTGGCGCGTTGGCATCGCCCGACTTGCTCTCAAACTTCTTCATGGTGCTGCCGAAGAAGTTGGGCACGGGTCCGTCCTTCTTGCCCTCGCTGAGCGATGTGGAGGCGGCCTCGGCGGGCTTGCTGAAAAAGTCAGAAGTCGATGGTGCAGCAGGCTTCTTCGCAGCATTGTCGTCCTGCTTGAATGCAGTGCTGGCGCCGAAACTGAATTTGGGCGTCTTGTCTCCCGCGCCCTGAGTGGAAGCCGAAAAGGAGAACGATGGAGCCGTGGCGGCGGCTTTGGGTGCCTCCTTCTCTTCGCTTGCAGATGCGGTGGCAGCAGACGAGTCGAAGCCGCCGAGACGACCAAGCAGCGAGTTGCCTCCAGCGGCCTGAGAGGCTGGCGCCGAAGCCGCAGCCGACTTGCTTGCCGGCGCGCTGGTTGTTGAAGGTGCAGCTGCCGAGCTACCGAACGAAAAGCCAGACGGGAACATGTTGGTGGGCAACTTGATCTTTGCGAGCTCGCTGGCGTCGGGCAAATCCTCCTCTTCCTCGTCCTCGTCCCATGCGCTGAACTTGCCAGAGCTTTGATGGGTGCGAGATGTCTTTGCAGCTCCCTGTCGAAGCGAACTTCGCTCTCGAGGGGCAGAAGCATCGCCAGTGGAAGCCTTGACAGCAAAGTTGTCCTTCTTGACTGTGCTGGCCGGCGCTTTGCTGGCAGCAGACAGAGGAATTCTGTGCGAAGCCGGCTTGGGTGTTTCAGCGACTGCTTTTGCCGGTGTCGCTCTGGGTTGGGCGGAAGCGCGGAGCGGTGTCGCCTTCAAAGCCGATTTGAGCTGAGGAGCGCGAGCAGGTACATCGGCTTGCTTCCTAGGCGTTTGCGTGACCTCTTCCGTGGCGGGTGCTTGGTGTTGCAGGCGTCTGGATCGTCGGACCGGCTCAGGCTGAGGTGGCGCTGGCTCCTCTTCCTCCTCCTCTTCATCTTCCTCTCGCTCGTCCTCGACGTCCTGCTCTGCCTCCTCCGCATCTGATGCAGCCAAATCCTCTGTCGCCGCATCGTCGACATCCATTCTGCTTGGACGTTGCACCTTCTTCAATCGTGCCCTCATGCCACCCTGCTCATCGGCGGCCTGCACCGTCTTTGCTTTGCGCAGATATCTTGTGTACGGGGCGACACCAATGATAGGCTTTCCATCTTGAGACTTGGTGGATCGAGACGCAGGGGCGTCCGAGATGGGCGCAGGAACGTTGATTTGAGCAGCAGCGCCCCTCGCCAGCCCAACACCTCTCGAGGTAGCAGTGGGCTTGCGCATGGTCTCGAGAGCATTCAGGAGGCGTTCGGCTTCGTTCTTGGGCGAGGGCAGCCTCGGTTCCAGCGCCTTGAGCTCCTCGTGGCTGATGAAACCGTGATCCTTGTGCCAGACCATGCGACGTTTGGAGGGTGTACCGGCAGCACCGAGTCTTTCGGAATGGCCGTCGACACTCATGTCAATGTCGCGCTTGCCCAGACGACTAGGTGTCACGGACTCGGTGTCGTCCATACGACTGCCGCCCGCAACGGAGGCAGACCTGATCATGGGCTCGTCGTTGCTAAGGGCGAGATTGCGACGCGCGCTCGAAATGCTGCCAGGAAGCGTACGCGAAGCAAGGTATTCGCGCATCATCTCGTCGCCCATGGAGGGTGCAGAGGGTGCGGCGAGATTGAGGCCATTCCAGTTGCGTCGCTGGGGGGTTCCTTCTCGCTGGCGTGCCGGAGAGTAGCCAGCTGAGGGTGCGGGCGATGCACCACGCATACTCACGCTGCCAGCGCGAGACGCGCGTCCAGGCGTGCCAGTCTCGGTAATGAGACCAGAGGCAAAGGGAGCGCGAGCACGACGGCTGGCGGCGTTTCGAGAGGAGAGTTGAAAGGGCGAGCTGGAGGGTGGGAGGCCAAAGGCGCTGTCGGTGTATCGAATCTCGTTGCCGTAGCCAAACGCGCTAAACGAGTTCGAGTGACTCATGGATGTGGAGCCAGATTCTGACATGGCATCGTCTGGTCGGAGGGAGGAGCCTCGGTAGCCAAGCGCTTGAGATCGAGGACTACGAAGTGTGTGTTGGCTCTTTGAAAGGTAGAGTTGCGATCTGGAGGGTGATGCGAGGCCGGCATCGCTCTGGGCATCGGACGAATCGTTTGCGCCGAGAGGACGAGAGCCGATATCGAGAGTGCGCTTGGATGAGCGGGTGCTCCATGGATGAGTCGCACCAACACTTGTGGTAGATTTGGACGGGGACGAGGGTCCAGCCATGGACGAGTCTGCCTGCTCCAAAGAGGATTGCTTCCGTGTCGAACGTGCAGGAGCTGGACCCGGAGCCAGACGAGACATGGACATGGATGACGGCAGAGTGGATGTAGGTGGTCGAATCTGGCTCTCCTCGTCATCTTGAAGATTGGATCGAGATCGAAGGCCGGCAGCCAGCCTCTCGCCGACAGCTCTAGCAGCACGAGTGGGGGCATCTCTCTCGTAGCTTGTCTCGCCCGGTGTCGATTTGAGAGAAGCCTGAGCAGCAGCCCGTTTGCGAGCGATGGACGAGAGCGAGTTGGTGCTGGAAGAGGTTGGGATGCCGAGTTCAGGTCCCGTCGAAGCGGCCACACCAGTGAGCCACGACAATGGCTTTGTCACCATTTTGCGCACGCTTCCGAACAAGGCGATGGGCGTGGCGGCAACGCGCAGCGGTGAAAAGGCTGAGCGCGAAGGTTGTGGTGCGGGTGTCTTGGCGGCTGGCGTCGAGGGAGTGCGTGCGGGTGAGTCAGTGTCGGTGTAGAGCGAGCTTCCGGACCCAGAAGCGGTCAAAGCCGATGAGGGTCTCGCGTATGGTTTGTGAGAGGAATTGCGACTCTGACGAGCCAAGACTCGTGCACGCGCCGCCCCTGCCAGAGGCCTAGCAGGCGACTCTGGGTTTTGCGCCGTGAGATCCATGTCGGGCGATCACTTTTGTGCGAGCCTTTTGTGATCACGCTGCGTAGTGCGTGCGACCAAATGAAGTTTCTTCGTTCTCCGTTGGTGGGAGAGCCAAGAATGTGCCGTGAGCTCAATCGATGGTATGATGCAAGCAGCGACGAGTCAAGTGATCAGCTTGCACCCGACTTGCAGGCCGGCTGACGACCGAAGGAGCGAAGGGTGAAGATAGATGGTGTGTGAGATGGACGAGGATGAAGAATGTGTGACACGTTAAGAAAACAAGAAGATCCACAAAATTACATCCTCATTCAGCTGGGTGAGCCGATCCAGACCTCGTTACACCATCACCCATACCCGATCAAGTCTTGCGAAGTTTTCGTCTCGTGTCTGTGTGTTTGTCTTGCCTGAATTTTTTTAATATCTGAGGTTGGGCCAAGCCACGCGAAAGGGTGAATGACGGCGGGCTCATTCACCTGCAGCGCGGTCGGGCCGCCTGTCACACGCTCGCGTCCGACTTTTGCTTTCTTCTCAGACATCGGGCCGATGCGTTCCTTCCTTCTCGCCGATACGACTGAGGTGCCTCCGCGGCAGGTGCAAAGCGCGGGCTTAGCGCCGTTTAAGCCTCCACTCGCAGGCGCAACATTGGGTAACCTTGACTTCTCGGGTCTACATCTTCCCGTGATCGCAACCATCTGCTTGGTATCCTCCCCAGCCGGCTCGACTTCCTGGCTCCTTCTGACCTGCTGTTCAGCACCTCACTTATGACCTACAACATGCTTCACGCTTTCGCCGGCATCTCGGGCGCCGTGGGCGTTGGCTTCGGCGCCATTGGAGCCCACGCCTTGAAAAACAAGCTCAACACCTACCGTGAGTGTTCACTTCAGATGAGGCCGATCGAAACAGGTGTTCAGCCAGAATACTGACCGTGATTCTTGACGTTGTGCCGCTGCATCACAGAAATGGGCGCATGGACGACAGCCACCCAATACCAGCTGCTGCACAGCTTGGCGCTTCTCTACACGCTCAGCATGCCCCAGACCGGCCCGGTCGTTGCAGCCGGCTATGCTTTTGCTTCGGGCATCACTATGTTTAGCGGCTCTATCTACGGCCTTTGCCTCACCAAGCCCGACAACCCGATGCGCAAGGTGTTGGGCCCTATCACGCCCATTGGAGGTCTCTCGATGATTGCCGGTTGGCTGCTCCTGGCCTACGCCAAACGTCCTCGCTCTCTCCGCTGAGCAACGCTGATGATCTGTACAACTACACCAGGCTTCTGTAACGTACGCTCTCTTAGAGGTAGCACCATTCTCGAACATGTCAGGCTTGAGAGATCATACCTCCCTTGTGTCATGTGCGATGCGATTATTTATGTATGTTAGAGCTTCATGGTATTAGCCCTTTTTGCCATAGAATAAATCTTTCGCGCGAAAAAAAAAGGAAGAAGCCGAAGAGGTCCGTCCGAGCTTGGCCTGCAATTTCGCAGAGGCAAAAAGGACGATCGCTTCCGAGAAGGCCGTGGGTCGCGAAGAAAGAGAGCTTCAACTCGTCGGCGCCAATGTTGCAGATCTGATTTTGATGTTGACTCCACGGTTTCCTTCTCCTCATCCCACATCGATCATCCACCTCATCACATATATCGAAAATGTCGGCCGCTTCCTGGAGAGCTCACTTCACGTACGTTTCGCACCTCGACAGCTTGACCGACAACAATTGCGCTCGGCATGCGACGTCGCATTCCTCTAAGCAAAGACAAGCATTCGTTGTAGCATACTGACCGTCACTCTCTTCTTGACTCAACTTGTTCGCATTCGCTTGCTCGCTCGACTTTCGTATCTTCCGACCGCTCATGGACCACCTCGCTCTCACCTGCATACCTGCGACCCGCATCTCCCGCTTGTTTGCATCTAAACAGCTTCAACAAGTACACCGCCATCTGCGCGCGTGCCACCCGCCAGGCGCTCAAGGAGGAGTCGCGTGCCACCGCCGAGCGACGAGGCTACATGGCCCTCCGATACCAGGAGTGGAAGGATGGCAAGGCCAGCGAGAACGTGAGTATCACTCTGCATCAACAGCAAAAGGCCAAAGACGTTGCAGCAGTTGGACAGTGGACGTGAATGCTTTGCGGCTTGACGGCTTCGAACGGACTCTCGCCCAAGCAGGAAGGACGGGACATGCATGCAGAATGCGGCCATTATAATTGCTTGAACGTTGCTGCTCTGCACGAAGTCAACGAAGTGCTGCACGTCCGTCCATGCTGTTCACAGGCTTGACCGACAGCGGTTCGCAGATGGCCATGGGACCGCTCGGCATCACCTTCGCCTGTCTTGCTCCTGCTGCACACGCCACCTGCGCAACATCAGCTCACGTCCATGCTGCGGATATACTGATGAAGACGAGAACGCTGACATCTCTTTGCTACGTTCCTTTCATCCGCTCCCGCAGCTTAACCTCGCTGAGGAGAAGAAGCAATAAGCAGCTCGCACGCTTGTAGTGGCGCCGGTGTCATCCCGAGGCGAGGTCTTTGGCTCCGAACAGATTGAGTAGTCCGATCTCCTTGGTTTCGACTCGACTCCGGCCTCACGCACTACCATCGTCCTCTGCAATCAATCACTAGAACCCAAAGAACCAGTACGGTCGAACCTGGCAGCTAAGGCGTGGCTCGACACACGATGCGATCGACCATTCCCGGCGCAGTTGACCACACGTCATAGTGATGTCTCCATGATCGTGTCAGGCAACCTGAGCAGTCGTTTGTATTGGATGTGGACCTGAGGAGTTCTTTGACCTGCACGCTGGAATACGGTACCGCTGTTCGTGACGCTTTCAGGCCGAGCTGCCAGGTAAGGGGCTGAGCGGCACCAGAACATGTCAAAGGACAGCCGAAGCTTGACTGAGAAACCCGTGTCTGCATCTCAAATCGGGCCAGCTGGACTCCTTGCCATCGATGTCACACGATCCAAACGTGGCACGCTTGCACACACGCACACAATTCAATCAAGCGCTTGGCCAAGTCTGAGCAAACCGATCCTGGCCAGGGGGTCCAGCCGTGCAAACCGCTAGCGTCGGCCCGAGCGAAGCAGCTGACAAGCTTCGCGGGACTTTTCCGAAGGCTCTCGCTCGCAGCTTCAGGGAACCACGCTCAGCTCTCGAGGCCGAAAATTGGGTATTTGGTCCTGCTCGTCAACACCTCTCCTGCCTAGCGTCCAAGTCGCGGCCGCCGCCTGGCCCAAAATTCAGGTCGGAATTCCAAGCGGATGTCCACGTTCGCACGCTTCCAGGGTCCTTGGAAGGAGCTCGCATGAAGAACGTGGACACGCTCGCGCGACCTGGGCACCTGTGTTCGTTCACCCATCCTTCCCCGTGGGACCATTGCATGCTCCTTGACCGGTGGGAATGTACTCGTTGGACTTGGCTCGAGCACTTCGGCGTCAATGCCAAGGGATACAGCGCGACGTCTCCGTATATCGGCAGGTCCAGCTCGGGGCTCAAGGTTGTCGAGAGGAAAGTTGAAAGGCTGCATGAAGTGCTGTCGGACACTGCGAAAGCGGCAACTTCGGAAGGGCGGCCTTACGAGCTAGCTTTTTTTCCCACGATGAACCGCTCGTGACAAGCTCTTGCTTGTGAGTGTGAGCGTGACTGAGATGTGATTGTGATTGACCCGAGTGAGGAGCCTGCAGTGTGGCACGTCCGCGTGCCCGTTGAGGGTGGTGTGTGGGGCTTGACGAGGAAGGCGTGTCCTCGTTCGGCTGGATCCCGATGCTGGACCCATGACTGAGCCTCCCTCCCTTCCCCCCTTCTACACTCCATCCCCCATCGCACCTCGACATTCCCGACCGTCCGCCTCACGAACCCATCGTCAAAACGCTCAAGGGCCTCCTCGTCGCGCATCCCGCCACAAGCCCGAAGGACTGCTCTCACCTCGGATCGCCGAAAGCTGCCACTTGCCACGCTGACTCAGAGCTGAGTTCGCGCCGCTCAGCGTCTGCGGTAGCGCAACAGCGCATCCCCTCTCATCAGCAGCCACGGTCGCTGACAGCACCTCGGCCGACATGCTGTATTCTAGCTACCGCCCAGCTCTGGCCCCTGGCGCAGAGCCCAATTATGATCGAGGCTATGCCGAAGATTACCACTTCCACCAACGTCACGCCTCACACCCCGGCCCGACAAGCCTTAGCGCTCCTACCGATCCGTCCACCTACATCAGCGCGAGCAGCGATCGATTCGAAAGCAAGGGTCAGACTCTGATCGCCTCACTCCTTGAAAGCCGGCTCTTCAGTAACGCTCTGGTCCGCGACTGCTCTGTCATCGGAGTGTCACAACCTGCGGGAGCCGTCGTCACCTCCTCACGAGGTCAGATGCCCATCGCTGGCACAGCGCCCATCGCATTTGTAGCGCTCAGCTCCACTGGCAGGGAACGCTCAGCCCACGGCGGCGACAAAGAATCAAAGCGCATGAAAAACGAGCTCATCAAGTATATCGTCGACTTCGCTCCTCCATTTAAGCTGATGAAGGGCAAGCTCATCTTTGTCGAGTCGATCCCGCGCGGTCCTGATGGATCTGTGTTGCGTCATTTGCTTGTCGAGAAAGCCACCACGCCGCCCGCGCCAGGCCCTGACAAAGGCTTTTTCAACACCGTACTCTCGGAACCTTCAACCCCAGCTGGGCCCAGCAAAGCCGGCTCTGTTGTCGGTGACAGCGAAACCGCAGGCACGCCCAAGAAAGGCGTCCGCGATTCGAAGCGCCGTGCCACACACAGCCAGATCGAGAGACGCAGGAGGGAGAAGATCAACGACAGACTCGTCACCCTACGCTCCATTGTACCGGCATGCGCCAGGGAACTCGAGGACCGTCGCAGGCAGAAGCAGGAGGAAGAAGACGAAGCCGCTCGCATTGCGGCTGGCGGCGCTCCCAAGACCTACATAGACGCTGCCACTGGCAAGCCGAAGCGCAAGAGGAATCGCAAGAAGCCAGACCCGAAGAAGTCAGCGGGTGCAGACAAGGAAGAGGAGTTGGGTCTGCACAAGCTCGAAGTGCTGACGCATGCTATCAACTACATCTTTGAGCTCAAGGGTTACATCCAGAAGCTCGAGACAGGTGCAGCTCCAGAGCACGTTCCGACGGCAGACAATCCTTTCGGTGTGCGCAACAAGGACGGCACGTATCGTCAGGATGCCAAGATCGAGGACGAGCCTGGATGCGGCGCTGCTGCTCGACAGCTTGGCTCGGAGGATGTGCATTTTACCGTGGGCGCTCTGGAGGCCAAGTCAACTCGGATTAAACGTGATGACGACGAGGAGGACGAGGTCGAGGAAGAGGAGGAAGACCAGATCGAGGACGATGTCGCAGAGGGCGACGATGAAGGGGAAGCACAGGCAGCAGAATTGGAAGAAGACGACGAAGACGACGACGATGAGCCGCTCGAGCGTCGTTCCAAGAAGCACATGACTGCTGCCGCCTTCCGCCCCCATCCTTCTCTGGCGAAGACAGGTTCATTCGTAGCACCTAGCCGCTACATCCGCACAGACACCACTTACTCCTCGTCCTCCAGCAGGGACAGTGTCGAGGTCTCGCCCGCTTTCTCCTTCATCCAGCAGAGCCCTATGGCGATCTCGCCTGCGACAACGATCACCTCCCCCATGATGAGCCTCTCCGCCGAGTCGCCCATCATGCTCCCCGACCCAGCCATCAGCATGCCCAAGCGTGGCGTCTCATCCGCAGCAAGAGTCTCTCAAGCAGCCACATTCGCCTCTCTGCCCGCATCCGCGCTGCCGCTTCCGCCTGGCCAGCCCGGCCGACGTGAATCGAGCAGCTTCTTGTTCAAACAGCTCAGCCTCGCCTCACCAAACTTCGCGCCCTTCAACGGGTCCAGCTACGTGGCCGCCCCCGCTTCTTCTGCTGCAGCGGCGGCGGCGGCAGCTGGTAGCGCTCGAGCGAGGTCGTCCACGCTCTCCTTCCCGACGACCTACGGCGAAGAATCAGAGCTGCGTGACACGAGCGCCCACAAGACACCTGGGCTGTCAGACCGTGACACGACGGCTGCCGGCCCATCCGACGCCTCAGCTGCCGCGCTGCTGCTCAACTTCTCCACCTCGCCCGAAGTCCTCCGCCCCATCGGTCGGTCCAGCACAACCGCGCACCGCACAGCCAGCGTCGCTTCGTCTCCGCACACGCGGCCCGTCGTCGGTCTGCCTTCCAACAAGAGCCGCTCAACCTTCTCCTCGCCGCATTATCGACCGTCGATGTACTCGTCGAAGCTGGGAACGCCTGCGAGCGCCGCGATGGCGGCGATCGAGGAACCTGAGCCGCTGGATTTGGCTTCGCCACCGCATCTCGCGCTCGATAGCGGGTCGCAGGATGAAGAAATTGACCAGCTGTCGGAGCGGACCGTGGATGAGCTGCCAGCCGAGCTGATCAAGACGGAGAAGGAGGAAGAACCAGGCCAAGCGGTCGAGATGGACACTGCCGCCTAAGAGCATACCTTCGCAACCGATCGTGGTTCCACGCTCAATGCCAAACAGCCATCACAGCCGCAATTGTGTGAGAAGTGTGGGTGTGATTATCCGAAACCTGAGATGATAGGATGTCATGCGAAGAACTCCCACTCGCGCTCGACGAAGGCGAGCATGTAATCGTCGATGGTGCCTCCCTCGTCCTCGTCCTCCTCCTCCTCCCCTCCCTGCGCTTCGTCGGCCACCTCTTCAGCCACACCGCCACCAGGCACAGGTGTCTCCTCAGTCTCCTTCCTCCCCTGCTGTTGCTCGTCAAACTCCTCCTCATCAACGAACATCTCCTCCCTGGCCTTGACCGCAGCCGTCCTATCCTCCTCATCCTCCGCCTCCAAAAATGCTCTCTCCACCTCCCGTCCACTCACCCCGCCTTCGCCCTCCACCACCTCGACTCCCGCGATTTTTCCTCCTTCATCCAGCATATCCCGCCAATCCAGCCGCTTCGCCAGCGTCTCGGTATTAAACTCACCCTGCTGGATCACCACGCTGTCCAACAACCTCTTCTGATTCGCCTTCCTGAGCATGTTCTCCTCAATGGTGCTTTCCGTGACGAAGCGATAGATGTGCACGTCGCGCGTCTGACCGATGCGATGCGCGCGATCCATACACTGCGCTTCGATCGCCGCGTTCCAGTCCAGATCGTAGAACAACACCGTGTCGGCTCCCGTGAGGTTGATCCCCAACCCACCCGAACGGGTCGACAGGATGAAGGCACTGATGCGCAGATCCCGATTGAATTTTTCGGTTAACGCCTGTCGTTGTTCCACTTTCGTCGCGCCATCCAGTCGGAGGTAGCGATAGCCGTGGTAGTTGAGGAAGGATTCAAGAATGTCTAGCACGCGCGTCATCTGCGTGAAGATGAGGATGCGGTGCCCGCCCGCTTTGAGGCGACGCATGAGGATGTCCAGCTGCTGCAGCTTGCCACAGTCGTACTGGAGGAGCGAGGCGTCGGGGAAGGCGATGTGGAGCTTCACTGCGACCGGATGGAGTGTGTCAAAGGCCGGCTCGAGGAGCGATGGGTGTTGGTGGGGTTCGATGCCGGGCAGTGCCCATCGAGGAAGGTCGGTTGCGACAGCGCGCGGCGTGACAAAGGCAAACCGGTCGATGACAGGTTGCATGTTCTCCAGCCGCGTCGAACGGGACTGGACGATGCGCAAAAGGTTATCGCATCGACCGAGGAAGTTCTTGCGATCCGAATCGTGCTGTTCCAGCGGTTCCAGGCGCGTCGCCTCGCCTGCCTTGCGCAAGATACTGATCAGCCCCGAGCCATAGATCGGCTTTTTGGTGCATCGATACTGGTTGAGATACGCCTTGTGCTTCCACGATTCCATCTCGCCCACCAGCTTGCGCTGCTTACGCGTGCGCTCGAATCCTTCGAGCGTCCACGTGTCCAGCGCCGACGCTTCAGGGATTTCGTCCTTGAAATAAGGTAGCTTCTTGGCCGCGTTCAACTTGCGCAGGTCGCGCGACTCGATTGCCGTCAGATGCTCCTCTCGATCTGTGATCCTGAAGTTGGTCACGTCCAGATTCACCTTGTCCCAGAGATCGTCCTGAAGCAGTCGTCGGCGCACGAGCAGATCCTTGACCTCGTAGTCCGCCACCACCGACCGCGACATGGCGAAACTCGTCACGATCGGTCGCACTTCGAACAGGTCTGGGTGGTTGCACACCTTGCGCAGCTGCATCAGACAGTTGATGATGCTGAGGTAGTTGCCGCTCGCCAGACTCTCTCGAGTCTTGGCGCGAGACATGAAGTCGTTGTAGAGGAACCGCTGACGTTTGGACAAGCGACAGGTAATGACGTGCTCGTACTTGCTGGGGAGCTCCTTTTCGACTTCGCTTTTGAGGCGACGCAGGAGGTAGGGGCGGAGGACGGCGTGAAGTTTTTGGACCATCTCGCGCGTTTCCTCGGACATGGACGTGCCGCCTTCGATGGCCTTGTCGAGCGGATTGGAGAACCAGTCTTGGAAGTCCTTCATGTTTGCGAATGCTCCCCCGCCGGGGAGCTCCGTGGCGCCGTGTGGCATGAGGAAGTACATGAGCGACCATAGGTCCATCAGGTTGTTCTGCAGCGGCGTGCCGGTCAACAGCAGGCGACGCTGCGAATTGAACCCGAGCAGAGTCTGCCATCGTTGCGATCGGAAGTTCTTGATGTGATGCGCCTCGTCCAGCACAAGGTAGACCCATGGCTTACGTCGGAAGATGTGTTGATCCGCTAGCACCAACTGGTAGCTCGTGATGCAGACGTTGAAGCTGTTCTCCGTGTTCCAGCCGATACGCTTCTCCTTGCGCTCCTTCTGACTGCCGTAGTACGATAGGATCTTGAAGCCCGGCAGAAACCTCTTAAATTCGACCTCCCAATTGAGCATGACACTGGTCGGGGCGACGACGAGATGCGGACCCCAGACGCCCTTGTCGCAGGCGAGGTGAGCGAGTACCGAGATGGTCTGTATGGTCTTGCCGAGACCCATCTCGTCGGCGAGGATACCGTTGACGCCGTTGGCGTACAGGCTGGCCAGCCATTCGAAGCCAATCTGCTGGTAGGGGCGCAGCTGACCACGAAGCAGGAAGGGCTGACGCGACCGAGCGGCGAGTCGATCAGAAGAAACGATGGACGACGCACGCGTCATCGAGCGACGACTGCTGCGACGACCGCTGGTGGCGGCTGACTCTGTATCGCTGAGGTCCTGATCGAGTAGGGCGTCCGCTTTCGAGGTGTCGCGTTCGTCGAGCTCCATCTCCTCATCTGAAACGCCATTTGCCTCGACAACATGCCTGCTTTCGTCCTCTGCATCCTCGGTCTTCGCCGTGACGTCGGCTGCAGCATCCCCTGCATCGCTGGCGACATCGTCACCGGCTGCGTCATCTTCCTCTCCTTCATCCGCGATCTGTCCGTATCCGTACCGCTTCATCAGCTCTTCGATGGGTATATTGGCATCCGCTTCGAGCCCTGCATCCTCGCTGTCGTCCTCCTCGTCCTCCTCCCACATCTGACGCTCGAGATCGGCGTCCTCCTGTTCGCCATCATCGGCAGCGAGATCAAACTCGACGTCGTCCGCATCCAGCTTGGCGTCTTTCGCCTTGAACGATGCGCCAGTAACAGCGCGGGCGCTTCGACGTTGACTTCGAGAGGATCGAGGTTCGGCAGAACTGAAGGCGCGGCCATTCGCCGTGACTGCATCGTTGGGCTTGCTCGCCTCCTCGTCTGCAGTGTCATCGGGAGCAGGTGTGGAGATGATTGATTGATCTCGCGTCACCGGTGTCGACGTCTCGAGAACCGATTCGGTGCCATGCTCCTCTTCAGCCTCGCTGACATCGACCTCCTGCTCTTCGACATCAACCTCGAGGTCGGAGTCGTCCGCCCCTACGCTTTCGTCGCTGCCGTAGCTGGTTCTATCGCTCTCCTCCTCGCTGTCCATAAGACTGTCGGCGCGCGTCATTGCGGTGTGCTGCTTCTTGAGCATGGCTGTGCTCTGTTCGAGGATCGCGTTGAGCTGCTCTTTGTCCAGCTTCTCCTTTTCGGCCTTTTCGGCTGCCGCTTTTCTCGCTCGCACGACATTGACGGCCAGTCTCCACTGCTTGAGCACTTCACGCAATGTCCACTTGGCCAATGCTCGGGTCCTTCTCTCCTCAGCCTTCTTCTCTCGATCCGAGGTTCCGAGCTGGCGTTCCCAGTGCTGTGCGACTATGCGAGCCACCTTGCGAGAGCCTTGCTGCTTGAGGCGAGCATATTGGCGCATCTGGCTGTAGCTGGCCGCGACGGTCTCCATGAGATGATCGTGGTGCGATTTGGTGCGAGGCGCCTTGTGAGCGACGTGGCGTGTCGTCGAGCCGGCTTCGGGATGGATGGGCAGACCAACTCGCCATCTCTCATCGAGCTTGATATATGCTTGCAGGTCGTCGTCCTCGACGTTTGGTTCGCCATCATGCAACAAGTCGAACGAGTCCAGCAATGCCTCCATGTTGCCGCCAAAGCGTCGAAGCGCAGGCACTTGGTGTGGAGCGAGAATGTGCAGTGGTGGTGGATGGTCGGGCAGTGGGCGAGGACGCTGTCGCAGAATGAAAGCATCGAGCTCATCCAGCGCTTTGCTTTTACGAGGACCAGGCCGCCTGGCCGGCGCATCGAGGGATGCCTCATCGTCCACCGAGAGCTGTCGCTTTTGTGTGGCTGGAGAAAGTCGAGCTCGCTTGGTCGAGCCCTTGCGCCTCAGATCGGTCGTCTTTGCCCTCCCCTTGCCTTTCTTTCCGCGGTTGTCCGAGTCGACGTCTAATACCATCTCCTCCTCGCTTGCGTCCACTCCGTTCTCTTCGCCACTGCCTTCGCTGTCTGATGCACGGGCTCCATCGACGCGCGACTTTGTGACGCTGGAAGACCTCCTGCCGCGGCTGCTGTCTGGAGCACGAACCTTCCCGTTCGCTTTGGCTTTTGAATCAGTGGGTGTCGATGGAGTACTTGGAGGCTGTGGACGTTTGAGGGAAAGACTCTCCAATCTCGCGTTGACTCTTCTACGAGTGACACGCCCCGATGTCGATGACCCAGCGCCGGACCCAGCTTCGTCAAGACTGAAGCTGAGGTCATGCGAGGATTTGAAGGTGGTGAAGACATCGCTCTGATCGTTGCGAGCGACGTCGGGATCGTAGCCGACCATGGTCACGAACTTGGAGAGGTGGAAGAGCTCTCTGACGAGCATATCGTGGCCGTCGTGAACATCCTCAAGGTGGGACTGCGCGAGCGCGACTTTTTCCTTTCTTCTGCGTTCGAGGATGTCCTGCAAGGGTGTTTGCGGATCGAGCGCAGTAAGAGGCGTGATCTCTGGTTTGGGACGAGTGAGAACAGGTGTTTGCGCAAGGACCTCTTCTTGCTCTACTTGTTCTTGCTCGAATTCCGGTCTTGCTGTCGCTTTGCTGCTGGATCTGGAGCGACTGGGGCCAACTGTAGTGACGGTGGAATCGAACGCGTCGACTTCATTTGGCGGATCCACTTTGCTGTGATTGCGTTTGCTTGATTCTTCAAGCTCAAGCGCAGGTGCTGCATCGTTTGTGTTCTTTTCCTCCTGCGTTGAAGCGGACGCTGACGGTCGACTGCGCCTTGCATCGCTGCTTCCATTCACCAGAGTCGTGCTCCGTCGTGGACGGCGCGCCCTTCCAGATGCTTCGCTGCTGTCGTCCGGCTGAGCCTGCCCATCCTGCTGCTGGACCTGGAACGCTGGACCTGGGCTTGAAAAGGCGAGCTCCGCATCCAATCTCCTCCGTTTCGTCGGTGCTTTCGGCGTTGCGCTTTGTTGAGGGGAGGAGGACCTATCGCCCCCGACGGAACGCAATCGGGAAGGACCCGCTTCAGCCGACATGTGACTGGTGGAGATAGGAACGTGACTGGTGGAGAGAGGAACGGCGTCGTTGGATCGCTGCTCATCACGCTGCTGCTGCTGCTCGCCCGAGCTGAGAGGCAGAGCGCCTGAGCTCACATCGCTGCTTTGTCTCTTTGCATGGTCAGCTGCCGTGTCACCAGGGGACATGAATGTCGTCCTGTTCCGACGAAGATCCTGCTGTGTTGAATGCGCGTCGATGCTCTGTCGGATTCGCTGCCGATCGCGTCTCGTGCTATCACGCGAGGCTGTCACGGGACGACGCTACACTCGCTTCTCTTTTGATTGCTGGCTGTGCCTTTGGCTGATGAAGTCGAAGTATGTTCAATGGGGTAGTCGAGCCATAGACAGTGTGGGAACGCTGATCCGTCGGAACGCCACGTTGGTGGGCTAATACGTGTGACTGTAGGAAGTGTGTGATTGAGCTTGTTTGAAAAGGTCCGTGTTGGAGCGCAGCTTGGCTCTGAAGAGAGGCGGAGAGTGGTTCAGTGCCTGCTCGGTGGAAGCGACGTCGATTATGGGTCCAAACGAAGAGCGAGACGTTTTATGGACAAGGCGAAAGCGTCAAGGTTTGATGTCGATCGGAGGTTGCTGTTGCGAGATGTCGAGTGAATGTGAGCGTCCAACGCTGAAGTCGTGAGAATGTGATGGTCGAGGAGCAAAGCGGCGAAGGGAGAGTCGGCTCCAAGAGAAGAGGACATGTCAGGACACTCGGCCTGGTGAAGTCTTCTCGCAGCTGAGCGCTCGTCGCACTGGCGGCAAAGCACTTTTTCCACAGTCACGAAAGTCTTCTTGCGACAGAAAAGCCGTCGAAAAATAGAAACAAAAAATGTCAAAATTAAAATGAACTGGGAAAAATGACGGTCTTCAGGCTGCGCAGCGCAGAGGGTCGTTAAGAAAAGGTGGAGCTCCACGGAGTGAGCTTGGACCATGCAAGAAGCCGGACAAGCTTCGGACGAGCGTGCCTCTCTTCTGTCTTTCCCACGTTCACCTCCCACGCTTCGCCTACATCCTATATACTCGTCAAAATGCCTGTCATTCACATTGTGCTCGTCAAGGTCAAGCAGTCGGTGCTGTCCAACGGCTTCGACGAGCTTAAGTCGAAATGCGAGGAGCTCAAGGACCTTCCCATCGCCAAGTCCAAAGCGACTGAAATCAAATGGGGACCGCCTGCCTATCCTGGCCGCAACGAGGGCTACAACTGGGGTGAGTCTCTGGTCTGATGTGCTGCATGCAACGGCGCACATCCGAGACATGCTGGACGTGTCTTGCTGATCTCGCTCTCATGCTATTTTCCTCACGATGCCCGGAAACGCCGACCGTCCGTCGGATGAGCAGGTCTGTACAGCACCTTCGCCTCTCGCGAGGACTACGAGGCTTACCGCGACGACGAAGAGCATCGCAAGTAAGTTTATTTGGCGCAGGACCGATTCCGAGCGCCACTTCGCGTTTTCCGTCGATCGCAAACATCTGTGCTGACATCCTGTGCTTTCGTGCAAATCAATCACATTCGGAGCAAAGCTTCTCCAAGACGGTCCTTCTGCCCAACACGGACAGCCTCTTGGCCTACGACTTCGACATCTGACCTTCTCGGAGGTACCGTTCAACCTGCATTTGCCCGTGTACACCCTGCAATCAAGAACTTTGTACGCCGTCCAAGAGACACCTCGACAACTGAGGTAACCGAATCTACCTATCCCGTGCTCAGGCTGCTGCGGCGATGACTTATCAAGCACAGAGGCTGTGTGGAACGGTTTTTGAACACGGCTTGCCGACGCGAAAGCGTTGCTGGCTTGACCGCAATTATCTCAGCGAAGTCAGCCCTTCCCACGCCAGTTTGTGACTTCACGAAAGTGGTTCAGAAGCAATCACGAAGACCCCATCGAAAATCACAATCTGAGGGTTGCATCCATCGATAGCAACCTTCACTTCACCTCCCGTCTCCGAGCTGACCCACAACAGGAGTATGAGGACGGTCATGCAGTTCCTCCGTCGGAAGAGGCGATCGCCCCAAAGGGGTTCCTTGAGCGAAGGTCGTTTGGGCGCTTGTGCTCATGATCAAGCAGGACAAACTCGATAAGAGACCGAAGCTAAGAGATATAAAACGGGCTCACCGAGACATCTGTGACCTCCGTCACCTATGCTTGTGTCAACATCGTTCTCGGCCACCGGACAGGACCGAACTTCACTGCCGCTATCTATCGAGACAGTTCGTGAATCAGCGTTGCGAAGCTTTCCACGCAAAAAAGGTCAAGCATGCCGCGAGCCAGTCGAAGCAACAAAAAGGACAAGGAGCTGACCGAATCGAAGGAGTCACCCGCTCGACGAGAACGATCTCTTCGAGCGTGCACACGGTGTCGTCAGCGCAAACAGAAGTGCGACAACACTTTGCCTCACTGCAGCAACTGCGTCAAAGGCGGCGTCGCCTGCGAAGCATTCCCCATCAACAGCGTTTCTCGAGACAATTTGCTACAGTAAGTGCAGCGTGATGTCGATGATGACGACGCAAGGGTTAGTGCCCTCTGACATCTCCCACTCCCTGCGCAGGATCTACGATTTGTTGCAAGAAAGCACCCGACGAAACCGTGTCCTGGAAAAGGAGCTCAGCCTGGCTCGCGTCGTCGTCCCTGACTTTCTCGCTGTGTTCAGTGCTTTCATCGCTAAGCAGGTGAGATAGCCTTATCAGGGCGATTTTCATTCGATTCAATGTGACGATCATACTGACCGTCCGTCAACGCAGGCGCCCAGCGGATTGCGGCTCAGCGACACTAGTCGACAAAGTGGCCAAGCAAGGTTGGTTCAGTCTAGTGTCCGCTTTCCAGCTTACGTTCGAGTGAGGCTGACTGAACACTGCGCACCGTGTTCTTCTGCTCCTCTTCGTCATGTCCATCTTTCCTGTACTCGACAGCACGGCTTCCAAGACCAAGATCATGTTGCCGCTACCAGCTGCACTTGTCGCAACTTCCAGCACAAATCCTGAGGCCCCATCGTCTGCGACAACGACCGCAACACTGCTTTCTGCGGGCACTGAGCCAGATATCTGGGCGACGATCAGAGCGCTGGAGGAGTGTTTCCCGGCTGTCTCTCCTGTCATCATTCAAGCAGCTGAGCAACTCGACCAGGACGTAAGCTTGACAAGGCTTTTTGACATCGCTGCAGTGTAAGTGCATCACGGTGTAATGTCACGTTGGCACACTTGCCGTGGACAGGTCTGATCAGCTCTCTCCACGCAATGATACGCAGTCCGATTAGGGACTTGCGCCCCTTGCTGAACGGTACAGCGACCTGTTCCGAAGAATCACTGCGCCATTCTCTTGTTGAGCCGAGTCTTTCTCTCGAAGAGCTGCAAAGCATGATCTCTACAGCCAGCGACATGACACGGATTGCAGCGACGTTGCTGTGGGCTCTGCTTGCCCTTGCGCAGCATCGGGGCGAAGAGCTGATGCGACTAGATACTGCCCTCACATGCTTTGTCCAAAGTTGGCAAGCTAAGGCATCTGCTCTCACGGGGTTCCTTGACGTGCAAGACGCTGTTGCTGTAAGTGACACCGTCCTTCCATCATTTTGGCCCACCGTACTTATCACCATGCGACCCGAACTTCTTCACAGCTGTCGTTCTGCCGAGCATACGAATGGGTGCACTTGCGTAAGTCGATGACATTCATGCTAAACGAGTTTCAACAATTTGGAACTGAAGCTGACTCCGCTTCGGGTATCCGTGCAGAAACGGCGATCATGACCGGACAGCTTCTCGTCATCGTCACGACGACAAGTGGTTTTCAGAATGTCGGAGCGATCGCCGCCAGCAACGACTTCACAGGCTTCCTTGCTAGCCTACACGTCGAGCAGAAGCGCCTCGAGTATATGGCTCTGCACCTCTTCATCAGCCCGATAGCTGCGATGACAGACGCTCAGCACGAGGAAGCGATATGGAACCTCCTTAGCAGCATCAAGAGCTTGTCCGAAGCCAACACACAGGGTTTCGACTCCTTCGGCGTGTCTCATTATGCAGCTGGCAGCTCGCAACGCGTGTTGATGCGGAACAAGCTCGGGACGCAGCTCTACGGCATGTTCCCGAGGATGCTCTTTATGCACTGTCCTAATGAAAGGCGAAACTGGCGGTGGCTGCGCAATGCTCTACCCCTCGCCGCCACCGCTCTATCGTGCCACCACGCCGCCTGGATGCAGTACAGCTGGTTGGGTGATCATGTTCTCGACGTCCTGACTTTCTCAGATTTGTTGGCAGCGTGAGTAGGATACACCTGTCTCTACTCGTCCAATGTCGAGGCTGACGTCTCCTTGCTTGCCGTCTCGGTGATCGCAGCTTTGCATGGATTCTGCAACAATGTCGGGCCCAGACCGACATGCGCGACGACGTGTCCAACCATCTCGGCATCGCAATTGAGCTGGGGGATCGATTCGTAAGTGTCACTCACGCTTACCTTACGCGACGCAATCACCGTCCTAACGACATTCTCATTTCTTGATCCTCGGCATAAACAGGCACACCGTTGGCCACAATACAACGAAACAATCCACAGAACGATGCGCGACCTGCACGCGCTCCAAGAATCCCCCCTCTCCGCATCGGGCCTCAGCACGCCCTGGTCAGCCGCATCTGTTGCCACGGCGCTTACCGAGTCGAGTTGCGTCCTGCGCACGCCCCAGGCCCAAGAGATGCCGCAACCTGCCGCCCGTCCGCACACGCCGCCGCAGGAAGCGACTCATCCGCACCATTACTTCCAGCCGGACCTAAGGCAGCTGTACCAGCAGCAGGGACCGCCGTCTCATGACTCGCGGTACTCGCAGCCGGACGTGAAGGGTGCACACGTGCCAGAGGGGTGGGGGAGTGTGCCGCTGCAGCCGATCCAGGCCGATTGGTCTAGCCGCGGCGATGCGGGTCTTGCGCTCAACAGCATCGCGGCTAGCGGCGGTGGAGTCGGTCAGCAGCTGCCCTTTGTTGACATTGGCACGGTGCAGCGCAAGGAAGAGGCGTCGATGGATGCCCACACGATCGACACGCCGTGGTCAATGGCACAACGACCCTTTGCAGCCCTGCGCGCCCTCCCGCCTCTCAACACCGGCACCATGCCGCAGCAGCATCAGCAGCAGCCGGCACCAACAACAGCGACCAGCTCGCTCTTCTACCTCGACGAGCGTGCGACCGATGCCAAGCCTTGATTTCAAAACCAACCACAGACAGTGCAGGTCATTTCTGTACCATCACCAAGACGTTTCCCGCGAGACTAGGCTCCGAGACGTGTATATCGACCGCTCGAAGTACAGAGCTTCAGAAGAAATCCATACTTTCTCTTTCTCACCACAAAGCACAATCGATACAGCGCATCAAAAGGAGAAAGCAAAGGGGGCGTGCCATTGCGCAAGAGCAGCGGAAACAGGATGAGAGTGTGTTTGACGGATCAAACACAAAGGGTGAAGAATTTCTATAGCCCATCCAACCCCGAGCTGGACCGCGGAGGCAAGGCGCGGTCTAGGCGGAACTGAACAGCCGAAGCCCGGCATCAAAGGGTGTCGATGACGCGGGAGTGAGGTGTCCAAGACCATGCGGCCATACAGACTTTTTTGGCAGCGGAGTCCGCTTAGATGAGGTCGGCGACGTTGAGGGGCATCTCGTCGATCTGGGTGGAGTAGAACTGCTCGATGTCACGAAGCATGCGGACGTCGTCGCTCGTGACAAAGTTGATCGCAACACCCTTACGACCGAAACGACCGCCACGGCCGATGCGGTGGATGTAGTTCTCGCGGTTGGAGGGGAGATCGTAGTTGATGACGAGCGAAACCTGCTGGACGTCGATACCACGGGCGAGGAGGTCGGTGGTGATCAAGACACGCGACGAGCCCGAACGGAACTCGCGCATGATCACCTCGCGCTGCGCCTGCTCCATGTCACCGTGCATGGCCGAGACGGTGAACTCACGCGAGGTGAGCTTGTCCGTCAGCCAGTCCACCTTTCTGCGCGTGTTGCAGAAGATGACGGCCTGAGTGATGGTAACGGTCTCGTAGAGATCGCAGAGGGTGTCGAGCTTCCACTCCTCCTTCTCGACAGCGACATAGAACTGCTTGATACCCTCGAGGGTGAGCTCGTCGCGCTTGACGAGGATACGAACGGGCTCGCGCATGAACTTCTTGGTCACCTCGAGCACCTCCTGGGGCATGGTGGCCGAGAGGAGGACGCACTGGGTGTCCTGGGGAAGCAGCTGGAAGACCTCGTACATCTGGTCCTTGAAACCACGCGAGAGCATCTCGTCGGCCTCGTCGAGGCAGAACATCTTGAGCTGGTCCGTCTTGAAGGCACGACGGTTGATCATGTCATAGACACGGCCGGGGGTACCGACGACGACCTGGGCGCCCTCGTTGAGCTTGGCCATGTCCTCGCGAACGTTGGTGCCGCCGATGCAGGCGTGGCAGTTGATCTTCATGTAGTCGCCGAGGGCGATGACGACCTTCTGGATCTGCTGGGCGAGCTCACGGGTGGGAGCAAGGATGAGCGCCTGGACGGCCTGGATGCTGGGGTCGATGCGCTGGAGAATGGCGATGGAGAAGGTGGCGGTCTTGCCGGTACCGGACTGAGCCTGGGCAATGACGTCGTGGCCCTTGATGACGGGGACGATGGCACGAGCCTGGATGGCCGAGGGACGCTCGAAACCGTAGGCGTAGACACCACGGAGGAGCTCGTCCTTGAGCTCCATGTTGTCGAAGTTGTCGACGACGCTCTCCCAGTTGGACTCGATCTCGCCATCGGCGATGTTGAGGTTGTTGCCAGCCTCGCCAGCGGGGGCGGCGGCGGCGGGGGTCTCCTCGGGCCTGTGAGTGGGTAAAGGAGCGGATGAAGGAGGAGAGGTCAGTATGATGAAGGTCTTTCCAGAGGAGCGGAGGAGGTTTGGCGCCACTCGATGCAGGGTTTGCAGCTGCATGTGATGTGACTTTGAGAAGAGCGCCGTTGACAGTCCAATCATCACATCGATGCGCTGAACCGGTCCGCGTAGGTGCAATGACAACTATTCCTTCGTCTTGCCGGATGGCGTCGCTGTTCTCGTCCTGAGCGCTGCCAGTTCAGACTCGGGCAGTGGTCCGAAAGGAACGCCTGTCCGTCCCATCGTGCGCCTTGCCACTGCGCTACACAATCCAACTAGTGCCCGTCTGCGATCCAGCGATGTTTGCCACTCCCTCCGCTTTGATTGGTGATGACATACTTAGACATGTTGGGCGAAGTGGGAGGAAAAGATCAAGGAGTCGGACTGAAGCAAGTCGACGCCTTGAGGGTGGGTGTTGGTGAGAGCGCTGAAGAAAAAAGTCGAAAGGAACGAGGATTCGCCTTTCAACCGGTGTTGCTTGATGCTGTAGAGTGAGTTGTGGGTGATGCTATAAAAGCAAGATGATGGCGACGAGGTAAGATTGGCGTTCGACGACGGCGATATCCACGGCGGCGGCTGGCTGTGGCTGGTGAGGCACACTCAGGCTCACTCACTGCCTGACGTTCTAAGGGCTGCGCACACGAAGAAGAAAAAAAGTTGAATGAGGCCAGACCGAAAAATGTGAGGCAGCAGGCGGCGTTGCGGCGAATCTTCCTGGTCTCAGGCCCTGACATGAGGAGAGCCAAGTCGAGAAGAAATTTCGAACAGGCGGCGAGAGATAGAGAGCCACTTGAACCTGACAAGGCAGCACACGGCAGTGAGGCCCACGACGAGAAGAAAACGTTTCAAATCGAACTCTCTCGAGACTCAGCCTTGACAGGCGTGTGGCTCTGGAAGAAAAAGTTTTCGCTTCGAGCCTCTCTCTCCAAAAATTTGAATACAACTTTGGCATGCGGTTCAAAGCACCATTCTGCCCCTGAAATTCAAAAAGCGGCGCAAGATGAAGGCACGCTTTGAAATTGGTTGAAATTCACGTCGCGCAGCCCTGGCCTCGCCTGCCTTGCCAAGTGTTGGATCGGGTGATATGACCCCGATTTCAGTCGACGCAGCTTGCCTGGCTGAGTTGAGTGTCGTTCGGCGCAGCGAGAAAATCAAGGGTAAGCGAGCCCGCAGACAGCGTCATAGGAAGCACGGTTTGCTCCACACCCTGTCAAGAAACCCACGAGCCCATTCTTCTTCCGCCGCAACACTCGAGCCGCTTCTTGTTCCGCAACAAGACGCTGCTACAAGGACCACCTCGTCCACGTTGCACCTAGCATCGCTTCGATTGATACGGCTTCGACCAGCATTTGCGTTGCCGCCATGAGTGCAGCGCAGGAATCATCATTACCACCGCGGCCGCAAGGTTCACGAGGCGGCTCCTCTTCCAATCGACGAGGAGGACACTCATCGAGAGGCGGAAATAGCGGCGGAGGTCGACGAGCCAACTTTGGTGGCTCTCTTACCGGCGGCAACGCTTCAGGCTCTGGCTCGAACTCGAACAGAGGCCGCTCGAACCATCATTCTAGACCTTCTAGACCGCCAAGGAATCAGGATCACCATGACGACACAAACGAGTCCAGCATAGACGAGCCAACGTCTGCAGCAGGCGCGCCAATCGAACCGGTACCCACGGAGCCTCAGAGCAACACCGTCGATGACGACGACGACGAGCTTCCGCCCGAAGGTGAGCTCTGCTTCATCTGCGCAGACCCCATCAAGCTCACCTCGGTCGCACCCTGCGATCACCGCACCTGTCACATCTGCGCCCTCCGTCTCCGTGTCCTCTACAAAAAGGACGAGTGTACCTTCTGCAAGACCAAGATCGAACGTCTCATCTTCACCTCCTCGACCACAAAACCCTTCGCCGACTTCAAACCCTCCGACATCCCCTACACCGACAAGAAGCTGCCTATCAGCTTCGAAACGAAGGAGGCACTCGAGGAGACCGTGCTGCTGCTTCGCTTCAACTGCCCCGACCCCAACTGCGAAGTCGCCTGCACCGGTTGGAAGGACTTCAAAGCACATGTCCGTCGCGAGCACAACCGACTCGTCTGCCAACTCTGCATCACCAACAAGAAGATCTTTGCGCACGAGCACACGCTGCACACCGAGCAGTCGCTCGCAGCACACGAGAAAGCCGAACACAGGCTCTGCGAATATGACCGCCTCCTCTTCTACAGTGACGACGAGCTGTTCGCGCACATGCGGGACAAACACGAGCAATGCCACATCTGCAAAGCGCGCGGGAGCGAGGAGGAACGGTGGAAGTACTACAGGGACTACGACATGCTCGAAAAGCATTTCAGGAAGGACCATTGGTTGTGCGAGAACAAGACGTGCCTCGACGAGAAGTTCCAGGTGTTTGAAAACGAGATGGACTTCAAGGCGCATCAGCTCGACCGGCACGGTAACGAGCTCAGCACGCGCGAGAAGAGGGAGGCGTTGCGCATCGAGGCCAACTTTTCGTACGACGATGGTGGAGTGGAGAGTTCGCGGTCGGGTGCCAACCGTGGTGCTGGTAAGAAGTCCAAAGGTCGAGCCAACGGTGCAACGGAAGCCGATGCGGCGCCGCAGAACCGAGATGTGCTGGGCGTATCAGCCCTAGCCTCCCGCTCACACGTGCCCGGGGCAGGGCCTGCCAATCACGCATCCCGACGCGCCATGTTCGGCTCGGGGCTCACCACCCCCGCCCCACCGCAGGGCGTCTCCGCCGATCGCCCGCGCACAGTCACCGACTCGCGCTCCATCGAAGAGCGTCACCAGGCCTACATGGACAAGGTCTCCTCGACGCTTCAGTCCGAATCCCGCATCACGTCGTTCCGTCACTCCGTACGCGTCTTCAAAAACGGCGAGTCCTCCGCACGAGATCTGATCTCAACGATCCACTCGCTCGTGGGAGAGATGGACGACTGCGCGCCGCTCGTCAACGGCCTCATGGATCTATTGGATGACGCGAACAAGAGCAAGGCATTATCCGACGCATGGAACGGGTATCGTATCGAGCGGACGCAGTTTCCCTCCCTCACTCCGGCCTCGTCCTCGACTGTCGGTCTCACCCCTGGCACGGGCTACGCAGGCGCCGGTGCTCGAGGCACGAACCTGCGCAGCATCAAGCGGTCCTCCGCAGCCTCGTCCAGTCAGGTATGGGCCAACGTCGAACGGGCTGCATCCGCATCCTCCGGTCATGGGGCGGGCAAACCCGTTGCTCTACGCGAACACTTCCCATCCCTCTCCACCCCGTCTTCGGGAACACCGACGATCCCCGGCTCTCTCGCGCACGCCGTCGCGCATGGCGCAGCATCACGCGCTGCCGCGCCCGCAGCCAAATGGAGTGCTGCCTCCACCGCCGTTTCCTCTGGCGCAAGCACGCCACGCCCCTTTGTAGCGCGCGTCCACTCAAGTGGGCGGTCTGTCAACACCAAGTCGAACGCCGCCTTCCCAAGTCTGCCGAGTAACGCATCGAAAAGTGCGATCAACGCCCAGCGCAAGGCGCTGTTTGCGAGCAAGAGTGGGGAGGCCACCCCCGCGCCAGGTGGGTCGGGAAGCAGTACGCCAGCGCCCTGGTTGGCGGGGCAAGGTCAGCCAGGGAGGATCGATGATTTTCCAGAGATCGCGGCGGGAGGGCAAGGGTTGGGTAGTTTGGACGGGCTTAGTGAGGCATTGGTTGCGTCCCAGGAGGCAGGGGGGAGGAAGAAGAAGGGGAAGGGCGTACAGATGATGACGTTTGGCGGTGTGCATCGGGGCTAGTCAAGAGGGAGCGGACAGATGTCCCGCAAATCAATGTTGTCAAGAGGTGGTTGCCCACACCCTGCTGACGCTTGTCCAGACGAGCGCGATGTCAATGCTAGCCAAGCCTGCAGAAGAAATGATGTGTGAAAAGGAGAGTCACGAGGCTGGGTGTGAGGCGGCTTGTCTGATGCGCTGGTGCTTGTCGAGGAGATGAGTTCACCGAGGGTCCTTGGGCAGAGCTCGACAGCGGCGACCTCAGCTCGAATGCACCCGCCCCGAGCCGGCCACCTCACCTCTTCTCAGACTCGTCCTTTCCACACCACAAACGTGGCGAATACACACCCCCCGGACAATGAGAAAACACGTCGAGAGCGGATACAAATACAACATAACGGTATACCGGGGGTGGAGCTTTATGCGTAGATGCGACCTCCTCCAGGGGCCACTCCTGGCGGGAGGGCAGTTTGGGTGAGCTCGAAGCGGATTCCCTCCCCGTTCTCGCCTTCTGCAGCTCCGGCTTGTGTGGGGGTCTTCTTCCCTGGCGTGGCGGCTCCTTGCAGTGCATTCTCCTTGTCCTCCATCCCCGCATTTCCCTCTGACCCCTTGGACGTGTGAGCCTGCGGATACAGATCGGGGATGCCAGAAGCCACCATGATCCGTTCGAATTTGCTCCACAGCTCGCTGATCGGGTGGAACTCCTTGCCCACCGAGATGGACTCTTCGATCTTGCGGTTGAGGACGTTGCTGTTGCCCAGAACCGATTCCACTCCCTATCGAACCCAAGTTTGTCAGCCGTTGGAGTGTTCGAAGTGGAGAAAGATGGCGTGGATCGGTCGCAGTGTCGTCAATCGATTGTGATTTGCATATGTCGATGTAGCAGTTTGAGTAAGGCAAGACAGGTCAGCTATGCCATTCGCTCAGCCCTTCCATGAGAGCTAGAGAACAAGAAAAAACTAAAGGTGAAAACGTACCTTGGAAATGTCCTGAATGAGTCGATTGCGCTCGCGCTCAAAGAAGCCGGCGTCGATCGCACCGTTGCCGTTCGAAGAGGACGACGAAGGATGTTGGTCGTCGTATGTGTGGGTGTCCATCATCGTGTGTTTTCGTCCTGTGATTCTTTCGCGTGCTTGTAGATACGTCTTGGGGAAGGTGGCGGAGGGTCAGACTGTGAAAGATCGTGTCCGTAAGCACGGTGAATCGTTTTGCTGGAAGCGAGGTTGCGGTATGGGATGCGGTCAAGCGCTCGATATGCCGAAGATCCGAGTGAGAACGATCGCAGGTATGCAGGTGGTTAAAATGTCAAGATGATGGTGGTTGCTCTGCCTGATGAGCATTTCAATCCAAAAAGTGTCAAATCCACCCTGCACGAGTGAGAGAACAACACTTCAACGCGCGCCGCTTGCATCCCCCACTCAACGCGCTGCGCGTGAATTTCTTTCGCACGAGAAATATCCTCCTCCATCATCATTCTCACCACATTCACACTGCTGCCAGTAAAGATGTCTCGGAACCGTACACAGGCACCGCAAAGATCCTGGAAAGACCGTGTGCATTGCAAGGCAGGAACAATAACAATGTAAAACCTCTGACTGTTTGAAAAGAAAACGAATAGTCTATAGAGCTTGCGGCGAATCAACCGAATCGGTCGTGGTAGCTTCGACCGGGGCCGGGTGGACCAGGCGGACCAGAGCGAGGTGCGGGAGGGCCACCATTGCGTGGAAGCGAGTTGCCGTTCTGTCGTGGCGGCAGGAGAGGTTCATCCAGCACTCCACCTCCGGATCGCTGACGCGCGTGCGAGCCTGCAGTCCCGCCTCCTTGCACCGCGGATGAGTGGCCGTAAGGCTGCGTAGGACCGAATCCAGGCGAGGAAGGTGACGGTGCACCACCGCGCATCAGACTCGCATACTCTCCCGGGCTAGGTGTGCGCTCCATCTCGTAGCTGCCTGGCTCGTAGCTGCCGTTGCTATGCCCGTTACTTCCGTGTCCACCGCCGCCAACATATCGACTGTACCGAGCAGGAATGTCGGGCACAGCTGGAGCGTCCCGGTTGGCAGGGAACATGCCCATCTGCGAGATGCGGTTGCGATTCACCGCTGACGGGTACTGCGGTTGTTGCGCTCCCGGCTTGCCCATGTTCTTGGTGCGGAACGCCTTGTCGTCCCACCCCGTCTCGAGCATCTTCTCCATGTCCTCCGTGTCGATCACCACCTCTTGATCGCCGACCCACACCGAGTGGCGCACGATCTGCACCGGCGGCGGCAGCGACTCGTCATACCCGCCAATCTGGTTGCCCCACTTGTCGTCGTCAAAGTCGCTATTGATGGTGACCGAATCGCTGAACGTGTCGCTCTCGCGTCTCGACAGCGGCATGCCGGGCAGCTTGCGGTCTCCATCGCCGTCAAACTCGTCGTTGTGGAAGCCGGAACCGAATTGGCGCTCGAGTTCGCGACGTCGCTTCTCCTCGCGCTTCCTCTTGCGCAGACGCGATCGCTCCCAGTCCTCCCAGCGTCGAAGCGGCACCGCACTGCCGGTGGCGGCTCCACCTTCGTCGCCGTGGCCCATCTGCTTGGCTTCCCCCTCGACTTTACGCGTCTCGCCCCACGAAAAGTCGTCAAAGTGCCAGAACGAGTAGACGGGCAGGACAAAGTTCCACACGGGCAGCGCGATGAGGTAGATCAACATCCACAGCACGTACACCACCTTTCGTGTCGCCAGCAGGATCAGCAGCGCGGGCATACCGATGACGGCTACTAGCAGCATTAGCGGAATGGCTTCCGTGAACGAATGGGGCGGGTTGAGACAGTACGTGACCACCAGCGTGTAGGTCAAGGCGATCGAGACGGGCAGCACCAGCGTACCGAGCAGGTCCATGAACACGACAAACTGCATCGAGAAGCAGAAGGTGCCACAGAGATCGCGAACGAGCACCAGCTCCATCAGATTGTGAATCGTCGAGTTGATCCATCGTCGTCGTTGCGAGAGCAGCATCTTGAACGTGTGCGGCACCTCGGTTTTGCAGCGCGCCTCGGGACAGAAGACCATCTTGCGGTTGGGGAAGGTTCGCAGCAGTGTCGTGGTCAGGAAACGATCCTCTCCGAGCAAGAGCAAGTTCTTCTGGTGCAGCGTGGTGACCACGCTCTGGCTGTACTCGCGCGTCACCTCGGGTTTGACAATGATAGGCACCCAGTCGTCGTCGGTCTGCTTCCTAGCCTTGATGCGGTACATGGAGAAACATCCGGGCAGACAGGTGACACCTCCGAAGACCGACTCGAACGCTTTCGCCTGGTGGTGCGAGATGAAGTACTCGTACACCTGAATCATAGTAACCCACGTCTGCGTCTTGTTGGCGATACGCGTCTCTCCGCACGCACCCATGATGAGGGGGTCGCCCATCATGCAGTTGGCCAGCGTCTTCATTGACTTGGGGTACACCATCGTGTCGGCGTCGACCATGAGGCAAAGCTCGAAGAAGTCGGGCGTGACGCCCATGAGCGTGTGCACCTTGCGGAAGAGGTCGTAGTCGAGCGGCGTCATGCGATCGTTGTAGGTGACGCGCTGGAAGAAGTTCATGAGGATCATCTGCGAGTCGCGCTTTCCTCGGTTGCCTGGCTTGGAATCGCCAGCTTCGTCGGGTGCACCACACTTGACGACCACCACCATGGGCGTGCGTCTGCCCTTGCCGCGGGTGTAGTGCCCTGCGTAGACCATAGCCATGTTGTGCTCCTTCTTGCCTGACCCGATCGAGACAAAGCTCATCGGGGTCGGTGTGCCGAATCGTGGGTCTGCGTCGAGCAACGAGACACAGACGTCTGGTGTGCTCATGGTCTCTCCGGAACCGGTCACCATGCCGTCAGCGACGAGGAAAAGCAGCTTGCGCTGGTCCGAGTATTCGGTCTCGGAGAGCGAGGTGAGTGTTGTAGAGATGCCCTCCTCGTTCTCGGAGTATGCAGTGATGAGACAGACGACGTAGGGCTCTGTGCCGATGTGTTGGACGGACAGGCTGTCGGGCACGGACGGTGTCGCGGATTCTGTCGAGTCGCGTCTTCGGCGTGTAGGCTGCGAAGGCGGCGGACGCTGTTTGTTGGCCCAGGGCGCTGCGCCGGACGAGTTGACCGAGACCATGGCACCCTCCGGCAAGACGTTGGGAGCGACTTTGCGGCGTCGAGAGGGTCGTGGCGTCGAGGCCATTCGGCCGGCCATGAACCAAGAGAAGAAGACGGCCATGAAGAAGCGGATGAGAACGATGGCCAGAATGACCACAAGCGAGCAGTAGAGGACGAGGTTGGAGATGAAGCAACCTGGTGTGATCTTGTCGATGTGACCCGCGTCATACTTTTGCACGAGACATTTGATGGCCTTGCGTGCAGTTGGGTTGGTGTAGAACATCATGGTGGAATCGCGACCTCCCATGCCGCTGCTGGCTAGTTGCTCACGAATGGCCAGGTCGACCACATCTCCAGCAATGGGTTGCGGGTTTGCCTTCAAGTAGGGGTTCATGTTGAGCACAGCACCGTCGAGCACCATGAAGTTGGTGTAGTTGCCGCTCTCCATGTCTTCCCAACCATAACCGACGCGTCTTGTTTCGTTGGTCATGCCGTAGGTCGCAAAGGTAGCGGGTGACACGGTGCCTAGTGGGCAGTCGGTGAGGACGGTGCCGTTGAGCGCCATGCAGATGGGATCCGCAGCGTAGGCAGCAGTGGAGCCTCGACATGCAGGGAAGTCTGCGGTTGAGGTCCTGGCAAAGAGCGACGAGATGTCCGAGCCTGCTTTGTTGGTGGAGAGCCTGAAGATGTTGGCGCTCTCTGGACTTGGCAAGTGGTGTGCTTGGGAGATATCGAAGGCCCATCCTTGAATGCCGACTACCGCTCCTCCTGTACCAATTCGCATGTAGGTCTTTGCAGAGTTGCTGTCGGCTGACGGACAGAGCGCGGCATTGAGGCCCATGGTGATGAAGCCGATGAAAGCGCCCAGGAGGAGCGCGACAAAGACGAGCGAAACCTTTTCACGCCATGCTTGCCGACTAGCGCTATCTTTGAGGCCACCGCAGGTGCGAAGGAGTGGACTGGGAGCCCAGAATGTGACGACAAGGGAGAAGACGGTCCACCATGAAAAACCACCTTTTGAAGGAGCGGCTGCTGAGAAGCCTGGACCGCCACTGGAGGGATTGATCAAGGGGACTTGTGGCTGACTCCTCTCGGGGCGTGTGAGCGTCTTTGCGCGCGCGATGCGAGTAGGTTGCCGAAGCGGGGGCGGTGCTTCTGTATGGATGGGTATTGAGGTATCATTGCGGTGCCCTGGCTTGCGGATGAAGGTCTTTGTGAAGGTGGTGTTGCGCTGAACTCCAGGCATGGTTGCAGGAGGTGCTGGTCAGATGACGCTGGCGTCTAAGGGAGCATAGATCCGGAAAAGGAAGGTTTAAGGAGCGTTGGCGAGCGTAGCTGTGTGGAGTCCGTGTGAGTGAAGTTGATGGCGAGACAGGTGAAAGAGCGTGATCGAGTGCGGAGCAAATGAGGAGCCAGGATGAGATAGAGGCGACGCGAACTACAGGGCAATGCGAAAGTATGTGCGTGCAGAGGCCGGGTCTCGATGGAGAGATGTTGGGTCAAGCGGCAAGACGGATCCAGTCGAGGTACGAAGGTGGTACGAAGGAAAGAGAGTCGCCGGCGATCTTTTGTCTCTGGCGATGCTACCGAAGTGTGGGAGGATAGCGATATCCGGAGGTGGTGCGGTAGAGACAAAGGCCAGGAACAGAAGTGCAGAAAGGGAATTCGAGTGACAATGATGGAGACAAAGGACAAGCGTGATGGCGAGAAGGAGGCTGAGTATCTGAGTTGGGCAAGAGCCGGCAGCACCATCTGCTGCATCACTTTGAGCAGGCGTTCCACCGAGAGCTTTGCCGAAAGGGCCCAAATCTAGGCTGTCAGGCTTAGGCTCGAGCTCAAAAGGCGCGTCCGCCAACTTGATTTGACCGCCTGCGTGCGTGTGTGCCTGTCAAAAGGAGAGAAAAATGCCAGCGAAGGGCACGCCGAGCCACTTTCTTTTTAGGCTGCTGTGCTGCTGTGGTGTTCTTCTTCTTGTTGGTTTCAGTTGGAATTTCGAAAAGTGACACTCTCTCGTCACGGCCAGCACGCGTGTGCGTCGCTGCTGGTGCTTGTTTCCCCCCTGACTCGAGCCTCGTTGACTGCATCAGACAGACGGCTTCTAGCCTCAGTTCAAGACGGAAACAGCGCGACTAGACAGCGTGTGACAGGGGGCACCGTCGTCGTGTGAGTCAGGTGTACTTTGGCACTGGTCAAAGGGCCGATCACGATCCGACACTGGCAAGACTGGAAATTGCATCGAGCCTAGTCTCGACCTCCTGCTTGGCACACCGGCTTGTCCGAGCAGCGACATTGGTGCAAAGCGGACAAGAGCGTCATCGGAGACGGATGATCCGTGTTCAGAAACGACCGATCAACGGCAGCTGAGCGTGTCAGTCGCCGGCGGCGAGCCCGAAAAGAATCTCTGGCGCTCCTTAGTGCGGCGGTGAGCGTCGCTGATGGCCCAGCCGATTCTCCCACGCTTTGCGGCTCAACACGGAGCTGTACCGAAAGAGCGGAACTTCCACCCCACGGATTGCGGACGCTACTGGCTTGTGATGCTGATCCGCAGGCGTCGGCTTCGGCCTTGCGGACATGGACGAGGAAACTGACACTCTTGTAGTGCGGCACTCGGCCTTACAATGCACATCCGCGTCTTGACGGCGGAGACTTTCATGCACGCCTGCAAGCTGGACAAAAGGGCCAGGACAAATCCAGGCGTTCCTTACACGACCAGTCTTTGAGCCAGGTCGTTCCGAGAGACTCTCCCTCTTAAGGACAATGGAACCTCGAGAGCGTCTCGCATCAATCGAGCCTCGAGCTGCAGAGATGCGGAAACGGCTTTCAAGTGGGACATGCACGCCTGCTGCTTCGAACGCCGCTTGGAGATTCGCTTCCATCAGTTTGACAGGCTCCTTGTCGATCCTCTCGCTCGCCAGCGAACACGCTCATGCAGCTCGGAAAACGAGTCGAGACGCGACCGCTCTTCGCGTTCGAGAAGTGGCGGAACTCGAAACGTGTTAGACTTGTGGATGCCACGGCTGGCCAATCAAGCTTGTCTTCTTCACGTCTTAACACTTTCGAAAAAAAGGGTTGCCCTGAACGCATCGAGTCGTGCTTCTCCTCGCGTCGACTTTGAGCCAAGGCCACCTTGTCTTCTGTCGTAGAAGCGTCCTTGCCCGCTTGCCGATGTTGACAGAGGTCACTGTCCAGCTACACGTGAACATTGCGACAAAACAAGCATGATCTGATGAGTCCAGGGCCAGGCGATCATCTGTGCTGAATCACGGAGCTGACCAACGGAACGAGGTCAGGTGCGTGCATTTCGAGCATCGTCATGCGGGCGGGTATCGAGATCGAAAGCGCGCTGGCCGTTCAATTGAGGAGGCCCTTGACAGGCGAGAAATGGTTGCCCTTGCTCCTGATCGTAGTTAACAAAAGAGGAATAGGAATGAAATCTGGCCCTGAATACAAATTTGATGATCCACAAACCCGCTAGCCCTTCGCGTCTGCAAGAGCTGCATGGACCCTGACCCGGATTGTTTGCGAGGCGTTGGGAGAGAGAGATCTGCTGCCCCCGCGTCGAACGAGTCTAGCTGTCTCTCTCGATCGCGACAACTCTGGCGGGCGGTGTGCCAAATGAGCCAGATGACGCTATTGTGCTGCCTTTGCAACAGCAATCCTCGTGGCGAGATCTCAATTCATACACCGAGCACCAACCATGAATGCATCCTTTGAGTGACTCTGCCACGTCTGCCTGGTCTATCAGCAGCGTGGCAAGAGTCCGGAAAGGAGGACAAGAGGCGGCTGCAATGGACAGCGGCAAGCGAGCGAACAAAGACGGCAACGGGAAAGCGTGTCGAAAGCCTCTGGTTCAGGGTCCGGAGTCGATTCGAAGAGCGGTACACCAGCCAAGGGCGAAGCGAGCCGCCATTTTCGCAATTAGGGTCCTCCTGTCGGAAGCCATCTCTCATTCCGTGTGTCGCTCGACACACAGTCAATACGCCGCAGACGGCGTGAATGGCTAAGCCATCGTATGGGCCGGCTGCTCGTGCCTGAACACACAAACAAGCTGCGTTCAAAAGTGTGTGTGTGTGTGTGTGTGACTTTGAGCGGCGTGGGAAAGCAGTGGCGGCAGGTGTGTGAGGGTGTGAGAGTGTGGCAATTTGGGATCGATTTTGACAGCTCGTGTGCCTTGTTCTGGAACTTCCGATGCTGCCCAGGGTCGACTCGCATGGATGCACTTGAACCCTCTTCTGATGCTCGACTGAAGCATCGCTTGGTCAATCAGGAAGCCCCTAGCACATCCTTCTAACGTCACACCCGTTCCGTCTTTCCGACATCATCATCGTCACATTCTTGGTTGCTCCTCTGCGTCCTATCTATGCGGCTCCCATCTTCTTAAAGGCACACTCCCACCACCTTCTTTGTTTGCCGTCAATCTCTTGGATGCGTTCTGGACCTGTCGTGGCATACATCGTCTCCCTCTTTCGGACCCGTATCTCAACAATCGTACCGTCATCCAACAGGATCCAACCCTCGGCTTCAACGCTTCTCATCAGTAAACTCTCATCGCTTTCATCTCGTCCCACCACGGACAAGTCTTAGCCAGTTGCATTGTTCTGCGTTCTTCGGCACCCTGCTCATCCTCTCGGTTCGCTGCGCAATCGCCAAAGTTCTGCATCAATCTCGCAGCTCACAGCCTTGTGTCACAACACTGCAAACTCTGCCGGATACTGAATACAAGCTCGCCGCTCGCTTGTCCTGCATACAGCTTCTTGTTTCGCAAAGGCCCTGTGAATTCGACCAACGACATCCGATTCTTCTGAAGCGCACAGCAACGGAGAATGCTGCAATAAGAGCAATCGTCAAGCACGGTCTTATCCTTCCTCGTGCTGCCTCAAGCTCAGGACTTCCTCACCACCAGCTGTCCTTTCACAGCCCCTCGCAACGCACCGCCAGACCTATCATCACCTCAAGCCGGTGACGCTTAGCGCCACCCTCTGCTGCAGCCCACGGATTCTTGCATAGTATCCACTTTAGTCGCTTCAAAGTAGATCCTCGTCGACTCAGTTAGCAATCATGGCGCAGCCCGTCGTACAACAGCCTACCCTCTCACCACCGCTGTCGCCCTCCGGGCCCGGTCTCAACTCGATCGTACGCTCCAACAGCTCAGACTTCGCCGCCAAAGCCGTCTTCTTCGACAACAGCGACGCAAACAAGACGCTCTCCAACGGAGTCAAGAAGAGCCTCAAGGAAGGCAACGGCTCACAAGCGCATCGACAGAAGCCCCGTTCACGCCCCTCTTCCAGCAGAGTCAACGGTAGCACCGATCTTCACCACACCGGCTCCAATGGCACCTCGTCGCGCGAGCAGGGCGTCGAAGCGGCAAATCACCCCACCATCGCTCAAGCGCCCGGTGCCAGCTTTTCCGTCGCAACCAAGCCCCAGGACCGCGATCCTAGCCTCCTGCGCCAGCCGCCGCAGCAGAAGGGCTTCGACTGCCTCAGCAGCTACCAGCTCGATCACAACGGCCGCATCCCCGCCAGCGAGTACAACTACATCCAGCGCGACAAGCTCGTTGCCAGCGCGCAACAGTCGGCCATCCGATCCGGCAACTTCCACTGGGTTGCGCTCATGGACCTCGCCCACCTCGCATCGCAGCATCACATGTCACCGTACAGCATCATGAAATTCGGTCCAAGGGGCTCGCCGTTTGCGTACATTCCTATCACGCTGCAGCAGCCCGAGGTGGTGGAGAACACGCGCCAGCGCCAGAGGGAGGAGGAGCTGCAGGCGAAAGCGTGGTTCATCGCCAAGCGGCAGAAGAAGTTGGGGTTGGCATCGGTGCCCATGGACAGCGACGATGATTTGCCCGTGCTGAGTTTGCCTTCGGACATGTTCCAGGCGAAGCCAGGGGCGAATGGCAGCTCGCCGCCCCCGAGCGTGGGGACGAAACGACCTGCGTCGCTCAGCACGCCCCCCGGCGATCGGGCTAGGAGCGTGCTGCGCACTGAGCCCGACCAGCAGGTGGAGCGCAGCGAGGCCGTGGAAGCCTCCTCCTCGCCGGAAGAAGTCAACGCACCTCCATCGCGCGAAGTGTCCTCCTCTGAAGAAGACGAAGTCGCACCGGCCAAGGACCAGGTCGATCTCTCCAACTTCGACCGCTCCACGCGCATGGTCGAGCTCTCCTCGACCCCCGAACGCGCGGCCGCCTCGGCAGCCAAGACGGACGCAGCCAACGGCAACGGCGAGGTGGCCGACGAGCTCATGACGTCCTCCTCCGCGGGGAGCAGCGTCGAGCTCGGCGGACCGATGGACAAAGAGCGGACCATGGCGCAAGAAATGGAGCATGCGACGAGCACCGACAAGCCCGCTCAGGCCAAAGATGCCTCCCTCGGACCGCTCGTGCACGGCGACCAGAACGGCAATGGCGTCTCGCACCGCGCTACTGAGGAGCAGCAACAGCAGCAGCAGTTGGCGATGAAGACGTCCGACACGCACCCGATCCACATCAGCCCCGTGCTGCCGGATGATCTGTTGGCAGATGTCGGGCGTCGGATCCGGGCTCAGGCCGAGCCGCAACTCCTCCGCCTCAGCTCCAGTGAGGGAAACACATCGCTGACAACGGGCTACTTCGACGACCACCCCGCCGCCCAGGTTCGCGGGGAACGCCTCATCCGTCTCCGCAACATGCTCGACCTAACCACCGTCACCTCCACAGACCCGTCGGCCAATTATCTCTCGCAATCTCAGCTGGCCGAACAAGCATCCCGCGAGACCTCCCTCACGCTCTCCTCCTCCGAACCCTCTCGCGGTATCGGCAACTTCCTACTCTCCAGCTGTCCCGGCAAGAAAGTGCGTCTCTCCGGCCCGGTTCGCGGTCGGGGCGCCATCTGTCGCGATTTGGGTCTGGACCTCGGGCGGATCTACAGCATTGGTGTCCGCGCTGTGGTGTGCTGTTTGAACGACGAGGAGCTGTCCTATCTGGGTGCGCCGTGGGGGGAGTATGAGCGCGAGGCGGATCGATTAGGTCTGGATGTGTACAGATTGCCCATGGCGGAAGGGTTCGCACCGACGAATGTGGAGGAGATGGATGCGGCCATGACGAGCATCGTTCAGGACTGCACGATGAGAGGCACCAACGTGCTGGTTCATTGTCGCGGTGGCGTGGGGAGGGCTGGGTTGATTGCGTGCAGTTGGTTGTTGAAGATGGGTTTCGTGGGGGATGGGAGTGGGAGGAGGGGGGTGTTGGGGGAGATGGATGTGGATGAGAGCGGAAGCGCTCGGGAGATCGTGGAGAGGACGACGAGTGCGACGGCGCATGAGGGAGTTGTCGGTAATGGAGAGGGACCGTCGGAGAGAGAACAGGAGGAGGAGGCGGACACGATATTGGACACGGTGAGGTGTTTGATCGAGACCATCCGCAGAAGAAGGAGCCCCAAAGCGATAGAGACCGCAGAACAGGTGCGCTTCCTCGTCGAGTACGTGACGTATCTGCATAGGCAGGAACGACTCAAGGCTGCTGCAGCATAAGGAACATTTCACAGATACACCATACACAAAGTGGCCCCATCAATAAAAACTTTCATCATATTGTTTTTCCCAGGTTTCAGAGCTTAAGCGTGATCAGGTCTGCATGCGCTTATGATTGGATCGTTGCTGATGACGACACCCGTGTTTGAATCAACCACTGATGAATCCTCTGGCTCTGGCAATCCCAAGCGCCCTCTCCACCGCCCTCTGCGTAGGCGCCAACAACGACCCCACCTTTTCCTCCAGCACCTCATCCAACCCGGTACTCGCTTCCCCAAAAAGCGTCTCCAGTCTTCCCGCGTACTTGCTCAGATTGATCGCCATCTTCCTGGCCGCGACAACGCGATTCTCCTCGGCCTCCTTCTCCTTCTCCTCCCTCTTGCGTCTCTCCTCCTCCGTCAGCGGCTGGGTCGACCTAGCGCTCCACACACCTGCGTCTTCGTCATCGCCCTCGTCCGGGCCCGGTGCGATGGAGTTCCAAAACTGACGCAAGAACTCGGTCATCGACGCCTGCAGCGAGAGCAGCGATTTCTGCACGCCATCCGGCAGCGTCTTCAAATCTGCCGATGCACGAGGGTTGAGCGAGCGCGAACGGAGGTTGGAGAGCATGCGGGACATGGAGGGCTCCGTGCCTGACGAGGTCGGTTTGAAACTGCCCAGTGTGATCGCGGAAGATTGGACTTCCGTGTTGAAGCGCTCGACGTAAGTGAGGTACTCCGACATGCTGGTAGGGACGAGGTCGAAGGATGCGGCTGTGTGGCGCTGCTTCGAAGGTGAGGTGTGGCCGTTGCGAGGAGTCTCGGTGGGAGGATCGGCGGTGGTGGAGCCGGAAAAATAGCCTTCGAGGTTGGCCATGTTGAGTCGCACCGTGTCGGCCTTGGCCGTCTCGTTGAGGTCGTCGATGACGATTTCCTTGTAGTAGTGGTTCTTGATCCAGTCGATCGAGTCGGTGGCTTCGCCTAGATCGTCGTCGTCCGCCGAACCGCCTAGCATGGGTGGATTGCCCGATTCGCCTTCCTCCACCGAAGTGAGAACCGTCGAGCCGGTAGGATACTCCTCACCAACACCGCCCACGATGCGTCTTCGTTTGCGACGATCCTCCTCCTCCTGATCACCCAGCGCCGAGTCGAGCAACGACTGCGAGTGGTCGTTGAACCGACGCATCAGAGGCAACGTCCGTCGCTCGGCACCCGCACGCATCGTCCAGTCCTTCTCGTTGCCCGTCTCGCCGTGGTCCTCCTCCGTCGCTTGGAGATCCAGCAAACGGTCGTGAGGGTTGAACCTGCGCCTGGGTTCCAACTGGTTGTCCTCCTCGGTCAAGTATTGATCAAAGATCGGATCGTCTTGCACAATGTGTTCCGACGCGGCTGAACGTGCACTTGTTCGCAAGCGATGATACAGCTTGGACTGGAAATAGCGTGTCCAGAACGAGCCTTCGTCGAGCTTGGCGGGCACGTTCTCCTCGTATGCCCGTGCCACGACCGGGAACTGCTCGAACAGGTCGCGGATGAGTTCCGGAGTGATGCTGAGCTTCAGCTCGCCTGCTTCGTTCGGTGTTGGTTTGGGATCAGCAAGGCGTGCGTTTCGTCCAGCACGCTGTTCGAGCTTGGCTCGCTCGGCTCGGATGAGACGCTGGCGTTGTGGATGGGACCAGAACTCGGCGTCGGACATTTGGCCCGAGATGACAATGTCTTTGTGGAGTGCACGGAGCTGCGGATTGGACTTGATGACGCTGATGCGGAGCTCGATGTCGGTCTTGGGTGGGGGCATGTCCTTTGGCCTAGCACGTTTAGAAGGTACAGGAGAGGCAACCGTGGAGGCATTCGTTGAGGTCGGCCGTGTCGCCGTCGGCGTCGCAGCTCCGGTCTCTGGAGTGGCGGCGCGAGTCGCAGCTGCAGGCGAAGAGGGTGTCGGTGCAGGACTCGCTGGCGTAGATGCACCATCTACGACGGCTCGATTCCTGCCGACCGCGGCTGCTAGCTCGGTCTTGAACTTCTCTCGATCATCGAGAGCCGTTTGCTGAGCAGCGTTGAACACCAGCAGCACCTTCGGCTTGGAGGTGATCTGCACACCATTTGCCAGGACCAGCATGAGTGCGATCTGTGCCGCACCCGCTTTTGATGTCTGCAGTCCAGCAATGTCCGAGAAGTTGATATGGAAGGAGCTGACTCCCGAGGAGGCGGAAGAGGGTGTCCATTTGACAGTCTGGTCGGTCTGCAGAGAGAGCGTGCCAGGCACCTTGTTGAATGCGACGGCAGCATGCATGTAGGAAGACGAGGATGAGGCGGACATCTTGGGAACGACTTTGACGATCGAGACTTGTCGCTAGTAACGACCGCTGACGCAACCGTTGGCGAAACAGCTAAGTGGGTGTGAGCAGCCTCGACTCAGCCAGATCAGGACCTCGATTAGGGCGAAAGCTCCTGCCTTCGGCTCAACGCAGCTGTTCGGCCGGTCCGGATACGTTCTAGTGTAGAGAGGTGCTTCGAATGTGATGCTGCTGGAAAGGAGAGAAGGATGCTGAGTGTTGGTCCGACTGAGCCGTGTGGAGGCAGCCGATCTGGAATGAGGAAGACTGTGAATCGGGTCAGCTTCCGAAAAGTGATGCACAGGCCGCAACGTGTTGGTGTTGAACCCTGGATTCTTGGCAGGTTGCTCTTACCTCGCTTCATCCGCATACTCCTTCTTCTGCTCATTCATCCTTGACCGCATTTGCCGACCGCAAAGGCAGACCTAAAAGGGACGGGTGCTGCGGCGACTCAGCCCGACCGTCAGCGGCTTCGGCCAAAATGTTCTCGCTACCCAAGAGGCTCATCTTCGGCAGCCAGTCCAAGATCGACTTCAAGCTGGACCAGCTCGACGGCATTGCAAGGCTCTACTCGGAGCGTCATATCCCCTACCACGACTCCAAGTACTGGTCTCGCTTCCTTCAGCTCGATTCGGCTTCCGACGTCTTTTCACTCCTCTCCTTAGCGGACCTCAGACGCGTTCGCAGAGATGCACCCGAGAATGTCGTCACCTTGGTTAGGGTCATGGTCGCCCACCTTGACAGTCTCCTGCTCGATCCACTGTTTGAGCCGCCGCCACCGCCCGAGAGCGTAGTATCAAATCAAGAACGCCTATCGTCACGACTTAATGGCCTTACCAACGGCCTGACAGATGTCTCCAAATGGAAGGTGCCTGGTGCCGCTCTAGTTGGCTTCGAGGCGGCTCAGAATGCATCGGGACCATCCCAGAGGGACCGCACAAAGGAGGCGCTCAACGTCATCCGTATCCTGACCAGAACCTTGCCCGCTGTGATGGAGTCAGACGACGAAGCGTTCGAGCATCAAGCCTTGTGGACCGAAGCTCCCGAGGTCCGCACCGAGGCCGCAGCTTCCCAGAGCACCGCCGTCTCCGGAAACGACACCGGCACTCACGATGACAAGCGGGACACTTCTGCGCAATTTGTCATCGACGACGAGGAAGACGAAGACGAGAGTGAAGGCAAAGTCGAAGCTGCTGATCATCCGCTCAGCTCCGCGAACGAAACCGTCGACAAGGATGACGCGCAAGAGGAACCAATACCAATCGCATTGGGAGAACGCTTGTTGCGAATCACTGTCGACCTCCTCTTCTGCTCCGGCTTCACCCTGCCTTGGACAGAAGACGATCTGGAACAGTTCAAGGCCAACTCGCTACCACGGCGCATCAACTACTCCATCTGGGAAGCCGGTGTCGGAAGCTCAGTCGATCTCCCGGGCACAACTCGCTTCCATGTGTCCAACAGAGTCGAGGTGTTGCGCCTCTTGCTCGTTCTACTGTCCAAGTCCGTCTATATACCCGCAGCCAGACAGCTGTCCGAGGTCGAGCCAGCACTCAAGTTTGCTGTCCAAGACCTGGACAGGAGCACCATGCTTCCGCTCCTCTGCAGTCTCATCAACACCAGCATCACCAACGCGCGCAACTCCACATCAGCTTGGCTCGGTCTGCCCAACGTCAGTGGTCTTGTCGGATCGAACGACGAAGTGCGCACCAGCCTTGTCACCATGTCGCTGCAGGTCCTCGACCTCCTGCTCACCTATGATGCGCCGCTTCCGGGAGACGCGGACACCGTAAGCCTCAGCACCGTCGGACGACCACTGCCGGGCCCCGGAGGAAGCAACGTCTTCCGCTTCTATCTCAGCAAGCTCCACCGCACTGCCGATTTCGACTTTATCTGGTCTGGTCTCGCCAAGTCCTTCAACGAGCATATCAGCTCCACCATCCAGATTCTCGCCATCCCCATCCCGACAGGTGGGCAAGGACGGAGAGCTGCAGAGACGAGCTGGCAGCTCAGCCAGGTCGCTGAGCGTCTCATCCTCCTGTGGCGCTTGCTCGAGCACAACTACAAGTTCCGACTGTACGTGCTCGACGACGCAAAGCGTGCACCTGAGCTTCTGACCATCTTGCTCTACTTTTCTCTCACCTACAAGGACAATGTGGCGCTGCAAGGGCTTGTGCGACTGTGCGCATTCATGCTGCAAGACGTCTCGAGCGAGCGCGCCTTTGCGGTCAATCTGGCCAAGCCGGGCAGTGCAACCAAGGTTCAACTCCCCAATCGGCTGGGCCTCCTCGCTGGTAACACGGCCATCGACTCTCTCGTTCAGGGTGTCTACTCGCTCGTCGCGACTACGAAGGGTCAGCTTGCGTCGCTCTACGCTCCGCTCATCATCTCTCTCAGCAACACAGCGCCGGTATGGCGGTCTCTCAGCATCACGGCATCGACTCGCGTCATCCACCTGCTCCGATCCTTCTCTCAGCCGTCGTTCCTTCTCTCGGAGGAAGGCAATCCGAGATTGCTCTTCTACGTGCTCGAGACGATCAATGCCGTGTTGACGTTTGGTTACAACGCCAACGTCAATCTTGTCTATTCGCTCGTTTTGGCGAGAGGTCTGATCGATGCACTGGAGAGCTTCTCGCTCAAGAAGGGCGTCGAGAATGTTTGGAAGAGGCGAAGGGCGGTGGGGACGGATACCAGGGACTGGTTCGAGAACGCGCCGCGTCTCGAAAAGCCGCCGCTTCCGCCTGCGCCGTCATCGACACAGAGACCTGCGGACGCAGACGTCAATACGGAGAAGGAAGCGGTCGCAGACGACGATGGTGCTGCGGCAGAGCCATCTTCGGTGACCAAAGGTAAGATGCGACGCATCTCGGTGTCTTCAAGCGATCTTCAGGCAGCAGCCGCACCCACGCCAGTAGGATGGGAAGGCGAGCTGTCCAAATACTCGCTCGAAGTAGTGGAGGAAGCGGCGGCGCAGTACATTGGCAAGCACGGTTTTCGCCCGACGCAAGCCTGGGTCGAGTCGTGGCATCAAGGCCTACCGCTCGCCGCACCGCGTCTGGTGATCGACCAGCTCCTGCCGGAGATCGAGCGGATTGCAGCGGGTGGCGCGGTCAGAGCCGGGGCCAACGGCAGCAACGTCGAGATCACGGGCGGCGATACGGACGCGCGCGTGCTAGCGTTCTTACGAGAACAGCCCATGTCGGAGTACCTGCCGCCGCCAGAGGGCGGGATCCATGCGAGAGGATGGCAGTGGACAGACCAGGCGACGGTGTGGTTGAGGAGCTACTTGTGGGGCACGATCTACGTCTCGGGTCTGCTGCCGTACGGATTGTGGAGCGATACGGATGTGAGGCTGTTTAGGATTCATGGTGCTGCAGGGGAGGGGAGAGGGGAGGTGAGGAGGTCGAATTCGGCTTTGGTTCCGACGGCTGCTCCAGATGGAAATGGGTCGCATAGATCATCAATTGCCGGGTCGGAGAGTCAGGTTTCGACACCGACGACCTCGACGTAGGGTCACCACACGATGCAATTGACAGCATCACTCATCACATGCCATCACGGCACGCTCTCACAGACCACGCAGTCGCACATATTGAGGGCCGAGGTCTGCAATGGCACATAACAGATACTGCTACAACTCGTCGTGCACAAAGCCAGGCACGACCCCACCTTCGAGCATCCCGACACCTCCCAACTCGTACCCACTCCACAGCACCGCCGCACCAAACACGAAGACCAACAAGCATACGTCGGTGACCAGCGCATTGACCAGCGCCAGGTACTTGCTGATCAGGCTGATGACCAGATGCAGATTCGGGATGGGGAGCATCGCCGTGAGCGTCGAGAGCAGCGATGGCGGTGCAGGAGTCTTGCGGGAGAAGATGGCGATCCGTGCTGCTTGCAGGAGGAGCTCGAGGGAGAGGAAGATCCAGAAGAGAGGCAGGGCGGTGGAGGTCGGGAGGAATGAGGTGGCTGTCGGCGACAGTGTGGCCCATTCTTCCACAGAAGGCTTCTGGTATCCGAGTCTCGCCCATCGACGCAAAGTTGATGAGGCCGAAGAAGGCGAGATCTTTTCGAACGTGTCGGTGACAGCGTCAGGAACGACGGAGGAGCGGTCAAAGTCGAACAGCGAAGATTTGGCTGCGAGGACGGCAAGCGCGAGGACGAGCACGGCTTGCAAGAGGTCAAAAGCTCGTTCTGAGACCGACTTCGTTCGTGTTGCTGTCATCTGTGGCGCCAAACCTGGACCGCCGGGACCGCCAGCGCCGAACTGCTGCATCATAGCTGCGAGCTGTGGTGGGAGACCAGACGTGTCCGGCTGTCCATCTGCTCCCATACCTGGTCCACCGGAGCCGCCCATCCCACCCATACCGCCGCCGCCCTGCATCATGGCCATCAGCGCCTGCATCGGATCTTGCTGCCCCGCACCTTCTCCACCGCCAAACATGGCGAATGGATTCGTCGCATCCTCTCCCCTCGGTGGACCGCGCATGGGCAGTGTCGAGATGTCTACTTCCAACGGATCATCGTCATCCGCCACAGCCGCCCTTGGAAGACCAGCATTCGAGCTCGATTGAGGTGTGGATGGCATCGAAGGAGTGTTGTCCTTGAGATAGGCTGAAGCACCTTCACCGCGACCTGTGTTGGTGATGCGTGCCAAACGATCCGAGCCTTTGCTGAGGATGCGTGCTTTGCGAGCTTCGCGTTTGAGACGGGCTGCCTCGGCCGGGTCGACGTCGGCAGCTGGAGCCGCTGCGGCGGGATCTGGGGATGTAGGTGTGTCCGACATGTGTTCGGCGCCAGATGGGGTCGATGGGGCTGATGGAGGAAGAAACGACAGGAGTGACATGAGACGTGGAGGAAGTCGATGCAAAAAGGACGTGCACCTCTGAGAAACCTGAAAACCTCAAAGCGTGTCAAGTCTCGATGTAACAGTCTCAGAAAAATTTGGTCGTGCTTGGACCACACGCAGAAGAAAGCGCGCTGGAATTTCTTGCGCTGGGAAGGCCCGAGGGTTCGTGACAGAGAGAAAAGCACGCGCTTTGGCTGTGCTGTAGCTCGGCGTGGAAAGTGTTGCTCTCTTCGGACAGCGTCACACTTCGCATGTCGGCTTGCTTCCGACTATCACATCGTCACATGCTAACTTACTGTGACCAGGCAGTGTTAGTGACAGCTTCGGCAGGCCGAACGTTTGCTTAGTCAGAGCCTCAGGAAAGAGACTCGACAAGGTCAAGCTCGGGCAAGAGCTTCTCTCTCGAGACCGACAACCACGACCCTCGCCCACTGCGCGATCGATCACTTCATCTTCGACCCCGCGTTAGAAGTTGACCTCTAGCCTCCTCGATACAATCTCATCTGCTCTCAGCGCGCATCCTCAAAAGTGCACTCCATGCTACCCACCTCGCGCACCGACGCCGACAAGAGGTCCCACTATACGCAAATCAATCTCGACCAGCAGGCACCATCCTCCGCGACGAGCGCTACCTACGTCGCTTCCGGATACTCTTCTGCAGCATCGTCTCCGCATCATTCGTCTCAAGACACCCCTGCGCCGTACCGCAAACGCTACATTGACAGCCACGACACGCTGCTCCCCACCCATTCGCCTCCTACCACATCCTACCTGAGCCAGGACTCGCCAAGAAGGATGGACAGCCCAAATTCCAACAGTCGCCGCTTCGCTGCCGGTTTCGACCCATACTCGTCCGGCGCTACAGACAGCACAGGCGTCTACGACTCGGCTTCCGACTCAGCGGCACTCAAAGCAAGAGAGGCCGGGTATGCACCACCTCAACTACAGCAGGGCAGCGCAAAGGTCAACAAGTACGCGCACCTCATTCCCGTCCACAAGCAGCGCACCGCCAACCTCGACCTCGCTATCTGGGCGTTGCGTCAGGAAGAAGTCATTGGTCTCATCTACACCATCCTCTCCCTCATCACTCGACTCTATGGAATCGGCAGGAGCAATGTCGTCGTTTGGGACGAGGCGCATTTCGGCAAATTCGGCTCTCACTACCTGCAGCAGGAGTTCTACTTCGACGTGCATCCTCCTCTCGGCAAGATGCTCGTAGGTCTCGCCGGCCTCATCAGCGGCTACCGTGGTCAATTCGAATTCAAATCGGGAGAGACGTATCCTGCCGACGTCAACTACATTGGCATGCGAATCATCCTCGCCATGTTTGGTGTCGCCATGGTCCCGCTTGCCTGGTTCACCAGCGGCGGTCTCAACTGGAACTGGCGCGCTCGCCACCTCTTGACGTTGATGGTGTTGCTCGACAACGGCTGGCTCGTCATTTCGCGCTTCATCCTGCTTGACTCGATGCTCCTCTGCTTCACCTTCACCACCGTCCACGGTCTCGTCAAGTTCTTGCAGTACAAGACAGCGCCATTCACTAAAGGATGGTGGTTCTGGCTCGCTTTCACCGGCGCTTCCATTGGCTGCGTTTCTTCGGTCAAGTGGGTCGGTCTCTTCGTCACTGCCCTTGTCGGTGCCTTTACCGTCGAGGATCTGTGGGAGAAGTTTGGCGACCTTCGCATGCCCGTTCGCGCCTACGCTCGTCACTGGTGCGCACGCATCCTCTGCCTCATCTTCCTGCCCATGACCATCTACATGCTCAGCTTCAAGGCGCACTTTTTGATCCTCAGCCGCTCCGGCCCAGGCGATGCACAGATGAGCAGTCTCTTCCAGAGCCACCTCCGCGGCAACGATTTTGCACTCTCGCCTCCCGAAGCTGCCTTTGGATCCAAGATCACGCTCAAGAACATGGGCTACGGAGGAGGCTTGCTTCACTCGCACGTTCAGACCTATCCCGTTGGATCGCAGCAGCAGCAGGTCACTTGCTACCACTACCGTGACAACAACAACGAATTCGTCATCACGCCACCCTGGGGCGAAAAGCAGCTGCCCGGCGTCAACGACACAGACGCCTCCGAGCCGCCTCGCATGCTCAAGAACAACGACATCATCCGCCTTGTCCACGACCAGACCAAGCGCAACATTCACTCACATAATGTCGCCGCACCCGTCACCAAAGAGAACCTCGAAGTGTCGGCGTACGGAGACGCTGAAACCGGCGATGACAACGATCACTGGGTCGTAGAGGTGGTGGACGACATTGTGCACGGCAAGGTCGCTCATGGCGGAACTGTTCGATCGTTGACCACCCGCATGAGGCTGAGGCACAAGAACATCGGCTGCTACCTGCGTGCTGCTAACGCTGTCTTGCCGCAGTGGGGCTGGAAGCAGGTCGAAGTGTCTTGCGACAAGGAGAACAACCCCAAGGACCAGCACACCTGGTGGAACATTGAGAACCACTGGAACCACCTGCTGCCTCCTGGGGACGAGACATCCTACAGGTCGCCTTTCCTGCGCGACTTTATCCACCTCAACGTCGCCATGATGACGTCGAACAACGCACTGATCCCCGACGCTGACAAGGAGGACATCCTGGCGAGCAAGCCGTTCGACTGGCCTTTCCTCTGGAACGGTCTCCGAATGAATTCGTGGGACGACAACTCGATCAAATTCTACCTGCTCGGCAACCCGGTCATCTGGTTCGCCTCGTCGCTCTCCCTGCTCGCCTTCGCGGCCACCTGGCTTTGGTACATGATGCGACGTCAGCGCCGCATCCAGGACCTCTCCCCGCAAGATTGGGCGCATTTCCTCTACGTCGGCAAGCTCGCCGCTTTCGGCTGGGGACTTCACTACCTTCCCTTCCTTGTCATGGCCCGTGTGTGCTACCTGCACCACTACCTGCCCATCCTCTACTTTGCCGTGCTCATGCTGGTCCACCTCATGGACCACTTCCTGTGGCGACCCACCACGGCCATGTACTACTTTGGCGCCAAGCAGCGCAAGCCGCTTACGGAAGCGGTGAAGAACGCCGCCTTTGTCGTCAGCGTCGTCGCCGTCGCGGGCGCCTTCTGGTGGTTCAAGGACAACAGCTATGGCTTCAGGGGCGATATCAACAAGCATAAGGGGTTGAAGTGGAGGAAGAGTTGGAACATCTACTGAAAGCCGCGATGCAGGAGTGAGAGATCAATTTGCTGCGGAAGCTGATAGCTCTGTAGTCGAACAATCGTCTTTGGGAATGTATTCTGCTTGGACGTGATTGCTCTCGTGTGTGATGGTGATGAGCGAGGGTGAGAAGATTAGGACCGACGTCTTGCATTGGACGGCGTTGCCTGTGGCCTCGCAGACGAGTGAGCATGGAAAAAGGAGGATGTGACGCGCCCAAACGGGCAGATGACGACGAATGTGATCATAGAGAGGAGCAGGGCGAAATGAAGTGTGATATGAAAGAGTGGGCGTCTCTGCGCAGCTTCCAGAAAGGCTGAGCGGGTTGTCTACAAAGCTTACAGTGCAGAATCGCTCTTTGAGGACAAAACATCACCCTCCCGTCTTACGTCCATACCATCGTCTTCACCTTCTTCCCTATCACCTTGCTGTACTCGCGTGATACGCGGGCATTTGAAGGAACATGACGAAACACAAGAAGAGCAAAGGCGAGACAAAAGCAAAGGCAGAAGGAACGATGGCCAAGAAAGCCAAGCGGGAGAAGGCATCCTCTTCCAGAGCATCAAAGGATGCGGGAGGTACGCGAAAACATAGGACCGCGTTCCCCTTCATGCGCCTACCACCGGAGCTGCAATCGATCATCGTCGGTATGGCGCTCGAGGATGCAAACAAAGGGGTCCGCCGGCCCCGGCCTTCGAATGAGGTTGGAAACATCCTTTGCGTATCTCATCGTTTCCTTGATCTCGGCATTCCATACGTCTTTCGCCTCATCACTTGGGAGGGCTGCGACAACATGGGCAAACTGCGGAGCACCCTCAAACTCCATCCCAATCACGCTGCACACTTACGCGAGATCGATCTCCTCGGTGCGGATATTTCTTCTGGTGCATTCCTAAACTTTCTTTGCGTTTATAAAGCCTTCCGCGTGGCCTTCGAAACCCGGCTGTCCATTCGTTACAGACTCGAAAATGTTATGCTGTCCTTTCCAGCGAGGATGTACGCGGACGTCATCGACATGTGTCGTCTCTTCAATCCCCAGCATCTCAGCCTCTTCACAGGACACCCCGATGACGATTCGTTGGACCCTCATGACGATGAACTGTTCCCTGACCCGAGCTTCGCTAGCTTTGTGACAGACGTGCGTCTCGACGAAGCGTGGCTATCACAACTGACGATGTTGCACCTGGACGGCTTTGTGGTCGATGTCGCAACCGCTGAGGTGCTGTCGCAGCTGCCAAGCTTGACAGAGGTAACTTTGACCCATCCAATCGGAGTGTCCCACACTGCCTTCGCGGACTTCGTTCGTGTCATGCTTTCTACGGGTCAAACAAGGACAGGTCTCAAGAGCCTTCTGTTGCATGAACCGTGCCCGATCAAGCGTCGTGGCGTTCAGCAGATCATTGGTGTCTGTCTTGCGACTCTTCCATTCAAACTTCACCCGGTGAAGACGGGTAACAGCCTGGATCCCACCTCCGCTCGAGTCGTATTGCAAGGCTGTCAAGACTCAAAAGTCGAGTATCACAAGCATAGCGACGTCATCAAGTCGGTCAGTCGGCACAAATGCTGCACGAGGTGCTGCCCTCTCGGCGACGATTGCGATAGGGTCCATGGCTACACATCAGGTCCCGACCTCCTCCGACCCCAGACCGAGGGCTCAATGGCAAACGACACGAGTCACAGCGACATGTGCACGGCACATCACGGTGCAACACCTGACGACGTTCAGCGAGGTAGCTTTGCGCACAGTGACGCAACATTCGTTAAGCGCAGGGCACTCGCATGCGTCCGATGGATCCCGGTACCTTACTCTTGCAACAATGCCTACGCAACTTGCCTGGTCCGTCAACTTTCTTATGGCTTCGGCCTATTCCCGGCGCCGCCCTGGCTCCGTCGTTGATGCTCGGTCCGTTGTCAAACACAACTGCTGGATCAGCTCTCGAGTCTCTCGGAACATACGCAGCCGCTCTGCCTTTCAACGGCATCAAGCGCAAATGACGCCCGACCAGATCAACGACTGACGACCGCAATCGTCGCAGCGCATGTTTAAACACCGACCCAGACCTCATACACCAGCTCACAAGTCTCGTCCAGACTGATCATCACTCAAAGAACGCTTCTACGAAATGCAATTGATACAAGTGACACATTCCTATGCAGACCAAATCTATGTTGAGCCTGAGGACGTCAATGACGACGCGGACCGCAATGATACCGCTGACGAGTCTCTTCCATCCCCCCTCCTCACTGTCCTGTCATCTGCGCCGACCTCCTCTCGCAGCTGCGATCGCGGTCCCGCCTCGCCTCTCCCTCTCTCCTCCGCAGCAACCACGACCTGCTGAATAGCCAGCGCCCGCCTCTTCTCCTCCTGAAACACCCTATGATCGTCCCACCCAATAAACCCAAAACTGCTCAACACCGCCGTCGACCCAATGACCGCCACCGTGCCACCCGTATGACTTCCCTTCATCGCATCAATCACCACCGCCAGCGGGATCGTCAACGACAGCCCTAACGTCGTGATCAACGGCGAACTCTTCAGCATCGCCAACAGATAGATGAAATCGCTGACGAACGTGATGCACATGTTGACCACCACTCCAGCCCAGATCCGCGGCGAGGGCGGAAGTGCGAACGGCTCCACGCCCGTGAAGTGCAACAGCGGTAGAATGGGCCAGAGACATAGAACGTTGATGGCGCCCACAATGCCAAACATGAGCGGCATCGAGATGCGGTCTTCGGAGCCGATGCGCGTTTTGAGCAGCATGACGTAAAGGGAGTAGAGGAAGGCGGAGAGGAGGGCGAGGAGGTCCCCCAGCGGCGCGTTGGGTGGCTTGCCGGTGAAAGTGCTGAAGGATGGAGTGGAGGGTTCGAGAGATCGGCTCCAGAGCCCGTCGAGGATGGCGCTGGAGGAGGGTGGGGTGATGGTGGATGTAGCCGTGTCCCGGTCGGCGAAGGTCACGGCTGCAACACCGAGCGCAGAGATGCACACTGCGCCAAGACGCGGTAAGGTGAACCTGTCCACGCCCAATGCTGCACCAAGGGCGAGGGTGAAGAACCCACTCGCCGAGCCGATCGTCGTTCCGCTCGCAACGGATGTCAGACCCAGCCCCGCATTGATCGCCCAGTTTGCGCCGAACCAGACGAGCGTGAACTGCGACGCGAGGACGGCTGTCTGTCTGAGCGTCAATGGCGGCAGTGGGACCTGCACAATCGGTATCGCTGTTGCTGCGGAAGCGTCGTTGGTTGGACGGACGATGCTGATCGAGGTGCGCGGTCTTCTGCCATCGATCGACGATGGACGCGGGACCGCTGTAGAGACGAGATACGGGCGGACTGGTGAGCTTGGCCGTGAGACCGGCGGTGTTGGTGCGAGTAGAGGTGTTGAAGCTGTGGAAGAGTCGTCCTGCTGGCCTTGAGATGCGCCCGACCGTGTGAGTCGAATCGGTCTGTGCGACGCTTGACTTCCACCTCGCCCACGCTGCTGCTGTTCCTGCGCGAGCACGGCAAACGGCTTGATCGCCGGCGCCGGCTCCGTCGCCACTACCAGCTCTGCCCCCTCGCTCGTCACAGTGGGTACATCGAAACCAAGGGTCTTCAGCCATCTCGGCAGCTCCTCCTTGTCATCCGCCACCTCTTCCCCTGCTGGCCCTGCCTCCTCCTGCTGCGGCAGCCGTTCATACTGTTGGGTGGATGATGCGTCCCTCCACCGCCTGCGCAGCTTACCGCTCACCAGGTAGGGGATGAGATAGAGTGCGAAGCTGGATGTGTTGGCGTAGGTCACGAAGAACGGCTTGTCGTAACCTCCAGTGGTGAGCAGGGCATTGGTGAGGAAGTTCGAGGCGGTCCAGAGGACGACCACAATGAGAAGGAGGACAAGGCCTTGCATGTAGGATTTGCGGCGGCGTTGGGCCTGAGGGTCGGCGGGCGCAGTTGGACCGCCGGCGGATTGGGCGAGGTCGACCATGGTGACTCGCACGACTTGTCAGCCGGTCACGCAGCCTGTGGATGGTGGGGCTGAACAAGGCAGCTGCGGAACGCAACTCAGCCGGCTTGGAGAGCTGTGCCAGCAGAACGGTGGGGATGTGACAATGCAGAAAGGTGATGAAAAGGAAGAGATAACGAGCTTCAACTGAGCCTTGATGAACTTTGGAATTTTTTGGTGGGACCCTATCGCGTGCTCGCGTAGAAAAAGCAAGCAGCCCAACTCCGCTCCGCTTCACACCCTTCCGATTCTCACTCAGCCAAATTCCTACATCGCTTCGCGTCGTAAAGCCAACTGCTCAAGATGCCTTATAACAACAACGTGAGCAGCGCTACTGCCACGTCTGCTGCTTCGCAGAGCGCAGGCACCGGTGATATTGCTACCGACGCCACCATTGGGAAGCAGGTGGCAGAATGCAAGAACAGAGCCCACGCCGAGATCCTCCAGGACCTCATGGACTTGTATCGGGAGAGCAGCAGGAAGCACTTTCAAACCAAGGACGTGTTCCGTGCATGGTGCGAATACCGGTACAGCCTTGACAAGCATGATATGCTTCATCTCTTCAATTCCCTCAAAGAAACCCATTTGGAGCTGAAAGCGATCTGCAACGAGGCCAGAGAGGCCAACCCGGATCTCAAGATGTTCAAGTCGGTATGGAACCGCAAAAAAAGGGAATTTTTCGATGTAGAGGTCAACTCCTACGAGGACCACAGCGGCGAATGGGAGTCGACTGATGACGTGATCTCCGACGATGAGGCCTCCGCTAAAGAAGAGGATCCTGCCGACAAAGAAGAGTCCATTGACGAAGAGGCCGACTAAGACCTTAGGTGAGCTCAGCTACTATAGTACAGCACCTCAGCCGGCTTGCTGACCCCTTTCCTCTCTTTCAAGGGCTTCAGCTCTCCTACAAGTCGCCTCCAAGCCAAACTGGTGCCGGCTCAATCAAAGCGTGCCTCATTAACGAGCTGCAGTTGCTCAGCGACGTCCACGTTATGTACACTTTACCGTCAAATACGCAAATTGTAGGTTGAGTCCGTTTGATGTGAATATGATGCCTGAAAGCACGACAGTGAGGGCGCTGAACGATACAGCTGCAGGCCAGAATCTGGCCGGGTCAGCCTGAGAGGTGCCAGCCCAGTCTTGAGGAAGCTTCGCCGGTGGTGGGACCACGTGAATGTCGACTCAGCTTTTTTTTCTCGCCGGTGGGGACACAATCGCCCGCTCCTCGTACAAAAAGAAGTTGCGCGGCACAACTCAGCTTCTGGCCTCTCACTTCAACCAGCACCTTCATCACTTCGAGTGGCACCAACAGGTCAGCTCCGCTCCTCGCCTATTCACTACATTTACATCTCTACATCGCTTCAGACCCAACTGCGAATCCCAAGATGTCTTCCAACAACAACGACGGCGCTGCCAACACGCCTGCTGCTTCGCAAAACGCGAGCTCTGCAGACGCTACCGCCAGCACTGCTGCCGCTATCGTCGCGCCCGAAGTCAACACGGAGGTGCCCGAGTGCAAGAACGAAGCCCACGTCAAGATTCTCGAAGAACTCATGGGTCTGTACTTTGACTACACCCTCGAGCAGGCTGAATACAAACGCCGTCTCGACCTTTGGGAGGATTTGAGGGACCACGCCGACGCCGATCAGGTGTGGAGTGCATATGGAGCCATGGACGCCCTGATCGGAAAGATCGAGGGCATCTGCAGGATGGCCAAGAAAGCAAACCCGGAGCTTCACATGATCAAGCAGTATTATCGCGAGAAAGCGAAACCGGTCTACCGCCACTACCGGCACTATAGTGTACCAGTTGAGGAGGAGGAGGAGCCAGAAGTGGTCGAGGAAGAGATCAACTGACCTACGAGGTAAGCATCAGCTGGATGAGAACAAGGCATTGTGTTCCTGTCGCAGCCATCTGAGACACACAATATTCTGATCACCATCTCTCGCTCAGACTGCCATGGCCTCAGCCTTCAAATCACGGCGACGTTGAAGTCACCCGAACTCCGGATTGCAGCACCGAGGCTGGATGTTCGAGCTCGACGCACATATGTACCAGCAATAGCAAAGCTTGAAATCTTTTCATTTTGGTGCGGTGCTCGATAGCACGACACTGTGATATCCTGCGATGGACCGGCAGCACCGTCTGCTAGCGACGATCTTTTGTGCATTGAAAGTCGAAGACATAGCGTTTAGCTGGCGGCGAGGATGGCGTTGATGAGATCGCCGTTGGACTCCTTGAGCGCCTTGACGGCCTTCCTTCGGGAGCAGCTGACCTGCTGCATGACGAGGTCGATGTCCTTGGCGTCGACGCCCTCCTCGTCGATGGGCGAGTCGTCATCCTCCTCCTCTTCCTCGGCCTTCTTCTCGGCACCGGCACCGGCGGAAGGGTTCTGGAGAGACTCGGCGAGCAGGCGCTCCTGAGCCTCGGCCTGAGCCATCTGCTGGGCGGCCTGAGCCTGGGCGAGCTGCGACATGTCCTCGGCCTTGGCCTCACCGAAAACGATGTAGACGTCCGAGTGGGACGACTTGTAGACCTCGGGCTGGGCGATCACGTAGAGGTGCTGCACAAACGGAAGTTGAGTGGTGATTGAGAATGATTCAGGTCAGTGTGAGTGCCGGAGCGAGATGCTTGATGCATTGTAGGAGACTTACACCACGGGGGCGGCGCATGGTAACACGGGTGATACCGCCAACCTTCTTGAGGCCGATACCCTGGAGGGCCTTGCGGGACTTGCGCTCGGCGCGCGAGGCGACCTTGTCGGAAGCGTGAACGTCAGCTCCGGCATCGTCGGAGTCGAAGTCCTGGACGTTAAGCTGTCAATGTGGTGTGTAAGAGGCGAGATGTAAAACAATCGAACAGGTCAGCTGCTCCGCTCAAGACCTCGAGATCGTGTCACTCGATCGTGTCTGCTGATTAACAGCCGCCGTCCGAACTTACGTCCTGAACGTCCTCAGAGATTTCCTGAATCGACATCTTCGCTGCTGCAGATGGCAAAGGCGGAATGGCAAGGTGAGATGATGGTCCGCGGCACTGTGTGTGCTGTCGTCAACGCTAGTCCGAAGATGCGTACTGTGTGGGTGTGCTTGGTGGTATGAGCGGGTGGTGAGGGGAAGGAAGGGGATGCTGCGATGATGTTGCTCAACGTCAACGACGACCAGGACCACCGCAACCGTGCAGATCCACTTCCAATCGACCGAGAAGAAAGACCGCCTGCCTTGCTTGCTCGCCTGACAGAGCGCTGTGTGTGTTCTTCTCGCTGCTTCTTCCATGCCAATTTTAAGTCCTCTGCCGCTGCTTGCACTTCAGCCCTTTCAAGTCGACTCGCGCGGGTTTGTATTCGCTGCTGAAGCTCTGATAATTCACCGCAGTCCTACTTCGAGCGATTTTCTTCAAGCTGTTAAGACCATGAACTCCCGATCCTCAACGAGCCGATCTCGGATTTTGCCTCCACCTTTCGAAGGCTCAGCACCTTGCGAAGTGATGTCAAAGGACCCTGCAGCAGCACAAGCTTGTCTGAGCACCACCATCAGCCCTGCAACGATGTTGCGATCCATAAGCCAGTCAAGCTCGTCAAGAGCGGTCATGCGCCGCGCACAAGCGTACGCGTCAACATCAGCGACGAAGCTGTTGTCAGCTCAACCTATCTCCACAAAGCGAGGGATGGCCTTAGTCTCCTCAACTTCGTCGATGCGTCCTTCTTCCTTCGCGTCGAGTTCAAGCGCCCTCCCACGGGTCTACTCGCAGACGCCACCTTCCAGGCTACACACGCCACAGAGAAGGTTAGCCTCGACCTTAGTGCGCAAACCAGAAGAACCCGAGGAGCCGGAAGTATACCGCGACGGTGAGCCGACCATCATCGCCACCGATCAAGCCGTCGCACAACTCCAGAAGGTCGCAAAACGGGAGAACAGTTCCCCCTTGGCACTTCGAGTCGCTGTCGAGCCAGGAGGATGTCACGGCTACCAGTACAAGATGGAGATCACAGAGGAGGTTGAAGATGACGATTTCCAATTCGAGGTGCATCCGGGCGTGTCCATCTTGGTCGATAGCGTCAGCTTGGCACTTGTGCGCGGAAGCACCATCGACTATGTCACCGAGCTCATCGGCTCTCAATTCGCTATCAAGAACAACCCGCAGGCTAAAGGCGCAGGTTGCGGCTGCGGTGTGAGTTGGGAGCCTGCCATCTGATCCTCCCTTTCTCGTTCGCTCCTCTTGCACGCCTTCGTCACTGCTAATGTTTGGTCTCAATACATCTCATACCTCGCTTCACGTTCCTGTGGTGCAAGTCCTGCTGATTCTCGTCATGCTCGCGCTGTTGTCGCCATCGGCCTCGAGGGTAGTCTCAGTAGATATTTGAGCTCTGGCGAAGTGTGTTAGACTGTGAAAGTATCCGAGCGTGAAAAAAGGCGTCTAGCGCAGCGGCGACTTCCAGAATCTTCCCAACGCGCGACACGGCTAAAGTGTGACTGCGAAATGCACGTTTTAGGCTCAGTTTTGGAGACCAACACTTTCTCACTCGACCCTCCTCGTCCATTTGTCACTCCACCATTGCACCACAAGCGAGCACCAACACAATGCCGCTCAACTACTCCAAATGGGACAACCTCGAGCTGTCGGACGACTCAGACATCGAGGTCCATCCCAACATTGACAAGAAGTCGTTCATTCGATGGAAGCAGCGCGACATTCATGAGAAGCGCGAGGAGCGCAAAGCCGAGAAGGATGCGCTGCGGGCAGAGATCGATATCAACAATGCTCTGGCGCCGAGGCTGGACGAGTTTGTGCAGCACACCAAGAAGGAGGGATCTTCGTACTACTCGAGGGAGGTGGCGAAGCTCAGCGCGGGTCGGCAGGAGAGGGGCAACAAGGACGGTCCCAATGGCCCTACTACTGACGACATGATCCTCAGTCTGCTTCTGCAGATCCAACAGCAGGACAATGTCAAGGGCAAGAGCGGAGATGATCTCGACCAGATGCTCGTGAAGGAGCTCGAAGGACACAGACAGAAGCTCGACGCAAGGCAGACACAGATCAACTTCGAGTTGGAGCAGATGATGAAGGAAGACTCGAAGAAGATCACGAGCGATGGCATCAAGGAAGGGTGGAACTCGGGCTATGTCGCCAAAGCAGAGCCCGAGCCGCAGCCCAAGGCGACGGCATCCAAAGGCAAGGGCAAAGCAGAGACCGTCATCGAGACGCTCAACACCCCTTCTGCTTCCACGGCTGCACAGCCATCCTCCTCCAGCAAGGCGGACGATGATGACGATGACGACGATGAAGAGAACATCGCGGAAGCCGACGACATTCAGCGCGAGTTTGCCAATCTGCCCAGCTGCGTCCCATCCTCCATCCCGCTCTCCGCCTCGGCCCTGCCCTCCAACTTCGACTTTGCCAAGTCGCTCAACATTGCGGCCTTTGAGACGGCACTCCAATACCTTTCCAAGCACAAATCTCTCCTCGCCCCCTCCAACAACACGACCGACTCGCTCCTCCTCGAAGCTTTCAACTCGCAGATGGCCGGCAAGTCCGCCCTGGCACGTCGCTGCGTGGAGAAGGCGCTCATGATCCAGTACTGCAACAAGCTGGGTCCGGACGGAGTCAACCTATTCTTCCGCCGCATGGTAGGCTCCAAGGACGGCCGAGCGAGCGTCGTCTACCTCAACGACGTGCTGGCCACCTTTGCACGCATCAGGGATCGCTCCAAGGCGCTCTCGGAGCAGCAGAGCGCTGCTGGCGAGGAACAGATCCAGCTCGTCGCAGAAGACGAGAACACCGTCATCGGATTCGACATCCCCGACGGCCCCCCGCCCGACGTCATCGAGCTTGAGGGCGAGGCAAAGGAGACGTTGGACCCACAACAGGTCAAGGAATGGCTCCAGAAGAGGTGGGACATCTTCCAGGGCTTCCCGCAGGACTTCAGGGACGCGCTGCAGACCAAGGAGCTGGCGAAGGTCAATGAGGTGTTGGGCAAGATGAAGGTGGATCAGGCGGAGGAGGTCGTGGGGCTGCTGGACCAGGCTGGCATCTTGAACTTCTCGAGCGCCGAGGCGCGGGATGAGACTGGCAAGTGAGGCGACGGCGATGCAATGCGATTCAGTCGTTCACCTCGAACAAATTGCTGTGAATGCTTGCGTGAGATGCTCAATGAGAGAAGCGAACACACTCGCGGAGGATGCGCGTTTCACACGGGGCTTCTTGGATGACTTGCATTTGCGTCTCACAACCATCCTCTCAACCTCGCCACGGTCCTAAACGCATCCGACCTTGCCAACCTTGCCACCTCGCCCTCCTCCCAACCCTCCAAATCACCCTCGCCCTGAGGCGCGGAACGGTCGCCCTTGACTCCCACCACATGCTGTGCGACCACCGACCTTCCCGTATCAGCGCCGATCTCAGCGGCCTTCTTCCAGAACCGCAGGATGGCCTCGCTCTCCGAGTAAATGACCGACGAGATGTTGCTGAGGTAGTCGAGGTCGGCGGCAAGCTGGGCTGCTCCGATCTCGGTAAGCCTGGGCAGAGACGGCAGGACCGAGGTGAGGAAGCGGCTGAAGAAGAGGGTGAGCAGCGAGCGGAGGTACTGCGAGAGCACGCCGGCGTTGTCGTCGCCGTCTTCCGGGGTGGCGTTGCTGGTCGAGGATTCGGAGCGTGGGATTGTCGTCGTTGAGAAGGCTTGACGGTGCATGGTTGATCGCTCGGCCGCGGTGATCTCTGCTGAGGGCACCATGGTCGACTGTTGGGTGTGAGTTTGTGTAGACTCTCCTCTGTCTGCGCCTGGGGTCGTAGCTCTGCTGGTATCCACCTTGTTCGTGGGAAGACAGAACAGCAGCGCTTCATCTGCATACCCTTCGAACAGCCTGGGCAAGTTGAGCATTGCCTCGCCTATCCTCGCCATCGCTTCGGTGGGACTGAGGCTGAACTTGGGCATGGCGAGATCGTACTCGTTCACAATGCTGGGATGTTTGTTCGACGTCCAGATAGGCAATGAGGGGTAGAGCTCGAGCTCAGGCAAGAATTGCGAGAGGACGAGGTCGTGTTGGAAGGCTTGCACCGTCGACGCGATCGATAGAACCGAGGCGTGAGCGGTCGGCAGCAGAGCGTCTTCCGCCTGAGAGGACTTCCACGCAGCAGTGGAGAGGAAGCGCTTGGATCTTGCGATGAGCTCGTGCAGGACCGTCGAATTCAGTGTTGATGTCGCCAACGCTGTTGTCGGGCTCGCAAAGTCGACCGCGCTCTGATACGGCTCTGCTGACGCTGGTGCTTTTGCAAGGACACCAAGCTCAGAGATCTGATACGCAATCGTGTCCTCCAAGCCTCGTATCGCAGCGACTGCCTCTCGGCAGGACGAAAGCCTTTCTGTCGCTTTGCGAAACTCGTCCCAATCGCTCGATGTGAGTACCTCGCCCCTCTCGTCATAGGTCAGGGCAGCCTGCCTTGCAATGTCGGACGCATGCATCCTGCGGATTCGGCCCTGCAGGCTCGTGAGCACGCTCTGAAGCTCAGAGCTAAGTTCGACCCGCGCGCCGTCCATAGCAGTCTGGAAAAGACTGTCAAGCGACGAGAGAAGAGACGGCGTGGCAAACGCTTTTGTGAGTGCCGTCGAGCGTCGAAGCGAAGTCTTCGCAACTGTAAGTGCCTGTGTCGACGCGGTTGAAACGTTGGCAGCTGGTGCAGCAGCGTGGAGGAGATGCAGGCGAGATTGCATGGCATCGGCTTCAAAGGTAGCGAGGCGCGTTTGGTACGGGAGGAATGGCTCGATCAAGAGCCTGAGCCATGGCTTGTCGCTTGTTTCGAGGGCAAGGAGATTGCTGTCGACAGGCGCGGATGCAGCCTCGGTGTCGTCGTTCTGCTGCTTGTCGTCGGAGTTCTTGGCGTCCGGCAAGATGGCATTGATGGCGCGCGCGGCTTCCTCGGTGGCCTTGTACGCATCTGTCAGAGCAGCCAGGAAGATCTCGAGATCAGGTGCGCGTGTTGCGTGTTGGATGCATGCATGGATGGGCGGGTCAAGTCGGACAAGGATATCGGCTGTGAGAAGCTGAACGGCTTTGTTGGGATCTGTGAAGAGCGAAGTCGAAGCGACACGCTCCTCGCCGAGCAGAGCAAGTAAGTCGCCAAGGAGCGAGGTGAGTTGGGCTGGAAGCGGCCTGTCGCTCGTCTCTGTAGCTGTTTGGGACCATCTTGTGAGCAGTGCTTGTGAGCGAGTTCTGGTGTAGACCTGGAAGAAGGTAGGTACTCCATTCTGCGTCTGTGTGAGCAGCTTGGCCATGCGCGCTACTTGTTCTGCATTACGGGCTGTGACGGCGTCACGCAGGATGGGAGTCAGCTGCTCCTGTATCCTCTGCGTCAGAGTGTGAAGTAGCTCGCTCCTTTCCTGGTTCGACTTTGCTGACCCGCTGAAGAGACGTAAGGAGTCGGTTGCTTTTGCTATCCTGTCGACGGCCTCCTGCCATCTTTGCTCGTTGACGAGCACGGTGACTTGGCTTTCGAGCGTCGACCACGCTTGCGCTTCTCGGAGTGCATGGCGTGCCTCAATGAGACCAGCTTTGGCTTTGTACAGGGTCACGATTTTGGCCAGTGTGACGTCGACATCTGCATCCTTGGTAGCGCTTTGAGCTTGGAGCGTCTGAACACGGGACTGTAGCGTGTTGGCGGTCTCGGACATGAGCCTGAGCTCGATGCCGAGTTTGGGGATGGTGGAGACGAGCGAGGAGATGATCTGATCGAGCTCGGTGCGGGACGCATCTCGGACGGACGACAAGGAAAGCGAGAGCTCGCGCAATCCCGCAGCAGTCTTCTCGAGCTGCGTTGTGGAAGCGACGCTTGCGCCTGTTGCCGCTGGAAGTGTGGCGTAGTGATCGAGCCACGCAGCCAGCTGAGTCGGTCCGTTGGTCTTTCGAAGTGCTTCGATCGCATCGGATTTGGCTAACGCAAGGTGGTCGGAGGTGCCGTACCGCTCAGCAGCAGGCCGTGACAGCATCGTGAGTTGCAATTACCTGCTGACTGCGCAGCTTCGGTGATGCCGAAAGGATCGCTGGTGGTTGATGTGACGTGAGGATGGGGGAAGGGAGGGTGTTTGTTCGAAGGCAACATGTTCCAAAGTCAGGGTCTTGCCGCGGTCTGTGCTCGGCCTTGTTGCTCGCGTCGACTCCACTTTCTTCCAAACCTTCTTGTCCTTCACAATTTTGCGGCCTCAGTTTTTTCTGGACTTTCCCTCGCCTCGTTCCTCTTGATCGTCACTTCCATCACTTTGTCGCCAACACCAATTCTCTCGCCGCCGCTCATCGCAATGTCGGCAGCATCAGTAGCAGGGCCATCTGCGTCTACCTCCTCGGCTCCCGTTGACGCAGATCTCGTCGCTACGACGTTCAAACGTCTGCATCCCATCTCGTATCTCTCGCGCTTCCTCGATTCTTCCATTCGCGAAGATGGCCGAGCTCTCCCCGCCTTCCGCGATGCCACTCTCACCCTCGGCTCGATATCCACCGCTGATGGCTCTTCATTCATCCGTATCGGCAACACATCGTGCATCGCTGCTGTCAAGGCAGAGGTCGCACCACCACAGTTGTCTCGTCCGAGCGAGGGCTATCTAATTCCCAACGTCGAGCTTCCTGCTGTCTGCTCGTCCAAGTTCAAGCCAGGCGCTCCTGGAGAGGAAGCCCAAGTACTGACAAGCAGGCTCTTGGCACTGCTCAATAGCTCCAATGCGCTCAATCGCGAGCATCTCTGTATCGAAGAGTCCAAAGCCGTTTGGTGTCTCTACCTCGACATCAGCTTCATCTGCTTCGACGGAAACGCAATAGATGCAGCTGTCCTCGCCGCGGTCGCTGCTCTCTCTCACACGACACTCCCAAAGGCCACCTACGATCAAGATACTGAACAAGTGCGCTGCTCGTCGAGCCCTTCCGATCGCTCTCCCTTGCAACTCGACGAGATCCCATTCGCTTCCTCGTTCTCCATCTTCGAGAACCAGCATCTGCTCAGCGACCCCACAGCTTTCGAGGCCGCTCTCTCGTCCTCCCACGCCACCATCGCCATCTCGCTCAATCCATCGTCCATTCCCAAATCGTCAAAGGCAAAGCCAACCGTCACCTTCCTATACCAGTCGGGTCGTCTTTCCACAGCCAGCCCAGATCAGTCTCAAAGCGCGACCGATCAGCAGAACCTCCGAATTTGCATCGACCGCGCATATTCGCGAGCCCAGCAGCTCGCTACTCTGCTACGCGATGCTCAGGAACAATCTTCGTAGGAGCCCCGATCCGTCAGCACAGCTCGATGAGCCCATGTATTTGTACTCGACATCATTGCATTCCAATTCCGTGTCATTGGCAGGTCAGGGAGAGATCGCACGGCTTCCTTGATTCCATCGTATCCGTGGCGGTCTGATTGAGACGATGTGTTGGATGTTTGTGGCTGGGGGAAGGATCAATAGCCGGCAAAGGCTCGGGCTCGCTCGCACAGCTGATGCACTTTCATGCCCGCCTTGCTGCCTTTGAGGAAAACCGAGTTGCGGCGTACCGTCGAGATGATTCGGTCGCGTGTCTTTTGATCCACCGTCGTCAGCAGCTGCGTTACGATCTGGATACCGTGCGTGGCGAGGCACACATCGATCAAGGCTGGTCGAGGCGGCGGCGAGCTGTGGCACATGGCCTCCACATACTCCTGCAGAAAGCGCTGGTCGCCCGTCTTGAGTCCGCTCATGATGGCCTTTTGACCTGTGTTGACGACAAGAACAAAGTCAAGTGAAAACGAGAGTGCGGTAAGTCATCCTTCTCGAAGGCGGTGAACGAGGTGGCCATCAATGCTCGCGAGAACTTACCATACTGAGAAAGCGTCAGCTTCGAGGCTGAGCGAACCAGTCCTTGGAGGGCAGCCCTGCGCTCGTCGTCGGCACCGTGCTCGATAATGTGCTGCACCACCCATACGCCCCACTGATTGTTTGCGCACTCGTCCAATTCTTCGAGCACCTCTTGCATGCACTGCGCCTTCTCCGCGGGCTGGGCCGACTCGAAAATGTTTTGACAGATGATGCTGCCCGTTTCCTGGCGGGCAGTCCGTGCCCATCGGCCCTGGAGCTGTCGGTTGATGGAGGCAAAGATCTGCTCTCGGAATCGTGGGCGAGTCCACTCCGTCTCCAGGATGCGCTGCCAGACGTGGATCGAGTGTCGCGAGGTGAGCGTCTGGTCGAGCCGAGACCCGAGCAGCTCCTCGGCAACAGCTTCGCGAACAACTTCTGCACCCTCAAGCGCCTTCTGAACGACGTGACAGCCGAACTGCGACATGGCCAGCTCGACGTAGGCTCCCTTGAGGTGCTTGGCAGTCTCGGGTCGTGTCTCGATCGCTCCCTGAACGAGGAAGTTGCCGTGTCGATCATGGGACAGAGGCACAATCCTGGCGCAGATGGCATCCATGATCTCGGCCTGTCGCTCGGGCGTGCCACTCTTGAGCTGCTGCTGCAGCAACAGGCTGGCGTCCTGGCCCCGCTTCTCCAGGATCATGGTGACGAGAGACGAGGCGGGGGCGTTTTCGAGCCTCGATGACAGAGTCAGAGTAGCCGGGCCAGGTGAGTCGCGAGGCGAGGCCCTCGAGAGAGGTGTGGACCGAGTAAAGGCAGGAGCGGTTGCGTCAAAGGGGCTGTTGTTGCCGGTGATTGCGCTGGAGTCGTTCATCGCGACGCGTCGACTGAGCTCTGCTGCTGAGATTTCGCTTGCCCTGAAAGGTCTAGCACCCATCGTGATCGCTGCGGTCCCAGACTGAACAGGCGTGCCGCGATTCGCTGGGGCCCACATCGAAGCAGAGGCGCCGCTCTCCCGGACCTTGGTGGATTGCGATGGAGCTGCATTGGTGCTGCTAGCGTCGCTGAACACTTGCGTTGGGTCTGCTCCGTCAAACACGCGCTGGAGTCGAGGTGGCGATGGCACGGGAGGATGATGGCTGCATCGAAGGGCGGATCCAATCGAGTCACCGACCGAGCTGGAGTCGATGTTGATGCGGACGACTTCCTGTGCCATGCGCTTGAGAGCCATGTTTTCGAGCTTGAGTCTCTTGAGCTCGTCCACGACATAGTCCGGAAGCGTCGTCTGCTGAGGGTCAAAGCAGGGCGGATGGATGGACATCTGCTCTCTAGCCCTGTAAGGGTAAGCGAAGCCGCCAGGTTGGTGCGAGGCCTGGAAGAGATCGGAATAGTCCGAGCTGAGATCCGAGCCAGGATCAGATGCTGGTACGTGACGATCTTCGCTGCATGTGCCAGAGGATACGGAGGCGAAGCGTTGATGCTGGGGCGTCATAGGTGCCATTGAATAGGCATGGAAGGACGAGTAAGGTGCGGGCGTCGCTGCGTATTGCTTGATCTCCTGCGGCCAGAGGTCCCTTTCGCAGCCGGCTAATCGTTGCGACTCTGCGCTGTCCGCTTTCCACGGTGCGCCCTGCTGAAAACGAGGGGCCAGGTCAGCACCTCTATGTCCCACATCAGCATATCTAGCGAGTTCATTCGGAGCAGGTAGATCGACCGAAGGAGAAGGTCTGTGTGTTTGAATCGGACGGAAAGGTTGAGCAGGCGGCAGATTCGACTGCATGTCGCCCATGCAGAAGTCTAGGTTGAATGCCGATCGGGATGTTGTGAGATTGCGATCCGGCCAGATGTCTGCTGTCTTATCGCCGCGAAAGGGAGTCTGACTGTGATCGCGTCCATTCTTCGGGGCGTCCGTTGATGTGTCTGTGTTTCGTACGGAGCTTTGGATTGAAGACGGAGGGCGATCTTGAGGCTGGAAGAACGACATCGGGCTGCGACTCTTGACGTATGAGCCTAGAGGTGTGGATATGAAGGCACCACAGCTTGAGTTCTTGGAGTACCGGTGCAGGGCAGTGATTTTGTTGGAAAGCGAGCTATTAGTAGAAGGTGTGCAGAGGTGCCAGTTGTCGTCAATTGACGTTCGGGTTAAAGACCCAGCAAGCAGCTGAAGGAAAGGAGAGTAAGAAAGCCTGCAGCCAGAGCAAGAAGGTAGGGAGCGTGGATCCTGACGTGTTCCTAGAGAGAAGGATGTGGATTTGGCGATGATGGCGACGAGAAAAGCAAAGCAAGGTGGAGCTGGCAGGGTAAGAGGTCGCTTCATAGTCCTAAGCTGAGACTAAGCCACGCTTATATCTTCCATGAGCTCGCTCGGTGCCTCTTATCGACAGCAGGACCGGAGCAGTGCCGAGGTGTGAGTAAGGACCGCATACAGTCGCCAACCTGCTAGAACATGCAGTCGCCAACCTGCTAGAACATGCGGAGAGTCGAAGTGACTGCGCTGTCCAAAGCTCTGTCGTCCTGGGAGTGGTAAGCTAACAAGACACAAGCGTCTTGCCTGCGACCTTGTCTCCCGCTTTCACAAGGGTGTTCCCCGACGGCATGCGAGTTCTTAGCAGCCCTGATGCAACTGATTCGTCGATAAGCTTCGGAGCGTTCCTGTGAGGCTGTGGCTTCAGTCAGCAGCAACGACACTCATTGCAACGGAAGCTGAGTCAGATTGCTGAGCACTCGTCCACGGATGAGCCTCTCTGCGGGTGCAGCAACTTGGCGTGGAAGCAAGATGAGTAGATCGTACGTGCTCGGGGAGGAGTGGCCTCGAGGCTCAGTTTATCCCTTCCTGAACTCAGCAGAGCCCAGACTTTGGCGGGACCCTTGACACCCGAGAAACGGGTGCACTTTTTGTGGCAACACGAGATAAGTGGCGACACAACAAGCAGCGCGCTCAAGAGAGGGGCGTGTGGCATAAGTCTTCGTGGGAATGTGACAGCCAGAGTAGTCGGTCTGCCCGAACGAGGAGGAGCAGTGCAACGGGCGAGAGACGTGCATGGAAGCGACGTTTCAGGTTCCCATGCGCGGCAGCGTGACTTGCGTCGCTGCGCGGCGTCTTTCTTTCCTTGTCGGAAAGCCAAGAAAATTGGCCCGCGCCTGTGACTTTAGAGAGGAGAACGCGAAGCAGATGTGATATGGCCGCTCTCGGTTGTCGCGACGGTCTGCCTCTCGAAACATAGACAGCTGCGCTTCCATCTCAGCCACACAGGGTCCAGATTATCCCGGAAGATCGAGAAGGCGGAGGCTTCGTTGTGCTGTACATGTGCATGCTTGCTTGCGAAAGAGAAGCCGGATATTCTGTAAGTACAGAAAGAGACTTTTCAGAGCGGACGAGAAGCGCCTCGCAAGCTTGGAGTTTGGCCTGCTTCCACGTCAACTGTCGCGCTTCCAAACAGCATGGCCGAGTCGACCGTATCCTCTCCGCCTGCTTCCTCGTAGTCGTCCGACTGCAGCACTGCGTCCGCATCCCTGAGAATCTGCGAGATGGTGCGTTCGTGTCCTCGCGTCACACCACCTCCAGCTTTACTGTTGGCTGCGTTCGTGTTGGTGCTCAGATTTTCCTTGTCCTTTTCTTTGTCCCTGCCTAGCCCAAATCCGAGAATGCCCTTCTTCCTCTTGGCCAGCGTATCGGGTGACATTGGATTGTCGGAGAACCCAGACGCGGGCGGCGAGACCGATTGCGGAGCGATGGGCCTCGGGACATCGATGGCCCTGCGTGACGAGGTCGACGACGACGAGGCTTGGCGTCGAGAGGAAGTCTGGTGGCTCGGATCGACCGCAGCTTCGACACCAAGATGAAGCGGACTCTCCGAGTCTTCTTGGTCGGCTTCTCCTCCCACGTGACCGAGCGGCGGTGATAGGGCGTCGGCTGATGTGACTGCTGTCGGCTTGGTTGGGCTTATCGCGTCGAGACCGCTAGAGATACTTGGGCGTTGCGGACTTGGAGTGGGCGTCTTGCGCTCCTCGTAGCGTGAGGCGATCGATGCTGCTTGCGCCAGCTCCAGGCTGAAGTCGTCGTCCTCGGCGATGTGCGTCTCTAGCGATGCTGCTGCTGTGGACGCTGGCTGCGTCGGCTCTGCTGCTGTCGACACTAGCGAGGGAGCCTCCTTGGTTGGTGTAAGCTCTCCTTCGACCTCAACCGGGACGATTGCATCGCTTCCTTGCACCTTGACGTTTTGGGACGCCGTGACGACGGAAGGCACCTCGGATGTCGCAACCGATGCTGCTTCACCGTCCGCTGCTGCTGACGCTGCGGCCTCGACCTTATCCTCCCCCTTGTCGTCTCCCATTCTGACGATTGGTTCGCTCTCGTCACCGTCTGTGTCCAACGAGACCCCGCTTCTGCTTGGCGCCACCGTCCCCGTGGCCGGAGGGTCTTGCGCATCTGTGCTAGATATCGTTGGTTCCGCCTTCGCAAGCGTCGATCCCTTCTCGGAAACATGCGACTCGTCTTGTGACGATAGGCTTAGAGAGGGCACGACCGGCTGCTCTGAGGCGATCGTGCTAATCCCGTTCGAACCTACAGCCTGATCCGCAGCAGCCAACTTCGTCTCAGCTCGCTCGCCTTCTTCCTTGTCGGCCCCGCTATCTATCGCCTGACGAGTCGCAGCTGTCGCCTCATCCTCGTTGACGGCGTTTGAAAGAGTGTCTTCGGAGTCGTCGCCGCTCTTGATGGCAACGCCTCCATCAAGTTCCACTTCTTTCACATCTGGTGCTTCGTTGGCCTCGATTCCATCGGAACCAGAAGCCTTTGGAACGCCTTCAACAATGTTCGCAGCTTGAGATGGCACAGCCAAGATGCTGGCAGGAAGGCTCGACTGAGTCTCGGCTGCCGTCCCGATGCTAGACGCAGGTTGCAGTTGCGCCAGCTTGGAGCCATCGTTGGAGAGACTGGTACGAGCCGAGCCATGTCCCTTCTCTCTCGCCTTGAGCACCAAGTCCTTCGCGACTGCTGTGTCCCTTGCCTTGTCCGCCCTCGACGATGATCGATGCACACGGTCTCCACCTAAGCGCAGACCCTTAGGGATCGCGCCCTGGTCGAGGAACTGGTCCACCTCGTCATCGCCGATGTCCACGTTGCTGAGCCCGAGAGACGCGAAAAGATCGTCGATGTTGTCTTGGCTAAGAACGTGCCTCATACGGCTCTCCTCCATGGCATCGTCGAGCGTCTTGCCCTGCGACACGGCCTCGCGCAGCAATGCGCCGGAGGTCTTTCGATTCGAGGTGAGCGCGTCCGCCTCTGCGGCCAGAGCCTTGGTTGACCTCTGCGTTGCTGAATACCTTGCTATGGGAGATGCGCGTGTACCTGCGGCTGGACTGGATGTACCCGACGAGCCAGAAGGCATCCTCTGATGTGATGTGGTGGGGCCCATCTTGGCGAAGCGCAAGGGCTTGATGGCGGCCTCCTTGGAAGGCACATACTTCTTTTCCGTGGTCGAAGCCGGCGCAGAGGCCAGCTTACCGATATCAGTGAGCATCGCATCGACATCAGCGTCGTTGAGCTCCTCCTCCTTGATGTTGAGCGACGAGATGAATTGGTCCGCATCGGGCTCCTTCCAGCGGCCAGCGCCCTCGGCGGCGTAGGGCAGAGTCGGGTACAGGCTGGGATCCTTGGAGCTCACTGCGAATTGAGCTGGATGAGGAGCTGTTGGTAGGGTCTGTGCTTCCGCTGGTGCGACTCCGAGGAAGAGCTCAAGCTCTCCGAACTCGACTGCCTCTTCAAACTCGTCGAAGGATCCTACCCATTCGTTGTTGACCAAGATACCCGGAAGCTGCGGGTCCTTCGCTTTGCGTCGCCACCTGCTCTTCGCGTCATCGTCCGAGGCGAGATCATGGTAGACATAGGGGACCTTTTTGATGGCCAGGACCGAGGTGTAACGCTCGTGACGGGAGCGAACTTTGACGTTGGACAAGATCGAAGTGCTGAAGAGCTCGACGACGGGCCCTGCCATCTTGACGATGCTGCGGCCGTCGGAGTCGGCGTCAATCTGGCCGGCCCGAGCTTGACACAAGGAAGCAGAGCTGAACGTGATGGTGCTGTACTCTTCCTGAGATGCAGCGGTGTCGTCAATAGCTTGGTGCTGCCATATGGGTACGAAGGCGTTCGAGGTGGCTTAGGGCCGTGCGAAGACACGAGGTGCAGCATGCCTTTTCTCCACACGCAACCGCGAAGGACCCTTTGATCAAAAATCGAGAATTGTTACGTCTAACCGCAGGTCCGCTCTCGGTTCCGTTGACGCGTTTCAGCTGTGTCGGGAGAGAAGGGATGGATCGGGATCCTCGAGGCGGTCCGAAAAAGAACCAGGCAGCTCATGGCTCTCCAATACAAATTTGCGGATTCTTGGAATTCAGAATTTCAGGACCATGAGACCGAAGCCTCGAACGGACGAAATTTTGAAGTGCTTCTGCAGGCGTTGAATACAAAGCCTTGGCCTGAACAGCAGCGGCCAAATGCTTAGAAATTCAGCTGCTCGATGTGGAATCCCACAAACCCGACCCGGCCCAGCCAGCCAGCCAAGGCAGGCAGGAAACTGAGATCATCATCGGTCTGACCAAAGAGAGAGAGAGAAGAAAGCCAAAACGGACGTGCTCTTTCAGAGTGAGCAACCCGCCTGTCTCGCGATTTTCTTCTGACCAACTCTCACACAGTCAATCACGTTGGCTATCTCTTTGTCTTCATCCTCCACCGCATCCTCACCTATCGACATCACCATCATCCTCACCTTCTCGTCACTCCGGCCCATCCGCATTAGCACTTCATCATGATCGGCCAGAACGTCGCACGCGCTTCCCGAAGCGGCCTCCGCGCTGCCACCCTCCTTGGCCGACGAACCATGGTCACCCAGGAAGAGCGATGGACTCTCGAGACCGCCCGCAACGCAGGATCGTATATTGAGGGCCCCAGCAAGGTCGAGCTCAGCCACGTTGTCCCCAATATCGAGGCCAGCTGGAAGACCCTCTCCAAGGAGGAGCAGTACGGCGTCTTCCGTCAGTTGGAAGAGCTCCAGAGGAAGGACTGGAAGGAGCTCAGCGTGGATCAGAAGAAGGCTGGTAAGTATTGCCGAGCATCAAATCGAGGACTTTGTCAAGCTACGAGGCGGAACAAACAGATCGATCGAAGTCGAGTCGAAAGAGAACGCATCGAGAGTCGTCCAGATAAGGCACGCTTGGCCGGTCGAACAAACACATTCGCAAGCTCGGATGGAAATCACACCCTCAATGCTTCTGTTCGACGACCGCGATCGCATCCGCTCTGTTCTACCATGTGGCTGGAACGACCCTCCCATCCCGACCAAAGCTTGTTTATGGAGCTTGTTGCTGATTGACTTCTCCTCGCATACGTTCACGTATTCTTCTCACAGCCTACTTTGTTTCGTTCGGTCCTCACGGTCCCCGTAAGCCCATCACTGCATCTGGTCAGGGTGCCAAGACCTTCGCCGGTGTCCTTGCCGCTCTCGGTGTCACCACTGGTGTCTACTACCTCATGCGCGCCAACGGTGGTGCTCCCGTCAAGACCATGACCAAGGAGTGGCAGGAGGCCTCCAACGAGATCGCTCGCGAACAGAAGCAGAACCCCATCACTGGTATCGCGAGCGACAACTACCAGGGCAAGGGCCACGTTCAGTCCGCATAAGCCTGGTGCACTTCGACACATATGCACCAGCCAAAAATCCACTCAAACATCTTCGCACATATACACATCACTCTATGTCTCCTATCCGCCGTCTTTTGCCAGGAGAAAAGACAATCTGATTCGATTTTGCAAAGCATCCCCCAGCATCGTCCGAAGCACTTCCTCAGCACACTCGACACGCCAGCACAGAGTCAGAGGAGGTTCAAGGTGACATCTTGGGATTTGGCATGGACAGCATCACAGCTTGGCAGCACGCTTGGCGTCGGCGTCCAGCACTTGCACGCCCGTTAGCTTGGCGAGTTCGGCCAAAGCGGGTGCGCAGTCGGTCGAGTTGACGCCTGGTTGACAGCGATGCGCAAAGCAGATGGATACGAAGACGTGGCGCAGGATGTCAGTCAGCATGTGCATCGTCTGACTCGACGCATCTGTGCCGGAGGGAGGGACACTTACGAATGGTGGTGATGCCCAACTTTTGCGCTGCTTTGAGATTCGGCCCGATGTCGTCCAGGAACACTACATCAGACGCTTGCACTTTGAGCAGGTCCAGAGCGTGCTTGTAGAACTCTGGATCGGGTTTCCTGTTTGCATGGCAAGCAGCAGGGAAGTGTGTCAGCGGTCACGATGCCACAGTCGCTCTCAGAGTCTGCTTCTGAACGTACCTCAACCCGACGACGGCGCTCTCGATGTACAGGTCGAACATCTTCCGCAGGTCGTTCTGAGAGTTCCCGAGACCAAGGTGTTCCAGCTCTTCGTCGAGCGAGGGTGCTTTCGCAGCTTTGCCTTGAGCACCACCTGCGACTTGGGTTGGTGGGGCAAAGTTGTTGGTCAGGGCGGCGATCTTGAACTTGCCCGAGGCTGGGATTAGCGCAATTCAGCAAGCACATGGGGTCAGACTTTGTTTGCTCGCAACATTGACCTTGAGGGATGTGCTTGAGCTTGACTCACCTTTCAACCTCGTGATGGCCGTGCGCATTCTGGGGTCGACCTGCGTTGATTGTCGCATCATGCGTCCGAATAGCTGTGTGGGGAAAGTGGAGGAAAGCCGCGAGTCAGTCTACATTGGAGAAGGCTAAGGCTGCAATCCTCTCGTTGTACTCACATCTCGGCCATCGACGTGGAGCTTTGTGGGTAGCTTTGGCACCTCTGTTGTGGTGTGGAGCGATGGTCTGTTAGCGTTTAGCTCGCTTTCTCTACCGTCAGGAGCTCTGGAAGGCTTACCTTGACCCCTGCTCTTGCAGAACTTGGTGTATGCTTCGTTGTTCTTCTCGACGTTGCTGAGTTCCTCCCCGAACTGACGGTAGAAGGTGTAGATGTCAAGCTCGCTGCGTTCGAATTTCTGTAGCCCTCAAGCAAAATACATTCCGGTCAGCACAGTAGATAGAATGAGATGGATGGCCCATCTGCGCCGACTTACCTGGAAGGCACCGCCGTGACCTTGAGCGGTGATGGCGACGTTGAGGTACTGGAATGGAAGGCCATGCTCCTCCTCGTACCTGCAGGGTGTCCAGTGTAGCCTGTCAGTCTCACCGCTCCAATCAGGATCAATCACATCCATCTGTCGGTCTGAGACTCACCTGTTGATCGCAAACAGAGGGCTGGCAACCACCACGCCTCCAATGTCGAAGATGACCGCCTTGAACGTCATTCTGAGTGCCTGCTTAGCCGGTGCTACCGCTCGAGATGTAGCTGCAAGCGGAGACCTGTATGTGTGATGGTGCTTCCGGACTGAATGATGGCGTGACTTGCTCGCCCTGACTGGGATGGTGGTAGCGTGTGGCTGGTTGAGCAGGATCGAAGCCTGATGGTAAGGTTGTCGAGCCGGAAGTCGGGTAGAACAAGACGCCGAGGTCGGGCAGGCGCGTCTTCGTCCAAGACAAATTCGGCCCCAGGCGCACAGCATATCAGGGTCCTTGCTCTCGTCTCGGCAAGAGAGACACAATGTCAACAGCATACTGTAGTCCCGGGTAATGGTGCTTGCTAGTATGATGGGAGCTCCGTCGACCCGCAGCAGGGATGCTAGAGAATGGTTATTACACCCGTCCATGATTCTTCGATCTCCGCAGCTCAGTCTGGGCAACTCGAGTCGATTTCTTCCAGGTAAGCAGACGGACGTCTCATACCGTGCGAAACTTGATCGACGCAAATCGTTCTTGAGCGTCAAGCTTCCAAATCACACCTGATGCTACAGAAAGCTTCTCTGAGTAACCTGGCTAAATTGTCAAAAAAAAAGATCCGATCAATTTTCGTTTCGAGCAGCGCAATTGGTGCAAAACAGTTCCTGTATTTCGACTTTGCAACGTTCCTTCATTTCTGCATCAATTGCGTGACCGACCCTTCTTAATTTCGCGGACAGAAGACAGATTTGACGTCATTTGTAGTTGCAAATCGAACAGCTGCCAATCAAAAATTGGGGCGCAAAAATATAAATGCTCATAACCTCGACAATTTGGCTTTCCTGTTGACACTCTCTGGGATCAAATGCTTCGAGGACCAGCCCGCCGCTCAACGCCTAACTAATCCACGTTGTCACAAAAACTTTGTCGGCGAGACCTGGAAAACGAAAAAAGAAGAGGAGTCGGCAAAAATGTGAATTCTGGCTGCGAGGACAGTCGTATTCTTGCCTCCTGGTGGTGTTTGGCGTGTCTTGAGGCTGGTTCGCTAGAATGTTCTTGTCGATCTCCTTGTTGTCGACGCTTCGTCTTACGCCAACGTAACTAGTCAGCTGCCTGAAGTGATCGATGGTGAATGAAACATGATCGCCGCAGGTGCTGGTCAGCAACAACATGATCCTCCCGCAGATGCTTGGCTTGGCCGAGATACGAGCGCCGTTTCCAGAGACGACAAAGCCTCATGCTCGGGCAAGATGATATGATGGTGGACCTCAGTCCGTTTAGCCAGAATGGCGGGGTTGATGACGCGGAAGGACCGCCGTCCGTATTGATAGGGCTGCCCTCTCCACGTCGCCCCAGCTCGGCTGATCACGGCGAGGACCTTGGAAGGGCCTCAATGGACAAGCGTAGGGGACGCTGCTCCAGCAGGGTCGAACGGTGTCCGTCTGTGTGAGGAGCGTCGCTCGACAATGCAGTCGATTGGGTAGCGACGCAGTCTCGATAGAACATCCGAAGCGGGTTCGAGAGCTCTGCACACCTTCAGGGCGGAGCACCAGCGCCATCTCGAACCACAACGACTGCCGAGCTCTCATCATCACACGGTAAGAGCAATGACGATGAAGAAAAGGTCCATGTTCCGGAACTATATGGTGAAGTCTCTATGAATAACAAAACAATGCAATACGATGTACCCGAGGAAGCCGGAGCCTACACCCAGCCATCGTCGTCCCGGTGCTTGACCGATGGCGATCCATCCTTCTTCTTCCCGCTGCTTTTCTTCTCAGCTGCCTCGCCATGCCCCTCATGACTCCCGTCCTGACTGCCGTCGATCCTCTTCATGAGGTCGCCCCAAGCGGTGGCCTCGAACGACTCGATCACGGGCGATGCGCGCAACTCGAGATCGTGCCGTGACGGCTGCGTCGGTGTCAGCGTCAATGCTGGCCGTGACCTCGTCTGCGCCGACGCTGATGAGCCCGGAATGTCCAATGCAGACAACACCGGCTTCGGCGGTCGACCTGGACTCTCGTGCAGCAGGATCGTCGGGACCGCCTCACCGCCCTTGTGCATCTCGTCCTGCAGAGCCAAGAAACGTCGTCTCCAGTAGCTCATCTGCAGCAACCCGCGCACCCGATCAAGCCGCACCTGATGATCAATCTTCTCGACGACGTCCTTCCTCTCAATGAGCTCTTCGACGTTGAGCGCCTCGGTCTCGTCGACCAGCTTGGTGCGTGCGAGGAGCAAGAACATGTCGGTGAATGAGATGCCCTTGCGCGGGCGTATCAGCATGATAGCTTCGTGGTAGAGACGGTTGAAGCGTTCGCGGCGCATGCGAAGGTCCTTGGCGTCGACCATCGACAGCGCATGCGCCAGACGCTCAGCATCTGCCTGCGGCACGTGTCCCTGCACCGATGGCGATTGCGGCCACTCGAAGGCTCCTTTGCCGTCCCGGTCGTGACCCTCGCGCATCGGTGACCGCAGCTCAGATGCTGCGTTCTTGAGGAATTTGAGCGCGCCTTTGCCCTTTGCATCTGGTCTCGAATCCTGCGAAGCGCCGTCCGGATCGAGAGCTGCCCTGAGGGATCGCAGACTGCATTCTGGCGGGTACAGTCCAACCTCGAGGGCGCCCTTGACCGACGAGAGGAAAGGCACGATCTGATCTCTCTGGATGTACCCCTTGCGTTGACGGTCGAAAGTGGCCCAGCTGCTCTTGAAGTGGCGGATGTCCGAAGGCGTGAGGATCGCCTTGCTGCCCAAGTCAAAGATGTACGAGAAGTTCTCGACGACAGTACCCGTGAACATGTTGAGGAAGATGTACATCGAGATGACGTTCCAGCCGATGAACAGCGCATAGGCCCACGGCTCACTGCCACAGTCGGTCATGAGGTAGCTTGCGGCTGGCGTGCACCGCGGCGGGGAAACGACATAGTCGTGCATGAAAGAGTTCCAGCCTTCTCCCGTGGACATCATGCTGAGGAAGACTAACGAGCTGATGAATGTCGAAAAGTTCCTCGAGTACGTCTCGTTGGGGCCCCACTTGGTCAGGCCAAAGACCTCGAGCAGCATGATGGCCCAGACAAGGAACATGGTGAGCCACAGGAGGAAAAGGCTGAGAATTGCTGGCAACGATGCGAACGCCGTCTTGAAGAGCTGATTGAGAGCGTGATTCTTCTGCACCAGCTTGAGCGCCACCAAGGTCAGGAAGAGCTTCTGAAACTGCACGACGACGCCGCTTTCGCTGGTGTGCGCGAGGAGCGGCAGCGTCGTAGCGAGGGTACCGGCGACGACAAAGAGATCATACAAGTTCCAGGGGTTCTCTCGATAGCTTCTCCAGCCCAGACCCAAGAGACGAGCCACAATGTCGAACGCGTAGATGGTGATGTAGCCGAGATAGAGCGCGTCACGGAGCTGATTGGCCCAGGCTGGATCCGAATACTGCTGCGTCATGAGTGTGACGAGCGTCGCCAGATACACCATGGTCATGGTCCGACTCCACCAGCCGTTCTTGTTGAGCATACGGTCGTAGCACCAAGCTCTCACGGCCTGAGTCGGGCGACGTTTCGGCCTCTTGGACGGACGTTGTCGCATGACCAACCTACGCAGATCGACCCACTGCCTCTGTCCTGCGGTCTGGAAAGCAGCGCCCGAGAAGGTCTGGAAGTTCTCGATAATGACGGACACGAAGAGCGTCAAGACGGTGGTGCTGCCGACGAGATTGTAGATGAGGAAGAAGAGCGCGTTGACCTGTCGATTGTCATTTTGCAGCTGCTGGTCTCTCCCCGCAACGCTCATGGCGGCCGTCATGACGTCGATCCAGCCCTCAAGCGAGATAATCTCGAAAAGGATGAGCATGGCTCCCTTGAAGTCGTCGAAGGAGTAGACGCTGCCTTCGGTCGGGTTGCCCCAGACGCGCGGAGCCAAGAAGTTGAAGTTGCCGGGCGAGCTGGAGTACTCTCCAGAACAGTCGAACTTGGTCTGGATGCTGTTGGATCCGTCATTGCACGAGTAGAGCAGGCCAGCAAACAGGTTCTGACCCCAAATGGCATACGGGATGATGTAGAGGATCGACAGGATCGATGCGTCGAGAATCCGACCAGCGCCAGCAATCATGACTGCATGGAAAGTGTCACGCATGAGCGCGGACAAGTTGATAAGTCTGAGTGCGCGGAACGCCTTCAAGGCTCGCGTGAATCTCGAGACACCTCCGATGACCGCAAGCTCGGTGATGACGTTGATCAGCAGCGTGATCAACACGAACAGATCGAGTGAGTTCCAGACGCTGAGCACATACGCGTTGGACGTAAAAGCAAGACCGTCGGCGATCGTCTTGACGAGGAACTCTGAAAAGAATAGCGACGAGAGACTGATCTCGAGGATCGAAAACCACGAAGCGCGGATGAGCCCGTACCTGGCATAGTAGTCGCGTCGATAGACGGGTGTCGCGATGGCAGCAGAGACCACGGAGCCAACGATGCCCATAAAGACAGCGATCTGGAAGAGCTTGTGGCGGAAGGGTGAGACTTGGCGCCCAAAAAGTCGCTCTCCATGCGAAGGCGGCACCAGCGTCTGACAGAAGCGTCGAAACCTGTTGTGGTTGGAGAAGAGGAAGTACGACTTGTCGTAGGATGGGTGCGTAGCAATGAACTGAGCCTGCTGGATGCGCGCATCGCTGTAGGAGTGCGGCTGAAAGACTTTGCTTGAAGTATTGCCCTCTGAAGCGAGGCCGAGATCGGAGCGCATTCTCTGCAGCCTACGCTCGCGAGCAAATTGACGGGCTGCTTGATCAGATGGATCGGCGTCGTAGGCAGGAGTGAGGCCAGAGGGGTTGAGAAGCTCGCCTGCGTCCATGCTGCTGCGCAAGCGACGAGCGTGCAGGTTGTCGAGCGGCACTTCCTCGTCTGGCTGATCGAGACGCAGGAGCTTTCGGACGGTGTTCATCGTGCTGTGCGCCGTCGCGGTCGAACTTTCGACCACGTGATGGATCGACATCGGACGTGCCTTACTCTCCTTCTCTGAGCGCTTGTCCATCCTGGATCCTCCGACAATCTTGCTTGTCTGTCCTCCGGCGCTGCTACCGTGATCGCTTCGCCCATGCTCGGAAGCGGCGGCATTGCGTCTCTTGAGCCATCGATACGGGCTCAACTTGCTCACCAGGCGTCCAGTGAGAGACGGGGGCGGCGGCTCGTTGCGACGGAGATACTGCTCCAGCTGCTGCTGGCGCTTTTCGTGCTCAGCGACGCCAAAGTTCTCGTTGATGACGGCAATGAACATCTGAAGCACGATGAAGTTGGCGAAGAGGAACCAGCCCGAGAGAAAGATGGCGGCGATTGCAGCCTGCTTGAACTCGACCTCGTTTGAGGCGGCGCTGAAGAGTACATTGGTCCAGTTCTCGGAGGTGAAGATCTGGTACATGGCGAGGAAGGAATTGAACGAATGCTTGAACGTCATTTGCGTCCATTCCCCGTCGCTCTCCTGCGGGATGTCGCCGCGAAACAACTGTGTCGCAATCAGAGAAGCGAGACCGACCATGAGGAGCAGGAAGAGCACCATGTTGAGCATCTTGTTGAGCGAGCCGAAGGCGCGGAACAGCAGCACGCGCATCCGCGGAATGGCGGCGATGACTCGATAGAACCTGGCGAGCTGGAAGAATGTAAGCCAGGGATAGACCTGAGAGTTCTTGATGACGGGGATCTGGATGAGGCTCGTAATCACGGCCAAGAAGAGATCGGCGCGATTCTGCTTTGACCTCAAGAATCCACGCCAATCGCCATCGAGCACGAATGCAAGGAAGCGCATGACAATCTCAAAATCGAAGGCGAGGGTGAAGTAGAGCTCGATCCTCGATCGCTTCTCCAGCTCTGCTGGTCCAAGATAAATCGCCCGGGACGCCTGAATCGATATGTCGGCGATGATCGCAAGGATCCACAGGTACTTCGTGTAGCCCCAGACTCGCTTGAAGCCGACGGCGAGACTCTTGAATCTTCCCCTTTTCTGCGTTTGCTTTTCGTCCTCGGTCGACTCGTCTTGCAACTTTTGGTCGGCGAAGGCACTGCGCTGGGTCCGTGCTGTGATGGTGGCAAAGCTGTTGGTGATGACGGCGACGAACAAGTTGGCGAGCCAGAAGTTGAGGAGGATGATGCCGAAGATGAAGTAGAGGACCGACGCATAGTAGTCGGCATCGATCATGTCATACATCGTCTGGGACCAATTGTTGGACGAGATGAGGATGACGACTTCGAGAAGCGAGGTGGCGATGTTGTCGAAGGACTGAGTGTTGGTTTGAGGATTCGTAGTCTGCTCTTGGCACACTTGACCGCGCGGACAGATGAAGCCTTTTGGTGACAAGCGGGAAGGGCTACCATCGACGAGGACGTGGCCGAGCTTTTGCCCGTCAGTGTTGAAGTAGCCTCCGCACAGCTGGGAGAGCGTGTTGTTGTTACCTGGCTGATTGTTCAGATCTCCGACCCAGACGCAATTCCTTCGGTAGGAACCCTCGAAGCTCTGAATGCCAATGATGCCAAAGAGAAGCATTGCGAAGCCTGTGAAGAAGCTGACGGCAAGTAGAATGAAGGCAGACATCTTGAGTGAGTGCAAGATGGTGGTGGTACCGCTTGTTGCTGTCAGCAATCGAGCACAGCGGAGGACAGATAGCGCCCGAAAGATGTAAATGTGGTGGTTGTCGGTCGACTCTTGACCACCCATCGAGAGGCCAAATGCGATCCAGAAGGCGATGACGGCAACAGAATCGACACGATTCCAGGAATGCCGCAAGTAAGCGTGATGCACTGCCTGCACGCGCTGCCTCTCGAAGGCCTCAGCGAACGGCGTCTTTGCGTTCTGCCAGAAGGATGGGACGGAGGTTTCGGACAGGAATGCGCTCGTCTCGCTCTGGTTCAACTGTCGACGCACGTGTCGAATTTGTCCGTCTGGTATCGAGGTGTCGTATGCGTCCGCCTTTGTGTACGATGCGTCGTTGGGGTGCGAGGGTCCTGACGATGGTCGTCGCGATAAAAGAGCCGATTCGGTGAAGCCTTCCTCGCCAGCGAGCACCCTCTGTGCCTTTTGTTTGAGGCTATCGCCTAATGTGCCGAAAGCCTCGAGCGTATTGGATCTCGACATTTGCCGTCTGTGCTCTGTCAGAATGGGGACAGCCTCTTTGAGATCCTGCTGGTCTGGATGGTCATCTGCGGCGACAGGGATTGGCGCAGCATAGAGCGGCGGCGGGTTGATGATGAGGCCCGACACAATGATACGGGCCACCATTTCAATGGTATAGCAGGCAAAGATGGCGAGTAGGATGTAGTCGGTCACGTCGCCAAAGTAGCGGGCGGGTGGTGGATGAGAATAAACGCTCCTGGCTGACTGTACTACCAAAGTCACCGTGTTGGCAAGGATGAGGAGCAAGACGAGCGGCTCTATCCACCATTTCGCGAGGACCCCGGCTAGAGACTTGCGGAGGCGGCTTTCGGGACTCCAGATGCCTAAGCTCTTGCCTCGTAGTAGCTGCAATTGGTGTGTGGCTGGAGTGATCTCGTCGGCGGTGCTGGGTTGATGGTACAGATTTGCTGTTCCAGATGAGTCGCTGTCGTGAGCATCCTGATCCGTGAGCGGGATGTGACCTTGCTGCCGATGGTGGACGACGCGACGACTCATCCTGCGGAACGACTTGCTGAATCGATTGAGCCCGGACCTAGCCTTGTCCAGATTCGAGGCGGCATAGGCATCTGCACTTGATGTGAAACCCGAGCCTTCGGCTCCTTCGATCTCGCCTGGCGAAGCGGTACGATGGACGTAGTGCTCCTCCGCATCTTGGTACCGCACCGAACGTCGTTGCTTGCCGTCGTGAGGTGAAGTGAGGTAAGCTCTGTCGTGATCTTGAGCGGTGAAGGTTGCGTCGGATTCGCGACTGGGATCTTGATCCATTAATTGACTGGAGAACGGCAATGGGATGGTGTGATGTGGGCTGGCTAGCGGGAGAGACGAGCTTCGCTGTGGAAATCTGTCTGCAGAGGAGGATGGAAATTGGGTCGAGGTCGGTTCAGGTGAAAGCTGAAGTGGCCCGCTGAGGATGCCTGCATCGGCGAGCGATACATCACGCTGATGCGAGCGAGAGTGGGCAGTCTGACTGTTCGAGTGATGATCGTGACCGCTGTCCCAGCTCAGGCGTCTCAACAGGCGTTGGTCGTTCGAGTTGGTGAGATGGGGTGAATTGAGGGGGCTCTGACCGAACGCAGATGTCCACGCTGGAGGAGCCGGGGCAGAGCTAGGACCAGCGAGCTCTGACATGTCTTCGTTGCCATAGTAGTAGCTGTTGATGTAGATGTCCGAGTTGTGAGAGGGTATACTGCTTGCGCTGATCGAATCCCGAGGGTGGGGGGAGGTAGGTGACCGCATCGGATCGACTGGTGGAGGATGCAGGGTGTGTTGCTGCGATTGTGAATGCTGAGGCGAATCAGGATCGAGATCGTGAGAGGCGCTCATGATGACGGCGAAAGCAGCAGCAGCAGCAGAGTCGACAAGCTGAGCTGCTGAGCCATGATCCCTTGAAAGAGCGAGATGGTGGTGGTGAGGGTTGTGCTCGTCCTCAAACGAACGCGGTGCGACTCAGCTTCAGTCGAAAGCGGCTGTCCCGATGGTGGCTGATTGTGAAATGTCGGACTTGGCGTTGTCCGTTGGCCAGTATCACAATGCCACGTCGAGATGGTTGCCAAAGAGCAGGATGAAGCCTACCTTTCAACGTTTCGTGATTGAGTGATTCCAAAAAATGGCAATCACGTCGGCCAAGAAAAACCTTAACCGAAACGTCAGTTTGCTGGTCAGAAGCAGCGGCGGAATATGCATGTCATCTCGCTTCGCCGTTGCCCGCCGCTCTGGTCCCACCACCACAATCACATTCGGCGGGTGTTCCGTCTGCTGTTTGGTCAGCATCATGTGACTGTTAGCAGATACACGATCACATCGAGTACAGCCAAGATGAACTGGTCACGGCTGTGCAGTCAGGCAAGAAGACTGAGCTTTGGTGAGAAGGACCCAAAGAAAAGGCCGAGCGCAACCCTGCATCGAATTCAGCAAGGGCAGTGCCCTGTGTCTCACTTTGTCGTCGCCTGCATGGTGTGGAGTGCTCGGTATAATATCACAAATGTAAGAAATGGCTTTCTAACAAAAGCTCCAATTAAGTGATTGTGACTAAGCGCCTGCCTGATCGTTTGGCTGCCTAGCGCTCAGTGCCCAACTGACGCGTTCTTCTCCACTCCCTAGGCAGCGCAGAAGCTTGGGCCACGAAGCCGTTTCTCGCAAGCTCAACCAACACCGCTGCTTGCACCATCATCTCGTTCGCTCTCGACCTTCGGCATCTAGTCCTATATACCCTCTCGACCAGTCAAGCACAATGTCGTACGATCGAGCGCTCACCGTCTTCTCCCCTGACGGACATCTCTTCCAAGTCGAATACGCCCTCGAAGCGGTGCGCAAGGGAACCTGCGCCGTCGGCGTGCGTGGCAAGGATGTCGTCGTCCTCGGTGTAGAGAAGAAGTCGGTCCTCCAACTCCAAGACGCACGAACCATTCGCAAGACTGCTATGCTCGACGACCACATCTGCCTCGCCTTCGCTGGTCTCACCGCTGACGCACGCATTCTCATCGACAAGGCACGCACCGAATGCCAATCGCACCGTCTCACCGTCGAAGACCCCGTCACCGTCGACTACATCACCCGCCACGTCGCGGGGATCCAGCAGAAGTACACGCAGTCCGGAGGTGTCCGTCCCTTCGGCATCTCGACGCTCATCATCGGCTTCGACGCCAACGACGCCAAGCCCAAGCTCTACCAAACCGAACCAAGCGGAATGTACTCGGCGTGGAAGGCAAATGCCATCGGTCGAAGCTCCAAGACCGTGCGAGAATTCTTGGAAAAGAACCACAAGGACGATCTGTCCAAGGATGAGACCATCAAGCTCGCCATCAAGAGCTTGCTCGAGGTCGTACAGACCGGCGCAAAGAATATCGAGATCGCGCTCATGGAGGGGCACGGCAAAGTGAGGAACGTCGAACTCGCAGAGATCGAGAAGTTTGTCGAGGAGATCAATGCAGAGAAGGAGGCCGAAGCTGAGAGGAGGAGAAACCGTCTCGCGGCGACTGCAGGTGCACAGGCATCCATGTCGTAGACGACCACGCCCAGTCATCAGGAGAGATTCTACTGAAGATGTTGTTGCAATCCAGCATTGATCTTACGTTCCGATTCTGTAGTGTGAACGGCGAAGCACATGCCGCGAGCGGAGATCTTCCGGCTTGCAAACCGTGACAGCTGCGACTTGCTCGCATGGGTCTCACACAGTTGTCGGCACGAAAGAAGCGGGTGCCGCCCTTGTTGCAACGCATCCAACACACCGGTATCCACAGAGCATCCTGGTGCATGGACATTGACGGTCTCTGTGAAACATACGCAACATCGGAGCTCTACAATTTGATACCCGTCGAATCGCCAATCCACCTCTTGAGCTTGCCCACGCCGTTCCCCTCCGCTCCTTGCCTTGCCCCGTTGCCGACCATTCTATCGCTAAACACCCCACCTCTCCCATACACGTCCCCATCCCTTTCTGCCTCCTCCTCGTCCTCCAGACTGGTCCGAACATCCGGTCTCCAGCTGGGGAAGCTTTCCTCGGCCTCCAACCCGGCCACCGTCGTGTTGCCCACGATGTTCTGCGTATCCAACGTGCGGTGGGGTGGTAGCTCGTCGTCGTCCTCTGCAAACCCGAGGCTGGGGGGTCCGAGAACGAGGTTCCGTCTGAAACTATCTGGTAATCTGGGTGCGTCCTCTTCTCCCTCGCCTTCCGGCAGGAAAACCTCTCCGCGTTGATCGGACGAATCGCCATTCCACTTCTTGACGAACACAGGGATCAACACCGCAATCGCCACCCCTCCTAGCAGCAGCACATTGCGCAGAGAGAAGAGGTTGAAATCGTCCGGACTCGTCATCTGGTCGAGCTTCTCCCCGATCGTAACGTGGATCACGCTCACCGCGAAGATGCCGCAGAAGGTCGAGAGCCAGAACACTGGAATCCCGATGCCGAGGTGCGGCGAGAGGATGTTGACGATGTTATGCGGTGGCAGGGGCATCATGCGGAGGACGATGAGGTAGGACAACATGTTGTCCTCGTGCTGGGCCAGTTTGTCCTTCCATTCGTCGACGCGGCGTTGCCAGCTCGGCAGGGCGACGAGGACCACGCCGAGCGTTTTGCTGATCAGGTAGCAGATCGTGGCGCCCGTTGCGACGGATGCGCAAACTAGTGGTAGCGCAAGAGGAACACCGAACAGAGCGCCAGCGAGGATCGACATGTACATGCTACCAGGGATTGAGAAGGCCTGGAGGAACATGTATACGATCACCCAGCACAGCAGCACCCGCCCAAAGTGCTCGGATTTGTAATGCTGCAGCACCGTGTTGAGGTTCTTGAGGTCGTCAAAGTTGCGCGGCAGTTTGAAGTTCGCCTTGTCCTCCGGGGCGATGACGGGTAATGCTAGCCACAACGTCCCCCCCAAGCCGACCAGGCACACGACGAACAGCGCAAGCAGCTGCCCGAGTGCCCGAAGCAGCAGCTGCTTGCGTTGTGCTGGTGTGAGCGCCGACATGCCGTCAGCTGAGGTTGCAGTGGCAGAGGAGAGCGGACGGGGGATGGCAGACCACGGATCCTCCTCGTCTTCTGTGGCGCCAAACGCTCGCAGCGTGTGCCGCGATCGGATCGAGATGGTGTCGCTGTCGCGAGGAGGAACGTCGAGGTCGTCCGAGTGTAGCGCCGAGATGGCTTGCCGCTGCACGGCGGGGTTTGTGATGCGGCTCATGGTGTTGTGCGCCGCTCAGCTGCCAGAGGGCTGGATGCTGGTGTGGTGTGAGTGCGAAGGGTCGGCGGCCGGCGCCGAGCGAAATGAGATTGGACTAGCACCTGTCGATGATCGTTTATGCGAGCCAAATGCCGCGGTGTAGAAGCAGTTGATGATGATGACGACAGTAACAGCCGTGATGGATGTCAGCATGGAACCCTTTCAAGCTCGGCAACGCTCGACTGCATACGGCGGAGTGTGAGTGTGCTTCCCATGCTGGCAGGGGCGCATTTTTACAGCTTGTTAGATCCAAAATGACCAGCCTCACTTTGGTCGCGCAAGGGCCTTCCTCATCGTTGTTCATCGCAAGGCACTCAAGGCGACACGAGAAGACCCAGAGAACCGTGTTGAGGAAGGCATGGGATGATGGAAATATACATGATCATAGAATCAGGGTCACAGCATGCTAGAGAAGCATGGCCGTGTTTTGGGGTGGACAAATAATCATAGAAATAGACGACCGGCAGCGCCAACTTAAGCACGACGTCCAGGAGGGCGGTAGACGCTCTTCTTGACCTCGGTGAAGCCGTCGTTGTCCGAAGCGCGGGGCTGGGCGGGTGCCTGAGCCTGAGCAGCAGACGGGGCGGGAGAGCCACCGCCGGCAGCCTCCTTGGCCGCCTGGCGCTCTCTCCATCCACCACCAGGGGCGCCTCCGCCAGCAGCACCGCGAAGCGCGCCAGGTCGGTAAGCGCCCGAAGCGGGAGGAGCGGCAGCCTGAGGAGCAGCTTGAGGAGCGGGGGCAGGGGCAGCAGCAGGAGCAGGGGCATCGCCACCAGCAGCCTTCCGAGCAGCCTCACGCTCACGCCATCCACCACCACCGCCAGCACGAGCAGCGCCAAAGATGGATGGGCGCTGGGACTCGGCCTGAGCCGCAGGGGCAGCAGGAGCAGCAGCAGCGCGGGCGGCGCCAGCAGAGCGCCATCCGCCACCGTTGACGGCGGGGGCGGGCGACTCTTGTCGGGCGGCACCTGGCGCACCGCCGGAAACACGTGCAGCACGGTTCGCCTCGGCCTCCTCTTCGCGCTGTCGTTGCTTGTCAGCCTGCGCTTGCAATTTGGCCATGCGCTCCTCGATCTCGGCGCGCTTCTTGGCCTCGAGTTCGGCACGCTCGGCGTCCTGGACACGACGCTGCTCAGCAAGACGCTCCTCCTCTTCAGCACGGACGCGTTCTTGCTCCTCCTCCTCGGCAGCACGACGTTCAGCTTCCTCAGCCTCCTGTCGCTCGCGTCTCCTCTCCTCGCGGACCTGCTGGCGACGCTTCTCCTTCTCGAGCTCAATCTGCTCGGTCGCCTTCCTCCTTCGGTCCTCGAACTCGCCACGACGCTTCTCCTCAATGATCGAGCGAAGCTGCTGGTAGTCCGGCAGAATCTTGGTGAGACGCTTCTTGATCTCGAGATCGGCAACGTGCTTCTCCTTGGAGGTCTGCAGCAAAGTGATGCGAGCCGCCTTGTGGTACTTGAGATCCTCCTCCTTCTGTCGCTCGTAGTCAGCAGACAGCAATGGAGCCTCCTCGCGACGGTAGGCACGCTCGAGGTGGTCCATCCTGCGGTGGATGAGACGCAAACGCTCGGCGAGCTCCTTCTTCTCCTTTTCGATCTGTTCGACCTGCATCTGGACGAGCTTGTTGGTGTCCATGTTGGCGAGCTCCTCCTCGCTGAGCTTGAGACCACCGCGCTCCTGCAACGACTTGGCCATTTTCTTGGCCTCCTCGATGCGCACAGCCTCGAGCTCCTTGTTGATGCGGTCCTGCTCGCGCTTCTTGGTCTCCTCGGCGATGCGCTTCTGTTCGGCCTCGGCAGCAGCACGGGCACGCTCGGTGCGAGCAGCAGCCTCCTCGCGCTCCTTGCGGGTGGCCATCTCCTCGAGCAACTCCTTGCGGCGAGCGAGGATCGCCTTGCGGGCGATGGCAGCCTTGTGCTCGTCCTCGGCGGCGGCGACGGCACGAGCAAAGACCTCGCGCTTGGCAGCCTCGGCATTGGCGAGGATGCTGGGGTCGATGGTCTTGATGGTGGTGTCGAGGCACGTCGCAAGTCGGCTGAGCTGAGTGCGGACCAGCTCGGAGGGAGTGGCCTGCAATCGGACGTTGTCGGCTTCCGAAGAAGTGGAAGCGGCAGGGTGAGCATCGGTGGAGAAGACATCGTCCTGGAAAGTGATGGCTTGGGCCACGTGGTCAATGCGGATGTTGAGGTGACCCTTCTTGCAAGCGTTCAAGCAGAATTTCTCAATCTCGGCAGGCGTGTAGCTGTGAGGAGCCTTGAAGGCAGACACGAGCTGCATGATCTTGGAAAGCTTGACAGCATCATAGACCTGGCTGAGCTGCTGGAAAAGACGGGTCAAGACGACCGAGTGAAGGGGCTTGACGTACTTGGCCATCTCGGGATCCTGCGAGATGGAGGCGAGGATGGGCTCGATCTTTGCGCAAATGGAAAGAGGGTGGAACTCGACCTCGAGAATGTTGTAGAGCTCACGCAGCTCGGGACGAGCCTTCTTGAGGATGTCACGGTTGAGAGCCTCCTTGAGCAGACCAGCACGGGTGGGAGTTCGGCTGAGACCGAGGAGCGAGGTGAGACGACCGGTGCGGCTTCGACCCTCCTGGTCACCCTGAAGGAAGTCAGACTTGGTCTTGTTGAGGTTGCCAGTGCCGGGAGCGTTGGAAGAGATGACAGGGACGGCGAGGGCGCTGATGAGCACGTAGGAAGCCATGCGAGTTTGCTCTTCGTCCGACTTGGCGATGGAGCGGGCGAGGGCGTAGTATCGGTTCCAAGCGGCAGCGTGGAAGAGGTTGTTGTCCGAGACCATGAAGATACGGGCGAGCTTCTCGTAGTAGTTGGCCATCATGGCGGGGCGAGGCGCCTTCTTGGCCATGGTGAGGAGGTTGTGGATGTCCTCGACGGAGCGGAAGGCCTCCTGCCAGAGCTCGAGCTCGACGGCAGCGTTGAGCTGAGCAAAGCGGGTGTCGAGGTGACGCTGGAGAGTGTCCTGGTCGGTGAGGTTGATGGCGTGGGCGTGGTGCGAGTAGCGAGCGACATTCTGGAGATGCTGACGGAGCACTTCACAGAGACGACGGAACTCGGTCTTGCGCTCGTACTGAAGGCAGAACTTGAGGGCCTGGTTGGCAATCTGCTGGTAGGGCACCTCGAGACGAGCATTGTTGCGAAGAATGTCGAGAGCAGTGCGGTAGGCCTCCCAGAGGAACTTGAGCCAAGGAGTGACGAGGACACGGTCGGTACGGTCCTTGCTCTGGTCGGCACTGACGGAACCGAGGAGCATGCTCTCGGGAGTCTCGGACTCCTCGAGATCGTCGACATCGACCTCGCCAGCAGCAGCGTCTGCCTTGGACTGAGCCTCGACGACCTTGGCATCGGCAAGCTTGATGAAGTGCTTGATGACGAGCTCGATGGACTGAGCGTTGGTGTTCTGGGATACGTTCTTGTACTGCATGAGACCCTCCTTGGCCATGCGACCCTTCTTCAAGTCGACACAGAGATCGACGAATCGGATCATGATGGGTTCAAGCGCCTGAAGAGGAGTCTGCTTGAATCGACGAGAGGTGAAGATCTCGTTGAGGGCAGCCAAAGCGGCCTGGTGTTGGCCGACATTGATGAGCTCCTCGGACCGCTTGAGGACGGTCTCGGGTTTAGCGAAGGGAGGCATGTTGAGCAGGAGATGCGAGGTTGGTTTTGTTGGTGGAGGAAGCCGTCTGCTAGAACGATGAAAGGTGGTGGGTACGCCCTGGAGTTCACTAGCCGGTTCTTCTGATGAGAAGAACTTCGAACACTAGGAAGCCGATGGGGCGTTACAAGGGGGAAAACTTGGGTATCGACTTGGGTGATAAGTCGAACACGAATTCCTCCTTTGTGTCAGGGAATGCAAAGAGCAGCAGAGAAGGCGGAGTGAGATGAGAGATGGTGGTGGTATCAGAGATCCAACGACGACGAGCAAGCGCCATTGCCAATCAGTCAGTCAGTCGCACACGCTCAGCCTCTGGCAAAGACAAGGCAGCGCGTCAGTGTCTGGAGTCTTGATTTCCTTGCTGCCCGCGAGCAGTCAACCAAAGAGGGTGCGCGCGTGGTGTGTGACAGATTTTTTCCATTTCCCTTTCTTCTCGCTCTGATCTTCCAAAAGACTCACAAATTCCAGCTGGGAAATTTCGTGGTTGGAGAGTAGCTTTCCAGGCTGGCAAAGCCATCGAATCATCAGCTCGCAAACCGACGCTGTGCTACTCACTCTGCTATCATATAGCTTCGGCATGCTTCCTTTGCCGCCTGAATCAGCTCTTTCGGATCCCAGGCCGATGTCACGGTGAACTCAAGGAAGCATTCCGACGCTGCTTCTGGTCTGACTGAGCCCTTCTCCGCAGTCCCAAAGCGCGTCGGCTGAACCGTCTCTGCCGTGCGACATTCGCGCAAAGAACCCCTTCATGAATAGTCATCATTACTCAGCAGCTCAGGGTCTCCGCTCAGCTCCATCCTCAGGCTCTTCGGAATGGTTGCCGACGTTGAACCCTCGCGCCTCTTTGTCACTCTCACCGTCGCTCACACGTCTTCTGCGGCGCTCATCATTGCCGGCAAAGATGGCAGCCAACGCAGTAGCAGGCCCGTCCAACGGCGCTGCACCGCTCACAAAGAACGCCAAGCGCAGGGCCAAGAAAAAGCAGCAGAACCAACAACCGCAAGAGCCAATCTCGTCGTCCTCCATATCCCAACCTTCCACCTCTGCAGCTGCAATCAAGCAGGAAGATACTGCGGTCTACGACGACGATGATGCTTCGGCGAGCAAGCCCTCATCCATCATCGAAGAAGCTGCCGACATCCGCATAGACCCCGATTCCGAGGTCTACAAAGCCTTCTCGAGCGTCCTGTCACGCTACCAGCCCGATGCGCTCTCGCAGCAGCAGCAACCATCGAAAGGCGAAGTCATCTACTCGGACGACGACCTCGAGTCCGAGCACGACTCTGACCACTCCGACGCCGAGCTTCACTCCACAGCACAGCTCTCCAAACGCAAGCAGAAGAAGCTGCAGCGTCTCACCGTAGCCGAACTCAAGCAGCTCGTCGCCAAGCCCGAAGTGGTCGAATGGACCGACGTCACCTCGAACGATCCACGCCTACTCGTCCATCTCAAATGCGTCCGCAACTCAGTCCCCATCCCTCCACACTGGGCGCAGAAGCGGGACTACCTCCAAAACAAGCGCGGCATCGAAAAGCCCCAGTACCAGCTGCCCTCCTACATCGCCGACACCGGCATCGCGACCATGAAAGACGCTCTCAAAGAAAAGGAAGCCGAATCCACACTCAAGCAGCGCACGCGCGATCGAGTCCAACCCAAGATGGGCAAGATGGACATCGACTACCAGAAGCTCTACGATGCATTCTTCAAGTTCCAGTCGAAACCCCATCTCACTCGGTACGGCGACACATACTACGAGGGGAAAGAGAACGAAACGAAGTACAAAGAGAAACGGCCCGGTCAGTTGAGTCAGGATCTCATCGAGGCGTTATCGATCCCGCCGCTGGCACCGCCACCATGGTTGATCGCCATGCAGCGGTACGGTCCCCCACCAAGCTATCCGCATCTGCAGATCCCCGGGTTGAATGCGCCCATCCCGCAGGGGGCGAGTTGGGGCTTCCACCCCGGCGGATGGGGGAGACCCCCCGTCGACGAGCTCGGCAATCCTCTCTACGGGAACGTGCTTGCCAATCTCGAAGATCAAACCGACCCCGACCTGCTAGATCCGGTAGAGAAGGAGCACTGGGGTCAGCTCGAGCCAGAAGAATCCGACCCCGAGGAGGAAGAGGAAGAAGAGGAAGAAGAACCGGCCGAAGAACCCGCAGAGCCGATGGATAGCACTGGGATCCAATCCGTCTCCTCGGTCGGTGCAGGGCTGGAAACACCCTCGTTCACCGAGCTCCGCAAGGACGCGCGTATTGATTCGGGCGGACCACGATCGCTCTACCAAGTGCTGCCCGAGCGTGCCACATCAGGCAGCGGACAACTGATGGCCTCCGATCGCATCTACGACATGTCCTCTGCGCAGACGAATGGGCCCGTGCTCGGTGCTGAAGGAAGCCGAGGGACGAAGCGCCCAGCGGACGCCGTGCAGATGTCGATCAACCCGGACGAGCTCGATCACGGCGTCGGGGATGAGGCTGGTCTGGGCGCGAGGTACGATGCGGAGAGACGGGCCAAGGCCAAGAGCAGATTTGCGTACGGGGACGACGAGGAGGGCGTCGCCGAGATGAGGGAGCAGATGCAGAGGGAGAGGAGGAAGGAGGAGGGGAAGCGGGCGAGCAGGAGGCAGGCCTGACCGTAAGAAGCAAGATCTGTAACTGTATTCTGCATTTGTCTAGCAAGCAACACCATTCGATCGTGTGCTTGAGACCGATCAATCGTTGTGAAAGGTGAGCATGTCAGCTCACGAGGAGAGAAGATCATTGCAGCTCGCGAGCGCGACACTTTTGGGGAGCATCAAACCTCCAGATCGGTCGCAGTCCTTTCACATCAGGTCATGCTCGCTCAACCCCGTTCTGCCGTTGCATTGGTTCACTGCCGCACACTACTTCGAGCAAAAACACAACGACATGCATTGAATCTCTAAATCTCATCAACCTTGCTGCGGTGCAAAGAGAAAGCCGGGGTGACCCAAGCGCCGCACGCGCACTGCATGCCGGCCCAGTCCCAGCTGCCGAGCTTCTGGCCGCATTTCGCAGTGGGGCAGTTGAGCCGGCCGGTGACTTCGCCGCTTGACAGGTCGGACATCCACGCCATAGGCTCGAGGAAGTATGACGAGCAGGAGGGATGCTTCAACATCGACTTTGTCGGTGTAGACGGTGAGGAAGCGGGGGCGTTGGTCGACGGTGAAGAAGGGAGGCCGGCGGATGAGAGAGATGGATTCGGTGCCGCGGCGGGTGCTGGTGCTGGCGGGCGCGGACGTGCGCCTCGAAGCGCGGCGAGGTGTGGTGGGAGTTGCGATGCTAATGACGCCGCAGATTGGATCTTCGGTTTGCCGTTCGCGACCGGCGTCGGACCTGCTGCTACTGCTGATGATGATACTGACGAGGTGGAAGCTGCATCAGTCTCTGTCGATCCTTGCTCCTGCTGCGCTGGCACATTCGGCCCCTCCGCAGCCATCTCCGCCCCTGTGCCATCCTGTGCTGCCACACTGTCAGTTGAGCCCGAGTTGGTGGCCACATTCTGACCCTGATGCCCCACATCCCTCTTCCTGTGGTCGAACGCCATCTGTCCCTTGCCTGGCTCGTGAATCACGACATGATCCAACGCAGCCAACTCCCTCCTGCACCCTTTACACCTCAGCTTGGGCCCTGTGAAGTTCGGCCTCGATAGCTGACCACGGTTCGCAATGCCTTCGTGACCTCGCACGTGCTGCACGCCACCAGGGAGGCGGCCGGACGAGTTGGCAGTCACCTTGACTTCGGCCGGCGCGGCTCCTGATTCCGATGCCTTCGAAGATCCGCCATTCGAGGTAGACATGCTGGAGAGCGAGGGGACGAGCTCCGGCTCGGATGGCGAGGATGTAGCGGTGATCGATGAGAGCTGGGAGATGCGTGGCCCGGAGTGCGACGAGGACGATGATGTGGAACAGGAAGATGCTGAGCGCGAAAGAGGTTTGGATGTCGAGCGTGAATTTTTGCTCCAACCAAAATTCTCCGCGCTTGTGGAGGCTTGAGCGTCACCCTCACCTGTTTTGCTGGTCGGCTTGATGCTGGTGAATCCTTTCATCCCGCCAGCGCTCAACCCCGGACTTGGGTACGGGCTCGGATAGTAGCTGAGAAGCATGTCGTCCATGCTGTCGCCATTGAGAATGTCGGTCTTGCTCATGAGGAATCGGCGGACTGACTGCCACTTCATGTCGATCTCGAAGCCCACCTGCTCGTACAGCTCGAGCTGCGCCATGAAGCCTCGATTGGGGCCGGCGTCGGCTCGTCGTCGTCGGATCATATCGACTGCTGTGGTGGCAGAGATGCGGCGTGTGTGCATGAGATAGGCTGCGGTGATGGCGACGGATCGGGAGCAACCCGCTTGGCAGTGTACGAGCACGGTTCCTGCGCCAGTGGTCTGCCAGCTTCCCCATCGTCCATTACGCTTCTGTCGACCTTGTACCAGCTGTTCGACCTCGTCGCCGGCCTCTGATGGCTGCTGCGATGATTCCGCTTCTTTGTCATCGACGACCCATTCCTCCTGCAGCTGACTGGCGATCAACTCATTGCACCCGGCAAAATGGACGAGGACAGGCGCCTTTTCGTCATCGTCGATCCGAATGTGCTTCATCTCTGCCCGCGTGATCGTCCTACCATCCGCAAGTGGTGGAGGTACGGGAATTTGCTGCTTCATGCACGAGATGATGTGGGTGACACCGGCGCGGGAGAGGTAGTCGGCGTCCATGGCTGCTCTCACCCCACCCACCCAGAGGCCCGGTAGTACCTCGTCCATCTTGGGCTCGGCTGCCGTACGAGCAGCGATTGCGAGCGACGGTGATGATGATGTGTAGATAGATCTATGGCGAGGTCGAGAACATTGTGCGAAGGTGTATGTGACGGGAGCAGTGGTCGGGGATGATGACGAACGATGAGAGAAGGTAAGGTCGATTGTGCGGAGCTCGAAGTGCTGAGGTTTCAGCTGCGAGAGGAATTTGGGACTTGAACCCCGAAAGCTTTTCAGGCACGAGCCAGGCTCGCTTACGGCGCTCTCCACACCTTATGCACTCTGCTCAACTCCGCTGTTCCCAGCAGTCCATCACCTGCTCGCGAGTCTGACTTGCACGCTCACTCGACGAGCCCTTCTGCAAGGATGATGGAACAGTAGCATTGCATGTTCGTGTCGCATCAGGCTCTACCAGGCCTGTACATCGAGCGTGATCGTAGCCGGTCCCCGAATCGAAAGACGAGATACGGCATCGGAGCGGTCAGGATCACGAGACCGGCGAGCAAGGTGTACAGATACGCGATCCCGCCAAGCTTCTCGTGCAAGCGATGCGTGGCTAGCGGAATGCTGTCAGGGCCACGAAGAAACCAGTAGCAGAAGGACTCGGGTCAGCTCGTATCGCATTGTAGAGGGTGGTCCCGTGAAATGCCGCAGGCCAACTTACGTAGCACCCGAGATGGAACGACCGATCACCGTGGCCGCGATCTTGAGCAAGAAGAGGGTCGGATGTATGTAAGTGTCGATACTGTGAGTACGATTTGAACATCGCCATAACACACTCACAGCAGACGACGAATAGAGGCGATAGCAGTCGCCGAGATAGCTGATCCAGCCCTGAAAGACGAGGACCATGGCAGCCCCGATCGGTATTCCAGCCAGCATCGTTACCTCGAACGGAATGGATGTTCGCGCGAACCAGCCGGCCCAGCTATGTAGAAGAAGAGGCAGGGTCAGCTCGAGGTCCGACGTTGCCATGTACCGCCAGCATGCAGACGAGGCACTCACAGAAGCCCAACAGCCACGAGAGGCGCGACGAAGAAGGTGGGAAGTAGCCTGGCCTCTGGGACAAGCGTACCCGCTGCCATGTCCCTCTTTCGGTAGTAGCGATCGCACAAAGGAAGCAAAGCTGCTGCCAATATTCCTCCGACGGCCATGGGCAAGAAGGTGATGCCCGTATAGACTGTGTCGAGACGATAGATGCCCGGAGGACCGAAGATCAAGGGCCAGCTGACGAAGAACAGGTACATCAAAGAAAAGAAAAGGGAGAGATAGAAAGTAGCGCACACCACAATAGGCTCGCGGCACATCATGTTGATGGGTCTGCCGAGGTTGATCAACACGAAAATTCGGATCCTCTGTCGCCATGTCGCCGATGATGGAGCGCGGGCCGTGGTATTCATTCGCGCATCAATCACCGGCTGATAGGTTTCTGGAACGCAGAAGAGCACTCCTTCCAGCACCAGGCCGACGGCGCCGAGGACCCAAAACACGAACGGCCATCGCAGATCCGTGCTGATGAGGGCACCGAAGAGTGGTCCAAAGCAAGGTCCTAACAAGGGCGCCAGGGATGCGACGATCATGGGCCTGGATCGCAAAGGCGGAGGGAAAAGATCTGTGATGACTGCGGCGGCGTTTGAGAAGGCGGAAGAAGCGCATGCGCCGGCCAAGAAGCGGCTCGAGAAGAGGACAAATTTGGAGGGAGCCAGAGCGCAGCCTATATTGGTGATGGAGTACAGCACCATCGAGGCGAGGCCGACAGGTCGCCTTCCGTACATTTCTGACAGTGGTGCCCACACGATGGGCCCAGCGACACAGCCTCCGATGAATGAGCCGGTAATGAAGACCATTTCCTCCCGCGACAAACCGTACTGCTTCACGATACGAGTGCCGGCCCCGTTCACTGCAGTGGATGCGAAGGAAGCGTTGAACATGGTGAGACCGACAAGGAAGGTGTAAATCCACTTGTGACGAGCTGGCCAGTCGAAAGGATGATTGCTACGAGCAAATTGCAGAGGAGTCGTCTCGTTCACGGCTGCACCCAAGTCGTGGTTGCTCGCCATGTTTCGTGCGGCGAGGCTGGCTACCTGGCCTATGATGATCGCGAAGCAGGCGTCGATGTCCATTGTCATAGATGGCGGCGGGGTGGCAACCGTTTCGCTCGGCTTCGACAGTCTGGATTCAGACGCAGCCCACCGTGGCAGGTTATCGTTGGTCGTGACCAAAGACTTTCCACATGCCTGTGGTTCCATGTCTTGACGGGAGCGATTGTAGCGCAGCATGTCCTCTTTCGACGTCACACCAGGCATCGCGCCTATCGACGAAGATGCAAAGACAGGGTGGCGCAGAGAAGTATACCTCCCGTCAAGCCAGTGATGGTACAAAGTCGCCCTGGAGGAGAGCCTGCTGTCAGCCATAAGGGTGTCCGCATCGAGACCAACCTTGGACGAAGGCATACTGAGCAGAGTGAGATGGGCAGAGAAGGGAGAAGGCTGGACGCTCAGATGGGGTCTGATCGGAAGGACGTCTCAATATATTGCCAGCCCTTTCGCAGTCATGTGAAGAGGCTGAGCAAGGAGACTTGTGCGTCAAAGGAGCATGAGTGATGTTGTCGGAATTGCCGACCATCTCTGATCGCCTCTTCCGCACCGTGGCGCCCGAGCGGAAGCAGGCCGATGTCACCTCGGACACAGCCATCGGAGCGCTGTTGACGTCCTCGACTTTCCTCAGACCACATCACCTGATCATAGGGTGATACAGACGGAAGCGCCGAAAGTGACAGACTCGAACAAGTCACTTCACCTGCACCCTTCTACATGTCAGCTTCTGCCACGGTCACAATGGGATCTGGCCGATATGGCACTGGACAGCCCGATCCGGATCATTAGGCTTTTCCCGGTGCGCGCCGCCTGTTCAGGTCGATCACGAACTGAAATTTCGAAATTGAGGCTGCCTCACCAAGGCGATTCAGCGTGAGGTCAGAGCTCCAAATCGAGTCGGAAGCGATAAATTCTCTGGTGCGAGAAGAAGACGAAATTGGCCAATTCGGAAGGCAAGCCGTGCATCTCCAAATCCCAAAACGCAGCCAACACCATCATCGCACTGCTGCTCTCCACCATCGTCTTTATCACGTATCCCCCACGACACGCATATTCAAGATGGCATTCTTCGGCTTCCGCGCTTACCCCACCCCGCTGTTGAAGCCCATGTGGCCCTTCTTCGTCGCCGCCGGTGTTGTCTTCTACGGAGTCAACAAGCTGCAGGACATGGCTGTCTCGACCGAGGAGGCTTCCAAGGACCCCCGTAACCCATACGGTTAGTATTGGCGACCTAGGTGGAGTGAGCAAGCGCACTACATCTCGGCGTACTAGGATCAGCGACGGGGCTGGTACAGTCACGCAAGGATGATGGCGTCGATGCAGGACCAATACCTCAAGATGCGCGGCGTTGCTCCTCCTCGATTGTTGTGCCACAAAGAGCATGGTGACTGACTCGATCTCCACTCTCATCCCACGTGGTCTCACAATACGACCCTACTGCATCGCACACAACAGGCCAGAAGGTTTTGAAGGCAGCTCACCACTAATTCAGCAGCAAGACGAACTTCCTTGCCAGACGGCGATTAACACCCTGCAGTCCAGCCGCATCTCGGATCGTCTCATCGATTGGCTCTTCTCCCCACCCAGCGTTCATCGTCTTCGACTCGCTCCTCAAGGGATTCACGAGGTTCCACAATTGATGTCACTCTCACAGCTGCAATAGCGTTTCCTCCCCTTTCGGCTCGAGAAGTTCATCTGGCGCAATCCAACACTAGATCACCGAAGCACAACGCGCGAGCAGAATACTTCGAATCTGCTTGGTCCGATCGCCTCTACAGAGCTGGTCGGATACGAGCCGCAGGATTGTGCTGTGTATGAAGAGCAGGAAAGACGTATGCATTTGGCCAAGAGAAGGCGACTCGAGAGCTTGCACCGTTGTGAAAGCACTCGGAGCAAAGGTGTCGATGTTTTATTTTCCTTGCGTTGCGGTCGAGTGATCTTGGTCACTTGTCTGGCTCGAAGCTCGCTGCCACACATGACATACCGATCTGAGCTGCTGATCTGTTCAGTCGTCTCAGCAGCGGCCTACTACCGATTTGCTTCGATGCCGTTGAAGGGGTTGCGGCCATCGTGAGCAATAGGCTGGGACACATGAAGCTTCGGCTCAGCAACGCTATCTTTGAGCTGCCTTCCTGAATGCCTCGACTGCAACCCTTCCCCTATCACTGACAGCACGAAGCAGCAAAGGGAACAGCCCGATTGGGACGAAACAGCAAAGCGATTGAGTGGCAGATGTGCACATTTTCCTAAATTGTGAGATCCTCACGAACCGAAGATCGCCCTCAAAAATTCTTCTCGAGTTTGGCGACCTTCATGAGCCGCTCTGCCGGCTCGCTTTACTTTGTTCTTCAGTTGCTCTCATTTGCTTCCACGTGTGTTGCGAAGCTGGCTTGGACGTCACCAGCATGGGCGCAAAATAGAGATCAGTCACCCGCCACTTACGTCTGCGAGCTGTCATCTGAGATGAACGGCTTGCTTGGTTGATCTGGAAAGGCGGAGGAGGCAACAAGAGAGCCAGCCATGTTTGACGTTGAACCTTCAAGCGCCACGATGGGAGGCTTTGAGCGAAGCGAGCGTGCGTGCGTGTCAGCAGGGTGCGGAGACTTTCCGGCTCGGTTTCACCGGGGAGCCAGACAGACGCGCCTGTGTTTGCTGTTGAAAATCCAGCAAACATGTGAGCCTCGAACAAAATCGACCAGCATCTCGACTCAACTCGATGTCGACTTCGCAGAAGACAAGTCGGAATGCAGCAGCCACACATGACCAACTTGGGACCGTAATCAGGAACGACGAGGGACCAGTGGACCAAGAAGACAGGGTACTTCGGAGGGTCCGACACTGAGCGGAAGCTGAAATGGTGAAAGCTGCCTCTTGGCATTTGCGAGACTGTGATTGATTGTTTGACAGCTTTGCGGCTCCCCCGCCCCGCCCCGCCCCCGCTTGCTTGTCTGCTTGCGCGCACGATCCGGTCACCACCGTAATTCCTTTCTTCGCTTTCTCCGCTTATTCCAATCTGCCGAGCTAACCGGCTGTCTTCCTTTGCTCGCTTGCTCGCTCGTCCCCCTCTCGGCTCACCCCACTGCACCCCTTCGCACGCACCCGCCTCTTTCCCGAATCACTTCCCACGCCTCCTCTCCTTCTCTTCCTCCTTCTCACCTGTCACATCCTCGACGTCGCCTGCCTTTCCGACCGTCACCACCATCGTCACTTCCCATCTCGATCACTCCTTCTTCCGCCTCCCGCAAAAAATGACGACCGACTTGCCCCCAGAGATCCCCTTCCCCCTCGAGAAGCAGATGCTTCCCGTGCCCGGCACCAAACAGCCCGGATTCTCGCCCATCTACAAGAGCGCCGCTCAGCCCGAGTACAAGACCACTTGCACCGTCTACGAGACCCTCCTCCGTGGCAAGGACGAGCACCTCAAGTCAGAAGCCGCTGGCTGGAGGCCCTGGAACCCCGTCACCAAGAACTTTGAGAACCACTTTGAGTGGTACACCTACGAAGAGGTCGAGGAGGAGCGCACCGCCATTGGCTCCGGTCTCGGCTACCTCGCCAAGTCTGGCCGTCTCGGTAGCGATGTGGGACCCTCCGAGTGGACTGCTGGTCTCTGGGTGCTCAACCGTCCTGAGTTCATGATTGTCGACCTTGCCAACTTGGCCTACAACCGTCGCACCGTCTCTCTCTACGAGACTTACGACGCTGCCTCGGCTCAGTACATCCTTTCGCACTCCGAGACGCGCATTCTCTTCACCACCACCAACCACGTTGGTGTCACGCTCGCTGCCGCTCAGGCTGGCAAGCTTCCTCTCCTCAAGGCCATTGTCATCCTCGACAGCTTCCGTCCCAGCAAGGAGACCGTCAAGGCCGGTGTCGTTGACCCACAGCGCGATGTCCTCGCCAAGGAGTGGGCCAAGGGCTGCGGAATCGAGATCTTCAACTGGTTCGAGATCCTCGAGCTCGGTCGTGCCAACTTGGCCGCTCACACTCCTCCCAAGTACGACTCGATCCACTCCTTCTGCTACACCTCGGGTACCACAGGCAACCCCAAGGGTGCCATCATCACCGCCGGCATGGGTGGCTACGTCACCACTTCGATGGCCTTCATCAAGCGCGGCAGCTTCACCCTCATCTCGTATCTCCCCACTGCGCACATCTACGCGCGTCTCTGCGAGATCGCCGTGTTGCGCACCGGTGGTCGTGTCGGCTACTTTTGTGGTGACACGACTCGCCTCTTGGAGGACATGGCAATTCTCAAGCCCGACATGTTCCCTTCGGTGCCGCGTGTGCTCAACCGCATCGCCGCTTTGGTCCAGGCTCAGGCCGCTGCTCCCGGCCTCAAGGGTGCCCTCCTCCGCAAGGCCATCGCTGCCAAGGTCGCCAACCACGACCGCGACGGCACCTTGACGCACGCCGTTTACGACCGACTCATCTTCAAGAAGGTCCAGGCGGTGCTTGGTGGCAACGTCAAGTACATTGTCTCCGGCTCGGCTCCCATTCGTGGGGATGTGCTCAAGCTGCTCCGTGTCTGCCTTGCCTGCGATGTTCGCGAAGGGTACGGTCAGACCGAGAACTACGGCTTCTGCACCATCATGGCTGCCAACGACACGTCTCTCGGCTCGGTCGGTGCCATCTACCCTGGAATGGAGCTCAAGCTTCGCGACGTGCCCGACCTCGGCTACACTTCCGAGGACAAGCCCTTCCCTCGCGGCGAGCTTCTGGTCAAGTCGCAATCGACCATCCCGGGTTACTACAAGGACGATGCCAAGACCAAGGAGACCATCACCGAGGACGGCTTCCTGCACACGGGCGATGTTGTCGCTATTGACCAGTTCAACCGCGTCAAGATTGTCGACCGTGTCAAGTCGCTGCTCAAGCTCTCGCAGGGCGAGTACGTTGCCATTGACAACCTCTCCGAGTTTTACGGACAGAACCCGCTCGCTGCGCAACTCATGGTGCACGGCGATTCGCTGCGCGACTACCTCATCGGCATTTCCGTTCCGGAGCCCACGACGTTCGCACCGCTGGCGAGCAAGATCCTCGGCCGCACCATCGCCCCCGAAGACACGGCCGCGCTGTCCGAGGCATGCAGCAACGAAAAAGTCATCGCCGCTTACCTCGACCAGTACACCAAAATCGCCAAGAACAACGGCCTCAAGGGCTACGAGTACATCAAGGGCCTTCACCTCACCATTGAGCCCTTCTCGGTCGAAAACGGCTTGCTCACCCCGACGTTCAAGGTCAAGAGGCACGAGGCGAGCAAGTACTTTGCTAGCCAGATCGAGGCGCTCTACGAGAAGGGGCCGGTCAACATCTCCAGTGGCCGACCTAAGCTCTAAGCACAATGACTGTTTCTACGGTTGTAGATTGGATATGCAATTTGTTTGACAGTGCTATGGCGTCTGGATGATGAGATGGTCGACGAGATGTGTGAGCCGTGAACACTGGTCGAATGAAGCGCTGGTACAGTAGCATCGGATGTGCGTGTATCAGTCGTGCGGTTCGAGGCAGGCAGAGTGCGGGGTATTTTTCGCACCTTGATTTTCCACGTTCCTTTTTGTGGCGCTCTTTCTCAGGTGAAGATGGATCGCTTCGGGAAAGGGTTTCGACCTCCCGCAACAACCTCTTGCTCACGAGCGATTGTGGTCGACCTCTCAACGACTTGCACACACTCAGTCATTCACGAAAAGAAGCGCAGAATCGGCATTCGCATTGCCACCCGCCTCTATCCGTGTGCTCTGCGCCTACTGCTGCGGCTGACCCTGGTGCTGGTGCTGGTGGTGATACTGCTGCTGAGCATGAAGACCATACGAGCCGTTCCCATTCATCGCAGGGTGCTGACGATACTGCTCGTGCTGCGCCGGTTGCTGCGTCTGCTGGGGCGCATAGTGGTATGCATATCCGCCATACTGCTGCTGCTGCTGCTGTTGCTGCTGGTAGGCGGGATGCAAACCGGCTGGAGCGGCGTGGTTGTACGGCGGTCGGTAGTCCGGATACCCGCCTCCGGAGGCGGCGTGAGGCTGGTGCGCCATCGGCTTGGCATATGTTGGCAGCGGCGGGGTGCGGTTCTGATATCCGGGCGGAGGAGCCGAGAGGTAGCCGTACTGCGAGGCAGACGTCATCCCCGGCGAAGCAGCGGATGACATGGACGATGCTACTGTCGCGTGTCTACCCCCGTCGCCGCTAGCAATGGCGTGTTGGGGATGCGCCAGATAGCCGCCCTGCTGGAAGGGCGCGAAGGATGAAGGTGCGCCATAGGCTTGCGCGGCGTGCCCACCCCGCTGCTGCTGCTGCGGCTGTTGATGAGTATAGCTCGGAGAAGCACCGCCGACGGGGTACTCGTTGCGAGCGTAGCCAGACGGTTGACCAGCAAGACGAGCTGCGTAGTGTCCAGCTTCGCCGTTCATGGCGAATGCCTGACCGCGATGCATCGGTTGGTATTCGGGCGGACCGGAATACTGCTGCTGCTGGGCGTACTGCTGGTGCTGGTACTGCGGGTGTTGCTCGACATACTGCGGAGGCTGCTGGGTGTTGGGCGCCTGAGCTGCGTAGGTAGCGCGAGGACCACGCTTCGACTGCTGAGGATGTGCCGTCTGGACTTGCGCGGGAGCTGGCTGGTGCATGGCGTGGGCCGGCCATGACAATGTCGCCGGAGGCAGGTCCATGGGCGCGGCGACCGGCTCAACAACTGCCTCTTGCGCCGCCTTCTTCTTGGTCTGTCGCTGGCGTTTGGGTTTCGGCTCTGGCTTCTCTGGCACCGCTGCCAGGACGGGCACAGTCGCCTCCACCTCGGCAGCAGCGGGCGCTGCTGCTGCTTCCGCCCGACTCTTGCGAATTCTCTTGGGAGCTGGTGCAGGCGCAGCCGCCGCTTCCGCAGCGGCGAGGCTGGCTTCTTCTGCCTCCTCGATCGCAGCCTTTGCATTTGCGCTCGCCTTTTCACTTGCTTTTCTCCTGCGCTTGTTCGGCTGCGAAGAGCCGTCTTCTGTCGTCGCAGCTGCGGCAGATCCAACAGCCGCCGGCAGAGCTACAGCTTGAGGCTCTTCCTTGACTTCGTCGGCGCCCGGAGACTCGAATATGATCTGCTGGAACTTGACCGTGCTGGGACGTCCCTCGTCCTCAATCACGATCTCGTCTTCGTCCTCGCGGATCTCGACCATGAGCGCTTGGAACATGCCTCCCGAGGTCCTGATCCTGACCATGGATGGAATGGGCAGAGCGTAGACGCGCTCGCGCAACTCCTCGGCCTTGCGCGCTTCCTCTGCCTCACGGAAGAGTGGGTTGTGGGTCTTGCAGAGCACCACGAGACGCTCGCCGTCCTCGAGCCCGTCGGTTTGCTGAGCGCCCGTCGGCGTCTTCTTGCCTTCGAGACGATCCGCCGTCTCTCCGGGGCATACGTCGACGAACCAACCGTGCTCCTCGACGAGAGCACAGCTGACGTGCGCCGAACGAGGACATTTGCCGCGCGTGCATTGGATCTTGGGATACAGCTTCTGCAGAGTTGGACTGGGGCAGATCTGGCACTTGAGCGAGAAGCGGGCTTTGTCGATGCCCTCGATACCGCAGACGACCTCAGCTTTGCCTTGCCTGCCGACCCAAGTCTCGGGCACAAAGCTTGCGCAGAGTCGATGAGCGTGACGACCCGACATGGCCTTGAGTTTGGAGTTGGTAGAGTCGACCTCAGCGGGAGTGGCCACCAGATCGGTGTGGACATTGGCGGGACAAAAGACGCATGGACTTGCTGACACCTCCTTTGCATCGACGTAGAAGCCGTCACCGCCTTGGAAGAGGTGTGGGATGGCGGGATTGGCAGCAGCTGCGGCTTCGTCGGCCTCCTTCTTGAGTCGTCTGCGCTCCTTTGCCTTTTCGTTTCGGATTCTGCGCTTTTCGATCTCCTCTTCCTCGATGGCATGGACGGCGTCCTCCTTAGCACGTCGCAGCTCGCGCTTGCGTTCAAGCTCCTCCATCTCTTTGCTCTCCTCGAGCAGTGCATCGACGTCAATACGAACGCTGTTCTGCGACATGTCGCAGTGGCAGTAGTTGGCCTTGCGACCGATGTCGAGCCACGACTCGAGCGCAAAGTTGACACTCTCGGCACAATTGTAGCCAAGATTGAATCCAGAATGGTAGCCGAAGGGGTAGGTGATGACGAATTCGCCTGCGTTATGGACGAGCTTTAGGGGACGAATGCCATGCGAGGCGAGGAAGGAGGGTGAGGCGAGATATGATTTGTGTCGCATAAAGTGGGGGCAGCGTCGCGCATCAGAAGGAAAGGCGCCTGCCATGGCGGACTCGAAGCGCTGTCGATCTGCTTGGCGGATGGCATACCACTGCTTGGGTGCGCCAAAGTGGATGTAGTTGATCGAGTAGAGGTCCATGTCTTCTACGTGCCATGCGAAAGTGGCTCGCCACATGCCCCAGTAGAGGTAAGGAGTGTTGACGCCCGGCAGCTTGCGCTTGAGTCGAAGACGGGTGAGGACGCTGTCGAGCTTGCCGACGTTCCAGTGCTGGGTGCGGCCGTCAAAGAGGGTGCCACTGAGATCAGCGCCGTACATGGGTGGCTTGCCAAAGTTGAGACTGCGCCAGTATTCGCTCTCGATCTCTCGACACACTTCGGGTGTCCACTCGGAAGGAGAGGGAAGGACAGGTGCAGCGGTCAATGCCTTGTCCTCCGCCGTCACAGCGGCAGCGGCAGCGTCAGTCGACTTGCTCGTTGAGGCGGAAGCCTGCTCATCGAGCTGCGATATCTGTTCTATTGAAAGCGCTTCTTTGCGCCAGCAGTTCTTGTAGTCGAAAGCGCACCACTCGTCGTGGGTGGTAGCGTCGGCCTCCCAGTTCTTCTTTTGCTTGACGGGCGAAGGGTCGCGAGAGGCAGGCGGCGACTTGACAGGGGTGTTCTGAACAATACGCTGGGAGCGACGCTCGGGAGAGGAGGGAGAGGTGGGAGCTGGTGGTGGTGCAGTCGATGGGTCCTCCTCGAGTGCAGGTTGGGATGCTGAGACGGCGTCCTGTGCATCATCTAGTTCGGTACGCTTGCGTTTGCCGTTGGTCTTTGCTTCGGCAGCAGCACCATTCGTGGAAGGACGAGCCTTGCCACTCCTTGTACGAACCCCGTCTTCCTCTAGAATTGCCGAGCTGTTGCTGTCCTTGGTGCCGATGTTCCTAGGTCCCCAGCCGCCGTTGGAGGCACCTTCGACTTCGACCTTCCACTTCATGCGATCCATTTCGGGGCCCTTCTGACCCTCGGAGACGCACATTTCGGACCACTGCTTGGCGTTCCAGATCTTGCCGGAGCGAGTTGTGTTGAGCTGACGCCAGACGCCGGAGCCAGCGGGGGTGAAGTGTTGCATGATAGCATTGCGGATGCGAATCTTGGAGACGTCGGCTCGGTCATCCTGTTCGACGCCGGATTCGTGGGTGGAAGAAGAAGCGGTGCTGGACTTGTCGCGGGTGGGATGAAGATCTGGCAAGGAGTCTCGCCACTCTTTCGGGGGGACCACCTTGACAATGCCGTACTGCATGCCCCAACGGTCGACTGCCTGGCAGAAGGCGTAGAAGTCCTGGAACTGCTGCATGGTGGGCTCAAAGACGGGAATGCCATCATGTGAAGAGGATGCGGAGCCGTCGGCTGGATAGAAGTAAGCGGGTTCGACTGAGGCGAGGGGATGCTCTTCTTGTTGCGCTTGTGGCTGTTCCTGTGAAGGCTGCGGTGGCTGCGGTGTCGAGGGACCAGGCGTCTGCTCGGAAGTGGGATCTTCTGGGACACTGTCTACGGGAATTTTGAGCGAGCCAGCATCGGCGACTCGAGCCACGGGCTGAGTATGGTCTGAGCCATCAGCTGAGGTGGCTGGAGTTGAGTGTCGGCTCGAGTCGGTGGGAAGATGAGCAGGCGACATGTCGTTGGAAGGCGAGGAGGCAGAGGCTGCTGATGCTGCTGCGGCAAGGCTGTCGAGGTGCGGCAATCGTGGAGATGAAGCAGAAACCTGCTCAAAAGTCTCTGGTCTCGAGTTCGACGTCGCGGGGAGTGGGGTGTCGAGGGCGGGTGGAGCCGCCGGCATTGCGTCCGGAGCTGACATGGTGAAAGGGAAGCGACGATTCCTGCGTCAGTGATACGCTCAATTGTGATGATGCGGCTCAGTCTGCTGTTGAAAAGAATGTCCGCGCTACGCCTGTGGTGAAAGAAATGGTTGTTCCGCTCTAGAATCTTTGTACGAGACGAAGGGCTGAGCTAATCGGACGTGTTGTGGGGACCAGATGTTGATCGACTGGCGCTGTATCGACGGAATCGTGAGCTGAGCAGAATGTCGATAGCGTGGGCGGTTGAGATGATGCAGGGTGAAGAGTGATGGCGACAATTCGTGACAAAGGAAGGCGGTGACGGCGAGGGTGATGAGCGTGATGAAGGCGAGTTGAAAGGGTCGGAAGCCTCCGCCCAAAAGAAGGCCAAGCGGAGAGGGAAAATTAAGAAAGCAACCGGCGCGTCAGCAGCGGCCCTTTTAGGAAAAATTAAAGACAGAGCAACAGCGCAGCGACAAGACAAAAGAAAGCCAGCATCTGGTTCCTGCACGCTTTCTCATCTCGTTCGGGACAACCCGACCTTCGCCCTGCTTCTCTAGCCCACTTGGCTGAGCTTTGGGATCGGAATCATCCTCATTGCTTCATCAATTGGAGCTACTCGCGACTGTCACCTTTGAGAAGTGCGCAGAAGCGTGGGAGGAACGAGCTCGAGAGAAATTGCATGAGCGCACGACGTTGGCTCAGCTTTGTCTTTGCATGTCCTTTGCAGCAGCCAGAAAAAATAAGAATTCATCTAGCAAGGCACTTTGGCTGTCTCTCGGTCTCTTCTCAAGGGGAAAAAGAGTGCCACCCCTCATCGAAGCTGCGCAGCGAACACTCACCACTCTGAAACACAGAGAAGGGAGAGGGTCTGCAGACCCTTGGGACCAGGTGTTTTAGCGAAATGCACTCCGCTCTCTCTGTCTGCTTCTTGGTGGCAGCATCTTGCATGCACCGCAGATTCTCTTGAAGCTGTCTTGGTACAGCAGAACAAGCTTCGGGATCTTATCGCTTCTTCGATTGATCACGTCGCAAGAGAGACTCACCCAGCCAACATGAGTTGCCAAGAGGTGGGTCACGAGCGAGCACGCCGGAATGACTGTCGGTCACTCTTACTCAAGCGAGTCGTCAATTGAATCGGCCGAAATGACTCAAATCGGGAATTCCGCACCGTCGGACGAGCATCCGGTTTGGCATGAACACCAACACAGCACACACACACACACACACACGCACAGACGCTCGAATCTAAGCGAGTGATTCGAGCTTCGATTTTGGTGTTGTTCTCGCTTCCATCACATCCTTGTCACAATCGCACCCGCGCCACGATGGATGACTTGCTCGATCTCAGCTGGCAGCCGACTCAGGCAAAAGCTCAGTCGAAGCAGCAATCATCCTCGTCGTCCATCTTCAACACCACCTCTGCCAAGGCGAGCAACGCCAACTACTACGGCTCTTCTTCTTCGTTCACCACCTCATCTTCTGGCAATCAATCTCCAGCTCCTGGCGCTGCTTCTGCTACAGCTTCAAAACCCATGACAAGTGCGAGTAGCGATGCTTTCTCGTCGCTATTCTCCTCCTTATCCGCCGCCAAGCAGGAAGCCAGCTTGAGCTTGGCCGAGCGACAAAGACTCGCCAGGGAGCAGGCAACACAAAAGGCTCAGGATGACAAGCGACGGAACGATGCAATGTGGTCAGGCATCGAATCCACCTCGTTTGGCGGCCCAATTGCTTCCGCTCGTCCCTCCCACACATCTCAACCGCCATCAATAGCTCCCGTTCAGCGTCTCGGGTCACCAGCTAAGCCCAGCCCAGCTAAGCCAGCCTCAGATCCTTTCGATTTCGACGCCTTCTCTTCCGTGGTACCGAACAATTCGAGCAGCAAATCCAAGTCGACCCTATCATCAATGACTACTGCCCCGTCCAAAGCTCAAACGAAAGCAAATGACCCATTCGACTTTGACAGCTTCGACCAGCCCTTCTCCTCTGCACCAAAAGTAGCCGTACATGCCGAACCCGGCGACCAGTCCGACGACATCCTCGGTGCACTCGCTATGCCTGTCTCTGCTACACCGAACGAGTCTCTATCAGCGCGCGACCCACGCATCGCGACACTCTCCAGCTCCACTTCCACCTCCTCCGCGGGCAGCTCCAGAGTCCCATCTCCAGCCAGTGGCAGTCGTCCTGCCATCGGGCGCTCTGCTCCAGGGCGGAAGAGTTCGCCTCCGCCGCACACTATCGGTCAGATTGTAGAGATGGGCTTCACTCCGCAGCAGGCAAGGCAAGCACTTGCACGGACCGACACGGGCACCGACGTCGAGGCAGCGCTCGAGCTGCTCGTCGGAAACGGCAACGCACCGCACGGCGCAGACGACCAAGACGAGCGGCTCGCACGTAAGCTCCACGCCAGGGAGCAGAAACAAGCCCAATCTCAAGCAGCTCCCTTCCACGATTCGTACGATGATGACTTTGATCCAAAGGAGGTCGCTCGCCAGATCAAGCAACACGGGCAAAAAGATCAGCCCGAGCAGCGTCAGCGCCAGCGGAGCAACAATGAAGCTAGGCGTGGAGCGGCCGGCACCGACAACGAAGGAGGTGCTGATTGGCAGCAGCAGGCTGATCAGCTGTATGCCCAAGCATCCGAGATCGGCACCTCCGTCTTCAACAAGGCCAGCGCCTTCTGGTCAACCGCCAAAGCCCAAGCGCAAAAGGCGCTGGACGAGCATAACCGCGCGGGAGCCGAGCGTAGCTCCACGCCGTCAGATGCTGGCAGCGACCGCCATCGAGCACGTAGATGGGGCGCTTCCTCGGCAGCTCCGAAGAATAAGGAGTGGGAAGGAAAGCCCAAATGGATGATCGAGGCCGAGCAGGCTGAAGCCAACGAAGCGAATGGCACCGGCAGCCACGCCTCGCAGCTCAAGCAGAGCGCCGATGGTCCGGCAGAGGTTGGTGGTTTCAAGGATTCCGACAACGAAGACGAGGCGATTGCACCGGAGCCGCCGACCCGAGCCCCTCGTCGGCCCGCTGCGCCTGCAAGCGCTGCAGCTGCCAGTGGTGTCGCCGCTGCTGCATCTGCCATGTCCTCTGTCGCTAGCTCCCTCTTCGGAGGCGGCAAGGCTGAGGACGCCGGACGAAACCTCTCTCGACAGCAGAGTCCCTCTCAACCGCCGCCAAGCGTGCCTGCCCGGAGCGCTGCTGCTGCCCCGAAGGCACCTTACGCCTCACCCAACCGACGCGGCACTCCCGCTCGCTCTGCAGCGCCATCGCCCATCCCACCCAAAGCGCCCCTCAAACGCCGTCCGATCCCCTCGGACGCGTCTCACTCAATCTCGTCAGCCAACCGCAACAAAGAAGAAGGCAACGAGCACTTCAAGCGTGGCGCGTACGGCGATGCCGAGACAAGCTACACCCGCGGCATTTCCGCTCTCGAGTCTTCTAGCTCATCCGAATCGATCCGCCTCGTGCCGCTATTCAGCAACCGCGCCAACGTCCGTCTCAAAAACGGTGACGCACCCGGCACGGTCGCCGACTGCGACCAGCTGCTCTCCATCGTGCTCTCCCTCTTCGGCGGGTCGCAGCGGGATGCCAACGGTCGAATCGCCGTCTACCGTGCAAGCCAGGAGGCTCCTCTCCCCGCCGAAATCGCCGACATCAACCTGCGCGAGACCTACGGCAAAGCGCTCGTCCGCCGCGCTCAGGCACTGGAAGCGGCCGAACGCTGGAAGCTCGCCAAGGCAGACTGGGAGGTGCTGCTGGAGTACGAAAAGGCGGAAGGCTCGGGTGTCAAGACGGGAGCGAGCAACATGAAGTTTGCCCGCGAGGGTCTGCATCGGTGTGGCAAGATGTTGGGTGAGAAAGTGGTTGGACCTGCTGTTTCCTCTACTGGTCCTCCCGCTCGCACCAACAACGCACGCGCACCCACTCGAAGCAGAACCACTCCAGCCGCTGCGGGCGAGAAAGCCAGCGCGGCATTCGCCAACCAACAACAGCAACAGGCGGCAGAAGAGACGGAGAAATTCGCGCTCAAGGACAGCGTCGATGCCCGCATCGAGGCGTGGAAGCGCGGCAAGGAAACCAACCTCCGCGCACTCCTCTCTTCCCTCGATACGATCGTCTGGCCCGAACTCGGATGGAAACCTATTGCTCTCCATCAGGTGCTCGATCAAGCAGGGTTGAAGAAGAACTACACCAAGGCCATCGCCAGGTTGCATCCAGATAAGATTCGGAAGGACGCGACCACCGAGCAGAAGATGATCGCTAGTGCCGCGTTCCATGCGATCAACGAGGCGTGGAATGCACAGCAGTAGCGGCGTTCGTCGGCGATGCTTCAGGTGAGCAAACTTTAATGAAGTGCACATGTTCGTTGTAGTCAGATTTGCAATGGTAAAATTTGTGCAGCGTACAGTAGAGCAGGGCGGACTATGAACAGGTGTGGACGGGAGGTAGGAGTGCGAGTCGACAGATCGTCCAGCTGACCTGCTGAGTGAGATCTCGAGAGCGAGGTGGTGTCTGAAAAGGGCCTGACATTTTGGGCGTGGCTCGGTGAGTCGAGGTCGAAAGACGGCAAGCGTGGAGGCTGAAGGCTGGGATGCGAGGATCTGCTTCCACGTGAGCGACCCGTTGCTCAGCCTGCGTGGTCCGACTACCTCCTTGGCGCAGCACCTGCCGCACCAGCAGCAGGCGCATTCGCCGCTGCCGCGCCCGCCGCTGGTTGTCCCGCCCCCGCCGCCGGTGGGTTCTGCACCGACAGCACCGAGCTCGCGTACCTCGAGATCAGATCCGTCAGGGTCAGGTACGCCTTCCTGACGACGGGCGGGCAGCTCTGGTGCTGCGTGTATCCATCCAGTACGCTCTTGACGTGCTGGAATGCTGCGCGGGTGAACGAGCTCATGTAGAACCTGAGGCGCAAGAAGTGGGCGTAGAAGAGCGGAGCCATGAGCGAGTTGCGGAAGAGTATGGCGCCAAAGAGGACGCGCGCAAAGATGGCCACCTCGGCATACGCGACGAAGCGCATGGCAGGGTCGTAGTTGGCCTTGACCCATCCTTGGACGAATTTGGCGATCTTGGCGGGTGGTGCGGCGGGTTGGGCGGCAGGTGCTCCACCGGCAGCGGCTTGGTTGACACCCGGCGCGGGCGAGGCGGAGGGGAAGATGATGGGGATGACGGTGGTGCGCAGGAAGGTGAGCACGTGGAAGAGCGAGAATGTGACGAAGGGAATCAAGGTGATGAAGATGGGCTTGGACATGAACCAGTAGACGGCGAGGAAGAGGTACTGGACGTTTTCGTCCATCAGAGCACGCTGGATGTATGGTTTGTTGAGCTGAGGGACGCCGAACGACTTGTAGACGACGACGCAATACGAGATGATGGCGCCGAGGTAGGTGGCCGTATACCATCGTGAGAGACCACCGGACGAGGTTGCAAACATCAATGTGCCGGCGAGGTATCGGAGACCTGCAAAGAAGCAGAGGAAGTGGCCGGCAGCCCAGATGAGGTGCGGCGTTGATGCTGATGGTCGTGCCTGCATTGTAAAAGTCAAGGAAAGCAAGGATGAGCACGAGTGACGCAGGGGAAGACAGAAATGGATGGATGTCAAACTTACCATGATGGGCGAGCGCTCTTCTACGGCGAGCTGACGGTGCAGGGTCTGATCAGAGGAGCGAGTCGCGCAGAGTTGTCGGCTTCAAGACCGTAGAGGAGAGCGTGCGTGTGACAGCCTTGAGATGCTCCGTGATGATGGTCGGAAGGACCGCTTTGTGATACGAATGCAGTGTGATTGGAAGAAAGAGGTGGAGGCAAGTTTCAAGATAGGAACGCCCTTTGGCTGAGTGAGGATGATCCGAGCGGGTCACACGCCGCTGAAGAAAATCACCACAGCCACGCAGAACCACGCCGAGCGGCATGACGTGCCCTTGCCGCTGTGGCAGCAAATCGCGATCTTCGGATGGCCCGATTTGCTTACTCCAGATTCTCACGCTCAACGGCCTGCTTCCGACGCCAGGTGATATGAAATAATGCGGGTGAGCCGCCAGGGTTCAAGCAGCCGGCTGCGCAGTCGGATCAGAGCGCATTCACTCGCGTCGGCAACTTAGCGGAGCTGCTCCTCTGACTCGAATTTGGTTGCTCTTCTCCTCCTCATCCTCACTCTCTCGTCGTCACCATCACCCGCGCTCACTCACATCGTCTCAACAGGCTCAGCATCCGAACAAGCTCGGCTCAGTCCCTCCCGTTGCGGTCACAGCAGGATCGCTTTCGCTTCAGGTGGTCGCCAAACTCCAAGCAGTCTTCTCTCCAACACATACCGCAGCATGATTGTCAGGATATCCCTTCGTCATCGCCTCTGAATCTACTCGACAACAAAGGCAAAGCACAACAATGTTCGGAGAGCATATATCGACTTCTCCGCGCACACCTTCGCCCTGGTCAGCGCGTCTCTCTACTTCGGCATCTACCAGCGCGTCGACGACCGCGCCTCCCACTCCGCCTTCCAATCAGCCGTTCGGCGACGAAGCACATCGACTTTTCGCTAGCACCGGAAATCGCAAGGAGCAGGATCATCAGCTGCCTGAACTGCACCTGCTCAATATGTCCTGTGACGATGCGCTCTCCGACATCAGCGACGAGGCTGACGGCTTCTTCTCGCTCGACATGGACGTAAGCATCGATCAGCAGCTTCAGGACGATCGACCCGCGTATACGCAGCCTGCACCAGCGATCTCGTCACGCAACGGACGCCTCGAAGCGTCTCCGCAGCGCGACGGTCGTGAAACATCAGGCTCGCCTCTCCTTCACCCGGCAGTGCGCAGGGCCTCCGAGACGGTCGCCTACTCCTCATCACCACTGCAAGGTGTCGGACTCGATCCCATCATGGCCTCGCGGTCGCGCAACTCTCCCGCGCTCAACAGTGTCAATGGCAACAATACAGCGAATACTGCCTCAAACAGCGACTTCCGTGGCGTCACTCCACCGTCTTCGTTCGGTCCAATAGCACCAGAGGTGGATCAGAAGGGCAATCTTGAGTACAAGCTCAAGATCCTCCCTCCCAGCAGGGAGCGCTTCGATCGTCTCGTCACGCAGCTCAAGTGGCGACTGCTCGAAGGCGGTGGCACGGCCGTATATGAGATCGGTGTACTGGATGATGGCACCCTCATCGGCCTCGACCCAGACTCGATGAAGGACTCGCTCAAGCTCCTGTCCCTCATGGCAGCAGAGGTAGGCACCGAATGCCATGTGCAGCGAGTGCTCGCGTTGGAGAAGGTGGCGGCTACCGAGAACGACGCGAGAACGATCAAGGGCAGCATTGCACACCCAATCCCAGCGACGTCGCGCCTCGCTACATCCGAATCAGACCTCAGCCTCCGAGCTCTTTCACCGGCGGAAGCAGTCGAGATGCTGCAACCTTTCGTGCACACCGCTACGCATTTCGGCGAGCATCAGCGTGCGTATCCCGTCGGTAATGGCGCAGCTGGGTCCTACCGCTTCTCTATCGCACAGCAGCAGCTCATCCCGCCTCCGCTCGCCACACTCGACGCAGACGCCTCCGCATCCGTCGCAGCAGTCGACCCTAGCGACGCGGCCATCCTAGCGAGCACCATCGAAGACGAGGTGGCCATGTCGGCGCAAACCAAGCGTCGCCTACTCAAGTCCACCGTCGGTCTTCCCTCCCGAACCAAACGGGACATTCTTCAAGGACTCGACCAGTCGGCAGTGATCTACCTCCCCTCGAAAGAAGAGAAGCGCCTGCTCCGGGCAGCTGAAGCGGAGCACGAAGCCGCCACCGCTGCCGCCGCTGCCGATCGCGCGCTATCGCATACCGAAGCACAGGAGCGACGGATGATGGCGAAGATGACGCGCGTCGCGGACTCGGTCCAGCCCAAGACGGCGCGTGCGCGTGCCCGGGCGAAGAAGTCGGCAAATGGAAGCACGCAGGAGGAGGAGAGCGAGTCTCCTACGCCTTCGCCGAACATGATGCCGGTGACGAGCACAGGGGCCTACGCGGGATACGAGACGGTCATGAGCGCTTTCGGCGTGCTGTCGGAACGCGCGGCGAGGACGCTGTACGGGGCCGACGCGGAGGATGGGCTTGGGAACGGGGGCGTGAAGGGAAGGCTGATCGTCGAAGCGGTGGTGAGGAGGTGTGTCGAGTCGGTGGATAATCATGCCGATCATCAGGCCGCGGAGCTGAAGCTTGGGGAGGGGATGTAGTGCACGAGATGCTGGGCCGCGATCGATGGGAATGAACAGCATTCGATGTGGTCTCTTTTTGGGTGTGAGTCATGGATGTGTTGTGTCGAGACGGGTGTCGTGAGATGTGCTTCTGGCCGTCGAATGTCGATCTGAGTCGAGGGATCTCGCCGGCTTGACTGACCAACACCTTGGGCCCAGTAAAGAGACAGGTTGGCCATTACTTGTCTTAGCATCGAACTGGGAGCCGTGTTGTCGGTCGTCGCAAGTAGCGTCGAGCCAGTCGCGACGACCGCACAGTGTACATGGCAGAGACGTGGGCACACTTGTGGACCAAGCCGCCGTTCAGCGGGCCCGAGACTTGGTCGTCCACACGCGACTGCGCCAGTTGCGAGCTCCTGAGATTGCGAAAAGAACATCGTCGCTGTGACAATTGACCTTCCTCGTACGTGTCCATATCGCAGAAAGCGTGACTAACTACTTTCGATCTTTTCACTACGGCCTCGCCCGGCTCTTTGAAGGAATCAGGCTGCTCAATAAACAAGACGAGGAGACCTGCATGTAGACAAACAAAATGAGATTTGCGAGAGCTGAACATCGCAGCGAGTATTTGTGAAACGTACAGTATTGGAGGGAGTACATCGATCGGAAAGCAGGCGCAAGAAGACCTGCTTCAGCGCTTCGGCGTTCGATAGAGTCGGTCGAGCGAGAGAGCCATGGAACGGGCGGCGTCCAGTATTGCAGGTGAGGCGTCCGTGGAAGCGTAGATGACTCTCAAGTGCTGGTCCACAACGCTTCGAACCCGCCTCTCAGTTTCTCCAGAGTAGAGGGGGCAATCGACGCCGAAAAGGTAGCAATAATCACACTTTGAGACACCGGGTCTCCGTTCAGAGACTGCGTCATTCTCGTAGCCAACGCCGTATGTTGTACGAAGACGTTTGAAAGCCATGAGGGCGCATGCTTGAGGAGACTCCACCATCCCGTCCTCAAGGGGCTGGTCAAGGGTCGGAAAGTCCGACTGCCATGCTCGACGCACTCCGACAGGCACCAGGATTCGTTGTCGATTATGTTCCGGTCCGGTCAGATAGGTGCCCGGGCGAGCCGCTGGAGCATACTTCGTATCGTGGCGATTGTCCTCAACCCAAGATTCGTCTGAAGTTGCCGGCTTGTCGATCTCCTTGATTGAGTCACGACCATTGCTCTTGTCGTCTTTCGAACCGATCATGGTAATTCCTTCATCGCCCGAGTCAGTCAGGCCGTCTTCACCGTCCGAGTCGATGAGATGATCCTCGTCCGAATCAGATTCGGATGGTAAGCAGTCGCCGTCCTCGGGATCAGAGGGAATGTCGTCGGCTCGAGCGAATGCTACAAGACCATCACCGTCGCTGCGGGAACGCCCAATGGCAGACTGCTGGTCATTCGCAGTGACGACATCATTGCGCTCGGCACCCTCAGGAGCACGTTCGGTGCTTGTGTCCATTGTATTGTGCTCAGCTTCGTCTGGCATCTCGAAGACTGCGAGGCTGGCTGCTCGGGCTTGGACGAAAGCAGTGAGCTTGTCGGATAGAGGCCGGATACGCTGCCCGAAGTTGAGGTCCCCATCGTATGTGATCGCGATGTCGGTGGCGTGGCGGACAACCTTGCCAAGTCTTGACTCCATCAGATCCGCAAGGCCGATCCCGTGTCGGCCTATCTGCAGAAGCGCTTCGTGCGCTCTCCCAAAGCCATCTGGATTGAGCTTCCGACCGTTCGGACTGTTCGAATCTTTATCAAGGAAGGCTCGCTGCAGGTCCCATCGCCATGCTTTCACTTGGGCAAGAGTCGCCTTTGGACGCACGGAGTGGACTGTGGTGGAAGTGGCGGCCGGTGACTCCGACGCAGCTGGAGTGATGGTAGACGAAGTGCTGGACGGAACAAGCATGTTGCTCAGCGTCTGGGTCTCGACCTCGTGAGAGCCGTCGATGATGGTGGGGTTGGCGTTCACCGCACCGACCGTGTCATGATGGTGGTCGTCACCCGTGCTGGGAGACGAAGCCTGCTGGCGATGCTGGCACTGTAGAGCGTTACCTTGGCGTATAGAGAAGGAGACGTCCTCCTCGAGCCCTTCGATGACGAAAGTCGCCTTGACTTTGACGTGCTTCCGACGCTTTCCCATGTTTCGATGGCAAAAGGCGCTCGAACTTGTGTCAGGGAACGACGAGAGATGGGTGTTTGGCGATGTAGGTTCGTCGGTCGGATGGAGTTTGTCGAGGTTGACGGTGGCGGTGTGAAGAGATGAAAAGCTGCTCGGTCGAGTAATTTATTGAGCTGCGCCGCTCGTAGTCGATCGCTCTGGCCAACTTCGACTGCATTCGGCGCAGTACAGACCCACCCGCTCATCAGAACATCCAACAACGCCTCGATGTAGTCACACGAGCTACTTCTATGAAGTCACACGAGTGCGCTTCTGCCTTGTGACTGGATCGAAGTACGCGTCACGTCGCTTCACATCGAAATGAAATGAAATGGCGCAGCGAGGAAAACTCCCTTTTCACACAAGTGTCCCAGACGCAAAGTGGGCGGCAGCTGGGAGAGAGACAAGAGGAGCGCGGATCGAAGGCAAGTGCTTCAATGTCGTCTCGCACGACATTGTTCCAGCTTGGATCGTAGCGAAGTTCAGTGTCGAAGCGTCTCGCCTTCTGCTACTTTTGTTCGTGTCGTCTTCTCAGCATCTTCTCCATCATGACGTTCTCATTGTCTACACAGCTTCATCTGAACTTGAAGTAATGCATTGCGTGCACAAGTCAACCTTTGAGTTCCATTCTTATCCATCACCGTCGTAAACCCATCACCCTCGTCTTCGCCACCACCACCCTCCCAAAGCAGCAGCACTAGCCAAGCCCATTGACACGCCCACAAACACAATCAGTCCCCTAAACCCATTGATCCCATACTCACCCTTCACGTCCCTCGTAACAACATCCGGCCTGTACAGCGCGGACCCGATCAGCGGTCCTGCCACCGCCGCAATGCCCCTAATAAACATCCAACACAAGAACTGAAGCGCATTGTCCGACCGCGTGCTCTCCGCCACATCGCGCGCGATAGGCGTGATGAAGCATCCAAAGCCGCCGCCTACCGCGCCAAAGGTGAGGACGAACACGAGGACCAGCGGGAGCGATGTTGCGAAGCCGAACAGCAGAAGGGCCAAGATGGAGCACAGACCGCAGGAGACGGACATTGCCAGGGTGAAAGAGAGTCGGTCGATAGCCGGACCGGTGACGAGGTACCCGATGATCGCCGAGGCGTTGAATGCGGATAGGATCCCAGTCGAGATCGTCGAATTGAACCCCAGAGCAGTGGCGTACGTCGCGATGTACAGCGAGACAATGTACCAACCGAATGCTTGGAGCATGATGACCACGAAGTAGATGATAGCGATTGGGCTCAGCAGGGGTCGCAAATCGCCAGGCAGCAGCACGCGAAGCAGCTCCTTTCTCGACGACGGCAGCCCTTTGTGAGACTGCGAGGGTTCGATCCGTGGCTTGACAAGGTACAGCGCTGTCCCGTTGAGCAGCAGCTGAGCGAGCGCCCAGACGCGCATGGTCCAGGCAAAGCCAACCGACGTCAGCAGAGCGTTCAATGCGAGGGGGAACACCACGCCGCCAACACCTGAACCCATGAAGATGGCACTCGTCGCAAAGCCCCTCTTCTTATCGAACCACTGTCCGAGATACAGCACGACAGGTGTCAGAAGAACGCCGCTGGTGATGCCGAAGAACACGCCTTGGAACGCGATCAGCATAGCAATGTTGGTCGAGAAGGAAGCGATCAGGATGGAGAGCGCACTGAGCACCAGGCTCACCATCACCATCTTGCGATGCAGGTGTGCATACGTCGTGGTGAAGCCTCGGAGCAGCAGAGGCACAAAGTGCTGACAGCCAATGACGAGAGTGCCGACGGCCGAGATGCTGGTGACGCTGTTGCCGTAGAATGGGGATTCCGGATTGTGCTCGTGGTAGTCCTGGAAGCTTCCGTACGAATAGGCGATGCCCCACACCATCGACCAGATGACAAAGCCGCATATCACGAAGCGCCACGCTGCTGGACCTCGGTCTATTGGCGGTAGATCAAGCGCAACTGTGTCGCCAGCTGACGAAGTGGACGGACGACGCTGAGAAGGTGGGTACGATGCAGTGAGGATGGGGGGCGTGGGCGGGTTCTCGTCGTCGCTCGATCCTTTGCTGTCGCTGTGTTTGCTCCGGTAGTGCTCCTGCCCATCTTCGTCGTCCTCAACGATGGCTTGGTTTGAAGCGTACTGCGGTGTCGACGCCATGCGTGCTCGAAAGTCGTTTGCCTCGGAAGCGTCGGTGTTTGAGGATCGCGAAGGACGGCGTTGCTGGAGACGCGACGAGGAAGCGCCACCGGGGGCAAGAGCCGCCCGGCTCGAGCTGGCACCGGACTGTAACGACATGCTGGTGTTGACGGCGTCGATCCGAAAGATAGTCGAGTCACGAGGCTAGGAGGACACGACCTCTCGAGACCAACACTGTGAGTCAACGCGGGCACAGGTGAGCACCTGTCAAAATTTCGCTGCGTCTTAGAGTCTTCGGCGAAAGCACCGGTCAAATTCGCGGTCAAATTCGAGCACCGTCACCGCCGGGTCAAGGAGGACCAACTTTGAGCCTCCGGAAGAAAGTCAGTCCGTCCTTCCCCGCACTTGCGATGTCGGAGTCGAGTCTTGCAGCCTCCTGATGCAATCGACACCATCGCTTTCGACGGACTGCAGCCTTCACTCCTACCACAACAGCATCGACCATGTCTGACTTGTACAAGTCCACCATCCTGTACCGCGAGCACCCCGAAGCGGCTCAGCTCGTGACGCACCTCCACGCCCTGTCCGAGCAGCAAGATGCGCAGGGCACGGGCATCTCTTCGCTGAACAACCAGAATGTGCAGGCGCGCGACTTCAGTGTCTACAAGGACAAGATGGTCGCGCTCGAGCAGGACAAGTCGGAGCTGATCTACGCGGTGTTGCGCAACAAGAAGGCGCGACGCATCTTTGAAGCGGGTACGTCGTACGGCGTTTCGACGATCTACTTCTTGCTCGCTTCGCAGGCGGCTGATGCTGCAGCTGGCAAGCCAGGTGGATTGCCGGCGATGGTGTGGGGCACCGAGAAGGAGGAGCACAAGGTCGACGCTGCGATCGGCAACCTGGCTCAGGCCATGAAGCTGCCGAAGGGCACCAACGACATCCCGGGATTTACCATGCTCAAGGGCGACATCCTCGAGCTGACCGAGAGGGCCAACATCGAGGCAGACAGTCTCGACGCTGTGCTGTTCGATATCTGGGCAGAGAGTGAGTCAAGACCTCCGTTCATGCGCCGTCGTTAAGATCGCGCTGATACTCATCTCTGCTATCGTCTATTTTGATCGCGCAGTGGCCCTACCTACATTCAAGCTGCTCGAGCCGTCGCTCAAGCAGGACGCCGTCATCTTCATCGACAACTGGCTCACCGGTATCGAGATCGGCACGTACGCAAAGTTGCGAGAGTATCTCGAGTCTAAAGGCTGGTACGTTGCTGCGATGCCCTTCAAGAACGGGCTCGGGATGGCGACGCGTGTGTAGCGTGTAGACGATGCCATTGATGCTAATTGCGAGTCATGTTGAGCTGGACCGTGTGCAGAAAGCGCGCATGCTGGACCCTGAATCTGAGCCGAGTGAAAGCGCGTCTTGGAAGAGCCGGCTGTAATCGGCTGCCGAGTTGCCGCCTCCATCGTCGATCTTCTTTCGTAGCACGACCCGGCTCTTACAACGAACGTCACCATCGTCGCATCGGGAATCATGTCTTCTTCGAACCATCCCAGCGCCGGCACCTCGTCCACGCCCTCGTCAGGGCGCACAGCAGAATGGGACGAGCTGCACAAAGTCCTTCACTCGACGGGCGACTCGATCCGCCGTCAGGTAGTCGGCGAGGAATACGTCAACCGCAGCTTGGCCAACGCGAGCTCCTTCACAATGCCGATGCAGCAGCTCGCGACCGAATACGCCTGGGGTGGCATTTGGTCCCGACCCGGCCTGGCTCGACGCGATCGAAGCATTCTCAACCTCGGCATGCTGGCGGCGCTGGGCAAGTCGACCGAACTGGCAACGCACGTGCGAGGCGCGCTCAACAACGGCGTCACCGAGACCGAGATCCAGGAGTGCCTGCTTCAGGTGGCGACGTACGTGGGCATGCCAGCGGGTATGGAGGCGTTCAGGGCAGCAGACAAGGCGGTGCAGGAGTGGAAGTCGACCAACACTGCGCCGGAGCCACCGTCCAAACATTAGGAGTATAGCTCGTCGTCAAACTCAGCGAGAACCGCTCTTTGTCCACACGAACGGAGATCGAGTGCGCTCGAGATGTGGGTTGTCTGGGTCAACAGCGGTCCGATGGGCTCCTCCGCCATCGAAGCGATGGGACGGTGAATTTTGGAGATCTAATCGGGGTTCCTCAGATCAGGCGGGGAGAAGACGCAGATGAGCTGTCGCCTCTCCAGGCTTGCTTCTAGGACAATCATCCACTCGTGCGTGTCGTCTCGGTTTTTGCCCTTTGACCGAACAAGCCCAACTTCCACAGTGTTGGGATGTGACGTCTCTTTGCTTTGATTGGCTCTGACTCGACGCTCCTCCAATTGAGCCATTCCTAGAAGCTGAGTTTGAGTCGATGTATGCGCTTCACAAAGCTCTGAGAAGCGTGGGCGATGAAATTCGTCAGCCGCCTTCGGAAGAAGCGAAAGACCCTGCAAGAACGGCGCTTGGGCAGAGCAACGCACACTTCGGTGTTGCATGCATGCACGCTTCATCATGCGAGCCACTTCACTTACGCAGAAGCGCTTAACAAAGAGACACTGCGCAAGTGCATCACAGACGTCACGTCAAGCGCACGCGTCTTGCACACAAAGAAAAGGCTGCAGACCCTTGCGCTCTTGTCTCGCTTGATCTTTTTCCAGCTGTCACAATTTTGGCATTGCCGAGCCCATTTCTTCTCCGCTCCTTGGCAAAGCCGGAGACCTCGACGTTCGCCTCCTCCTCCTGGACGAAAGAGACGGCCTTTCTGAACCGCAATGCGGGCTGTATGCTCGAGCCCTGGAAGGACAACTCGAAGTGCAGTTCCCGCTCGCTTCATCTGCAATTCCACAGTCTCGAGTGTCGTCTGCAGCCCGCCCAACGCTTTGACGAGCGGAACAAAGGGACGTGACTTTAGAGAAGAAGGGGTTGGCGCAGGCATCACTTGAATCGACAGCAATGGACAAGCACAGCTGCATTGCCAGCCACTCTGCCTGTCTGGCTACAGTCGGAAACGGCTCTTCCGAAGAGCGACGCTGCGCCTCGCCTTGCGCTGCGTCTGTGGTTCGTGTATCAAGGGGGGGCGCTTCTGAAGTTTGCCAGCCCTTTGCAGCAGCACACTGGGATGGGGAGCAGCAAACTCTGTTATCTTTCCTCTCTAAGATCACATCCTGCGGTCTCTGTCTGCTGCAAGCGACCGTAGGCTGACCCAAAACTGGGGTCGTGTCACTTGGCTCCTCATCGTCCGTCACACTGCGCTTGGAGCAAGCACCCCAGAATTTGACTCAGCCGTCGGCAGAACCTTGTCCTGCTTCAGGTGTGAGGCGGCATCCTTAGAGCTGCGGCAGCAGCTGCGGCGAAAGGCCCGAGAGAGCGTGAGCTGTGGCTGAAAGAGTGGCGAGTGGTTCTCGCAGGACAATTGTGATTGTATGCGCTCGAGCAAGAAAGGATTATAAAGGCGGTGGCCCTCTTCGGCTTCCGTTCCGACTGCCCTCTCATCATCCACTTTGCTCCCGAGCACGCCAAGAACTCGACTCCAACGCGCTCATCTCTCTTAGATCGACTCTCTTCCTCGTCCTCCATCCATCCTGTCTTCCTCCATCATCATCGCTTCGTAGACACCTTCCAACCTTTCTCCCCTCGTCTCTCTTCAACTACACGGGCAGGTCCCCTTTCTCACCTCCTTCTTTTCGATTCGCCATCATGTCGCTTTCTCTCTTTCAACTCATCGCGCTGGTCGCGGCCCTCTCTCAGCTTCTGGTAGGCTCGGTACACGCTCACGGCTTCATCAACTCGCCCGCCTCGCGCTCCTACATGTGCAAGACCGGTCAGGCGAAGAATTGCGGCGAAATCCAGTACGAACCTCAATCCGTCGAAGCCGCCAAGGGCCTTCCTTTCGCTCGCAGCAGCAACGGCAAGCTCTGCTCCGCCGGTCTCAGTCAGTTCTCCGAGCTCGATCGTCAGGGCGCTAGCGTCTGGCCCAAGACCCAGGCCAGCGATGTCCGCTCCTTCACCTGGACCTTCACCGCTCAGCACGCCACCACCGACTTCAAGTACTACATCACCAAGCCCACCTGGAACTCGGCCACTAGCCAGGGTCTCTCGGCAAGCGATTTCGAGTCGGAGCCCTTCCTTACGGTACCCATGTACGGCAAGCCGCCGTCTGCCAGCATGAGCCACGACCTCTCCAGCAAGATGCCGTCGCGTTCGGGCTACCACGTCGTGTATGCGGTCTGGACCGTCGACAACACGGTCAACGCCTTCTACCAGTGCATGGATCTCGACTTTGGGGGAGGCAACTCCCGCGACACGGCGTCCGCCGCGACTTCCACTGGCTCGTCGCCCGTCGCCTCGTCTTCGAGCTCTTCCGCCGCATCCACGTCCACCACCAGTTCGGCTGCTGCTGCTGCTCCCAGCTCGGGCTCGTCCAACACTGTCAACAACGACACGCCCAAGGCCTCCCCCGCGCCTGCTTCTGGATCGACGGGCAGCTCCTCGGGCAACTCTGGCAACGGCAACTCCAGCAACGGCAGCTCTGGCGGCTCGCACGCTGCCACTCCCTCGCACAAAAACCACGCTGCCAAGGGCACCGCTTGCCGCATGAAGCGTCGTCGCGCTCCCTCTGGCTCGCTCCTCGCAGCACGCGCCAACTACCGCCGTCACGCGGCAGTCGCCCGACGCCAACAGCAGCCTTGAGCACCCGAGTCCATGGTCTCCACGATCAGCCTCGCAGACTGGTGCTGCGGACCATCGTGTTGATCAACCTGGTTTCCTCGCAACGCAGCTGGTCTGCTCATCTTCGAGCTGGTCTCACTCCGTAGAACTCTCTCCTATCCATACCCTCGCGTCCATTAGAGACCCAATGTAGCCCCCTCATCCGCTGTATACAACTCGTGATTCCCCCAACCCGCATTCATACCACTTTCCCAATCATACCAATTCACCTCCATCCCAATCTTGCGCAACGAAGCTCGTGAAACCCTGTGACGGCCTGATGTTGCACACGACTCAAACGCGACATCTACCGGCCTCGGCGACACGACCATCACACATCACAGCGAACAAGATCAAGACGTTTTCGAAGCGGTATCACTGTTCGACACCAACCCCCTCTCAAACGCGACCGTCGACCTTCCCCTGCTCTTGGCGGGGCTGACTCCTGAACCCGCGCTTGTGCTTCCTCGCCGCCTCTCTGTGTCGTTTCTTGACCACTGCCGTCAGAGTCTCCTTGTACCTGGCCCAGTCTCTCTCCCTCTCCTCTTCCGATCTAGGCTTCAACCAGCGTTGCACCGAACCTTGGCTGTCCGCGCCGTTCCACGCGTCAGTCGACGAAGAGGGGAAGAAATGGGCGTGTTTCTTAGGCCGCACCTCCTGCTCCTGCATCGACACTGACGTGGGTGGTTGCTGGATCCGATGCGCTCCCCACCCCGAAGTACCTCTCGGCAGCGGTTCTTCAACCTCGGGTTCGTCCTCCAGCTCGAACTCCAACCCCAACGAGTCCATCAGTGAAAAGCCTGCACCGGCATCGCCGTTGTCGTCGGCACCAAGCCCAAAGCTGAACCCGGTGTCGACAGTGGGCTCTTGCGGTCGGAACATCTGTTTCAGGGTCGACATGGATACGCGTGTGCCTTCGGGTGCTGCTGCAGGGAGGACGGGTGTCGGTGCTGATGGCGCTTCCTCGGCTGGCGGGATAGTAGGGGTTTCGTCAATGGCAGGTGCAGTGCGTGTACCCGGATCGAACCGCGCAATGGGAACGAAGCTCCCTGTTGCAGATGCAGAGGAGGGCGCGGAAAGGGACGAGAGGAAGGCGGCGCGGCGAGACTTTGCGTCGATCGCAGGAGCGGAGGCTTCGGAGGCAGGAGCGGAGGCGACCTCCATCTGCTCATCCGGCTGCTCGTCTGGCTGCGAATCGACGATGCCCACGCGCTGAGCTTCTGGAGCGGATTCTGCGATGGGCGACTCGGCCTCGTCAGACTCGCTGTCCTCGCTGTCCTCGCTCGAGCTCGAGCTGGAGCTCGACGAAGATTCTTCGACAGCGTCCGCCTCGACAACGCCTGCATCGCTCTCCGACTCCGAATCAGCCTCCTCGCTTGACACCGAGTCACTCTCCTCTTCCTCAACATCCTCATCTCGAAGATCCGCAACATCGACTTGAGACACCTCGTCGTCCGATCCAGACCCAAACATCTGGCCGAGCAAAGCAAGCGTCTTTTGTCGCTCTTCCGCGGCGTTGACCACCTGCTTGCTCTGCGCTGCCCCTGCTGCGACGACTTCATCGTAGCCGTCCGAGAACTCGGCCTCTTCCGGGTCCAGACCGGGGACGAATGACCCTTTGACCTTGGACGGCGTTGGCGTCGAAACCACCTTGTCCACCTTGGCTCGCTTGAGTTGCTTCGCGGGCGTCGGTGCGAACGGCAGATCCGAGAACAAATCGTCGATGCTCGTCGCTTGCACAGATGACGCCGGCAGATCGGCAAAGAGGTCGTCGATGTCGGCCGAGTCCACCACTGCGTCTCTGGGAGCGTTCTTCGGCGCTTTCGACTCGATCTGGGGCTTTGCTGGGGCGATCGACGACGTGAATCCAGAAAAGAGGTCGTCACTGCCAGCGTCCGAGTATTGATCGAAATCGAGCTGCGCCATGACGTCCTCCTCGTTGCTTGCAGTTGCGGACGATGCGGCGACGACACGGATGGGGATCTTGGTGAACTCTTCGTGCAGGATCTTGCCGTCCTTTGCTGTGTATTGCCATCGCACCAGGCGGTGATCTTTTGTCGACGCGGACTCGACTTCGTCGTCCTCGATCTCTTCGCAATGCCACTCGCCTGGTCCGAGCGAGGTCACGTCGAAAGCATCGGTGGATGCGCCCGTCTCGGCAGCGAGCGACTCGAGCAGCGGACCGGACAGATGGACCGCACCGTATCTCGTCGGATCGATCGTGATTCGATGTGCCTTTGATGGAACTCTGGGGTTGACACGTGGCGGTCTGCTGCTGGATGGCGCTTCATCCTCCTCTTCCTGCGTCGCATTGACGCTTGCCAGAGTTGATGCGCGCGACGGCTTAGGCAGTGGATGGGCAGGTCGCATACGCAGTGGACGAACCAGATGTCCTGCGGGCGTACGCTTCCAGCCCCACGCCAGCCCATTCTCAACCGCAGCCTCGTCTACAGGCTCCATGTTGCTGCTCTCGACACCCATGCCTGGCGGCAGGCGCTTCGGCTTCTTCCGGCTCGCCCGCTCCTCTTCTTCCTGTCTACGCTTTTCCTTCTCGAGCTCGACCCGCTGCTGGTAGTCCGGCTTGGCCTCGCCGATGCGCAGCGTCGCGCCCTTCCACACTGATCCCGAAAGCAGGTTCATGCACCGCTTGATCTGCTGCGGCGGCGCTTGCAGGGTGAGATACGCATACGGGCGGAATTGCCCGAGCGCATCCCGCTTGCCGAGCCCATCGAGCGCAACGACGTTCCCAAAGGTCGAGAAGCGCCGCATCAGGTCCTCTTTCGAGAAGGCGGACGTGAGCCCCGAGATGTGGAGTCTTTTCTGCGCGACATCTTCTTCTTGGTGTGGATGATGCGCTTCTTCGCCTTGGCCTGTGAGAGCAGATGCAGAATGAGAAGATGTCAGCTCGGTGCTCGTCGAAGGACACTGAAAGAGGAGCTCGCCGAGACAAGGAGGCGGTGGAGGGGGAGAGAGACTCGCATTGGCCTTAGCTTTGTTGACGCGGCGGGAGGAAGGTGGGAGAGTCTCGACACCGGGCGATGCAGCGGTAGACGACGCACCATTGACCTTGGGTTTCCTCGCTGGCGACGCAGTGGAAGTGCTCGCGACGGCCTTGTCGAACGCCTCCTGCTCGGGGTCGAAGGCTTCGACTACGACGTGCGTGTGATGCTCGTCCGAGTCGTACTCCTCCTCCTGGATCTGGGGCGCAGCATCGTCTTCGAGCTCTCCGTCGTCCGAACCAGCTGCGCCGTCGAGATCCGACTCGCCCTCGGCCTCGAGACCAAACGCCTTCCTCTGCTCGCGCACGTTCTCGGCCGCCTTCTCCTTGCGTGCGTCGCGGAGCTCCTTGCGCGCCACCAGCTGCTCTTCCTTGGCCTTCTTGGCAAGGTAGTCGCGACCAGCTTGCTTGCGCTCCTGCTTGCGCTTGCGAAACCCGGTCAGGTACTCGGCTCGCGCCTTGTCGTCAAACACCAGCTCGGCGCCCTTACCCTTTCCTTTGCCTTTTGGCGCCATCTTCGCGGAGCCGATCAGACGAGAATGTCTATCGTCGTGTTGGTGGTGATGCTGGCGAACGGTCGCCTGCGTATACTGCGGCGAAGAATGGATGGAGGGCTGAAGCAACGGCAAGAAGAACGAAGCACAGACTCGACCACCTCGCCTCACCCGAAAAGCTTTTTCCTTCCTGCTGCTGCTTGCGAAATTTGGCTCTTCCCTCTGAAATTTTTTGAAAATCATTTCCGACTTCCGGGCCGCTGTTGCGCGCCTGTGTGAGCCTTGAATGTCTTGAGTTTTGAGTTTTGAGTTTTGAGTTTTGAGTTTTGAGCTTTGAGTCTTGAGTCTTGCAATTCAAGGTTCTGCTATACAACAACTTGCCGTCTTGTTCTGGCTGGCTGGCCAAGTCAACAATGAGCTGCTGAAGGTGTTTGGGGACACCACAATCCTCCCTAGGTACGCCAGTCTCAATCTGGCTAGGCAACAAGGCATGGGTGATCTTGACCCGCTGGACAGGATGGGAGGCAGGCTTGCCACCACGCTTGTGCAATGAAGCTGCGCTCAAAGGGACACCGGCAGCGTTGATGTGCAAGGCCTTGGGCACAAGCGGCAACTGCAAACTGGGCATCATGGCGGGTGCGGAACAACAAGGGAGAAGCTTGGTGCAAACCATGACGATGAGGCTCTTGAAGAGATCTCAGAGAAGCAGAAGATGGCAAACGCTGGTGTGTGTGAGGATCTTGAAGAGGTCTCGGAGAAGCAGAGAAGGCAAACGCCAAGTGTGTGCGGCTCTTGAAGAGATCTCTCAGAAGAAGAGATGGTGAACGCTGAGTGTGAGTCTGAGGAAGATAAACGGCTTGCCAGGCTCTGTTTTTATCCCCAAGCTGCCGCTCCCATGTCTGCTCTCTTGAGCACACTGTGTCCGGCAATCTTGCTGCACTTATCCCAGCACATCACTGCTCCACGCAGAGCCTTAGGGTTTTTATGGCAACGGTGGAATGATGTTGGCGCGTCAGTGGCCTGGCAAGACGGTCCAATTGAAATTTCAAGTCAGAAAATTGAATTGGCAGGGAGACGGTCAGCTACAAATTTGGAGACGCATTGTATTTGTCTTGCAATTTCCTGGCAATTTCCAATGCTGGGCAAACGGCACCGTCCAGGAGACGGTCTGATACAAGCAGCAAGACAGTCTGCTACAAAGGCAAGACGGTCCGTTACAGATCAGCAAGACGGTCAGCTTCAAACTGGAAGACGGCTGATACAAATGGAAGCTTGCTGAACGGCTGCTGATCTCTCATCTACCATGCAAACGTCAAGATGACCTCTGTCAACTGTCCTGTGTGCTCCTTCAGCTACGCCATCACCAACATCACCAACCACATCCGGAAGGCGCATGCTGGAGTTCACGTTACACAAGATGCAGCAGCAGCTTCTGGTCTGGTGGCATGCAGCTGCGGTCAGGTAGTGTTGAATGCGGTGGCGCTCAGGAAGCACCAAGGTATCCGACACTGTCAGGCAGTACTGCCACCAACGCCACCAGAGACGCAAGTCAATACGGGTTAGGGTTGTTGGAAATCTTGCCGAGATGCCCAGTACTTGTCAACATATCAGGACGTAACACGCATCAGCGATAGGCGACTATAGGGGACTATAGTTTGACTAGCGCAAGCAAACCCTCGGCAAACCCAGCAATAGTTTGCTGAATTGCGGCGACACCAACACCTTGCCGCTGCATGCTCAAATGTTGAACAAGCTCATTGGTTCGACATTGCTCAGGAAGATAACCAGGGACCACCCTCGTTTACACAAGCAACTAGCGCTGGCGCCAATGCACAGTAGTTGACGGCAACTCGGTAACCAGATTGCCTGACCATTGCATACAGCGTTCGATAAGGTGCAGACGGCAAAACGGACCATGGGAACCCGAGAGAAAGTGTAACGACTCGACCAATGATATTGCAAGTCAGGAGCACGTTGGCAGGAACGGGGCAACCCCAATAAGCGTGCACTAATGTCAGGACCAATGGGGGAGAATGGCAAACAAGGAAAGGATAGCCGCCAGGCGGCAAGGAGAGTGGGGACTCAGGAAAGGAGATCCGCAAGGACCTCTACAAATGAGCCAGATTCACCAAGCGGGTGTACAGCAAAGACTTAGTCGCTCTCTTAGGGTTAGGGTTAGGGTTAGGGTTAGGGTTAGGGTTAGGGTTAGGGTTAGGGTTAGGGTTAGGGTTAGGGTTAGGGTTAGGGTTAGGG